CCCACGCTAGTTCTCGTAATTACCCGGAAGGCGGATGCTGGAGCGGGAGAAACAAAGGGCGGTCCGTTTAATTCTGGAGTTATCATGGCAGACTTCCGGCAGATGGTCGAATGGGGTCGGTGGGAATCGTAGACAAACTCTGGCTCGACCTTCGGATGATCACCACAGGAATCCATATTATTATCATTTTACCTCCAAGGACCCGTAACCATATAACCCAAGGATGGCAGCCAAGTGCTTTTACCAAACCCCCCCTCCGCCCTCCCCAGGAGGAGTCTGCACGTTGTGGATCGAGACAAAAGGCTAACATGGCGCCGTTGAGTCCCTGTTCCAGGGTTACGGTGTCGAAAACAAACACATGATCGCGGAATAAGGCCTAGGGCGAACATTCAGCGCACCGGAGCAGCCAACCGCGGCCAATCATCGGCTGTTGACCATGGCCTCCACAGCTTTTTCGTATTGGAGCGGATTATTCAGGCGTATATCCTCCGTATAAATGATGGGATTGTTTCCCTTCTGCAAATCGGCTCCCAAGCTGATCAACTCCTGCCAAGGCCCGGGATTTGGGTTCCGCTACGCCATGGACAAGGGAATGGCATGCTATAGGCAGTTCGGGTACTGCGTGAGACGGGAGAGACGTGAGGAACCGGCGAAGGCGTTCGTCTTGTGCAGTCCGCAGAGCAGCCATGCAGGCTGTGTAGCCAGCTGAGCGTCTGCAATAAGTCCAGCTTAGAATCGAATGTTCTGATCGGCACAGCACTGTCGACCGTCTTCTGCCCGACGCATAAGCATCCTTTCTCCGTATATTTTGTATCATACAACGAAAGCAAAAAAGTGAAGAGAAAAAGAAAGTTGACAGGTGTTTTTTTTTTTTTGCTTTCTTTCATTATTTTTTTTGGCTTTCTGTTGTTTTTCTTTTTTCGCTTTTCGTTTTTGCAGGTTCCCTAGCCTGATCCCAGTAATATTATCGGGCTTCATTTCACGTATACACCACAGTGCCTTACAGTATTGCTCAACAACTGCTCCCGTAAATCCCAGGGAAACGTGGGAGAGTCAAGATCGCTGTTTGGCTTTGGCGTCGCTGTCTCCCTTGTCGGCTCTGCCTTCACAAGGCTTCGTTCCTTGCCTGTCTCTCGTTTCTCGCTTGGTTGTGGTTTCAGGGCGGCTGCATGACATTGATGAAAGGTACGCTGACTTGCATCGTCGTTGCTTTTTTGCACGATCTGGAGTACATATACGGGGGGCGAGAGCGTCGGATCCTATAGGCGTCAAGATTTGTCACTCTGCTGCTCTGTATGGACCGATGTTTTCTTCTTCCGGGTTTCTTGCCCGTTTCTGCTTTTTGAAGTCGTTTCCGTTTTCCTTTTTATATACCGGTGGCTTTGTGGCCCGTGCGGCTCCAAAAAAGTACCAACTTCCAACTCAACGCGTAAACAAACAACCGACGACGACGACGACGACGGACTCAAAGCAAAGCAGAGACGAGCGTGAAGGGCGTGAAAAAAAGGGACTAGAGAGGGGAGACTCAAGATCAACGCTTGTTCGTGACAGCTGGAACCCCACGATGGCCCCGGGATGCTTAAAGGGAGAGGAGAAAAAAAAAAGAAAGAAAAAGAAAAAAACGAAGGCCGAAACTAATGGCCATGAACTTGTCCGTTGCTAGTATCAGCTCAACCATAAACGACTAATAATAGAGGAACAAAGCTGGTGGCGGCCCCGCATCCCTGTTCCGCCCCATGCTCTTAGCCAAAAGCCTTCTATATGGCACGGCAGATATCGACAAAGAGGGATGAGCGTGGCAGATGGGCCGAGGAAGACAAGCAACAAGCATGAATTAGCACCTAGCTGAAACCCCTTACCCTCCGGCTAGCCTTGAGCCAGGATATGGCATTATAGCCAGCGATCTCGATCTTGCATGATCTCAATTGTTTAGCCCGTGGCAGGCACACTGTGGACTCTAGATCCCGCTGGTGCTGGGGTTGAAAATGCCAGGCCTTGCCCTGTTGCTAGTGATGACGGAGGATCCGTTCGACGATCAGAGTCTTCGCCGGCGGCCGAACCGTGTTGAGGTTCTCTCCAGCTAGCGCAGCCACGGCAAGCTGCGTAACCAGTGTCAACGCACGCATGACTGGCCGTTGCTTGTTGGCATTAGCTTGATGGGAGGGGGGCTCTGTTGCCATTCACCACCGGCGGGAGCGCGTGCCGTGCTTGCCAGCTCCCGTCGTGTGAATTTTCCATTAAAGCTCCTTGGAGCCCTGGAGCCCTGCAAGATGGACAGAACGGTGGCTCCTTTCTGGAACTGATCCTCCGACCAACATGATCGGACCTTTTTCTTTTTCTTTTTTGTCAACGAAAGGACCGAAAAATTAAGGCTGGTGAGCATGGTTATATTGACTACATTGGATAGCGCAAAATGGGGCATGAGCGTGCGAACTTGAACCCTAGTGATCGAGATGAAGATCTCTCAGCGCGATCATCTCGAAAAGTGCGTGATCCCCCCCCCCGCAAAGGAGTCCTCCGTCTGAGGTCTGAAGTATAACTACTAATGAGGTGCTCCTCCCGTACACATATTTGTATGTACTAGAGTTAAAGCAAGGCCTGAGCACATAATAGTATGTACGGTAGCTATGCACATCCTGCAGATGAGCGTCGCTAATCATGGCTTCTAGAAGCCAGCCTGATGTTCTCTCTCCCTCTGCCTTCAATCCTCGAGTGATTCAGGTTTCATCCAACCAAGTTGATCGTGTGAACCTTGTTCGTTCAAAAGGCTCCCGCGAACTCCGTAATTACGCTACATATATATTATACAACTCACATACTATGGCACAGGAAGGTCAGTAATTTAACGTTGTGTATGGAGACGGAGCTAGGACAAGGATACCGGCGACGTCAGGTACATATACATACATGACTTACTCCGTACTTTACAGACGAATTGCACCAAAGACTAGCGCTGCCAGAGACGACCAGCCAGGAACCAGCAAGCCAGGCCGGGGTTCTGTTGGTACAATGTACTACCGAGTTAATCGGGGGGTTTTTTATGTGGTAATTTTGTCTGTTTCCAGCCATTTATCCGAGCTCCAAAGCTACTTAACTCGACTCTCCTGAGCTATTCCCCACGTTCAGCAGGGATCTCGCCAGCATCGAAATCTCACGGCAGCCTGACACGATATGATCAGCCGCTGAAGCTCGAGAGATATTCCCTCTCTGGATAGGGTGGAGAGGGCTCACCTTGGGAGCCCAAGCCAGGCTCACCATGCTAATAATGCCCCATAGCCTGGTTATACGGAGTACATATACATACATTCCTCCGTGAAGCCTAAATTCTCGTAACTCGAGCCCAGCAAAAAGCTAACTCTACTAGTACCAGTACCAGCCCGACTGTTCCACTCTGCATTCTGTGTTTATGGATTACGGAGTACGGGAGTACATGTTCATCGTCCTAGGGTATCGGTGGCTTTTAAACGACTGATGATGAGGCCTCTCAACGGGCCATGTCGACGACCACCAATGGCATCTGAGATACTCCGTACCTCTGCTTTCACCCCTGCCATTCCCATCCTGCGAATACGCAGCCAGCTGGCCTGGGACAGCAATGAGCTCTTGGGAGGGGGGAAACTGCAAGCCGAGCGGGTTGCGCAAAATCTGCCCGCGTGTCCAGCCTCTTCTGGCTCCTGAGCTCCTGGCTTCTGGCCGCCGGCTGGCTCCATATGACGGAGCAGAATTACGTTCTACGAGCCGTTAGCCTTTCGCCTCGGGAACTCTCCACTGGGGCTCGCAAGACCCACCGGGACGACGAGGAGCACTGAAAGGAAAAACAACTAGTAACCTCTAACCTCGAGGATACGACCAAGCAACACCGCTGCCCCAGCCCAGTTGCTGCCCAGCATGCTGAAATAAAAAAGCAGCGCCTGTGCAACGCTAATAGTTCCCCCGGTTTTGGATTTGACTCAAGCATACAGTCTCCAGCACGTCAAGGGTCCAACGATCCAATAGTGGCTGCGCAGAGCTCGCCTTGCGCTCCACTGGCAGGCCACCATTCTCATCCCTTAACCAAGCTGGCGGAGCGAACGAGCCTGTGACTTGTTTGGTAGGTTGCTTTTATTTTAGTTTACTTTAAATTCTTCTATTTTTCATTTGCACACCGTTTTTATTTTTAATTTTTTCTTTGGTCAACGATGAGAATTAATTTGCTATCTTTATACACTAATCTTGGGTATCCATCCCTCCATGGGATAGTTCCGGTACGCCCGGTCCCATGAAGCTGCCTTTGACCCGCTAGATCATGGCGGAGCTTTTCATTTCCATTTGGGAGGACCATTTTCTTATTCATCATAATGAAGAAAAAGCAAATGGCTAATCGTCCAGAGTTCCTTATGGAAGCGTTGCCCTCTCGTATCCTCAGTTCTGGTGCTCGCCTCATGATTCTCTTTTTCATTTGAATGCTTCGCCCATTTTTCTTTTCCGTGACCTGCAGTTGTTGTTTAATATCGGCTGCTCCTGAAAAATAGATCAATACCCAATCGCTCCTCTATACAGTCGACCTTGTCAGTCGGCCATTCCTTTTGTCGATTATTCCACCAATATTTCCAGCTGTTCTCTCGACCTCGACGTGTGACGACACTGCGCTCGGTAGTTGTATATGCTGCGTGCATAAGTGCTTGACCACCACAACAGGGACGACAACAACAACGTCAACGTCAACTTGAAACCTTACCATATCGAGGCCTGGGGGAAGCAGAAACCTCTCACCCTCATCCATCGTGGCTCTACTCGGTACTCAAAGCCTTTCCCACCTCGGCTTCTCAGGGTCGACATCATCATCGACATTGTCACCCCATCCGGAAAACCGTGACCATTGCCCAGGTGATTTCCTACCCAGCCCTCCCTCCTCCCTCTCTCATTTTCAGCTATTTGAGGGCCGTAGTCCTTTGGAGAGAGGGAAGGACCGTCCATGCCACGGCTTAGGTCAGCTTCCCTTCGGAGGAGATCAAAATCTTATGTCGCAGCGGCCATATGCTTCAAATTCTCCATCCGACGAGACTTCTCAGCCTGTGAGCCAGCTTCTAGCATCCCCCGACCACTCAACCGGTGCGCAAGATGAAGCCGAATCAGCGGACCTTCAGGCTCGACGTAGTGCCCAGATGCCCCAGCCTAGTCGACCGGGATCTGTCAGAGGAGACTTGACCCCTCCAGAGCTTGCGCATTCTGGCAGACCAGCATCCTCCTGTCCGAGTTCATCTTCCCAGCAGCGTTCTCGGTCTCTGGGGATGCAAGCCATCCTCAACCCGTCCACTAATGCGCCGTTAGAACCCAGCTCGCGACACGGTAGCCGGGAGCCACTAGGATCGCCAACCTCAACGGCTACGTCCCCTTCCGCGCATCACCATGGGACACCATCCCCGATCCAGCCTCCAACCCAACCTCCATTACGCTACCACTACGAACGTTCCACACTGTCACCGAAGGTGGGAAGACGGGTTCTGACTCCAAAATCGCCCGCCGTCCGCGCTGCAAGCTTGGGAGGTCGATTTCATCCAGTCCCTGGGACCATAAATGCAACTCAGTCTCCGTTCTTACAGTCCCCTCCTCCGCCGAGATTTTCTGAGAGTGCACCGCGCTTACATATTGACTCTGCTTCTGCAACTGTGCCTAGTAGACTAACACAGCCTCGGCAAACAGTTCATGCTGCTAGCATTTTCTATGACCAGCGGTCCGCTGCAAACCCACAATCCCAAGAAACGAGTCCACGTACTCCCCAGTCATCCTATAGTCCTTACAGCCATGCATCCCCTGCTCCGGTGCCACCAGTCCACCTACAGCAGCAGCATCCTTCTCCTGTGCCCACTTCAGCGTTACCAGGACCTCCACGTAGCGCCATGGCCCAGTCACTTCTGCCCCTTGAAAACCGGGGCCAGTATCGAGGGGAAGGCGGGCTCGCATCAATAGGACCATACATGTCAGCGTCGGAGGCTAGTGTGGGGCTAATCCCCTTTACAATTGACAGAGATTCGGGGTCAATGAAAGCTAAGATAAAACGGGAGAAAAACAGCAGTGCTTCGAAGAGATTTCGGCAAAGGAAGAAGGTTGTGGAAGCGGAACAATCGCAGGCCATTAAAAGACAGGAGGATGAGATCAAGAGCCTCACAGAGGAAAGAGACTTTTATATAAGGGAGCGAAACTTCTTTCGGGATATGTATGCGAGAACCCCTGGTGCACAAATCCCCCCACGACCACAATCACCGCGCTCCTTTCAGCCGCGCGCTACTCCACTTGCTTCGGAGGACGAGGAGGAGCAGGCTTCGTTAGAAGCGGACGACAGAGGAAGGGGAGCGGGGGGCCGGAATGTCCGGCAGAGAACTGGATCTGGGCCGGTGCATTTGCCATATCCTGGCATTCAGACTTCCGGCTCATATGTACCCATGTCAGGGGCTCCATCTGCCCATGCATCTCACTCTCCATCATACCCGCTTCCGTATCCCGCACCATGGCGAGCGTCTCCTGCGCACGGAAACCCACAGTCAGGGGAACTTGCATCTGTCGTGCCATCGCCAACGGCTCTTTCCACCCCGCGAGAAGGCCAACTATCGCAGCTACAGCATCCACAGCAGCAACCACAGCAACACCCACATTCACACCATCATCAGCAACACCAAACGCAACATCAACAGTGATAGCACCACTATGGCTTCAGCTTTAGGACCCCACACGCTATTCCCGACCGGCTAGGAGCTGGCTCTCTACCGGTACCATATATCTATATATACACACCCCTCATACGTTTTATAAAACCGCGATATTAACTAATACTTTCTCAAGAGCATCTAATCCCTTTTCATCCCATTCGGCCCCCTATTGAGCGATTTTAATTTGGTGTTTTTCATATCTTTTCGTTGTCATTTTTAAATACATATGCTTGGGTAGGATCTATGGACAAAAAACACCCCTGAGGAACAGCAGACTTACAATATTACTACGGTAGGAAGAGGGCAACCTCTACTGGAAGGCGTCGAACTGTTGTTTATTTTTTTTTCCATTTTCATTTTCATTTTCTTTTCATTTTCATACTCTGGCCTGGCTCTGCATTTTGAACGTCTTCCCCTGATGAGGATTTCGTCATACTTCCGTTTAATGTCTTTCATTTTGGTTACCCGATCAACCGCGACGAGAAGGGGATGAGGCGGACCATTTCGCCTTATCAAATTGATGTGACTGCCGGTTTGATTGGGACAAAGTCTTGCTGGAACATGAACTTTCTTACTCCTGTACTCTCGCGTTCACTCGTTTTCTCTCTACCTCTCTCTCACTTGCTTGAACTACTTTCTTTCAACCCTCTTTGTATTGATACCCAGGGTGGCACAATGCTTTACTTTTTCTTGTACTCGAATTTTCGCATTTCCAGTTTCGTTTTCTGTCTGTTTCCCTACCTGGGACGAGTTGCTTTGGAATTGCTTTTATTTTCTGGTTCTCGTCCGTCTCTTCTGCCCTGTCCAACGCCGAACCAACAACTGACAAGATGTCACTGGCACCGACCACGCATGAGCTATGCTCACGCGGGGCACGAAAAAAAAAAAAAAAAGAAAACACAAGCCAAAAAAAAAAACGGGCGGCACACTCGGCATTTTCCTTCCAGTTTGACACAGTTTTTTTTCATTGCTTGTCCTGATAGCGTGGGTGGGGAGGGGGCGGTGGTGTTATTTTTCCTGTTTCGTTTGTAACCAATAGCTAACTAAAACTGCCGGGAGTCATTTGTTGCGTCTTACGTCTTACCGCTTGCTGTTGGGTGCGGCAACACTTTTCTTAAGGAAATTGGGTTATTCATCGTCATAATATTGTTTTTTAGGGAGAGATCCTTTTTCTGTTTGCGCTGAACTATGGGGGCGGTTATCGGATGATCCGACCGAACTGGCGGCGGGGGAGGAATAAGGGGGTAGTTAGTAGATACTCCGTACATAAGTCAGGTTTACCAAGTTCCATATTGGAGTGAATTCTTTGTTTCCCTTTCTGTGCTTCCCTAAGCTGGCTCTCTTTGTTGTCTTCGGCTATTCAAAAAGACAGGTGTTTCTCTCCGGGGTCCCGGGTTCAGCTAGCCATGACATACCGGCGCGAGGGGAGTAAAAAAGGGGTGTCTCGGGCACTATCACATCACACACATACTGCATCCGCATCGCTGGGCGTCAGAACCGGCCTTCCGAGATGCAGGCCAAGAGAGTGGACGCGGCGAAAGACGGAGACGTCGACCCTCAAAGGCTCGCTTTGCTGGCCCATGGATCTGGGACACCTGCATATACATCACAGGAGCGCATCACAGGAGCGCATCACAGGAGCATCACAGGAGCATTAGGGGCATCTAGGGGCATATATCTAGCTCTGCATTTGTTTCTTTCTGGTACCTGAAAGTTATGCATCAAGCTGGCCGAAAAGGGAAACCAAGTAAGAAAAAAGAAAAGAAACATAGATATTACATAAGCATATCATGTGACCTTAAGCTATGCATGTTTAAGGTTGCAGATCACTTACATAATATGCGCTTGACACGGCTATTTGTCGGCCCGAATATCTTCTAGCCGCCGTAAACGCGATATAACCCGGCGGCTAAATCCAACTTCCCCCTCCCTCCTCTCGCGCTTCTTTCAGCCTCCTCCTCGCCTTTTCAACTCCTTTCTTCCTCTCTCCCCCCTTTGTTTTCGAAGCCTTCATCTCGTCCACCAGGCTCCCTATTCACGAAGCTGCCTTGCGAAGACTCAATGCAACACTGCCCCTCAGGCCTTCCGATTAGCGGACAGGGTAGTGTGGCCAATCAGACCACGATGTCGGCGGCCGTGCCTCGTCTAGCTGGCTCTTGCGGCGCATACCGACGCAGATCCCGTCGAGCCAGCGCGGCCTTCATCCCGGCGATGTTTCTCTTCCCGGCGGGAACGGACTAGAGAGCGGAAAACTGAGGCCTCGGCATATATATAACGAACATCCACAGGCCGCTCGCTTTATAACTTCCCGTCATTTCCACGGTACCTCAACGGAGTCTCAACGGTCGTTTGTTGGCGTCTTCCGTCTGATACTATCTGCAAAGGGTTGATACGCAAGATGTCATCGTCCATGGCCGTCCTGTTCACTGCGGCATTGACTGCCCAGATGTACGTCAGATACAGAGAGCCCGCTTATTGAATACTCTTCTGCGAGTCCAAATGCTGATCAGATACGTACAGTGCCGTTGCAGCGCCTGCTGAAGTCACCGCCTCCTCGTCCTGCAGTTCTCCAAGCCGGGGATACAGCTGCTTCCCGGAGTACTCTCAGTTCTGGGGCCAATATTCTCCCTACTTCTCCCTGGAGGGCCGCTCACACATCCCTTCCTCGGTCCCCCGCGGCTGCAGGATCACTTTCGCGCAGTCTCTTCAGCGACATGGCGCCAGATACCCTACCAAGAGCAAGAGTGAGAAATACGCCGGCGTGATCGAACGCATCCAAAACGATGCCACGTCTTTCAACGGCGAGTTTGCCTTTTTGGAAGACTATACATACGATCTTGGGTCGGACAACATGACCGCCTTTGGGGATAGCCAACTTTACGATTCAGGCATCAAGTTCTTCCAACGATACCAGTCCCTGGCCAAGAAAGTGAAGCCATTCGTGAGGGCAGCTGGCTCTGACCGTGTTGTTGCTTCGGCCCACAAGTTCGTCGACGGCTTCACCAAGGCCAAGGGTAACAACAAGGGCGGTGCCGCGAAGCTTGACCTCATCATCAGCGAGTCGAACCGTCGGAAAAATCCAATTGCTCCAGAAGGCTGCGCTGCCTTTGACGATGACGATACTGCCAGCCAAATGAGCGACAAATTCCGAAGCACCTTCATCCAATCCATCGTGGACCGCGTCAATGTGAACCTGCCGGGCGCCAATGTCGATGCAGAGGATGTCAAAAGTCTCATGGCAATGTGCCCCTTCGACACCGTTGCCCGCACCCCTGACGCCAGCAAACTATCCCCATTCTGCAAGCTTTTCTCCCACGAAGATTTCCGCCACTACGACTACCTCGAGACTCTGGGTAAGTACTACGGCTACGGCCCCGGAAACTCCTTCGGCCCGGCTCCCGGAATCGGCTATGTCAACGAGCTCATCGCGCGGCTCACCAACTCGCCTGTCCACGACAACACGACCGTCGACCACGAGCTAGATGACAACCCGAAGACCTTCCCGCTCGGTCTCCCACTCTACGCCGATTTCAGCCACGACAACAGCATGACCGTCATCTTCGCTGCCATGGGCCTGTTCAATGCCACCCAAGCCCTCTCCTCGCAACACATCACCAACCCTGCCGACGCGAACGGCTACGCTGCCTCCTGGACTGTCCCATTCGGCGCCAGAGCCTACTTCGAGAAGATGGTCTGCGACTCATCCCCCATAGCCCGCCAGGAGTACGTCCGTGTCCTACTCAACGACCTCGTCTGGCCGCTCCAGGGTTGCCATGTTGACATGTACGGTCGATGCAAACTGGAGGATTTCGTCAAGGGCCTGTCCTTTGCTACCTCGGGTGGTAACTGGGACCAGTGCTAGATTTCCTATCTTCTTTTATCCATAGCAGTATCTCTTCTTTCCTTTACGAGCTTGATGAACCTCGTTATGTTTATTGGTATGACTTTGAGGGTAGAGCTATTAATAGAACAATAAACCGAGCACTGAATGAGCTTTTATATCATTTCTAAGCGTCTATGGATAATCAATATTGGTAGTCTCATGATAGGGACTTTATATTGTATTGGTGGTCATATTGGTCACTCTCATAGAAATGGTCAAATGGTCATAGAAACGGCCATTTCATTGCCTACTCTACTCCGTCCGATCAACCCGGCGTGTTCACCTTTCCTCTGATCGGCCGCCATAATTGAACTGACCTATTTGAAACCGAGTAGCTCTCTGATGTTCTCTATCGAGCTATAACCATATCGTTATGCTGATGTAGATGAGGTCTCTTGCACGTTATGAAGACATATTCTCCCACCGTCATCCACCATTGCATCTACCTATCCATCCTCCATCCTGCTCTCTATATCTACTCTCTTCTATTCTATTCTTCTTTATTAATATATATATTCTGATGACTTCGGTGTGGGGGATGGCGTGATGGCTTACCTCATCGAGGGGTCTCGCAGCTTTTTATATCTTGGACTTCTCCTTCTCGCTTCTCCTCGTATTCTCTCCTCCTCCCCCTCGTCTTCTATCCTCCATCTTGTCTTCATATACGTCTCTATACCCGTCTCTATACCCGTCTCTATACCCGTCTCTATCTCAGCATCCCAAGTAGTAACCCATATCTAGCTACAATGGCTGAACGCAGCGCCCCGTAGGCCACCCCTCCACCCCGCATCTTATCGATTATACTAACAGCAAGCCATCTGCAAGCCTCCGCCTGGGATCTACCGCCCCAGACTTCAACGCCGTCACCACCAAGGGCGAGATCAACTTCCACGAGTTCATCGGCGACAACTATGTCATCCTCTTCTCCCACCCAGTGCGTACTAGCAAGCGTGCCCGACAGGATGAAAGAGAAAACAGCTAACCGAGGCAGGACGACTTCACCCCAACCTGCACCACCGAGCTTGGAGCCTTTGCCAAACTAGAGCCCGAGTTCACTAAGCGCGGCGTCAAGCTTATTGGCCTGGTGGGTTTCTCCCCTTTGAAGCTGCTCTGAACATCGCTAACACGGGGAACAAGTCTGCAAACGGCCTCAAGTCTCACCATGACTGGATCAAGGACATCGACGAGGTCACCGGCTCGCACCTCCAGTTCCCCATCATCGCCGATGCCGACCGCAAGATCTCCTACGCCTACGACATGATCGACTACCAGGACACCACCAACGTCGACGAGAAGGGTGCGTCTCTCTCTCCTCTGTTGCCTGTATGACGCTGACATGTAGAATGCTGTAGGAATGGCCATGACCATCCGTTCTGTCTTCATCATCGACCCCAAGAAGAAGATCCGTCTGATCATGAGCTACCCAGCCACTACCGGCCGCAACACCGCCGAGGTCCTCCGCTGCGTTGACGCCCTGCAGACCACCGACAAGAACGGCGTCAACACCGGCATCAACTGGAACAAGGGCGAGGACGTCATCATCCCCCCATCCGTCACCACCGAGGACGCCCAGAAGAAGTTCGGCGACATCAGGGTCGTCAAGCCGTGAGTCTCCCTGCAACTGATATCCATAGTCTGCATACTAATAGGCCCTAGATACCTCCGCTACACCACCCTCAAGAACTAAGCCTTTATCTTCTGACATGTAATTAATTGAATAACTAAATAAAATAATCATACCAGTAAATAACACCAACTCCCTGTAAGCCCCTTCCAACACCTGCGCCGCTCGTCCGATTGGCCTCTAGTCGTCGTCCTATGTGTGATCGCTGTTCGTCTGTATTGTCGCGTCCTCAGGGGTAGAGTATACCTAAGATGTCCCAAAGAGGCAACTCAGACTGCCAAGCATCCCACTTCTTCAGCTCAACTTCTACAACTTCACCTCTACAACTTCACTACAACGACACTACAACTGTAACTACGACAGCTACAACTATAACTTCGCCTTCGAGTTCATCATCTATGTGATATTGGCTATCGGAGCTGTGTGTCAGCCAGGCCCATCTCCCGGCGCAAACCCACTCGGCGCCGTTTCAGATAACCCTAGGGTTCCTGGTACACCACCGGGTTCGCCCACTTGGTTCGACCAGGCTGCGCTCTTTGTCTTCGTCTTTTTCTCGCTCCTGGGAACTGCATGGATACGTCGACCAGCACACCTTACGCTGTGGAAATCGATTGGTATCGGCACGACCGCTGACTGGGTACTATTGCCTGGGTTGCTGGGAGGTGACTCGACTGAGGTATGTAACCGGTCTGCAAAGGGGGAATATAACATCGCCATCCTTCTCTCTTTGCTCCCTATGGCGTCTGGATGGATATGTTCGCTGACATCATGGCAGGATCCGAGCAGTCGCCGTCCTCGCCGTTGGGCTTGGGACCGGGCTCGAGACCGTTTATCTCCTCGCCCTTGTTCAATGCAAATACGAATGCAACGCCCGACGCAACTGCAAATTCAAATGCACCTTACTCATACTCGCACTCATACTCGCACTCATACTCATACTCACATTCACACTCACATTCGCGCTCGAGCCGCTTCGCATCTGTGAAGAAATACTTTCGAGCTGAGCTGACTAGGACTAGGAGCAGGAGCAAAAGTAAGACGAGGAACGATAGCGGGACAAGGGACGACGATAGCAAATTTAGAGACCCTGAGAATAGGACCTGGGACGACGAGATCAAAATTAGAGGCGAGAACGAGGACAGAAGCGAGAGCAAGGACAGGCATCGTTCGACTATCGCGTCACAGAATCCATCGCAGACTTGGTTCAGCGCAGACTCGTCGCCCGAGGTACGGTCACCATCGATACACTGGCATTCAAGTCTCCCGCCGCCTACACCTCCTTCGCAACGCCAGACAGAACTGTTCCCTCTGCCTCCGCTGCGGCTACGGGGGTCATCGCTTTCACAGCCAGAGAAACGGGCAACCGCCATAGATATACCACCGCCGCGCTCGCCGCTACTGTCACCACCACTCTTATCTCCTACCATCTCGATCGACCCTTCAATACTCTCCCCGACTTATGGACGCTCGCAAGAACAGATACAAATCCCACCGAACAACTCATATCCGTCAACGTCCATTTTCTCCCGATTGAGCGAAACTCTACCTACATCAATGGCTTCGACCAGACGCCCTTCCTCGTCCAGGGGAGGAGACCCAAACTCCCTCACCGGCAGCAGCCTACCCTTACACACGCATTCACAGTCCCAGTCTCAGTCGCAGATAAATCCGCAACCGCAGAATGGAACTACTCCGACATCTGGCCCGACAAACCTCTCCGGCCTAGTATGTAATGTCCACCGCACCACAGGACGTGAGCCGCACGCTCTCGTCGGGGCCACAACTACCATCCTGGGCGACAAGCTCTATGTCTTTGGCGGCCGACTGCTCTCTAGGGCCCGACCCGAGCTTACCTCCGACCTATACGAACTAGACCTGATCAAACGGCACTGGACAAAGATCCATCCCACAGGCGATGTGCCTCCACCGCGCTATTTCCATAGCATGTGTCCTCTGGGCGACACCAAGCTCGTCTGCTACGGCGGCATGTCCCCACGCTCAGCGGTAGCTGGCCATCCGCCCACAAATGTTAGTTCTTCCCAACAAGCTCACTCAGGTGGACAGGATGCCCAGCCCGAGGTTGTGGTCATGTCCGACGTACACATCTACGACGTTATTACGAGATCTTGGACGCATATAAACACTGCAAATACTCCGCAAGGTAGATATGCGCATTGCGCAACTATCCTTCCGTCTTCGGCGCCATTCGTCTCTGCCAACGCTCCCATGACAGCTATCCATAATAACCCGTCATCTTCCAACTCGAACCCCCACCAGGGCTCCATTGGTGTCGAGATAGACGGCTACGGGGGTGCGGAGATGGTCGTCGTCGGCGGCCAGGATAGCTCAAACCACTACATAGAGCAAATCAGTGTGTTCAACTTGCGTAGCCTGAAATGGACAGCCACCAGTCCGCTAGGTCGAAGTTGCGGTGCATACCGTTCTGTTGTTGTGCCGCTGACGGGAATGTCAGTTAGTGACCTTGGAGCTGAACGGGCCGAGAAAGAGCTCGGAAATGTTGCGAACAACCTTGATGAGGGAGGGACACCAGGCTCCTCAATGCTGATATACTCCAACTACAACTTTCTAGACGTGAAGCTAGAGCTCCAGGCGCGTCTGCCCGATGGAAAGCTCGTCGAGAAAGCGATGGACACCTCTGTATCTCCGCCTGGCCTTCGCTTCCCCAACGGAGGCGTGATCAATGGCCATTTCGTCGTGAGTGGTACTTATCTCACCGCTTCCAAGCAGGAATATGCTCTGTGGGCATTGGATCTAAAGACTATGACCTGGGGCCGGATTGACGCTGGCGGTTCCATCTTCTCATGCGGTAGCTGGAATCGTGGTGTCATCTGGAATAGGAGAAGCACCTTTGTTATCCTAGGACACAGGAAGAGAAACTTGGTCGAGGATTACAATCATCGTCGCATCAACTTTTCACATATATGTATGGTTGAGTTGGAGGCTTTTGGACTCTACGAGAATCCAAGGAGAGCCGCCCCGACTTCTGGATACGTTTCTGTTAGTGCGCCTGCTCTGCCGCCCTCGCTGCAGCCAAAATTCTCGCAACAGTGTTCTGGCGGAAGGCCGTATTCCACGGCGGCAGAAAAACTGGGCCTGATGGCACAAGCATTCACTGAATTAGCAGATATGGATCTCCTTACGATCGGTGGTGAACGTATACCCGTTAGCTCGCATATCCTGTCTCGTCGATGGGGGCCTTATTTCGTCCAGCTCCTGTGTGAAGCTACCGCCGTCGCTGGCGATAGCATAAACGACGCAGCAACTCTTCGCCAGCCAAACACTGCGTTAAACAGTCGGAACTCTACTATTACAATAACACCTTCGTTAAGCACTGCCAGCCAGTACTCTACCGCAACAACATTGGTGAATACCATGTCTAACAACTCGTCTTTGGGTGGCGCTGTGAACAACACCAACAACCAAAAGGACCATACCGGACAGCCACCAGGATCTTCCTCGTCCGCCGCCTCATCCTGTCTATCACGCGCATCGAACCTCGATATCCCTTCCGCCCACAGTCTCCCACCCGCTGTGCGGCCTCGAACTCTTTATCTACCACATACATACCTCACCATACAGCTCTTAGTCCACTACCTCTATACCTCCTCCTTACCTCCCGTTGGCTCTGCCCTCTGCACACCGCAGATACTATGCTCCCTCCTCCAGCTGGCTCGCCCTTACCAAGTAGACGGCCTTCTAGAAGCGACCGTCGAACGCCTCCATCAAGTCCTCGATGGCCGTAATGCTGCTGCCGTCTTTAATGCAGCCGCCATGGCAGCTGGCGGAGGTCGTGGTACTAGCATCTCCAATGCACCCAATCGAACTCTAGGTGTCCTCAATGATGGTCATGGCCATTCCCGTTCCTATTCACGCTCCCATTCCCGCTCTCAGTCGAATGCAGCAGACTACCGTCGGCCGAGCAATGCAACAGACGGTATCACCTCCTTCAACTCCTCAGACGCCGAGTCCATCGACAGACCCAATACCGCTAGCAGCACTGCCTCTGCTTCCAGTGGAACAGCCGGCCGTTCCTCCAGTGCCCAACGGCCTGCTAATCTCCGCATTAATACCAACTTTGGTAACGGAAGAAACCGTTCCGAGTCCACCGATAGCGCCAGCATACCTAATTCCGCGTCCACTAATAACAGTAACGGTGGGATGGGTTATCCTGATTATGAGCTGGCGCAGCATGCCCAACGCGGCCGAAGTAGGAGTGGCCGCGAGATCTGGACAGCCGATATCAGTAGTGTTGTCGGTCTGCAGAAGCGTGGGCTTAGAGGGTTGATGGAAGGGCGACGCATGAGGGAGAGAGGCGCCAGTAGCGCCGATGCCCAGGATAATAATGGCTCTGGAGTTATTCCCGTCAAGATGGGGCTGGGAATTTCGTGATCCTCTTCGAGTCTATCTTTGGTGCTTGATAACGTGCACTTTGATTATAGATTCTTCAACGAATCTATTCGCCATATAGTCTTTTATTTTCTTGTCTGTTTTCCTTATCATATTTATATTTCCCTTTTATATCTTACAGTCTAGGAGTAAAGGGGAAAACAAAACATCCATTCGCATGGAGCAGACCGCGCACTTGACTTTGACGTTGGCCATGATTGTATTGTTCTGGCGTTTTTGAGGGTTTGATTTGCCATGGAATATCTATTTCCATGTGTTTGCAATTTCCTGGTTTACTTTAGATTTTCACTGGTTTTTTTCATATGCTTGCTGGATTACTCATGAGATATGTACGGTTTATTCCTACTTTTAACTGTTAATATTATTTTCTCTCGTACTGCCTCTACTCTTATCTATCAGTTTACTGCCTGGGAAATACAAAGGAATCCTCTATAATCTCATCGTTATACTGTCGAGCTCACACTTACGGCTACATTCTATGGAAGGGGATGCATTGTAAGGACCCGTAAGTCTAAGGGTAAGCTACGAAACTGATAATTGATATTCAAGCCACTTGGCGAATCGAACGGTAGGCAAATCGACTACACGCCAGAACATATGCGCAGCCCATATCGACACAAGTAAACACACAACATACCCGAGTAGCAGGCCAAGACAGAACTGAAAATCACTCTTTCTGCCCATCCACTGCCATATGCACGACATGATCGAGTAACCGAGAGAATGCAGGATAGGACCATGCACGACATATAGGGAGAAAGAGATATGGCCTAGATACTGGGCTAGATGGTTGAGGAAAGGCCGCTGGAGTGTGTGACAGCGGCTTATGCAGAAGACAAGAATGATTGCGCCTATGGACTGGAGAAAGCGGTGCTTTTCAGCGTATGATTTGGGTGTAAAGGTGGAGAGGAAGCGGAAACCCGGGGTATATTCCTGGAATCGGTTGGGACAGGAGGCGATGTAGAGCCCGAGCGAGAAGGCGAGGATGTACATGACTCTAAGGGACAACGGTTGGTGGCATGGGGGTATCTTTTCGACGCTATATTCTGTGCTGTTAGCTTGCGTTGGGAGGAGTGTAGCATGGCCGTGACTGAGTGTAGCCCCGTTGTAGGTGATGTCGAGCTCAGCCATCATCATGCCGGACAAGAAGAGAGCCACGTCCCAGCGGCCCCATCGGATGCAATAGAAGGTCAGAAATGAGACGGATGCCAAACGACACCAGATCCGAAGCAGAGAGGTGCTTAGAAGGACGATGAAAAGAAAGAGGGAGCAGCGAAACTCCACGGGAATTGTCCACAAGTGCGGGTTATAGGCGTTATAATACAGATTCCAGTTCCACGGATCTACGAGATGAACGGCGGCAAGATACGCATCCCATATCTGCTCTTTGCAAGTGAGGAAAATGGGGGGGTGTTCCTCGTCGGTGCCTGTGATCGTCCGTCCCTCCTGGCGGACCCATTCGGAGTAATCGTAGACACCCAGACGGACGGCCAAGGTAATGAAGAGAATGGAGACGATTGCGGGTATAAAGAGTCGAAAGGCTCGACGAAAGGTAGAGGAAGCAAGAGAGCGGAAGGCCTGCTCCCATGAACGGGTTCGCAGCAGCTTCAAGCTCTTGTACGAGAGCACGTATCCGGACAGCACGAAAAAGACAGCCACCATGGCATGGCCTGATATCAACAGATGGACGACGGGCAGCTGGAGGACGTTCCGGTTCCTGTGCGCGAATCCCCAGCCTACCATCGACTTGTTGGTGTATGTGAAGAGAAAGTGGAAGTTGAAGACGAGAAGACAGGCCCATCCTCTGAGGCCGTCGAGAGCAGCAGACGCACCCTCTCGCGGGGAGACAGGCCCGTTGGCAGACATGATTCATGCAGGCCAAGCCAACCCGCGTAGGAAGCAACCTGGTTTGTTCGTGGCTGATATCCAGGGGATGGTCCAGGGGAGGTCCAAGGGGATGTCCAGGCAGGATCAAGCGACGGACGAACACGAAGCCGAAGCAGTATGTCCAGGTATAAAATAGACGACCCAGACGCATCACCAAACGTCATCTGCAGTATATTATTGCATACTGCTCCGTATACTCCGTACTATCCTCAGTCTGAGCCTGGTGATAAAGAGCCGGTCTTGATGTGAATGTCTTAGTCTGCGGGCCGTATCCTTCTGGAGATCCCTGCGGCAACAAAGAGAGACTGACGTGTTTCCTGCGAGCCCAGGAGATATTCTCAAAGAACAGACGGCCTCCTAGTTTCTCCTGTCTTCCCGTCTTCCTGTCTTCTTTCCTGGCTCCCCTGAATCGAGCAACCCAGGGCGACGGACGAGGTCTCGAGGCTGTGCAAGATACGAGACCGGACGTGAAGCTCGATGACTGGACTGCCTTGACTCGGATGCTGAGGTCTTAATAGACTGCTAATAAACAGTTAATAAACAGTAATAGAGAGAGTAATAGATAGTAGAGCTGGTAAGTTGCACGGCGTATAAAGGGCTTCATATAGCCCAAACGTCATAACCTTCTCTCTATTCTTTTCATCTTTTCACTTATTCTCTTATTCTCTTCTCCTCGTCTCGTCTCGTTATTCTCCTTCATCTGGTCTCGTCTTCTCCTCGATGTTGTCTTGTTGTGTGGATGAACCGGAAAAAGTAAAGTCTCCCGATGTCTTCTAGAAGTCGAACTTCTGCGATATTCAATATCTACACTCGACCGCGCGCGCACCCAGGACCACGACATGACGCTTCCTCGCACCTGAACCCACGGCCTCTCGATATCCAGACGCGATGGACCTGAAGACCATCATCAACTCCGACACAGCCGTGGGCGCCGCGCGGAGCTCGAGCTCGCAGCCCGCAAACCTCCAGCATCACCACCAGCAGCAGCATCACCACCAGCACCACCAGCAACACCAGCGGCCTCCCAGCCAGCCGCTCTCTATACACCAGGGACCAGACGGCGACTCGCCTCTACGCAGCAGCGGCTTCCGCGACGACGGAGCCCAGCACCCTGAATATGGCGGAGGAGGAGGATCAGGACGCCCGTCGCAACCGCATCCGCTGCAGCCTCCTCTACAGTCTCCCAAGCGCATCCCGTCGTATATCAGCACGCCGGCCCAGTCGCCGTACCAGCAGGCACCGCTGGCATCGATTCTGACGGGCAGAGAGGCCCTCGGGGAGCGCGCAAACAGCGTCCTGGCCGGCCAGCGAGACCCCTTCCCAGCCCCAACCTCGCTGCCTCCGCCGGCTGCAGTCTCTCTCTCCTCGCCCTTTACGCCGCAGCCGACGAGCGCCGGCACGCAGCATTCGTACTTCTCGCAGCCGCGCTCGCTGTCCATCCATTCGGCCGCCTCGCCGTCCTCGGTGCGCAGCCTGTCCTATCCCTCTGGCCGCGAGCCTCCAGGCCAGGCACCACCATATTCGCCCGGCCAGCATCAACTACAGCTACAGCAGCAGCAGCAACAGCAACAACAGCAGCAACAGCAACAACTTCAGCAGCAGCAGCAGAGGTCGCAGCCTGGGACTCCTCTGGCTCCTCCATCGAGCTCCTACCGTCGACCTTCGCCTCATCCGGTCCGCCCTCCGTCTTCGGGACATGAGGCTCCCCTGTCAGCTCGCCTCGGGAGCCCTTGGGGAAGCCAGGATGCCTCTGCAGGCGGACAGAGAGACGGAGTGTCTCCAACGGTGCATACTCCCCTTTCACGGCATAATTCAGTAGCTACAGAGTCCTATCCGCGGCAATATTCCATGGAACGGGAAAAGGAACAGCATCTAGACAGTGTCAGCCCAAAGACAATTGTCTCCCAGCAGGGAGCGAGCCAGTATGGTGAGAGCAGTAACAGCAGCAGCAACAATGCCATCAATTTGCCTAACCACCCCGTGCAAACTCCGCATAAAGATACTGAAATGAGCCAGCAAACAAACTACTCTGCTATGGAAAGTTCACATCTCACTCATGGTACAGGTCGTACAGCTCAGGCTTTGTATCCTCCATCCACTCCTCAGGCAGCTTCACATCCTTCGGCTTCTCTCAGCCATATCATCACAACCACCGGCTCGCCCACAAGCCACCGCGCGGTCAAGGAAATATCTCCTACGCACCAACACACTCCCTCGAAACCTTACAATAACATCAACAGCAGCAACAGCAACAACAACAGCCTGTCTGCTGCCTCCTCGTCTTCAGACCGTGCGCCCATGTGCCCTCCTCGGAAGAAACGCAAGAGATACACTCAACCGCCTATATTTGCCTGCAAGGCCCCGAGAACCACCGGCAGTCCTCCCCCAATACCGCCCAAGTCCAGCCAATTTCAGTCCCAATCTCAGTCTCAGTCTCAGCCTCCGCCTCCGTTTTTCCCGGGAAAACGTCCGTTGCCGAAGCACGAGAATGCTGACAGCTATATCACGCCAGATTCCAGCAGCACCTCACTTCCTCCGCGACCGTCCCAGCCGATGAAGGAGGACGAGACGGCCGTCAATGGCAATGCTGTCAAAGAACCGGCCGCAGACAGCCCTCTTGGACCCTGGGAGCCGTCGGTAACGAACGTCATACCGTTTGAAGAGGTTACCAAGATGATATGTGACTTTTTGTTTCAGCAAGTCGTTATGCGGAAGGACATCGGAGCCGGTCCTGCTGGAGGTGTAGCTGTTGGGTCCGGCGCCATTCTCGAGGTCGAGGCCAAACTTGGCCGGCTGGTCGATAAAAATCGAGGCGAGAGGCTTCGTCTTCCCGTCCTCACCGAATGCGTGATCAGCAAGGATGACCCGAATCTCAGGCTGGCCTTTGAAAGCTCCATGTCACAGGTAATCAATATCCCATAAGCACTTCATCGATTGTTGTATTCTTTTTTTTTCTAACCCAATTCCAACTGAATATAGGCCCAACACCGCGCAATGAACAATTTTCTCAACGAGACGGTCAAAACATCTATATCCCAAGGATCAGCACGCATCCCGCTCGCATACGCACACAAGCGTGAACGCGATACATTTTACGAAATCTCTGCCGCAGACCTACCGCCCATCGTCCAACATCATCTACACCCACGGCACAAGCCCAAAGTGCGCGTAACCACCGACGTCCGCACCGGAGCCGTGCTGGCTCGCATAGTCAAATGCCGTATCGCCGACCTCGATGTGTACAGTCCTCGCACTTGTCTCGACTGGCGTATTAGCGTTAACCTGGAAATGAACTACGAAGGAGACTCTAGCAAGCTCCAACAAGCGAATGACTGGAAACGAGGCGGAGATCGGAATAAAGACCGTATGAGTTATAGACATCTTGCATACCAGATTGATCTAACTCAGGTCGGAACATCTGACGTACGTCCTGCCTGCCCTGCCCTGATGGGTGATAAACAACTAACAAACCTTCTACAGAGCGCTCCATCGGACTTTGAGCATGAACTTGAAATCGAGATATCCTCCGCCGAGATCAGACGGCAGGGCGACCTTGCTCTATCCGGCGATATGAGCAACCGGTACGAAGAGCTGATCAAGGGCTTCGTGGATAATATTCGAGTTCTAGCGCGAGCTGTGCCGGGCTAAGTAGACGATGCCAGACATACAGTCAGTCGAAAGGGAAAAAAGGAAAAAAAAACGAGAGGGTGGCCTCTTTGAGCTCGTTCAAATTATTAATTCTCCCCATTGTTTTTTTTATGACATTATTAATTTGATACCATGCAGGTTTGCATTCATTAGCTTTGTATTATTTCCTACCTTTGGTGCTTTCTCTGCCATTCTGGGGCAAGGCCTTTGCGAAAAACTGTTTATATCCCCTAGTTACTTTTATAGAAGACATTTTTGACACGAAAATCTATAGCATTTACGTATGTTGCGTAGACCTTCATAATCGTATATTCATTCGACTCGTAGGATCAAAAACTATATATATCACGCTGCCCCTCTCCATTAATGTTTATTTAGATTGGGCATTTATGAGCCAGGGGTTGCTTTTTCTCTCATCTCTCTTCTTCGGATCCACCGCACACAGGGAAAAAGCAAGGAAAGAGAGAAAGAAAGAGAAAAGAGGAGGAAGAGATGTGACTATGTTGGTAGGAGTAGCCAGCCATATGCGCCTAAGAAAGATCGTAGCGTAGGGCAATGGAGGGAGGTAAAGCCCAAGCCAACATGAAAAACAAAGTGCGAGATGTAGCAGTAGTTAGACATAAAAGTAACCCCTTGCGTTTTTTTCGTTTCCACAGTTCCAAGGGGAATGAATCGGACATCGAGGTAAGATGGCATTGAGATAGATGAAATGACCAAAAGCAAATTTAAATCACCAAATAGCCAATGGCACATGACTGGAAGGGGGAAACTATGCCAGCCGATGGATGGATGCATGGTTGGGAATGCAATAACTCTTGGGATAGGGTTAAATAGAAACTCCCCATAGACCTCTTCCGCCGCATACCCCGAGCCAATCCCTCCCTGGTCCAGTGGCCGGGATATGAGGTGCCCAACTGATATTCGACACCTCGTAATCACAGCGCCATGCAGCAGCAGGCCCTCGTTCAAGCGTCGACGGACCACTACTGGTGCCACCGCTATTCCCACCTGCGTGAAGCGGCTGTGGCTGCTGCGGAGGGATTGGCAACGCAGCTGCGTTATTTTGGTTGATGAGATCCCAGATTAGAACCAGCGAGTCGTCCGCACCAGTGGCTATGGTCCCGCGACGAGATGGAGACCACTCCATGCAGTTGATCGAGGCGGCATGGCCTTTTAGTTCCAGTAGTGCTTGACCGGGTTGTCGGACGTCGAGGACACGGATAATATTGGAGTCCTGGGCAAATGTTGCCAGTAGATGGGCGTCATGTGGCGATGCTGTGTGGGAAATCATTAGATTATCTGGAATTGTCGTGGCGGAATACTTATAAAAACATACCTGCAATACGTTGTAGAGGTGGAGGCCATACGGTGGAATGGCCGGGTGAGAGGTCTCCTGGACTCCCTAGAAAATGAATTATTAGCAATTTGGTACCTATGGGTGTAGGGTAAAAAACGTACCCTTTTCATGTTTTTCCGATGGCTCATAGATAATGGTACTATGTTCCAAACTTCTCAAATCAAACATTCTCACACTTCCGTCTGCACCGCAGCTAACAAAGACATCCACGCTGTTTGCACAAAACCGCACATCATACACCTCTTTATCATGGGCGATGAGTTGCGTCTTTGCAGTCAGGGTGGGTATATCCCATATGGTACACGTAGTATCGATACTCGAGGTGATGATCAAGCTCGGGGAGACGGCATTCCAGTCTAGCGATGTTATAGGAGCTGTGTGTTCGGGGGTCTTGGAATTAGAAAGGAGGGCAAGGGGCGAGAGCTTTTGTAGTGGTGGCGGGCTCCTGTTACTGGTGCTCATTCGGTTGATGGAATTGTTACCGTAGTATTGGCTCTGATTGGGATTTGAGGGCAACGACCAAAGACGGAGATGGTCGCCAGAGGTGGCTAGAAGGTCTGTCGACTGTTTCTGGGACGATGGAGGTTCCCATAGGATACGAGTAACTGGGTATGAGTGGGTTGCTTCCGCGGTCTTTACGAACTCCAAACCGGGGTCGTTATCCGGGTCGTTGTAGTCTCGCTCGGCGGTTTGCGCATGGAGAATTTGGATCTAGACGTTAAACCGAACCATCAGTATCAGAGTTATCAGTTATGGCCGTTACGGGACTATACATAATTGTGGGTGTCTTCGAGGTAGCTCCCGAGGGCAATCTTCCCCGCAGAATTGGTATTTGGCGCAGCAGGCCATTTGCACCAATCCAGCGCGTACAGCCCCCAAGGAGCGAGATAGTTGCTATTTTTTGGCGTCTGCATATCCCCGTTGTTCATGGCCGACGAGGAGGCCGAGTCGTCTACCCTGGCCAGATCCATATGCGGGCGTATGTCTGCCAGCCCAAGCGGTGAATACGGCGTGGTCGACTGTCCGGCGGACGGCGGAGACATCATATTGCTGGGTTGGTGGTATCGTTGCTGGTCGATTCCGGGGCTGGAGGGGTACGACTGCAGCTGGTTGAGGGACGACTGTTTCGACGGTGTCATCGGCACCGCTAGCTGCGAGGGCACCCCGGAGGAAGAGTTGAGCGTAGAAGACGGTCCCTGGCGGCTAGCAGGACCAGGCTGTAGGGCGCCCGGTAGAGCATTATTTCCAGCGTTGCTGTTGGGGAACTGCTGGTGCTGCTGCTGCTGCTGGGAGCCCGATTGCTGCTGGATGCTCAGCAACGAGGGCAAGTTGGGATTATGCTGATCCTGTCGCGGTTCGTTCTGCGGTATCGAGGCGTTTCCTGAGGGCATATGCAGCTCCTCTGGCTGCCGTGGAAACGTAGGCGCTCTGCGGGGGCCGTCGAATGGTATACTAGGCTCGGCCATGGCTGGGATGGGTTGGGCACGAATACCGAGTGTCTCCGGCCCCTAGATCTGGCGTCTTCGTCCTCGTCTTCGTCCTCGTCTTCGTCCTCGTCCTTGTCTTCTGTTCAGACGCTGGCCAGCACGTACGGCGCGGATTCGTTGTTCGGCTGCGAGGATGCGGGCATTGGAGTCGCCGCGGGAGCTGAGATGAGAGGGACGGCGGGCAACGGAGGGCGTCTCGAGATGCAGACGGGTCAGCGCATGAACCCTGGCTGTGTAGACGCTCCGACGCCTGCTGCAGACGTATATCAAGTCGTGTTGCCAGCTGGAAGTCGGTCGTCTTGCCGGCTGTCTCGGTCTGTTTCTTCCATCTCGTCGTTTTGCCCGCTTTGGGCTTACGCTGACTAAGATATCTACAGACGAGAAGAGAAGAGACAGAAGACAAGAAGAGACAAGACAAGAATAAGACAAGAGAGAGAAGATGGCATCACTTCACCATGAAGCTCTGCTGCTGCTCACAAATACCCCGGCCTCGTTCTCAGCGCTGAAGACGGTCCACGGCTCTACGCTGAAGACGGTGGTGTCAGAGCTGGCGGCTGCTATAAAAGACGGGACTGCAGAAGATGGACATGATATAAAAGACGGACAGTCGGCAGTGGCAGTGCTGGACGTTGCGGTCGTCGTTCGAGGTCTGAATCCTGCTGGAGAGAAACCGTTTGCCCGGCTGCAGCAGTTCCTGGCGAGTTTCTACAAGCTGCTCGGCGCCGTCAGCGTCTCTGTCTCTGCTGAGCTGGATGGACCTGGCGGCATCGATGCGAGAGTCTTCTTTCTAGACGTCGAGTCTCAGATACCACATCCCTATGGTCCGATCATCGACGTGAAGAGCTTCCTGGCCTCGAACCGATCCTGGGATACTGTATACGCCTCGGCGGATGGGAGTGCGAGCAGGCTTGCCGCCATGCTCAACGGCAGCATGGCTACTGATATTCGCAAACTGCCAGGACCAGGAGGAGACGAACAGCCGGAAGGTCTGCTCTTGGATTATGATGCATCACAGCTGGCTGTTCCGCACTATTCTGTGGCCGTTGGCGGGACGTTTGACCACCTACACGCCGGGCACAAGCTACTTCTTACTGCAACAGTACTCGCCTTGGATACGTGCTCGCCTCAGCCTGCCCGGAGCTGCGGAAGAGTTGTCACGATTGGTATAACCGGCGACGAGCTGCTGGTGAACAAGAAATATGCAGAATTCTTGGAGTCCTGGGAAGAACGGTGGAAGGGTGTCTGGACGTTCCTTCAGTCGACCATGAATTTCTCCGCTGCCAGAGAAGCTGACATCAAGCGCGAGTTCGAGCCTGGCCCCAATGGAAGACGGGTCATCGTCTCGCTTTACCCGGATCTAGAACTCAGGTTCGTCCAGATTGCCGACCCCTTTGGCCCTACTATTACCGACAAGGATATTACGGCCTTGGTCGTGTCCAAGGAAACACGATCTGGCGGGAAAGCTGTCAACGACGAGAGAGAGAAGAAGGGATGGTCGAAGCTTGACGTCTTCGAGGTCGATGTCCTAGATGCTGGCGATGGTACGTCTGTGTCGGAAGATAGCTTCGAGTCCAAGATATCCAGCACTGAGATCAGGCGCCGGCGTATGAACCTAGCTAAAGGCAGTCTCTAAAGGTATACAGCTACTCCGTCACATCAGCTAATACTACTTCTGATTTTTTTTTTTTCTTCTTCTTCTTTTCCTTCTCGAAGAGCAATTGGACGGCTCCTGATAACAGCGCATACTCCCTGTACATACCATACCATACCTACTTGCCATGATCATGCACCTGGGAAAGTAAATCCTCGCCTCCTTTCTTACCCCCTTGTTTTCTCGCGGAACTTCCCTTGCATAGTCAAACCACCCCTCCTCCCCAGCCGAAGACGTAACCCATCCATCCAAACCAAAGGCTACATTAACTACTGGCCCACGTATACCAGGAGTTATTATTATCATGATATTGCCAGCATGTCCTTTACATACACCACCCTCCAAGGTTACCATGCAGGGGGCCAAACTGCGTTGTAACCCGTTCAAAGATAAGCTTTGTGGCAGCAAATCGATTTCACATCGGAAGTTATCCATATGTTCGTTTGGCGCTCGGAGTTCAACTCACTGCTTGATTCCGCGGACTGGAAGATCCAATTGGCCCTGTTCGAGGGGCTCGTTTGTTGTGCCGGTGCTTTATCGCGGCACCGGATGGTGGCTATGAGCAAATTAATGCACATCTTCCACCAGCTGTTCCCATCCCTGTAGCTAATTGCATTGGTCTAGGTGTAGGAACGATACGGTTGCCTGACTGATAGCGTGGAAGTAACACCCAATTTAGAGGGTATATCCATCATATATGTGCCCAGAGTATTAGTTACGAAGTCGTCTTCTAGCAGATATTCAGAGGCCACGTTGCTCTTCGTTGAATGATGCTATACATGTACACTGGCAGTGGGTTTCGATATGGTTTGTCCACATCACTTCTTTTTTGCAGACCCAGGTACATACACACAACACACATTTGGTGGGGGCCAGGACACGTCTAGCATGACTCGGGTAACTGCGGCACGAACCAACCATACGTAATTGAGGCTAAGTCGTCCTGTATATCGAAGTATATCGGGATAGACCCTGATATATAACAAGCCTCGGGCCGATATAGGGAGAGATATCCCACCTCCAGTTCGTTCGTTGTCGAAAGAAAGAATAAAACACTCTGATGATGCTACTTGCACTGGCCGCCTGCAATGAACTGGGTGTCATAGCTCGAGGAATCGCCCGTTGATAGCAGCATGGGTCGCTGTGCAATATAGGCAAATATTCGCGGCTCGAGGCCGTTGTCCCATGCAGCATTTCACAAATGAGCTTGGTTAACACGAAGCGACATCAGGGTCCACAATTGTTTCTTTAAAAGGAGAATACCACTTGCGAATTGTACTCCGTATTGGGCGCTAGACATACTTCGTGTATTGATGTTAGTGAAGTACGTTAATGCATGCGGGGCAAGACTGAAGGTGAAATTTCTCTTCAACTGTCCTTGGCGTGGTGTAGGCTGTACAGGCGTCTGTAGTTCATGTATTGCTTGTCGCTTAATTGTCTGATAGGGAGGGCGTCCGCTAAATCTGTCGCCATATGAGTTATATATCTGACGCCCTAACTTTAAGAATCAATGGCAATCGCATATACCAATAGAATTCTCTGATCCGTTGGACATAATCGCACCTTGACGCTGTTAAGCATCAGAGCCTGTCGCAGGGTATTCCTAGGCCCGAACCGCCAGGGACTGACAGAAAACTAGGAGCCAGCAAAAGCGTATCCCAACTCTGCAGGACGGCCGCCAGTAACATGGGTAAAACATACTCCGCCGTATCTGCATGGGAAATCGATTTCGAGCGGCTGGTATAAAAAGGAGCTGGGCAAACAAGACATACCAAAGTTTCGTTACAAGGCGCTAACGGCAGGAGAGATGCATATCCCATGGGACAGGAAACGGGATAGAATAGGTAAATTGAGGTACATCACTAGCTCGGCAGGGGCAGCAATAACGTTGTATAACGGCTGCTGGTTCGAGATTGTGCAACCATGTCAATGATTTCTCAGAAAGGGGTAAAATAAGGGGGGAGGTACGTAAAGAGAGAATTTAGTATCAAATTATGCTTACCTTTACCTACTGCAGGCAAGGATAATGGGTCTAAGAAGAGTTGACATCTAGTCGTTCCCGAAGCAAAATCATAAATCGCGCTGGTGGGTGGCTGGGAGGCCCTAGGTTATCGTTTTAAGTAAGCGCTGTGCCTATACAGGGATGCTGTCAGGCCACAAGGATGATACCGGAGGCGGTTTAACTGGCACACTTCCTCACAAAATCTGCAGGAATGGACGTAAGGTCAAGCACCAGGGTCTTGCTCTGCCAGATGGCCCCATGTGCGGTAGACTTGGGGAGGTAAATAGTGGCCATACATGCCGTGCTACACAACCATGAACGACGAGTGTGGTGTGTAAAGGCAAAGATGACGGTATATCTCACACGACATATCACCGGAGATGGCGGGGGTTAGAGGAGGACATAGCATTCCCCGGGGGGTATAGCTAGGGGTGGCGAGCCGGGGGTAGGCTGGGAGGAATTGATGGAGAGACGGGTTCGCACTTGCCCGGCAACATACACGGACATGCATTGTGAAGAGGCAGTGCCAGCGTACACGGAGTACCCTCCATCATCCTGTGGGATGTATCAACGCTCGTGATATGAGCCAAACGCCAGGGACAATTGTGCCCATACTGCTTGTCATTTGCTCTTGCATGCTATCTGTGCAACCCCACTTTATCTCTCTCTCCATCTCTTTCTCTCTACCCTTGAGAGAACCCTTGCCGTCCAGCTCTTATTCGCCTTCGAAGAGTCGCTGTCCAGTGGGCAGTGGATTGGGGCAGGAATTCCGAAGGTACTTGTCTGCCAGGCCATTCGCTGCTCGCCAAAACACGTGTTCCGCTCTGGGAGCGTTAGTCCTGAGCTGAGGACATAAATAGCAGCCACAGGGCTAGAGTAGAGACTGCATTGCAGCAGGATAGATCGTTGGTATATATGTGCTCCGTGTGGTGACGGCGGTTATTGGCTGGGGTTGCAGCTGTTAATGTGTCAACGTCAATCCACAAGCTGATCGAATGAGACGCGCACGACAGATCGTCTAAGAGCGAATCTCGAGGCTGCGTAGAGGCCAGCTCATATACGGCGTGTGGTATCGATCATCAGCCATATCTGGTCTATCGTTCACTCGACTCAAGTATCTTGCTGCCAGTAGCACTCTTGTCTGATATACGCATAACGTATATGTAACGTTGATCTGATGTTGTAATGTATAATGTGATCTGATGCTATAACGTATAATGTGATCTGATGCTGTAATGTATATGTTGATCAGAATGCTATAACGTATGGTTGTCCGATGCTATAACGTCTGGTTGTCCGATGCTATAAAGTGATGTTGTCCATGCTACGAGATGTAGTGGATGAAACAGTGACCGCCTTCCGCAAGGGGACGCCGCGGTTCTGCCAGACGACGACGTCCTATCTTCCACAAACCATCATCCATGCTATCAAACAGCATCAAGCATCCATTTTACGAGCGACAAACACCAGACAATGTATAGTTTCCCTTTCTCACGTGGCAGCTGGCGCTAACAGAAACGCTTCTACTCCGTATATCCCTATCCGATGGCGCATCCCCCAATCCCACCCCCAGTGGCGTCGTTCCAGGCCAAACCCGGCCAAGGGTCTTGTTTCTGAGACCCCGGCCTGCTCCCAGTCTCTGTTCGGCTCAAATGCCGTCGTGATTCGTCTGATCCAGGTGAAATTGCCAGCGGGGATGTCTGCCGTTGCAGGAGTTATCTTACTTGTGCGTCGGCCAGGGATCGAGCTGTGCAGAAGCCCAACACGAGAGGTGCAGAAGCTCCAAGGCAACATGAAGGTTCCCTCAAAGACGATTCGTCCGCTACAGCCGCGCCACAACTTCTGCTGTGCCTGTCCCCTCTCTGCTCGTTCACGATTCGCAGCGGCCCGCCCTGCTGCCGCTGCTGGCTGGGGATCTGCTGGTAGCTTTTTTGGTCATGTGACCTGATGGTGGGCGAGGGACGTCGTGGATTGGGCCAGCGAGTCCTCCCTTTCTCCCGCCTGCCCTACGTGCAGACGACATGCAGAAGTGAAGGAAAACACCCGAAAAGTGGAAATACACAGCACGAAAAGTAAAAAAGAACCAGACGGGAAAAAGAAACGAAAGAAAAAGTAAAGGGGAGCCCTGTCCGATCATGCACACGTTTGTCAATCCTACTTGACAATGGGGCCAGGAGTGAAGGTGTCGCTTGGAATTGTTCTGTTTTATATCCTGCGTCTCGCCCTGCCAACCGCCGTCCTTGCGATTGTAACCCGTCTACCCAGCTGAAACGGCGCATATAACGTCTCTGCATTCTTGACCGTCTCCGTTCAACTATCATTTATCTATATATATCGATGCCAATTACTCCCGTACATCGTTGCTGCAGTGTTCTGAGCCCGTTCCACGCCCACTCCCTCTACCCCCTATAGAGGCACTGTGATCGTGTGCCCGGGGATCAATCTCGTGATTCCATTCAGTGCCATATGACCCGCTACCCAACCCCCTTAACCTTTAACAGTTGATTCCTCTCATTGCCAAACCTGGTTCGGTGGCTCAGTTGATATACTCTTATCTTTTTTCCTTTGCGGCTAGTCTTGAACTTCACCTCCATAGCGAGCTGATGACCAGAAACTCGATACGGGTTTTGAAGTGGTAGTACAGCCGCTGGTAAAGGGGGGACGTGAAGTGCAAGACGGAACGATGAACAACGAACCCCAAGGGATTCTGCGCCTTTCGAATGAGCTGCTGAAAGAGATACTGGATCACCTGGCGAGGGACCCGGAAAAGTGCACTAGCATCGACCATCGTGCTTACCTTTCTTTCGAGAGTCTTAGGAGACCAAGTCAACCGGATCCCCCGCGTTTATGGCTGGAGGGCAAAAATGGGTACCATGAAGATCTTCGCAGCGACGTTGACCGGTTCCGAGAGGTCTGCAAGCGGTTTTCAGACATTGGTGCGGCCCATAAGTTTAGTCGGGTAGTCGTCCGGTTTTCTGAGGCTGCATTTAAAAGGCTTGACAAGCTATCAAGTATCCCGCACCTGGCGAGACATGCGAGGACCTTCACGTACATCATCCGGTCATTCTATGTAGAAGGTAAATACAAATTCCTACCCCTTGCTTGTATTTTGAATTTATCATGGCTTCCTCATACAGAAGTGCTTACGAATATCTATTTGACAGGGCGAGACAATATACCTCAGTTACTTTCAACAGCCGATTCAAGCAAGCTCAATCTTGCTGAACACATCCAGCGCCTGGAAGAGCAGAAAAGATTAGTTACATCAAATGAGGATCTACATTCCTTAATACGCGCAATGAAATCATTCACAGCACTTCAGCATGTGAAAATTCTGAGGGTTCAAGATGAAGCCGAGCGTGATTTGCGGTCATTTATTGATAGACACGACAACCCATTAGACCCATTGGTAGTGGTTGACTGGAACCCCGCATGTGTTCGTGCAATTCAAAACGTTGGCCTAGCGCTTTTAGAGGCCGGATCCCCCGCCAATCGCTTCTCAGGACCACAGATAAATCCACAGGCCACTCTTACCCTGAAAAGGGCCCCCATGCCGCTTCTTTCGACCCTTGCAACGAAGCTGACTTGCTTGGAGATCCATTTCGATGCCATGCGATATGTAAATGCAGAGATGAGAGAACTCTCGGAAGTTTTTAAAACTTTGTTTACAGCGGCCAAAAATATGGAGGCCATTCACCTGGGATTTCCCTCCAGGTTGCCATTAGATCTCCGTCTGGAAGATATATTCCACAACGTTCACTGGGAAAGGCTCCGTGCATTTGGGATTCAGGCTTGGAGACTCGACTCTGAGGAGATTATTAACTTTGCACGCCGTCACCGCAGGTCTCTCCGCGGCCTCCGCCTCCGGGATGTCCTCTTAAAGGAAGGGAGTATGTGGAAAGATATTTTATCCATGCTCCATGACGAAATGGAGAATCTGGAATGGGTCAGCTTACGGCGGATTGACTACTCGAATGCATTCGATGAAAAATGGGCCACTAGTGCGGACATATCAGATATCCAATCATTCCCGAATTCAGACAGTGACGATGATGACATGTTTGAACCATATGTCCCAGGAAATTACCATAACATAAATGGTGAGGATGAAGATGATAATACCAGTCTCGGCGACGAGTCAGACGGCCTAAGTTCACATAACGGCGATGTTGGACCTAGGGCAAACCAAATAGAGTTAATGCCGGACAACTCCTTATCTGCGCCGTTGATTTTACCCCCTTTCACGAACCAGTGGGAGGTATTAAGCTCTATCCCAGCCGAAGACCTCGAGGACGACGGTAGAACCGTGGATTACAGGCAACGGAAAATCTGGGAAGCTTGGGTTATCGCCAAATCGAGATTCGCTTCCGGCCAAGACAGGTACAGTTAACCATTTCTCTTTCGTCCGGCGGTACGTGATTAAAGGGGCCTTATTTATGTCCAGGAACCTTCACCACTTTCGTTCCTGGATACTTTACATTTCGACCTAAACTTCGTTCATACTGGCTTATTCGTCGCTTCTACTCCTTTTCACGTCTGCTTGCGCGTTTGCTTTCTTCCCCTTGGCTTTTGGCCAACATAAAAAACGCTTTGACTTTTGTATTTTGATTTTTTGACTTGTGTTTTTGGGTGGGGAAAACTCGACCTGATTGATGATGCTACGTATTTATGTCTGCTTCAGCTACGACGAACTATGAAACTATGAGCAATGAACAATTTAATCCCTCGGCCTTATGATAATTTTTTACTTCCCCCCTATAAGTTACACTAACGCATTGTAACCGTAAGCTCTAAGCAATACTAAATTGAACGTAGTTATACGGCAGTTATTGGGGCCAAAGAGAATAGGTAAACAGTTTATAAACATACCTCTAACTCGGCCACTATACTTACACTGACGATAAACATCATCTGAAATTCTCCAATAAGAAAGTATGTTACATTGGAATGTCATTATAATCTGCCTTTCTTACCAGGCCATCCACGCAAGTATGTATAGGGAATTTGAACGATAGGTATACCTCATACACCGAGAGTGCTCCTATGAAATCCACCACTCCATCTCCAAGTTTATCCACATCATGACTAGGTCGATCATTCTTGTTATGCCGACGAAGAGGACTAGATCTACCTGGTTGTTCGTCCAAAAAAAAGAGGAGGGGGGGGGGGGGGGGGGGGGGGCGCAAGGCTCATTTGCTGGTTGGGAGTTACCAGAGGGCCATGGTGCCACCACACTGTTTATATGAGTGGCAATATAGTTAATTCCTCTAGTATATCGACAGGTTCAATCCGCTGCAGTGAATATCCGCATTGTCCGGCTGGGTATTCCAAAAGTTCTAAGTATCTCGGATCTCCCAAACCATCGAGGAATGCGCAGAGAGCGTAACATTCGATCTGTGCTCTTGGATAAATAAACCAAGCAGGTTGTTCACACAACTTTCCCAGCCAGTAGGCAAGTACAATCAAGGCTCTGGGGTCTTTTGCAAGTAATATGTTTGTATAATCTGGCAAGAGTCTTCCCATAAAACCCAGGATCTTGGTAAAATTTTGGCGATTGGGTTCAAGTTTGAGGATTGGAGTGAGCATTCTCAGTGGCCAGTGGCAGGGATTATCATCCTCGGTGGTTGTTTCGGTAATCCCGCAGATTTCAGCGAGTTTTGGATGTAAACCTTCGTTGCCTGGCCTCTGATCGCCAAATATTTCCTCGTCAGAGGATTCCATAAAGACCTTGTACCAGATGCTATGTTCAAGGTAGCGGCCAACATGCATGAGAAGGAAGCGTAGTCCACCTTGGATCAAAAGCCAGTTGAGATCTGCAGGATTGTTCGAGAATACCCAGGATTTCGTATAATCGGGATCAGCCCCTAGAAACGTGATACTGCCCATAAACATGCAGGTAGACATTAAGCCATCCATGTTATGGATACCAATGCTTGTTTGGATCTCCTTTTGGTACAGCCTAATGGTTTGTTGCCAATGGTATGCGTGCAGAACCTTGTAGGAGTAGTCGCCCGGGGTCTTGTCAGATACAGCGGTGGCCCCAATCCCAAGGATGGCATGCATAAGATACGGCGTCTTATACCACAACGTTAGCGAGCCGGTTCCACCTAACTACAGACGATGGGTGAGAGAACTAACCTTGAAAGCTAACGGTACCATCTTCGTTGCCACAACTGCAAGCCCGTCTTCGGAGAATGGGGCCACGTCAGAGTTTATATTGAGGAATTGGTGAAAAGCAATTACTGATTTTGAATCAGCACTTAGTGGTTGGATCTTAGTCTTAGAGCCTAGCTGGAGGGAATAGGTGAGTCGAGCGGCAAGATCTGCCCTTGACATGGAATGGAGGACAGAATCTATGACATTATCCTGGACTTCGGTGTCGTATATTGGACTACATGATGCTGCCTTGGCAGGTACTAGGGCTTGATGGTCCAAATAATCGCAAGTGATGCCATAGGCCTCGCATCTCTGGCAATGTGGCTTCGTTTCATCGCACTAGATAGGCCCTGGCGGTTAGCAATCCCTGGACTCAAACCCTGCACCCGCCCCAAAGTTGTTCGATGTGCATGTGCATGGCGGCTTAAAGGCGATTTACCTTGACCCTGCGCTTCTTGCAGTTGCCACACCCGGCTCTAGACTTCCGATGCGACTTTCGAGAATTGTAGGGCTGCCCGGTTGATTGGTCACTGCCAGATGAAGCTGCCGGACGCCGTTGAGCGCGCTTTGGAGCTGTACAGTTTTTTATGCGAAAAACCACCTGGTTGCCGATTTTTCGAGATCGTGTCACCAGAACCCCATTCTGCTTGCTCTCGTTATTATGATGGGTATTACAGAATTCAGGTGAAGACGATGAATGCCGCATATCGTTACGTAGCATTGCGTTTTCAGGGGGGAGAGTCTTTTGAAGAGAAGACGAACTATACGACCAAACTCCCGATTAGGAATCGTCAGGATGCAGTCTATGCGAGAAGATCTGGTCGGTAGTCCCAGACAGCGTCGAATATATAGAGTCCACCGTTTCTTATCCCGACACACTGAACGACCGCTAGGCTCATCGTTCCCGGCATGCGCCCCGGCAGCGAGGCAGTGTTTCATGCGCCTTTTGATGTCGAAGAATTGAACGACCAGAAGAATACGGGGTCAGCGCTAAGCCCAACCAGGCAATTCTTCGTGTTTTTTTTTTTTTTTGGCTGTAGTTGATGACATAAGCTGAGGCTCAGCCAGGCATAAAAAGGTTGGTTGGACAGTTTTTATATAAGAAACAGGACAGGCTGAAGAGCGGATGGGGCGCTGATTGCGTGTTTGTGCCCCGAAGACGATGATGGATGGGGGGAATGTTGCAGCCTGGAAGAGCGTGGCCCCGTGAGAAAGGTACATGTCATTTCTAGAATCGTACTATACAAAAGGCGAAGCATATAATGGGAACATGATGGTGATACACAGCATACCCTTGGAAGATAAAGGTGGCTTAGGACGTTCGTATTGTTGACGTCGGTAGTGGTGGGAGCACAGCAACTTGCTCATCGAGATCTTCGTCGTCTAGATCTTCGTCATCCTCTGGATACCCCATGGCTCGGCTCCAGATCCCGTCCCAGATCCCCTTCTTAGCAGCCAGAGTGCCGACCATCAACAGTGGTAGATGCCACACACTCGCCCAGAACAGACCGCGCGCAGTCCCCTTGGCACCTTCAAGCTTCCAGAATCGATAAGCCTCCTTGGTGAGCCATAAGTTGATCAGCGTGCCGCCAACCAAGAACCCCTTATCGACTACTCCGGCCCACCACAGGCCAGCACATAGAGGGAACATGAGGATAGAGTAGCGCAGCGCTACGCGGCCGTTCCGTGCTGGGTTGGTCCATGCAAGCATTTTATAGCCAGCGTTCTTATACTCATCACGAATCAGATGAGACAGGGCGTTAAAATGGGGGAATTGCCACGCGAAGAGAAGGCCCGCAAGCAGCCAGCCACCAGCGCTATCAGGCCCGAATAGCAGGTCCTTCCATGTGTCGTGGCCAGTGATGGCTGTTTGACCAGCAGCCGCGGCCCAGCCCATTAGAGGAGGGATTCCGCCAACCACCGCGCCAACCCATGTGTTGATAACGGAGATTCGTTTGAGTGGCGTATATATAAAGCCATAGAGGATAATATTAGCCGCTGAAAGTCCCGCTACGGTAGGATTTGTGCCAAAGTATAGCGCACTGAGACCAACAGTCGCAGTTCCGACTGCAAAAAGAATGGCGGCACGGGTGGTCATGAGCTTTCGCACCAACGGCCGATTCCGAGTTCGAGTCATGAGGGCATCGTATTTAGGCTCGAAGAGCATGTTTATGGTGTTTGCGCTCGCGCATGATAGAAATGTCCCGACAGTAAGGTAGCAGAATGTCAAAGTCGAAGTAGATAGGGTCGGGAGTGGGGTGACTGACGGATCAAGGTCCAATATCGAAGGAACTGGGTAAAGACCGTATGCCGTAGTGGCGGTGAGGACGATTAGAAAAGAGAGCCGTGGCTTTGTAAGGGCAAGGAAAGCAAGCAGTTTGCCTTTCAAAGATGACTTGGGTAATGATGAAGAGATAGTAGAGAGCTGTGCAGATGCGTCAGGACGTAATTCCTGCTCCGAGGCATTGGCTTCGCTCTGGGCCTTTAGCCGCTGCCTCCGTCGGTGTGGAAGCTCCTCGACCGTCTCTGGAGACGTCTCTGAGGCATTCCGAGTCTCCGTCTGTGCCTTGGTGGATGAAGATGTGTTTGTTGTTGGTGCTCCGGAATCGAAGAGAGCTGCCGTATTTCGCGAGGAGGATACCGTTCGCGACCACGGCAGGTAGTTTTGCTTCCCAAGCTCGCCAGACGCCGAAAAATCATGAGCTGAGAAGTACGACTTTCTCAGAAACCGTGGTCGTAAGCGTGTATGCGGAGGTTCGCTGTGCAAGTTCCTAACGGTAGCTGTAGATGTCCGCTGTTGAATTTGCTGCCGCAGAGGGCCAATCCTCGAGATGCATCCCACACAGCGCCCTGCCGGCTCCAATGTGGCCCACGGCCGGAGGGGAAATGCCCACAGGCTCATCACCAGGCTGGAGATAGTTCAACAGATGGTCAGCCCGGCATCACTCAGCCCATTGTTCGATATATCTCCGGCTTTCGATGCTGATAATTCGCAGTTCCAAGGCCAAGTCCCAATCGGGAAAAGTATGATCATGACTAAGCTCTAGTCACATGATTATGTTCTTGGCATATATACTACTTACCGCCTTTATGTAATCAAGCTCTGTTTCTGCCCGTTTTTTGTTCCCGCTTTAGGTAATGTTGTCATCATCTAGAAAAAGATCTTGGACAAACAACGACTTTTCATCTCCAACACTGAGCAAGAAACGAAGCCAGCAAAGATGGAAGCCCTTCCCCAGTTCCTCCAGTCGAACATCATAACTCCTCTACAGCCTCTACTCCGACCGATCACCACCTCGCTACCTACTCCCATCAACGACGCGCTCATCTCCCTCCTTGGTGCCAACTGCTACACATCCCTAGTCCTCGGTTTGGACATAACAAAAGACCCGGAATGTTTCCCACTCGCGATTTCCAAGATCCTCGGAATTGCCATCGTTGTGTTTAGCGCCATCGTCAAGGTCCCGCAGATTCTCAAGCTTATCTCGTCGCGATCAGCAGCCGGAGTCTCGTTTACATCGTATGCGCTTGAGACGGCTAGTTTTCTTATTACTCTCGCTTATAATGCGCGCCAGGGATTTCCGTTTAGTACTTATGGCGAGGTTGCCTTGATTGCTGTACAGGATATCGTGGTCAGCGTCCTTGTGCTGGTGTTTTCTGGCCAAACTGCCACCGCAGGCGCATTCTTGGCTGCTGTTATTGGCATCGGTTATGCGCTGTTGTTCAGCGGCGAGTCAATTGTGGACAACGCTACCATGGGATATCTCCAAGCCGGAGCTGGTCTTCTGGGTATCGCCAGCAAGTTGCCCCAGATCTGGACGATCTGGAGCCAAGGAGGCATTGGACAGCTTAGTGCTTTCGCAGTATGGCGCAACCCCGCTCCTATCTCCAAGTTCGGCTCTTTAAACGTTGATATTAGACCATGATCACTGACAAGGCATTGTTTAGGTCTTCAACTACCTCTTTGGCTCCCTTTCCCGCATCTTCACCACCCTCCAGGAGGTCGATGATAAACTCATCCTATACGGCTTTGTGGCCGGGTTCAGCCTTAACGTGATACTGGCTGCTCAGGTCATTTACTACTGGAACACCCCATCCAGCACTGCTTCCAAAAAGCCTTCGAGCCGCAAGCAGGCCACGTCCGGAGTACAAATCCCCGCAGCAGTCTCGAGTGGTGTCTCCCAGAGCCCATCAGTCAAAGGCCCATCAACAAGACGACGGGGATAAACCATTCGTGCCAGTGGCTATCTATTTTACTCCTGCTCCCCCTTCAATTGCTTTGTTTACGAAGGTGGTAGCTATACTCCATTTAATTTTGTATTTTTTTGGGTACTGGGTTTGTGATGGACGTTAAGACAAAGAAGAGTATAATGTTGTAATTTTAATCATCTCAAAATAGGGCGATGTTTTCACTCGCGGTTTTCATCCGCTTGAAAACATCGCACGAGTGTTTAACCGCAGCGCTCATGCTACCCCTTATTAATTATGTTCAAGAGCAATTGGTTTTATAACGCTACATGCCCTGTCTCAGATCTACTATATCTCATCGTGGTCGTGGCTCTGCGCCAGTCATCATATACCTGAAAAAATCATCAAGTGGTAAGGTATGCTCGTCCTTGTGCGAGAGGGTAGCGCCAGGCTTCGTCCCCTCGCCGACGCCGTCCATCACCTCGTCCTCATCCTCCTCATCTTCAGAATCCCGACCCGCCTGGCCTTCAACGTTCTCATTCAGTTTCCTTGTTAACCCAGTGACCACATTGCTTATCCCTCCTTCTTTTTCTTCTATTGTATAATCACCGCCCCAATTCCTCCTTCTAGCTTCCATGTTGGCTTCAATTGGCGCCCATTCCCATAGAGCTTGTAGGTCCTCTCCTGATAACCGATGTGCATTATCCTCTATTATAGAAGTAGAAGCGTTCCCCGCCACTGTAGATGTCTGGCTGTCGCCATATGATTGTTCAAAGGCTTCTCTCCCCACCGTTCGACCGTATGCTAGCCAATATTCAACGCGAGGCTCGAGTTTTGTTCGCATGAGCTGGTTTAATATTGCAGAATCAGTCCTGCCAGGGAACGCAGGTGTAGGATACACGACCAGAGAGGCTAGAAGGTCACGGTGCTCGTGAAGCAGCTGGGAGATCGTGAGAAGGTTATTCGATATTATCGTAGCTTGGGACTGGAGCGATGACCTGGTACAGTTTGTAAATCAGCCTCCCGTCCTTTTTATTCAATTCAAAACCTACATGGGGGAATCTAGCTTGCTCACCAAGCTGGGAGTGGTTGGCTCTGGGTGATGTTGTTGACAAGTGAACCGAGCGATTGCGTCAGGTTGACGAGTCGTTGGCGAGTTTGTTCGATAACCTTCAGCTGTTCTTGACTTAAAGATGCCATTGTGATGTCTTCTATATGCGAAATAGGCTGTTTGGTAAAATGAGAGGAGTTGTTTGAGTGACGGAGCGATGGTTTGTTTGAGTGTTTTGTTATCGATAACCAACTTATTTAACCAGTTAACTGGCTAAAGCTTGCCATTTACACCATGAATTACCATTGATTCCTATATGCTGGACTTGAACAATAAAGGATACAATTATTTAAATTTGATTTCCATTATGCCTACTCCACACTACCGTGTCCAAAAAGGATAGTTAATGCTATTTTCCAAATAACTATAGCAAAATAAAAATGTAAGTAAGAGATCCCAAAAGTGCTGGACCTTATGAAACCCGCCACAACAAGAGGGTAAGAATAAAAGGGTATCAAAAAGGCGAGGACATGAGTAGTTAATAAGGAGGTAGCTAGTGTACGGGGTATGTCAACCCAACAAGAATAGGAGATGGTAAAGAGGTAGGAGTATGTAATGGGTATAGGGAGGAATTATGGCAGCATTATCATAAAACAAAATACATAGTCCGTCCAAACATTGACGAACGAGGGCGATGAAGCTCTTGATTCAAGCAACATCATCCAGCTTTATACACTTCCTTATCTATTGTTTGATAGAGACTTTCGTGGAGGTGGTGCCGCAGAGAGGATTGGAACCTTTCGGTCACCCTCACTGGCATGTTGCGCCGTCTGCGGAGTAAACGTCGTCATCATGTGTGCTTCAGAGGGATACTTGACGTCTTGTTGATCAGGGGAATAGTATGAGCCATACTGGTCGTGTGTCATGCTGGGGTCATAAAACTGTTGCGCTTGAGGGGTTGGTTCGCCGCCCCAGTACCTATGCAAACCATTATGCGATGGGGTCATGATAGTGGTATCATTCCATCTCTCGTGCAGACTGCTCGATTGGCTTTGTCGCTTGGCTCTTCGGCGACGGTTGCGGATATAGAAGAAGCAGCCCACACACGTAACTGCAGATAGTAATAAGAATCCAACGATAGGGAGGACGATTATGAGGACCAGGTTCTTTCTTGGATGGCCCTTTGCCAGGCCTGGGACTACCGGGTTCTCGTTGGAGGGCAGCTGTAGCGGATTGAAGATTCTATTGGGCTCAATATAGAACTTGTCCCCTTTAGGAACTTTGCCACGGCATCCTTCACGGAAGGATTCAAGGACTTAAAAACAATTAATATCCGTCAGCAAAGATAGAAAAGACGCTAGATGGATTCGTTATGTGTAATGAAAACTTACAGTTTGCAAGGAACTTCTCATTTTCAGTTAGAGAATAGCAGATGGTGCAGTCGGTAATATCCTTATCGGAAAATGTCGAAATCCCACAGAAGTCATACAGGTTCTTCCCCTGTGGCCGCAACTGTTTGAATTGAATTGATTCCGATAGACCTTGGCATGTGACCTGGCATGGAGTAGACAGCGACTGCTTTACGACAGGGAAACCGTAGATGCAAGTAGAGAAGGCAAAGCGCAGGTTATCTAAGAATCAACACAGGTCAGTCATTGAAACTTGGTTTATTCTCCTTGTAATCCATAGGGACATCCGTACATAAACCCCATTTAACGTCAGTCTCGTCAAGAGCGGTATCGTAAAATGTACTCTGCAATTCACATGATACGCAGTCTCGGAAGCGACGGCCGACAGCAGTTGTGTTGAATTCGGGATCGTGGCATACAATGTCATCTCCCGTAGTTTCCGTCAGATTTGCGCCGCAGACACTGGAACAGGGCGACCGCGGGGTGACTCGTAGACCCGAGACGACTTGCAATAGAAGCGGGGTGAGAGCGAATATGGAGAATAACATGGTGAAGGATAGTGGCGTGAGCTGCTCTGGATTTGAAAATAGTTGGCAGGCACTTTTTTATTAATCACAGGCCTCGTGGACACCAAGCGACTTGCGCACGATTGGTATCTCTATTTAATCGATCCAAGATGCTACCGCCCAATTTGATTAAGTGACAACGTGCATGCCTCTATAAACCGATCGAATGCGCGCCCGATATTCCTTCCACAGTTCCTACTATGTAGGAATGGACTTATCTCGGGGCGGCTATCAGCTCTAAAACCAAGTCGTATCAGCACGAGGCTACCGGATATGTCGTATGGCGGGGAAGCACAAACCACGATCCGAGTATTGCTTCTGATGGTAACACCCTCACGGTGAATCCCAAAGCCGGAGAGAGGTCAACAACGCCTGACGGGCTTGCTTTGGAAGGCAGGAATCGTCAAAAACGAGAGAAGTCCAACGAAGCGTTAAAAGGCCCAGTTTATGAACCAGTCTGCGGTTGATGAAGGGGAAGGCCAGTTAAAAAAAGAAACCATGCCCTAAAGTATATGTTGGCTGAGTATGGATTCCGCAAGAGCATGCATGAAGCAGGTCAAAGAAAGGGTCCAACTAGTAGTCAGCATATGGGGAGTGTATCTGCAGGGAAAAGCAGCTTGATCCCTTGCAGATGAGGCCGTCACCCCCAGCCAACATGGGCGGTCGCAGGGCATCTCTCGCTGACACTGATCGATGCTGGCCAATCCGCCAGCTCGCACGATGGCCGGCCGTCCTTAGGCCGTGATACAAAGTGTGATTGATGTGATATATCCCGGTCAGTCGAGCGCCATTGGGCGGAGCTCGAGATGCAGTGCATGAAGCGGGATCCACCAAATCCGCCATGTCCATCAGCCATCGACGGGAGGCCGGTCCCTGCTCTCTCCACCGTGATCTTCTTCTTCCGCGCTGTCTTCCCCGGCTATGCTGTGTTGCGAGTGTCTCAGTCCGTAGTTCGCACGCCGTACTCCGTATACCCGTGTATAAAAACAAACGGGGTTTTGATTGTGCCTGCGGAGAAAAGGTCGGCGGCGTACCAGTTCACCACGGGTGGCCAACAAACGACCTTCGACCATCCCTTCCAGACGGTCCCGGCCGAATCCTCGTCAAGCGACAGGGAAGAAGAGAACGAGCCCTGGTCAGGCGGTGATTGGCTTTCTCTTGGGCGCTAACTTCTGCGCTTCTTCGGACGGGGCTTTCCCTGCGCCATCCAATTCGTCGCGATGTTGAACAGTTCTTGCAACATCGGCAGTGTGCAGCAGTTGGCCTAGCTAGCTAGTCGATCTATAGCCACGAGTGTTGAATTGGATTCTCATCATCGTCCTTCGTTCCATGTTGTCTGGGGAGAAGAGAACGTCCAGGGAGGTTGTAGAAAAGGGCGGCACCCTGGATTATGTAAGGCCATGGCCCCTTGCATCTTTTACATCCTGATATCAGCCTTCGACAGACGGCTTCCTCGTCCCGTACAAAGCACATAGAATATATCACACGCCACAACGAGCTCGCATCTCGATTGGGAGCCATCTCCTCGGGCTGTCTATCTTCCTCCTCGAACCCTGCGTGGCCGAGATCGAGCCCTACAATTTATACTTCATACTAAGTAGCCCGGCGCGTAGATGCAGTTCATCCTAGTTTTGCTCCTTTTCCTGCAAAGTACAAGCCGATACACAGGCCAGACATGCGAGAATACCCCAAATGACACATATCATCAATAAGCGGTTTGTAAGATGTGAACTCTGTCGGCGTTCTATAGAGCTAAGGAATTGAGTGTACAAAAAGAGACTCGCTTTGTAAGATGTGAACTCTGTCGGGGTTTCTATAGAGCTAAGGAATTAAACGTAGAGCTAGAAACAGAGACTCGCATTGTATGTATATGAAAATTAACGCCCAAGAACGCCTCGTTGGTATATATCCTGCATTAAAACGTCATTCATGGGCCAACCCCCATAGGCGCTTGTATTCTATCCTGCCATATATCCCGTTGACCAAGCGTAATAACGTGAGGGTATAAAAAAGAAAAAAGAAATAGATATTAGAAATGGGAATGGGGTCCTTTGTACAAGGAAAGTCTCCAGGGGGGCTATGTATGAGGCGGCGACAACATCAACACAAATAGGTCATAGGTGACCAAAGGAGAAAACGTAGAACGAAGAACCGATGAAAATCATATGGATGACAGTACCGGGACCAAGTTGGTTGGTCACTGGAGTTTAGGGCTCACGGGCAAACCGACACGGCGGGGCTGTGGGCTATAAATCGGCAGTTGAGCTGGATGCGTTATTGGAACAGGATTCGCTGTCATGTCCACTGCATTTCTGCGACCCTGTGGCACTTGAGACGGCTGCCTATGGGAGCCTACTCCGTTCGGTAAATTAGGCTCGGAAGAAATAGGTGACTCGGCTGGTGTGCCTGCTATTTCGTTGGGTCCCATAAGCGCCCGATATACCTCGACGGGTTGGTAATAGGAATTTGGCGGTTTGGGATTATAAGGATGATAAGTGAACGGGCTGGTCCCAGAGGGAGTCTGCGCGTCGGGAATTTTGGGGCTAGTTTGGGTACTCGCTGCTCGAATTCCTTCCCGGTACAGAGGATGGCAAGGGAAATCGTGGTGCGGCGATCCCGAAATACCACCGTCCTGGGCTTGCCGATTGGCCTTGTCGCGCGAGAGTAATTTTCGGTACCACATTTTCTTGCTGCTGATAAGGTACAATACAGCAGATAGCACTGTTACACGATGTGTGTGTGTGAGCCCAAGTGCTTTTCAAATAGGGGAATCTTGCAACAAAGACATACACAAAAGGCCACCAAGTCCCGCGCAAAGGCCAGTGAGGAGTTTCAATTTTCTTTGTAGGTCGATATTCTCACTCTCCGTATCCGGTTGACTGTCTCGTTTATGGGAGGTATGTGAGAAGCTAAACCCGGTTCCGATATCAGGGCCTATCGGTATGGCGAAGACGGCTTGGAGATGGACAATGATGAATATGACGGCTGACTGAAGGGGAACCAGGTCTCGTAGCATTATATATATGTAAATGCGTGAGGGGGGAGTTCAGCTGTAGTGTACATAACCATTTTCTTGGGGATTCGAGGTCCGAATATATGGAGCTGGAGAAAAGGATCTTGTAGATGTGGGTATAATGTCATCTTATATCCCGATAGAAAGAGGAGAAACGAGACTTGGAGTTAGAAAAAGCACCCTATGACTAGTACGAGGTTGTGGAAGGCCCGATAATATTGTTGTCAATCCACGAATGCACACTTAGCCTGTCTTGCAGTTTGGGGGCGATATGGTGATACTCTCCAATCGTATCCCGACTCGTGGTGGCCATCGATAGCCCCAACCAACACAATGAAAAAGAAAAGGATGCTGATATACGTATGCATGCTGGAATAAATTAGGGTGATCGAAGGTTTCTAGAACCTCAAAACTTGCCTGATGCGCCCCGAGTAAGAGTGAATAAGGGGCGAACATCTGCCAAATCTGTACTCCGTACTGAGTACGCATCCACGGACACCACTAAGGCAGGCGTCATGTATATCGCCAAACTTGTGGCCTTTGTCAGACCAGCAAAGGAATCGTTTGTCAGACGGTGCAAGCCGCTCCGGGCGGCGTCGGAGCCAGTCATTCAAGGATGATCGGGCTTCTAGAAGATTGCCTAATGTGGGACAGCGCCGACGGGACACATTCATAGGTAGAGCCAACGATTCCCGACAGTCCGGCGAATAGCCAACATAATAAATGACCAGATTGGCCCCCTTCGAGGACAAACGGGCCTAGCAAACGGGCCTAACTAAGAGGCCCTTGGGTGCATTCCGTGCAACCCCCAGCACTGCAACCAACGTGCAGGCTCCGTTGCTGTTGATATGCATCATTAGAGATTTTCTCTTAGTTCCCAATCTACTTGAATGGAATGGCCCGACCATGCAGTTGTTATTGGGCGTTGCATGAGGGGAAACGGATTCATCAGCCCTTGACTTGCCCGTTTTTGCTTTTGTGGCTCCCAGCCCCTACCCAAATACCGAAGCGATGGAAAACTCGAAAACTTTGGGTAAATCTAACAGTTGAGGTTAGTAGCCCCTTGAGCATACTCACGGCGCAGCAAAGTCAAAGAGAAAGCAAGGCTGTGGCTGTGGATGGAAGAAGATGAAGCAGACGAAGGATTGAAAGTTGGATCGGGATATGTCGCGCCTCCACGTGACATCAAGATATCTCAAATATCAATATCAATATCAACAATACCAACAACAGCGGACACGAAGGTTTGCAAGGGTTGCTACATCGATATCTCGAGACTACTGGTATCATCTTGCACGATCGACAGAACATATACCGTCATTCATTGATATCGTCTATGAGTTGATGGTACTGGCTATAGGTTGTCTGGAGATTTAGGAACTGGCTTTGGCCGTCTCAGCAATAGATGTATTAACCCAAAAAGGGGCACGTTCAATATTCTCTAAAATGTAGGATATAAATTCCATCTCGTACCATGTCTAGAAACGAACGCCGTCGATTTCATGACTCCGAATAAGCCAAGTGGCATTGAAATAGAAACGTTACCAGCTTCGAGTGTGACGGCATTGAATGACATGATAAGATCCCGCCAAGTTTCTAATTCGGGGTCATGTACTTTAATCCACTGTATAACTGACCCTCGACGTGCCTTTGCTCCTCGAAATCTTCTTTACTGTCGTAGGCCCACACAGGTCCGTTGTATCAACATGTGTGCCTCCACATGGGTATACCTCTGCCCCTACGATGTTGACCACCCGAAACTTTTCGCCCGGTGGCACCAGACTACGGTCCGGTATCAACTTCTCTAGGCCCCGGGTTCGGAAATCATCTTCGTCCCACCACTCCACCTCCACCGGCATTCCGGCCGCCAAAAACTCATCCAGTTTCTTCTGGATCGGCGCCTTCCACTTACCCTCAATAAGGCCCTTAAACTCACAGGCCGCCGAGTCAGGGAAATGTGATGCCTTCAACTCATCAAACCCGTCAATTTCCTTCTCAAGCAGATGTCTAACGGCAGAACCGAGGACGTGGCCTGCAGTGTGCAGCCGTGAGTACAGCTCGCGCTTGTCCACATCAATGGCTTGCTGCACGATCTCTCCTGGAGTGAAATTGTCTGTTGACGATGCTGTGCTGAACCGGCCTAGGTGTAGCACTTGTCCGTCTTGGACGGTATCCATGCGGACAGCAGCTACGGTGAAGGAGGTGCCCGATGGAGCAGTGATGACGCCTACGTCAGAAGGCTGGCCACCGCCTTGCGGATGGAAAATCGTTTGTTCGGTGACCACGACATGATCTTGGTCACTACCTTGCTTGAAGAGCTGGCGGTTGGATTCTTCGAGCGCGGTGAACTGGCGTACGGCTGTAACGACCGTTTGCAAGGTGTGGAGTTTCGCGTTGTGTTGGAATGCGAGAAACGTCCGGGACGCGGTGGCCATTATTATTATCAAGCTACTCCGTACACAACAAGCGTGTGGCCTGAGAGGGTGGACAATAGAAGCGAGAGAGAGATGGGTAGATGGTTGACAATGGATTTGGATATCCGGGCGAGAAAAGGTCGGTGGATATTCGGCTTTCAACTTGACTTTTCAAAATAGCATTGCGGGGCTAAGGTTGGTTAGTTATCTGCGCCCTTATGAGACGCTAGCTCATGGTTATCATTGGTTTGTATGCAACAAACGTTAGATAGTCAAGAATATCAATCGTATACCCGTCATCCGTATTATGAGCCTTGACTCATGTTTCGCCCTGGAGGCTGAAAATCCGAGTAATATCTAACAACCGACAGCCACCATGCAATCAGCGACCTAACACTTTCGGCGAGTTGAATACTCCGTACTTCTTCAAGATACCGCCAACGTGAATTTCTTTTGTCGGTTTCCTCGCAAGAGAGCGAGAGACCTGATCTTGATAAAAAAAAGGAGGTTGGAAATTCCAGGTCACCTAAGCTATGGCTTACTAAGCTAGCCCTTTTTTATATGACGTTTTGCAACTTGAGACTTCAACCAACTTGCTAGAGTGCTTGCAAGTGATTTATTTTTATTCTTCGCAAATATTGTCACGTCCATGGTATCGAGTTCATATGTTTTATCCGTCATATGCCACGTATAATTTTAATATCGTGGACGACTGACACCTCTACGACCAGGCCGTAGAGGTGATATAACCGCCGCATTTCTTACAAGTTAAGCGAAGATTGGAGCGTTTACTTCCACATTTAAAATAATGAAAGCATCTAAGATAGACTAGGTGACTATGTCATTGAGCCACGCTGGTTCACCTATACTATCCATGGCTCAGCGGATCATGTCCGCTCCGCAGCTCTTTTCGTCCAAGGGGCTTGTTCTCATACGAGGAATGGCCTCCGCAGGCAAACTTGAATGAAGACCCACTGGAAAAAGCTGAGCCATCCCTATCTATAGCACTGTGGGTGGCCTCGGACAACACTTGACATTTCTACTCTCCAGGATATGGCCACCTCGCTGGTGCTCCTCTGGGAGGGGGGGTAGATGTTGGCCTAGGTGTTGTGGCAATCCGTCAACTGTCTAGATGGCTGCAACAGTTAACACACTGGCCAGCTTTCGACCAGACTGGAAAAAACAGGGTTTCACTCCACCTTCTTTTAAATGTACCGCTTGCCCAGGCGGCGAGTCTGGCGATCTAAACTCATGATTTCAAGCTTGGAAACCTGCCGTGGGCAGACGCGGGAAGTGGGAAAGGATAGGAGAACCGACCTGCAGCTACCGACCCGTGTTGGAGTAAAGGCCTATCTATTCAAGGACACACTTCACCGACTTGCGAATCATACACTCACCCACGGAGTTGGGTCTCTAGCAAAAACCTGACCTCTAACAACAATATTCGCACAAGCGGGATGATTTTCGATTCCCTATTGGCGGAAGCAATGAACTCCAGGTAGTTGAGTCATGGGCTGCTGATGTCGGTAAATTCGGTGGTCCATTCACAACCGTTAGCTCCCATCGATTGGATAGCACTTGCATTTTGATTAACAAGGCGCAGTAATTAGCCTTCAAAGGGCGAAAACTCGACCACTTCACCGGAATTTCACTATATCCAACCAAAACACGATCGCCCCCTCCTTCCTGAATATATAGGCTGGACCCATACTACTGCAGCCAAGTTGGCAAGCGGGATTTCCAACGTAAAGTTGCACGTCATCAGCAAACCCCTTGCTCCTCGTTATTCGTTCCAAGATAAACATCACCCGTTGGATAAATGGAAGAACGGGCTTGTGAGCGCGGGATCGCGGGTAGGGATGGCCTGTGGAGCTGACCCTGCATACCCATGATTTACCCCCGCCGTCCTCGTGGGGATCATGATTCTCTGATCATCTTTCTCCCGTGTTAGGGCAGCATTTGTGTATGTTGCATCATTAACTGCGGTACAAGGGAAGTCCTACCTTCTAGCTGACGGCTATCATAAAGCTATTGTTTATCTCCCAGCCACAGTCAGGAATGAAATACTGCGTCGGTTACTCCGTGCGTTTCCTGATCAACCAACCCTGCCCTGCTCAACGTTGCTTTTAATTGTATACCTAAAAAGCAATTAGAAGACCCTAACAGGGTGGTCACCCAAAGAAATGATCATGATGCTCCCGACAGTTTGGTTCGCCCCTTTATCCCTGTCAAACCCCCTCATTTACTGCAGCGATCATTATATTTTCGCCCGCCTCTCCGAAGGAGGTCATGGGAGGCAGTGTGGCCCCCCGGTCCTCTTTGTGTTGTGTCCGTCTGTGTGTGCGTGTGTCATGGTTAGCCCGGTGTCTCAGAAAGTATTATTGGTACCTCCGGCTTTGTCCAGGTGAGAAGCCTGGAGTGACTAGGTACGGAGTATATTTTATAACCCATGTCTGGTTCAAGATACTAACTACTTTATTCGCGTTACATAGCTTTCCTCCCCCCCTCTTTGTCGACGGATAGCCGAAATTGGTGCATACATACGATATACGTAAGTTTTCCTCGCTATCAACCCATGCAAAGTTGTCCTCCCCTGCTTCGTTGAGGCTATACCATGGAGAATTATGTACATGCCCGTGAAGGAATATTCGCCCTGTCACCGACTCGGCCAATCAGACGCCTGCAGCTTACCGTAGATTATGTACATGCATGGTTCATTGAACGGAGTCATCTTGTTAAAATTCGTATAGGCAAAAGGTGTGATTTGCTGCGAGCTCAGGCAATCCGGCAATTGAAGGGGAGATTTCAAACGGGCCTGTTCTGCTCTGTCAGGTGATCGCCAACCCAATGAACGATGTCTGACCCCTTAAACGCCCGATATCATGCGACTCCGTGTCTGCATTACATGATGTTGTCCGCATGCTGTAGGCGACTCGTTCTTACCATGGGCAGGGGTAATGGCACATGTAGCTCGCATTCCCAACCGAGGGTATCGTTGTCCCATCTCCAGAATGCATGTCTTGCACAACCTGATTGGAGTCACGGTGGTATTCTGTGATACAGAGTACCTATCTACCCCCCATGCTCAGCATGTAGAGCTTGAGCGGTTGAGAGGTGCGGGAGAGCTCCGTTGCTCCTTATTTTAGCTTGAGCTAAAGCTTTCTCACGTCCCATCTGTTAAGGTTTCATGGCAGAGTCAGATCGATGAGATTAAGTTATGTTGATCTGAGTGGGAGGGAGATATGCGTGTATTCAAGGTCAGAAGCTGGATATGTATATCTTGGTATATTTGATAGAATATTCGTAAGTATTGAAAATACAGTGTGTTCCCCAAAGACCTTCCTAGAGCACCTGGCCGTCAATAACCCGTGTACTACCCAAAAAATACATATATAACAAAGGGAAGAAAATGAAGAGGGTTATGGCAACGGAAGAGAATAAACACAGTCCTGATATAAGGAGAAGGTTAACCAAAAGAGGATATCATATTGCATCGGTTTTATCACCGTTGGAGTGAAAGTAAAACATAAAAAAAACAGCTGAGAGGGTGATTATTTATCTCCAAAAGAAAAAGAGTATGTCGAGTGTCATGGCTGGCCATGAAATGATTGATGTATTTCCGGCAGATAGCCGTTGTTCCATACAGGGCTGATTCGTCAACCGAAAAGATCATTTGTCGATGGTACCATTTCAGAAGTCACCACTCGCTTGGGTTTGGCCTTTCGCTTCTTTCGGCTGTGTTCAGACGGGTAAGGGTTGGATGGCAGGTATCCGGATGTGGGTATGGGAGCGGTATCGGATATAATCGATCGAGGAGATTTTTCTATATCCATCGCCGTGGTATAACTGCTAGACTCTTCATCTCTAGTAGATGAGTTTCGTGCTGATGTACTGTAGTTGGTAGCTGGCGTTCGCGGGTCGAAGTTGTGTTCCGTTGGACTTGTGGATTTATTAGAGTAGGTGCGATGGGCAGGAGAATGGCTGCGGGTAGAGAAGTCCTGGTGAAACGGATGTCGAGGCATCTCTCCAGGTAATGTGGGCTCAAGGGAACTGTTACTCTGCAACGATGTGTGGCGGTTATTCACAACAGAACGGGTGATTTCGGTGGATGGACGCCCATTCTTAGGCTTCCCAAGGTCGGCCATAGTCTTCAGGAACTCTCCGCTGGCTGGTTTGTAGACGAAGTCTGCTTTATCCTTTGTTGCAGAGGGCGAGGTTGCCATCTCGCTCAACGCTTTCTCAGAGTCTGATGGCAGACTGTTCTTTCGTGCTTTGAAACTTAGTGGAGCGTATCTCCATGGCCGTGAACGGGACCGTACTAGGTCACCCCCCTTTTTTCCGGCTGGCTGCTCAGGGAGAATATTTCTCGATGGGAATCCAGTCTCTTTGCTCTCGGGTGATGGTGATACTTGGTTCCATCCGCCTTCCATAGGCCCACTAATCGACAGGTCTCCAAACCGTTCGTCAAGAGGCCCACTAGCTTTCTGTGCTCGCCGCTTCAATATTGGCCGATCTAGGCAACATCGAACCCACGACATTATGTTATTGATAGTTTCAACGCGCCTGATGATGATGGTATATGACGGCCGTCCTTCAAGCCAAGAGTTGAGGTGTAAAAAACGTCGTTATGACCACAGTAAAGCAGGACGCAGTAGCAGAGCATCACATTGTTTTCGTGCAGAGGGAGAAAGGTCTCAAGTTGCCCACCGTCGGTTATTTAGCTCCAAAGGGGAAGGCAGAAGTAGAGGTAGACTGTTGAGAAGAGGTTGTAGATGGAATGAAAATGATATCCAGGCTACCACCAGCCGACAAAGCTTATAACAAACTCCAACAACCTGGGCCGGGAAAAGGCGCAGACGGCAGCCACCTGGGGCTGGGGCCTAAATATGAGAGTTGTGTGCACGGGTAACACTCGAGGCGTTGGGTAGATCGAACGAAGCAAATGACTGGCCGAAACCGGGTGTGGAAGAGAGGGTAGTCGAACACGTTAGTGATTTACACAACGGAGAGGGGGAGAAAAAGAGATATGGTCCAAAGCTATTGGACCAAGGAAGAACAAAGGAGGGTAGAGTATAAAATCCAGCAGGCCCAAGGAAGCAAGTAGTTCCTCTGCTTAGAAGCCAGCTGCAGACGTTTCACGGCATATGACGGTATTTGCTCTTGTAGGCACAAAAAGAGACGAAGAAAAATAAAAGATAGAGGACACAAAATAAGCCTCCCTGACGCTATCATAGACGCGGCTCCTTCTGAGGTGCGGGGCCCTTGATAACTATGTCACCTTGAATAGTGCGCCCTTTCCCGCGTCATTTTATTTCCTAGTCATACCGTGTGCTGTTCTACGGGCCTCGCGCTTGGTAGGGAAACGGGCAGGATTTCAAAGATGCCAGGGAGAGGCAGGGTCCAAAAATTTTCTCCGCAGATGTACATCAAGTACTATGTACTCCGTACACCTGCATTCATAACCCTGGAGGGTGTGGGATAGTACTGGTGTTGGCATCAACGAAGCAAATGGTCGAGTACCGAGTATGGACAGCCAAGAGAAGGGAAACACTTCTGCAAAGTCAAGATTTCACCCCAGAACACCTCATTCGCCTGCATGAGGCTAGGGCACTCATACTCCATGATAGTTATCATGCACAGCTGGTTTCGGGGCCAGGATCTGCTTGGGAGGCGTCATGCAAAAGGACGGGGCTGAAGTACAGTCTGCCCCGGACAAGCCCCTTTTGCTGCGTCGACAAGGCATCCAAGGAGGCTCTAAGGCGATTGGGTTGCGTAGGCAGCAGTACTGGTTCAACCAGCGAGAGAATAACAAATCTCAATAATACACTCATGTTGGCAGGTAGAGGGAGACTCGAGGTCAATGTAAGTGCGGTGTGCGAGCGACTTCGTAGCACGACGTGCATCAACCAAGGGATGTATTTAGAATGTGGAGCCCTGATGGCGGCTAAGCAACAAAGCCAATCACCACCAGGAGTTCCTTTCCCTTCACCCTTCGCCTTTTCGCCATTTCCCTTCTGTCGGGTACTTTGTTTTAATTTCCTCTGGCCCCCAAAATGCAGATCGGTCTGAGGAGATGACGCTAGAGGGGAAAAAGAAAGAAGCACCAGACGGAGCGCTCCCTGCGTCGTAACCTTCTTGCGCGATCCGTATTCTATCCCGTTGCCTTCCACCGTCCATTCTTGGTCCCTTGAATATTAGCCATACATAACCAAATCCCTCTCAAGCCTCAACGCGCCGCGCCTTGAGCCTCGCGGGTAAACCATCGTCGATGTTGGGAGGTGTGCGGAGACGATGGCTTCTAGGCTTCACATGCGATGATGGATCTTGGACCAATATGTATCCATGGAGGTAGCCCGGGGAAGGGCCAGGCAAACCTCTCGTGTGATGGAGTCCAACATATATCAAAGCCCGATGATTGGACCGAGTCTTAATAACCCCTGCCAATACTCGACAGCCGGATTGACCAGCGAAGCTTCCGCCGAGCCCATGGCATTGTCCTTCTTAGTACTCCGTAGTCTCGTAGCCGTCGTCGGAGCGACTTTGGCTCCAGCGACAGGAACTCATAAATCTCCAGATTTACCCCACACACTCGTTTTCATTTGATTTGAGTCTCGGTTAACTGAATATTGATCACCGGCTTAAGTATAGAGTAGCGAAGCTATACTTTTGTTGGCCGGGGATTTAGGGCAATAAGGTTGAGTTCTTGGATTTTCCAAGATGCCGCTTGACTTAGCGTTCTCAAGGAGCTTGGTTGCACCCAGAAGCCGCATTCGGGATGCCCATCAGTTGCGGTTTTGGGGATCCGGCCCTGAAACCTACAAAGATACTGCATTCCACACTCCGTACTCCGTAAGTAGATGCAGTATGCAGTGAAACCCTTTTCTGTGGCGAGGTGGACTGTCTGCTGTTTACCGAAGAGGGTGCAGTGCACCCGAGGGGGTACAGAGCAAAAACGTACCCACGAGAAAGGCACAAAGTAGAGGTTTGCATATTCAGCTGTACTCGACCCCGGGATGTTGGCGTCTTACCTCCATTCTTTGTCTCACAAGGTGGACGAAGCAGTATCAAGTGAGTGAAAAAGAAACAAACACTATTTCTGCGCCCAGCTGCCTCTTACCTTCTTTCTACTTGCCTGTTCGTTAGTTATTGGTGGTAGCTGGCGTAGTTGTTTTCACTCGCCGTACGGAGTAGGTTGTATGTAGATTGAAAGCCCATCCTCATTGTTTTGGGCTCGATTATCAAAGTAATTAAATAGAACATTTTCGAGATGAAACGTCACTAGGCTGATTGCGGTCTGTTAGGCCTTCTGGAAAGTATACTTCCCACAACTGATGCGGGCTGTCGAATATTTGGACTTTTCATTGAGAGCTTGCTCCTTTGGCGTCAAGTGGTACCGATAAACTGGCAGCCCTGTCCTCCCATTTCCCTCTTCAACGGCAGACTGCCACAGCGTGCGTATGCATAGGTACAAGCCGTCAACTAGTCGCATGCAGCGATAATCTGAGACCTTTGAGGGCCATGTGCTAATGAGTGTGCTGCGAGAATCCGGTGGTACTGACATTCCCGAATAATTGTGGGAAACAGACATGTCCTAAATAACTGTCCGTTCCAATGCCGTCGATATGGACCTGCTATACGGAGTATACGGAGCAGACACCCACGATTGTTTCATTTGCAGCAAACAGAGCCTCCAATATACATATAAACATTTCGTATGGACGTTTTACGAAGGCCCCCAAGCCTACCGAGTCGGCTTTCTAGCTCGAGAAGAACATCCGTTGATGGATTACAGGGTAAACCCGTATCAACACCGATTGGACCAGCGCGCAAACTTCAGTCGCAGATAATAGTGCCGGATTGATGCGACAGGTAATCAAGGTTCCATGGTTGAATTATATGTACGGGGGATCTCTGCAGGTGATTATTTGCGGATGTACGGAAGCCACCTTTGACCTAGAAAACCGAGGCCTTGGGTGAAAACCCGCCATTTACTTGACCTAGCCGTGTGTTAGTTATATGCTCAACGCGAGATGGTAACGGGCCGTTTCAATGATGACATGTGCTCATGGACTCATCGCCTTAGCTGTCCTCCATGACTTGTTATGTTTTTTGTGGCGATATCTCAGCACTTCTAGCCATCAATCTATTTCGTGGCTGAGGAGCCGACCCAATCCGCCTGGATAGGATCCATGTCAGCTATCAAGAGGTCCACCGGGTTTGACTAAACATTAGACTTTGTTGCGACAATAGTTAGCTGCTGCGAGTGGACAGGCTGTCTCCTATTGTCCAGACTGTCGGGTCGCGAGTCCCTGTCATCATGAAGATCAACCTTGGTCATCGATTGGGGGCGTTTCTTTGATGCATATCCGTGTGCCCCGTGCGGATATCTCGGTAATAATCTTTCCGTTGCTATCTTCAACGCAGTAGGCGGCGTTGCAGGTGACGATGAAGGAGATGTGAACTTCCTATACGCAGAGGAGAAGGTTGAAGTTGATGTACCCAGATTAGGCAATCATCTTGAGACTTCGGGCCCTTATCATGTGACCTGGAGTTTCACGTGATATGTCTTGGCATGCGCAGGCGTTAAGAAGGCCACATATATATATCTATCGTCTTGTAGATAGTAACGATGTGTACTCTATGGATGGTAAATGCCGCTTATATCCTACACTATAGTGCAAGTTACGTCTCTGGATATGTCAGGGTTGCGGGATTTTCGTCGGCGTAGCGAGGGCTACGTCATCTCTTATATTGCGCATTGGCTAGCCCGCTTTGATTCCAGGATGGTCCATTGCGTTGTTAGGGCTTTGACCGGCCATAGCTGCTATATCTTAGGTTTTGAACAAACTGCTAGATAAAGTGCGAATTCTGGGGTGCAGTGGTCCCTAATACTCGCAAGTTTGGGCCACGTCACGCACTAACCACCAACGGACAACCAGCGCATGTGTTTTGCCATGGAATGATCAAAAGATCTCACTAGAGAACCTCGGGTACTATGTTGATAATGCCATAGTATTGCTAATTCATAGTCAACACTTTCCTAATTGTTGGAGCCACCCAAGATCATGTCTCGTCCGTTGCTAAAGCAGTTAAACCTGCGAGTTATCCCTACTGGTGCAAACAGAGCAATATTCGAACTAACTTATGAAACGATATAGCTGACATTAGACAGCTCAGCGATTAACAATGAAGCCATCCGTTCAGTGATGAGATGACATATTCTATCCCAATATTCTCTCTGTTTTCGGACCGTTTTCTATAAGAGTGAGCAGTGGCATATAAAAGATTTGAACAAGACGCAACACTGAATTCCGGCCTAACGCCTGGTTATGGAATTGACATACCTCATGATAGCCTATGACCTAAGAGCTGAAGTAGGAGATCACGATACCCATGGTCGTCCCTAGATGCTAGGTCACCCAAGTAATCAATCATTACTTAGGTAATATCGAACATCGAGCCAGTCCCCAATAGTTATGCAATCATTACGCCTAGTCATCGCGGCATTGATACAATCATAGCTACAGAAGTTTCAGAAGCTCTTCCCCCTAAGAATGGAAGAATGCCAGGTATTTTAGCTATCCATCCTTTGGTAGAGCACGGCGCTAACGACACTCCTGCTAAACGAACCCGCAGATGGATATCTGAGCGAATCGCTCCTCTATAAAGTTCATGTTATATTAATGCTGTCAAATAGTAGCCGTGTACTTTAGCCAGATCTTTGGTGAGAAGCTATTGGTTGTCTACACATATCAAGCGTCTAGAATATCTAGACTATGACACTATCAATCTCGAAAGCTCCCTGACAAGTTGAGTATTTTACTCCACAATATCAGTAGGGCTCTGGATCGTCATAAGCTTAAGCTTAAGCCCTGTCGACATGAATGCATTGACCATGCATATAGAATTGTCGTTACATCCCTCGCCCCTCGCTTTCTCCAAGCCGGTTAACCTTACCTGCACCACTGTTTATTTGTACGCTTCTGGCCCTGCGTTTTACCTTCCATATATGGTCTCCTTTAAGCACATTCATTGCTGCCGTTTTCAACCATGTTATAGAAAGCAGGCCTACATATATACCCGCCTTACTATCAGCTATTTCCACCTATTTGAGAGTGATTTTGTCAAATGGTTTGTCCCTCGACATGAACGACAGTCTAATTACACCGCTATCTATCATGTTTAAAATGGCTATGAAACAGTGAGGATACACAGAGATTTCTGACTGCAGCAAATGATGTATTGCCAGATCACAATTTTCCAGGAATTCCAAGCTTACGGAACGCTGGGAGCATTGTAACGAACTTGCACCAAGCCTCAACCAGCTATTTCAATGGTCAGTAGCTACTTGACAGCACGCAAGGCTATACCCTCAGTGTAGTGCGACAGCCTGCGGCTTCGTGCTATCCGCATGGTGTCCACTTTATGGCTACTAATAGAAATCTGAAAGAGCACCTCCAGAATATAGGATCCCTTTGTGGACCACGCTATTCAGCTGAGCTGGCAGGTTATGGTTGACCCAGACGTTATCATGCGCTCTGATGAATCCCGAATCTACTAGAGCTATCTATCCCTGAATATTATCATAATAGATTAAGCTATGATTAGGCCACCCTACCCATTGTGTAGCCTATAACACAAGACTTAATGAAAAAAAGCCTGAACTCTATCCTACAGGTATAGCGGTTACTGTAGGACAGCCTTTTTTATTGAGTTCTTAAAACCTAGAGTCATCACACCGCAGGAAAATAAACACCACCGTCCTTTCAATTCATATGTCCCCCATTTGTCTTAGTCAACATTTTAATTGAGGAATCACGACTTCGACTTTGACAAAACTAGATGCTAATTATGCATAGTTGCAGCGATACGACCTTAGGATATGGAGCTACACACGAGGCCGCTACTATAGCCCCTCCCAAAATTACCCCTCTGCGAGAGATAGTATAACAAACAGGCTTGTGGCTATTCCCAGGTTCATAGAAGAAAAGCTTCTGGCCTAACGGAAGACTGATTAGACGGCTGTATCATGCAACTCTTTAAACTGGGAAGCGATATACGATCAGATCTACAACGGATATGGTATGTACAGTGGGAGCTTGAAATTGATTCTTTTATGCACATAGTGATAGTTTTTACTATAGTTGGGGTCGTCGAGCTCGTGATACAAGCATAGCCCCCGACCATGGCTTCCCCCAAAAAACAATGAAAAAATATATAATTGTAATACATCTTCCTAAAGTTGTAGGTTGCCCAGTCGACGATGAACTGTGAAAATCTAGTCATAGCCTTGCCGATAATCACTTAACCGCATGTTCGAGTTATTTGACGTGATATACGGACGTGCATATCGCGACAAAACCAAAACCCGTTTAGCTGTAACTATATCACCACTAGGGGTTCTTTGACTGCCGCTTAGAAGTAGGAAAATCCATGACAGTATATGCGTAACTCTTGTTGCTAGTATGCCTAGCTTTCATTATCAAAGTACTCCGTACACTTTCCTATGGTGCCCACGGGAAATGTCGAGCTCCACTTCTGATTTCTTGGTGTTGCAGACTTGCAGCAGGATGATGGCTAGATTGTGACGAACGCATTCATATGTATAATATAGCAACTAAACCATGACAAAGGCTTAATAAAAGAAGGGAGAGCCTGGCGTACGACCAGGAGAAAAATCAGCTAGCAAGCTCTTGCGGAAGAGTGTCCAAAAAGCGTTGCTAACGCAAATACAGTGTCAGGGGTAGAAGCATAAACTAGTGGATCTGCATGGATCGGCCTGCGGGCCGAATTTACGGGCCGCAGCATAGTCTTAACCTTAAACATTATGATGACTCAGCATTCTTCAGCAGCCACAACTACTTAGGTACCATGTAATTTTCCATCACCTCGCAAATTCAAATGACTTCAGGGCCCTCATCATGCTGCTATCAAAGGCTACTTATCATGTCCATGTAGAAAAATAAAGAGCCTCTTGATCCGCCTATTTAAACTTAAAACTTATTTACTTATTAAGAGTGTAATAAGTTCGGCTGTAAGGTAAAAGGACGATAATTAATTTCGCATCCCTAGTTTCCACGCTTTAGCATCCATGTATTCATATCCAACCCTGATATTTATAAACACCATCAGCATTGGAAATTTGGAAACTAGAACCGCAGAATAAAAGCTCGCTCAAGGCCAACGCGGTTTAAATGTAGTTTCTGTAAAGCGTCTAGGGTAATTCGTATGAGATGCAGCCCTCCGTATGCATGTCAATATCTATTCTCTGTTGATGACACCGGCACACAAACCAGCTGTATCGTCGGATGCGTAATCCAGCTCTCTCGATCCCGGTTCCAGGTTTCCTTGGCTCTATCCTTAGGCAAATGCAGTTCCCATCGGCCAATGACTTCTACCAACAGTGCCCGTATTATTAGATCCGCCACATACCGGCCCATACATTGGCGTGGCCCAAATCCAAACCGCCAGAAGTGGTACCGTGCTTCGGTACTATTCACGTCCAAAAATCTATTAGGTCGGTAGTGATCTGTATCGGACCCCCAAAAATCGTTCTTAATGTTGAGAGCGTAGGTATCCACCACGTAATTGGTCCCGGCTGGAATCTGATAACCATCGATAATTCGATCTGTTGGTGCTGACTGCGGCACTGAGAAGGCAGCAAGTGGTTTTAATCGGGAGGATTCTAAGATACACGCATTAAGAAAAGAAGTCGAGCTAGTAAGGTATCCATGCATGCTGTGCTGTTTTGCGTTCTGTATGGATTGGATCTCTGAGCGTAGTCGCTTTTGGACTTCTTGGTTATATGCCAGGAAGACAAGGTTCCACGACAAACCGCCCATTGTCACGTCAAGGTTAGCGTAAAGCGATTCGTCTAGTGTATGGTATAGATGATCGGAAGTGATTGTCCCTTCCCTAAGTGATTCGAATAAATGGACGACAGGGGCATCAAGTAAGGACATGTCTAATGCTCGCTGATATGCCGATTGATTGAATTCTTGCCATTTGGTTTCAAAGGATCTCAGACATTTATTAGCTGCTGTAGGCAGGTACCTAGACAACCGGAATCGACTAAGGCCGCCACGGATAACGTGTTTGAACAGCCCTTCGCGTATTGGTACCATATCTCGCAGCTCTTGCTCCATATAGGGAGAAAGAGGGCCATAGATTATCTCTGCAACAATGAAGAAGGGAAGCATCTTCAAGTCTTCCACGGGGTCTATAAGACCGTAGTTACTGAATTTCCAGCTGCTTTCGTGTTCTTGTAGGTGCCGCTTGACCCGCTCATGAATAAAGCTCACATGGTTCGACATGCTGGATCGTGTGAATGCTGTCTCGCTTACTATCCGAAGACATCTCCATTCTTCACCGCTAATAAGTCCCACACATTTACCAAGGATCCGGCTCATAAGATACCCTGAATTGTTGTTCACAGCTTTGAGATGTTTGTCGGAGTCTCGGAAAACAGTTTTGATATGCTCCGGTTTCGTGAGGACGCTATTTCAACAGAGGTCAGGTATTTGCCAAGTAGTTGAGGTAAAGGGCACGTACACTTCGGGTGTCATTCCTGCCCAGATACGGTAGATACTCCCATATTGCTGCCGCCAGTCTTCGCTGTTTTCAATACCTTCGAGGAACTTGCCGATATCCCCTTGCCCGTTAGGCCAGACGTAAGGGCATGTTGGGAGTGGTGTACCCCATTTGAGATGCTGAACTGGGTATCGTCGGACTAGGAACCACTATCGTCAGGTGATAGGCATAAACGATGCATATACCATATTGATGTAGGGATAACCTTACATTGAGAATAAAGGAAATAAGGCGATTTAAAGTGTACCTTCCAACCACCAGATAGAGCACGAAAACCGTGATGCACCCTCCGGCCACTAGGAGCAACATTTTATTTGCTTCGCTTGCCTTGAGGCTTTCAAGAAAAGCGGTAGAGGCGATAATTTTATGGCAAGAGGATAACATATAGGTAAGTAACGGAGTACCTACGACGAGTTCTCGGACTTTGAGGATCGGACCGGAGTTGGCTTCACGCCCTACCTCGTATTGGTCGTCCAGGACCCGTAAAGAAGGCCGTATACGAATAAACCGGCCATTTGCGGTATCGCTTCGCGCAAGGATCGTGGCTCGTGCCCCGCCCTACCGCAATGTAGCATTTCGACTGTGCGGTTGAGCTTTTACATGAAGGTCATAGCACTACTCGCTTGGTGAAGGGTATCCCGTATAATTTCTGCTTGTAGCGTCCTGCCCGTTTTGCTAGTATTTCCCAGCCGGCAATGACAAGCTCTTATTAGTCGTATACCACAAGAGGGCCCATACCTATATACTCTCGGTATCAGTTTTGATTGGTGAAGAAGATCATCCCTTGGGCCGTCCGCTGCTCTCGATATATATGTCGACACTGATGCCATGTGCGCACTTTGAACGGCTGGATGGGCATAATAAGACAGCGCATTGTGGTCGGCCATCTCAACGTGCGCGGAAATTCTAGTGAAATGACCATCGCCTCCTCGGGGACGTGGTATGATATGCCTGATTACAGTGAACAAGCTGTAAAATGTCCGTTGTAACCTGTCGAACCTCCTGTGAAAGGAGAGGAGAGAAATCAAGCTTCTACTACCACACACGTCTATAGTCATTTTATGAACCATGTCTGCCACTGGCAGTCAGAAAATGCCCAAGGGGTGGTATGTGGTATCGCTGTGTGCCCAGCGCATTTTCTGGAAGTATGCGAAGGTATCGCCATTAGCGTTCAAGTTGATCTAGCCTAGGTCATAGCACGGGCCTTCTGTTAGAGTTCCAGATATTTCCCGAGCAATGTGGCGATGGCCCAGTTGTTCGGAGTACGATCGGGTTTATTGGCTAGGCTATGGTAGTGTGAATGTATAGTGGTTGCTGAAGCTCCAAACCCCTGACCACTGGGTAAATTTCAACCGTTGGGTTTATGGGGTTTGTGGTATAAATTTATCGATTAATTCCTGTGACTAGGAATCTTGATGACATGGAGTCCGATAGATAGTGGCTTTTAGTTTGGTAGTGGAAGCTGCTTCCATACATACCATCGCAACTTGAAGTTTAGTTGCCGAGCCTAACTAGCTCGGTGGATGGCCCATTCCATTTGTACTAGGTGTCAACTCGTGATACAATCCTTGATAGTGCTGAAGCGTCGAACAATGTATATCGAGCATAGGTTATTCCTTTAATTCTGCCGGCAGTTCTGCATTGTCGGTAAAGTGAAGGCACCCTACATTTTGCTAGCCAGAGAAGGCTGAGTATGGCCACCAATAACGAGTAAGGGTGTAAATATCAGATTGTAGTATTGCTATACAGATCTGGATAAATATCGTCAGTCGCAATCCAGTTACGAATTGCGTTTCTCATCTGAACTTCTGCTTCATCTTCATGCCAAAAATGACCTGCTCCCTCAACCAGGACACTCCCGAACCGTGAGTGTTCTAGTTTCTTCAGTTCTTCACACAAATCATTTGACCTTTTAGACGAGGTGAAGCCGTCTCTGTCTCCGTATAGCGCCAGAGTCCGGTGCTCTGAAGCCTTAGTATGGAGGTCTGAACCTTGGAGGAGTTTGCCTTGTATGGTTGTTGTGAGCTTAGAGGTTGACGTAAGAAGAGCTGTGGCTGTAAAGAGGGAAATTGGTGGTAGGATAGGGGACACGAGGAGATATGATATGTTGATATCATTACTCTCGGTAGTTTCGATGGAATGAGCTGGATAACATGGTTGGTTAGCGTCGTCCTGTGATCCGATGCCCCTGTTCCATTTGGAGGACATGTTATGGGCCTCTTGCAGAATTTTGACAGGCGCCTTGGCTTCCTTGTGCTCTTCGAATGCTATTTGGATACTCTCTAGAGACGGTAGATAAGTAGCCAGCATTGACCCATAGGAATACCCCGATACTATAATCTCAGCTCGGCTTGGTTCGCCCCTAGCTGAGCCACTCCCCGTAGCTGTATCAGATGAGGGCTTTGAAATAGGATCTAGGCCCAAGATGTAATACACCAGAAACGCATAGAATGAGACAAAATCGCCGAGTTCAGGTCTTCCTGTCCAGCTTGTTCGCCCTTGTGACCCGCCCGCGCCCCTGGAGCGTAGTAGTTAGTACTCACATGCTCAAAATTTCACAACCAGTTCCTATAGGGTTATTTAAGCAAAAAGGCAACAAGATTGGAAGTACCGTAAGTTGAAAGTGCCTACAATATATCCTGCCTTCAATAGCTCATCCGCAATGATAGCCACAACTGGGTCATCGTAGCAACCGCCTAGAGGTGCGTATGGATGGGCTACCATAGCACCTTTCTTCGTCCATGTAGATTTCTTATCCGAGGGCTTCAAGTGGATGGGATGATATAGCCTACATTGAAGCTGAACGTCGTCATAAACCGATGGGATTGTAAACTGGTGTGTTGGCCGCGGTAGGGCCATAGCGATAGACAGCAAGGCAAGTCCTTTTGTAAGCGTAACTATGCCTTTTATTTCTTCATCCAGATATAGAGGCAGTTAAATTCAATGCTTCAAGATCTATAGCTTGTTTTTATACAGCCGACATCCACTCGCAGGGTTCGTTCCCTTGTCAAATGTTGTTCAAGTCAACCAAAATATCAGCTCGCACTAGTTTAGGTAAGTTTATTTACTTAGTCATCATCGTATTTTTTGTAACCAGAATTCAGGCTGGTTGATCTTGTATTAAATCATCTTTCTGTAGAGCATCGTCTCTCAGCTCGAAATACTTCCTTTTATTCAATAGAGTACGGAGTAATGGCTAGTGTATATATTGACCCAGCAATCAGACCAACTCTCATATCCTATTTATTCTATCATTTGTCGGGGAAAATATCCAATCTCGCTAAACAATGGTAGACAGTCCTACAGTCCGACATTCATATAACGATGAGAGCTGCAAATGATATCATATATTAGTAGTAGCGCACTGTCTCGTTCACGATGGCATTATAATGCCTGACCCATACAACGAATAATTAGGAAGAGAAAGGGCGGATAAGAGGTGGTAGACTATAGAATCTATCAAAGTAACATAATGATGTTTAGCCATGGGGAAGGATGACTATGATGAGGATAATAGCCAGGCAGGGTCGGGCTCGTCGTCATCACTTTCGGGCGCCGTGTCCTTGACCTTCGTTGAAGGCGAGTCCTTTGGGCAGGCAGTGGCTTGATTGGCGGGAACTGTCGACTGGCATATTTCGGGAGAGGGAGAGCCTACCCTTGATGGCGTGGGAGACCGTAATAAGTCCTCGGGTACCTCTCCTACCATCGTCCCGCCGTGGTCTTCATCTAGAGCGTCGTCATGGCCGCCAAACGTACTTGAAAACATGGCTTTAGCCTCCACAAAGGCTTCCAGTTCAGCACCAATTCCACATATAAGTAGCGTCCAGTTCTTCTCCTCCGCTAGTTGTAGGCTGCATTCTAGGCTTTGAATCGTAGCATCTAATTCTTTCAGTATCAAGGCAACGTCTGTCTCGCGGGCTTCCTGAGGGCCGATTGATTCGAATAGCGGGCCCTTCCCCTGTAGGCGGTTCACCGTATTCCGTAGCCGTTTCTCGAAAGTCGTTATTGTTATTACAGTATCGTTCCATATACGCCCACCTTCCTTTAATGCTTCGATTTCCTGGTTGGTGGTCAGGTTCCGCTTCTGTAGCGCCGAAATTTCTTGCGTCCAGTGTTCCTCTGCCATCTCCAGGGTCCGGCGGTCTGGGTTCAGCGAAAAGAAGGTTGTCGAAGAAGGGGCTATCTGGAGCGGTGGGATAGGCGGGGTCTTCAGGTATCGTTTGGCATCTGAATTCACCAGGGAGAGAGCGGCTTCATAGGATGATAGTTTAGCGTCGACGGAGTTTTGAAGCTGCGATAGTTCGTTCACCATATGCCGATGGCGCACCTTCATTTCCGCCAGCCTTGTTTCTGTCTCCCTGATCTCGTCTTCTAGACCGTGAAGCTCGTTCGAGAGCGTGTCTACCCGCTTCTTTTGCTTGTCGGCTTGCATGCCGGATATCGACCTTTCCAAGCCAGCCCGTTTATCTATAAATGATTCCACCACCTTCAGAGCTTCCCGCCTCGTGTATACCTCTGCGTTAAGAATGTCATGCTCTTCCTCCTTCAGGCTTAACAGGTTGTGGATCGACCGAAGAATGCCTCGACGTGCATTTCGGAGGCTGGTTTCCTTCTTGCGCGGCTGGCGTACTGGAACAGGCAACGTCGACCTGTGACTTGCGATATGAGAGGGAGTAGGAGTCGAGCTTCTGGTCGAGGGAGTGTCCTCCCGCGAGGTTAAGGGCTGCCTGGCCGACAGAGCACGACTCTGGGAGTCAAGTAGCTCCTGTAAGTCGCTTTGAAGCTGCTTGGATTGCCGCTCTATATAAATAAAGGGATCTGTAGGGTTCACGGGGGCCGCGAGTGGTATTGATCGCAAACGCTGCGACTCACTGAAGCCCCAGGTCGACATTTTCGGCTCGAGCTAGCTTGATGAACAGACGTAAGTCATAGATGAACATAGACGGATGGGCTGGATCAACTAGCAGCTATCCTAGAGCCAACTCGGGTCAACTTGAGAGAATATAAGTCCCAGCTCTGGCGTTCACCTTTGCTCCGGAGGCGTGTGTCGCGTGCAGGGAGCATCCGGCTTAAATACTTCGTAGCTCGAGATAGGCCGGATATGAGGCTTGGTGATTGGCTGCTTCGGTCAGGTCATAAGGATGACGCCGCGTCGAGCAGTGCAAGTGATCACAGAGGCCGTGTGAGCAGCACTGGCTATAGCATTATCCTCGGCCACTCACCATCGCATATATAAGCATGCAAGCATAGTATAGAAGTAGACGTAGTAGTAGAAGTACAAGTAGAAGTAGAAGCGCGCTTAGGCAGCAACCGCCCGAGTAAGCGCATCACGTGACTCGCCAGCTCAGTTCTGGCTTTCTGCTGCTTCTTCGGGCTTCTGCGACAACAACATCAAACACTCCAGCACCCATCGGCACCACGATCATTTCACCATCATCCCCCTTCTTCTTCCCTCTGCTTCTACTTCTCGTCTGTATTCCTAGCTTCTGCCTTACTTTTTTGTTTTTACTTGCCATCACTTGTCCCCTTACACGTCTTGGATCTTACTACAGCCTGAAGGCGACAGCCGCGCACTCGTGACAGCTCCAGCCGGAGTGCAGACACACCGTTGACAGAACACTTCATATTAAGATAACACCATGGTTGGCCTCGTTTCAGCTGCGGGTTTAGTGGGATTCCTTTCTGAACCCGACACCGAGCTTAAAGTGTTCGCCCTGAAGGCCCTTGACGCCCAAGTCGATCTGCTATGGTCTGAGATTGCCGGATCCGTTGGACAGATGTACGTTGTGAAGAGCCCTTCCTATACATAGCCTAATCACCGGTAGAGAAGGCTGTGCCTGCTGGACAGCTGTTTTTTGCTTCGCTTCCGTGTTCGTTGAGCTATGGCTAACCATCCTGTGTATGAAATAGAGAAGCCCTGAGCGAAGATGAATCATTTCCAGAACGCGAACTTGCTTCCCTCGTTGCCGCCAAGGTGTACTACCACCTACAAGAATATGGCGAGAGTATGGTTTTTGCTCTAGGAGCTGGTAATCGGTTCGATATCGAGACCGGTGGTGAATTTGAGGAAACTATCATCTGTACGTTTATATCTACGACGCGGAAAATCCACTCCGTCTTTATACCATGGCATGCTAACGTTATAATGCACAGCAAAATGCGTGGATACCTTTATTTCGACATGCTCGATGTTGAAGGCTTCACAAGCCGCAGGACGTGGCGGAGCTCCTCAACTTAACACCTCGTTCCCACGGAACGACGGAGGTGTCTCGAGTACATCTGCTGGCCTAAGCTCGCCCATCACCCCATTTTCGCAGTCCGCCCTGCCCTCAAAGTCCCTCCTGTCCCGTCCCGAATCGTCGGCAGAAGCAAGTTACCCTGTCGGCGAAGATGTTGGCGCAGATGGGGATGAGGTGCCCTTGATACTTCAACGCGGAATCCAAAGGCAGCTGCAAAATGTCATTGAACGACTATTTGAGCGGTGTTTCGAGCAACAGAGGTATCGTCAGGTGATTGGCATTGCTGTCGAAGCCAAGAGCCTCGATATCTTGCGAGCTGCTATTCTCCGAGCTGCTCACGATGAAAAGGAGCAAGGCGTCGAATCCTCCAAGCGCGGAGAGGAGTTGATGGAGTATGTCTTGGGCATTTGTATGAACGTCGTCCAAGAGCGGGCGTTCAGAAACGAGGTTCGTAGACCTTTATACGCCTAATGGGGCGAAACATCAGTATGCTAACCAAAATGATTTTCCAGATCCTGAAGCTTATCCTCGAGCTTCTAAACGAGATCCCTTCACCTGACTACTTTTCTATTGCGAAATGCGTTGTCTACTTGAACGAGCATTCGATGGCGTCCGATATTTTGCAACGACTAGTTGAAAAGGGTGATGCAAGGTCTCTTGCAGTGGCTTATCAAATCTCCTTTGATCTTTACGATAACAGCACCCAGGAGTTTCTGAAAAAGGTACGACAAGAACTGGCAGCAATTGCGCCAGAATCCGACGAGACGGAATCCTCCGACAAGATAGAACCAGAGCCAAAGGAAACCGATAAACTTATTGACGACAGCGAGGAGCAAGCCGCCCAATCAAGGCCCGCTAACGGAGGCCGAAAATTTACTGCTGAAGCACGAGCTTCGCTGAAATCAACTCGAGGTATCCTTGACGGCGCCAACTCCATTCAACTCAACCTTGAGTTCCTGTACCGCAATAACAAAGCCGACATTACTATCTTGGATAAAATCAAGGATAGCTTGGAGGCGAGGAATTCGATATTCCACACTGCAGTGACTTGCGCCAATGCCTTCATGCATGCGGGAACTACACATGACAAGTTCTTCCGTGACAACCTGGACTGGTTAGGCAAGGCTGTTAATTGGTCGAAGTTTACTGCCACTGCCGCCCTCGGTGTCATTCATCGTGGCAACCTTACCCAGGGACAGAAGCTACTGGCACCATATCTTCCCAAGGAATCTATGGCGGGTGTTGGTAACCCTGGCTCTGTATATAGTCAAGGTGGCTCCCTGTACGCCTTTGGTTTGATCTATGCCAACCATGAAGGCTGGGCGGTGGACCACATTCGCGAACATTTCAACAAGGCCACCGAAGAAGTTGTGCAACACGGTGGTGCGCTCGGTCTGGGAGTAGCAGCAATGGGAACTGGCGATGAAGGGATTTATGCGGATCTGAACAAGGTCTTGAACGCAGATTTGGCGCTGAATGGCGAGGCAGTGGGTCTCGCTATGGGTTTGGTCATGTTGGGATCCGGAAACATGAAGGCACTCGAGGACATGATTCAGTATGCACACCTAACGCAGCACGAAAAAATTATTCGTGGTCTTGCTATGGGTATGGCGTTGATCATGTACGGCCGCCAGGAAGCCGCGGATGAACTTATTAACGGACTTCTGGGTGATCCTGATCCTACACTACGATACGGTGGAATCATGGCAATTGCACTCGCCTACTGTGGAACCGGAAGCAACAAGGCCGTCCGCAAACTCCTTCACGTAGCTGTCAGTGACGTTAGCGACGATGTCCGTCGTGCTGCCGTCATGAGCTTGGGTTTCATACTGTTCCGCAAACACCAGAGTGTTCCACGCATGGTCGAACTCCTTTCAGAATCCTATAATCCACACGTTCGATACGGAGCCGCCATGGCACTTGGTATTTCCTGCGCTGGTACCGGCTTGGATGATGCTATTGACCTTCTAGAGCCAATGCTGAGGGACCCAATGGATTTCGTCCGCCAAGGTGCTTTGATCGCCCTCTCCATGGTGCTCGTTCAGCAGAATGAAACGATGAACCCAAAGGTTGGAACTATTCGTAAGGCCATGCAAAAGGTCATTGCAGACCGGCACGAGGATGCTATGGCCAAGTTCGGCTGTGCTATTGCCCTGGGAATCATCGACGCTGGAGGACGGAACTGCACCATCAGCCTACAGACCCAATCAGGCAACCTCAACATGCCAGGCATCGTAGGAATGGCTGTGTTTACCCAGTACTGGTACTGGTTCCCATTGACCCATTTCCTATCTCTCAGTTTTACGCCCACCGCCGTGATTGGTGTTGACCAGAAGCTGGAAGTCCCCGACTTTAAGTTCCACAGCAACACCCGCCCAAGCCTCTTCGACTACCCTCCAGAGCAGCAGGTGAAGGCAGACGAGGCGCCAGAGAAGATCAAAACTGCGGTTCTGTCTACCACTGCACAGGCCAAGCGACGTGCACAGAAAAGAGAGAAGCAACGAAGCGGAAGCATTGATATAGAGCAGACCCCAACGACGCCAAAGACCACCGCCCAACAACTTCCCGACAAGATGGACATTGATGAAACCGCACCAAAGGCCGACGACAAGGACACCGCCGCTACCGTTGAGCCCAAACGAAAGCCGGAGAAAGAGAAGGTCGGGTATGAGGTGTCGAACTTGTCGCGCGTGCTCCCAGCTCAAGTGAAGTACATCTCGTTCCCTGACCGGAGATACGAGCCTGTCAAGAAGGTATATATTGAACCCCGTACTATGCAAAAAAGTACAGTAGATGCTAACATGGTGTTTGTTCAATAGGCTACCGGTGGAGTTATTGTTCTTCTCGACAAGACGCCTTCCGAGCCGCGTGAAATCATCGAATTAAGCGCCAGCAAGGAAACCAAGCCTGCCGCTACCGCCAGTGGCCAACCCGATGCCATCCAGGGCCGTATCAACGCGGCCCTCCAGGGAGCTGCACAGGCAGCCCGGGGTGCACCCACCACCCCTGTCCGACCAGGCGCTACGGCCGGAGCTGCTGCTGCTGCAGGTGTCCTTACAGCCGTCGATGAGGACGAGGAAGGCGTCGAAGAGGCCCCTGTGCCCGAAGACTTTACATATGAAACTGACGGCGAGGACGAGGAGCTCTGAGCTCCCTACTCCGTACACGAAGTTGGCAGCCGTCCTTGACCTACCCTTTTTCCTTACCACTTCTACCATTTCCTCCTCCAGCATAGCATTCAGTGGGAGCTACCTCCTGCCTCTCTGTACTCTAAACTATCTTGACATCCTATCCTAATATAACTGTGTAAAACGAGCTTCCTATGCTGGCCATTTCCCCGTGCAGAAGTCGCGAAACTTGAGCCGAGGTAAATATCTCGTGATCCGTTGCTTAGTAATGCCTATACCTTCTGCTCTTTCTCTTTCTCCTTCTCTTTATCTGTTTCTTTTCTATCTATATAGAAAGCGAGGATGAACTAATGCTGCTCTCTGTCTGCGTGTATACCTCTATCTCATGTCTATAATGTCTGACTTCTATACTATATACTACGTGAGAAGTAGTCTACTGTCTAGTAAAGGTGGCCAAACGTCATAACGTCACTGCAAAGGATGTCGCATGTGACAAGATCTCCTAACCTTCTACTTTATTCCTCCGCGATGGACATAGAAGACATCGCCCCCGGAGCTGGCTTGTGATTGTACCTAGGCTTATATTTCTTCCTTTTCAGCTCCCGAGTTCTTCTTTAGGGCCCCGTTTCCCCAGACTTTTCTCTCTTCTTCTGCTTCTACGTCTTTGTTATACCCCGACTCTGATTCGGTCATCCCCAGACGACACCGAGTTTATATTATATATATATACCCCATCCTTCTGTGCTTCTGCTCTTTGCTCTTCCGTTAGCTGCACATAGTCAGTGTTCAGTCTATCACCATGTCTGGCGTATATTCCAAAGACGACGTTGCGTCGCATAACAAGGGCAGTGACGTATGGATTATCATCGATGAAGACGTCTATGATGTGTCCAAGTTCCAGGATGACCACCCAGGTTAGTTGCTCATCTAGTGAGTATTATGTATGGTATGAGATTAGCTGACATCCCTTCTTCGATAGGCGGCAAAAAGAGTATGCTTGATCTATACTTCATCCTCCCTTGAACCGAGAGACCATACTTACATTCTATCCAGTCTTGCAGCGTATGGGAGGAAAGGATGCCTCGAAGCAGTTCTGGAAGTACCACAACGCTGGCGTCTTGAAGAAGTACCAGGGAAAGCTGCAAATCGGTTCCCTGGACACCAAGAAGGCTGCTCCGGCCCCTGCCGCTGCTCCCGCACCAGCACCGGCAAAGAAGGAGGCTCCAAAGGAACAGCCGGCTCAGTCCCAGGCTGTCTCTACCTCGAAGGCCCTGGATCCATATGGTGATTTGATCCCGTTTGCGGATCCGTCGTGGTATCACGGAGTAAGCGCTTCTTGTCATCTGCTTCTAACTGGGGTCAGAGCAAGCTAACCAGTCTCCAGTACTACTCTAATTTCTACAATGAGACACACGCTGCCCTCCGTGACGAGGTACGACAGTGGGTGGAGACCGAGATTGAGCCATATGCCCATGAATGGGACGAGGCCAAGGAGGTACCGGAGCGCATCTACAAGCAGATGGGCGATAGAGGATACCTGGGCGGTCTGCTTGGTATATCGTACAACAAGAATTTGGTCAAGAACGAAGTCAAGAGTGTGCCACCAGAGAAATGGGATCTCTTCCATGAGCTGATCGTCACCGACGAGCTTTCCCGTGCTGCTAGCGGAGGTATCGTCTGGAACCTCATCGGTGGGTTTGGAATTGGATGTCCACCCCTTGTCAAATACGGATCCAAGGAGCTCGTGGAGCGTGTTGTCCCTGGCATCCTAGCTGGTGATAAGCGTATCTGCCTCGCTATCACTGAGCCTGACGCTGGAAGTGATGTCTCCAACTTGACCTGTGAGGCCAAACTTACCCCTGACGGAAAGCACTATATTGTCAACGGTGAGAAGAAATGGATCACCAACGGCGTAATGAGCGAGTACTTCACCACTGCCGTCCGAACCGGTGGGCCCGGAATGGGAGGCATCAGTGTTCTCCTCATTGAGCGTTCCCTCGGCGGTGTGAGCACTCGCAAGATGGACTGCCAGGGTGTCTGGGGCAGCGGCACCACCTATGTCACCTTCGAAGACGTCAAGGTCCCAGTCGGCAACTTGATCGGAAAGGAGAACAAGGGTTTCAAGGGTATGTCTTTGCCAGTATTCGCTCACTCTAGCAGAGAACTAGTAGCAGAACTAACATATAACCACTAGTTATCATGACCAACTTCAACCACGAGCGTGTGGGTATCATCATCCAGTGCCTGCGCTTCTCTCGTGTCTGCTTCGAGGAATCAGTGAAATACGCCCACAAGCGCCGCACTTTCGGCAAGCGTCTCATCGATCACCCAGTCATTCGAATGAAACTCGCACACATGGCCCGCCAGATCGAAGCAAGCTTCAACTGGCTCGAGAACCTCATCTTCCAGTGCCAGCACATGGACGAGGACGAAGCTGCCCTGCGTCTGGGTGGAGCTATTGCCAGTCTCAAGGCTCAGTCTACAACGACCTTCGAGTTCTGCGCCCGTGAGGCCAGTCAGATCTTCGGTGGCTTGAGTTATTCCCGTGGCGGACAAGGTGGTAAGATCGAGAGACTCTACCGCGATGTCAGAGCCTATGCTATCCCCGGAGGAAGTGAGGAGATCATGTTGGATTTGAGTATGCGACAGTCCCTGAAGGTCCACCAGCTCTTTGGAATGAAGATATAATCTGGATTCTACCACTTGTCGTCGCCCAATCTATCTTCAATATCATATACCAGAAATATCTTGTATGAATTTCTTTTGCCTGTCTTATACACTTGATGTTTTCCTTTTGTTTCTTTCGATTCTTGATTCCCGTAGCTGTGGATCACCTGTATCTTTACCCTAGTTATCTAGAATCAAAATTACCCCTTATACATGACACTGGCAGGAGTTGTTAAATCTAGAGCCAACGACGTTATTTGTTATTTCTCTTGTTTCTCCTTGTAAAGTCGAACAACACAGAGTCCATCACGTGACCATCCATCCAACCTGCGCATCTTGGTCCCTTCGACGAAGAAACAACAGCTTCAAGGCGAAGAAGCTCAGCTCTGCGCACCTTCGCGGCACAAAGGACGTCTTCAGCGATCCATTCACACTCTGTATCCCTACTCTTTAATCAAGCCCTTCTTTTCTCTTATTCTAACTCCCCCTGAGATCACCCGCTGGCCGAAAGTGAACTCTGTTCGACCGTTCTCAGAAAAGCTTCAAGTCCAGTCTCTTCGCCCCGAACGCAAAGCCGGAGATCAAGCTTGCACGCAGTCTACGCTCCAGTCATTATTTCTCGGAAAATACTCATTACAGACACACACTCGTCAAAGGGACGCTGCCCATCTTCGACAGGCGCAAGTGTTACGACGCCGGACGAACCAGCTCTCCTTGTCCAGAACGCTGCTCTAGCCTTGCTGCTAGAGACCCGAAACAGCTCCTGCTAAGAAGATAAACACACAAAAGAGTTACTCAGGCAGACATGTCGCATCCAGGTAACGACCAGGACTTCGGTTCGGAAGACGAGGACGACTTCAATCCCGCGCCAGTCGACGGCTCCGAGCCCGATCTTGACGATGAGGCGCATGACGCGGAGGATACTCGTAATGGGAGAAGAGGCTTAGGTGACGATGGTAGGCAAGAGGTCGGTAAAGTTGAAGAAGTGAAAGGAGTGGACGATGGTGAAAGTGGCGATTTAAATACTGATGAACGACAACAGGCCAAAGGTGACAATGAAGCCGGTGAAGAGGACGAGGAAGGCGAGCCAGAAGAAGACGACGATGATGAAGGAGAGGAAGAGGAGGAGGAGGAGGAAGTTACTGTACGTTTTACTTTTATCCCTGGGGCATAAATTCCTTTGCAGTGTCCTTTGCGGTAAAGCTAACCATACTGTTTCTATCTACTCAGGGACGTCCTCAAAAGCGCAGAAGACATGGACTCGGTGCTTTCTTCGAAGAAGAGGCTGAGGTTGACGACGAAGACGAGGCCGAGGACGAGGAAGAGGAAATCGAAAGCGGTTTCGTTCACCATGATGACGAAGTCGTCTTGCCGGCCGGTGCAGAAACGGACGATAGGCGCCATCGCGAGCTTGACAGAAAGCGAGACATGGATGCGACTATGGATGCTGAACAGCAGGCCCAAGCCCTTAAGGAGCGATATGGCCGAAACCGCGCCGCTGGTGCTGATCTGGTCGTTGTTCCCAAAAGGCTCCTTCTACCTAGTGTCGATGATCCGAGCATATGGGGTGTCAAATGTCGACCAGGCAAGGAAAGGGAAATCGTGTTCAGCATTATCAAACGGATGGAAGAGCGCCCGCCTGGATCTCGAAATCCTGTAAGGATTATATCCGCCTTTGAACGTGGCGGGACGATGGCTGGCTACATTTACGTGGAGGCCCGGAAGCAAGCAGATATTATCGATGCGTTGGACGGAATGTCTAACATCTATGTTAGGTCAAAGTTGACCTTGATTTCCGTCAAGGAGATGCCTGATCTCCTTCGGGTTAAGAAATCAGAACAACTCACTCCCGGTGGCTGGGTCCGAATCAAACGTGGAAGATACCAGGGCGACCTAGCTCAGCTTGAGGATGTCGAAACAAATGGCCTCAATGTTACGGTCAGACTTGTCCCTCGACTGGAATACGGCCTCAACGAAGATAGCAACGCACCAACTGGCGACCCTAAGCGAAAGAGGGTGGGAGGAGCTGGCAGTGCAATCGCCCGCCCTCCTCAGCGCCTGTTCAGCGAAGCGGAAGCGAAAAAGAGACATTCAAAGTATCTGTCTGCGACTTCCAGCTTAGGCGGCAAGTCTTGGAGTTACCTTGGAGATACCTACGTCGACGGATTCCTTATCAAAGGCATGAAGGTCCAGCATCTCATCACTAAGAATGTGAGCCCTCAACTTGATGAGGTGACCAAATTTGCCCGTGGTGCTGATGATGGAACCTCGAATCTCGATCTTGCTTCTTTGGCTGCCACCATCAAAAATACGACCGAAGAGGATGCCTACCTGGTTGGCGACACCGTTGAGGTCTTCACTGGAGAACAGCGGGGTGTAGTCGGCCAAACCGTATCGACTCGCGGAGACATTGTTACCATAAAGGTCCTGGAGGGAGAACTGCGTGGCCAGCGCATCGATGTTCCAACTAAAGGTCTCCGAAAGAGATTCAGTGAAGGTGACCACGTCAAAGTCATCGGAGGAAGCAAGTACCGCGATGAGCTGGGAATGGTTGTCCGTATCAAGGACGACCGAGTTACCATCCTCACAGATATGACGATGCAGGAAATCACTGTCTTTAGCAAAGACTTACGAGAGGCCGATGATATTGGAGTTGACGGCAAACTGGGCCAATATGACGTGCATGACTTGGTTCAGCTTGAGTAAGTTGATCTTTACATCATATTCTTCATACATTATTTCATGATTTATGTTACTAACAAATATAACAGTCAAACAACCGTTGGATGCGTTATAAAACTTGACAGAGAGTCGATGCGAGTCATAGACCAGAACGGCTCGATTCAAGTCCTGCTTCCCTCACGGGTTTTGGGCAAGATCGAACAGCGACGACATGCTGTCACCACGGATCGAAACGGTTCTGAAATCAAGTGTGGAGATACGGTAAAGGAGGTGACCGGCGAGCAGAGGTCCGGCACCATCTTACATATCCACCGAGCGTTCCTCTTCTGCACCAGCAAGGTCGTCGGAGATAATGCTGGAATCATGGTCACCAGAGCGATAAACGTTACCACCGTGGCAACCAGTGGTTCTAAGCTGGGCAGAGCCGCCCCAGACCTATCGAAGATGAATCCTGCTCTACAGAAGAACGGGATGAACGGCTCAGGGATGCCGCCGCCACGCTCCTTTGGCCGAGACAAGCTTGTTGGAAAGACGGTCCATATCCGCAAGGGTCCATACAAGGGACTTCTCGGTATAGTTAAAGATACAACCGATGCCATTGCTCGAGTCGAGCTGCACTCAGTTTCAAAGGTTGTTCCAGTTGAAAAGGAGAATCTTTCTGTCAAGGAGTAAGTGTTATCCAGTTTTTGTTGCCTATATTCCTGCCCTCAGTTTACTAACATCTATATAGCCCCGTTACCGGACAGCCCGTTGATATCAATCGGTTTGGCGGCGGTGGCAGAGGCGGCGGACCCAGGATTCCTCAGTCAATGGCGACAGGATCAGCCGGTCCCCAAGACGCCGCCTGGCAGGGTGGTAGGACTCCAATTTCCATGGGCGATTCGTCTCGTACGCCCGCCTGGCGAGCGTCATCATCTCGAAGTGAGTAGTAGCCAAATTTCGACCCCGCCAGTTAATATAGAAGCGTAACTAACTCTCTATCTTAGCTCCCGCTTGGAATGCCGGTGGTGGATCGCGCACTCCAGCATGGAAGGCAGACGGTGCTCGCACTGCCAACCCTTACGACGGGAACAGAACCTCGTATGGCGGATTTGGCGGCCGTACTCCCGCCTGGACTTCTGGGACAAAAACTCCCCACGACGCCGGATCCGGGTTTGCAGGCAACTCCTCCAGCTCAGGCTTCGACGCATTCATGGCCGGCTCTCGAACTCCAGGCCATCCAAACGCGATGGCTGCAAGCAGCGGCTCCCGCACTCCGGCATGGGGCCACACAGGAAGCTCCGGTGCTCATCTAAGTGCCGGCACCGGTAGAGCGTATGATGCCCCTACTCCTGGCGGCGACTATACGGCTCCTTCTCCTGCGCCATATGGAAGTGCCCCGACCCCTGGCGCGTCCGCCGCGACTCCACGCGCATGGCCCGATAATGCGCCAACGCCCGGTGCTTCGACGTTTGCTGGAAAACGCATGGATGGAGATGCGTACGATGCTCCTACTCCTGCTGGCGACCATCGACCGTACGATGCACCCACGCCAGCAATCGGAATGGGCTTCCCCGCGACTCCTGGTGCCACAGATGATGCGCCTCGGTATTCAGAGGGAACTCCCAGTCCATGATTGGCCATGACGCTGCGTATTGATAATATTGGTATAACCTATCCAGTTCCATTTGTCTGTCCTCTCGGTACATGGGTTTAGGACTTCCTCTTCTCGGCTAGGACTAGGAGATGGCGCTGGCATTCTATCTTGTAAAATGATGTTTCCGATCTATATCCAGCCTTCTCTTGCGTTTTCCTGTTTCAAGCAAAATGGTGGAAGATTAGAAATCCGAGCAACGAAATGTCTCTTGTAATACTAGCTAGCATTCTGATAATAGATTAATGAGTTCATCCTGTGAGACTGGACACATCCGAGGTATCGCAATTGATATACTGACGATCTCGAAGCTCAACCTGGCATGGGTGGCGACTCGATAATGGGGCCCTTTTCCCTCCAAGTTTCAGTTCTTCGCACCACCATGATTCCTGTATCTCTCTCGATCGCGCCGTAATATCTGCAAACTGTTTCCATGCACGAAGCCGACAGCTACTACAACCCCGGCCCTGGCAATGGCCAGCAGCCAGGGGACGCCAGCTACCAGCAACCGCCGCAGCAGCAGCAGCAGTATACCCCCCAGCCAGTAGCAAACGGCGAGCTCAACGAGAAAGCGACCTTTGCGCAGACATTCAAGATCGAGAAGCCCAAGTGGAACGATCTCTGGGCCGGAGTCCTGGTGCGCAAGAGAGCCCATTGTCCGAGATGTTGAATAGTAGCTAACCCGACTTCATCTGCAGTTCCTCGCCTTCTGTGCCGGCTTCGTCGCAGTGTCGGCCATCGCGCTCCAGGGATACACGTCGACTCGAAACATCCAGGGCAGCGGCATCTACGATGAAAGAAACGACTTTACGCTCGGCACCAGCACGATCATCCTCTTCGCCTTCGTCCTCGCCGTCGCCGTCGTGCTCGGGTACAGCTACGTCTGGCTTGCGCGACTCTTCCCCAAGCAGTTCATCTGGGTGACGGGCATCCTCAACATCTGCTGGGCCATTGGGACTGCGATCTTCTATCTGTATAAACGGTACTGGAGCGCGGGCATCATCTTCCTCATCTTCGGCCTCTTCCTCGCCTTTTGCTTCTGGACATGGATCAGCCGGATTCCCTTCTCGGCCCTGATGCTCAAGACTGCCGTCGACGTCAGCAAGACGTACGGTCACGTCTACATGGTCAGTCTGATCGGTGGTTTGATTGCGACCGCGTTTGGAGCCTATTACTCGATTGTCCTGGTCGCCATCCATGATAAGTTCCAGCCGTCTCGCAACAATCCTTCCTGCGACAGCAGTCAAGGCTGTGGCAGCGGCAAGGTCATTGGCCTGATCGTCTTTGTCACTTTTACCATGTACTGGATCTCCGAGTGGCTCAAGAACACCATCCACACCACCATTGCCGGCGTCTATGGCGCCTGGTACTTCCATCCGCACAGCCCTCCCCGGGGCGCAACGCGAGGAGCGAGCAAGAGGGCTCTGACCTATAGCTTCGGCTCCATCTGCTTTGGAAGCTTGCTTCTCGCCATCATCCAGTTCCTGAGGCACCTGTGCTCGATCGCCAGGAGCCAGTCGATGCAGGAAGGAGGCGTTGGAGGCATGATCGGCTACATCGTCTTCTGCATCCTAGGCTGTCTCATCGGGCTCCTGGAATGGCTTGCCCAGTTCTTCAACCGCTACGCCTTCTGTCACATTGCGCTGTTTGGCAAGGCCTACATTCCCGCGGCCAAGGATACATGGAAGATGATCAAGGACCGTGGCTTTGACGCCCTGATCAATGTAAGTACATGGTTTATTTTCCTCATAGAGTGTGTACTAACGATGCCTTGTAGGACTGCTTGATCGGGCCCGTTCTCTCTTTCGGTGCACTCTTCGTCGCATATGCGTGCGCCCTTCTCGCGTACCTGTATCTGCTCTTCACCAACCCATCTTACAACAGCGGCGGGCAGTACACAGTGTTCGTTGTCGCGTTCTCGTTCCTCATCGGTTTTCAGATCGCGAATATCTTCACGACTCCGCTGTCCAGTGGGATCGATGCCATTTTTGTGGCCGCTGCCTGGAGCCCACATGTCATGTACAACGAGCATCCCGAACTGTACAATGAGATGGTCCGGGTTTATCCCAGGGTGCAGCAAATGATTAGAGTCTGAATATTCAATCGTCCATGAAGCTAATACCACTTCGGGCTCATGGCATCAAATCAGGGAATAAGGGTTTATTGACCCTTATCACTGGTATATATAAGGTCTAGAGGGTGTGGCGGGTTGCTGGATGCAAGTCTTTTGAATAATGGGGAGAAGATGTTGCTTGGTTGGTTGTTTTAATTTTGATGATAATGTTATTATAGTAGAGTACTTAAGAACTAGTATAAAGATGCTATTTGCAATGTTGATACTCGATTTGTATTTGCGTGTGTACTTCATCTGGCCACGACAGTATAAATCTAAATTCTCATTTACTCTATATAATATCGTTCTTCACCCTGAGCTACATAGGTCATAGATTCCGGCCTTCGATATGGGTAACAGGGCCAAAGTACTTATTGCGCGCCACAAATATAAAATGAGCCCCCGAAATAATCAAAGTTGCAGTGAAGATTACCGCAGCCCAATTAAATGTAGTCGGTGTTATCGAATAACCTATTGGCCAGAAGGCCCAGAAGAACGCCCAAAACGCGTAGCAGACGGCTGCTACATTGATAGGTATACCAAGCTTGCCTAGAGGGAATGCAGCAGGCGGTAGGGTCTCAGGGTGCGCAATACGGCGCCACAGCATACAGCCAATACTGAGGCAATAGCATTGAAGCAGTGCCACAGTTATCAGAGATGTCATTGCATAGAAGGCAATGGGGCTGCCGATATAAATCAGGCTTAGACAGGCGCTGATGACGCTGGTAACAGTAATCGCGTTTAGTGGGATGCGACGTTTCTCGTTGACTTTTGCTATCCAGTTCGAGAAAGGGAGGCCCTGGTCACGGGCGAACGCCCAGCTATCTCGAGTAACGGCTGCAAGGTACGTCATGTTGGAACAGACCACAAGGAAGAGGATAAGGGTGAGCATCACTGTCATCCATTCCTTAGACATGGACTGCCGGAGAACGTGGATGATAGGATACAGAGTGGGATCCGCGAGCGCTTCTTCAACGCTAGGGAGGTGATATGCAATCGTGATGAATGTAGTAAGGCCCAGGAAGGAGTTCACCAGTCAGATAGCGACCATTGCCTTTGGAACGGCCCTTGATGCATGTCTGACTTCCTCGGCCATGTGAGCAGCCTGGAGAAAAGCTAGCGTTAGACTTGATTACGGCCTAGAGCGTAGTATTTAATAGATAATAACGTACCGTATCAGCACCGATTTGGGTGAAGGTGGCAGTTTGCTGTCCAACGAGCACTGCCAGGCCCGCGTTGGGCCAACCTCCCTTGAATATAAACTCGGTCCAAACCTGAGAAGACGACGCTCGCGGCGCGTTCACCCAGATTGGAATAATAAACCCAAGGTAGACCAGGATATGTAAACCGAAAACCAGAGTTTGCCACATATGTAGGATTTTTGCGCCAAAAGTGTTTCCGATAAAGGCAACCAGAACAGCCATCATAGCAAGAAGGGTGGTGTGCCATTGAGGAAAAGTGTACTCGACGTTGTGGAGGGAAATCAGAACCTGGATGATTGTCGCAACAAGGAAGACGCCAGACGCATTTCCTGCTTGCCATGCAATCGTAGAAGTCCATCTATTCGACGGATAATCAGTGTTTCTCTTTTATTATCTTTTTGGCTGATGCAGGAGTCATATCCTACCCGGTGATATAGCTGAGGGTTCTCTGGAGGCTTTCCGGAGCGAATTCGCTGACCCAATGGTACTGGGCTCCGGCTATGGGCGCCATACTCGCCATCTCCGCCATGCTGAGATATATGGGACAGAAGCCGGCAATGTTCCAGAGCATTGGATATATCAACATGGGCCTACCACCATTGGTCAAGGCTGTAGTCAGATTGAACACAGTGAATTCCCATGATGCCGTGGCGACAGCAACAAACGAAGCCATCGACAAGAACCGGAATTGCCGAACGAGCTGTTGCTCTTTTCCCATCCGCTGCATGTTCGCGGCATCCGCAGAAGACGAGTTGAACGCATCACAGTCATTCCCTTCGGCATCTGCGCTGGTACACGCAACGTCAAACTCGGCCTTGTCTTCTTGGGAACGAAGGGTCATATCGGCAGGATCATGGCAGTTGTGATGGGAGAGAGAGCCCGCCATAATGCAACAAGACGAGAACTGGAAAATTGCAGACTGGGAGAAGGGAACAGGAACGGGTGAAAGCTGAAATAGATTTCCATTCTTCTTTGACTGCTGGGGGTATTCAGCCTCTTGTCTGCAGTGTGGTATGCAGGTGCAGGCATCTTGAGCAGCAATTTCAGCATCTCCCTGACGAGTTCAAGGATCACATTGGTGAGAAGACAGCAAATGACGGCGACACGAAGCAATCGAGAACCAAGCTCCGACGGTCAGCTGCAACTAGTACTAGCTGGCCATTTTGTAGCAGGGATATTGACGTAAATATCTTATTCCAGGCTCTATCAACAAGGGCTCAAACATGCCTCGTACAGCATGGTAATAAACTGAAGCCGCTGCCATGTCAATCGAGACAGGACAGCAGAAGTCTCTTAAATCACATAGCTGTGTGTTCGAATAGAGCAGTCTTCAGACTCAGCTATAGTGAAATTCCGCATGTTGTATGTTGTATATGGAGTCGTGAATTGTAGATAGCTTCGATATCTGGCTGGTTATAGCCGTGCTTACATAAATTGGCCAACCCCACCAAGAGCTATCCAAAGCTCCCCGCGGGACAAGAGAGAAACTCCTGAGATCGAACATCTCGAGATAGAAGACATAATGTCGTCGTCTAACCCAGATATGGAGACGGAACCCTCGCCCGCTGAACGACAGCGTCTTGACCGCGAACACAAGGAAAGGGAAGCAAAAGAGCAGGCCACCCTACCGTATAAATGGAGGCAGACCATCGCAGACGCCGAAGTCACCATCTCAGTTCCAGCTGAAGTACGCGGGAAGGATCTCGACGTCGTGTTGACCAAGACGAAGATCAAGGTCGCCTTGAAGGGCAAGGAACCCTTTATCGATGTACGTCTTCCTTTAGAGATCCGATGAAGCTATATGTGGGATCCATCATCGCTAAGTATACTATATAGGGCTCATTCCCCCATCCGATCCTCGTCGACGAGTCCTCATGGACCCTCGAGTCCGTCTCCAACCCGCCCGGGAAAGAAGTCTCGGTCCATCTAGACAAAGTGAACAAGATGGAATGGTGGCCTCACATCGTCACCACGGCTCCTAAGATTGACGTCAGCAAGATCACGCCCGAGAACTCGCAGCTGAGTGATCTAGACGGCCAGACGAGGAGTATGGTAGAGAAGATGATGTTTGACCAGCGGCAGAAGGAGATGGGGAAGCCTACGAGCGACGAGCAGAAGAAGGCGGACATGCTGAAGAAGTTCCAGGAGCAGCATCCCGGTGAGATATGCCGCTATTCCCTGGTATCGCGGATTCATTGCTAACAGTTCGCTCTAGAGATGGACTTTTCTAAAGCTAAGATCGGCTAGGCGGTACTGGACGATGGCTTGTTAAATGGTCATATATCGTCCATGTATGCTACTGTTACATTATAAGCATAGCGAATCGTATATTACCCAATCCCTCTCTTATACACTGTCGACCTAAGCAACAGTGCAGAGGTTTATGTAGTCCTCATCTCATCGTCCATATATCATCCCTATATCATATATCGTGATATCATGTTCTCTCATCTTTATCGTCCATAGATCATCGTGTTATGTTAGTAAACCCCCCGCCAATGACGTCAGTAGATCGGCTTACATAACACGGCCAACGCAAGATATCAACATCGCATCCTCGTCCCTGTTCGACCCTGTTTGTCCGCCCTCGCTTATCTGCTTCCTCACGCTCTATGAATTAATTGCACCTCGCCCAGCGCCTATTCAGCTTTCTCATTGCCATGGCGCAGGAACTAGCGACCAAGCCTGTGCCCGGCCATGCGTTGGCTAAGAACTTTGGGGTTGAGTATGTGATCTTGTACTCCTTCGAGGACAAGGGTGAGGAACCCCCCTAACCTTGCATCTGGCTAGCTGAATCCTTCTAACTGCTGCTTGCACGCGTGTGATTTTTTAGATGCCAGTAAGCACCTCCAGAGACTGCTTCGGTCGTTGTACAATGTTGGCCTGGACGCTGCGGTTCGCCCTGCCAAGGACCGCTGTCTTGTCGTCCTCGTCCGGCCACGGGAGAATAAGCTAAAGCTCATGGCACATAGGTCTAGGTATGTGTCTTCGTCGTGTATACAATGCATCATGAGTGGCTTACGGTTTGTAGGGTGAAGGATTGGCTGTATGGAGTGCGCACGTCACAGCCCACCATAGATACCCCCGATACACAAGGTGTGCCGTGGACGGAAGCAGAGCGTCTCCGCACGATCTATGACATGATCACTCTCCCCCGTGCCGATGGCGGAGCAGATATCACCCCCGGAAACGGCGAGTGGAAGCACGTCAAGTCGATATTCCCGCTCCACGACCACGATGTGAACCACCAGTGGATCAAGACCTGGAGCAGAAAGACGATCCTGGACAGTAGCGACCTCGAGCAGATCCGCGTTAAGTTGGGCGAGAAGGTCGCCTTCTATTTCACTTTCTTGCAAATGTATTTCCGTTTTCTGATGGTTCCTGCGGCGTTGGGCCTGTTTTGCTGGGTGTTTCTGGGCCATTTCTCTATATTCTATGCTGTGCTGAACTCGCTCTTCTGTCTCGTCTTTGTCGAATTTTGGAAACGACAGGAGATTGACCTTCGGTTGAGATGGCAGGTTAAGGGGGTCTCTGAAATCAAAGCCAAGAGGAAGGAGTATAAGCACGATCAGGAGATCATTGATCCGATCACGGGCGAGACCGTGTATTTGTTCCCTGCCAGCAAACGTCTGGTGAGACAATTGCTGTTGATCCCATTTACGATGGCCGTGGTGCTTGCACTGGGCACTCTGATTGCCACATGCTTTGCAATTGAGGTCTTCATCAACGAGATCTATTCGGGCCCCTTTAGAGCATATCTGGTTTGTTCTTATCCTCTCTACTTTATGACCCCAATGACTAAATACTGGTTAGGCATTTGTACCTACGATCATCCTGTCGTTGTGTGTGCCGACAATCAGCGGCGTGCTCACCAAGGTTGCAACTCATCTCACCGAGTATGAAAACTACGAGACGCAAGACAGCCACGACATGGCGTTGACGCAGAAAGTGTTCGTTCTCAACTTTGTCACGTCGTACTTGCCCATCCTTTTGACGGCGTTTGTCTACGTGCCCTTTGCCCCCACCATTGTGCCGTACCTTGATGTCTTCCACCTTGCCGTCCAGCCGTTCCAGCCTGATGAAAAGGCTGCTGGTGCTGCTGCTACCTCGGCGCCCGTCGAGGTCAAGGAGTTCCGCATCAACCAGGACCGCCTCCGCAAGCAGGTCATATATTTCACCGTGACGGCGCAGGTTGTGAACTTTATGCTAGAAACCGTGGTCCCGTATGTCAAGCGCAAGTTCTTCCGCAAGTACCAGGAAATGTCAGAAGGAAGAAAGACCAAGGACGAGTCTACGCCCAATCTCAGGGCAGCCCACGCCCTGCTGGAAGACGTGCCAGAGGAAGCAGAGTTTCTGAAACGCGTACGCAACGAGTCTGAGCTGGCCGACTACAACGTCACCGACGACCTGCGCGAGATGTGCGTGCAGTTTGGCTACCTGGCGCTCTTCTCGCCGGTCTGGTCGCTAGTCCCCGTCTCGTTCCTGATCAACAACTGGATCGAGCTGCGGTCGGACTTTGTCAAGATCTGCATCGAACATAAACGGCCGACGCCGTTCCGTGCAGACTCGATCGGCCCCTGGCTGGACTCGCTCGGCTTTCTCGCGTGGCTGGGCAGTCTCACCAGCGCGGCACTGGTATACATGTTCTCGTCGATAGGCAGCAAGGCCAGCTCCGCGAACTCCTTCAGCGACGTCCAGGGCTGGCTGCTGCTGCTGACCATCTTCTTCTCCGAGCACATCTACCTGCTGGCCCGCATCGCCGTGCAGGTCGCGCTGTCGAAGCTTGAGACCCCCGACACCCGCCGTGACCGTGCAGAGCGGTATCTGATGCGAAAGGCCCACCTGGACCATGCTGGCGGAGCCGAGATCGTGAGCAGCCACAGCCGGCTGGGAGAGGAGATGCTGGCGCATGTGCACGCCAAAGACGGCGACGCAGACGAGGAGGAGGCGGACGTCTACGAGGAAGAGGACGTCGAGCAGATCACGCTGGCGTCGCTGGAGGAGGACGCCCGGAAGTTCAGCATGCCGGACGCCACCCCGTCCGAGGTCTTCTGGGCGCGGCAGCGAGGGTGGAAGGAGTCTGCACGTATTGGGGCCGCGATTATTCAGGCTGATGCAGACTGTCGCCCGTCGCCTGACAAGAAGACCCAGTAGTTCTCTCTCTCTCGTCTTTGTCATCTTCTCGTCAGCATCTCTGTCATCTACCATCTATATCTACCATCTATCTTGTCTATATCATTTATCATCTATATCTATATCATCTATCATCTATATCTATATCTATATATGTCGTCTATGTCGTCTGGGCATGACTAAGCATCAGGTGACGCTTATTAATACTGCCTCTCCTGCCCGCCTTTTATCTTCTTTTCTGCCCTTTTTTCTTACTCATCAAAACTTCCGCCTTTCTTCTTACATACACAAAAAAACACGCTGACTACGCTCTGACTACTCCAAAGTTCGCATCGCATAATCAACAACGTCGTCGAGAACGCAGCATCGCGATATGTCCGCCATGCAACAGCAGCACCAGCAGCACCAGCAGCAGCAGGGCCAGCAGCAGCCGCTCGCGCCCGCGCCCCATCCGGGCATGCAGCAGGACCCCAACAAGTCGCACCAGACGCAGCAGTCCGTCCAGGTAAGCAGCCTCATCTAGATGTATACATGCACCGAGTCAGCGCCGGCGAGCATCTCTCTTAACGGCGCCATTCACGGCGTCGCCATTCACTCTGGCGGCCAGCCTGGCAGGTTAGCTCTCGCCCGGCCGTGGAGCTAGAACGCTCTTGCCGGGGCCATACTCAGACATACATATATCACTGCCTGCGCCTCTCTGCCCATACACTACACCCTCCCTCCCTATCTACCACGAACACTCATCGCACTTTTATTGCTTTATATACGATTACTATGGTGAACTTGGCTGACCAGAGATCGCGACGCGGCTTGCGGCCCGCGTTTCCTCTAATTTCACAGGACCATGCAGAGCAAGGTAGGCCCAAGCAAGCGTCCAAGAGTCGAGCACATAGCTAACTGCTGGCCAGTCCTACGCGAGCAGCTGCTTGCTGCCCATCTCCAGAATGCCGCTCATCCTGCTCCGCCGCCGCCTCGCCCGCAGCCTGGTGTCGCCGCTCACCTCCAGGCCGCCGCGGCTGCTGCCGGCGCCGGCGGGCAGAGAGACCACATCAACATAGACCCAGCCATATCAGGCATGCCGGGAGCTCAGCAGGTGCATACCACGGCTGGCATGCTCGCGCAGCCGCCGCAGGCCCAGGTCCAGGTCGGCCAGCAGGACATGGGCGGCGGAGGGTCCATGGACGAAGGTAGTGACTCGCGCAAGATCTACGGTAAACGCGAACTCTCGTCTTCCAAGCGCGCCGCCCAGAACCGTGCTGCTCAGGTACGTTTTTCATCGTCTCTACAATGTGTAGGCCCAAACTAACGCGTCTTTGTAGCGCGCGTTCCGCCAGCGCAAAGAGGGGTACATCCGCAAACTTGAAGAACAGGTCAAGGAATACGAGATGCTACTGGAGAACTACAAGGCCATCCAGGCTGAAAACTACCAGCTACGCGAATACATCATCAGCCTGCAGTCACGGCTCATCGACTCCCAGAACGAAGTCCCAGAGTTGCCCGGTAACATTGACCTGAGCCAGCCGCGTCCAGAGCCGGCCATGCTTACATCCCCAGGCCAGCAGCAGGGACAGCAGGGACAGCAACAGCAGGCCCATCAGCAGGGTGGCGCCGGAGCAGCCGGCCAGCCAGGCGCAGGTCAGCATGCCACCTCCAGACCGCAGTCAGAGCTAAACGCACTCAACCAGATCGCCGTTGCGGGCTTGGGCATGAGGAAGCACCAGCATGAGGAGGCCGCGTTCTTGGGGCAGAGCGGGAACTTCTCCAAGCGCACCAGGCAGGATGGACAGGATGACACGCAGGGAGAACAGTCCAAGTCTGATCAGCTCTAGTCTTCCCATCCTTCTGTCTCTCTCTCTACTTCCACCTCCACGCCGATGTTTGAAGGAGACGGGTTCTGGTCGCGGGCCGTTTATCCTGCTATATGTTTCATATGATCTTTCTTTTTCCCCCTTCTTTCTAAACGGCTAGGTTATCTGCGTACTTGTTTCGTCTGGCTCCTGACGAGCTGATATACTGCTGCTGCTGCTGTGCTGCTGCTGCTGCTGCTGCTAAAGATGTTGCGGATGGGCAGGCATAGGGGCCCAGGGGGGTTCTGGAGTCCGGTTACTTTTGTGGTTTTCTTTTTGTGGCTTCTGTCTGTTTATTCTTTTATTATTGTATCTATTCATGCGTGCTTGTATTCGTTATATTTTGGCATAAAAGCCGCACCAACTTCTTCCACTCATACAAGGTCTCTGCTACGGCTGGATCACGTAGCGTTGCCCAAGTTATGTTCCTACGCCGGATGTTAGTCTCAACCAATGTGCATCGAGTGTAGATGTAACGTACCTTTAGATATTCGCCTCCTTTCTCCAGATACTCCTGTCTCGTCACCGATGCCGCCTTCAACTCACTGCTGCTCGCTGCCCACGAAGCTGCCCCTTTCCATGCATCCAGCACCGCATCTCCGGCCCGTCTCACCTTGCACTCAACCCCCGTAGGCAACACGCCCCGATACTCACGTCGAAACCGCTCATCGAACCCTTCAAATAACGAATTCCCCCCAGTCATAAACACATCCCTCAACATACGCTGCTGGTCCTCCGCCGCCGGGAAGCGCTGCAATATCACATCTGCTGCAATCTCAACCAGTCCCGCCTGATCTATACCCGCTATCGAAGGCTGGAAAATCACTTCGGGAACCCGAATGCGCTCTACGTTCAGGTGCAGTTGATGTGCTTCCCGCTGGCTCTCGGCATCAAACGGCCACGGCCCACGAAGGAACATGTGTATCATACTCTTCGTCCAGTCCGATTGCGCCTCGAGCGTATGGTTCTCCGTAAATTCCGGGTCGTACTGTAGTAGCTGCTCCTCGACGGATTTCAGCATGCCGTCGACGTCTTCTTCCTCTTCGTCATCGCTGCCATCGCCCGTCGCGACGGTGCGGTATACGCCCCAGTCGTCGTCGTTGGCTCCAAAGGTGTCGTCGTCGCCTCCACGACGGCGCTTCTTGGGCCCGTCAGAGGCCAGGTTTGCTAGTGTGCGCATCCGCATCTGGCTGGCGAGTGATTTGCGGTTTCCTGCGTCTGCTTTGAGGCGGTCGCGTTGTTTGATTTTGCGTAATATCGACTATCGCATGTTAGATATATGAAGACCGGCAATTAGGGAAGGGAGTTATTGATAAGGGTTGTTTTACCTCACGAGCCTGTCTGCGCTCCTCGATCCATGCTTCAAACTCGTTTTCTCGCTTCTCGTCATCGAGTCGCTGCTCCTCTGCTATTCGAGCTTTCTCTCTTTCCTTCTCTGCCTTTGCGCGCTGTCGTGCATCAACGTTCGACTTCATAAGCCGTTGGTGCCGCTTCTCCTTCAAACCGGCTTCATCGAGCTCCTCGTCCGGCACATCGAGCAGTGGGAACGAAGCCTCTTCCATAGTTTCTTCATTTTCTTCGTTTCCAAGATCCTTATTCCGCGACCGTTTTACGGACTTTTCTAGCTCTTTAATCACCCGGTCCAGCGCTGCTTCGTCTTTCATGTCCTCCACGTCTAGGAGCCGTCTGATCTCCTTTTTGGTCTCGTTTGCAAACCGTGCCTGGATTCCCTTGTAGTACTCTAGTTCTTGTTCCTTTTTAATCAGCTTCTCAAGACGCATCTTAGCTGCCTGCTCTTGTAGTCGTCGACCACTCTCCTTCTTCCGCTCCGCGATTTTGGCAAGTTCCTCCTCCGTCTTTTCGACAACTATATGCTCCGTGTACGGATACTGGATGACATGGTCGCGATCCTCCAAACCAGTCCAGTCTAGATACCCGGACAGTTCGTGGTCGTAGTCCAGTGACACATAGCAGTGTTCGCGCACCAGCTCCTCCATCTGGCTATCCGTCATCTTGGATGGGAACGTAGGATACTTTAGTTTCAGAAGCTTCATCAGGTAGTCGGCACTCTGGTGGCCGCCCCAGTTGAGCCGGGCGGAGTTGGGCAGTAGCGCCTTCGAATTGAGTACTGGAATGATATGTGTTGACGAGTGTGAAGACGATATCACCAGTCCGTCCTTTCCGTGGTTATATCTGTATGAGAAGAGAGAATCAATCCCGTATGCGACCGAGGGTGCAGAGTAGCATTCGAACAGGATCTCGTTCATCACTAAAGACATCAGGTCAGCACCAGCAACCGGTAAGATATATTAGACACTTCACAAGCATACTTTTCCTAGAATATGGCAAATTGGCAATCGTCTCTGTGAGCACCAGAGGACGGTCCACGGCTCCATTTGCGCCGTCCACACCTAGCTTGAGGAAGATATAATCCAGCAAGCCCTCCACCACATCCCAGTTCCCTATCACGCCCGTTCCAGAGTCAAAGGCATTCCTCATCTGTCCTCTCGTGGTCGCATCAACGTATGCATCGTATCCAACGAACTGGCAGGCCTTGTTCAGCTTGCGATCGCGGTACTTGGAGGCGACGGGCGGGATCACGAATCGCGGCGACTTGTCGAATGACCAGCCAGCCTTGACGGTATGCGATCCTGGTAAGGTAACTGTAAGCAAAGGCCAGAAGATACGCCAGCTGGGCTGTGGAGGATAGGAAAGATTTTCGAACCGTTGTCTATTACAATTGCACTTGTTCCGGGCGAATGCCTGCTCTGTTCATAACCGTCTGGCTGTGCGGGGTGGAATCCTCTAAACGGCGGCTCGGAGGCATTGTAGATCTTGGGAGCCGGCTTTGCTTCTCTTCGTTCCTGGATTCCCATCGCCGTGCTTGCGGCCGCGATGCGTTGGGTTGAGGTGATGACCATCGTGCTGGTAGCTAAATAGCGGGCGTCGGTTGAGGGCGCAGTTTATCGGTCGAAGCTCAAGCGAGCTCCCATAGCAGTGTTCTAGCAGGTATAAAGAGCGCTGTAGGGGTCAGGACGACGAAACCGGCGGTAGGATGGTAATATCAAGCTGGCAAAGTGGTTGTTGCTGCTAGACTGCGGATTGAAGTTTGGTTTTGAGATGGTTGATGACTTTAGTATAAATAACCATGGAATAGTTAAGGATTATCAATCTACAGCACCGACTACGTACGATATTGAACAGTTAAAAGCTCATTACTACCTGGGTATCAATCCATTACTCTATCATCCTCATAAACATCACTATGGCGCTGGTTCCTTCAAGTTCTCCGTAGCTAGGCCTGGTCAGCAGTGTAGAAGACGCCGATATAGAGAAAACACACCTTCAAGATGGAAGAGAACGTTCGACTGGTAGTTTTTGAACATCTGCGCCACCAGCTCGACATTCATATTCTGGACGTTGACCTCCTGTCCTGCTGTCAGCTTGTTTCTTCCCGTGGAGGATGTAGAGTATGTAGGTATACCTGGAGGTTCTTGTTCAAAACCGTAATGGCTTCATTCAGTTTCTCCTACATCACGTCAGTATCACCGTTAGTATAAGCCGTCCATCGTCTAATATCAAGTATAGCATCAGGATAAGAGACTACCCACCACGTTGGTGATGATGCGGGCAAGCAGCTGGCTTTGTTGGTGCTCGTGTGGACTCTCCTTTGTGGGTGTAAGCAGGATTCATCTATGCATATCCAGAGTACTCACCATTGTAAGTCAAAGAACGCAGCAGCAGTTGATAAAAGGGCGTCTTCCTTTGCTGTTTGATCTTGAAGCGCGAAGTTGGCGTTTTATACTAAGTTTGCCCTGTTTGCATGGATATAGAGAGACAACCAGGATAACTATAGACGATAAGAAGAGACAACTTTGAAGAAGAACATCAACAGACCACCTACGGCTGAAGATGGCTCCTCCCGCCGCGGTTCAAGACGATTCTCACCAGAGGCTGCTGGACGAGCTCGACATCGCCCGCAGCCCGAAGCCGTTTCGCAACCCGCACTGGAAGCCATCCGCACGGCGCAACAAGAACGTCAAGCAGATCGTCTCTGAGTCCTCGAGAAAGGAAGCCTCTGCAGTCGCCAGCCAGACCAACAGCGGCAGCTCCACGCCCTTCGCGATAGCCACCGGCTCAGCAGGAACAGGAGCAACAGACGGAGCGCAGACGCCGCTCGTTGCATCTACGGCCGCTTCTCACGCGCATCAGGCCAGCTCGAAACAGCCAAACATCGCCCAGGCTGCGCAGAGCCTCTCGACTCTCGTGCTGGAGAAGAACTTTCGATCCGTCGTTCCTCCTACAGGCCCAGCTGTGACGTATACCAACATCGAGTCGGCTCCCTCCCTGCATCCCAGCCATCAGAAACGGTATTGCGATATCACCGGCCTTCCTGCTTCGTACACCGACCCCAAGACGAGACTACGGTACCACGACAGGGAGGTTTTTGGGGTGATCAGGTCGTTGGGGCCCGGAGTTGCAGAGAACTACCTGGAGGCACGGGGAGCTCATACTGTTCTCAAGTAGAGCGAGCTCAGGGAGTTACGACGGTTTATTCTACGACGCAGACGAGATATATGTGATACGGTGTGCAAGGGACGTCAATTGCGAGCTTTCTTGCTAGATACAGATAGGGAGCACCTGTTGAGTTGCATGTTCGGCCCACAAAGTCAAGCACTATCCATCCACGCAGCCCCTTTCGAGACGAGTTCAAGATAGCGCTCCGGCTTAATCGGGACCTGGCCTGATGGACACAAGTGTGCACCACCGGTTGTTTGCTCTGCGCCCTGTCGAGACAGTTTGACGGATACCGACGTCCCATCGAGGGGGATGTCAGTTACAGTGTCTAGTGACACCGTGGCCATGGCGTGTATGATATAGAATAGCATAATAGACAGAGCATAGCTCTTCATTTCAGAAGTCCTGAGAGATCAATGCAAGCATTTAACATTATCCCTTGACTTTCCATTGTTGAAGGTATAAAAACTCTGGTAACTCGTAAGAAACATGAATATGAAGATAAAGATGAAGAAAAAGTGCGACCAACCAAAAGTGGCTAGCGCTGAGCTCCAGGATTACCATTTTGATGCTTGAACGATTTCACCAGCTTCAAGATTGCTTCTTCGCCCGTGTTTTACCTTGATTAAATCCTGAGAGCTGTTCAAACGCCTTCAAGGGATGCTAGTGCTGGAGTCCATGCCATCCGAGTCCAAGTGCTCTCTTTTCCCGCGAACCGGAACCTGATATCTGGCCTCTCGACCACCCTCCATACACACATACACAAATAATTGATAATCATAATATAATAGTAATCATATTGACGGTATGGCTGAGTGGAGCGTGTTTCTATATTGATATTACCACTTTCCCTGCCATCGTACGGAGCGTGCCATGTGGAGTTTTGACATGTTTCATGAATTTGCGGCTAATCGTCTCATGTCCAGGAAGCTCGATCTCGAATTGCGGATAAATACTATATGCGATTCGTCTAGGCTCGCTAATTCGTCTGGACGATCGACTGCGCGTCCTGCTATCTTCAAACGCCGGGAGTATATACTTGACTGCGTATACAGCTGAGAGAGGAGGCCAGACAAGGGGCTACCGCGACCATGCCGACCATGTGGTTGACCGACACCCAGAGTGAGTCTTGACTGTGTATCCGGTAGCTTATCGAGATGGGTGGCTAATGAGATGTGCTCTTAGAGGTTGGGGTGGTATTCTGCTCTGGTGGTAGGTGAGAGCTTTTGCTTCATTGCTCCTCTATCTCCGGCCTGTCGATGAGAAGGGTGTGCCTAACATGGCATTGCAGGCAGTATATTCCTCTTCCTAGGGATTCTCATGTTTTTTGACCGATCACTGTACGTATCCTAACCCCTTGGTTGGTGAGATATCGACTAACATCCAGTTCCAGGCTTGCTATGGGAAACGTATGAACGCACCTCTATACCTACGCCTGCCGCCACACCGTTCTAATAACCCTCACACAGATCCTCTTCTTAATCGGACTACCTCTCATCCTCGGACCCCAAAAGACCCTCGCTTTCTTCGCCCGCAGACAAAAGATCACAGGCACCGTCACCTTTGCCCTCGGTATCCTACTTATTTTCTGCCGCTGGCCGCTGGTAGGGTTCTGCGTCGAGCTGTACGGCCTATTCGTCCTATTCGGTGATTTTCTGGTCACTCTCGGCGGGTTCGTGGGAAGTATACCCGTGGTAGGACCGTATTTGCGGCAGATGTTTGTCTGGCTGGGGACAATCGGGGGGAGAAGAACTAACCCCGACCTGCCAGTATGAAGGAGGTGTAATTCTGTGTCTCCACGGAGAGTCCTCTGCATACATCCCGGGCTGAAAAGGAGGGCCGGTAGCTCTATCCGAAGAGCTAAGGCTATTATAATACCCAAGAAGGCTACCACGGCGATATATCAAATAGACAATCGCCGTGCTCTTCACATAATGCCAAACACACGTCTGAGAATCTACCGGCGCAGAGAGACGCCCCTTTAATTCTTTTTCAACAATTTGTATGTAGTATAGCCAGTCATAATATACCCATTGATTCAAGATTGTCCGCCATGCACAGATATGTAGGAAAGAGAGGGGAATGTAGAGAACTAGATGCCATTCATCGAAGGAATGTACAGTGGGGTGTTTTTTTTATGATCGTGACGATCCCTTCAAGTTGGTATTATCTCATACAAAAATATATGCAAGAATAAACCACGGATATCATACCGGCCCATTTCCCCTTCTCGCAGGACTAGGGACCGAGAGCGAGAGCGATAAATAGTCCGACGGGTGATCAGTGGGGGTGGGAACCTAGTAGCCCACGCCGATGAGGTACTCTGCCAGGGCTTCCACGGTGTTAGTAGCGGCACCTGGTTGGACATTTTCCGGGTAGTGTGCAATGAGCAGGGCCTTCTTGGTCTTCACGATGATGACCCCAGTCTTTCCCTACAGTTAGAAATGCCGGATTAGCGGGCTGCTGTATGTACGGTAGGGATCCGGGTATGGCTGTCCGTACAAGTTTTCCGTAGACTCTGCTGTCATCCGACTTCAAGGTGACATACTTGTCTCCACCGAGGTGGAAGCCCTTGCTCTGTATTTCCTTTATGTCGCCGGGCTTGGTCGGCTTGAACGAGGCTACTATGAATTTCATCTCCTCCGGGTTCACCTAGACAGACTGGGTCAGGAAACGTTGCCCCGCGTATATATTCCAAGCAGGCGTCGAGAGAGAGGGAGGATGCGGGCGTACCTGGAACCCAGCAGACGTGGCCCAGGGGCTAGTGCCTTGGTCATCGAAGATAGCGGCCTTGTCGATGTTGCCAGAGCCAACAAGGCTGGGAGGGGATGTTAGGAACCAAGCGGTCTATCTGAGTATTCTATCAGTCGAGCGAGGGGTGGAAATACCTGCTGTCAACATAGGCTGTCGACGGCGGTTAGCAGGCCGTCAAAGCTACTAGAACACCGGCGGGGGAGAGCTATACATACCTTGCCAGGACATGGTGCTTGGTGATAATGTGTGATGGCTGAAGCTGAGATGGCGGGGCGGTATATGGCCAGGAGAAGCCGGAAACAACGCAGGATGCGATGCTGGGATGCCGAATAAGCTGTTGCTGTCGCGTTTCAGGACTGCCCGGTCGAGTAGCCGTGAAGCTGGAGGTTCGTCGAGGCTCGTGGTGGTTCTTCTGGTTGTGCTGGCGGTGGTTGTCCTTGATGGTGGGATGTTGTTATTTTTGTTGTTGTAGATAAATCTTACTCAGGCCCAAAGTGGGGGAACTCCGTCATTACAACTACAACTACACTACTACAACTACACAATTACTACAACTACAACTACTACAACTACACTACATCTACACATCTACGGCTATGACGATGGCTACCATGACTATGATGGCTACGACAATGACAACATGTACGGCAATACACTCATTAGACTCCCACCTCATCTCCCGAACGCTGTGGAGTGCGGCAACCCTGCAATCTTCACCAAATCTTACCATTTGACGCCACATCCCAGCGTGATGAGAAGGATCGGTACTGATGCCATGGCCGTACGGACGCGCACTGCGCTGTTCATGCACGGCGGAACTGCTTCTGGCGGCCGCTGAAACGAAACGGCCTTGACACGGTGCACCAGACGCAGGTTGAAGAATTCACAGCAAGACGCAGCTTTTAAACTGGGCCAAGCGGCATGAAATGAACAGGGAGGGAGCCTACTGCCGCCTCGATATGCACATCATAACGCCTCATGGGTGATGGGCGGATTTTGGTTTCTTTCTTTTTTCTTCGGCTTTTTTCGCTCTCGTGTTTGATGCGTTGGGATCCTGGACAGATCCAACATTCGATGGCGCTAGCGGCATATATTAAACCGGTCCTAATCCTGCTAGGAGGTCGAGATAATCTCCATATCCATCTCCATCTGGTCTCCATCGGCATCGGCATCGATATCGACATCGACCATCGATCGGAGTAGCCCGTACCCCCATGGAGACGCCAGGTTCTACCGAATATGCGATGCGATTGTATGGATTTGGCCAACGGAAACGCCCTTCCCTGGCCGCGCTCCCGTTATATTCCTAGCCTCATCCCCACAGCCGCTCCATCTTTAATGAACCTTTTTAGCCCTTGTTTCAGGAGGTTGCGTCAATCAAAGCAATTTGCTTTAATTGATTTCTTCCCGTGCCTTAACAGCTCTGTTAAGGCAGTTTCGTCCCTTTTTACTTTCCGCGTTTCGCTTTAAACCCCACGGTTTCCGCTGGAAATGCTCGTCTCAGGCTTGAAAAGGGCCGTCCGCTCGTTTTTATATACCCCGTTAACTCTGTTAACTCTCTGTCTAAGCTGCGTGCTTCTTTTGGACAAACATTCAGACTATGCTGGACAAGTGACGATATGGGGAAGCAGACCGTCTTTGCAAGACCAAGGGCTCACACGACCACCGGAACCACCAAGCACCAGCAGCCCCACGAATCGCCTCGGCCCAATCAGCACAGTCAACGTCTGGCATACGGCTCTGCTGATAATCTGCACATCCCTGGCAGTGCTAGTTCTCAGCGCGAGCCCAAGAGAAGCTACACAATCGCCAGCCGCGGCCGTAATGCTGCCCATACATCAAAGCGATTAAGCCCGATCGCTGACAAGCGGCCGCCCGCTCGTGATGCCCTGGGGCGTTCACACCATCCGCTCAATGAGCCCCCGTGGAACGAGATGATCGGGGTTGCTCTGAGTAGTCCAACCGTGGATCTATTCCCTGTGCCACCGCGCACCCAGACTACTCCCGCAGGCAACAGGAGCACCTCCGCACCCCCAAGTAGAAGGGAGCTACACTTTATGGCGCGTGCCCAAGCTTGTTCTAGCGCGGCACCAAGTACTGTATCGAGTACCATATCCAATACTGTGACTTCCAAAAAGCCGTCGCTTCAGCGGAAACCAAGTAAATGGAAGAAGCTCGGAGGCTTGTTTCGCGCAAAGCCCGTCGAATCTCCCCACAACGAGTTCTTCTATCAGGTCCAAGTTAACGACAAGCCTCTCCGCCCCGCAAAGAGTCCTAATTTTCAGCCTCAGATATTCACCGGCAACCAATATCCATCCAACTCGTTAGACGCGATCAATTCGACCACAAGCCTGGACTCCCGTAGTCAAGCACGCAACGGTCACCATCGTCACCACCGCCAATGTACAGCCAACAGTTCAGATCCCGTTAGCCGCCCGCCGCTGGACTTGTGTCCGTCTTCAAATAGGTCTCAATCCTCCAACGAATCTCCCAAGCCGTCCAAAAAGAGGACTCCTGCCAAGTTGATTAAGAATGCTGAAATTCGAAGGTACTGGAGTACAACATCTGATGAGCCAGAGTCGGCACCCGATCTTCTACAGACCTCGAAAACAGGCTCCCCATTTCTCTCCGTGGATATACCAAACATTGAGATGGAGAGATACAGTGTCATGTTTGGTGGCCTGATTGATAACACAACGCCATCTTTATTGGCGAGGAGGAGTAGAGCGTTGAATAAATTGAAAATTCCCGATAGAGAGGTGAGTTCGTTACTTGTCTATTTATTAATCCTTGTCCTCCTTGCTAAACATCTGCTTTTGCCGTTTTGTCACAGGATGATGATCGCCCCTTACCTCCCCCAAGACGTGCAACCTCTCCAGGACCAGGCAAATCACCAGTTTTTTCGCTATTCCCATCTACCCCTACGGATAAGCAGTCGAAAATTCTAGGGTCGTATTGTCTTCCTCGCCAATCTCACCGCCAGAAGAGATCCAACACCCATCCTTCACCCCACAATCTCTTCGACCGTTGGCATCACGATACCAAAGGTGATCCGGATTCTCCAAATGAGTTGATGCCGCCCTTTTTCGCGGCAGCAGATGAGGCTAGTGACGGTTCTGTGTATTCACCGACAAGCTACGATGCAGAGTCTGATAAATACCTCAACCCTGTACGTTTACAAGTCAATCCCCCAGTTAAACTTGCCGAACCACACTGGGAGATGGTCACACCAGCACATAAAACGGGCGAAAATAAACCGAGAAATCGCTATCCACTGTTGAGCCCAACTCCAAGCATGAATATGCCTGTCTCGAACCACCAAGACTGCCAGACGAGCTTCAACTACACTATAACACCAGCGACCTCCAATCAAAATACCGAAAATCATTTTTCGACCTCACATCCTGCTCGAACTGATTCATATCGACCTAGAACTGCCAACTCTCCTCCCACCATCACCCACAAACATGATTTATCCATGGATTCGATTACTGATGACCTCCAAAACGAACTCCACACAGCTAAAATATCCATCGCGCGCTCTGTCTCTTTGAGCAAGGGGCAGAAAAAAGTTTTGGTCCCCGTCGGCGCAAGAACTGGGTTCCTGCGACCTGGTGAGCGATTTGTTGAAAAATCCGCAGGTATTCCAACACAACTTGCGGTACAAAAGGGCCATCATTACGGAAAGTCGAGAAACGCCCTGATCGAGAATGCCTAGTCTCCCTTGCGGCATCACTTGCTAGAAGCTGCAAGCAATTATCACCCAATCACCAAAGAGGATATTACTTACGTTGCTCTGCACCTCATTCCGTGTACGGAAACTTTATACACCATTCGCTATTTTTCACCCTGTTCTTCACCGCATTATTAACTATCGCAGCCCACTACGTACGCTCCATTGCGCGGCCTGGACCTGCATGCACTTTTTTCTTTCTAGCTTCCAACCACTTAATTCTATTATATCTACGGAGTATGCATTGACATCCCTTCCCCTTGTCAGTTTATTTCCCTTCATGTGATTCGGCCTGGTACCTGGCGATCCAGGCCCCCCTTTTCTAGTTTACCATTTCTTCTCTCTCTCTCTCTCTCTCTCTCTCTCTCTTGCACGCTCGCTCTATGCATATGATTTACATGATCTCTTGTTCCTTTTAACTCTAGATGCCTGGAAATGGAGTAAATGGCGAGGTCGGGTTTCTTTCTTCACATAAGTGTTTTCATATCACGCTCTCTGCATTTTATTGTTCAATTACATATAGCGCCTACGGTGGGATGTTCGGAGCAAGGAATGGAAAAATAAATCTTTCTATCTGTGCAATCTGCATCTATCCCACACCGGGGCGGTCTCGGTTCTCGACGTGCCTATCCACATACTCCGTATACGGATGTTGGACATGATTTTATACAGGGTTACCGGGGATGAAAGCGTAAAAGTAAAGCTAGCAAACGAGCAATTGGCCCGGCCGCTTCCCTCCCGAAAGCATGACTAGCCTTTTAGCTTTTAATCTAAGATCCTTGATCAGGCTCCAGGGACAGACCCAACGATCTCGTCGGCCCTTCGCTTAGGATCGATGTTGTCTGGAGGGCCGCATCCTCTGCATGAGAGCATCTACTTGACCGACCAGGGTGAATATTGAGATTTGAGCGGTGTCTCACACCGCCCGTCTACGTTGCTGCAAGAACGGAGATATGCATACGGAGGTGCATGTCATGGGTCTGCTTGCTTCAGGCTGGCCGTTGTAACGCGGATGGAGCAGGATATAGCTATTAGGTAACATGTAAGGAATTAGCCGGGATCGACGCTCTTTAACCGTTTATTTAATTATTATCAAACTTCTCAAGGGATGGGGGAGCTCCCCGTTAATGCCACAGCTTTGGATCGGAGCAGCTTCCGTGCATGCACCCCCGTCCTAACTAACCCACAACAGCCCACTCCATCCCGATGTACGCATCGCTGATAATCCTAACCGTCACCATACCCTTGATCTCATCCATGCTTTTAAATCCAATGTCCCCTGAGAAATGAACCTTTGATCTCGTGGAAGCGTCTCCGTTTAATTTGCCACGAGGGCCACCACTTCGGGTTCCCGAGCCAGGCGCTGAGAGCGAAACACGCTTCAGCGCTAAGAGTTCCTCTCTTCCCTTATGCTGACCCTTGACGGTTGTTACTAGAATGAACCATCCTTCGGTCTGCGGCTTGGGGAATTTAGGTGCATAGATCTTGTGACCGTCTGTTCCATGCGAGCGTGGCTGCCTCTGGTTATCTGATTGCTTCGACTTTCTTCTCAGAACTACTGTCAACCCCTCAAGAGACAAATCCGTGACTGAGACGTCAAGATTTGGAAGGATAGATACAGTCTTCGATGCTTGTGAAGCTGTGGATCGGTCTAGGCGTAAGATATCTAGCATACTGGATACCGCTGGATGCGGCATAGCAACCAGTTTTGCAAGTGAGGCTGGAAGCTTGTTAACGTCCACTCTGTCCTCCGTCAAAATATCGGGCTCAACCCCAGGCAGGATTGATAATGGGTGATCGGTTGGCCATCGCGCCGATTTGATACATTGAAGTAGGGTCATCATCATTGAGCAAGCGTTTGGATAGCCCAACTCTGCAAGAACATCTATGCAAGCCTGGATAACACGGATACCTTGGTCAAGAACCGAAGTCTGGTCCCCAACATAATCAGAGATGGGGAGGTCAACCCGAGACATGAAGGCCTGGATTAGGAGGAATGCCTTGATATGGGGATCCCAGAGTGGCAAATGGTCACTAATAGCCGTGGTAGGGAGTGGTAGGTTCTTTGCTAGCTCTGCGTTGATTAAATCTTCATTATGCCGGACTGGAAGTTCATCAAACTCTGTCGCAATGCACATCCATCCAAGCGCATCGGCAAACGTTGGATCGGGCTTGGCGTGGGTCATCCAGTATCGGACAGTCTTGTGTGAAATATAGTAGTAGCTCATAATCTTGCCATAAGGAGTTGGGTCAACGAAGCCTGTGGCAGTGTCAAATAAGACGCAGGAAGACTCCGCGAGTGCACCAAGAGAGGTGTCAACCAACTCAATCATAAATTCCGATACTATCTCTCGGGCTGCAGATGAATTGTGCTCCTCGGTAGAAATCTCAAGACCATAATATGACGGGTTCTTATGGAGTCTTCGGAAAAAGAACGTCCAAGTCAGGTAATCCAATGCGTCTTGTTTGGTAGTGATTGTGCCGGAACTGACCTCGGCACCCAAGTGATCATCAAGAACCTTATGCAGGGTTGATTCCACAGGGAACCCGGTGTGAAGGAAATGCTTATAGAATGCCTTCTTCGCATCTTGTGTGAAAATACGAGCTATACCTGATGTGTCAAATTGTGGTCGGCCTGCACGTCCAAGCATCTGCAGGACGTCAGTAAGATCCATATCCTTGTAGCCCTCCGACTTTGCATCGAAAAACTGCGTTCCTTTCACGACAACTAGGTGAGCCGGCAAGTTGACACCCCACGCAAGTGTACTTGTGGCGATCAATATCTGAATTTTGTTGTTGGCAAATAGCTCTTCTGCCAACTGTCGATCTGATTCCACAAGTCCTGCATGATGGAGGCCAATTCCAAAGCTCAAGGCCTCCTGTAGAGCCGCGTCCTTGACTCGAGCTATATTAAGCTCCAAGTCTTCCTCAGACATATGGACAAACCTCCGAGGGTTATCTTCCATTCCACAATAGTTAATTAGATCCTTTGCTGTAAGGCGTGTCTGTCGACGAGATGCCACAAAGACAATGACGGGTTTATCAGGCGAGTGATTCTTGATCGCAAGGAACGTGGGCCTGTTCATAGACTGCATAAGAGGACAAAAACCTCTTTGTTCAGGAAACCCATCGATAAAGATTTCTAGAGGAACTGGGCGAACAGAGTGCCTAAAATTATAAAGTCCCTTCTTCACTCCCAACCAATCGGCAAGGTCCCTAGCATTGGCACACGCCGTAGACATGCCCAACAATCGAACAGAGCCTTTGGATTGGGATGCAATGTAGTTCATTCTTGAAACAATAATTTCCAAGATGGGCCCACGTTCGCCAGCGAGAAGGTGAATCTCGTCAATAATAACCAACCCAACTTGCCGGACGTACCCCCTGGTTTGCCAGCTTCGAGATATACCATCCCATTTCTCTGGTGTGGTGATAATAATATCGGCGTTTTTGATAGTTCTAGTGTCAGGGGTATTATCACCTGTCAACTCGACCAACTTTAGACCCAAGGGAGCCGCGAGCCGATTTCGCCAGTCATGAACACGCTCTCGGACAAGCGCTTTCATGGGAGCAATATAGACAACTTTAGACCCTGGTTTGTCCTTGAAGTTCTGCCACATGGCCAACTCTGCCGCGACAGTTTTCCCACTACCGGTTGGAGATCCCAGCAGGATATTCATGTCAGTGTGGTATAGCGTATGGAAGAGTTGCGTTTGCATTGGGTTGAAGTATTCAAACCTCTTTCCATAAACGTGCTCAAGGGAAGGATTTTTTAAGGCTGATATTGGAAGAGGCTGTAGCTCTAGCAGATCAGTATATTCGCTCACCGTGTCCGGACGAATAAGATGTTGAAATGATACCGGCGCAACAGTTTCAGCGCCGAGCCATCTATCCGAAATCACTCTGACATAAATTTGATTTGGCAGGGGGTCCGACAACGGAATGGTAAAGTTCAGCTCCTGGCTATCATTGAGTTTTCTTCGATTCAAAATGAAGTATTCGTGGTGGTATATCTCTGCAGTTTCTGAGTTTTCCACCCATACCCAAAACGGTTCTGATGTACCGTGATGTCGTGTGTTCCACTGGAAATCTGCGTAGAGATAGAGGCGAATACGAAGGACATCCCTATTTAAGGGTGATATCTCGACGTCGACACTTAAGGTTGGAAAGTTATCTAGTAACTTTTTTAAGGTTCCTCCCATGCGGGTATTGTGCACGAGTTGGCCAAGCTCTGCAGTATCCATTTCCCTCATCGATTCAATCGATGACGCGGGAGACTTTTCGTCAAGGTTCTTTAAGATAGCAGGAGGTAAGTCAAACTGGTGGAAGGGGTGTTGGAATGGCCATATCTGTTTCTCAATAGATTTGCAGGTGGACAGGAGGACTTGACACTGGTATCCCCATCGTCGATTTAACGCAATCATAAAAAGAGATCGGCAAATCCTAGCGGAGTTCTGCGCGACGTATGATGAGTCCGAGACGAGGGCGAAATCCTCAATCCTAGCTCTGGAGATATAAGACTGAAGGAGGATATTGGTCTTTGCATGCGCAGTATCGTTGGCACCTTCAACTTCGGTCCGCAATCCTTCTTCGCGTAGGCGATCTAGCTCCTTGAATTCGTTGTCTCTTGACTGTATATTGTCGAACTCTCCGCTCATACTGATCATCTTCATGACATCCGCATCGCTACCATTAGGATTCATCATGGAATTGAAAATCTCCACGCTCGTTTGGAGGACATAATATTGGCTAGCAATCCTACCAACATCTTTCGCTCGCAGCTCCTCCGTATTTTCATTAAATATAATCATCTGGCTCTTTTGAAGTACCCTAGCCGCCTTAATGATGAGATCACGTCGTCGCTGAACAAGCTGGGGGTCGTCACGGATTTCGTTCCACTCAATGCCATAAGCAGAATGATTCCGCCTCATTCGGACAAATAGATAAGAGTAACCCAGCCACTGAACGCCTTCAGTGACCGAAGTCACAGTTCCTAACGCTATTTCGGCATTGAGATTGTCCACCAGTTTGCGGGAGAATCTGGATTCAATTGGCTCCTGGGAGGTTACTGCGGATATGTAATGTTGCAGCTTATTCTGCGGCGTGCAAATGAATCCAATACCCGTGTCCTGGAACTGAGGTCGACCAGCTCGGCCGAATATCTGAAGGACATCAAGTATCCCTAAGTCAATAAACTTTCCCTCTTGCGAACTGTATATTTGGGTCCCCTTGATAATAACGGCAGCGGCGGGTAAATTTACACCCCAAGCCAGAGTAGCTGTACAGCATAGGACTTTGATAACGCCCTGTGAAAAGAGGCGCTCCATAAGGTTACGATCAGAGCGTGACATGCCGGCATGATGCGTGCCCATCCCCTTTGGCACTAAGTCCCTTAGCTCCCTAGCACGGGTGCCCTTGAGATCTTTCAGCGCTTGGGAATAATTTTCGTGGTCGAGTGGGGAAAAGAGATCGGCGCATTGCTCTTCCATGGCAAGTTTCGCATAAAGGCGAGCGGTGTTAACTGTGTCCTTTCGAGAGTGAACAAATACCATGATCTGGTGACCCTCCTCAAGCATCTCCCTTACTTTGTCAAAAGAAACTTTGTCAAGGTTATCCCTAGATTTTTTGGATCCAGCGTCTCCCTTTACTCCGATAAAATGCTGTTCGAGCGGGACTGGGCGGAACGAAGCATCAAAGAAGAAAAGGCCAGCCATGCGATTAACCTTGAGGAAATCTGCCACATCGAGGTAGTTTGGGAGAGTTGCAGAGAGTCCAACAATCCGGATCAATGACTGGGTGCTTTCGACCTGACGTTGAGTTCGAGCTACAAGAGACTCAATCACAGCACCACGCTCATCATGCAACATATGCACTTCGTCAATGATTAGAAGTCGAACTTTTTGTACGAGCTCTGTGTCGCCAGTACTCTTTCTTGTGACCACATCCCATTTCTCGGGGGTAGTAACAATAATTTGAGTCTGAACAATCTCCTGTTTTGTTAATTGCATATCTCCAGTAAGCTCCCTGACTTGAACTCCAAGCCATGCTAAGCGCTTCCCCAGTTTCTCTGTCACCTCAGCGGCGAGGGCTTTCATTGGGGCAACGTAAACAATTTTAAAGTCCTCTACTTGAACGACAAAGTCGGATGCATCAGGTTCATCCAGTGGGCTCGGAGTTGTATGTCGAGCTATGGCGTTGAGAATGGTAAGCATGGCAGCATCCGTCTTACCGGCTCCCGTCGGCGCGCATATGAGCATGTTTTCGTTCGTTTTGTATGCGACAGAGTAGAGCAAGCTCTGCATGCGGTTCAAGGTCTTATATCCTTGGAATGTACCTCTACATAGAGCATCCATCTCTGATATCGGGACTAATTTGCGACCGACCCCTAGGGTCCCAACCTTTGATGCAGGGATGGCATATTCGGTATATAGAGGTTCCTCCCTGTGGATAGTCCCGACAGGTAATCCGTATTTTCGGCCATTCACAGACAGAGTGTTCCCTGCCTGGTAAGATTTATAGACATGAGGGTAATGGGGTCCATCACGATCCTGTCTTGTTGCAAGTTGAGCATGCTTATGCTCATAATCTTGTTGCCGAAGAGCCTCCTCTCGCTCAGCGCGGGTTTGCAGCCTCCCTATCGTCGTTGTCGCTGCATTAGCCTTAGCAGGGCTAGCGAGGATGGCTTGACGGTGGGATAGTAGTTCGATAACGAAGTCTAGATCATCAAAGCCCACTATCTCTGCCAGAGCTATCTGTAGCTTGTCAGAAGACATGTCCGAAGCAAGAAGGGCTTCCAGCTGCTGCTGTAGATCGGATCCGTTTAGACCTCCTTTAGCCTGAGCAATCGATTCACACTTCTTTTCTAGCCAGCGGCGGTCGTACTCTTGCCCCTGTCCATGGTCAGGCACAGCCAGCAGGGCGACACCGTTGATATCGTCATATTCGTCGCTTTCACCACTATCACTGATCACATCCCAAATATCGTCGGCCGTTCCTGGCTGCGAGGAGAAGTCATCGTCGCTCAAATTCAAGTCTGATCCATAGAGAACGGGCTCCGAATCTTGCGGCAGGTTCAACTTCTCTATTGCTTCTCGCATGGCAGTCAACTGGGCGAGCCATTGTGTCTCTGCTGCCGTGAGGTTGTTAGACATGATGCCCTAAGAAAACAGTATCGTCTATGAAAATAGTAACTTGTCGGTGGTCAAGATGGAATGTGAGATACCAGCCTGAGTACCTGGCAAATATATACAATAGACAATCTTGAAGCGAGAGAGTAATAAATGTAAATAATTTCGATGCAGTAGATATTTACTAACTCTGACTCTTTTGACGTCGTGCCACTAAAGCACGTGACCTGTTTTTTTAGTCTTCCCCCAGGAACTTAGCCTTTGTGTGTGTATCAACTAAATAATAACTCCTTATATCTTTAATACAATATCCTCTTTAACTATAATAGCGACCGGGGACAGTCCTCCCATGCCCGATCATCGCTCTATTTGTCCTCAGGGACTTGGTGACAAAGTCTGGGACCGAGGCGGTACTGATAAAATTTACCTACCATGGAATCGAGTGCGAGAGTCAGAAACTAGTGCTACCATAACTACGTCATTAACCATTAATGCCCTTCCCAATAGTATATCAAGACAATTTATGAGAATATTCTGTTAACAACGCCGCTTAAGACTTCAAATCTCACGAGTTCCAATCCGAAGACACAACTATTTACTACATTTTGCTTCAACGGGATCGGAAACCATACATCTCTTATCAACATGGCTGCCACTGTCCAAAATCCTGGCCTCGGCAGCCTGTCTAAGCTACCTTATGAGCTCCGGGAAATGATCTGGCTAGCATTTTTCCCTGTTGGTCAAGTTGATCCAGAGAGCGAGTCGATTCAAAGATCGTCCTCCACCATCCAGGTTTCAGCAAAAGCAGATCTCAGGGTACTCAGTGCTAGCAGATGGCTTTATAACGAGGTTTTGGAGGTCATTTATTCCAAAACTTGCATACAATTTGACCTCTCGCCCGGATTCTCTGAGACCTTTTCGTTATGGAGTGCGCTCCGCTTCAGGCGGCGTCTACGACATGACACTATCTATGATGGAGGAGCCGTTTGGCGGCTTGAAAGCGATCCCATTCAACGAAGTTATCATTTTGATAATTTCCCTTTTCACAAGACTTCTTCAATAGAAGTTAGTCTGCCTGCACCGATGGATCCGCCTCAGTTCCTCTGGATGTGGAGAAATGTTGCCAGAACCCTTGAATTACTTAAAGAGTCATCATCGCTTCCGCCCCTGATAATTCGACTCCAGGAGGTTAAAGACAATAACCCACATGATTCATATATAAAGGGATGCACTGTCGACGGTGGTTTCGAATTATTTTCCCAACATTGTTACCTGGCGTATCATCGGAATCACGTATTCCGAAATTGGGTTGGTACATGTACAGGGACTACTTCGCTCTTTATCTACAACTCTCACGGACAATATATATATGATATTTTGGTTCTCCCTTTCTACAGCAAGCTGCGAAACGCGACATGCATTCAAGTCGAAGTCGATTGTGAAGCGGTAAGAGATAAAATCGACTGGACAAACATTGAACACGCCAAGGGTGTGCTTTCTAGGAGAATTCAAGGATGTAATTCCTTTAAAAACCATATTTCCGAGCGTGATCTCCATGCGAAAGTCCTTTTTAGGGATTTCCAGGTGCACAACAGCTTGTTCTTTGATCATCTCACCGTTCAAGGAATGTTATCGTCCCTACGGAGCGAATGGGAGTATCGGACCTTCAATTCCATCAGTTACACACCGGAGGGGGGTTTGGAGTCCAGCAACCAGGGGGGGGTGTTTTCCCTCTCCAGACTCTCAACTCGAGCAACCCAAAATAAGCCAGTCACTAACACATAGCATTAGCTGACGCTCGCTGAACTCCGTTCAGAGCCATATCTACTACCTCCAAATCTACCACCAGGTCTGCCTTTAGACCAGCGTTTTTAAACCAGCCTCCAACTCTGGCTGTCGGTCAGTTATTTGACGTGGAATAGCGAAGGTAAGTTGGACAAGATATGCGTTAGAGAAATAAATGCGACTAGTCTATGATTCTCCTAGACTCACATGTCTGCCGGTCAACGAGCTCATTCGTAATACATTTATTGGATTGTTTGAAATCGTGCTTCTGTAAGGAATAGTCACTCCATAGTGACTCCTGATTCTCTTCTAGCAGAAGGCGCGCAGGCCTGTTCTTGGAGCGTAGCTGATTGGAATGCTGCATTGCTTAGACGGCTTAGACATAGCACAGCGAGGCCCCAGCTTACATAATCACACCGGACGAAATACGCCAGCCTAAAACCGTTTCTCCTGTTGAACGAGACGAACACAAGTCGAGATAGGAACGGTTGACGGGCACTCGAGTGAATCAGCGCCTGGACTGGATATAACGACTCTTGAACCCTTTATAATATTTACTAGGCTGTGACGGAACTAGCACAGCACATACATCTACTTGATATCTCTCGCCTTGCCCCTCCGAAACGCTCACCGATACAATGAAGCTCTTTTATATTGGAGTGCGTCTAAACATGCTGCCTGGTGTAGTGCAGTGCTGACGATCCAACTTTAGGTCTTGCGAAATGAGGACAGGCCCGCCGTCGAGCTATGCCGTGAGATGGACCTCAGTAGCTTCTCACGATTCACCAGAGATAGGTATGGCCACCGCTCTCAACCGTCGACCCCCTGACATTTCCCCGGCTAATAATATTGTTCTTTGCAGCTACGGCGAATTCATGACCCTCTTCTGCAAAACGGTTGCCGAACGTACACGCCCAGGACAGAGACAGGATATCGAGGAGAAATCATACACATTCCACGCCTACGGCCGGTCCGAAGGCGTTGCAGGCATAATCATCTCAGACCCCGACTATCCTGCCCTCGTGGCTCATCAGCTTCTCTCCAAAATTGTCGATGAGTTCCTCGTCAAGCACCCTCGCACGTCATTTATTGGCAAGGACGTAGGTGGTCCACTTGACTTCCCGGAGTTGAAGGAGTACCTTGTCAAATATCAAGATCCCAGCCAGGCGGATAGCATCATGAAGATCCAGAAAGAGCTAGATGAGACAAAGATTGTGCTGCATAAGACTATTGAGAGTGTTTTGGAGAGAGGCGAGAAGATTGACAGCCTGTAAGTTGCACCGTATTAACACCGAGCCATGTCCTTGGTGGTGGTCTATGGGCTAACAATCTACCAGTGTTGCAAAGAGTGACGGCCTTAGCGCACAGAGTAAGATGTTTTATGGCCAGGCGAAGAAGCAGAACAGTTGCTGTGTTCTCATGTGATGAACTCTCTATGATGGCTGCGATGATACATTCGTTTTATAATAATTGTCCTTTTCAACGTATTGCTGATATATTTTTTCCCCATGGGTGGTTGTCCATGTTGCTTCATGTCCTTTCCTTGCATGATGAGCTGCATCTAACTATCACGATCTACATAATGTTGAGTTCATTCTAATACAATAATAGCAAGCATATAACTTGCATTACTGTTGAGACACTATCTTCCTAATTCAAATTAATTGATAATATAAAGCCTAAGGGTCCTATTTATCCTTTCTCCAAGGATAGACGTAAAGAGAGGGCTAAGGGTAAGTTTCAAGGTAGTTATGAAATAAGGTCAGTAGAGGCTCCCTTACCTTGATGAGACCTTAGTCTCAAGAACTTGTGGCAGGAACCTCTATGTATATACAGGAAAAATAGTAGTCGTTAAAATTCGTATAAAAAAAATAAGGAATATCCTTCAGGTAAATCGCTTGCATCATGGTATTTGACAGAAAAGAAATATAATAAAACAGGTCCCGAATCAGCCATTAAACAATGTCATCGGCTATCCCCCTACTTCCGCCACGGTGGGTATGTTGATATCGAAATCCTCCGAGTCATCAGCAATACGACCCAGAATACACCTAGTCCAGTCCAAAAGTGGCTGACTTGGCTTCTTCCTATCCCAAGCATACCCCCTCCCTCCATGTTCTCGCAAATGCTCCATAAAGGTGTCTAGATTCCCGTATATCGGCGCAGGCCCTTGGTTCTGGGAGCTGCAGAAGATACACCCGTACCCGTGTACAGGCTTCTCTGTCGGCTTGCTTGGTTTGCACTCGACGTGCGACTTGGCGAGGAAGATCCAGCGGTACCGGTTCCCACTCGGCCCGTGAAAGTGAACTGTCTGGTCGAACATCTGAAGAACACGCATCCCTTGGATAATGGACGTTTTGACAGGGCCTAGCATGGCGGGGAGAACGGGGGCTTTGCCGCTGAATTTAGACTCCTGGACAATTCCTTCGAAGGAGCATTTGGAGCAATGCCAGGAGCTTATGAGCATATACATGCCTACAGGACGGTTGTCGATACGGAATGAGTTCTTCATGCTGTATTGAAGGCGCCAGGCACCCTTGCAGAAGCCCGCGTAGTTGTTTTCTTCCGTGGGGAGGTAGAGGTCTGGTGGTGGTGGGTTGGCTTGCTCTATAGCGCTCTTACTCGCCGATGAGCGGGTGAAGGACTTCCACTTGAACAAGGACTTACTTCCTCCCCCTCCTCCTCCGCCTCCTTGTGACGAAGAGGAAAGAGACATGTGTCTTTCTGTTCCCGGGTGAGGTATTCTTCGGGGATCGTTGGAGCTTGATCGAGAGGACGAGGTGCGAGAGAAGCGGCCGGCACTCAGCTCGACGGCGCTTTGATCAGGTTCGATATGGGGATCACTGGTCTGGCTGAATTTAGAGCGGTCCGGGTATTCGACGCCCTTGGTGCTGGAGTTGTTGGATGATAGAACGCTGTATATGCTGGGAGACTTATTTGACTCTTCTCTGATCATGGGCTGTGACCCCTGCAACTCGGCCAGTCGAGCAGGCGGCGTCCTGAGACCATGGTTAGGATTATGATTATGCGGGGGAGCCTTGAGGTTGGAGTTGTTATTAGGCTGTGGCTTCAAAGGTGGTGAGACGGGGTTGATGCTGCTGGGCGGGGGTTGGTGCATGTAGCTACTGTCTCGCGAGGCTCGGCTTCCCTGATCGGTGGACGATATCGACTTCGGCGGCCTTCGAGGAGGAGAGACGGGTAATAAGGGAGGAGGTTTCTTTAGATCTGGCGAGGGCACGGGTTCGACAGCCTGGCTGTTGCTACTTGCATCTGGGAGGCTCGGTAGGGGGCTCGACGGCGGCGCCGAGCTGGCGACTGACGGTATCTTGGGATGTGTAGTAGGGCTGCCCAAGCTGAGACGCTGGCCGAGCTGGAAGAGACAGATTAACGCATTCACTCTACTCTCGTCAGATGCGCGTTGGAGGACGTCAAAGTCCAGCTCTAGATTGTCTAGCAGGGCCATGCGCAGGGTCCCAAGCAGGGTCAACTGTAGATTGATAACGACGTCCTTGAGCGTCTCGCGTGCGTTCTGGTCTCCATTGGCGTAGGCATTGCCCAGTCGCATCAGATTCTCTTCGTACTGGCCCTGGACGATCGGAGGGCCGAGCATGAGGGAATCCCCAAGGTCGACCAGAGCCGTATTGCTTGCATCTCCCGTCGCCGTCGCCGTCGCCGTCGTAGAAGAAGTAGAAGACGTAGTAGAAACGGCAGTGGTCGACTGGATGCGTTTGACCAGCTTCGCCGCATCATGATATGCGGCCACGACTATATTCACGTTAGCCATCGCCCTCGATCGTTGCAAGCTGGAGACTCACCTGCGGCAACACAGCTGCCTACGGACCGGACGTCCATCGGCGGCTGCGACGACATGATGCTCGACATGGCAGCGAGTCCTTGCCAAAGCGGCGGGTCGGTAGAAGCGCCCTATATACGGTGGAGGTGAGCACGGCGACGATGCCATGGAGAGAGGCAACAGGCAAACAGAACTATACATGAGGCGATGACATCTAGGCGTCTGGAGAAAAGCAAAGCGGGCGCTGGTTCTTCCCCCTGGTCGCTTGAACTCTGCGATACGAGCGTGGAGGCGGCGCTAGACAAGGGCGCTACAACGTAAGGGGCTATGGATAGCGACAGAGAGACTATCAGCTATTTATATTGTTCATGTCATGTCGAGTTGATATCCTTGATGTGAAGTCGTTGATGCGGTTATCCGTCGCGCTACATACGCCCGGTCTTTGTTCATAGATGCGTTGATAACTCGAGTATTATAGGACAACGGGTGTAATGTCCTTGGATGTGCCCCTGACTAGACATGTTGGATAAAGAACGACAATGAAGTAGAAGTGATACTCCGTACATGGGAGATGCAGTTGTAGATAGTAGAGGCCCATACTTTACCCCTATACTTCGATTCACTTTATAAGTAAGGATCTAGATAAAGGAATCAAAGAACCTGGGCGATCTTGGATACCTATCTATCACCGACGAGCCAGAGTATGAGCCAGAGTATGAGCCAGAGTATCAGACAGGGCTTCGGACATCTCAAACCATGCCAGTGATGCCAGGGGCTGCAGTCCAGAACCTGGAGACTCCAACTCCAACGTCGAGGCCAGCATAGTTAGTTGGCTACATGCGGAGTCTCTCGATTTGCCCCCATCTAGTTGATAGGAAGCGAGGGTCCAGCCAAAGGTATAGGTGCCGATACTTGTCTATACACTTTCACTTGCAAAAGGGGCAACTAGTCTCGCTTCCTGTCGACACTCGGTATCAGGACCCAGCTCAGTCCCATGAGCACGATTAGGCCGACGAGCAGCGGTTGCAGGACACCGACGCCTGCTTTTGAGGCGATGGCCCCGGTGGCAGCTGGGAACACCGTCCCTCCGGCCTGCGCGACGACGAAGATGAGCCCTGACGTTCGAGTTAGTGAATGTATAAAATAGATCTAGGTTAGCGGTTAACTTTACCAAGTGCCGCCGTGTGGAGTTTGGTCGGTATCAGCTTGGATGCAACAGACATTCCCTGCATCGGTCAGTCATCTATATCATCCTAGTAGCAACAAGGAGGGGGTGGAGAGAGTATCATACCGTCGCGAAAAAGGGACCGGATAAGAAGCCAAACACGCTAACCACCACACCGTCGGCAATGATGCTGTTGACCTGCCAGAAAACTACCTGCAGAGCGAGGCAGCACAGGCAGCAGACCAGTATCACAGGCTTCTCGCCCAGCCGATGGGCAGGTTCAGCGAGGAGCAGCCGGCCGAGCATGATGCCCCCAAAGTAGCCCGTCGGGACATAGCCGACGCGTGAGAGCTGTCCCCTGCGCTCTTGCACGAGATATTCGACCAGCCAGCCTGTATAGACATGGTTAATCCAAGGTTGATGCAGCTTGAAGGGCGTAGAAGGGGGCTTACCACCAACCGTAACAGCGACACCGAGATAGAAGAAGTAGAACAAGCTGAGAAGCCAGACCACTTTGCACTGCAGGGTGAGCTTCATCTCCGTCCATGCCTTGCCTTCTCTGCCTTCTGACGCCGGAGTCGTCCTCCATGATATTGAGATGGAGATGTCCTCGCGAAACGCCCACCAGGCCAGGGCCAAATTCACCACCCCGAGCCCACCGGGTACGAGATAGAAGAACCTCCATTGACTGGTATGCGTCGCAATCAACGAGGCCAGCAGAGGCCCGACTAGGCAACCTGCACTGTAGCTTGCATGAATCACGCCCAGCCATCTATGGGCGCCCTCCAGGCTGGAAACGAAGACGTTCGCCTGCGCATCCTGATATCCCTGGCCCACGGCCGCGAAGATAAAGGTGATGGCAAACAGCACGAAAGGTGGTGTCTACATTCCTGTTAACACCAAGTAGAGCTTTAAGATGTATGGTCACTCACCCAGAACCTCAAGCCATGCGCAAGAAGCTGTGCAGCAGCTCCAGCGATTAAGGCGCCCCCCAGGCCTGTAGATGAGCGTATCCAGCTGCCCGTCAGCGCAGCGATGAGCCAGCCGATGAACGAGAGGCCCCAGATGAGGCCGACGGAGGATGGAGTGAGGCCGTAGGAGCGTAGTAAGTAGGGGACCAGGGCACCCAAGCTGCCATCGTTGACGCCGGCGACGAGGAAGCAGAAAGCTGCTGCAAGTAGTTTGGCTACCGGCGTCTGTTTCTTTGCCTCTGTTTCTATCTCTGGTTGTCTCTCCAACTCAGTATCTGGCTGGGTATCTGGTTGAATGTTTGGCTGGCGGGAGAGCTCGATGGCCTCCTGAGTATGGAGAGCTGCCATGGTATATCCGTCTCTCACTGTTCGCTTTCAGATACACTATCGAGAAGGATTCTCTCTTCTATTTATCTCGCCATGCTGAGAGTTGGGATGGACACGAGATACGGGGTACGAAGTACGATCTATATCTACTGCAGAGATCGGCAAGATGTGTGGTCTCCCTGCATCTATACACTTGGTAACTTGATCCAGCATCTATTGATAACGGATTATACGGAGGCTTCTACCAAAGAACTCTTAGATTCGCTCAAGATATATTTCCAGGAAGTAAATACAGACTTATCTTCTACTTTCTACTCTTGTTGTAAAGGGGTGTGGTAACATATCTCATGCATGCCTTAGTAGCTGACAATAGAATTGAATCTGGGCTATGGGTGAAGATGAGCTTTATGCAAAATATGTAAACACCAGACTAGCTATCTTCCCACGGTCACTCTTTTCCAGCTCTCATTACTCTCCCTGGCTCTGGCTCCCATCCATTTGCTGGTGTTTTTGAGCGTGGATGCCTCTACCAAAGCCCTCAAGGGCACCTATATTCATCCCTTTTCCTAAGAACACGTCCAAGGGAAAGGACAAAGCCGAAGTAGGCTATATACAACATAAATAAAGGCCAAAACCATCCGTTAAAAAGGGGCAATGGCATGGTATCACAGCTTCGATAGATTCCTCTCCGCCGGCACAATCAGCGGATCATATACGCTCCGCGATAGATGATCTACGGGCCCCGAGACAGAATGCACCGATAGCCCTCTGGTGTCTAACAGATCCGGTCCGAGCTGGTCGATACTCGTACAGCCCAGCAGACGCATGTTCATCTCCATCTCGTCCTTGAGCAGCTGCATCGCTCTCTCGACTCCCTCGGTACCGTACGCACTCATGGCATAGAGGAACGGCCGCCCGATACCGACTCCCTTTGCACCGAGACATACGGCTTTGATGATATCCGTCGCCCTTCGGATGCCGCCGTCGATGTAGACTTCGATCTTCCGTTCCCAGCCCCTGGCGCGCAAGGCAGTCATGACGTCTGCCAGCAGCTCGATGGCTGGCGGGGCGTATTCGAGCTGTCGTCCGCCGTGGTTGGAGAGGACGACTGCGTCCATACCCGCCTCCACGGCACGCAGGACGTCGTCCACTCGCTGTACGCCCTTGAGGGCTATGGGCATGGAGGTCAGGGAGCGGAAGAAGGGCAGGTCCTTCCAGGACAGACTGGGATCGATGAAGGAGGAGATGGCGCGGGCAGCACCCTGGGAGCGGTCGACGGCTCCGGCGCCACTGGTGGACTGCACATTTGAGCCCTGGTCGGCGAACTTGGAGCGCATGTCCTTCTCACGACGACCGAGCTGCGGTGCGTCGACTGTGATGAACAAGCCCTTGCACCCGCGGGCTTCGGCGTGTTCGACGATGCGGCGGGTGATTTCCCGGTCCTTGTTGACGTACAGCTGCAGCCACTGGGTCTGCTCAGGGGTTTTGGCGTCCACGATCTGGTCAAAGGAGCACGAAGCAAGGGTTGGGATCATCTGGACGACATCGTGAGTTGCTGAGGCGCGGGTGAGGCAGACCTCACCGTCGGGATGGCCCAGTTTACCCAGAGCAGTGGCCGTGACGTAGAAGGGAACGGAGACGGGGGTTCCCAGCATAGTAGTTGAGATGGAGACCTGCTCGACGTCGATGAGGATTCGCGGACGGAACCAGATCTTGTGGAATGCCGTGTGGTTCTCCCTCATTGTCTATACTTGTTAGCACTGTCATATCTAATATTTGGCATGGTATATGGCATAGGTACCATCTCGTCCTCCGTGCCGCTGGAGTAATATCCCCAGGCGGTCTTCTTCATGACTCTCTTCGCCACGGCCTCAAAGTCCATCAGATTGTAGCATTGATCCAGCTGCGGCATCCTCCTGACACGCTCCAGGCGCTGTTCCTCCTCCGGGTCGACGGCCTTCTCCTCCACCGCCAGCGTGCTCATGTCGACCGGTCCGAGGTGCTTTGAGCGGTCGAGATACTTGTCCAGCGTGTCCGGCGGGTGAATTGGGTCGAACTCGGCCGTTGCATCCTTGCCGGCGTATTTCAGGATGATCTTCTGGCCACCGGGGTGTTCTATCTCAGTTAGATATGCCGTATAGACCGTATACACCGGGGAATGGCATACCTGGAAGAAAGTCCGTAACGTCGTACGCTTTGCCATGGACAACGACCCAGCAGGACGCTGTCGAGCTGTGCTCTGCGACCTCTGCGCCTGTGAGCTTCCCCATCTCGTCTCTTCTATCTCGTCTCTTATATCTCTTATATCTCGTCTGTCTCGTCTGTCTCGTCTGTCTCGTATCTCGTCTGTATGTCTGTCTCGTCTATCTCGTCTATCTCGCCAGGTCTAAGTCAGCAAGGACACGACGCAGCTTTATACCAGCCATCGCCGTCTCGCACGAGAAACAGCGTCGTCCGGCTTGCGGGACGGGGAGAAAGTGTGGATGAGCTTGAAGTTCCTCGGCTTCTATCTCGGCCTGTGGACTTACATCTATACACACCACGACAACCAGCCAGACACAGAGATGCAGCAGACGCAGATACAGACGGACATACAGCGGCAGACAGGGACTTACGTTGCCAGTACGGAACAGCGTTTCAGGTCTATTCGATCGAGATAGACGAAGGGAGCTTCATGTTTCAGCCGGGGCAGCAAACCGTGGCTGTTCCACCGTGGCTTGCGCTAGGATGCAGCCTCACCGTCATATCAACAACAACTCCAGGCATAAACACAGATATAAACCAGCACCGCTCCCCTTCTTCGACATGTAAGGCAGCATGAGCAACAGCCTGGAAGCAAAGATCGTCGTCCTCGGCGCCCAGGGTAATACTCGTCCCTGTCTATTCCTTGATGGTGATCGTGATGTGATGAGATAACTGACAAGAGTACGGAGTAGGCGTCGGGAAGACATCGCTGGTGCAGCGGTACGTCAAGAACTCGTTCAACAGCTCTGCCACGGCCTCTACCGTCGGCGCCTCCTTCGTCACCAAGCGAGTGCTCGACACGACCTCAGACACCATCGTGCGGCTGCAGATATGGGACACCGCCGGCCAGGAACGATTTCGCAGCATCTCGAGGCTGTACTACCGCGGAGCCCACGCGGGACTGCTCTGCTACGACATCACGGACGAGCGAAGCTTCGACGAGATGCGCGGCTGGCTCGTCGAGCTCAAGCAGAACCTTCACGACGGCGAGGACGGGGACGAGTGGCCGCTCGTCATACACGTCGTTGGCACCAAGTCGGATATCGTGGCAGACGACCCCGCCCGCCGCCGTGTCCCCTTTGAACGGACGATAGCATACATCGCCGAACAGCTCTATCCCTCGCAGGCATCGACGCCGCCGCCGAGTTCAGGCATGGGCATGGGCATGGGCATGGGCATGGGCACGGCCGGCATGGGTGTGGGCGGCGGTGCAAGTGCAGGCAGCATCCCCGGCGCAGCAGGGCACGGCAGCAGCAGTCTGGCACCGGACAGCAAGCGAAACAGCGGCTTCTGGGGCCAGGATATCGGCTGGGACTGCTGCCACGAGATCAGCAGCAAGGACGGCGAGGGCATCGACGAGGTCTTTCGCGTCATCACCCGCAAGCTAGTCGAGCAGCGGAACCGCAGAGAGAGGGAAAGCGATGCAAAGCAGAATCCCAGCGTACGGGCGCGGTCGAGGGCGGGCAGGACGTCCGGCGATGCAGACAAGCGGAGGAGCTGGCTGAGCTTCCCGCCGACGCTGGTCGTTGGAGATGCGGATGCAGACGAAGACGGTGAAGAAGAGGCCGACGGAGGACTGCTCGATACCACGCAGCGGAGGAAGAGGTGCTGCTGATCTACATTCTACATGACTACGACGTGGCGTTGGTGTATATGGAGTTATTTGTATTGCTTGATAGACGGCGGACGGTTGCATTTCTGGTTCATGGTGTACAGCTAAGCGACTCGGGCATCTCAGGCGTAGATAATGAAGTCTTTCCGTGATAAGCAGACAATCAGAAGTATTTGAAAGTGATATCGTAGACAACGGCTCATGATTGAAAGTAGAGTTATATATCCACGACTATCGGCCCAGCCACGATCCTCTGCCCCCGTACGTCCATACATGCCGGGTTGATCATCCAGCCTTCTCTCCCCAGCGGCCGCTCTCCCCCCCAGACTCTCGTCCAGATCACTCCCATGGCGGCACCAAAGACCACTCTGACGGCATCCCTCCACGCCCAGCAGACGCTGACCAGGTCCCTCACGACCGACCACCGGTGAAACAGCCACCACGCCCAGCTCCGGTCCCCGCGAGCCCATAGCATCCCCAGCTCCCGCCGTCGATGGCACATCAGCTCCCACGCCCGCTGTGCATCGTCGTAGTAAACTCGCTCTACCCCACGGCCGCCGTGCGTGTGTCCGAAGACGTGCAGTGCAGGCTTCACCCGCCACGCCGCCTCGAGGAGGTACGCACACCCAATGCTGTTGGGGAACAGGTCTCCATGGTGCAGCGGCGGACTGTGGGAGACCAGTATGTCTGTCTCTGACGGTACGGGGGTTGGCCAGGGCAGTCCGACGTGATATGGCGGATACTGGAAGGCGTGTATAGTGACGTGCGGTTCCAGCTGCGGCACCTGAGGGATGCCATGGACCGTAAGTGTTCGAGAGGAAGAAGTCGAGCCGAATGATAGAGTGACGGTAGAATTCTGGAGATAGTGTATCCCTCCCCAGTTGATGGTCTCTTCAACATCGACATCGTTGGCCGCCGCTATCTTCCCACGCACGCTCTCGTCCAGCCATCCGTCATGGTTCCCGGCCACGACGACCTTGTGTCTGTGTGGGAGCGAGTTCAGCCAGTCTGCGGCCTCCTGTATCTGGGCTGGTGTGCCCAGGTCCGTCAGGTCACCGGCGTGGATGAGCACGTCGCCATCGGGTATCTCCTCGACCGAGCGGTGCTGGGAGTGCGTGTCCGACAGACAGACGACGCGGACGGCCGGCTGCGAGGGCGAGCGAGTGTACGGCGGCGCGCGCAGGGCAGAGAGAAGCCCGTATACAGGCCGGAGGACGCAGATGAGCGGCGAGGCGAGGAGTTGAGTCCCCAGCGACGGAGGATCCCACGGTACCATTTGTATGTAGATGTATCTCAGCTATCTGCGTATCTCAACCGTGCCATCCTGTATACTTATACTTGTGTAGATGTTGATATATGTAGTTGGTGTATGTCGTTGTTGATATATGTTGGTGTTGATGTAGGTGTTGGTGTAGTAGATGTATGTTGTGTATGCTGTAGAATGAAACACCAAGATATCCTCGACCACCGCCAACTTCACCTCAACTTCAGCTTCACTCTTCACCACCCTTCGTCTTCTTCTGCTTCCTCCTCCTCCTGCTCAGGATCTATCTCTGCTGCCGTCTCGCTGTCTCGTCTGCTTCTCGCTATCGCCTCGCCGTGATCAGCGCCTCCACAGCCCCCACCACCAGCTATCTTCACCTTCATCTCTGCACTCTTCATCTATCCTCCAGTCCTCGCCATCCTCGCCGTTCCTACATCCTGATGCTCTCTCCAGCGCCGAGTACTCCGGCCTGCGTGTAGAATTGGCCTTAGCCTTCTCGCCTGCTCCCATATCTGCTCCTCCACAGCCACCATTGGGCATCTCCTGGGCATTCTACCTCCTCGACCATTGACGCCGCCCGACGATGAATGGCGGCGACCTGAAGAAGGCTGCAAACGCCGCTGCAAACGGAGCCGTAGGGAAGAAACGCAGGAAGGCTTCGGATCTCAAGCCTATCATCACCAACGAAGAGACTGATCCCGCCGCGGCCATGCCTAGCTCCCAGTCTGCGTATTTTTATCCCTCTCCCCCTCCTATCCCCCATTTCCCCTTCCGCCCAGATATCAGACTCCTCTTCTCCGGCCTGGCACTAACACCATGTCTAGACAAAAATTCTCGTACAGCTCGCCCCTGTCGCGCGCCTCCTCGTCTTCCACCGACGGGGACGTGGACGCCGCAGACGAAGAAGACTCCGAAGACTACTGCAAGGGCGGCTACCACCCCGTCACCGTGGGCGAGACCTACAACAACGGGCGCTATATCGTCGTCCGCAAGCTCGGCTGGGGCCACTTCTCAACCGTCTGGCTCTCCCGCGATACTACGACGGGGAAACATGTGGCCCTCAAGGTCGTGCGCTCAGCAGCCCACTACACGGAGACCGCCATCGACGAGATCAAGCTGCTCAACCGCATAAACAACGCCAACCCGAACCACCCGGGCCGCAGGCATGTCGTCAGCCTGCTCGACTCGTTCGAGCACCGTGGACCCAACGGTGTGCACGTCTGCATGGTCTTTGAGGTCCTGGGCGAGAACCTGCTCGGTCTCATCAAGCGCTGGAACCACAGAGGCATCCCAATGCCACTCGTCAAGCAGATCACCAAGCAGGTTCTCCTTGGACTAGATTACCTGCACCGGGAGTGCGGCATCATCCACACTGACCTGAAACCCGAAAACGTGCTGATCGAGGTCGGCGATGTCGAGCAGATCGTCAAGTCGTGCGTCAAGGACGAAGAGAAGAAGCACGACGGCAGAGACGATAATCGCAACGGCCGAAGAAGGCGGAGGACTCTGATCACGGGCAGTCAGCCTCTGCCCAGCCCGCTGAGCGCCAGCTTCAGCGGAGGGGACCCTTTCCGCAGCGTCCCCCCGTCCATGCAGAGTTCCCACAGCAGCCTTAATCAGGTTCTCGCCGAATCCCCTCGTACGTGCGCCTATCTATATTTCTTGACTCCATTGCTGATAGATTCTAGTAGTCTCCGCCACTCCTACCACTCCGGTGCCGCATTCTATGAAAGATAAGCTAGGTATAAAGGAGCCGGACGCGGCTGCTGATGAAAAACAAAAACAGAGAGAAAAAACTACGTGAGTGATGCGGATTCTACAGCAGAACTCGTCCCTCGTATACTGACTCTCGCAGCGACCTGCTTGAACGAGAAGTGTCAGGCATCTCCCTCAATAAGGACACAGACCAGACCATGGCAGACGACCAGTATAACATCGACATCATCTCTGTCAAGATAGCCGATCTTGGCAATGCCTGCTGGGTCGGACACCACTTCACCAACGACATCCAAACCAGACAGTATCGCTCCCCGGAAGTCATTCTGGGCGGTAAATGGGGCGCCAGTACTGACGTCTGGAGCATGGCTGCTATGGTAACCCATCTTCCTGCCCTGTTCTGTTCCAGCTACTAACGTTCAACTAGTCGTTCGAACTCATCACGGGCGACTACCTCTTCGACCCCCAGACTGGCACCAAATACGGCAAAGATGATGACCACATCGCCCAGATCATCGAGCTGCTAGGCCCCTTCCCCAAATCTCTCTGCCTCTCCGGAAAATGGAGTCAAGAAATCTTCAACCGCAAGGGCGAGCTCCGCAACATCCACAGGTTACGCCACTGGGCCTTGCCGGACGTTCTGAGGGAAAAATATCATTTCTCCGAGGAGGAGGGTAAAGCGGTTTCGGACTTTTTGACGCCCATGCTCGAACTCCTGCCGGAACGAAGGGCGAATGCAGGCGGGATGGCCAACCACAAGTATCTCGACGGCACGAGAGGAATGGATCATATCTCCTTGAACATTCCCGTCGGCAGTCGGGGAGAGGGGATCGATGGCTGGGCGTGCGAGGTCAAGAGGAGGTGAATCCGCTCGGCCGACCATCGAAGCTTTATACGGCGTTTTTTTATCTTGGTACCCCCTTCCGCTCTCGACTGCACGAACAGTCGTCTTGCCGCTGGCTCCCTGCATTAGTATTGGCTTATTAAGGTTAATTGATTCCCCCAAACTCCTGGCTCGTCGAACGATGGTGATGTTGATGGTGATGGATGGATGGGGTTGGAAGGATGGACTAACTGCATGGTTGATCAGTTGGATCATCATGGTTAGATAGATAGAGTTGTCGTGCTAGTGCTTTGCCATGCTGCGGGTGCTGTTGGTCTCGTTATACTTCTGATGTTATACTTTGGGCGGGCGATATATGGTCGGCCACGATGGTGATGAGGCGTGGTGGTTATAACGATGATGCTGCAACCAGGGGGTTGGTTGGATTGGGATATAGGTCTCCTCACGCTCACTCGGCCTACAGACAAACAAACAAACACATTCTTTCCTTTTAAAATAGGTGAGAAAAGAACGTATGATTGGACGAATTTCATTTCATACATATGGTGGTTATATATCTTTTTTTTTCTTCTTCTTCGTCCGTACTTATACAGGGTGAATCGAATTAAGGGGGGTGTTTGAAGCTATATACTTCTAGATTGTAATACATCCTCCCATTGGTATATGAAGTCCCAGGAGGTAGTATACTACTCATCCATCTGCCATGCATACTCCAGGTTCTCTATCCTGCCTCGTCGATTCCGCGCCTCGAACCATTTATGTTCAAACCCATTACTCCTATCCACGCCATCCCACCTGAATCCAGCCCGGATGCCATATCGATTCGGCGGTGATGGCCCTTTATACACCTTCTTCCCAGCGCCGGAGCTGACACCAGCGACAGCACCACCACCGCCGCCAGAAACCTTCGGCTCAGACAAGAATGCCGCTGCAGGATCATTCCACCGTTGTCTCGCCTTCAATTCCATATTTAAATCCTCGTCCTCCGCCGTTCGTGCAAGCGGTATAAATTTCGCCTCCTCCAACGCTACACGGCGAGCCTCTCTCTCCTCCCTCTGCACATCACCAGTCAACGCTTCTTTCGCAGCCCGTTCAGCAGCTGCCGCCTCCTCCGCCGCCTTACGCGCCTCAGCTCTCTTCATCGCAACGTTTATTATCCGTCCAGACGCATCTCGATAGATCGTTTCCGATTCCAGACTGACTTCCTGCTTCCCTTTCTTCTTCCTATCCTTTCGTAGCTTCTCGGCTTCCAGAGCCTGTTGCTTTTCCTGCGCAGCTACCATGGCCGCCGTATCAGCTGCTGTTTGCAGACCGGCTCTCATCCCAGATTCCATTCGCGGCGCCGAGTCATCTTCGTTGGCTATCGTAGGTCTATCCTCGTCAGCATCCATCTCTGCTGCCCGCTCCGCAGCCGCGGAGGCTAATATTGCATCTGCTGCTATCTGGTCGTCGTTCGTCGGAGGCGTAGGCCCAGCCACAGTCTGCCATTGCGAGGACTTGGATTTCCGAAATTCGCTGCTCGTTCCCCCCCTCACAGCGTATGTCATTTCATCATCTTCGTCTACATCACTTCCATCACCACGCTGGTGTCTAGACTTGGATGTCTTGGTCGAACTAGAGAATAACGGCGGGTCGTCATCTGCGATTATCAGTCCACCGCCGCTGCCTGCCTCGCGTTCAGCATGCTTGTTCTTCTTGCGCTTCTTCTTAGGCCGGTCTGAGGATAGTGTGTCGGCCGTCAGGTAGTTCTTTGCTAGGTAGTCAGCGAGAGACATTGTGCTGGATGTGATGTGAGCTTGTGATGGAATCACATTTGCTCTTTGGAAGCTCAGTTGATAGTAATCAGCTGATGTAAGCACATATCTACGCGTTATATCGGGGTATACCTAGTTCTTCTTCTTGCTAAGAGTTATGAGTATATCTGCTGAAGATGAATATTTAGGCTGCTAACCTGCTGGGGATATATAATATAAAGGTACCTATATATGTCTGGTAGATAGGTCAGGGGCTAGCTCTGGCAAAGGAGATACCCAGCTCGTTACCAATGGCCTTAATACTATAATATCCTGGAGTAACAGCTTTAATATACTGGCGGTTACTTACATGCTTAGACATCAGGCTGTATACCAGAATATGAGGGTTTAAATGTAGTTAGAACTAAGCTGAATTGAACGCTGAAGAGTAGTATGTTTAAAGGCTAAGAACACAATGCCTAGGGCTAACCCCTTATATCGACGCTGAATCTCATAGTAGGAGCTTAGCTCGTACTATTCTTAAGCATAGAGGGGCCTTGAAAGAGACAAGAAATCAACTTCACAAAGCAGGGAAAGTTCGCATATCAGTAAGCCTAGCTAAGGGCAATATCCGTCGAAGATTTGCAGTCATCTTAGACCCTAGTAAGATGGGAGATATTTGTCCGCTTAACTACCCTTTGCCTCCAGCTACAGGCTCTAGGCCAAGTTGGGATCGACTGCCAGCCCCATTTCATCTTGTTCGCCAACGATCTCTGGGGGAATAGTGACTGGAATCTGCAGCCGCCGAGCTACCTCTTGGATAACCTTCACGCGATGGTCAAGTGTGGCAGCACCACCGGCGAGCTCAGAAAGGTCATCAGCAGAGACTGATTCATCCACCAGAGATGAGATTGACGGCGCCAGCAATTCGAGGTTTGCTCTAGAAAAATGATAGTTGACAATTGCATTTGTAACCAACTCGGTCCTCACAGTCATAGCTGTTTCGACTTGTGACATTTGGCCCCGCAGTCCCTCCAGCTGCGACTGCGACCGTTTTAGGCTTGCCTTTAACGCATCTACTTCATATTCAAGCTCAACCACGCGTTCACTATCTTTCGTATCATGTAGCAAGACTATTTTGCATGCCCTCTTGTCTGTGTCGGAGCTCTTTTTCGCCTCTGCATCCTTGGGTTCGTCAACTCTGTCATTTACAGACAAGATGAGCATGGACTTCATTGGCCTCCCACAGCTTTGGTGTGTAATGTGGTGAGGCTGTGCCGGACGCACTTGATTGCCGACATTCCACGAGATACGGTTTCTTTTAATTTTGCCGTCCGAATTGAAATCTGCTGGCCAGTACAATCCTAGCGCTTCCTTTGCCATGTTGCCTTTGGCCGCCCATTTTGATAAAGCTGTCACCTGAGCATCACTGAGCAGGCGATAGAATGGAGGTAGATTTATAGAAGAAAGTTTGTTTTCTTCTATCGTGTATTGGAATGGTTGGAAATAATCAAAGTCCATCGATGAGACTCCATCCATCCATTCGAAACCCTCCCGGTCGGTAGTGACATTTGGAAGTCCGAATCTGGGCAACTTGGTTGCACGACTTCGTTTTTCTGTCATATTTCTAGAAAGAGACAGGCCTGTGGAAGGAGGGTCGAAGAAAAGAAGAAGTGAGATAGTCGTACTTTGAAACGCCTTTAGGCCGAATCAGATTGAGAGATGGTGTGTGAATGAGAGAAAAGAAAGAGAAGAGAAACCTTCTCTGGGAGCTGTAAACGGTATCGAGTTTCAGTTTTTGAGAGAAACGGGCTGTCTTGTATTCATATGGCTGGCTAAACAGCAGTAAAGAGAAGGTATCGTCCTCAGCTTCAGTTAACTTGAAGCTGAATAGGCAAAGCTAAGTGAAAGCAGAGTTGTAGCCGTCGACTATTCTCCTTCACTGTAAGAGAGAGAAAGACCCATAGGTATAACGGGACCTTGCTCGTAGTTGAGGTTGCTGTGAGGTTGTTACTGTGAGACTGGTGTTTTGAGAAGTGAGGTTGAGGTTAAGGTCGAGGAGAAAGGAGTAAACTAACCTTAATTAACACTTTTAACTAGTTAACTAGCGAGATATCGACTCATCTCGTATTTATCTACAGTCACCAACTAGCTAGTAAACGAAACATCTATGAATCTGGCCAGTCCCTGTATATTCTAACTAGCTTATAGCGTTTGACTCATCATACTTCACTGCAGTCACACCGAGATAGAGAAGCATGGCGCGTACAGACGAGGCCGAGTGGTGGTTCAACGCAGTGTACGAGGCCGTCCAGCAGATCCCCCACGGCAAAGTAACCTCTTACGGCCATATTGCTCGCCTGCTAGGATGTCGTAAGTTTCCCCCGTCTCCCATCACATCTGGAATGATAGGTGGTGGCTGACTAGAGTAGCTCAGCGGCCTCGACAGGTTGGGATCTGCCTCAAACACCTGCCGTCGAGTACGGAGGAGTTTTACAATAACGACAATGTGCCGTGGCAGCGGGTTATCAATTCGAAGGGGATGATTTCTCATCGGTATGTGAGCTCGCTGCCTTGAATCACACCACTATAGGACTTTAGGAGTTAACCATGGGGCTGTTTCAAAAGAGGCCCAGGCTCGGCAGCTAGACAAGCAGCAGCCCTCGAGCTAGAGGGCATTACTGTACGGTCCGATGCCATGAACGAGTTCTACATCGATATGGCGCAATTCGGATGGTTTCCGGATCGGCTACCCAATGAAGAGAACGAGGAGGAGGGTGGTCCGGAGACTCCCGACGTTGGAGATGGGGATAGAGATCAAGGATAGCAGTGATACAATTGTAAACAAGATTAATTTTTAAAGCCAACATCCATCCAACAACCTGAACTACGTAACCGACTATGCCATGTCTATCCGATGTCCAACCCGTGCGCAGGCAGAGGCGACCCCCGATGGTTTCTTGTATGCTTCGTATGCAGGTTGCAGCCATTCTGGAGAAAGCATGGGAGAGCTTGGTGTAGCCTAGTGCTTGAGCAGGACAAGCTGATTCGCGCTATCCTTCCTGACAGCCCGGGTGCATGAACGGTTATCAATAGGAGCTCGGAGCGCGAAGTAGGAACCCTAGCTAGCAAGGTAAGAGCATCGATGCCGGTTCAGCATATGCAACGAGTCATCCCCGAGTGAGGAGTAAGCTGCTGGCTGTGCCGCCATCATCGAATGACAGCCGTGGAGAGGAGGTGGTGGGCGGACAGGCGTTTGGGATGAGTCTCCGCGAGGCTGCCTATCGGCGTGGCTAGGCCTCTGTCCAACGGCGCAGTGGCAGGGCCCACGTCTCAGATCAACACAGCCATTTCTGATAGACCAACCTCCGCTATCAACCTGACTCATCCGTGGCATCTTCTCTTCCCTTTCCAATGTTGTCTCTCTTCCCCTTCTCCCGTCTTCCTATCTTCGTCTTATCTTCGTTATCTCCGCGGCCAAAACAGGCTACATCGTGCTGACATAAGCCGTAAGTTAATGTAAGTTCCTGTAATCCCGGTACCATAAATACAGTCCGAGGCAGCCACCACGTGACGTGCATGGGGGGAACTTGGGGGAAACTTGGGAAACTTGGGGGAAGGCCCGCCTGTCGTCATCGCTGCGGGTGGTTTCGCCGTTACCAGGGGGAAGGATGGGCGATGATTCACCTTGTGACTCCGACGCCGCTATCTTTCGCGAGCCCTCGTCCAGCTGGAGATATATAAGGGTCATGACCTGGACAGCCAGTCGACAGTTGACCTTTCATTCTCCATTCTCCAGGACAGACCTACCTTCCTCCATATTATCTTTCCTTGATCGCCACCTAATAGACTATTGCCCCAGCTCGACCCTCCTTTGTTGTCCCTCCTCGTTCGATAAACGGAATCCTTATCTCGAGTTAACCGCCCGCACACGCAAGAGGGTGTCTCCTCGCAGTACTCTCGGTACATCAGGTAGTGAGCTGATACCTTGGCCATGACTCGAAGCTCCCACCTCACCGGACGTACTCGAGACGCCCGCAAAGCCGCCGCCGCCTTCAAGGCCAGCGTCAAGTCGAAGAATGTCAACATGTCACAGCTTGTACCTAGCACCCGGCCCATGAGAGGCCAAAAGGGTACACGGGTCTGCCGTCATCGCCCGAGAGCCCTCCTCGAGTACTCTGGGTATGTTCTACCATCCCTGCTGTGTGCCGGCTGCCGTCTAACGGGTGTGTCCCTTCTAGATCCCCCACCTCCCAGTCCAAGCTTCCGGTCAAAGTATCGATCCGACGTGCACTCGACGAGGCAGTAAGGGAGACCCGCGGAACCGAGTCTTCCTCCGACGAGGAAGAGTTTGACCCAACCGTCACACCCGAGGAACCAGAGCTATTCTACTCCTTCGACGCGCATGTTAGTCCTGCCGAAGGTGGCCATGTTCTCAGCGCCGCCGTCATTCGAGCGGTAGACAAGTACGAGACCAAGCAGACCGAGAAACTCGCGCGAGAGTACGAGTTCATCGGGGTGATGGACTCCAACGACCTTGACGAGGGGTATGGTGGCTACGACGAGGGGTTCGAGCTCATCGAGCCTGTGAACTATTAAGCCACGCGTTGGTTTTCCCTATGTCTGTACAGTTTTCTTTGGACGTCTTTCACGAATTTTGCGACGATGATTTCCGGATGGATGGTTCCACCGACTTGCCGGCTTGGAACATACCTTGCCCAGTGCTGCGTACTGTGTTGATCCAACCCCTCGCACGGCGTTTCTTGATGACATGACTTGTACCAGTATACCCTGCATTGTGTTTGCCTTTTGTGCCTGTGTTTGTTATTGCATGTTGGCGCTCACCCGAGTCACTCTTTTTGAGGTCCTCGTCGGTCGACGGGACAGAGCACCTGGTGCTGAGACTAGTAATTCAAGCCAGCCCAAGGCTGCGCCTTATCACTGATATCATTATCCCTGTGTCTGAGACTGGCAGTGTTGACGTTGTTGACAGTGTTGAGGGTGAAAACGCTTCATCCCACCTCGAAATCGTCTTCAGTCTGTGGGCTTACCTAAGAACTTACACAATCACCTTAGTAATACATTACATAATCATATTACCTAATAGTTACCTAATCAATATACACGCTAAACCCTAAAAGGAACTTATAACCACCCTATGCGCTGTGATTGGTCAGCACGCCAAAGGGGAAGGACGAAGAAGTTCGCGATGTCGAACCTGTCCAAGATTCCCGCAGCCTCGACTAGCAACTCAGCGTCCCAATGTCCGGTCTGGCTTCTGGGCTGCGATTGACAGTCGACCCTTGTTAGTGTTTGAGTCGCCTTCGCCATGCAGACGGATGTGCAGAAACGGCGATCGCGCTCCGGTTGCACCGAGTGTCGCCAGCGGCATCGCAAGTGTGACGAGAGGAAGCCTGCATGCACAGGGTGTGAGCGCGCAGGCAAGCAGTGCACCTATACCTTGCGGCTCTCATGGGGCGGCCGGCCGTTCTCCAAGTCGCGTTTTGGCGAATGCATGAAGAGTGATCCCAGTCTCGTCCAGCTGCCGGTAGTGTCTTCTTCAGGTATGGGTTGTTTTATCCACCGGCTGCTAATATAACAGCTCTCTTCTACCCCGTACCCCGTACTCCATATACATGCAGGCCCCCCGGGGGGGGTTTTGCTACGGCAGTGCCACATGGACTCTTTAACACGTTTGTGAGGCTAAAATTTTTATTATATCTCTGTAGGAAATCCAGCGTTTATTTATGGGTCTAAGGCGGGAGAGCGTTCCTCAAGCTCTGTGGATGCCCCGGTGGAACAGTCGCAGGGGCAGATTCTACGATGTAAGGCCCCACTCTATGCGGAAATCGATGCCCCAGAATCCTGGTTATATACTGATGATTATTAATTTCCCGTCTTATATATAGTTGATATAGATGTAAAGGACGCGTCGTTGGTGTCTCCGCCCCTTTCGTCGGCTTCGGACGACTCGTTGGACGTCGGCGGCCGTCTCGTCAAATACAGCCCGTCGTCTGATATCAGGCCCAACCCGTTCGAGTTCAGCTGGCTGCCGAAACAGCAGCGTAACTTGCTCGACCATTTCATGTCATGTACAACCCTATCGATGTCGTGTCATTCGCCAATCCAGGATATGTTCTGTAGGGTCCTCGTACCCATGGCCATGCAGACCCCTCATCTACTCGGGGCCCTTCTTAGCCTTGCAGCTACTCACAGATTGACCCTGGGCATGGATCAAAGCATGTCGGAACTCAATTTCTTAAAGCTCACTAGCTTGCGTCAGCTGCAGGAGGCTTTGGCTAAACCTGGGGGGAACATGGACGAAGCTATAGTTGCAACTACACTCACACTCTGTCACGCCGATTTCGTCTCAGATGGACGAAGTCCTGGGTCTTGGCGCTCGCATCTGCAAGGGACTACCGCGATTATCGCCGCGTATCTGCAGAATTCCAAGGCTGGCCCTGATTCGCTTACTTCTACCATGTCCCTTCTCTGGCGGTGGTATCTGTCCATCGAGACCGTTGCTCTTCTAACCGGGAACCTTGTCATGCCAAACGATTCTCGAGCACTCCTTCAAATGCGAAAACTCATAAGTGACGACGGAATTGACGATCTAGCCGGGTTTTCTTCCTCGCTAGGACCAATCTTTAAAGATATCAACCGCCTCGCCATAGAGGCCGATCTAGTTCTCAAACAAGAAGACGAAAATACCCCCATGGACACAAACCCCAGGGAACGACTTCCACCTTCAATCCTAGATAAAAGCTATAAACTAATTAATACCATTAATTCAAAATTGGGTTCCCAGGAACCCAGGTTCAGGCCTACCATCGATGCATCTATATCATCAATGCACAGGGTAGACTTTACCATTGTGGACGAGGCGTTTCACCACGTCGCACTAGTTCAGCTATACCGTCGTGTCCTCAATCTACCTTCTACAGACCCCATGGTTCAGGATTCGGTAAAGCACATCGTCGACCGTGTATCCAAAGTACGGTTCCTGGGTGAACCGTGTCCAGGCATTGCAGTTCTCCAGCCTCTGTTCACAGCGGGCTGTGAAGCATCAACGGTGCAAGATAGAGATAGCATCAATGCTCTACTACTAAGCTTTGAAAACCGGTATGGGATGGGCAATGCCAGAAATTGCCGGTCGTTTTTGCAGGACTTGTGGGCCATGAGAGATAATAACGGGGATGTAGGAGGGATGATTAGATGGGATAAGGTTATGGGTACGTTGAGCCAATCTCTCTATGCTTGTGTTGAGTGTGTAACTAATGTTCTTTCCTACTACAGTCGAGAAAGGCCTTGACATCCTTCCATATTGAGGACGATAGTCTCACTACAGACTCCAACTGAGCGAGAGCAGCTATCGTGCCATCCAGCGGCCACATACTATATACGGCCGGGTATTAACTACCCTTTCACACTACCCTACGCGGGTAACAATATTCCACGGTTCGATTCCTAATTCTTCAGAGCGCGATTACTCTGCGTGCGCTGCTGGTCATCGGCATGTTTAGTGCCTGGGATGTGGTATCATTACCCTCCGAGGCCGCTGAGGAACAAATTCAGCTGGTCGTTTGATCAGCGTGAATACTCCTGTGGTTCAAACTCCACAAACATGGCTGATTATATGATCCGAAAGTCTTTATTAAAGCACTACGCTCCCGCTCCTAATATATCTCTGCCGAATAATCCCCAAACCACATATATTCTCACACTCTTCAACCTTGGGAATGTCATTGGATACATACGATTTGTCAATATACATAGCCACATCAGGGTACCATATATATCAATACCGTATATACTTCCATCCTACGGAGATTTATTGGCCCTTGTAACAAAAGTATCAATCAACACGGGCGGTAGAAGAAGTCTCAAGTATTTTATTGATAGGAGCAAAACACTTGGACGTTGACCATATCACGTGACTATATTATTTTGGCAGCAAAAGCGAGAGAGACCATCGACTGAAGAGCTCAAGCAATACTTGACTAGCCCAGAAGATCAAACAGATACCGATGCCTTCTTACGCAGTATATCGTGTTACCGAGACCGGCCTGCCGCGAAATCACCACGCTATATTCGTCGAAACGGAGGAAGATGGGCCTGGCAGCGGCTGTCGATTCAATGTGACCGGCAACGTCCAGAACGGCATGGAATACGAAGAACGAAAGACTGGCAAGCCTCAAGAGTCGGCATCGTTTATGGGCATGGAGAAACTCGGTGTCGTTGACCCAGGAAGCTACTCTCGGCTTCAATCTATATGTCGCAGTACGCCCGTTCCCAAGAAGCAGTTCGATGGACCTAAGAGGCTGTATCCCGATGTACCTCTGCGACGGTGCCAGGAGTGGACTGCTGAAACAGTGAAGAGGCTTATCGATGAGCAGGCCTTGGAGATCAGCGTATCGTGATATATCTAGAGCTCTATATCAAATTCTCTGGGCTTCATGTTGGGATTTGCGTAGTTAACTGCTTGGGAGAACCATCCACCATGGTATCTTGCCTGTCCAAAGTGCATACCAGAACCACCTCGATCCATGACATCTTCTCCCTTCCTTTGTTTCTCTATATATCTACTCATCTATCTGTCTATCCCTGAAGTACCACCGCTTAGTCATCCTTGTCGTCGAGGAAACTGGCGGATTTTAAGCTCGATCAACAAACGCCAGAAAAGGCAAAAAAAGGTGCATCGTCGACGAATGTTTTGCCTGCTCCAACAACGAACTGCGGCCGACTTTTGCAGATACACACCTCCTATAACATGCTAACCGCGAGCCGACACCATGCAGAACCGTTCCAACGAGGCTCCTATGGACTTTGAGTGGCAGACAAGAGCTCCTGGAGATGCCACTTCGCCCTTCTACCAACTGGCATTAAAGAACGATAAAGGCAGTGAGTATGCAGCAGACGATGTGCGTACACGGGCGGTGTTGCTGACTTGTTGTTTTATACAGATGCCCGCCGTACCTTTGCATCACCAATAAAGCCACAGACCCCAGCACCGCGAGAGCCGTCGTCCCAACCGGTCAGCTTTGCGCAGCCGTCGTTTAATAATGTCAATTTCACTCGGGGATCGTCCTTTATGACTCCGCGCAAAGTGGACGTTGATGTGTCCTCGGGTGCGGAGAACTTTTCATCCCCGGAGCATGCAGACAATGACGAGACGCCCGAGCAACCGTCAAAGAGTAACAGGCGGAATTCCCTATTCAACCTGTACGGGATGTATGCCCCAGCAGCTCCTAGCTCTGGCCGAGGAGAAGTACCGCGATCGAATAAGTTTCCCCATGCCCTAGCGAAGAAAGTCCAAAAAAGACGAAGACGGGATCGCGAGCTCAAACACATCCGTCATGCCAGTGAAGATAGCAGCGACGACAGGCCAACTGGTCGCGAGCTGGAGCGGAAACCGCAAAACATCCAATCGAACCCAATCGAAAGCACACATACCATACCATACCTCTCACGCCTTTTCACCTTTCTCGAAACTCACCCGCATATCCCTCGAATTCTATCATACTACGCCCAATTCACATTTAACTTAATAATCGCCTTCTTAATATTATACATCATCGTTGCTTTCCTACTTGCGATTAAACATGACGTCGAGATTGCAAGCGAGAGCCAATCAGCGGAAATCCTCGCCGAGATAGCGATATGTACGAAAAACTACGTCGAGAACCGCTGCGGTGACCCTGATGGGAGGAGATTACCAGCTTTGGAAACGGTTTGCGATAACTGGGAGAGGTGCATGCATAGGGATCCTGCAAAGGTTGGCCGGGCAAGGGTATCTGCACAAACGTTGGCGGAAATATTCAACGGCTTTATTGAACCAATTAGTTTCAAAGCAATGGTAAGAGCAGCCTATGCGCAGCCTCCTCTAATCGCGAGAAATTATAAACCCTAACTGTGGAGTAGTTCTTCTTTATATCGTCCATAGCCACCTGCGTCACGGTCTCCAACCTCACATTCTCCTTCTTCCGCAATAAATCGAACAATCCGCCCGCCATGCCGTCCGGCTATGGGGACTATCCCGCGCCCTCACAAATGCATGCACAGCAGTCTCATCTCGCCTACACATCGGGACATTCTAGGCCAGATATAGACAACCCGTTCTTCACTCGCACAGCCTCCCAAGGCGCCCTAAGGCGTGATCCCGACCAGGAAACTCGACCTCAGAGGCAACTTGAAATGGGGCCGTCCTTTGGCTATTCTGTTCCCGAACATATGAGGACCCCGAGCCCGGTAAAGCAGAGGAAATTTATGTGATTCTCTCTGTGATCAACTTATACCTTGACTTGTTATATCATTCCTTTTAATCATCAGTTCTATTCAAGAACTGTTATTTTCTCGATTCTTGGAGGCAGCCTTCATTACAACTATCCTAGCGGCGCTGGGCGCTTTACCAAGTTACCTTTTCTCTAGCGAATCTGCTATCTTTCCATAAAAAACCGAGATTTAGCCATCTTTTTATTCTTCTTTGTTGTGTAATTTATTTGATACTGTTAGATTAGCGAAGCAAATGATTTACGAAGTGTATTAAAGTATGTACAGATATATCTAAGTATTCACCGTAAATTTCGATTACTGTTTGTAATATGTATTTGGATAGATGTATGTATAACTGTATGTATAAATGTATGTATAAATGGGCCAATTAGCCAATCAAGACATCCTTAATCTTTGTCCAAAACCCTTTCTTGGTGCTGTCTTCCATGATATCCTCACCAAACTCCCTCCTTCCGCTCCAAATATCCATCTCCTCTAGTTTGACGATTTTAGTTTTCTTAATGTATTTCCAAGCAAGTACCAGTATAACGAATACTGGAAGTAGGATATAGTTGACAACGAAATCTTCGGCACTAAATGGATTAAGGAAAGCTGTGTATCCCTGGAAGAATATCAAAAAGATATTTGCTGCAAGAGCAATATATGTTCCCCAAGGGTAAAACATGGCTTGAAATGGTAGCGTGGAGACATCTTCGCCCTGGATAGCGAGGGCTTGGCGGAAACGAATATGAGTTACCGCGATAACGGCCCAAACGATGAATGTACACACTGTACAAACGTTAGCATGTAATTTGTAGACGATAGACGGAACCTATTAAGAGACTTACCTCCTGACAACGTAATGAGCGCAGAATATAGCTTTCCAGCACTAGAAGACAAGGAGAGGAACGATATGCAAGCGACTAAATTGGTGAATAGCAAGGCTACCCATGGTACCCCAGCTTTGTTGGTTCTGCCAAGTATGGTTGGTGCTTTGCCGGACCGTCCCATGTAAAGCATGGTTCGGGAGGCCACGTACAGCGAACTGTTACCAGCGGAGATGACGGAAATGACAATCAAACCGTTGATTAAATGAGCAGCTGGAAGGATACCTGCGTCGGCCAGTGCAATTGTAAGTGGAGACTGTGCTGTCTTGGATCCAGAGGAAAGGAGACGTTTGTCGTTATATGGAAGTAGTATGCCGATGAAGAACATCATTCCTAATATTAGGTTAGTTTTAACAATCATCATCCAAGTGTCGCGATTTGGGTATACGTACCGACGTAGAAAATCAAGATACGCCAGAAAACCTGTCGGATGGCTGTTGGAACTGCAGTTCGAGGGTTCGCTGATTCACCTGCAGTGATACCAACCCTGGGAAAGGTCAGCCATAGCCGTAAGATGTCAACTGCCCGGGAGTTTAACTTACATTTCCGTTCCTGCGTAGAGGGTCCCCGCAATCACAAAGGTCTTCGCAACTCCGTTGATGGAATCGGCAAAAGCGCCAGGATCATTCCAGTACTTAAAGCCGATGGTCCTGCCACCAATGCCGCCAGCACTGATGCAAGTTGCTAATATGAAGAATATTGTAAGGGATATAACCTTTATCCTATATTTGAATTCACATTAGCCACATTTTTGCCGAAAGATAGAAATCTGGAGGCTGGTGAGCGTACAATGCAAGCCAAAACTCAACCTCGCCGTAGGCTAAAACTCCAAGATTCGACAAGCCCAGGAAGATAACCCAGAACATGAGAATCCATGCCCATTGAGGAACAACGTCTGTCCAATAGCCCATGACAAGCGCCAAGGCATTATATTCATTTGATAGTACCTATAGACCATCAGTTATCTGGACAAGGGAACAATGGTAGAAACGGAATACTAACAGTGACCCATAGGTACCAATAGGCCCAACCAAGGCCGAAAGCCAGGGAAGGGTCAACAAACCGGGCCGAATATTCTGTAAACGAACCCGATACAGGGATGAGAGTTGCCATTTCACCTAACGATTGCCTAGGACACGTTTTAGTACCACATGAAATTCCCGGGCTCATGAGGAGATTCGTACATTATGAAGAACACTAGGATACCAACGAGTGAAAAACTGATGAGGATGCCGGCTGGGCCAGCGACATGCAGCGCATTCCCGGATCCAACGAGTAAACCAGGACCAATGATGCCTATCTCAGGCTGTTAATATTGAGTAGCACAATGGTATCCTAATGGAACAGCACGCACCTCCAATGGCAATCATCTGAAGATGCCTCGACTTCAGGGTTCGGTGTAACGGAGCACTCTGGGGAGACTCATCGTGAGTTGCGTTCTCCAACAGGCCAGGGTCTCCAGGCGACTTCCCGTGCGCGCTGGTGGGAATGATCGTGTCCGCATTATCGGTATGGCTCTCAGCAATAGCCATCTGGCACTATGTGATTCCTGTTTACCGGACTATCTTGACGTAAGATGGTACAGAACGGCTACGGCTATCCAGCGATGTCCACACAAACCGGCTCTCGAGCCACCTTAGTAGGTGGAGTCGTGGATCTGATATAGGGCTTAAAACGCGAATTGAAGCCGAAAGAGTGTACGAACGAAATGAGAGAGCGAGTCAACAGAGCCGAATACCAGCGGACAAAGGTATATATAAGTAGTTTGCCGAGCTGGTCTCTACCCGACGGGTTCACGGGCACGACTTTCCAGCGGGGAAGGGAGTGATATGCACGTCGTAGGAGATGGTGATACGAAGGGAGCTAAGCTACTCCATGGTCAGGGATCTTTAGTTATCGCAACATGTCCGACGCCGCCAGATTTTTCGTCGGCACGTCGTGGCGGATGGCACCATCCTGCCAAGGCGGCGACCAGCGCTACGTCTTGGGAGATAAGCAGCAGGAGGCACTGGTTGGCTCGAAATATGGAGTTACAAAGGGAGGCGTCGCGAAACTCGCCCAACTACAAGAGCTATATGGCTTACTTAAGCAGGTTCACGTGGTTTTTGTTGCCATGCGCCATTTAAAGTTGATTAGTCACCATAGTCTATTCTGAACTCTATCTGGACCACCTTTTTCTCTTGTTTCTCTCTTGAAACATCATCCACTGCACAGCAATACCCAGCTTTCACGGCGTCGCGTCAGATCAGCATTCCGATTCCGTCTCTCTGTGCTCGGCTTCGGTAGGGGATGCCGGATCAAGCGTCTTCCGGGGCCCCTTGAACCACTTTTTCGCGGACAAGAAGTAATACAATAGGGAGCCGATCCAGACGGTTCCGTTGATTACTACCGTGTAGTTCATATCGTTCGCTGTGGGAATACCAAGCTAGATATTAGCGTTGTCTGGACGTTCCCGGGAAGGGACTACAGTACTTACCGCTTGGTGATGGCCCGGCGGTTGGGAACATTGAAAGTGTGATCGCGAAAGCCATATACAGCAGCGCCACAACGGCGATAGGAGTGCTGAGCCGACCGGTATAGAACAGGCCTGGTTTAAATTTATCCTGGCCCCAGAAGATCCGACAGAATATCGGCATCGCCCAAGCAAAGTAGTTGCCAGCAACAGTCAATGAGAACAACGCGTTGCTAGCTGCACTATTGACAAGACACAGCAATCCCAGGATTATTGATGTGGCCGCGCATCCGACTACGGCTCGGGCAGGTTGATAACGGAACCTAGTGCTGACTACTCTTAGGTATTTTGAAAAGGGAAGAGCGCCATCGCGGGAGAAGGCCCAGGTCTGTCGAGATGCTGCGATCGTCTGGAATTTCCGGTTGTCCCATCAGCGCTACTCCGGTTAATATCTTCCCTAGAACGAAGAGCGATCACTCACGATGCTTAACCCCATAAAGAACTGGACTGTCGCCATTGCTACCATGAATATTATTGCCCCATTCTTGCCCAAGGCATCATAATATATCTAGTCAAGGTGTGGAACTAGCTTAGCTCGATATCTGGAAACGGCCGAGTTTGGTTTTAAAAACTGGACTAACCTGCGCGATTGGCTGGCCTAGGGGACTCTTAAGGATTACGTTAGGGTCGGTGTTCATGCAAGCAGCGATGACACAAAGGCACAGGAACCCAAGGGACCAGCACGCTCCACCAGCCCAGAGAATTCCATACGGGACAGCCTTGGCAGCATTGATAGCTTCCTCGCTCATATGCACACAAGAATCAAAGGCACCAACAGACCAAATTGGCGAAAGCCATGCGAGCATGAACGCCCAACCGGTAGGCCACGTCGTGAGGTTCTCGACATGGCCGAACACGTAGGTTGCAGAATTGATACCCTCGACCGTTCTTGACTTTCCAATTGGCAAGGCGATAACTGTCCCCAAGACCAAACCAACGTTGGCAACGATACAAACAGACTGTATGCGGTGCATGATGGGCGCCGCGAGTATAGCAAGGATACCATGGGCGGCTACTGTAGCCGCGTAAACGCCGTATATAAGGTTTCTTGAGGCCACCCATTCCCCGTTATGGACGACGGAGACGACTGCAAATATCATTAGCACAAAGCTATCTGTTTTGTAGCTTGTGTTAGTATTTGCACATGGTTCCTTTATATTACCGCAACGCCAACTACTCACAGTCAACCGAGCATATGCCCCCGATGAGCCCGATGGTATTGCTGTAACCGACAAGAAAACTAAGAGGATTTTTCCATTTATCCGCTGCAAAGTGATGTGTCCACCAATAAAGCCCTCCGGATGTCGGCAACGCGGAGCTAAGGTCGGCCTAATGCACCTCAGTGTTCGTACACGCAAAAAGCAATATATGTCGTGAATCGACATCTTCTAACGCACCATAGCAACCCCGACTATGAAGATAAAAAAGCACGCAGCAAACCAGCCCTACACAGCGGCATATACCGAATTAGCTATCTCAAGCTTAACGATACCATTCCACAGACATCTCTATAGAGGACCTTGGGCGTGGCTATACCCAAACCATGGCTGCTGGCCCTGCGGGGAGGGAAAACGACAACGTTGATGCGATGGATGGCAACAAGCCCATGATACTGAAGGCGATTGCAAACACTTGAAGCGTAGAGTAATGTCTGCGAAGCTCCTGTTTATAGCCCATCACGGCTAAACATGTCTTGCATCAGCACTTTCACTGTCATTGCCCTTTGGTAACTGATAACCCCGTTCTAGTCCTGCGACTCACCTAGCAATTCTTGGTCGATAGCCTCCGCTAGTTTGGTGTCCTGGGAGACAGGAGCCTCTGCCCTCTTCGCCCCGCGGGTCGTACTGCCCGAAGATCGATCCATGATACTCCGTATCAGCAAGCAGGAATAAATGTTAACAAGTGATGGGAAAGAGTTAATATACTGTTTTCCGGCAAAACAGGCTGGAAACTCAGCTTTGTCCCACCAACGAATTTGTCCAATCAGAGGCAAGCTGTAATTTAAGTTAACCTTAGTCAGTTCATTAGTCATCCAAATTAGTCATGATCGCCTTAGTCATCACCCGTAACCTTCCTTACTCACTCTTCTTTACTTATTATTTGCTCCGTACTCTTTACTCTCAGTTATAGCCTTCCTTTATACCTCCAAATATCCCAATAAATACAAGTTTTTTGCTGAAAGCTAATAATTCTTGAGCTTAATATCCCTTAAAATTTGCCTTAGCTTGACCTTCGGCATTGTCTTAGGCTAACACTCTTAAGGCGATAGCGTATTGGCCCCAAAGGACGGTTCTTAGGTAGTACCAACCCTAGCTTTCATGCAGTCTGCTTTGACTTATTCGGGATGGACATAATACAACTATTTGTGAAGGACCGTAGGTTGTAGAGAGGATGGAATCTGAGTTGTTTGGCCTTTTATCTGGATATAGCAAGCCTTGGGAGGATATCTAGCTATACTAACAATTCTATAAATATTTCCCAAGGGAACGAACAGCAATATTGAATTTGCTTCTATAAGCCTTGTGTGGCAACCATTCATTTTTAGTTTATAGAAGGGTAGGTAGTATGGAATGGGGCGAAGTACTTCCAAGATTGGATCTCGTCGTGCCAAAACCATCACTCGAGCGGTTCTTTTTTTGGCTCTTCTTTTATTCGTTATTTTTGCTTCGCTATCCTTATGTTTGTTATCCACGCGACTTATATATTTCACATACTCGGTATAGCTGCAGCGATGGATATATATTAATTCTGAATACAGACTAAGCTATATACCTCCTGCTCTTGAAATCGCATAAGCAACGCGTAAACACTGGTAAGAAAAGCAGGCACCATAATTGATTGGAAATTTTCCCTTGGCTAACGGGTTTTATTGATTTCGTTGAATTATCTCAAGCTTAGCACAACCTAGACATGATGAAGGAGAGCCGGAGGAACTAGTATCAATGATGACCTGGAGGTGATAATATTCCGTATCCTGTAAAAAGAATATCGAGCCTGTCTCTATTCTTTGGTCATGGCTGCACCTCATACTGCCCCTGCGCCTTCCCCGACTTTGGCCTCTGCCCCTTCCCTCTTCACAATATTCTCCTCCTGGTTTAGTCCGTCGAGTTTGGGGGTATCTAGCTGTTCGAGATTTGGAGATTCGGGCCATGAAAATGACGGAGTCTCACTTCCTTCACTGGGCGTATTGGACGATATCGTCTTGTGCGTAGACATGCCAAGAGCCATAGATACTGTGCTCTGGGGCATCTCTGGCTTTTTTGATGGAGGTGGTGAGGGACCAGAGAGGGCAGGGCCTTCCTTCTCCAGTGTAGCCCAATCGAACATAGAGCTGGGAATGTTTTCCACAGCATGGTTGACCAAGTCAGAAATTGAACTGCCTCCAAGAATCTTCAAAACTGGAATATCGACATCAATCTCCTCCATAAACCACGAGCGAAGCATGACTGCGACTAGCGAGTCTATTCCTTGCTCGACAAGGGCAACTGTCAAATTGGTAGGATCTGATTCCGGCACTTGAAGGATTTTCCTGAGGTTCGCCACGAATGCGTCTGTTTAATTCGTTAGAGCCAAGTTTTGGAACATTTGCTTGTGGGTGGTTAGGCTTCTGTGCTTACCTTGGATAACTGTACACACTTGCTCCCTACTCTTTGCAGTTTCTAACTGGGCCCTCACGCTTTCTGCTCCATTAGCACTGCCAGATCCCGAGCCCTTGTCCTGGTCGACTTTATAATGACAGAATTTCACGTCTCTGACGTGGGCCTGTGGGATATCAAGCTTTGCCGGGACATAGTTGACACCTGCAATGAGCTCAGCTGCTTCAGGGGACCCTGGCTGGCCAGAGAGGATGGCTTCTGCGAACAGAGTGCAGAACGCCTGCTCTGAAACGTTTCTATACCCTAGACGATTGAAGTTTTCATAGTCAAAATTCCCTGGTTGAGCAGCGTACCCAACGCCATACACGGCAGGGATAGCCATAACTGAACCAGGAACTCCTCTATTCCTGCGTTGGTACATGAGCGAGGTCATAAATGTGTTGGCTGCGGAGTAGTTACTCTGGCCACTAAATCCAATCGCAGAAGCAATCGACGAGGTGACAACAAAGAAATCTAGCGCAGTGTTATAGAAGAGTTCGTCTAGGAGCTGGGTGCCTTTGACTTTCGGCTCTATAACATGGCAAAATCTCTCGTATGACATGTTCTCAAAAACGCTATCTTGTAGAACCATTGCGCCATTGATAACTCCTGTAATAGCCGGCATAGTGCGAGTAATTTCCTTATAACAGGCACGGAGTGACTTGCGACATGTAATATCCCTATAGTGTATTAGCCTGGAGCATGATTAGTAGGTAGTAACTAGACTTACAATGTCATAATCCTGACGGTCGCACCTCGCTGAGCCATCGACTCAATGAATCTCGAATCGACCCTGGGAGTTCTACTGGCCAAAACAATGTGCTGGGCGCCGTGGGCTACCATCCACTGGCAGAGGGACTGGCCTAGTTCACCTGTCAACCCAGCAAGTAGGTACGATCTGTTGGCTCTAAAAAGAATTCCTGAATCGATGGGTTGTATTTTGACAGTGACAGATTCAGCTGTCCAATCAACGACTGTGAGGGGCCTACCGAATGCAGAATGACCAGCTATTTCTGACAGTGGGATGGTGGCTTGAACTAAATCTGCATTAACAATTTCCTCTGAGGTTGAAGACCCAACAGCTTGGTTGATGATGAAGGGTATATCATCTGCTGCCACACTGGTAGTGATGGATGGCTCATTGCTGAAGAGATTATGATCGTCAAGATGCATGCAGCTTGGGGGGAGGCATTCCGATATGATATCGCGTACAGTATCTGACTCAAAGCCTTTTGAGAGATGAGCAAACACGAGTGCAGATGGAGGAAGTCGACGCTTAATGTTGTGTATCGAAGAGTTGGGATGAATATAGATTGAGTCATGTTCATCCGTATACCGCTGACTCGATGTGAAAACAATTTTGACACCCTTGGTAGACGCCTTGGCTTTGAGCGCAGACTTCAGTGGAGCGTCTGCATCGTTTACAATAAAAACCCCTTGCTTTGTAGACATGCTCAGAATCTGCTCTGCCACAATATGAGCGGCTGTAAATATAAGTAGCGACGGTGGGGTATAAGTCTTAATCAAATCCTCGACTTGCATGCACCATCGTAAAGGGACAACTGCAGATGAGGTAGTGCAATCAGATAAGGCGATGATGGGGTTGGAAGAAGCTAGATCCAAGCCGTACGATAGCCTGAGAAAGCCAGCGCTGCCCACTCTTAGACACTGTAGTAGCGAGTATGTAGTGCAAATAGTAATGGATTGTGCCATTACATGGGTAGCAGGGCGGAGGGGTGATATCTCCTGGATATCAAACAAGCCGTTAATACTGACAAGCTGTAATGCATCTAATTTCATGTTGACCTCTTTGAGGATATCTCGGTGATGGGAGTTATATCTTTTGTTCTTTTCCTCATTGGGTAGAACCCTTGGGATTAGATGATGTCCATCATGGACGATAACTTCAGGCTCCGCGGACCAGAGGAGATCATTAGTCCCATCGTCCCATAATCTGAGAAGGAAATGTCTGATCAGTGCTTCCGAAAGCATGACCGCGGTTGAATGGTTGACACTTTCAATGTCAAAGAGCTGTAGGTTGATATTGGGGTTCTCATTCTTGACGGTACGTCCAATCCCAACCATCATGTATGAGTATGGCTCATATTCTTTGGAGCCACGGGACACCCAAAGGAGAGTCCCGGCAGTATTAAATAGGGACTGAAGGCTGGTGAACTTCGAAGCAGTAAGGTTCTTCATGAAGGGCTCGTCTAAGTCAGTCAGGCTAAGAACGGTAAGCCCGGGGGTTAGAGCAAGCTCCGAGGCCATCAATTCCTGAACAGTTTCAAAGACCATCACGCTCTTGAACCTTCCTGAGATAGACTTTGCAATATTCTCTGCAAGTTCGTAGACAGAGTGAGTTACGCCACCAATAATAGCGGCATTCTGCAGATTAATCCCAGGGGCTGCCTCCAGAGGGTTCCGCAATATGGTGACTTTCTGATCAATAGCTTGCGACACAAATACTGAGACAGGAAGGGTTGCGCTAATATCCGGTGTGGTAGTGTCGATACCAGAAAACCCAGTTGAACGGAGTACTGAATCCCACTGGTCCAGAGTCAAGGAAGGACCCCAAGGCCGGCCAGCTTCTGCACCAATCCACCAGCCAGGTAGAGTACCCATGGTCATGCCACTAACTAGGATATCAGTGGTTGTGACTTCAATACCAATCAGATACCCACCAGACTTCAACAGTCGACGAACGTTCCTCATGGACTGTGTTATATCAGCAGAAACGTGGAGGACATTGGCTGCTACAACCGTATCGTAATGGCCCTCCTCAAAGCCTTGAACGCTTGGAAGCTGCTCTATATTGAAGGGCTTGTAAATCATGCGCTGCGAATAGTCCTTAAAGCGCTCTTTTGCTTCAGGGAAGAAACCGCTAGAAACATCAGTGAAGGTGTATGTTGAGAACGAAGGCCCTAATTGGGCAAGAATTGGCCCTGCTGAGGCACCTGTTCCGGCACCGATTTCCAAAATATGCATTCGGGGATAACGATGCGCAATCTGGGCCATAATTCGCCCAAGCCAGCGATTGTTAGGGCCGGCTGCTAACCCATCTTCATAGACAGCAAGCATGAGGCCGTCCTGGTTCATATACTCAAGCATACTTGTACCCTCTAAAATCACTTTCACAAGGTGGTCACCAACTATCTCGACGAAGCGGATATCCTTCCGTGATTTATAGCGGCCTATGAGATTGGCGATATCATCACGGGTATCAGAGTTGCGCTCAGGAGACACTCTGGGATAGGCCCCACGAGTTACCATGTCGACCATGTGCTCACACCACCTAAGATAGAACTTGAAATGTGGAAGAACATGCTCTCTTTGTATGGGGGTAATCGCGCTGATAATATTTCGAATGTACCAGTATGAAATCCGCTCTGTGTCCATGTATAACTGGATGTCGGAGCTAGACATCATTTCACCCATGGCTGCGAGCTGCCCATCGGGACTAGCAAGTTTATACTGAAAGTTAGAGAACAGTGGGACATCATCTGCGGCAGACGCTGGCGAGAAGGGTACAATCGATACCCCTTCAAATTGCACTATCGCCTTACTTCCATCTTCAGTGTAGAGATGGACATCTGCAATAACATTCGATGGGGCGACTGTGCGGAGAAACGATTCATACTTCATACTCCTCTGCTTGCCCGAAAACAGAGGACTGAAATAAGGATTAAGGGTAATTGAAGATATGAAGGTTGGGACATGAAGAGACCAGATTTGGCCATCCCCGGGGAAGGACCATGCTGCAAGTGTAGTTTGTAGCCCGGTATCAAGCATTCCAGGGTGGAATAATAAATCGTCTTCCCATTTATGTCCAGACTGATCTTCGATAAGACCAGTAGAATAGTCAGGCTTGCGTTTGATATGTGAGACTCCACGGAATGGGTGGGAGTAATCATGGCCGAGCTTTGTGAGGTTCCTATAGAACTCATCTTTGTTTACTTCAACAAGGTTGAAGGGGTCTGATGTGTAACATGGTAGTATATCCGCGGTTGGGCAACCCAGCTGAGCTGTTAATCGTGCACTTGCGCTCAAAATGGCGGTTACGTCATCGGGCAGGATAGAATGGCAGGTGAATTCCGCGGTGATATCTTCATCAGTTATTTTCACTGAAGTTACGTTGACAATTACCTCAACGCTGGACCCTTCTTCGTTAAAAGAGATTGCGCGTCGGATATCTAGATCGCTGATTTTAAAGCAGCTTACTTCTGACTGCGCGGCGAGGAATCCCATAGCTTCTACAGCCATTGCAACGTAACCTGTAGCGGGGAATACCACCTGACCCTGCAATCTATGCCCAGTAAGCCATGAGATCTCGCTATTTTGCAAAATATTTCTCCACTGAAATTCCCGGGAAGTTGTTGCAGCGGAGCACAAAATACCCAATAGTGGATTAGGAGGCGTTTGGCGATGTTTGTGCTGATTAGAGATACGAGACCCAGTCCAGTAGGATCTTTGCCGGTCGAATGGGTACGCTGGAAGGTTGGAAAGTGACACTCGTGGTTCCTCTATGGTAGAGAGAAGGCGTTCCACGCAGTCGAAGTCCACACTATCGGGTCCCATATGTTTCCAAATAAGCCCGAGAGCCGTCGAGAGGCAATCAACGTCATGTCCATTCCTGGAAAGGACCCCAGTGTAAGGAGGTTTTTGGCCAATTTCTTCAAGTATAGCCGTTGTTGGACCCTTGAGTGCTGGATGCGGGCCGACCTCTATTACCATGTCGAAAGGTCCGGCGTCAGAGACGGCCTGAGTAATAGCACTAGAAAACAATACCATTTTGCACATATTGTCGACCCAGTAACTTTCCGTAAGCGTACCATTCAAAATCTGCTGGCCTGATACGCTGGAGAACCACATGGGCCCAGTTCCGGTATTTTTTTCAACAGTAAAAGCTTTCATGGATTTCAGATATGGGCCGGCGCATGGGGCCATATGCGCTGAATGATAGGCGGTGTCAACCTTAAGTTTACGGGCAAACTTATTATTAGAGTTGAATATTTCAAGAGCCTCATCTATGGCGTCTTCGTCTCCTGAAAGAGTGATACTGGATGTAGAGTTGACCGCTGCTATTTGGATGCGACCATGGAAAGTAGCATGCTGGCAGAACTCGACGGCCTCATCGTATGAGAGGCCTACAGCCATCATTGATCCTCGGACATCCTTATTGGGAGAGCATGCAAGCTTGGTATGAATACCGCGGTAATATGCCACACGAATAGCATCTTTATCGGAGAGAAAACCCGCGGCGTATGCAGCGCCAATCTCACCAGAAGAGTGACCAACTACCGCTTTAAATCGGATGCCAGATGTGCGAAGAATATCTACCAAGATAATTTGGACGGCTAGGCATAGAGGTTGCGAGACGGCTGCGTCAGTAACCCGCGAAATCTCAGGTCCGGCAAGGAGCAGCTTCTTGATAGTCCAGCTTGGGCGGTCCTCCGCAGGAAGGCTCTGTAGAACAGAGTCGAGTTGCGAAATTCTCTCCTGAACCCATGTAGACGAGTTAATCAAATGGGCGCCCATACGAGGCCATTGTGCTCCTTGACCCGTGAAGACACCAAGGATGCTTGGTTGTGTCACGACAGCATAGCGGATTCCGAGTTCTGTCTCCTCTGGGGGACTAGCTGCCAGTGATCCTAACTGTTTAGATAGTTCTTCGGCCGTCCCGGCAACGGAAGCTAGGCGGTAGGGGAGGGTTGAACGTCGTGACTGCAGGGTCCAGGCAAGATCTTGTATATCAACGGCTGGGTTAGCCTTTAAGTAGTCGGCGTACAAGCCTATGGTCCTCTGCAGGGCCGTTTCTGAAGCCGCAGAAAATGTTAATGGTGTGAATAGCCGAACGGCCTTTGGCTTAGTAGTTGACTTGGGGGTGGCCTCGTAGCTTTCAATAATGGCATGGGCATTGGTACCACCAAATCCTAGTCGACGAGTTAGCGGTCGAATATTAGATCACACTGGAAAGCACTTTTCATTCTTACCAAAGCTGTTGATACTAGCCCGTTTGGCCTGACCAGGCGCCACTGTTGGCCAGGGCAGGGCGCTAGTGGGGATGCAGAGGTGCGTATAGAATGGAGCGATCTTCTCGCTTAGCTGGTTGAAGTGTAGGTTGGGTGGAATAGTGCCATTTTTCATGGCCAAAGACGTGCTAATCAAAGAAGCTAGGCCAGCAGAACTTTCAGTATGACCAATTATGGTTTTGATTGAGCCGACAAGGAGCTTTTCTCCATTCTTTACATCGTATCCGTCGGGGAACAAGGCCGTTGAAATTGCCTCTGCTTCCTGGGGGTCACCAGCTGGCGTACCAGTGCCATGAGCATGGAAATACTGGGGTCGATCATCCGGATTGGTGATATCCAGACCGGCTCGTCTATATGTGTTCAAGATAAGCGCTGCCTGTGCACTATTGTTTGGCATAGTGAGGCCTGCAGTGCGGCCATCCTGGTTTACACCAGTTTCTCGAATGAGGCACTCAATTGAGTCGCCATCTGCGAGGGCTTGACTGAGAGTCTTCAGCACGATGGAAGCAACACCTTCGCCACGCGTATAGCCATCAGCTGCCGCATCCCACATTGCGGATCTCCCAGTAGGTGAAAGCATGCGAAGGTTGGACTCCGTAACGTATGGAACTTTTAAACTTTTAGAAATATTCGCCATTGGAGGATGGTTCTTCACGTACCTGGGCTAAGAATCAAATTGGTTCCAGTAGCAATAGCCACTGAAGATTCACCGCTTCGTAGTACTTGTACAGCCTGATGAACTGCGACCAAGCTTGAAGAGCAGGCTGTATCGATTGTCATAGAGGGTCCATGCCAATCGAAGAAGTAGGAGATACGATTCGCGACGATACTTCGTGATAATCCCGTGGCTGTATATGTAGGCAAAGTTTCCATATCGCTTGCAATCATAGAAGACCAATCATCGCACATCATGCCCACGTAAACAGCGGTAGGGGAGCCCCTGAGCCTCTCCATTGGTAGTCCGGCCGCACATAGAGAATCGTACACAGTTTCCATAAGAATGCGTTGCTGCGGATCAATGACATCGCTCTCGACGGGCCGGATGTTAAAGAACGCCGAATCGAACTGAGAAACATCCTCTTCAAGGAAGTAGGATTTGGTGGCATTTGTCGTCCCATGATGAGTGGCTTCGGGGTGATAAAAGGCGTTGACGTTGAAACGACTTGGAGGGACCTCCTTGCAGATATCATGAGGCTCCTTCAGGAGATCCCAAAGCTTTGAGGGGGTATCACAGCCACCTGGGAAGCGGCAAGCACTCCCAATAACTGCAATTGGCTCAGGCATGATGGTATATGGTGACGGTGGAATAGAGTCGTGGTGAGCAGGTCTGATATTGTTTTTCCCTCGCGAATGGCTATTGACAAGAAATGAGCTGGCATTTCCGGGCTATCAGAGAGCGTCCAACTATTTATATACATCATGCCGAAATGGAAGACAGCGGGAAATAAAGTGACGAATATTGCCAGGAGAGGGAGAGTACGATAATAGCGCACGAGTCCCCTCTCCGTATCTCGTTATCACCCGGTCGAGAAGTTAGGCGAGAAATGAGGAATAACCAAAGAGGAATGCGGACGGCAGCATAGAGTCCGGTTAAGCGAGAGAAGACTGGCTTCAGAGACGACTAGTACAAAGAGAAATAACAAACAAAATTGGCTAGACATTAAAGATTAATGTTGGACATATCGTGCGTCTCTCCCGTGCTGTATCGGGAGGCATGTTGTGGTCGAGATATGAAGTATGAACCGGCACCGTCGCGCATCTAGGATCAACAGCCAACATGATGCGCGATTCAGTATACCGCAGGCCCATGGCGACCTAGATAGACTTTATTTAATTCGCGCGGGTGGCTTTGATGCCTCCATCGGCACCAGGAAGAAGCCAGCGACTCGTCTCCAGATCCTAGCATCTGTATGCACATTGGGGTATCATAGTGTACAGTTGGGGTATAACAGTCGACCAGCGCAGGGAGAACAGGTATATAAGATAGATACTTATACACATTGGCCTGGGATGAAGAAAGTGTCAACATATCAAACTCTTACTTTGCCGCTCAAGGAGCGGCGTCGCTTTTTGGCTCAACAGAAAGATACTGCGTCCTGTTGATGTCGTCAGGTCGAGGTGTATATAGTTTAGGTACTCCGTTCCATCCCTGCGGTTAAGGCTGACTAAGCGCCACCACCTCCTATTTCGAGTTTCACAGCATAAACATTACACCAGGACGTCTACGGGCCATGAAAGAAGCGCCATGATGATTGGGGGATCGATGTTGGTTTATGCGAGACATGAGAGATATACTGTGTCTGTGGGGTATGATAGATGATGGCTACGTGGATATACATGGATATCGATGTTTTCTCAAACATGAGGCACAATGTGTGTTGTCCTTTGGCTTAATGGAAATCCGGGGCATACGGATATACAACTGTTAGCTCTTTAGCTGGCTTGTTAGTCTCTGCTCACTTTGTTGAAAGTGCTCACGGCTCACTGCTCTCGCTTTACTCGCTTCTGGTAGCAAGATTTCACGCTTCAAGCTGCTTCTACTGAGCTCTCTCTCTCTCTCTCTCTTCATCTCTATAGAGTCGAATATAGGATAGCTCCTCCTTGATGATGTCCTCTAAACAAGTCACCTCTCTTGAAGTTGAACCCCCTGGCACCGTCGACTGGGATGGCCCTGAGGATCTTGAAAATCCGCTCAACTGGCCTGCACGGGAGGGCTTCGGTCATGTTATCATTGTTGCCGCGCTGTCTATGACTGTGTAAGAAGCTTGGAATGAGGACGACTCAATCCAGCTAACTCTTACTCATGATACCTAGCTAAAGAGTCTTGCATAGGAACATCGCGGCGACAATAGTGGCACCAGGCATCAAGGATGTCGCCCACGACCTCAGAATCACGAGCACCACTCTTGCTACCCTTGCTGTCAGTATATACCTGCTCGGCTTTGCCTTGGGCCCGCTTGTGATATCACCACTCTCGGAAATCTATGGTCGATTGGTCGTCTATCATGTTTGTAATATCGTCTTCGTGGCCTTCGTGGCGGGCTGCGCCTTGAGTAATTCAGCGAGCCAGTTTTTGATCTTCCGCTTTATCTCAGGCTGTGCAGGCGCTGCACCACTTACCATCGGTGGAGGAACTGTTGCCGATGTCATCCCTATCGAGAGGCGTGGGTTGGCGGCCGCGTTGTTTGGCGTCGGTCCTCTCCTTGGCCCTGTGAGTTGAAAGCTAGTTACCCGGCGAGAATAAGACCATGATCTGATTAATATTTACACATATAGGTTATAGGACCTGTAATTGGTGGTTTCGTGGCCGAATATAAAGGATGGAGATGGACCTTTTGGGTTGTTGTCATTCTAGTAAGCCCTTTACCCCCCGACGAAACCGCCTTAACCTCATTCAACTCCCATTTACTCTTCACACAAACTAATTTCCTTCGTAGGGGGGAGCTGCATCCCTCAGCATGTTACTATTTATGCGTGAAACTCACCCAAACACGCTCCTTGAACGCAAGGCTAAACGGCTTCGTTTCGAGACCAATAACCCAAATCTCAAGTCCGTACTCAGTCGTCACCTTACCAGCAAGCAGATTCTCATGGCTGCCTTGATTCGCCCCACAAAGCTGTTGCTGTTCTCCCCCGTGGTTCTGGCCATGTCAGTCTACGTGGCTTTGATATTTGGCATCATGTACTTGTTGTTTGCTACCTTTTCCCTTGTATACAAGGTTCAATATAACTTTAGTACAAGTGTATCAGGTCTGACATATTTGGGGCTGGGCACTGGCGAGATGGTCGGCCTATTTATATTCGGTGTCCTGAGTGATAGGCTTCTGAAAGCTCGCATGGCGGCTGACGGAGTTACCGAGCCCAAGCCGGAGTACAGACTCATCTTAATGATGTGGTTTCCTCCTGCTCTACCCGTCGGGCTATTTATCTATGGCTGGACCGTCTACTATAAAGTGCACTGGATTTTACCGATCTTAGCAACTTCTCTGGTTGGCTTCGGTATATTTTTTGTTATTGTATGTGCTCGAGTATACCGTGCTGACTAGACTTGACATGGAAACTAATCTTCATATTCGGGATAGTTACCATCACAGCTATATATGGTCGATCTATTCGGCTCTGAAGCAGCGGCCTCCGCTTTGGGCGCCAATATCCTTCTCAGGTCGCTGTTTGGAGCGTTTCTACCTCTGGCAGGCTCAAGCATGTATGCGACGTTGAATTATGGTTGGGGAAACACGCTACTCGGATTCATCGCCCTGGTATTTGTCCCAGTGCCCTTTCTTCTATACAAATATGGGGAGTGGCTCCGTACTAGGACAAAAGTCCACCTTTGAACGCCCGGATCTGCACTCCCATATTTGTTAGCCAAATTAGTGCTACCTAGATGAAGATATCGATGATAAAGTTCTAGTCATTCGCAAGGCCGCGCGTTTAGCCAATAGAATTTGTCTGTTCTAACTTGATTTGCTCTTCCCTACAAACGACATATTTGGAGGTAGAGTATCGATGATCCTTTGGTAGGCCGGTAACTGGAATAATGTCACCGGGGCGAGAACATCAAAATCCTGGAGGCTGCTGGGGAGAATTCGTTGCAAGTAATTGATTCTGTCCTTGAGGGTTGCTAGACATATCTACCCTTGACCAAAGTAGTGTGCATTTCAACGGGACTACCTAGGTAGCTACCAGCGCTCTGTCTTCTTTGCTAGAAACATAATAACACCCCGTTGAGTCTCTTATCAAAGGGGTTACTCATTCTCGAAATCTGCAAGCACCCGGCCGTAGAGACTATCGTCGACAAGAAGACTAAACCCAGTTATAGCCATTGCCTTCCCAGCCTTCAATGCCCTGTCATTCGCAATTTGAGTTGCAGCTGCTACCTCAAACCCACGGCTATGCACATTCACATCATCCTTGGTCGGAATTCCGATATGAGCATGAAGAGTAGGAATTACATGAGACACATTTCCTTGGTCAGTCGAGCCCACCATGTGCATCTCCTCCGATACCAGGATCTTCTCGCCTTGTTGGGCCATATTGGCCTGAAACGCGCTGCAGAGAGGCCGATTGACACGGAGGTCAGCATATAGGGGGTCTTCCTCAAGGCTGATCTTGCAGCCGGTGGCCATGGCTCCGGCTTCTAGGCATTTACGCACGCGTTCACCAAGCCGTAGAGTCCCTTCCACAGTCGGGCTCCTGACAGTGTACCCGACTTTTGTGAATTCTGGAATTGCGTTGGTGATCTTCGGCGCTTCCATGATAGCTCCGTGAATCCGCTCATCTGGCTTTATCTGCTGCCGTAGCATGGATACGTTATTGTACGATGCTACCACTGCGTCTAATGCATTAATCCCCTCCCAAGGGTTCGCAGCAGCGTGCGCACTGACTCCTTCGTATGTGCATGTCATAGTATAGCATGCGAGTGAAGTCGCTCCGCCGGAACCAATCGCATTTTGTGTGAGATATCTGGCGTCTGACATCGGGTGTCTAAGATGTGCGGTTTAGATTATGGCTCTATCAGGTATCGGCACCATAGCCTAAAAAATGATATTTACTCACATCATCAAGGATACATCTGGGAGCTCATAAGCGCCAGCATTGAGCAAGTCGATCTTCCCACCGCCGGCTTCCTCAGCTGGAGTTCCGAGTAGCTGCGCTTTGCCTTTGATGCCAAATTTCTTGATGGCATAGGCGAGCGCAATAAAAGCCGTGACACTTGCCGTTGAGATAAGATTATGCCCGCAGGCATGTCCAAGGCCCGGGAGAGCATCATACTCGGCGTTGAAGTTAATGCATCTTCCTGGGCCCTCGCCGGTTAGGACTTCAAAGGCGGTTTCTAGACCGTATGCATGCCGAGTTGGCTGGAATCCCAGTCCTTCCAGGAAGTCACATATGGCATCATGGGCGTGGTGCTCCTTGTAGGCAAGCTCTGGGTGGTCGTGTATCTTAGATCGTGGTTAGGAACTTCCTGGTAACCTTTCCCGCCTCCAGAACGGCATACTCACAGTCTCTGAGATACGAGGTATTTGATTGATTTGGTTGGTCAGGTGGGTCTGGAGCAATCTATGAGATTTCAATCTATCAAGCACTGATCATCTAAATACACGATATTGAGCTCCTATTTATGTTCCTCATACGGCCATGTATCTTGCCATCGCGGAGATGCCAGCTACAGCTGAAACAGGCGTTAAAACGCCGGGCGTAGCATTTGTTCGATGATGGAGAGCTGACACTGATATTTAATGAAACGGCGTAGTTGACTAACGTGTTTCGTACGATCAGGCAGTATTACACCGAATCTCCGTTCAACACAGTCTTATTCAAGACTTGTAGACGGGGCGCGAGCCTAGCGATATACGCATTAACAGCCTCTAACAGTTCTTCACGAGTGTACCGACCAACACGTTTGATAGTCATTTTGGGGGCGCTTGTTGATCACTTGTAGATGATGGACGAAGAGTCAAGGGTAGTTATGATTGCCTTGTTTTGGAGCTTTGGGGCAACGAAAAATGGCCGGAGTGTTGGAACTGACGAAATATCCTTGAACACTGAGACTTCGAGCTCCGTTCGTATTCTAACTCGCTGTAGGCCCTCGCATGGATGATCGGTCCAGGCCAAATCAAGATCTTCCAATATTATGTCAGTCCGGTTAAAAGCAAAACACTCGACATGGTTGTAACATTTAGCCGACATGGTGTGGGGGAATATCGACATTCTCCCCGTATCCCCTATAAAAGCTGCGGCTTAATGGCTAGCTTATATGCCATACGTTATCTATTTAGTGGCTGCTTGGGCGTAGCTGTTGTTGTCACTGTGGCTGGCTGAAGGCTTTCTCAGCGTTCACGGCCCTCAACTCCATCAAAGAAGCCACTTCGTGATAACCCCTCCGTAACTCTCCTATTTCAAAAGTCTAGTTAACTATTGGTCATTACCTATTTCGTCTGCATCGGTGTTGACCTTTTCAATGCAAAGCGATGCGGGTATCTGGCTCGCAGGACTGAATCTATCGCTATTTCCGCCTCCAAATCGTCTTATTAAACACTTATTGCTGGCAATGGTTGCTTGTTTCGCAAGCTCTTAAGCTCGCAGATTAGGTGGGTAGGTTACTCGAAAGTGTTCCGTAGAGCTGGTGACACCCGCATTAAAACGTGGATGGAAGGACATATTTGTCCCCTGTCAAAGGCGCAAATAGTGTGTCGTGACATCCTCACTGTCGGGATCGGGGGGACAACCGCAGTGATGCCTTGCATGCATCAGGGCTGCATCTGGTGCCACAGCAGGAGTTAAGCGGCTAAAATAGGTGACAGGGACAACCCCGTATCTGCAGGTCAATGAGATTGATAGATGCCACATGTTTGTCATACATAGATATCTCTAAGATCGTGTATTGGATATGCACTGCGTGTATAGAGGTAATGTGTAACTTAAGGGCTACCTATACTGTAGCATGAGCATTATATACAACTTTCGATGCCTATATCTGGGAGTAGGCGCATCCCTAGCTATGCCACGAACGGAGTTATGTAATATTGATATGATGCAGTGCTGTAAACCATATCAATAGACGACTCTTGTCAGTGGTAAAGCATAAAGACAAACCATCCATAGATTCCATAGCCGGAACGTGGCCCTATCCTGGGAGACGCTGCGTAGGGCTAGTGATCTCCCTGCGACAGTGAGCCCCAGGGAAACGACGAGTGTCCACGTTATAGGAGACGAGCTCCAGTACCAAGGGCAAAATATGCACCAGAACGTCATCGGAACCGCAATAGACCACCGTGCAGGCCCATCGCCGACAACCAAGGGAAGTGACTTGCGGCCGTGGAGACAATCACCCGCCTGGTCGTACATATCCTGTGTCTGGACGGTTGTGAAAACGACAGTCCCGATTATCAACAGCCATTTGATCGTCGATTCGTTCGAAGCTACCTGCTGGCCACCAAGCGCCACTTCCAAGGGGGCGGATATATGGCAGACAAACCCGCAGCCGTTGATGAAGTTTCTCGTTATCCAAGAGGCATCGGCGCCTCCAAAGTTATTGTACCATATCCCAAGTACGACCAGCCCAATACATTGTCTAAGTCCGCCAATTTGAAGACTTGTTAGGATAGCAAGGGGGTAAAAGACAAGCATTAGATTGAATGCCTGCTGCGGGGTCATCCTTTTCGCGGGCAGGGTGCGCCACGGCTTATTGAGGGTGTCTTCGGCAATTGACTCCGGTCGCCTTTGGTTGTCAATAGCAAACGGTAGTAGATTTATCCACGACCATAGCAGCATTAGGGGGGCACGCTGAATTAACTCCTGCCATGTGGGTGCCGGATGTATATCGAAGGACGGTGAGATATATGCAGTGAAGAAGCCAAAGGCAAAGCTGGGGGCGATGATGGTCTTGATGTCACTGAACGTGAAAAGCCATATAGAGTATATACGATATGATATAGATGGTGAGGAGGCGTATGAGGTAGAACCGGCGGACGTCGACGACGGGGCCCAAAAGGGTGGCTTGCGGATGAGCTTTTTCCTAAATATATGTGCTGTGGGTGAAATCATGGTGAGTTCACGGTATCAGGACGAAAGACAGTCAAAATTCATGAAGCGGAGAGAAGAATTCCAGGGATCTCAAACGCGAACAGCTTTGAACCGTATATATAGAGCGCGTGGCAGCTCAGTCACTAACATCCCGCAGCACAAAGCAGGAATTATTAGCTAGTATAAGCCAGGAGTATCGGCAAACGAGTTCCATATTTGTTAGCAGTAGTATATACTTTGTAAATACTATAGCTATGTTAATACTATACGCCAAGGGGAGCATCTATCCATATTAAGGGATATGGAGGTTGCCTTGGCCCACATAACGGTAATGTATATGCCCAGTTGGGCTCTTCTTCTTCGCCTTCGTCTTCTTCTGCTTCTCCCTCCTCTCCTCTTCCTCTGCCAAAAAGGCTCTGATATCGGACCAGAACGGACGTCCATCGAGGCTGATACGCCACACGTGGGAAAAGAGGCGAAGGAGGGGATGCCATGGCTATTCGGAAGGCTCTCCGGGGATGGTGAGCGTTGAATAACGCGCATTTAAGTCTCAGCCAGAGTAGCAATCAACACCTCTAGTGCTTGGTCATGCTATCAAACATTGCCGCCTCGACCAGCCCCAGAACGCCAAAAGAGACCAGAAAGGCCAATTGGAGCATGGTGTCTACAAATGAGGGTATGGGCTCCAGGGGACAAGCCGAGCATAACTCGACGCGTGAAGAAAGAATATACGGTATTTTCCGTGTAGAGGCTTTGCCGCTCACTCCGTGGATAAGTAATAAGCCACTATTCCATGCTGCCGTCCTTGATATTGCCATCATCATCACCATAGTCATCGCCGCCGCCGCCGCCGTCGTCGTCGCCATGGCTTGTCGTCGTTTGATGATCGCAACCTTCGTCGCTTAGTTACAGATACAAAAATTGCGTAAAATACTACAGGGCAGTACAAGTCAAAGATACTGGAAATACCGGCTCCCGCCAGCGCTGGGACAAACTCTAAAAAGCGTAACTTTATATTTACTTCTGCAGAACAACCGAGTATCTGGAACTTCAGGAACTTCAGGGACTCCCGCGTTTGTGGCAATGTACCCACGCACCTACCGTTCGGTATCAATGATCTGCACTGGCTCTGTTTGCATACCGAGCTGGCGCTGAAGACCGGTGAAACCCCCACGTACCTGAAGAGAAGGAAAATAAAAATGTTCTGCTCTGTGGTTGGCGTAACTTGGTCAATAGTGAGAAGAACATTCCTTATTCTATTGCAGAATACGAAGTGAAGACTATTGTTTGTCACCTTTTGGCTTAAATGGCCCGTGTTATCAACGCCCTGGCTGCTCCAGCCCGTCATAGCTCTAAAAGAGGAAGGAGAAGGAACCGAAGGCCAATATCTCAGCCTCCCTGAATTGGCGACGGAGCATAGGCCTCGGGCAAGGACCATGATCGACTTTCAGGGGCACGGGTAACTATAAACGCAATCCCAGCGCCGCGAGCTAGATATCGGCAACACTAGCGCTTTGCGGTCGAGAGACATGTCCCTGTCAAGTCAGTGTGTTGCTGCCGGTGCAGCAGGCCTCATTGCACACCATGCCATCTTCAAGGAAGGGGAATGGCATATGAAGGCCCCCGTCTTGACGAAATACTACTTTTCAATAATCGTTGCGGTAATACTAGGAGAGGTAATTTATGATGCATACCGTGATATCCCAATCGCATGGCGAGGTGCCATCCTTCTTGTCACATTTACCGTTTCACTCTTCAGCAGCATCATATTTTATCGCATATTTTTACATCGAGACAGACATTTCCCGGGGCCTTTTCTTGCTGGGGTGACAAAGCTATGGCATACTTTCCATAGTATTAGTGCACAGAATCACCTCGTGCTCGAGAAATTGCATCGACAGTACGGCGATTTTGTTCGAACGGGGCCAGCTGAGATCACCATATTCCACCCCGAGGCAATCGCAAAATTTGATGGACCAGGAAACAAGTGCTCCAAGTCAGTATGGTATGACTTTTTATTACCACATGTCGGCGTCAACACTATTCGCAACAAGCCCTTTCATGACCAGCGACGCAGGATATGGACCAAGGGACTTTCTACGAACGAGATAGGAATATATGAGAGCCGCATTGCCTCGCAGGTCAAGGAACTAGATGAAATCATCTCAGATATGGCAACTCGACAAGAGCCTGTGGACTTTTTAAAGTACTCTTACTTTTTTTCTTTTGATGTTATGGGGCTATTTGTGTTTTCTCGATCATTCGACATGCTGCATAAAAACGAATGGCACTACAGCATTTCTATGATGCGAAAAGCTATGAAGTTTCTTGGACCAGTCTCATCTGTCCCATGGCTCGGCCAGATTGGGTTGAAGCTGTTAAAGGGCTACTGGGTTATAAAGGATTGGCATGCCATGATTAAATGGTGTGAGAACCGTATGGCGGAATACGTCCAGGTACGATATCCATATTGCTCATATATTAGACTTTTCTAACTATCTTGCTGGGAGATACAGAAAGACCAAACAACACATGATATTGCTAGCTGGCTGGTGGCCGATTCAAAAAAGAGGAATGCAGTGGAAGAAGACCATCACCTCCTTACAGGCGATTCAATTGTTGCAATCATAGCTGGAAGGTAATTTCGACCTACGTCCTTTATATCGTGACGTGACTCGGTTTAATTTTCATTATAGTGACACGGTGGCACCTACAATGGTATTCCTCTTTTACGAGCTACTACGACATCCTGAACAAGTGGAAAAACTTTACCAGGAGCTCAAAACAGTCGACGTTATGGATACAAGGGTTCTCCAGGGCCTTCCGCATCTCAATGCGGTTATCAAAGAGACGCTACGACTACACCCTGCAGTGCCAACTGGCGGGTACCGCGACACTCCCCCCGAAGGTATGGCGATTGGCGGCACTTTTATTCCAGGTAACACGACCATGGTAGCCCCTCGCTATGTTTTGCATCGATGTAAGTTATTTCTGTTACTCGTTCGTTTGTATAGACATTCAATGATGCGATAGTGTTGACAAAACAATAGTGGAATCGTGTTACATTCATGCGGGTAAATGGATACCCGAGAGATGGACCACTTCGCCTGAGCTGGTTAAGGATACAAGATCTTTCCTCCCATTCTCACAAGGTACGTGCATTGTCTCTTGTCATTTTATGACGGTAACTCTACCATGATATTTTGACCTATACTAACAGGATACTGATTCACAGGTAGATACACATGCCTTGGGAAAGATCTAGCTCTAACTGAACTACGCTTGGTAACTGCGCAGCTTATATTCAAATATCATATTCGTACGGCACCAGGGGCAGATCCTAGCTGTGTTGTGCAGAATATGAGGGACCAATTCACAGCTACACCTGGAAATCTACATCTAATATTCGAACATCGCAATAAAGCCGTTTGATATTTGATAGGGAAATGATAGCCAAAATAAAAAAGCTAATCGAACAAGCGAAAATTAAAAAGAGCACTAGGATAATATGACCTTTCAATCTAGGCACATTAATTACATCTTGGCTGTGTTTTGCATATATAATGCTACTCAAGGCCTGCTTTACGAAGGCACAATAGGGCGAAAATATCATTCTTGTACATATATACGTATTTTGCAGAAAGCACACCGTGCATACATAATAAACGAACGTAGTTTAATGCGGTAACAAGGAGACTCAGAGTAACAGTATACATCAAATGGATGATTTCACGAGAAACGGCAGACGTGAGTTCAAAATTATAGTCCCCACTGTTCACACCACAGAGCAATCATTTTCTTGTCAACACCCCCCAACTTTTGAGACATAGCCATGCTGGCACTACAAGCTTTGTCTGTGTTAAATTTAGGCTGAAAAGCATATCCGGCTGTAATAGTTTCCGCAAGGAGCTGAAAGAAGGGTAAATTTTTTAGTGATATGTCGGCGTCACGTTCTGACATCGTTTTGAGTGCTGCTGATAAGATCTGGATCCATTCAATAAGGCCGGCCTGTTTAACCGCGGGGCCAAGGCGGCCTTGTAAAGTTTCCACAAAATCAGCAAAGGGAGTTAGATTGGGGTTTACAATGTTGAAGACTTGGAGTAACTGCTCGCTTTGTTGGGACTTCCATGGCCTTTTGATATGGCTCTGTAGTTGAGGTGCTAGTGGAATTTGATTCAGAGATATTTCGCAGATAATTTCAGCCATAGTATCAACCGGAATCCAATCAATCGCAGGAAGGTCGTTAGGTATTAAGCTGATAGACTTAGAAATCATGGCCAGGGTTGGGAGCCATTCATCTATCGGCCAACTACCCGCAATGGTAGAAGTTGTCGGGCCAGCCACTTGCCCAAGACGCAGGATAGTAACCGGGATATTTAGTTTTTTAGATGCAATGGTTAATATCCGCTCTGCGACATGCTTAGATTGTCCGTAGCCTAATGGAGAGGCAACATCCCACGATGGAGCGGGTTCTTCAGTGACAGGCACACCAGGAAATATTCTACCCCAATCTTGAACAGACGATGTGGATGATATAAATACCACTCGAGGGGATTGTTTGGCTCGCGCAGAGACATCAACAAGGACGCGGACGCTGCGTATTAGCTCGTCCTTGTATGAATCCAACGTCCATCCAAAGTTTACCTTCCATGAATTATGGATGATAACGTCGGCGCCGTCAAGGGCTACTACCGTATCCTCAGGAGAGAGGCCAAAATTCGATTCCCCGACTTTCGAATTGTAAAAATGTAGACGGGGATCATCAACATCAAATTTTGGTCCTGTCTCAGATATGAGGCAACGAAGGCGTTCTCTTCCATTTTCGCCCCTATTTAAGCAGTGAACACTACCCACATGACTGGACTGGAGTAAAAACTTGACGATATTAGGGCCCAATCTGCCGCGTGGTCCGATTAAGACTATGGAAAGCTTCTTTTCTGGTATTCCCTTTGGCGGTGGGAGACTAGAGGCAAATTCTTCCACAATATTTTGCATCGCGCCGATGGCGGGATATTCACTGGCTGGTTGCTGTTTGCACGGTTGGGTCGTAGAGGACATAATGGCATTGGCTAGTTCGTTTATAGAAGGGTTTGTGTATACCATTCGAAGTGAAATGTCAGGAACATTAGCATGTACTCTTCTTGACAAGCCAGACTTTAGTTTTCGACAGAGTTCGACAACTCTTAGGGAATCCACACCCATAGCAAATATATTATCGCTATCGTCGAGCTTGACGTTGGGGCAAATTTTTCCAAGCGTTGAGCGGATATATTCTTTCACCATCTCGGTAGAGATTATTTGTAGAGTCCCGTTATGGTTGTCCTTAGATTCTTCTTCCGAATACGCCTGATCAATACCATCGCGATATAGAGCCTCGGTCGACCGCCTCACAATAGTCCCTTTGGGGGCTCGGATAAAGGGAGCGCCGGGTCTGGCAACAATTATCCTCGAGCGGCTTATCACTCCATAGGATGGGGCGATAGAGTTAGCCTCACAAACTGCGGGCCAAATTCGATCAATCAAATCGTTCGCTAGGATTTCGTGCGATCTGGGTTCGATGATGAGCAGAGGTTCTGGCCTCCCAGTTCCGACAATGAGAGCCCCAGCCACCAAAGGGTCACCTTGAATAAGAGTTTCCATCTCAAGGGGTCGTAATTTGTGACTACTAGAGAGAACGATCATATCATCAATGCGGGAATGAAAGCGCAATAGGCTCGGGTTTGAGGGGTGCCGCGTAAAGAGATCTCCCGTCCGCCATGTCTTGACATCAGGGAAATTGTGCGAAACAGACCGGTGCGAATGGAATTTTGCATCATGATGCAACACCATTTCATAGAGGCCATCTTCAATATGTTGCATGTCACACTCCTCGTACGGATTCGGCTCGAGATATTCCCATTGGCCAGGCAGTGGAATAAGCATTTGAACCTGGCCTAGCTCCAACGATCCATACATTTGGCAAACATCTGTGACTTTACTCAATGCGTTGCCGACGTTAGACGACAATGGGCCACCTCCATACAAAACAAACTTTAACCCTTTGGCTTGCTCCAATGCCTCGGGTTCCGCAACCCACTGTTGAATTATGAACGGTGGGACATAAAATCCTCGGAGATGCTGCTGTTTCATTATTTCCGATAGTAGAAAGCCGCTTGGAGGGGTCATGGCCGGCCCCATCACAACTGTAGCCGTTTTAGAAAATGTTGGAAGGATGATATAGGCTTGTACACCAGCCATCTTCGCATAGTTAGTATCTTCGATTATTCAAGTTTCAATAGCTGTGATGAACATACGTGGTATGGGGGGAAGCAAGAGTAGAAGCGACCTGAATCCTCAAAGTTGAACTGTGCAGCGTTCTGTGCCCTTCGTCCTTCTGGCACTGGCATGTAGGTATCATTATCCGTGACAGAAAACGTTCCATGTGTCATGTACACAAGTTTCGGGTCCCCTGGATATAGATCAGCTCACAATACTCTAAGTAACGACAATGATGCATATGAGGTTAAGTTACACACCAGTTGACCCAGAAGAATGCAGTATGAGACAGTGGTCATTTTTAATATCATCATATGATACCGTGGATGGGTATGGCGAAGCGCCTGAAGTTGTATCTAAAACTTCAGCTAGAGGGAGTACTTTCCAAGTTTCAAGAGCTGGAATTTCATCGTCCAGCTTCTGTGCCATTGGTGCCATTTCATGCGCGAATAGTAGTATCTGGCAGCCAGATCTGTGAAGCATGCTGACATTCTGTGATTGGGTATTCCGAGGGGATATAAAGAGCACCTAAAGAAAAGCAACGAAGATAGTAAATCAGTATATTTTATGCACCACGCGAATAGCAACTAATTGTGACGGATCCAAAAATGTTGTACCTTCCGACGGCATTTTATAGAGGCGAAAAATAAAATCGAGTATCTCAAATCCGAAGGTCCCACGTATGATATGATTGTCGACTTTCCGGCCATATCATCAACCCGCCCAATGGTAGCATCCAGCCATCTGGCAGTGTTGTTCACGGATGCGGCCATGTTTTCCATACTGATATCGCGAAATCCATCGGCGAGGTCGTTGGATCTAGGAATGGAGGCGAAGACCCTTCGCGGCTCCGTTTTTGCGTAGTAATCGACTGCTTCAGTCAACAAACGTTTTCCTCTATCACGCTCCCCTCCACCTTGGGATATAGCGCGGCTGCTACCCTTAACACGGGTGCCAGTTACCCCATTTGCACCATTCGCTGGCATTGAACTCTTTTGCGCCGTACATGTCATAGCTGCGCACACAGAGGAGTATTATCTTAGGTTTGTCAGGTTAGAAAAAGAACATATATCTAAGATGCCAGGTTAGAGATTGTAGCTTGGTGAAGTGCTCCTTTTATAGATAATCTATAGCTAGAGCGCCGGCGGTTATGCTACAAGCTCGGGAATCCGTCACTCTGGGCTGTAGCGACGACGTACAGCCACTCTGGAGCATATAACTAGTCCCGGCTTGATGGAAACGCCATTTTTCTTTCTTTTTTCATTTCTTTCTTTTTTTTTTTGCAAGGTACCTCGTAGAATTATCGGCCAGCTTGCCATTTTGCTACTCTCCAAAGAAATTGCCATTGGATATGGCTCCTCAAACATGGAGAGCACCCTGTACTTCGTAACCTGTATTGAGTGAGTCTCTAAATCGACGATGATGGCTGAATATCCCATTTCATGCCAGGTCCTGGAGGTGCAGACACCACAGCCCTTGCCGAGTCATGCGCATATCAGACAGCCAAGCTGGTATGTGGCAAAGCCACGGAGAAGCCTACAAAAGCCTTCCTGCAGCCTGTTGGATGGAGTACCTCAGCTCCTCAGCTCGACGTGGGGAACAGGCCCAATGTCTGTACGGAGTAATGGATGTGTCGATGTTCGTGAAGTGGACTGAGACTTTGGCGCTCAACGGGCTTGCAGTGATGAGTAAGCAGGGTGAAAATAAGGCTATGCACTAGTAACTATGGTATTGAAAATTACGATATACCTCCTGTTACCGTACCAAATTGATCGTCGAGGTTACGTAATATTGCGTATCGCCGTGACATGGTATCTTGCCCGAGTGCCAGGGGGTATCAGGGGGTGGGATATACGGATATAGATATCGCCATTAGTTATGGCTTGCATGCGCTTATACGCCATTCTACTGCATAGCTCATGGGTTGCTGGACCAGAGGGCGGGTTCTGTCTCAAGTAGTACCAATGTGTTTGTAGGGACTATACCAATTCATAGATATCTCCTACCCCTATAATTCTAAATAGGAATGACATGCCCTGATGTGAGACGTGTACACTGGAATCGAGCATATCGCCACATTTAGTATGTCAATGGAGTTCGACAAGTATATCCATGTCAAGATTAACTGATGACGGAATGTTGGCTAACATTAAAAAAACGTATTATCCTTTTGTGAGTACGGTAGCTCATGTAGTTCCCTGCCAAAAACAGCCCGACCATTACTATGAACAACAACAAGCTGACGGTACAAAAACACCGCGGCCCTCTACCAGATGATTATTTTATTGAGATTGAAATACTTATAGTTAAGCAAATTCGAACTGGCCTCCAGCCAACGGAAACTATGTTCCACAATTAGGTAGACGACATGACAAAAAAGTTATATACACTAGACAAAGAAAGGACATTAGCATATCATGAGGCTGGCCTTTACGTTGGCGAATAGAAGATATTGATAGACCGGTCAACGGTAATCTGTTCGTCAGGAAGCCCTTTTTCAAGTGAGCTGTCGTCCAGTGGGCCATTTCCATTCTCTCGACTATAAGCTTGAGGAGTCACCGGTTTAATGCCGTAGGGATCAGGGTCATGCGGATGCAATGGTTTCTGCGATCCTCGTGAACTTCTAGATCCTCTCTCACCGCTGCCAGGATACTGACTTGGTCGGGCGGTGTTTTCCCAAGTCTTTGCAGCAGGCTTGCGATCAGATTTTAAGCCCGGGATGTACTTGGCTGCAAGAGGCCGATAGAAGGGGAGGCATGCGTTAATTGTTCCTAATTCGACTTCGAGACCGCCGAAATTTGCATCATTGATAACGCTGAAAGAGAAATCCTGAACTGATAGTTTCAGGAGAGCGTATATTCGAAGAGCAGAGAATATACAAACACTAACTTGGGAATCAGTACGACTGGTCAAAGGACTAATATAATGCACAGATTGCCGGGTAACTTACATCAAGCCGAGGGCGAATATACCACAGAGCGCCAATCTCTTGCTCTTGGTCATTTGCAGGTTCCAGAGAACGGGTATTGGGAGGAGGTATATGGACACGTCGACTACCAGGTTGGTCACAGCAACACCCAGGTATGCCTTCTTTGAATCACCGCACGTTCCCTGAGTTTGGAATTTGTCCCAGGTATACCTGAATGGGCGGCATAGCAAGAATGGCTCCAATATCGTAGCAATGAAAAGAGCGATGACAATCACACTTTCAATATAAACAGCTACTCGCATTGACTTTTTGGAGCCAAAGACCTTGTGGTAGAAGGATAGAATAGAAAGCTTTAGGAACGTCGTCGCTAGCGACCATACAACCGGTGCTGCAACAAACAGCTAGACGATACCAAGTTAGCATACACTTGTTGAACAATCCTGGGAATTAATTGAGATAATGTATATAACCATACCTTCAATAGCGCTACTAGCTGGGCAGGTGTTGCCTCGGTAGCATGAAGACCTGCACCGCCTATTGCGGCCACTGTATAGTTGAACAAAGATTAGCATCTAACCACCTTACCCTCGAAGGGGCATGCTAAAGGTAGAGCTCACTTAATATACCAACAATTGTGGTAGCAACCGTAAAAATCTATTTAACAATCAATATCCTCAGTGACTCGGGTGCGAGGAGATATCGTCGGGCGACCATACCAATCCGAGAACCACGAAATAATCACTCAGATAGTATTTCCTGCCAATAACTCGGATAGCATAGAATCTTAGGGCAACGGCACAGGTGGCGAGGACGGTGAACACCGTGTTGATGGCTATGAGGGAGATCCCACCTCTTGGGAGGACCATCTTGGGCAACTTGGTGCGAAAGTTCACCTTGAGCTGTTGAAGTAGAAATAATAGTGAGAGGATGAGAACAAGGCAGTAACAGGCAATCTGCACCCCTATAGTCTCCTAAACAACGAAGATTGAGTAGTCTGTCCTATCAAAGCACAAGGCAGAAAGGGAGCCGAACATTTCTGTTCGTCTCTATATTGCTAGAATCGTTTCTTGTTTGGGAATAATCAAGACTGCAGTGCAGAACACTCCTTATTTATAGCAAAAAGATAGTATCTCATTCTCTTTCTCAAAGAAAAGTAGTATTCGAAGCAGGAAATGCTATCTCTAGCACCATATATATCGTGTCGGAGTCTTGGTCACAAGCCATGACCATGTTCAATCACGGTTCATCACAACTCAACCCATAGATGAAGAGTAAAGGATGATACTCTTGATTTGGGTTTAGATTTTTTGCCTTTTCTTTTCTCCAGACAAAGAGAGTTATTCCCCGCGGCTTCAAGGTATCTGCTACTCGTGGCGCGAGGCATAAATCAGGGCGGGAAAGGGTCCTTTGTACAAAGGGAAACAGGATTTTAATAGCATCACAGCTTTCGCTAAGCACTGGTTGCAGCGGACAGAGCCCACGACGGACACTAGGCCCGCCCTCGAAGATCAGACTCTATCCTCATAGTATCGAGCTCGAGTATTGGGTCAAGTGTAAGGCGACAGAAGAGTAACTTCACCCTGACGCCAGTAGCATGGAGAATTTCAGCAGCCGTCAGGGGCGCAAGGGTCGAGCAGTCAAGGGGCCGACATGGAGCCATCATAGATAGGGGATCTCGCTGCTCGAAACCTGGTCTCGTTCATCGTAGAACAGATCAGATCACTGGCTGATATCAAAAGGCTGGAAAGTGGTTAGCTTCTGACCATAAACCGCATTCTTTGTCTTCCACTTACCTTTTCACTTAAAATAACCACAAGGTTAGACTTCTGAATTGACGAAGGGATGAACTCTACGAGGTGGCTGATTCTGCTCGAGATTGTTCTTTAGCGCTTGAAAGAATCTGCAGCCAACGGCGGCCGGGATGCACAGGCATAGCCATACAAATGCTGCGAAGATCATATCCACTGCCACCGCGTCAACAATGATCTAGAGACGAAGCTCCGGCTCAGGTATTAACATGTTTACCTAAGGGTTATATGTAAGGGCTATCGTTGTCAAGGCTGGGCCGAAAACGAAGGAGCTCAGGGGCGATCGCTATTACTTTTCAGCTGGATACTCAGAGCCACCAGCACCAACAGCTTCAATATAATTCTCTCCATCAAACTGGCACGGCGAGTTTCAGCTGCACGATGAAATCTGCTGCTGACTATGTTATCGTCGGCGGAGGCACTGCTGGTCTCGTCATCGCCGCCAGGCTCTCTGAAGACCCAAGCAAGACGGTCATCGTCCTCGAAGGTGGCCAGATAATGACCGAGGACCCAAGAGTAAACATCCCAGCTCTATGGACTACGCTGATGGGCTCAGAGGCCGACTGGTCTTTCGAGACAGTGCCCCAGGTGAGATCTCAATCTGTTCTACTGGACGGCTGAACTTGAACGGCAGCATAGCTCGAGCAAGGTTGCTGACCTAGCTTTCTTTGATCCCCTACAGGCGGAACTTAATGATAGAGCCATCAAGGAGCCGCAGGGTAAGCTTCTGGGAGGCTCGTCTGCGGTCAACGGCCAGGCCTTCATTGCTCCATCTCAGGCCGGTATCGATGCCTGGGCGTGGCTCGGGAATCCAACGTGGACCTGGGAATCTCTCCTCCCATACTATCGCAAATCATACACTCTACATGTGCCTGATGAGCGGACCTGCAAGCATCTGGACCTTGGCTGGATCGATGACAACGTAAAGGGAGTGGACGGCCCTATCCATGTCTCGTTCGCCGGCGTGGCGCAGAACCCCTTGATCAAGGCCTGGATAGATGCTTTCAAGAGCTTGGGATACAATACCACGGCCGACCCGTTCTCTGGAAAGTCCATCGGGGCTTATAGCAACGCCTCCACCATTCATCCAACCACAAAGACTCGAAGCCATGCTGGTATTGAGTACGGCTTACCAGCGTCGAGGAGACCAAATGTCAGAATCATGACATGTGCGACAGCCCAGAGAATCGTCCTGGAAGATTCCTCTGAAGGTGTGGTGGCCAAGGGCGTTGAAGTTAACGTCGGTGGCAACATAGAAACTATCACGGCTAACACTGAGGTTATTCTTGCTGCTGGAGCTTTCAACACCCCAAAGCTCCTTGAACTCTCTGGTATAGGAGGTGCAGAAACCTTGAGTAGCGTTGGCATCCCCGTCGTCATCGATAACTCTGGGGTTGGGGAGAATCTGCAGGACCACCTGATGACCGGAATCAGCTTCGAGGTCGTTGAAGGTGTGGCCACCAGTGACCCTTTGATGCGCCAGGAGGCTGAGGCGATCCAGGAAGCTATGCAGATGTACACTGAGCATAAGGCAGGGCCAATGCTTATTGGAGGAGTGCAGTCCAGTGCATTCATGCCTCTGTTCGAATTTTCCAGTGTCGATGGAGTAAGACGTAGGAAAGAGTTATTTGATACTCACCTTACGTCGAACTCCGACCAGGAGCAAGCCATCCGTGCCATTATCGACGGCCCGGACGAGGCTACATGTGCTATGTTTATGTTCCTAGCTCAGGCAAATCTCCATGAGAACAGCAGAAGCTTTGTTGGTCAAAATCTCCTGCCAGGTAACTATGTTAGCTTAGGCCTATCGCTAGCTATGCCCTTTTCCCGCGGGAGCACCCATATCACGTCCTCCAACCCCGAGGACAAACCAAAGATTGATCCACGCTTCTTCTCCCATCCTCTAGATATAGAGATCATGGCACGGAGACTTATAGACTTGGAGAGGCTACATACACTCGACGGGCTCAAGGATTTCATCAAGCCAGATGGGCAACGTAACCACCTAGATGCTTTTCTAACAGACCTTGATTCTGCAAATAGGTATCTACGTGATACTGCGACCACCGCATACCACACCTGTGGCACGGCCGCGATGCTGCCACGAGAGAAAGGAGGCGTGGTCGACGAGAAGCTAGTCGTTTATGGCACGAAGAATCTTCGGGTCTGTGATGCTAGCATCTTTCCATTGATCACCCGTGGAAATATAATGTCTACCGTTTATGCCGTAGCGGAAAGGGCGGCAGATATCATCAAAGGCAGAGCATAGACTGATATAGATTTCTCTTACTACACGGCTGGCGGCACTCTATGCTCTCCAGGACTAACAGAAAGGAGACCTAAGATGCCGGGTCTATGAATATTTAACTAGACAAGAATTCCAGCTATTGACCAGCCAACTTGCTCAAAGCGTCCCCCGAAACGCACATCCCTAGCCATTCATCTTTTTGAACTGCTCCAATAGACTTGTAGAATTTTATGCTCGGCTCGTTCCACTTCAGAACCGACCACTCAAGCCGTTTTCCCCCAATTCGAGTGACCTCTTCTGCCAGGGTTCGAAGCAACTTGAACCCGTACCCCTTGCCGCGATAGGCCGGTTGGACGTATAGATCCTCCAGATATATACCAGGTGCCGATCGCCACGTTGAGTAATTGTAGAAATAAAGGGCCATCCCCGCTGGCTTGGGCTCGCCGTCGGCTTCAGTTGCTGGCGGGATGATTAGGAACGTATATACGGAACCTCGCTTTGGTGCGTCAGGGAACGAGAGAGTTTCTTTCAGAGAAGAGACGGTAGCTTGGACTTCGTGCGTGGAATTTTCGTACTCTGCTAGTTCGTAGATGAACTGCAGGATGATAGGGATATCTAGTCGGCCGATTTACAAGGTGGTTAGGATGGATAAGTCGAGGCAGGCTACAGAAGTCTAGGGTGAGTGTATTGGGCATACCATCTTCTGTAGCCAGTCTTACAGTCGCTTGGTCAGACATGGTGAAGCCGTCAAGTCCCTGTCGGGCAGAGAATAGCTATAATTTATTGTTAGGGTTGGATGAGATGTTTGAACAAACGTTTTCACCCTCGGCGTTCTTTCTATAGTGGCAATTTACGCCCTTCGACGAAGCCCGAGGTAATGCTATACGAAGTACGACCAGATTTCTATCATATTTCATCAAAGGACAAGCTAGAGTACATGGGTTTACATTTATCGTGAGGTTATGGCCGACATCCATTTCTGCTCGTCCGCCCTGCAAAATAATTACTAGGTTAGCAAGGCTCAAGAATGTATGCAATGTCCGGGTGTTAACTTACGGATCAAAATGCAGCAACATCCCTAGGACAGGGATCAGTTGCTTCTGGTGGTTCCTGTCTTTCTGTTCCAGGAACTGCAGTAAGACGTTTTTGAGATAGACATAGTCGATTGAGCTGGAGCCAGTAAGGGTGGGCGTATCGCTTCGTGAGATCGACCCGTTTCTAGTACCGGCCCCTGGAGGCGGAGATACTACGCTACGCTGTCTGGCTGACTCAAGAGAGGACCGTGGTGATCGGTTGCCGGAGTCAATTCCACGCTTGTTTGGCAGCTGGGAAGCCTTTAAATCATTCGTAAGGGATCTGTTGGTTCGTTTAAGCTTGTCCAGACGCTGGCTAGTTTCCTCCAAAGATCGCCGAAGGGATGCCTTCTCTTTTTCAAGATCCCGGGTTTGTCGCTCACTCTCGTCAAGTGCATCACGTAGCTGCGACATGGCGTCCTTGACTTCGGCAAGTTCTTGGGTGGAGTGCTCTAACTGGGACTCCAGTTCGTTTCGTCGTCGTTTCCACTCTCTCTGTGCATGTTCTACCTCGTCTTTATCTTCCTCCACCCTTCTCAGGGCTTTCTCAGCATCCCGGGCCTTTGTCCTCAGTTCCTCCATTTCCCTTGCGCGTCGTCGGTTGGCTGAGTTGGCTTCGTCTTCTACTCGATCCCGCTCTTCAATGGCAGATTCAAGCCTCTCTTTGTACTCTCGGACCTTGATGTCTGCCTTTATCTCAATATCAGATAACAAACGTCTCATCGTTTCTCCTTCGCGCGATCGTTCAGAGAGAAGGCGATGAGCATCGGCGACCTCCTCCTCTAGACCCTCGCATCTTTCGGTCGTCTCTTTCACCTGCATTGCCATTTCTGACGCCTGATCTCGCATGCTGCTCATCAGACTCTGTGCACTGGCATACTGGGCGGTCTTGAGATTGATTTCATCGCGTAACCGTTCGATATCTCTGTTAAGCTGAGCAGTCTGGGCTTCAACTTCGCGAAGTCTTGTCTGGGACGCTCGAAGATCGGCCTCGGTTCTTGAAAGGTCTCGTAAAGTCTTCTCGTTCGTCTCTATTGCTTCTTGCTTCTTTCCTTCTGAGTAGCGAAGGTCGGCCTGCCCTACTTCAAGAGCTTGCTCTGCTTTTAGCCTTCCGTTCGTCTCCTGGCTAATCTTTTGGCGAAGGGTTTTCACTTCTGAATCTTTCTCGTCCATTGAGGATTTTATGTTCTTCCACTCCAAGCGTAAAGCCTCGTGCTTTCGCTCCAGGTCTGATATCTGCGACGTCTTCACCTTCAATTCCTCTTTCACCGTCTTAAGCTCTGCTGACTCTGCTCGCAAGGAGCGTAGCTCGGGCTGTATCTTTTGCAAGGTCTCTCTAAGATCAGTGAGATCCTTGAATCTTGTCGCCGCCAGCTGTTGAGCTGCATTCAAGTCCGTCTCCAAGGTCATTGCCTTTGATTTTAGATCTTCAAACTCCGCCGATAAGTCTTTATGAGCCTTCACTGCTTCGGAGGATTCAGTAGAACTTGTACGTAGGGTAGCTAGTTCCTTCTCAAAGTCTTGGACACTCTGCTCAAGGGCAGATTTCTGCGCAAGTAATTCTTTGACTTTATCCTTGGCTTCGACATGATCCTGCCCGAGGTTTACTACTTCGTCCTGTAGAGTCTCGATTTCCTCACGTAAGTTCTCTTCTCCTTTGAGCCTCGAGTGGAGGCGATCAATTGCAGCATCTTTCTCCACAATCTCAGTCTCGAGTTCCTGAATCTTCTGCTCGAGGTCCTTAATGACATCAGTGTTCGCCGGTAAGGACTGTAAGTCATTGACGTTCGAAGCTTCTGTCGCTTCTTCGGGTTCCTGCTTAGCAGCTTTCTTCTTCTTGTTCTTCTTCTTCTTCGAACTTGTTGCCACGGTAACAACAGGTTGGCTACTGGTATCCGTGATTGATTTTGTAGAATCCATAGCTGCGATGCTTTCTTTGACCTCTGCGAAATCAACTGCTTCGCCCTTGGAAAGTCGACCCCTGATAGACTTCCATGTGTCATTATCCTCAAGTCCACCGTCTACAAAGTTGACAACAGCTTTGAGAGACTCTGTTTCTTCTTCCTTGATAGACAGCTCCGCCTTCAAGGAAGAACATGCATCTTCAGCGTCTTTGAGCTGCGATTTCAAGTTCGTCACTACTCCTTGGAGTATCTCTAATCGCTTGTCATTTGCCTTCTCTCCATCCATCTTCTGCTCTCGCTCGATCATATCTGCTTTAATCTGGCTAATTTCCTCTTCTTTGTCTTTTATTTGTGACTTCAGGTTTTCCATTTCTGCATTGGACCTTTCTAGATCTGACGTGGCAGACTCCAGCTTCGATTCAAGAGATGCGACTTGTTCTTTGAAAGATGATTCTTGACTGGCTAGCTTTGCTTCTTGACGATCCTTGTTCTCGCGTAACCCACTCAGCTCGCGTGTAGCAGATTCCAAACTGTGTACCATGCCTTCCGTTGACTCGCGAGCTACGGCAAGGTCATTCGTAAGCGTCTTAACCTGAGACTTCAAGCCAGTAACCTCATTCTCCCGTGCCTTAAGCTCAGACTCTAATCGTGGAATCTCATTATCGAAGGAAAAGAATTCTTCAGCCTCCTCTACTGGGGGTGGTGAAGAAACTGGTTTCGTTCGAGGGGAGAATATAGACAGGCCAGGTATAGCAGTTGCAATGGACGTCATCGAAGGAGTTGGTGACTTTTGAGGATTTTCTATAGTCTCATCCTTGGGTAAAGCAATCGGCGGAATATCTGGTGTGGCCTTCTTTTCGAGCCGTTCGCCATCATCCGTCCGGACTTCTCCAGCAGCCTTCTTATTCTTATTCAGGCAAGCGACCTCATCCCACGCCTCCTTCGCTGATTTCTCAGCAGATTCTAGCTTGGTCTTAAAGTCATCACGCTCCGAGGATACTCGCTTCAATTCCTCTACCACCATGTCACCTTTCAATGATATCTGGTTAAGGTATTCGGTCAATGCACGGGGGTCGGTAATGGAGGTGAGAGGTGTGTTTTCACGGAGGGCAGTTTCAAATGGCTCGATGGTAAGGACTCGTGCATGCGCCGTTCGATATGCCTTGAGTAATTCTTCGCGATCGTTAGGTCAGTAGAATGGAGTAGGACCAGGTTGGCTACATACACACACCTTGGTATCTAGATTCCAGTTTGTCAAGTCTTCGCAACTTGACTCGGATATCGGTGGGTAATTCATTCTGAGCCCCGTCCTTCGACGTAGCTGCAGACGTCTCGTTGCCGTCCTCCTTGACCTGGCTGGAGCTCCCTGGGGCAGGTTTGTCTGACTCTTGGCCAGGTGAGGCCGTCCCCGTCACCGGTTCATCGTCTCCAGCAATGTTTTCGCCATCGAATTCCGCCGGATCTGGTCCTCGAGCCGGGACTCCGGTGCTATCTTGTTTTATGCGGCTCGATCGTTGGGACGGGGACGAGCTGTTTGATTTCCGTGCAGCCGAATTGGACCGTGAAACTGTTCCCTGGCCAGCTCGTTGCCGGGCCTGCTCTTCAGCAATCCTAGCATCTATTGCACCGCGAATACGCTATGGTTGAATTATCAGCCAAGGTTCAAAACAGCTGCGAATAGTTGTAGCCGGAGAGGCTCACCTGGAACATCGCGATCGATCACTCGCCGGCTAAAAGCTCGGGGTATGGAGAGGGTTGTCTAAAATATCCAAGGACGACAGCGTAATGCCAGGGGAGAAAGCGGGTTGGGGTAGCTATCCGGTGCTACAGGGCTGTTCATATAAATGTATCTGTTGGGGCCCTGAGAGCACGGCTAAATATCATAGATGCTCAAGGATCGACCTCCTAAAGCCGGTACCCCTTGATCCCGCACGGAATACGCCTAACTACCGCCGGCGTCGCTCTATCGGCCTGGAGACAGATTCGCGTCCCTCAAAAGACTGCTGGATATATGTCTTCTTCCACCGAGAAAGGGCTGGGAGTCGCTGATGTTTTTGGCGGCGAACGTATACACGCTTAGTCAGCATATGGTAGTTCCCTTTGGGGCCTGACGAGCTTCTCGCGGCAGCATTGCCGGCTTGATACAACGATGTGGAGGAGATACAACGCCGAATGCCTACCTGGGATGCTGATATGAAGGAGCTTCCCTGACACTGAATCGCCATGGTGTCCCTCTGGCCGTGGAGAGTAAGCCGGCTCTGTTCCCAGTTGCGGGTGCTCACCGTACTGCGCTTCGTGGAAGACAGCTAACACTGCGTTGATAGGGCCCCGATAACTCTCCAGCGTCCTTTGAGAAAGCTCTCTCAGGTCTGTCTGAGAAGATCGCACAGTCTAACGGCAGCTTGGAGCTCCATAGACAGCGTGCTCGTCGATTCAAGGCGCTGTGGACGCTGTATACCACTTTTGCATACATACTCTATGCCCTGATCGCGGCGCTGGTCCTTGGTTGGGAACGATGGGGCCCTATAGAGTATACAGCCCTATCAGGCAGCCCGGTGGTGTATGTTACTCTCCGTTTATTCCGTTTTTTGCAAGTAGATATCTAACATACCTGTTCGAAGAATATACTCGATCCGTCGGCTGGGCGCAGCGTTCTGCCAGTATCGAATCACAAAAACACAGAAATACCTTGACGAGTTGCAGAAGCAGCGTGATGTGACCATCGAAAAATTGAAAGAAGCTACAAAATACAATTCGACGTTGCAGCTGCTTGAAAAATATGGGTCGGAGCCTCCAAAGCCTCCCCCGCCACGGGAGGGTGCAGAGGGCATAGAAGGAGGGAATCATTCTGGGAATGCGAAACGTAAAGGCCCACGGTCTCGCGCGTCGCTCTCGTTCTCCGGCGGGTTAACTAGAATGACCCCCCCGCCAACAGCTAATATCCCACGAGCACCGTTCGGCTCACTCCCTTCTAGCCCTATGAGCCAGAGCCAAAACAGGCCTCCCGCCCCTCTTGAGCTGGGCTCACCTACCCCTTCAAGGCCACAACCGCCCCTGAATCAACAAAAAGAGCCTCATGACGAGCCTGGTTTCCATCCCAGCGCCTTCTCTACACCCCAACATGTCGAACCGCGCCAGCCTCAGTGGTATGACCGGATACTTGACGTCCTCCTCGGCGAAGACGAAACACTCCCCAAGAACCGTCTGGCGCTAATCTGTGTTCACTGTCGATTGGTCAACGGGCAAGCCGCACCTGGTATTCGCACCATGGAAGAAGTCGGTCGGTGGCGGTGCGTTGGGTGTGGCGGCTGGAACGGCGAGGAGAAGAAAATTGCTACACACGATGATGGACTACTACAGGCTCATCATCGTAATCGGAGTAAGAGTGTACCTCATGCACCATCACGGCCAGTAGTCGTGGTAGAACCCGCGAGTCCTACGGATGGAGATGGTACATGGAATACTATTCCGCGTGATGAGGGTACCAGTAAGGAGGTACTACATGGGGAAAACTTGTCGGCAGATGAGGGTGCAGATTGGAGTAGTGATGCAGACCTTGAAGCGACGCTGAAAGAGCAGTTGAAGGCTAAAGAGGAGCCGACTGACTGACCGATGAGATACCCTTCGTTTGATGGATAATAGTAGTATTCATACTGATGCGGTAGTTGAAGTTGTTATTGGGTGGTTATCTTGTGTATATATTAAATATCCAAATTGCCCTTCGAGTGTTTCCCTGGTGTCTATCAAGCAACATGGTAGACAGGAATACTTACTACTTGCCCCTTATAGCTAACCATTTAATCTACTTTGTTTCGCACTCCATCGAAATCCATGTGCCATTTCGTCCTATATATTTTCTAGACTGTAGTGATATGCTCGGAAGGCCAACTGGGCCATCCATTATTGTTTGAGAAACTTCCGGCGATGCAGATGCGGTAAAACCCAATAAGAGGGGGACGACAGAACGAGAGGAAAATAGCAACTATTTTACATCAAGGCCATCCAATGCTAGGAAGCCGCAAACTAACTGAATGGAAGGTATAACAGATTCAAACTTAACGCAATTTAATCCGCCCACAGGGGTATCTTCGGCCTGGGTATATTAAACAAAATAAAGAATGCAATGTACATATATAACAATGCCGCCTTTCCCTTTCTATATTTCGTTTGCAAAAAATCGAGAGGCACCCATACTGTATGGGTAAGGCCTAGCATCAGTATCGTCATCACGATCTAGATACTCGCCCTTCTGGGTGCCATGGTCCGTCGCATATTTTTCTTCTCCTCGGTCTCCTCCTGCATCGGGAGTGCGCCTTCTTTCCTAAGCCTATCCAAATATTCCTTGCCATATTGGTAGCCGACTTGATAAATTTCATCGAATTTTGAGAACTCTAGTGTCCCGAAACCATCGATGGGCGGCCGCATGTACAGGCAGCCGGGTGTGTTCTTTGCACGTTCCAGGGCGTCTACGGACGAGACGTAGGCAAGACGTGCTTGGATTTCGGACAGAGTGGGCGGGTTAGGAACGCTCGCGAAAGGATTCCACCGGTTGAGAACCGTCCAGAACCCAGAGAGGGAGTCACCATATACCTGTGGTGTGTTGTCGTCGATAGCGCCCACGTCCACGGCGAATATCACATCCGCGCCTAAAGATTTCATGCGAGCAACGGTTAAGTTGTCAACATACCCGCCGTCAAGAAGCAGGCTACCTTCGTCACAGAGCGGCGGAAGAAGGCCTGCCAGTGACATCGACGCACGCACATACCGCCATACATACCCCGAAGAATGATACTCTAGCCGAGACTGGCTAATATTCGTCGTATTGCAGTAGAATTCGAGCCACGAGTCTTCTATCTGGCTATCAGAGAAGGCTTTGAAGAGCCCGCGATTGAACTCATGGCCTGTCGTGTATGAGACAGACGGGTATGTGAGGTCTAGAGCAAACCGCCAGATACTACCCATTTTGGCTGCGAATTTCTTTGCGCGGCCATACATAGGTACCACATCTGCATCGCGAGCGTATAGAGCACCGATGAATGCGCCTATCGATGTACCACCAACTATATCGATGGGGATACCGGCCTCCTCAAGCGCCGTGATCACGCCTATATGGGCGAGGCCGCGTGCTCCACCACCTCCAAGGACCAAACCAACTGTCTTGCCACATAGCCTACGCGCGAGGCGGTGGAAGTCGCCCTTAAATGGTGTCGTCGCAGAATATAGCGGTTCCTGGCGGATTCGGCGGGATGTATACTTCTGTATCTCAGCCTGAATAACCTGCACACGCTGCTTGAGTACAGTGCCAAATCGCTTGATTTGTGGCAGGGCTGGTTCTGGCGTCGCCCGATACGTCATTTGAATATGGTGGTGGCCACCATTAATCCACATGCGGTTTTTCAGCCATTGTCTTGTTAGTCCTGGTGGTGAGTATCGTTCTGCGTGTAACAATACCAATTCCTTCCTGGCTGTTGTCTTCATTCCTAGCAAGAAACGTTCATATTCGCCGATGCTGGGTGAAGCTCCGGCGACACCAACTAGCAGTATGCAGTCTGCCTGGCTGATACAGGTCTGTGTCCATGGGGCATTGACGCTGGTGTCTGCAACGTATAGAACCATGCCATAACGTTCTTCGAGGTCAGCAAGGTACTGTGAAAGTTTCAACTTGCCCATCCGGTTAAAGGCGTGACGGCCGAGGTGATTAAAGATATCGGCTTGGTGAAGTGAGGCAACGCCATCTGTGACTCCGATCTGGTTAAATGCGCTGAGTAGACGGCTCGCGAATTCTACAACGGGTATCCCAGAAGTGACGGGAAGGATGGCGACAGTCCTCAGATTTAGTGTCGACGTAACAGCGTTGGCATCATCTTGTGCCTTTTCACCTCCAATCTCGAGTAACTTAGAATTAACAAGGTGCTTCATGCGTTGCGCAATCAATTTTGATATTTGTATCGTTATCCCGGGATGTTCCTGTGCGAGGCTATTGAAAAGTGAGCGGGGAAACTTCGCCAGCTCTGTATCACGAATGGCATGCAAGGTCGCAGGACGAGTAGATTCGGTCATGACTTCAAGTTCACCCACGCTTTCACCTTGGCCATGTTCGCCGACAGCGCTTACTTTGCCGTCTCCAGACTCTAGAACTGAGCGCAGACGTCCATTTAAGACGATGTAGATTGAATCGCTCTCATCACCCTGGTGGTGAATGACCTGGCCCGCGCTAACTTGTATCCATTCCAATGCGAAGTCGATGTGTAGGAGTAGTCGAGGAAGAACGCTGGTTAACCGCTTCGCCATAGAGAGGAGGACAAGAGGATATCGATCCGCAATTCTCTCGAGGCATACTCGCGGCAAAAAGCCGACATACACGTCCGTCTTAGCAGTCACATCTGTAAACGATCGGTATGAAGTAATCGAGCCAATGTAGCCCTCTATATCGCCCGGTTTGGCCATATACAGCGAGCGGCGAGAAGCCTTCTTCCGCTGTGTCTGTGTTGGTAAACGGTCTTGTGAGATACCCGACGGCCGTCTAAGCGGTAACAAGGGCTCATTGGCATGGATGTTGCCCCTGGATGGACCGATCAGGTCCTCTCCCTTATCGTTCACTGGGATACCGACATCCAAGAACCCATCAATGACATAATACAGGCCTGGGTTCCGCTCGCCCTGCTCAACCAATACCGAACCCTTGGGGAAGTAGACAATTTCAATCTCATCGCTCAGCTCAGACTTCAAGTTCGCTATTGGGGGTGTCCCACCCGCGCTGGTGACAGACATGCTCATCTGTGACTCGGAGTCGCCATCCCCGGATGCCTCGTAGGGATCGATATAGCCAAAGGCATTGTTAAACACAGCCTTTTGTTTACGTGAGTCGTACGAGACCAAGTGCGGGGAGGCATCGGCTGACCCAAAGCCCTTGGGGAGCGGGAGGACCTCCCGGGTACTTGCTGTTAGCCCCAGGGCTTTCACCATGCAGTCGAGTATTGATTCGCGGAAGAGGACATCTTCATTTACGTGGACGGCGGCTGGGGAGTTGAAGAGGGGTTTTGCTGGAGAACTGGAGTCTGGAGAGGTATGCATTGGAGTCCTGAGGGCTGGATGATTTGAGTCATGGAATGTGCTTCGTGACTTGATCCGGCGATCGTTACCGTATCGTGGCCCAAACCGGGACAGTTGGATGGTAGAGAGAAGATCTCCCGGACTGACGCCGGCGGACTCTCGATCTAGACTGGGGGAAGTGGGCGAGCCATGCTGGCCCGGCGTATTAGGGATCTTTGCCCTGAGTGCTGCGTCCTTTCGCAGTGAGCTACTCGATCTCCGCCTATTGTGGACACCCGGGTTATGCAGAGCGATTCCCTTGGTCCCTTCCTCAGGCCCAAGCCGCTGCACAGCTCTCTGGAACTTTTGCTTTAGTCTGTCCAGTGGAGCGCCGCGCAGATCATTAGGCAGATCAAAAGAGGTAAACTTGTTCATCTTCTTCTCTATACTCAGGACATCCGTGGTTAGTCCAAGATATGAATGTGCTGTAGCAAACGTTACACGCTGTAGTCTAGTAAGGATAACTTGTATGATATGGGCAGTTGCTCGCGGGTATAGTCGAGTAAGGCGTCGGAATGCACTGGCTGGAATGATGGCTATGGTAGTATCGACGACGGCGCGGGCGACGATGTCCGGGTGGATGGAATTGGTCCTCGAGCGCTTGGGAAGGCGTCGGTTGTGCCCTGAGGAGTTTGGCGGGGTCTGGGCTGTAGAGAAATGGGGAGAGGAAGCTGTATCGTCTAGTGTCATGGGCGGGACAGTCGGAAGACGTCCGCCGCTTGACTGGAGGGATATATCACGGTGGTGATGGCGGTCCTGATAGGAAGACCGCGGACTGTTGGCAAAGGGGGTTGGGCTCACGGGGCTGGACGAATTGGGCTCCGCACCTTCTTCGTGACGGAGCTTCACGTCTTCGCTGAAGAGTGACAGGATGGAGAAAAGAGAAGACATGGAAGCACCATTCTTGACCTCGGTCAGCAACTGGTAGCCCTGGTGGTGGCGGTGGTGGTGCTCGTCGTCTTCCTCCATCGAGTCCTCCACAGAGCTATCCCCGTCCTTTTCCCGCTCCCTGGCCGACTTGACGAATATCTGCACGAGCCCATCGACCACGAGACAGAAGCCTTTCTCCTCCTCTAGCAGAAGTGTTTCGCCTGCGATCAGCTTCCGGGTCTGCATCGTGCGGGTCAATTCGTGAAAGACCGGCCGTTCGAGATACCCAAAGACCTTGATAGCACTCAGAAACTCGTCCAGATAGTTGGCGAGCCCCGGCTTTGAGTCTCCATCCTGGGTGTCCGGGAAGAGGTCGATCTGAGCCTCCTGCCGCTGAGGCTCGGGCGGGAGCCGGGAGTACTTGTTCAGGAAGCGGTAGCGGACGAACCAGCTGACGGTCGAGACCAGGAACAGGGTTATCAGCAGTCTACAGAAGAGTTAGCAGCTATTGTTATCCGGCGTGCGGGGGGGGGCCGTACAAGGTGGTGAAGTTCATGGTGAAGGTCAGGCTCATGGAGAAGAGCGTGAAGAGGGCGGTGGGCACTGTTATGGTGGTGAAAGTGATGGCCGAGTAGAGCAGTCCAGGCAGGACCTGGACGAAGAAGAGGAAGACGGTGCCTGCGAAGTCGGCCATCGTGTACGGCGAGTGAATGGGCGGACAGGAGGGGGAGCCGGCGGACGAGAACTGCTCGAGCTCGAGCCGGCGGGGTGAAGCCGCGGACGCCATGGCAAGCTCCGATAAGCCGTGGACAAAGGCGCGATTGGCGCTGGACGCTGTCTAACTAGATCGCAGCTCGCTCTCCCTCTCTGCGCAGTGACTGCAAGAACGTGGGCGGATCGCTGGTCAGGCCATTAGTAAGGGCACAAAACACCGGAAAGAGGGATCGCAACCTTGTACCTATCCTTGTCGCCGCGCGAACCGAGGCAGCGCCCACATCGGCGGCACCAGCGTGAGGAGGAGGAAGCAGAGGAAAAGACGAGGAAGAGCAGAAGAAGAGACGAGAAGGTGAAGTCGAAGGAAAAGGAAGACGTTGAAGAAGGATCAGATAAGGTTGGCGGGACCTTCCCGGGGATGTGGTAAGCGCATCGACCACCTTACTCATCTATATCTCATCTACATTTATATTTATATCTCATCTACATCTATCTATATCTATATATGTCCATCTATCTATATAATCCACACTACATGGCTATGGTGCTCGTTGGGCAGAACGGGGAGCACAAGGCCCAGGTCGCCTAACGCCCAGTCGTTGCCGTCGCCCGACCTTGTGTTTGTTGCCTGATCACGAATCTTCTCGTGGAGGTTAAATCTGGTCAGGTTAGAGCTGACTTAAAGGCGTCAGGGCACCTGCCATGGGAGAATGAGAAAACATCGCCTCCAGCCCGTCGTACTCGGCCGTCGTACTCGGGCTCGAGCTTCGTTCTGGCGCCCGCTGTCATGGCTTCGACCCCAGGTCAACAACCCTCCTCGACCGCCCCGTCCACCCCGTCTACACCCGTCTCCAGCTCCTACCTGATCATCGGCGCCGGCTGCTTTGGGGCATCGACCGCACTACACCTCGCACGCTCTGAACCAGGGGCCCGGATCACTCTGCTTGACCGCACGCCTTTTCCCTGCCCGTCTGCCGCGGCTCATGATCTGAACAAGATCATTCGCTCAGAGTATACGGATGAGTTTTATATGCGCCTCGCCCTAGAGGCTATACGCGCATGGAAGTCTGATCCTATCTTTAGCCCCTATTTTCAGCAGACAGGCATCCTTTTCGCCACAACACAAGAGCACGCGAGCAAGATCGTGGAGAACTATACCAGTGTAGCTGCTGAGAAAGCCGACTCAATGGCCTCCGTGCCCGTTGAAACCATTGAACCTGAGGTGGCCCGAGGGCGGTTTGGGGGCATTTTCAGGGATACAGACTGGGACGGAGTCGAGACATGTCTGTGGAACGCGGAGGCCGGGTGGGGGGACGCAGAGAATGCGTTGCGGAACGTGATTAGTTCTGCCATCGCCCTAGGTGTGAAATTCCTCCCCCTTGCTGTCGATAGGCTGTTGTTCGATCAGACTGGTGGCTGCCTCGGTGCGAGAACCGTTACTGGCGTTGATCTACACGCAGAGCACATCATCCTCTGTACGGGGGCTGGTACCGCCAAACTACTGGCAGATAGCGCACCGGGTAGCCCTAGGCTGCAGGTTGGTGGCAGGCTGACTGCCGCTGCCGCTGTTATGTGTGCTTATCGAGTTCCTGCGGATCAGATGGCCAAGTTTGGATCTGCTCCAATCGTGGTAAAGGCCGTTGGAGACACCCCTGGTCTGTCCTGCCTCAGCTCAACAGTTATATTCTTCAATTTCTAATCATGTTTAGGGGAGAGCATTCCGCCTGGAAAGGCAGGGCTGCTTAAATGCACTCACGAACTAAGCTTTACAAACACGGTCTACCACGGAGGTCTGGGCGACAATATTTCCATTCCGCCGGAGGATCCGCTCCATAGCACCTGGAGCCATGATGTACCGTCGCAGCTGAAGATCGAGACTGAGCGTGTCAGGGCTATGTTGTATGGCAAATATCTGACCAGCCTTGTCCCGGAGTTCTATAGGATGTGTTGGTAGGCACCTTTCCCGCTAACCCGGCGCCCGGTGGTGAGCTAATTGCTTGTAGGGATGCCGTGACGCCAAATCAGGATTTCATACTCTGTCCCCATCCTCATGCTCAGCATCTCTATGTTGTAACTGGGGGATCCTTCCATGGTTGGAAATTCATGCCTAATATAGGAACTTACGTCGAGAAGATGATCAAGGGGGGCTTAGATCCAAGCATCGCTAAAAGATGGGCATGGGACAGGAGTAATGATGGAGGTGCATGTGCGGTCTATCTACCCTCGCGTGATCTAAAAAGTATCTCCTAGGACATATTTTCCTTTGATATGGGACATCATCCGCGTTAAGCATTCCACAATACTAGCCAAGCCTTTGCAGGAAGCCGATTTTATGTCCTTGATCAAGTTCTGGTCCAGTTTGCTGAAAATATTTGTGTCAAATGTAACCAGGAATGCGTAGATAATCAACATTTACGTCAAAATCTAGGTTGTTTAGGAGCTGACATGGAGTCGATCCATTGAACGGAGATACCATTTTAAATCTGCAGTTTACGCTGCTCCCTAGGTACACACATCAGTCCTCGGGGGCAGCTATATTTTATCGATAAATATGATAGACGCAGCATTGACTCTACAATGTTTCCCCCCTTTTAAGCTTATTTTAGAGCCTAGTATAGATAGCCCGTTACTCCGCATATTCAGTTCATTCCAAAGGTTACTCCATAGTAATCGTCAACCTTCGTCCGCCTCGTGCCTAACTTGGCGCCTGTGGCAGTGCTTGTAAGCTGGGAGAGAGCCTCATTCTGACATAAAATTATGCCGCATCACAAGCCACAATTCATAATCTACCTCGTCTATCGTAAGTATATTGCATCGCGGTTGCCCTGGCTCCACTATTTTATGCCCGAAACATTGTTTATCACCTTTTTCGGGCGCTTTGGAGTACGGAGGACTCCGTAATTACCACTTAAGAAATAGCTCACTACCCCAGCCAGCCTCCTCATTCGTAGAGCCTAGAGGGTAACTAGCGTCTTGATGACCTCTCCACAATATTCTCACCGCTGGAAAGGCGGACCACAAAATAGTTAAGGGAGCATAGGATGCCTGACAGTATATGAGCCTCTCAATATTTTTTTTAATGATATTGGCTGTTGAAATAAAGGCAGCGAGCTGTATCTAGAAGCTGGATAGTTGATGATCAGTAAACTAAAACCGAAGGCGATGCTGCCTCTTCCTTCATCAGTTCATCAAGCTTGGTCCCCTACCAACGCCTGCCGCCTTAGATTTAAGATATCTTAATTCTTCCCCAATCACAGCTCAAGGCGGCAAAGGCAGCGACAAGGAAGAGAATTGTTCAGCCACAATATCATCTTTTTTCGCAAGTAGTGAGCGGTTTCGCGGGGATGGACCTTGCAAATATCATTCAACCGTTGTTTTCTCCGTTACACTCCTTCTCGATCCTGCCAAAGGCTTCTGTCATAATCATTTGGAGCTTCATGCCTTGCGGTAAATCCCACCTACTTACATCATCGATCAAGCGCTCACGGAACACCGTGAAGATAGAGTCGTAAACATATAAAGGTGCTTGAAGCCTCTTCTCCTTTTCCTAATATTGTATCCAGTCAACCGACATCCATCGTCATTGCATATTCAGCCCTTTCAAGCTCAGCCAGTATCTTCCTATATCACTCCTGTGATTACAATCTTCGCAGGCAACCCCATCGCTGAACTCAAGAAGCCTTCTGAGAGGTACACTTATTGTACTCGGAAAGATGCCTTCTCTTTTCCCCCTCGAGGTCTGAACTCCATTTCTCATCCCTCTGGTTCGCTTTAGTCTGACAGGGGAATAAAATTTTAGGACACTCGCGATCTGATATGTGCACCAGGGACAGTTATCGATATCGGAGGTGGTCGTTTAGAGCTCTCACTCAAGGAGTTAACTGAATATCAATTCTTGGGCTTCAATGACGGGCATCCACGCGACCTCCCAACTGGACTTTTCTATAACACCAAAGGGTTACAGATTTGGGGGGATATCACCCGTTTGCCAGGATACCGCCAAACCGAGGATGAGATCAATCTCTTGCATACCTTTAAAGACCAGATCGCAAACTGGATAGTAGAAGGATGCACCATCGTTGACATGGGTAGTGGGTATGTTATCCTGTGACCTTCCTTACGACAGCTCTGACGTTTATTGTCATTAGGGACACGCGGAAGGTATTGCCTCTCTTGGCTCATCTCGAACGCCTAGGAGTGGAAGTGCAATACTTCGCTCTCGACCTTTCCAAGGAGGCGTTGGAACAGACGATGGCAGAGCTTGCTCCTGAGTTTCAACATATACGATGCTTCGGCTTGTGGGGTGCATTCAGCGATGGCTTAAACTGGCTAAGGACAGTGAAGTCTCCCAAGCTCATCCTTTCCCTCGGATCAATGTTTGGAAACGATGAATTTTCTCTTGCCGTGTCGAGGCTAGAGGAGTGGAAACAGGTCATGGGCCCCGATGACTTGATGCTCCTGGGTCTGGATGCTTGCACTTACCTACCAGAGCTTTGGGATTCATACCATGATCCAAGCAAAGTATGGGAAAGCTTCGTTCGAAACGGGTTGGAGTATTCAAACGAGGTCTTGGAGTGCAATTGGTATAGAGAAGAAGACTGGGACGTTACCGGTCGTATCGACGAAGTGCCAGATGTTGTCCACAGGTTTTCTATCGTCGCCAAGAGAGACATTTACTGCCCACCCCTCGGTCTGTACTTTTCAGCTGGTGAAGAAGTTGACTTTTTCGAGGCGTGGAAATATGGGCCAGAGAGAATGAGAAGCCAGTTCAAGCTAGCTGGGTTCGACGAGCTTTACAAGTGGCAAACCCCTGGAAATCGCCCATTTTGTAAGTTCTTCGAGGCTTGCGTACCTATTATGAGACTGACTTGTATGTTAATAGTCGAATATCTTCTGGCCAATGCCGATTTTGGTAAGAATTAATAGCCTAACCCTGCGACAAGGCCTGGCATACATTTTTGTCGACATTGGCCTCCGGAACACTTGACTGAACACTTTTCTTTTGTCTTCCTCTTTGTATTTCATTTCCTTTGGCTTCCTTTGGCGAATCCTTAGTTATCTGGTCGGTGGATTTCCTTGTCTGAGCGCGTGTCCTGTTTTCTTCTGGCGGTTTTAAAAGTACAGCATCCTTTGGCCCTTTTGTTCACCCTGCTGTATTTAATGAGACGCCGGGTGCCGATTAGACTATCCCTTAATGCCATATCGTTCTTTTATCCTCTCTTCAGGGTATGGGTTTCTTGATAAGTGGAAGTTGGTGGTTGAGAGCTTCGTGGGGCACTTTTATAGCAAGTTTGGATCACGTGACTGGTGGTTCTGCCTGAGTTGCTTAGTTAGTTAGCATTTCGATGTCACTTCCAAGAATTTTTAATGGCGCGAAGATTAAGAGGAGTATTAAATAACCAGGATATATACATTCCGATTTCATAAATTGCGAACAAAAACCGAAATAATGATAAAAGTATGTAACCGTCAAGTGAGTCGTTCTTTGTTCCTTCGCTGGCTCGAATAATATGTGCGCAAAATTGATGAAACGCCTGGAAAAGCAAGCCATATATGCACCCCGATAAAATTAAGGGATATGGATATGTGTGATTAGAAGAAAGAGACTCGTCATCGTGAGGTCATGTTAAGCTGACATAACCCTCCTTTGCAATAAGATGCGCAACCATAGACTCCCACCAGGGTGCTCTTTCGTGCACTGGTGTACTCTCATCGAATTTATCATCAATTCCCCCATTGTCCATCCATTCCCACAAAGTTTGGACTGCCTTCCATACTGGAGGAACGCTCTAGAAGCCAGTGTTAGTTCACTATCTGACTCTTTGCTATAAGGCTCTGTGCGTGAGCGACTGGGAGCAAACATACCGATCTACATTTCCCTTTCCAGCCAACTGTTTCGAACCACTCCTTGGCGATCTTTCTCTCGTTTTCTCCCGTCGATACCAGAGATGCGAGAAATATAGGGCAGAAAGGCGCCTGAGATGTGAACAAGACCCCCGAATATGGCATCCGAGTAACGCACTTCCAGAGCGTGTTGACGGCTTTCTGTACATCTAAATGTTGGCGCGGTTTTCTGTATTTTTATCAGCACTTAATCTACGTGGCCCAGATTTAGTAAGGATTTGACTTACCGGAGAAGCCGACAGTTGAGATATATTTGAGCAGCGGCAACCCAAGTTTGTCCAGTGAGTTCTGTAACTTTCGCGGGAGTCTGAACTTTCCCATCGTCATCCAAATCGCACGATCGGAGGAGTTCTTCCGCACTCGGATAGCCCTTAGAAAGCTCTGACCACTGGTGGAACAATTTCAAACGGCTTCCAATCATCTTCGCAGCAGAAATAGGGGCAGTCGAGGCATCCTGTGATAAAGGTTAGGTATTCAAGCCTAGAAACCGAACACAGAGGCGGCATATAAGGCGATCATTGTATCAGCTTACCTCCTTCACCAAAATGGACAGGTATGTTATCTGCGAGATCATGTGAAGTAGCTTCGGGCAGAGTCCCGTTCCACCGTTGATCTTCCAACTTTCCCTCTCTGTGCCTGCAAGAAGCCAGCCATACGCATTTGGATTTCCCCTTGAGGCTAGCGGCGTCACAAGCTCACTGAGAATGCATGCCAGGGCTACCCAATTTCCATATCCGTGCCTTGCAGCGGTATATTGTGTATTATTCGCTTTCCAGTATCTGAAGCCAGGATCTGAGCTGTCTAGAATGGACTTTCCTAACCGGGCAGCTAATAGCCAATTCGGTTTGGCGTGGTTGATCCGCAACTCCCAGTTCACGCACTATAAATTGATAGCGACACGTCAACTACTCTCTCCCTTCTGTGAAGATATTGGAAGGTGGGACAAATGACGGCCGATGGACTCACATCGTCTACTAGAAGCAGCATTATGGCTGCAACAAGGCTATCGCCTTGCCCAGTGGTCTTGATTTCTTTTTTTTGCAGGGCCCTACTTATCATCACCTTGGCTTGGTGATAGTGATAATTGACACGTCCTTGGAGGCTCCCGTGTGGACTGTAATCGAGCAAATAACTGCCGCTTAACGCCAGTACAGCGTGCTTTACACACTGATCTTTATGAAACATGGCCAATATTTCTGTAATCCAGAAATTTGTTCCGGAGAGAAGGGTCCTTCCCGAGCAAAAGGCGGCCTGGTCTAATCATGTTTACGTCAATGGATCTGTCTTGAGAAGCAGTGACAACTACTAACAGGCTAACGCAGTGTAGGAAGAAAGACATACAAAATTTGAAGAATTGTCCATCAAGTCGGTTCTCTGACACGCCGCCAGCGGCGCCAATGCTCGGGGGCATGCGTAGAGGTATGCCAGGAGGCACAATGCGACGTCCACCATTGTCCCTCTGAGGATGAATTCCTGATTTTATAGGAATAACTGTCCGTTCGTTTGAGCAGGCACGCTTAACCAGCTGGCCCTCGAGGTTATTGTGCTGAGGCTTGGGTAAATTCAGTCTTACTTTAATGTAACTGCTGATTTCTCCGTCCTCTGGTGGTACTATGATCTTTCTCGGGGACCTGTGTCTCCAATTCTCGTTTCGCGCAAACGGATTGATAAGCTCCTCCTCATCTTTTCGGTCGGGAGCCACATTTTTAGAAGAAACTGCTACGGTTGGGCCAAGGAACGGTTGGACTCCCACATCGTCGCTGGGATTGAATCCATGGCCACTGTTGTCGGTGGCAGCAGCCCGGTGGTTCTCTGCCCGATAAACTCAATGATCAGCGACCTCAAAGCGGGATCTCTGCTGGAACTGCATGTTCTTACGTGGGGAATGGACATCACCCTGATCAGACTCTGGACTCATTGTGCTGCTCAGGGACCGGTGCTGCGGGAGTCCTTGTATCTCGTTTGCGACATGATGTGCGGGCTCCTGGCGCCAGCCTCCAAACTCATTTTCGATGAAGGCCATTAGAGTTCCAGGACGTGATATTGAGTTAGGCGGGTATAAAACGCTGGCGAGTGGCTCATGTAGATCTAAGGCCTCGTCGAACAGACTGCGTTTCTTGGCGAATGACATAATTATTCACACGGCATCATAGGACGGAGTGTGGTTGAGGCTAAACTCCTGATATGGCAACGAGAAAACAAGAGCAGAAGGTTGGGGCCGCTGCAGAGAGACTTATAGCGCTGCTAAGCAGAGAGGGAAAGTCGAATTCAAAAGAGCAACTTTCGGATGCGGCTGAAAAGGCTGAGGTTATTCTGCCGGCGCCCCGCTTCTATTCCCGTCTGAGAAGGCGGTGACGGGGCCGTCCCGCATTACATAATTGCCACAGAGCCGCATCACCTGACCTTGATTAGTCAGTGCCTGCCAGCGGAAAAGTCACGTGAGAGAAAAGAGAGAACAACGAGATACGAGGGAGAAAAGAGAAAACTACAATCACTTGATACTGACGATGATACGAGGAGACAGAGGCAGAGGACCGCAATAGATGCAGAGGACGCGCAGACAAGTCGCCGATGTGGTGCCCACAGCTCTACAAGCCCCAATGCTGGCCGGTGACATGACTGGGGTTCCTGGTCGCTCTTCTGCGCAAGCTTGCAGCAACCTCTGCTACCTTCGAAGGCGGCAAGGCTGGCGATGCATCTCCGCCTTGCCTGGGCCGCCTGATATGCAGAGCATCCTTTCCTACAGCCAGGGAGCCGAATTTTGAAGGTTAACCGACGTCCCAGCCTCCATTTATGAGCAGGCTGTGCCCTTTGGACCCCCCTCCCTCCCTCGCTCCACGGCCTGTCAAACAGCCTAATCCCCCCCTTTTTTTGGCCTTCTCCCAGCGTGCGCCTTTTCGTCTGGTCCATCATTTTCAATTTCCTATTTCGCCGCAGGCGGAGGTATCCAAAGAACGCCTACCACGTAAAGTTCCTAGCGATGCCACTGCCATAGATCTAGCACCTTATATGCCTGCCATGTCGTCGAGCGAGCTAGCAACAAGCCTCCTTCTCACATGTTCACAGCCCCTGAGTCCATGGCTTCAAGAAGTCATCCGGACCAAGCTTAGCGAGCTAGATCTATCTGACCAGAGTGAAAATGGGCAGGATACGGGCTCTGCCACCGAACTAGGGCTTACACCACAGCCTTTACCTACGCCCAAGTTGGACGACTCCACGTCCGCTTGGGCTCTGTTACAACAGCCTTCTGGTCCCACACCTGCATATTCTAAGCAGGCAGACGAAAAGCCGGCGCCCGTTTCAAGCTGCCAGCTGGTTGAAATCGGAGAGTTTCTTGTCCATTTGATGACTTTGACTTCACGAATAGCCTCTGCCTTGGTGGAGGCAGATGATATAAAAGCTTACATCGAGGGTCATATCCAACAATTAAATACAATGCATCAACTCTCTGACATGGACGTGGTCGGCTATATGAGTGAGAAGGAACGTTATCTAAAGTGAGCTTCCTCCTATCCCACCTCTTTTTATTGATAACACCTACCCTTCCGCCTCCATCAAACGCCACTCCGTGTATCTTGGTACATGCCATTACATTTCCCCAGTTGAATAAATTCTGACGACCTACCAAAATACGTCCCTCTATTGCCCCACGAATCCTAACACGCTCACAAATTGATACACAGAACACTCGCTACAAAACTTGAGAATATGGCCAATGAAACTGCTATGGTTTGGGATCAAAGCCCCAATCCCCCTTACCCATTAGCCGATCTGCCCCAAGCCGTCTCCGCTGCCCTGGTTTCGCAGAGATCAAGCAGCAATGCCCCAAATAGCAGTGGGGTAAACCCGAATTGCACTGTGGGTTCTAGCTTCGCCTCATCGTCACCTGCGGCCTCTTGGAGTTCAGAGCAGAGCAGTGCAGCCGATGGATCGCAGCCTATGACCGCTCCAATGTCAGTGGAGAGTTTTCAAGGTATCTATCCTCGCCTTGGTAGACGTGGAGTAGGGAGCTGGATCTGTCCAGAGCGTGAAAAATGCACCAAGGGCGGAGTTCGCGATGGGGAGTTGGTAATATTTGAACGAAATTCTTCATTTAAGTTAGTATATTATACGTATCCCGTTCTTGTTGCTCCCTTTAGTCTGGGTAAGTGTAATCTCAGTTGAGTAGCTGACAGGATGACTTAGAGCACATCTACAAAAACACCAGAAAGCTTTCAAATGCAACATCCCCGGCTGTAAAAACAGTGCAGGGTTTGCCAGGATTGATCAGTTGAAACGACATAAGATAGAGGTGCACCACATGAAGCCCGAGGATCTTGAACAGGTGAAATGATGCATACTGCAATTCGCCTCATGTGTCCCCGAACTTTATTCCCTCTTGGATCTGTTGCTACAGGGGAACTGATCATAACCTGCGTCCTTTTTTACTCTCCATTACTCTGTATGGTTTCCTAGCTTCATTCTCGTGTTCCTTGTACCTCCCTTTCTCTCTTCTTCTTTTTTCCTCCCATGGCTACTAGGTAACTTTCACACCATAGCCTCTAACCCTAAAATCGAACAGTCTGCATCTTTCAGGGCAGTGCACGAATGCAGGGCTTCAAACCGTTGTTTATCAGTTACAAATTACAATAATTTACTAGAAGGAATTGACAAATAAGCATATCTAGAAGATTTTTTTCTCTATTGTAAAATGAACGCCATTAGCTGAATATTCTATATCCCACGCCTCGCCAGTGAAGATCCTATCGTATTCGATGGTAATCCAAGCCGCGAGAGATTCGAGTTGTGGAGATGATTCTCGGGGCTGGGGGAGGCGCTCGCTGGCTGAATAAGTCAAACGACGACAGACAGTGAAACTCCCAGTGTAGTTATCAAACTAATAGGGATGGACGTGACTTATCTCCCCAGTACACGTCCATAATATTTTTGCTACGAGTGACTGGCTGAAACTCACCATCAACTACAAGGGGAATATAATCGGACAGAGGACAATAGCGCTGGGTTCATTGCTCTTTGATATTTGTGGAATTGCCAAACGTACTACCACTAAGATTTCGCAAGTGATAGATCTTGCCACTGTCAACACGGGTTAATGGGGTGAATTCTGGATATAAACCGTAAACTAGGCAACAATGCAAGGTGTACCATGGAGGTAATTTTTCTCCCCCCTTGACGCGGATGTATACTGCAGCCAGTTAATAGGAGAGCGGAGGTACCGTCCAAGACGCCAAAGGCAGACCAGCCGGATCCGCACAATGATGAAGAATGTCAGAGGCCTTAGTATAATGCAATAACATGTGATAGCTCTGCTATCGTCCTGACTTGAATAATAACCGCGCCACTTGATAGAGAACTGCGCGCGCCTTTACCTCCAGCACAGCCCCGGCCGCCCAGGAGCATGTTCCTGTTTGGCGTACAAACGCCGACTCGAATGCCTTTCTCAAAGGCGCCTGGCTCTCTCTAGAATCAGGGCTAAGTCGATAAAGGTTCACATCCTTGAAACGGGCGCAAAGCCTCGCTTCAATCACGCAGGCAGATTCAGGGCTCCCGTTTTTGACCATCTTTAAGGGCAGTGATTGCATTCGATTCACAGCTCTCCAGCTTCAAATCCTTTCCTGGAAGGTGAAGCGGGAAAGTGAGGGTATGAAAAACCGCATGCCTTGTCTGTAAATATCAGTTAGAAGCCTAACACAAGCACGCCACTGTTTCTGTGGCGGGTGGCTTTGCCATATGGTATTTATACAGCGAAGCCCCGAGCAAAGTTTTAACTCTCCCTTTCCAATATCGTGCTCTATCAGCTTGCTCTGACGCTCTCTGAAGCTTTTATTCTCTTTGTTGCCAAAGCTCCACTGATCTCGACTCTTGTGGCTAAACGCCTTGTGAGAAGCCGTGAGCAAACACTTGAGAGAGGTATCAGAGTACTGATTCTCATCTCGTCAGATCTACCCACTATGGCGAACAGACCCAGGCCATCACATGCAATGTCGGGTTCACATCCAACGTCAGCTTGCACACTCCATGATGACCGTCGTGTGGACCACCGTTTAAATGGGCAAAGCTTTTCAACATCTCACTCCCGCCCTGTCCATGAATTGGGTTCGAGATGCCACCCAGCTCATTCGAATAACCGTAACCCACAAAACGCGTCGACGCACGCCCAGCCTCAATATCTCCCCTCGGGTGCCCAACAATACCCTTCACAAAGAACCAGCAACTCAGGTATTGGCAGCAACCATGCTCTCGCCAGCTCACGGTTAGCAAGAGCATCTACCCTTAGTCACCGTGGTAGTGATTCACCTAACTACCACGAGGCTCTAGGTGGAAATAGTCATAGAATTTCTGATCTTAGCCCCACCGACCTTTCATATCACCAATATACCCCTCCAACAGCTGCCGGGGCTTCTGTATCTTCATTTTATGACCCCGCAGGCACTGTATCTTCGCATGATTCGAACCGTTTCCTCGGATCTATAGATCCAAACGACACGTCTTACTCAATGCAGCGCTATCTCGACGAGCGTTCCCGGCCTCGTGATGTCAGCGGAGTCTTGGAGAATGTCGACAGGCATTTTGCTCCGCAAACTGCTCCACAATATAGAGACACATTGGCAAGCGATGGAACCCAGTGGTGGGAGACAGACACATATTTGTACCCTGATCGAAAAGGAGATGGGCAATGATATTGTGTTTCATGCGTTGGAATAAGAACTTTTTTCTTTTTTCTTTTCTTTGTTTCATTTTGAAGTATTTCTTTTCTTTTTGCTTGGTGCATCGGTCCTAAGCCTGTTGATTCGGTTTCGGCATTTCTTTTATAAGCCTTCCCTCTAGGCTTGCTTTCCTATTTCGCTATGGTTTTGCGGGCAGCGTATAGAGTTGTACATATGGATTTTTTATGCGTTGCATTGGATATTGGGTATGGTTCCGTTGATTTTCTGCGCGTTTCTTTTCAGGTTATGAGTGGCGTAAACAATGTGGCATCATTTGATCGTTTAGCAAACACTAGACAGCTAAAAATCAATTATCAGGCTTCAATCATTATATCCACAGCAATTATAAAACAATCAATACATACAGAAACTATAGGAGTAAGTGGGGGGTGAAATAGGCTAGAAAGGTGTTTAAACCTAGCTTTAAGAGGATACGTTTCGTGTCAATGATACTTTTGTACCTCCATGACAAGCCATTGTTAGCCTCAAGTCTTCAACAAAAGGTAGAACAGGATCTCGATTTTCAATATCCTGGAATGTTTGTAAAAGTCGAATAAGGACATAGGATGCTTCTGTCAATGCATATTGCTCTACAGCGCGAGGTTAGCAATTTTCCTTCTTTAACTTTCTATTTTTCATGTGCTCTTTGGGCATTTATTGCTGCAGATAATGGCAAAAGGAGGTATAGGGATGCACTCACGGCCTAAACAAATTCTAGGGCCACCATTAAATGGCAAATAGTTCCAACCTACACGAATGGACTCCCAGCGGCTGGGTCTGAACGTGGTAGGGTCTGGCCCGTACGAATTTGGTGAACGATGAAGACCCCAGACCGAATACAATACATTCGTGCCTTTGGGAATCAGTACCTTGCCCTTTCCATCTGGGCCACCACCGCGAGGTAGAGTGGTCATAGTGGTAGCTTCACGGCCGTTGCTAGGCACAACAGGAAATAGCCGAAGGGCTAAAAAAAAATCACAAAAAAGTACGTTAGCATTAGGCACAAGATATCAGGAATTTATGGACCATATCGGCGTTTATAGGGAACTGAGGGGTAGGAGTATATATTCTAGCAAGCCAAAAGATGGGTGATTATAGGATGTATAAGGAGATCTTAATCTGGCCCTATGAATCCAAGGGGCTCATAGTAGGGGGAAGCAGTTATAGCCGAGAGAGCTATGCAGGCTTGTAGAAAGGAGACAACTCACTCTCGTTGAGAACGTAGCGAAGGTACTTGAGTGACTTAATATCTTCATACGTTGGCTTCCTGTTCCCAATAGTCTCAATGACCTCCTTTCGTAGGCGGAACCATTCCTCTTTATGCCTAGCTAGCTGGTGACAACATATTGATAACAGACTTGCTGTTGTGTCTCGCCCAGCAAGGAGGATGTTAAAGAGCTCCGATCGAAGTCGAACAGGATCTTTGAAATTTTGTGCCGCCTCTTCCAGGAACACGTACTTGCCACCTAGCTCATGACCGGTTGGCTTTCCCGTAGCTTGTAGTTGCAGTGCCTTTCTAGTAAATTTATCCAAGTATGCATGCATATTTTTGCAAAGCTGTTGGAATTCAGCGCCATCTTTTTGGAGCCAATAAAAGTCCTGGAGAGTCAATCGACGCATAAGAAGTTCTAACATTGTTGAGGTTGAGTCAGTTTCACAGAAAAATCTATTTGGAAAAGGCGTATGGGCTAAGCTATATACCTGTTCCTCGTGTGAAGTCATCATAAAACTGGGCTTCTTCCACTGGGCAGCCTGGCAATAAGCTGTTCACGCTTTCCCCAAATAAGAAGTCCGTGGCTAGAGCATGGAAAATAGGTAAGCGATATACTAAGCAGCAGCGTGATGGAAAATGACAACGCCGCACCTGTATCCATAGTAAGCTTGAAAAAAAGCTCTTGGAGGTCAAAGGTCTGGTTTTCCGGTATCAATTTAAACATATTCTGTACGAATGACTCGAGAACAGTGAGATCTTGGATTTGCTGCTTCGCAAATTGTGGGCGAAGCACGTTACGTGAGTGGCGCCACGGCTGTCCCTTTTCTCCCCCTCCATACATGTGGGTGAAGATGCCATCCCCAAGCATTGGTGCAAAGCTGTTGTATCTCGCAGCGCTAAAGCTGAAATCCTCGAATTTGGTTGCAAGTACAGTCTTGATATTCTCTGGTTCACGAGTCATCACACTTGTCGTTCCAAACATAGAAAACGAGAAGGTGTCGCCATACTGTTCGAACAGTTCGGTCTCCAGTTCCAAGTAACGATTCTCGTCGACGGCCTTGGTAACCCGGTTATAGAAATCAATTCCAAATTTGACGGGTGATTGCGTCACCTTGGGGATTGGCTGTGTGTTTTCCCGCAAACGAACTTGTCTCGACTCGAAATATCTGAGGGCGGCAAAATATCCATAATATAGGCAACAGGCCGCTGCAGCGGCTGCTATTATAGACCCAAGCATGGTTTATGACTGTGTACTCCGTCCTCTGCAACAGGTGAATAAATAGAGATGGAAAAGGCAAACGAGAGGGTTTAATATAGGCAGGAATGGGGCCTCCGCAGTAGCACAGGGATTCCACGAGAAAAAACAGTAACTTCAAAATAGATAGAGATACCAAGGATCACCCCCGTCAAACGTAAACGTCCCTCGGTGTCTCAGGGTCTCACGCAGGAGAAGAGGGTACTGTGGATATGGCCTCGTCTGCTCCGTCGGCCTCCACGGCCACCACAGGTGCTCCAAAGTCTAACTCTGAGCTCTGTCAAGAGTTGTGCTATAGGTCCTTCGTATCATAGTCGCATCATCCTTGTATTTAACTTGCCGTAATTGTGCCGACGGAGGAACTATCGTCCCCATGATCCATCCTTCGACATCGAACATCGTAATGTAGTGCAGGCTGAGTTCACCTGTACCTTCAATCATACGTAGAGCAGACTCCTTTCAATGGCGAGAATGTATGTACTCTGTAGGTGTTGTTGGTGTGAAGTGCAGAGGAACGACGTTGGGATAAACAAGACACTGCCAAGACCGGCCAGCGTGCGGAGTTCTGACCTGCTGGACGACGACCAAGTTAGAGACAACGAGAGGAACATTGATAGAAACCCATGAAGGCTGCATGTAATACGGACCATCTATCGGACTCGGCTTAATAGATACACTCTCAGACGGACAAACAGACAGACAGGCAGGCAGGCAGGCAAGCAAAATGACTACGCGCTACCGAGTAGAATGTAAGTGACTGCTGATTCTCCAGGGGACCAATGTCAAGATAGATCCCAGGACTGACATAAGTAATAGATGCACTCAAGGTAAGTTGGGTACCAGTGCTCATTTGTATGACGACATGGGGCGTAGCAGTCGATATACCCCTGCTGTTGCGCAATCGTGAGGCTGCCATAGTGACAGACACAGCTAACTGCTATCCCAACAGTCGCATCGCCGTGATCAACTAGTGAGACTCCTTTCAACGCTTATTGATATAAACTGGTAGTTCCTCACACATGAAGACTAACTTTAACCATACGGACCCCAGATCGAGTGGATTAAAGTAAGTTGAGTTCGCTCCCCAGGATGCGGGGGACACAGCTGAATAGTTGATATAGGGCCTTCTAGCGGTGCCATTTGTGCTCCATTCGCAGCCCACTGCTGCATACAAGGAGCATAGCCCAAATCTAGCCCACCTTGCAGAAAGAACGCATAATCGATATGTCGAGATTATGCGAGATGTCGAACATCTTATCAACGACCACAGTACGTGATTTAGCTGCATACGAAAGAAGTACCAACTAAAAGCAAATATTATTACCATTGCTAATATTAAGTGCATAGTTGAACATCAGACATTGGAGACTAGCGGCCGGTCAACTTTGAAACTACTTGTCCCATCTGTGGGAACGTTTTTTACTCCATTGCTCCTGGAAGATGCATTCGTATACCAGGATAACAAACGCTTCATCAGCCATAGGCGCTTTGTACCCCCGTCGTTCAATGATATCCGGCTCACATTGAATACTGCTCAGCTAATGGGCCTAGTTCGTCGCAGTGAGGTTCAGTTGATCACCTTCGATGGAGATGTGACCCTGTACGATGATGGGTGCTCTCTCACGCCCGATAACCCCGTTGTTGAAAGGATAATGCTCCTGCTGCAAAGGAATAAGAGAGTCGGCATTGTGACAGCCGCCGGATACTCTACAGCAGCGAAGTATAAAGAGCGCCTTGAAGGGCTGCTGGAAGCCATCAAAGCATCTACTAGTCTCAGCGACAAACAGAAAAATCATCTCGTCATCCTTGGGGGCGAGAGCAATTTCATGTATGAGTTTGACCCCAACTCTCCTGATCTGCTTACCTATAAGCCCCAAAGTGAATGGCAGCTAGATGAGATGAAGCTGTGGAGGGAAGAGGACGTTAAAGAGTTGCTTGACATTGCCGAAGCAGCGTTGCGTGACTGTGTTAGCAACTTGAACCTGCCCGCTGCCATCCTACGAAAGGAGAGGGCAGTTGGAATATACCCGCTTGAAGGACATCGAATGCATCGCGAACAGCTTGAGGAGACCGTTCTTGTTGCACAGCAAACAATCGAGACATCTTCTGTTGGCAGGCGTCTCCCCTTTTGCGCCTTTAATGGTCAGTTAAGTGCCTGGTACCTTTCTCAGCTTGGCCTTTCATGCTAAAATTAATATTCTTGATAGGTGGAAATGATGTTTTTGTAGACATTGGTGATAAATCATGGGGGGTGCTGGCTTGCCAGAAATATTTCGGCGGTATCGATAGATCCAAAACCCTTCATATAGGCGACCAGTTCTTGTCCGCTGGAGCAAATGATTTCAAGGTGTGTACTCTACCTCTTCGCTCTATTAAACTTGTCCTTAATCTGATAACCCCCTTCTATAGGCACGGCTGGCATGCACCACCGCATGGGTGTCCAATCCTGGCGAAACTGTTCAGCTCCTAGACGAACTCGCCGCTTTGGAGCCAGAGGGTACAGTATAATCTACCTAGCTACTGATAAGACGGCCCCTCCTTTTCTTGTGTCTTTCAACATAACATTCCAGGGGGCTTTAAGCGTTCGAGTATAATTTTTCGTGACTTGCCCTCGCCATATACATCGATTACATTGCGATCATCATTGAAATTATGTCTAGGATGTTTTTCTTCGCCTAATAAGCTTCAAGTCGTTTATTCTTATGTACATGGGCATACCTTGCACTCGTAGGCGTTCATTACATCTACTTATTCAGTCGCTACCCTCAATTTGCTTGAGGGTTTCCTGAAGTGTGAGGCGGGAGTCGTCATCGGTCTGATTGACACTCCATGTGTAACTGGATTCTTCCACCTCCTCGTCCTCTGCATGATTCGTCGACACACAATGCAGTACTAGCGATTCTCCGCTTAATACCACTCGCAGTTTCTTATTCCGACTTTTTCCAGGGGCATGGGCTATTAGCTCCCCGTGTTCTGAAAACGTAGGCTCCCAGATTGCAGTTTTGGAGGCAGTGGTTGGTGCGGTCACTAGACCTGCAGTTGGATCACTCGGGCCAGGCTCGGCGTCTCCAGGTAGCATATTGGGTAAAGACGATATGGTTCTCGTTCCGCCAAGTAACGGAATTGTATGAACTAAATCCAGGGTAAATAAGTAAATAAGGAATTCTTGAATATCATCACGAGTACCAAATCTTTGGATGATTTGTTGTTGCGGGAACGAGGGAAGACTGGTCCATGTGTTAAATTCAGTTCCAAGTGCTGTAGGGTCCAAGTCTGTCCGAACCCGAATTTTATAACGGCTATTCGGGCTAAGGAAGTCACCTGAGACTGCGGCCTCTTGAACATTAAGAAATGAGTCCACGAGGGATTCTACAAGGAGTATATTTTTATCTTGATTGGCGGGGGTCCCAAGACGGTCCTTGGATGATGGGGGGTTCGCCCAGTACTTGCATTTGAGTCCAGCAGAGAGTAGCGTATTGGTTATATTGTGGAGGAACGATAAAAGCCACTGCATGTGCGATCTATGTTGGAGGTACGTAATGCTTGGCTGGAGGAGTGGATATTCTATCGTCGGACGTTTCCTCACAGATATGGCTGCAGGTATCTGGGTCCGCCGGCGGCGGTTCTTCCGATGGGCGTGGGTTAAAAGGATGCGGATGGAGCAAGCAATTGCGTGGGCGAGGTCGTTGGCTGGAAATCCAGCTGAGCCTGCTTCTAGGTCATGGGTGGCAGTTTCGTCCACTGGGATCATGTCAACGAGAACCTGTTGGCTCTCGTTCACATGGAACAAGATCTGATTGTGCCGGGTTTCAACGCCGTGTCGGAGAAGTGCCCGTGCTTCGCGATTTAGTTCGTAGAACAGCTCCTCCTCAAATAGAGAGTCTCTCGCTTGGTGAATGTAGGTCTCCTGGGCAGATGTATCATGTGCATGTTTGACACAGGCTGGTTGTGATACTCCAACTATTTCCCCACCCTCTCGCACACGAATGCGCACGACTTGTAGAGGAGATGCATTCATCCCGTGGTCGACATACAAGGACCCATCGTCTCCCCTTCTTAACGCCCCCAAGCCTCGATCTCTAAACACGGAAGCAGCTATTTATCATAGTAACTTTACATTAGTAAAGCTCGACTAGCCGTCAAATCAGGAAATAGGTGGTCCCATACCTTCAAGAAAACCATGCTGCACGCCCAGAGTTTGCCTCTCGCGTGGGAGCCGGCATATCTTCCATCCCTTTTCCTTGATTGCCAGCACCTCGGACCAATACTTGGTCTCCGCGGCAACTTCCTTCTGCAGGCGAGTGGCAGCTTCAAGCAGGTTGTTTGCAGCAGAGCTGAAACTCTCCAGTTTCCATCCCTTCGAGACGATCGCGATATCCTTCTTGTCGGCCTCAGTATGCTCCGGTGTTTTTATCTTATCTATGCCGAGAGAGCCAGTCGGGATTTTGAATTTGATATACGGCGTCATGGATAGCTCCACCTGGCGCGGGGCATACTTTGAGAGAGCGAGGGAAACGAAATCTAGGGCGTAGCAAGCTTCGACTTGGGCCTGCCTAGAGGTCGAGTGTCAATAACTCTGTGCTTATTCCACGGACCATGATATTTGAGTACTCACGTCGCAAACTCGAGCATCTCTGATCGGCTAGTGAAGAGCTGCTGTTCCTTGTCATCAGCGTCGTCCCCAGCTTCGGCCGGCTCTCCTATATCAGACGCCTCTTTCCCGGAAACGCGGAGAGCTTCGATTTCATTCGACAAGCTCTCCTCAGTAACATCTCGGAAGGATCCCCTCTGGGCGTTGATCTGCGCAATGCGGATGGGCAGTGTATCTGAGTCCTCGGTCTTCTTCCTAATCGGCCGCAAAGGCAGAGAGAAGGAATCGGCCATCGTTACGGGGTAGTTAATGGAGCGCGCCCACTTGCACTCTGATCAGCTAGTTTGCCGTGCACGCAGTAACTGATACTATGTGGTGCGTTCAGCGTATGCGGTCGATGGAAAAACCGAAGTCTGCCGCTACAAGCAAAGGTAGCCCCAATTCCAGTGCCAGATCACTTCCATCCCCGTCCTCGTCTCTCCATGTTCGTGTCTAGATGTCTTCGCGATAGTAAACTTGAAGACATTACCTAATCATGTATAATAGTTTATCCGCTCCGATCTAGATACGGTCTAGCCTGGTGATCAAAGCTGTGTAAAGTATATATAAGTACCAAAGCATCTCCTTGCCACCAAATTCATTAGTAAAAGGATCGCCCCGCTACATGGAAGCTACCTACGGGCACTTGGTCGGCGCCAAGCTCGTGATGACGATGGCTCCGACTGAGGGAAGAAGATCGTTTTTGTATAGAGAAGACGACGACGGACGACTGTTCATCTTCTTGTCTCCTTCATACGCAGTAAAGAGACCGGTACAGCTATCGAGCTACACTCTAGTGAAAGCGACTTTCTTTGTTCATGACATCTCACGATTAAGCTTTGGAACAGCTCTTGACTTGGCCTCGCGGGGCATGGATTGAGGTATAATTCCCTCCCACCAAAGACTCCTCGACACAGACACCACCGCTGCTCTCTGGCTCTCGACAGCTTACACCATTGACGACCGGCGATAATTCATATCCAGAGACACAAGGATGTCAGCCCCTACGCCTGTGGCAGCTACAGCCAAGCGGCGCCGTATCGCCGTCTTGACTAGTGGGGGTGACGCGCCTGGGATGAACGGCGTGGTGAGAGCAGTTGTCCGCATGTCTATTCACTGTGGCTGTGAAGCCTATGCCGTACATGAGGGTTACGAAGGGCTGGTGCAGGGCGGAGACTACTTCAAGCGGATGTACTGGGAGGATGTTCGTGGATGGCTGTCTCGCGGCGGTACGTTGATCGGGTCTGCGAGGTGCAAGAGCTTCAGAGACCGCGAGGGCAGGCTGAAGGCTGCCAAAAATATGGTCGTCCGCGGCATTGATGCCCTCATTGTTTGTGGAGGAGACGGGTCCTTGACTGGAGCAGACATCTTTCGTTCCGAGTGGCCCGGGCTACTAGAGGAGCTGGTTTCAAAGGGAGAACTCACGGATGCAGAGGTCAAGCCGTTCAAGTCCTTGAATATAGTAGGACTGGTGGGCTCAATTGATAATGACATGTCGTTGACTGACGCTACCATTGGCTGCTACTCGTCCTTGCATCGTATCTGTGAGGCCGTCGACGAGGTCTTCGACACCGCAGCCTCCCACCAGCGAGGATTCGTCATTGAAGTTATGGGTAGGCATTGTGGATGGCTAGCGTTGATGTCTGCCATCAGTACGGGGGCTGACTGGCTCTTCGTCCCCGAAATGCCTCCCCGCGATGGCTGGGAGGATGACATGTGTGATATCATAACCCAGGTATGCATTAATCCTTCAAATGATATACGCAGTCACTAAAAGGGTGGATGAATATCAGAATCGACAAAGAGGTAAACGGCGAACGATCGTCATCATTGCTGAAGGTGCCCAGGACAGCAACTTGCAGAAGATTACGTCGAACAAGGTCAAGGATATACTCAGTGATAGATTGCAGCTCGACACCAGAGTGACTGTTCTGGGACATACACAACGAGGAGGCGCTGCGTGTGCCTATGATCGATGGCTCGCCACGCTTCAGGGTATCGAGGCTGTTAAGGCTGTTCTTGAAGCTAAGCCCGGCTCGCTATCGCCAATCATTACTATCAGAGAGAATAAAATTGAGAGGACCTCCTTGGTAGAGGCAGTGAGGGTTACAAAGAGCGTCGAAGAAGCCATCTCGAAGAAGGATTTTGCTACGGCAATGGCTCTACGAGACTCTGAATTCAAAGCGTATCACAGAGCGTATATCAACACTACTACTCCCCACCACCCGAAGCTACTGCTTCCACAGGAAAAGGTACGGTGCTCTTTAATACATCATTTTGTCAAAGTGATTAAGTGCGAATTACTTACTTTGCATTGATTAATAGAGGATGCGCATCGCGATTATCCACGTCGGGGCACCGGCCGGTGGCATGAACCCTGCTACGCGAGGCGCAGTGGCATACTGTCTAGCTCGTGGACACACTCCCATTGCCATCTACAATGGCTTCCCAGGTTTGTGTAGACACCATGCGGATAAACCCCTGGGGTCCGTGAGGGAGGTCAAATGGCTAGATTCCGACTCGTGGGTCAACGAGGGCGGCTCAGAGATCGGTACCAACCGTGGGCTCCCATCAGAGGATATGGAAACCACTGCCAAGTGCTTTGAGCTCTACAAGTTCGATGCCTTGTTCGTCATCGGAGGGTTCGAGGCGTTTACCGCCGTCAGCCAGCTGCGAAAGGCCAGAAAGGATTACGACTCGTTCAAAATCCCGATTGTCCAACTACCGGCTACCATCTCCAACAACGTCCCCGGAACGGAGTACTCTCTGGGCAGCGACACCTGCCTCAACACGCTCATGAACTTCTGCGATGTGATCAGACAGTCTGCCTCGTCATCCCGCCGACGAGTATTTGTGATCGAAACCCAGGGCGGGCGATCTGGGTACATAGCTACCATGGCCGGCCTGTCCGTGGGTGCGTACGCGGTATACATCCCGGAAGAAGGTATCAGCATCAAGATGCTTGCGAACGATATCGAGAACCTACGACGCAGCTTTGCGACTGACTGCGGCGCCAACAATGCCGGGAAGATCATTCTGAGGAACGAGCGCGCCTCTGCCACGTACACGACCCAGGTGATCGCCGACATGATCAAGGAGGAGGCCAATGGGCGATTCGAATCCCGCTCTGCAGTTCCAGGCCACTTCCAGCAGGGTGGCAAACCCTCACCGATGGACCGTATCCGCGCGCTCCGCATGTCGATCAAGTGTATCCAGCACTTCGAGGAGTACACCGGCATGAGCAAGGAGAGAATCGCGGCAGACGACATGTCGACAGTCGTCATCGGAATCCGGGGAAGCGAGGTTGTCTTCAGCCCTCTCGGCGGCGAGGACGGGCTAGAGGAGACAGACACAGACTGGCAGCACCGACGACCGAAGAACGAATTCTGGCTGAAATTCCGCGAGATGGTCGACACCCTGAGCGGTCGACCCGGCGCCGACCACCAGCGACACGACCAGAGTTCATGATGGGGAAGTTGACTGGGGCTGATATTTGATAAGACCGTTTCCAAGCAGAACAGCACCCTCCTTTGATATTTCCTTGTCCTCCTAGCCCATCTAGTCATAAGTAGTATAAGTAAAGATATAGAGCAACTAGATGTGCGACTTCTTTAGCCTTTGACTATAGCTGCTAGTTAACTAGTTATCTCATCTTCGCCAATCGGGCGCCATCTCGAAACTCCCTGTCGCACCCTTTTCTGACGTCCTCTCACCGTCCAGCAGCGACAGATATCATAAAAGCAGGCCGATGTACTCCGAATATGATCTGTTCCACGGCAGATCCAACGCCATCTTGCACCAAAGATGGCGTTTCTGCAGCTTGCTTGATTTCTTGTGCGCCACCACACGCGTCTCGTAACGGCCGGACGAGGTGAAGGCCGCGATGATGCAGATATCCTGGCGCTTCCGTGGCCTCTGGAGTTCCATGGTCGTCCTGAGACCCGAACCCTGGATTTCTTTCGTGTATAAGCATAAATTTATAAGAAGAAAAGGATAAACTTGTTGGTTTATTCGCCTGTGGTTGTGCGACCCGGATCTGGTTCTTCCTCTTTCGGATGAAGTCATGGACGCTTCCCTTGACTTTCGCTTCGCAGCTCAACCTCAGCCCCCATTCTTCACTGTCTACCTCTACACCATACGCATCCTTACGCCTAGCTTGCGTCAATCCTGCTCTGTCGGCTGTCTTAACTAACGTATTGATAATATGTTCTGTCTTACTCGCTCTTAATGCACAAACGTTACTCCATGGGCCACCGATAACATAAACGACAGCTAACGAACTTCGCCGGTATATGCTAGCAGGGAATGGAGCTGAAGCTTCTAACCCGGCCGTTCACACGGTGGGGGGTCATACTGCTCCTCATGCAGTCATGTCTCGTCTCTGCCATCACCCTCGACCTCAATAACGATGGTAAGTCACCCTTGCCTGGTTGATTCTCAGATTATAGCCATGCTGACCCATAATCTCCCTGTTTCATAGATTCGATCAGGAATGCTGCTCAGACAGCCGCAAGAGGCATGCTCAAATTCTACTCAGGCCATCAGCCAGGAAACATTCCCGGAAACCTGCCTGACCCATACTTCTGGTGGGAAGCAGGCGCAATGTTTGGCAGTTTAATCGACTACTGGTTTTACACGGGAGACAGTCAATGGAACGACCTGGTAACCGAGGGCATGCTCTGGCAGGTTGGCCCGGATGACAACTTCATGCCTCCAAACCAGACGTTGACCGAGGGTAACGATGATCAGGCATTTTGGGCGATAGCAGCCATGTCTGCTGCCGAGCGGAAGTTCCCCAACCCCCCGCCAGATAAACCACAATGGCTTGCCCTGGTACAGGCCGTTTTCAACTCTCAGGTAGCTCGTTGGGACACATCTACATGCGGAGGGGGCTTGAAGTGGCAGATCTTCAGGTTCAACAAGGGGTTTGACTATAAAAACACCATATCCAACGGCGCGTTCTTTCAGATGGGCGCACGGCTAGCTAGGTACACCGGCAACGACACATATGCGCAGTGGGCCGAAAAATCATGGGATTGGTCTAGAGCCATCGGGCTGGTGAACGAGAACTATCAGTTCTTTGATGGCTCGAGTGATCTGCTCAATTGCTCTGAGCTCAACCGAATCCAGTGGACGTACAACGCCGGCATATACCTGCTGGGGGCCGCGACCATGTATAACTATGTACGTCTATCGTCCAATCACTTATTATACAACCTGTGATCCTAACTATTGAACAGACGGACGGTAGCCCGAAATGGCGAGAGCGCGTTCAGGGAATCCTTGACGGTCTTCGCCCATTCTTCCAAGCCAATACATATATCATGTCTGAAATTGCATGCGAAGAATACGGCACCTGTGAGACCGACCAGAAATCATTCAAAGCCTACCTCGCCCGTTGGATGGCAGCCACCACACAGATGGCCCCTTTCGCAACCGACTTTATCATGACCAGGCTACGAGCCTGCGCTGCCGCGGCAGCTAAAACTTGTACTGGTGGCGATGACCGCACAGCATGCGGCCTTAAATGGACAACGGGGGAGTTCGATGGTAGCAACGGGGTTGGTGAGCAGATGGCTGCCATGGAAATCTTTCAATCAAATCTCATCGCCAAAGCCGTTCCCCCGCTAACCAATTCCACTGGCGGAATAAGTAAAGGCAACCCAGGAGGGTCAAGTAAGGGTTCGGGCGTGGAATCTACGGCCCTCAGGTCGATTAACACGGCCGATAAAGCAGGGGCGGGAATTCTCACAATCTTACTACTTTCCACGATCGGAGGGGCTACATATTGGATTATTGGGCCATGAGTCTGTTTCTCCTCTGTATCTGTTTACATTATCTCTAAATGGAGTTCCTGGTGTCTATGACCTACCTTATGGAGTACTTTCTGACTTTTTCCATTCTACTACATGCTACTACGTTCGTATCCTGTGTATATCATATAAAATCGTATTTATCCGAATTAAATATCTACGCGTAAGAGCTACTGGATTGTCCCATCCCCATAATATCGTTATCTCGTGGGTGATGGTGACGTCATAGATGTGTATACAAATCTAAACCCCATAGAAGTGCAGCGGGGAAAAAAAAAAGAAAAAAAAATTAGATATTAGTTAAATTACACACTGCATCATAGGTATATCGCGAGATTATAGAACGACTGAAAAAGAACAATAGGTATTTTTTAGGAAACCTCCTCATGCCACGCCCGCCTGAAATATTAAGATATTATACTTAACCCATGGATCAAAGGGATTGCAGTGTAGCACATACGATGAATATCGCCAACAGCACTTAACCTCCATTAGTCGATTTAATATATCCTTCTTTCCAAAGTACATTACTATGTACCCTATGCCCCTAGCTTCCACATCCGACGTCTGCTTCGTTTGCTTTTCATCCATCCTCCTGTTTGGTCGTTGGTTGACTACCTGTTGAATGGTCCTTGGAGGGTGTGGGATGACGGCTTTAGATATGTCGACCGTACGTGTCGTTGCGGCCAGTATCGCCGGATCGACGCAACTCCTTTTGATGTCCTCCGTCATACGAGTTCTTGTCACGGTGGTGGCCCATCACGTTCATAACTTCGAGGACTAGGGAGGTAATACAGAACCACCTAGTGAATTGAATAACGTTAGCAACGGCCACCTTATACAGTCGTCAATTTCACGCTGGAAGAAGAAGTAGACTAACATTGCTCCAAAAGTGAAGGCTTCAAGAACTCTCTTGAATTTGCAACTACCACCACGTGGCGAATTGTTCGTGCAATCACTCCTACTGTAGTCTTGGACAGTGAATATGAATGCAGTCAACCAGCTATAATGAAACTATTAGCATTCGACGTAATTATAGGTTGGCCTTGGGGTATGGAGTCGCCCTTACAGATATGAGAATACCAGGTCAATGAAGAATGTGAGGAATCCCAATCTCCTGATTATTGGCGACATTAGACCTGGAAGGAAGAACAGAATTGACAGAGCAGCCTGTAGAAGTCATATCGTTTGTTAGCAGCAGCCCATCCCCTAGTCTGAACCTTTCTGAACAAAACGACCATGGGAACTTGAGAGAGAGAGACGGCATACAATAATTATATCATATTTGAGATGGCCGTTAGCCGTGTAGCGGTGGATGAACCAGGCAGAGACTCCAAGTACAATTCCGGCGCACGCAAACTGCAAGAAGCGACTGCCCATAAGAAAGACACGAACTAGAGTGGACAGAGCTCCCATCTTGAAGGTGTTTGCGTGTCAGGGAAGACGATAAGGTACGGTATAATAGGCAAAATCTGAAGATTTGGTTCTAGGGGGGTGTATGGTAATGGTATATCAACTGAGACCTGGACTTAGGCAATATGATAGAAGAATCAAGATCCAGGATGAATTGACCAGAGGAATGAACAATTCCACGGCTGATGACGAAAAGTCTCCCTTTAAAAGGGATTGGTAAAACTCGCCTCGACTGCTGAACTATGGTACGCATAGTTAATGACCAAGCAAGGAGATTTGGAAGAAGGGGGGTAGGTGGCGGGCGTTTGATTCGCGGTTTGCCTTTCTAGAATCGTCCTCCATGACCCTTGAAAGGGCGATATAATGCAAATTGAAAGCTAACAGGGACAGTAAAGCGAGGACATCCGGTTCTTCCGGGATGAATTTGCCGTTCTGGTGTTGATAGTCAGTCCCCTTTGACCAGTGACTTCATAGCAGTAGTAAAAGGCGTGGTAAGCAATGACATAAACTCTTCTAGATGCCATTGTAAGCAATTAGATGTGCCACTTGCATCATAGTTACGCCATCACAGCCTAAAAGACTGGGGAATATCAATATTGATATGCAGCCAACATGGACCATATCCGTGAACGGTCTTTGATCTGCCGTGGGGTGGCTTCTAACTGGAGACTAGACAAGGTAGAAAAGCGATGTAAGTGCACGATATATGGGTGAGTAAAAAGGCAATCGTGTAGACATCTGAACTGAAAAGCTTCATCGATGTTTGAAAGGATGAGGATGTGCGAGGTTGCCAGCTTCGGATGCGGCTCGTTGTTTAGCCCTCTCAGGGGTTACCCTTTGAATTAGTTAAATATGTGAAACCCAAGCATCTACAAGACCAGGGCTGAGAACGGCTTTCTAGGCACTGAGTATACGAATATGTGATTTACTCGAGTACGTAACATTCATCTATAGCGTGAAAAGACAGTGTGAGTATGTTGCCATCTATATCCATATTAGGCGCCTGGAAGTAGATGCCCGCTCCATAAAAAAGAACTCTAACTGCCCAATACCTTGACATCCCCTTCCTTGATAGCTCCAGAGCCAACGAGCCTGGTCACCTCTGCAGCAAAAACACCCTTTACAGCAGTAGCATCCTTGCCAGCAGTGGTAAGCTTTGAAGCAACAGTGGCCAATTCCTCGTTGTTGATTTTGCCCATGATCAGTTCAACGTCATTGAGTACGCTGTCGATCTGTGCCGGGGAGGCATCCCCGTCGGCAAAGTAGTTTACGTCCTTGACGCTGCCCTTGAGAACACGCTTGTTCTTCTTGGCCGCATTCTTAGCAGCCTCCTTGGCCTTCTTTCCTTCAGCTCTCTCGGCCTTGGCGGCCTCTTCACGCTCCTTTGCTAGTCGTTCGGCCTCAAGTCGGGCGTTCTCCTTTTCTTCTGCGAGGCGCTTAGCTTCAGCTTCTTTCTCCAGTCGCCGCTTGTCCTTGCCAGCACGCTCTTCCTTGCGGAACTTCTTGATACGGGCGTCTCCAGCGAGGGCATCGTCGACCGTTCTTCGGAGACGTGCAGTGTCTTCGGTCTTCTTCTTCTTGCGGGCATTGGCGTTCTTACGCTCGATGTGGCGTTTGTGGTCACGGTTTTCGTTGTCATCTGGAACATCCTCATCCTCGTACTCAAAGGTCCTCCAGCTGTCAAAGTTGTACCAGAAGTTGTAGAATGTTTCGACTTCTTCTTTCGTGCTGTTGTCGTCTCCAATCATAGGAACAGGTTGAATCTTAGAGAAGCGAGCCTCGGCTTTGAAGAATGGGTGCCACAGCTTGAAGAAGTCTCCCTTCTTCTTGGGGTGTGGCGGCTCAACATCTGCAGCCGAATCGACGGAGTCGAACTGACGACGGCGGATAGGGTCAAGTAGGATCTCTGTAGCCTTTTGAATGCATTTGAAAAAGCTGTCATTCTCGTCACTTGCACCGGCGGCAGCCTTCTTGTCAGGATGATGTCGGAGGACCTTTTTACGGTGAGCCTTCTTGATCTGTTCGGGAGTAGCTCTCCAGCGGTATTTGCTGAGGCCCAGCACGGCGTAGTGATCTTGACCCTGTATATCGAAAGAATGGTCAATAAAAACGTCCAATTGTCAACAGGTAGCTGGGTAGTATATACCTTCCAGTCCTTAGCATCACGCTGCAGCATCATTGGGTCTTCGGCCTCGCTGATTTCATCGACATCATCTTCCTCGATCTTCTTGACATTCTCCTGTGCAAGGATCTTTTCATCTTCGGAGAACGTTCGTCTATGGCGCTTCTATAAACCCCAAGACATATTACATTAGAAAACTAGCAATAGACATAATATACGTGCAATTGGCACAACTTACACGGCGGGCATGCGCCAAAAAGTGAGGCCCAACAGGCTCGACGTTGCGTCTGGTTGCGCTGGACAAGGTTCCAACGGCCTTGAAGTCTTTATCCTCAGCAGCCCAGCCTTCGGGAAGGCGAGGGAGAGGCAGGTGAACGGTCTCGGTGGCCGACATCTTGCAGTAGCCAACGCAAGTAAAGCTGTCTTGACTGTCTATCTTTTTTTCTATCTCCAGCTGTCGAAGTGGGATGGTTAGAAAACAAAAATCTTTTTTTTTTCCTGGCCAGCTTGGGCGCTAGTCCTGTTTGGGGAAAGAAGCCTTTCGGACATTTTGAAGATTGTACGAAACATCAAGGACAAGACAGAACAATTACTACCACTGTCAGCTCACTAAAGGTGTCCCTGTTGGCTTGGTTTGATAGTATATCTCTTATTCAAACCGTCGGCTTCAAACACGATACCCATGGCCGCTGCGATGAGCCCGGTGTCCGCCATAAGCGCATACCGCCAGCTACTCCGTGCTACTCGCATCGCCTTCAACGGTATGCGCCTACTATTTACTCTATGAAAAAGATCTAGGACACTAACCAGACCATACAGGTGACTTCCCCGTTCTCTACGCTGCCCGGTCAGAAGCCCGCAAACAGTTCGACCAGAGCCGGCAGCCCGGCGTCGATACCCCTATGAAAATCCAGCATGCCCTGGAGACTGCCCAGATTCTAAGATCAAACATCGTTCAAGGGACCAAGATAGGGACCGAGGAGCAGGGAGGAGAGAAGGTAGACCGATACTGTACGTGCCATATTCCATGCAATGGTATTGGGTAGCTATCTAATTTATTCTCAATTTACAGCTTTAAGGATACACGAACATACGGAGCGCGGCGATAATGATACAATAAAGGCTGCTGGCCAGAACCCAGTCAAGGTTGGGAAAGGGTGCTGCTCTTCATCAAATCCCAAGAGCTCGGAACCGTTAACGGCGGACATTTGACCACTACATGGGGAATGCGCAATTAGTACTATCCCAGTGGAATACCGATTTTAACTTGAATCTTTGACGTTTTGGACCGGAAGGAGTTTTGGACTGCATGATCGGATTATATACATTTTTTTCCACTTTGAATTAGAGATGTACGATAGACAGACTACAGATATATCAGCTCACAGGGCTCACTGTAAATTATTGAATGATGCTTTTCATAGCTCTTTAAACCTGGTTTTACATTAATCTGTAGATAAACCCCGTATAACGAACGCCCATGCCGCCCAAATGATGAATAGAAAGGCTCAACGGTAAAAATAAATAAAGAAGGGTATCAATCACCCGCCAAACTTGCATACTGCACCTCCCCACGGCCCGGTGGAGGCGCTACATCATAACTCTGCTTATCCTGCTCTGTCCCTGATTCCCCGTCCGCTTGCTCCCCCGGCGCTCCCTGAATCGCCTTTCGAGGCCCTCCAGGTTTGGTGGCAGCGGCCGTCTGTCTCCCTTGACGCGCATATTGCATCCGTTCATCTCTCTCCATATTATCTAGAGGACGTGGTTTGCCCCATTGCACGCGCAGTGGGCATCCTTGCACCACCGCTATTCCTTGACATTTCGCTGCCGCTGCCTCGGCCGATTCTCGTGAAGCATAGTTAACGAATGCACAGTGCGATCGATGTGAACATATCAATGATCTAATGGTACCAAACGGAGTAAAGAAAGTGCGAAGAGCATGTTCGGGGAGGTCGTCTTCGACGCCGGTTATGAACAGAGAGGTAATGTTGGGGTCAGCGGGCGGTTCGATATCCTGTGGCCCTGGGGGTAACTGAGAAATAGGCGGATATGGACGTCCTCCCCGGCCACGACCGCCGCCCCCTCTTCCACGACCAGCACCGCGACGAAGGTCACTTGTTCTGACAGGGCCGGGACCAGGTCCATATCCGATCTTCTTCTGCTCGGTAGGCTGCTGCCTTTCCCCTAGTGTCGTGGTGGAGGCGTCTGTTTCGCCGCTGGCCTCCAGTCTCCTCTGTCGCTTATAGTATGGTTCGCTGTTCGCCAGCCGTCGTAATAGATCTCTAGCCTTCTCGTCTGTATTCTCGTACTCCTCGACCGCCCCTCTGCCTTCCTCGAGCTCCTTCTCATGCTCTTGCGCGTAGTACTCTCGGTTAATCGAGCTCTGTGGTCCTGGAGCAACCATCTTCAGGGCGGCATCTCGAACGACGATGGGGAGGCCAAAGGACAGGTCGAGCATGCAGCACTGGCAGCAGTTCTTCAGGCGCGCGCACGTTAAACATATATTTGTCGCCTTCGTACGGGACGTTCGGTCGGCCTTCCATCGAAAGACCGTCATCGGGCGGGTGCAGATTTTACATTCCGCCGCATAGTCTTCCTTCAGCATCTGGACGTAGGGGTTTTCGGGGAGACATTGTTCGCACACGGACGGGAAATCGGTGGTCTCCCAGCCCGCCCGGTTTATATCCTGCTTTATCTGTGGAGGCATCGTGCTGGTCGACGTGGAGGGTATCCTCTCTCTTTTTTGACTGATTGCGACTTGATATAAATCTACCATGGACGCCAAGAACATTCTATGCTTAGTAATGCATAGCTTAGTCAGGTCTTTGTCACAAGCTTGGTCAAAATTAGTCATATACTTAGTCAGAGATTAGTCATGATATCATGGATGACACGTGACGGTGGCATGATTTCCTAAAACGGAAGACCCGAAAAGCCGAGGCACGTGACCCCTAGGTTTAGGACCCAAAAGGGAAGCTCTTGGTGCCAAGACCTGCAAAAGTGCCCCTGGTTTGGGTCGAAAGTTGGCGGCCAAAGCAGCGATATATATTTTTCGCCAGCTCACCAAGTGCCCCTTTTTCACCTCCGACGCTGTCACTGTTGCTGTTACTGTCGCTGTTTTACTGTCTGTACGGAGAATTATTGTTAAGATGTCTACCAAGCTCGAAGCTGAGAACCACAAGCGTGATGCGGAGTTCAACAAGGTCCTGCACGGTAACACTGCAAAGGCGCAGGGTGGTCTTGCCGCCATGATGGGGAAGGATATGAAGGCCCAGCAGGCTGCCGTTGACGAATACTTCAAGCATTGGGACGAGAAGCCATCCGCCGATGAGACCGAAGAAACCAGAGAAGTGCGCAGAGCCTCCATATACACTTTCGCTGCCATATACTAAGACGTGACATTATTTATAGGCACGAAGAGCTGAATATGCCACTCTGACTAGACAGTAAGTCTACACTGCGACGATTAGCAGTCAATTCAAGATCTAACGTTGTTCTAGTTACTACAACTTGGCCACTGATTTCTACGAATACGGATGGGGATCTTCATTCCACTTCTGCCGCTTTGCCTACGGTGAACCTTTCCGTCAAGCCATTGCCAGACACGAACACTACCTGGCACACTCCATTGGCCTTAAGGAGGGCCAGCTAGTCCTCGACGTTGGCTGTGGTGTCGGTGGTCCCGCCAGGGAGATCGCCAAGTTCGCCGGAGTTAACATCGTTGGCTTGAACAATAACGATTACCAGATCCAGCGTGCCACCCATTATGCCGAAAAGGAAGGTCTGTCCAAACAGCTGCGCTTCACCAAGGGCGACTTTATGCAGATGTCCTTTGAGCCAAACACTTTTGATGCCGTATATGCTATCGAAGCCACCGTCCACGCCCCGTCCCTCGAGGGTGTTTATTCGCAGATCTTCAAGGTCCTTAAGCCAGGCGGTGTGTTTGGTGTGTATGAATGGGTCATGACCGATAAGTACGACAACGACGACCCCGTTCACCGCGAGATTCGTCTTGGTATCGAGCAGGGAGACGGTATCGCCAATATGGTCAAGGAGTCGGTTGCCGTCGATGCCATGAAGGCAGCTGGCTTTGAGCTTCTCAAGGTAGAGGATCTGGCCGAGCGACCGGATGTCAGCCCATGGTACTACCCACTCGCTGGCTCCTGGAAGCACATGTCTTCCCTCGGAGACGTTTTCACAATCATGAGAATGACCTGGTGGGGACGCTCTATCGTCCATCGCCTGCTTGGCTCTATGGAAATGATCGGTCTCTTCCCCAAGGGCTCCCAGAAGACGGGAGACAGCCTGGCTTATGCTGCCGACTGTTTAGTTAAGGGTGGAGAAATGAAGCTATTCACCCCTATGTTCCTCATGGTCGGCAGAAAACCAGAGTAAAAAGCCCGTCTACTTTCCATGAATTGCCTATCCACCTGTCACCTCATGCCATCCTCCATGACCATTGCATTTGCATTTTTTTTTTTACGCTCTTATATTTTCTTTGTTGAATATGCCCATTTAATTCTAGATCAACATTTCAACTTCTGTGTTCACTGTTTATGTCCCTGATTATATGACCACAGTCTTGATTGGCTTATGGAAAATTCGATTCGATTCAATATAACTTTTAATATCATGCCCTCCGCTGCTGCTTGAATCATTTGTTGCATTCCTAACCCGATATACCTATTATATGCGAGCATTGACAGATACAGCCTATAGAAACGACCAAGTTTATTTAAATGGAAGGCGGTCTATTCTTGAATATCTACTTGTGCCCGCCCACCTGTTTGTTGACTGATACCCAGGACAGGATGCTGACTCTTAAGGATAAGAGTATTATTAGATACCTATAAGGCTACATGAGTTGGCTACGAAGCCCTTTCATGCAGGCTATGCAGTCAGGACAATTCAACTGATACAAGACAAGCAGTTCCTATGGGAAATAGGAACACAAGTACAAACACACTATATCTTCCTTCTAGCGTCTTTCTATAACACTTCACGGTGTGGAAAATCTCACAAAGTGAGAGAAAAGGGATGACATCCTCTTCATCAACAATGCACCCCTAACTCCTTTGAGCAGATTTCAACATTCAGTTCACGCGTCGCCTGTTAATACTACTATTTAGAAACCCGCGCAAGCACAAGAAGCTATTATAGCTATCAGAATGTCGCGTCAAGCCCAATCCACCATCGCTATGCCACTCAAGCCGCCAAATCAGCTTGTCCCTGTCATCTATGAGGGCATCTGTGGCTCCCGCCATCCAGGAATCAACGGAGGAGATGGGTTGAAGTTCATCTTTGCTGAATTTGCTCCAAGGTATCTCTGCATGCCAGGTGTTGGTCATACCCCTGAGACTTCTGATATGACCTGCCGTTTTGTCGCAAACATGGCTGCCCGTCACCATTCTGACCTCCTTGCAATGAGATCCTGGGACTGCCAGTTCTGCGGTGATAAGGCAACTACATTCAACATGGTGGTTGTCTCGTTTCTAGCCCCTGATATTGGCACTGTTGCCCCTGTCCGTCGTTCTGTCTGGGGTTACTGTGTGCCTATCTGCAGGACCGCTGGACTCTGTGATCAGAAAGCTGGCCGGCTGGCAAGTGAACTGCGTGAGGCCCATCTCTCTGGTCTCGCAACTCCATCATCCCCTTCTTGTCTCAAGTGTGGAGGTACGAAAAATCTTACCCCTTGTGGCGGCTGCAAGATAGTGAAGTAAGCAGGCTCTTATTTTGCCTAATTTCATGTATATCACTTGTATAAGGCATCTGGCTAACCATTGACAAACATATGAATATAGGTATTGTTCAGGAGAGTGCCGCAAAGTGCACTACAGCGCACACAAGAAGGACTGCAGGGCCGCACAGCGAGAGAGGATAATGGATGAAGTGGATAAACACATGCAGAAACGGAAAAGGTCTGGTTATGCAAAACTCAAGGTAGGAATATCTAGCTCCTTTCCCTAGTGCTCTTTGACAGGCTGCTAACAAACCAGAGCATTTTCTATGTTTGAAACCGGCCTGAACCAGCAATTAGTGGTATTCTGATGGTCTAGGAGATCATTTCTCCACAGGCTTAGTGATGGAAAGTTTGAGTCATAGGAAAAGTGAGGATGAGGTAGACGTTTTGTTTTAATATGCCAGGACCAACTGTGTGTTTCTTGTCACAAAGCCATACGTGAAGGGGTCCATGGAGGTATATTCAGGGTAGCAAACTTCAAAAAGGGACAAGTGCAGATTTTAGCTAGGCCAGTCTATCTACGTTCTATCAACCTCTTACCTCAAGCTTACCAGGCCAGTCCTTTACCTAAGAGACTGGCCAAACTAGGCCTTACTCAAGTCCTATAGCTATCCCTTCTCCTAAGCAAAGACCTATGGACAAGTGTAAGGACAAGCTTATGGGTTATAAAAGAAGGTCAATTAGAGGGTGTCTTCGCTAACTAAACTTCAAGGCCATGGAGATTTTGTAGGGACGTCCGCAGTCCTTAGCAACTTTGCGTTCAATTTTCCAATCGTTCTAAGTTTGGCTCGCTTTTCAACGGTGAAGAGGCTGTCGTATAGTTACAGTCAGGCCAGCATCGGGTCTTAGCAGTAATCCCAGGGGCATATACGAGCGCCTAGCTTCCGCGATGCTACCGTGTCAATTCAGCCTTCCCCCATGAACCAAGACCAAGGTCAGTGGGAGATCGCCACATATATCCGCCTGTCGATCCTGTTCATCACCGTTGAAATGGACAAGGCATTGTCCTTGTCGTTTTTCATGTTATCTAATTAATAGAACAGTCGATTTCTCAGATCGCCATTATGAAGGTCAACGGCCGAAGATGCTTACTCACTGTTGCACTGCTCTTGTTTGGAGTCAGGGCAGCCGAAATCGTCCCGGCTCCAAGAGGCATGGAAGCTATTCCAGACTCTTACCTCGTGGTGATGAAGGATGGGATTTTAGCTAACGAGTTTGATACTCATAAGGAGTGGATAGGTGGCCTTTTGCGCCATGGTTCAGGGGCTAACGAAGCAGGCGAAGGCGGCTGGGGTGTACAGCATACCTTCAACATTGCAGGTTTGCAAGGATATAGCGGAAATTTTGACAGGCAGATTATCCAAAAGATTGCACATCACCCCAAGGTAAGTCCTCCAACTTGGAAATGTGAGTTAGGACTAAGTAGTCTATAGGTGAAACATGTCGAGCAGGACGCAGTGGTGAGAGCCCTGGGGTTAGTTACTCAGAAAGACTCTGGTTGGCATCTATCTCGAATCTCTCACAAAATACTTCCCCCCAATCCTGAGTACGTGTACGAGGAGAGGGCAGGGAAGGATGTTCATATATACCTCCTCGACACAGGAGTTGACGGCACAAACAGCGGCCTGAGGGGCCGGGTCATCCAGGGGATCAATACTACGCCTGATGGAGACGGAGATGAAAGCGGCCACGGCACTTCTATAGCCGAGATAATGGCTGGAACAGTTCATGGAGTCGCCAAAAAGGCCCTGGTGGTTAGTGTCAAGATCTTGGGCAATACAGGATCTGGTACACTATCAGGCATTATACAAGGCTTGGATTGGAGTATTAATGATGTTGCTAAGAGGGGCATCGTTGGGAAAGCAGTCATGAATATGAGCTTTGGTGGATCTTACTCGTCGACTATCAACCAGGCGACTGAAAAGGTGATCAAGGCAGGAATCTTTGTTGCAGCATCAGTTGGTGCGGGAAACGTACGTTCCCCTTTGTTCATCGTAACGTCCAATTTTCACCCTTTCTAACTGACTTGAGCAGCGTGATGCGAGCGGCGAATCTCCTGTCTCAGCCAACGGCGTGTGTGCTGTTGCAGCCAGTACCATCGCCGATGGCCCAGCTCTATTCAGTAGTTATGGGCCCATTGGTAAGACTGATAATGGATCCTTCATCTCACATCAAAAGTTTGACTTATATCACTCTCTAAATAGTTGACATCTATGCCCCGGGAACCAATATCACAACTAGGACCAACGGCGATAGACTAGTGACAGTGTCTGGAAGCTCGTTTTCCACTGCCCAGGTCTCCGGAGTGGCTGCATTTGCTATTGATATAGGGGTGACCTCTGACAAAGTATGCGAAACGATAAAGAAACTCGCGCTCCCCTCTATCCAGAACCCACGGCCAGGAACCACCAACCTTCTATTGTACAATGGTAGTGGCCGTTAGTCAGGTACCCGTATTTACCCTGCCATGGTTGATGTTGATGCCTATTTATTATTTATAAGCTTATCCTGTTCCGAAGTGTCCGGAGTTTTATTGGCACCCGAACTCCGACTATACCAGTCTTAGCTTAACTATTTTAACCAAATAACATCTACAAGAGTTATCAGATACGAAATAGTTATATCTGCGCAGTTATGGAAGATAAATCATTAAAGGCCCTAACTCATGATCCCAAGACTACCCTTAGACACTCCTTAGGGTTATAAGTTTAGCACTAGGTTTGTCCTTAAGGAAATGCAAGGACTTTCGCCACGGGCTTCCATATAATATATATATATGTTGAACATTTCTAATCTTTTGGTCCATCATTTATTATTGTTCATATCAACACAGAATCTTGAAGCACTGCCTTGGTAGTTAGACGGCAGGGTATAGTTATTACTAAGGCCCAGTCGGTGGGGGTTTAGGCAACAAACGCCACAAGGATTCATTCCTTCAGGATCCTCGATACTAGGCCAGCTATCAAAACCACCACAGGAGACCCTTGAATCAACAGTCCCTCCCTTTGCCTGAACTTCCACATTTTTCGAAATCCTAACTCCAACTGATCAAAATGGCTTCTGATACTACCGCTACTGTCCGCAAGGGCTCCTGTCTCTGCGGAAATATCAAGTATGAACTGACGGGTGAACCGTTCAACGCCCTGTTATGCCATTGCCTGAACTGCAAAAAGGTAACTGGCTCGCCTTTCTGGGGCAACGGCTGGTTCTTTAAAAAGGTCCGTCTTTCCTCTGGTAACTACATGCGTCATAGTTAAAGACATTATGTTAACGATCAACCGTTCGCATTGAACTTTGGCATGTCGAACAGCAAATCACCATCCACGCTACCCCCGAAGATTCCATCAAGACATATGAAGATAGCGCAACAGATGGCGGCAGCTTGCTTCTACGCAAATTCTGTGGCCGCTGCGGCGCAACCATGTTTGTAGAGTCGGAGCTGGGCCCGGAGATAATCATCGTGTCGGTTGGTTCTTTGGATAAGGGCGAGAAGCCATGGAAAACAGCCAAGGAGTGCTATGCAAAGGACAGCTTCGGTTGGGGTCCTAACGGAGAGGGAGTAGAGGTTACCCAGGGCCCGTTTGTGCTAGATAAGGCTGAAAGTTAGTTGCAATGCAAAGACACATTGCTAATGAGCGCTGAGGATTCCGGGCCGATTCTAGTTGCGGGTTGAGAGATATATATTGAATCACACCCGTGTTCCCCACGTTCTAGCACGTAGTAGCACTCCATAGGCCAGTAAAATATCTGCCTAGAGCGGACATAATCCCTCGCCGGCCTTAAGCAGGGTACAGCTCACCCAGCCTGGTGACCTCACGGCGATAAGAGCGTGGTCTGGTCTTCCATTGGTGTTTTTGTTTTGTCTTTAACTTCAAAACGTCCAAGCTTTTTTAACTTTTAAGCTTGTTTGGGTGCCAAGACCGTCTTCCACGTGACATCGGAGTTAGTTAAGCGCCGACCTCCGGGTGACTAAGCGATATCTTCGTTCTTTCGACTTTCCTCCGTAATCTCCAGCTTCATCTTCGTCTACACAGTCGAGTTCTCGCTTGGGAGACGAGGACAGCTTAATGTTGGCAATACGGGAGGCTCGGGGGCTGCTCAAGCTCTACGACTGCGAAATAGACTCGAAACTCTCTCCTGGATAAGCATTTCGGGCGCCTGAGGACTTGTCGGTGCCATGTCTCCCTCGGGGCCGAGACATGGCTTCCACTCCGGCCTGCCCAGGGTGTGGCCCTAACGGAGTTAACACTAACAAATTTTATCGCGTGGGCATCAAGACGAATAGAGCACGCTCTCGGAGCCGTGTCAGGGACCTCCATCCGTAAACACGGGACTGCCTCGTCTAACTTCCTGGAGCTTGCTCTGGGGGGTTGTATATTTAAGTCATGATGGCCGCCTTGGTAAAGCCCGGTATATATCGACTCAAAGCATCGTGCATACTGCAGAACACTCGATACTCGACATTTCTACATTTACCAACTCAAGAGCTACCTGCAGAGCTAAATAATGGGGGAGCCAGAGCGCAAGTCTATCGACGAGGAGAGCGGCGGCGAGAAGTCCGTGGAGAAGCACGATGACTCGCAGTACCCTCCCACGAAGAAAGTGATTCCGATAATGATAGCGTTGTACCTGGTGGTATTTCTCATAGCCCTGGTATGTCGTCTCATCCCTTACTGCGTCCACTGGATACATTAAGTCTCTAACATAGTAGTAGGACCGAACAATCATCGCCACAGCCATCCCAAGGATTACAGATCAGTTCCATTCCATCGATGATATCGGCTGGTATGGCAGCAGTTACCTGCTCACCGGGTGCTCATTCATGCTGCTATTTGGCAAGATTTACTCTCTTTATTCGCCAAAATGGGTCTATCTAGCCGCAATCGTCATCTTCGAGATCGGGTCTGCCGTGTGCGGAGCGGCCCCTAACTCGACTGCTTTCATCATCGGACGTGCCATCGCAGGTCTTGGTTCAGCCGGCGCCTTCTCGGGAACAGTGATCATCATCGTCCACGCCGTACCTCTCCGCAAACGCCCTGCATACACTGGTATGATGGGTGGGATGTTTGGAATCGCCTCCGTCGCTGGTCCCTTACTTGGTGGCCTATTCACGGATAAAGTCTCTTGGAGATGGTGCTTCTATATCAACCTACCCATCGGAGCTGTTACCTTGCTCATCGTCACATTTCTCCTTCACGTCAATATTCCTGGAAAGAGCGTCAAGGGCTTGACAGTGTACCAGCAGTTCCTCAAACTCGACCCCCTGGGCACCCTATGCTTCATGCCAAGCGTCATCTGCCTGCTCCTCGCGCTGCAGTGGGGAGGCACCACGTATTCTTGGGGAAATGGGAGAATAATCGGCCTATTTGTTGTCTTTGCCATCCTTTTGATCGCCTTCATTATAATTCAGATCTGGCGCAAGGAGGATGCCACTGTCCCACCCCGCATATTCGTCCAACGGAGTGTCCTTTCGGCTTTCTGGTTCACGATATGTATCGGGTCCTCGATGATGACAATAATCTACTATCTTCCCCTCTGGTTCCAGGCTATCAAAGGTGTGAGTGCTGTTAAATCTGGAATCATGAACCTCCCCATGATCTTATCCCTCGTCATAGGGGTTATTATGAGTGGAGGCTTGGTGACGGCGATTGGCTATTATGCCCCCTTCATGATCGCTTGCTGTATTCTCTCGTCCGTGGGTGCCGGCCTCCTGACAACCTTCATGCCAGACACTGGCCACGCCAAATGGATCGGCTACCAAGTTATCTACGGCCTCGGGCTGGGGATGGGTATGCAACAAGGGTCGGTCGCGTGTCAGACTGTGCTCTCCAAGGCTGATGTGCCCGTCGGCTCTTCGTTGATTTTCTTCGCCCAACAGCTTGGCGGCACCGTCTTCATCGCCGTCGCCCAGAATATCTTCACCAACAAGCTTACTTCAGGACTCCAGCATATCCCCGGTCTCAACCCGGGCATGCTTGCGCAAGTCGGTGCGACCACGATCCGCGACCTGGTCAAAGACCCAGAAGTGCTCAGGGAGGTATTGAAGGTATATAACGTTGCGGTGGTGAATACGTACTACATTGCAGTGGCAATGTCGTGTGCTGCCATCGTGGGTGCACTGACTATCGAGTGGAAGAGCGTGAAGGGAGAGGAGAAGAAATAAGTCTCTTGATGCATGATTCGGAGTTTATAATCTCCTCTCGTTTGGTCTGGTTTAAAAATGGCGCATTGGTTGGAGTCGGGTCGTTTTACATGTTGGAATCTATATTAAACCAGGGAATTTGGATTATATATATAATTAGAATAACGTATATACTCGCTATTATGACTCTAGCTAATTCAATCATTGTGATTAATCCTGGTCATTTCCAGACGTAATAGAAGTTGGAGCAGCTAAGGATATAATATGTCGGTGGGTGGTCGGAGTAACTTCGCAGCCAACTTTTTCTCCTTTTATACCTATGAATGCCACATCAATAAATACTTCAATAGTTCTTGCATCCTTAAACCCTCCATGCCTCTATTTCTATTAATTCGTTATCGAAGAACTTCCCACTATGGTTAATAAGCAACATGCTAACCGGATCAGTACCTAGTCGTTATCTTGACATTGGTGACTCGTAAGGCTGCGTCTTTCTGCATCAAAAACTTCAAAGGCTTTTGCACGTTGACCAAACACCATGAAATGCACAAGATGACCCATCTTTCGCCATAGTGGACGGCGATGATAGATCAGTCTTCTTCGACATACACACTACTATCTTGTACACAGCGATGGCTTCCATAGCAGCAGACGCTACCCCTCCAACACTGAAGCCTTACGCCTGCGTCCTGTGCCAACAGCGCAAGGTCAGATGTGACCGACAAAGCCCATGTTCAGGTTGCCGCAAGTATGAGGTCAACTGTATATACCGCCCGCCTCCGCCACCGAGACGGCGCAAGCGACGATCCCCGGAGGACGTACTGCTTGCGAGGCTGCGCAAGTATGAAGAGCTCCTAACGGGTTTAGGAGTGGACGTGAACAAGATTGACGAGCAGAAAGCGGATAGCCCCCCAACTGCGCCCGAGACATCAGGGTCTTCATCCGTTGCTGCTACTGCTGCTGCTGATGGTGATACTGTTGGTGGTGCGCGAACGGAACCAAAGGGCGAGGAAACTGAGCTGCATAACCAGTTTGGCCGAATGATTATCGGGGATGGAAAGTCACAATTTTTGGAAAACAGTCTTTGGGTGAACCTGAGCCATGAGATTGGCGATCCAGATACGATCTTTGAGAGCTCGTGCGATAATGCGAATGGCGATGCTGATATCCTCTGGTCCGCCGAGGACTCCCCTCGCTCGGATGGGAGCGAGTTTATACTGTCTGGATCGTTGGGGTCGGTTACTCTGCGGGCCTTGCACCCAGATACTGTACAGATCTTTAGGCTGTGGCAGATATATCTCGACAATATGGATCCTGTCACGAAGCTATGCCATAAACCGACCGTGCAGCAGCAGATTCTGGATGCGAGCTCAGACCTGAATAATATACCTAAGCCTATCGAAGCACTCATGTTTGGCATCTATGCGTGCGCTGTGGCTTCGCTTCGTGACGAAGACTGCATCGTTCGACTTGGGGAGACAAGGGAGGCTTTACTTCGCAGGTTCCATCTAGGAGTAAAGCACGCCTTGATCAAAGCCGATTTCTTAACTAGTTCAGACCTGACGGTGTTCCGGGCGTTTCTTTTATACCTAGTATGAACACCCTCCGACCCCCATCTGCTATTATATGTCGGTTTGCTGACGGTTAGATACTAGCTGTCAATGAGAGGATATGTGGCCGTTCAAACGCTCTGGGTGCTTGGAGGAGTAGCAATGCGAATTGCGCAACGTATCGGCCTTCATAGGGATGGTGCTCGCTTTGGGTTACCTATATTTGAAGTTGAGATGCGACGTCGTCTGTGGTGGCCAACAATGTACTTTGATGGCCTCTGCGGCGAATTATGCGGCATGGGAGTATCGCTAGCCAGTTCGTCCTGGGACACTAAGCTCCCTCTTAACGTTAATGACTCCGAAATCACCCCGGACATGCGAGATCCGCCGATAGAGCACAAGGGTCTGACAGAGATGAGCTTCTGCCTTGTCAGATATGAAGTAGGGCTGCTACTTCGCGACTTGGCTACCTCTAGTTCCTTCGATGGAGCCTGGGGGGCTGTGACTAACGAGTCGGTAACATTGAGCGACCGGCTCAAGCGAATTGATGACTTGGAGATGCTCCTTGATAAGAAGTATTTGCAGTATTGTGATACATCGATACCACTGCACCTCATGACCTGGATAGTCGGTCACAGCTGTATCGTGATGTTGAGATTCCGGGCCCGTTCACTCTCCAACCGTTCATCTGGACAGACTCAGCAACCAGATCCGCAGGAAATGCGCGATGCACTGTTTGCAGATACACTACAAATTATTGCCAATTACCACACCTTCCGCTTGGCACCAGGCATACAGCGATACCATTGGCATGTCAGCGCGCATTTTCAATGGCACGCATTTATCTACCTGTTGCACGAGCTGCAGAGGCGTACGGTAGGCGAACAGGTCGATAGGGCCTGGACAGAGGTTGGAAACGTATACTCGTTCAAGCCGGAGTTGCTATCAGACACCAAGGACGCACTACATTTTGCGATTGGCAATCTCGTTCTGAAAGCATGGGGAGCAAGGAAGGCCACCCTTGCGATGTTGGAGGGCGGACGTGGACAGGAATCAATTGTGACTCCAAGTTTCATCGAGAGACTGCAGCTTCAGCGTGTGAGATCTACGCAGTTGTCGGCGTCGCCGCCGTCGGCCCATGGAACGGCTACTGGAGGCCAAAATACCCCTTCTATGGACCACCATCTGGCGGGTAACAGAGACATTGGAGCTATGCCTTCCCTGTTCCAGCCTGATAGCACGGCAGGATTGGCATACGGGGTACATAACGGCTACGGACTGATGCCGAACATGGCTGCCTCCAATGTCCCAGAATATGAGTTCCCTGACAATCCCGTCGACTGGTCTCGGTGGGACATCCTTCTGCAAGGGTCGACGGCTGAGATGAACCTGGAGTCGTGAAATTGATCGTCTTGGTGTATATTGTATAATAGCTGTACCATCCTGTCCTCCCTTAGCCTCTCACCTGCTTGGCCGTTACAAGGAGTACCTTCGCTCCTAGTTTCTTCTAAATTAAGCCACCTCTACACTCACGTTTTAAGATTTTCCCTTTTATTTAATCCACGCCTCTATCTTTGCTTTGCTTACTCGGCATGTAACACTCGACTTGTAACATTCTTCTGGTGTCATTTTCCTTAAAACTGCGCTGCCTCCCTGCCAAGTCACTCTTGAGGCAGGAATAAAATGACGGGACCATTAGGTATCCGCATATCAGCTTCTAGATGGGCAGTCTATCTCTTCACAATCTATAAGATACCTGCCACCGGAATATTCAAATCCAAATCCGACGTCACATTAAAGAATGTCGCTTCTGTACCCCTGGGCTGCACTAGGAAAAATAATAATAGCATTATAGGGAGGTCGGTAAAATTACCCCCAATGTTTAGGATTTAAGGCTCATATCCTAGGAACAAGATGACGGTGTCAGACCCTGGCGTCAAGGTCTTGAATATATATGACATGTATAACCACCTGCTCAAGCAGTAACTTGTCAGGTACTCCGCCGGTGACCTAAAGAATTATTCCAAACCTTCCAACGAAAATCACTTTGCCTCTGTATGTGATTATTTGCCAAAGGTAGGTTTTAAACCCTCATCCCTAGGAATTTAGAGATTCATTTGCATTTTTAGGATTTCATAGTTTAACTGCGCCTTGGTGATCTGCTTTGAATCTAGAGACTTGCGCTTTCTGTTCGGCGACGTGGCTTGTAGACTGGGCCTAGAATTCCAGATTTGAGCTCGCTCAAAGTCAATATACATCACGCTCTGGTTCTCTATGCTCCAGAACATATTGTGGACAAAGGCATCTCCATGGTACACCCCAAGCTGGTGGATTGCCTGAAGTGACGATGTCGCCGTATCATGGATAATTTTGCTGTCAACGTTAGAGCGATAAATAGGAATTCCGGCATGGCTAAGAAGTAAAAGGCGGGGAATTCTAGCAATTCCATCATAGAAGAGAGGTCTCTTGGAGAGATCCAGGATCCCAAGACACACAGGGATGCGACGACCCTGAATGGGGTAAAGACGTCTATAGACATCATTCTCATGCTGTAAATAGTTCGACAATGTGGGCGGGAACCCTTTACCCACCATTTTATACCCATATGGCATGAGCATAACTTCAAACAACGCCCCACGAGAGCCATGCATATGAAGCGATTCGCATCCATCGGACTCGTATGGATCGCAAATGCGCTTGGCCTTTTTCAGCAGTTGTTCGTGCAGAAGGGCTAAAAACTTAGACCTGTCGATCCGGTGTTTGCCAATTCCATGGTCAGCGATATTGGGACATGCCTCGTCCAATGGTCCTCCTTTGGATAACCCGAGAAGACACTTGTGGGTACAGTACAGCCGCGACCTAGCCTGGTTTTTGGAGTGCCTCTGGGACGAGGACTGGTCGCTGGAGCGAGATTGAGATGGGATCACAACCATAACATTTGCCGAGCGACGTGGTGGTTTGCTCGGGGATTCCATCATGTGCGTGGGGTCTTCATCGCTGCTATCCACCGGACTTCGCGACGACTCCTGCGATGGATTGCACGTGGACGATTGCAAACGTAGAGGTTTTTTGGGCCTTGTCATAATGGGTGTGCTCCTGGCGTAGTCCACTCTGTTTTGATGTTCTGGCGTGTATTCCTCCGTTGTCACAGTTTGTGGTGAAGAAACGATTATATCATCCTGGTATACGGTCTTCCACGGCTTCAGTTTGGCTTCCGCCTCTGTTCGCCAAGTTTGGCAATAGGGCTCAACCTGCATCGCCTTGAGGGTGAAGGCGAGTACCTGGCCAACGGCGGTCAAGTGCAGCTTATTGGGAGAATCCGTACGGCCGGTATAGCCAGTGGTTCCCCCCACATCCTCGCCCGGGGTGGAGACGTAGTAAAATATAGTTGTTGGGTCCTTGCCAACGTGAAGAAAGATGAAAGCCTCTCCCGTGCACACATATCCGTACCCCACTCCGGATTTGATCATGTAGGAGAATATCTGGGTGATTACAGCGGCCATTCCACGACGCAATTCAACCTCTTTAGACTCACCCGGTGTTTGCAGAAGCACGTTTTCAAGGTCCATGTCATGGAGCGTGGATTGGATTGTAGTCAGCGGCAGCTTATGCGGCGCTTTAAGCTCCACGATATATGCGGGCACATTTTCGCCGTTACCCTTGTTATATACGCAGAACTCATCCGCCAGGGGGCGGGATGAGTGCGGTGTTGTAACGGGTGTGGAGTCAGCTCGACCAGTTTTTCGAAGCTTTGTGGGACGCGGTGGTTCCTGGGGTGACCCGGTTTGGGTAGGTTCCTCACTCAGCGTGTTCCCGTGGTTCTCAAAGGTGACGTTGCCCAAGAGGTGGAAGTGCTGGCGTATTTGTAGATTTGAGTACAGTTTCGTGATCACCGAACGAACTGGCCGAGTGACAGTCTCATGCTGAAACAGTCGAAGGTCCAGTTCAGACCCCGTCTTCTCGGTCCGTAATTCTGCTCCAGATTCCGCCAGCCCATGTAGTGATTTGAAGTGGCGCTCTAGAACAAACTCCATCCCAACGAGGTCCCTCCAAATGCGCCCTTGTTCTGCGGCAAAGTCTGGCCACTGTCGAATTCTTTCGGGGCGTAGCCTGCCATCTGGATTCGATACGACGCCCTTTGTCGATTCTTTGGCATCACTGATAGTAAGTCCACGGAATAAATGGGTGTGGCAGCCATCCAGGAACTCAAAGATGGTAGTCAGTCGTGTTTCTTGTTGTGCAGTACGCAGGCGTTGTTCAGCTTCCTCTCGGAGGCTTCTTTCTTCCTCGAGAAGCCTCTTTTGTTCCTCCAGGAGCCTATTTTGTTCCTCAAAAAGGAGCCGGAACTTGTCAGGCTCTTCATCCATTTTGGGGTTCCCAGCCCAACCCCCCTCACAGCAACAAACGATGAAAGTTGAAGAAACAGACCAGCAAAGGTGGATGAAAGCCGAAGGTGGTCGAGATGTTTTCGGAGCTTCGGTGAAATAGTTGTTCCGCCTTCCCTCTGTTGCTGCCTTCCACCAACTTCCACCACCCAGACTTCTCTGGTGCCAACATCGCTTTAGCACCGAGTTCCAATAGAGTGAAATTCTCCACTGCAATCGGCTTTTTGTGAATTGCATCGGCCAGAGACAACAGATGTGTACTCATCTGGGGCCCATATTAGCTTAGATAACGGTCGTTGCTTTGAACGAGGAAAATAACTTCGATTGGACTCAGTTACGTTTTTACTAATAAGGGTTCGTCTATGTATAGCGGTAGCCCTGTTAAACCTTACAGCTGTATACTTACGGCGCTAGCATCATCGGTAAGATGGTCGACACCAAACCTACACTTGTATACTTTATTAGCAAGATGGTAGACATGTTCATCTGAGTCTGGAGTTAAAGCAGATAGAGCAGGCTGTAAGTATACAGGGTATCATAACCAATAACTAATCTGTATTGATGCTTACTATTAATATAGGGGAGTAATTGTGTAAATATGTTGCCGCTAATCCTTCCCTATGGCAGCTCTTAGCCTCTCAGCCCCCGATCTAGCGCCCTATTGACTACCCCCTCGCGCCGCGGACGAATCTATACCAAACCCTCTAGCTTGATATCTGTGCGGGTAATAATTCAAGCATATTATATCGCGCAGTAGGTAAATGTTGCCAAATACCGTGAAGGGTGTCGTTATATTAATAGAAGCTATGATTATCCCGAGGTCATAGAAATACAATTTTGTTTAGCTGGAAAAACGAACATCATCCCCTACAGATATGAGACACTGTGCCGGAGAACGCAATTAGTTCTCGAATCCTGTTTTCGATAATCTACGCATCATTTGTTCGTCACGCAAATGGCTCTCTGTAAACCTACTGTGTTCGATGGCGCTATTGACTGGACACTGGGCTACCCAGTTAACGAGTTGCCAAAACCATCTCTTTTTTCCTTTTTAAAGAAGGTTTATAGCTGCTACCAATATCCAATATCAGTATAGCAGGGAAGACTCTCTGAGATCTTTGGAAAGGCACTTGCGGCAGTCCTGGAGTCCAGCACGTAAGGGGGCCTGTCTTGTTGACGTCATCGTCGATCATACTAAAGATAACACACCTAGCCTCCGCCTCTATGTTTCAACAGGATAGAGTATCTAAGGTTGGGATCCGGCTTTCCCCCGCTAATCAGAGTGAAGATCCCTGTCATACCTAATTCGCATTGTTGGGCTAGTTTCCCCGGCTTGACGAACTTGATGTGAATAGCACAGCGGGCATCTCAGGCTATGGCAAGATGATGGGTCTTGGATAACAAGATGATCTGACCCATCTCCACCAGTGAAACCCGGGGGACAGTGTCCGGCCCATATGCGACGGCATCGGTTTCGCAGAGTGGCGGTGGGAGGGAGCCGATGTTCGCATCCGCGCGGTCCAGCAAGCCACCGACCTAAGAATGCGCCTTGGACGTGGGCTGTCATGTGCTTTTGCGGGCCAGCTCGATCTTTGCATGCGCGGCGGGCTTGGCGTGTATGGTCTTGGCACTGGACCCAGGGATCCGGCGCTAAGCGGCAAGAGTGACCCACAGTGGGGCCATTAAGCATATCTCATTGGCGCCAAGTGGCCAATGATATGGTGGAAAACAACCGCCAAGGAGGGTGTGCACGGTCACATGACAGGGCCCAGACAGCGGTCTTGACGTTCGATGGTCAGGTGAGCAGCGCAGGGTGCAGAAGCTTATCTAAGTTAAGAAAAGCCGATCGCGCGTTCACCAGGAAGCTGGTGCGATTCTGTAGGATGCTGTAAGATGCTGGGGGACACGCACGGCGTACAGATGATACATGATACGTCCGATGTCAAGCTGCGGCCAAGCGTTGCGCGGTGTGGGAGGGTGCCGATGATGATTTTCAGGCAAGCCCCTGGCTGTTCCAGCGGTCGCGACGGAGTTTCGGTGTCGTGCTGGCAGGTGGCTGCGGCCTCGCGATTGGCTGCAGAGTCAATATCACATGACTGTATTGCCCTTTAGAGACTAGCGCAGTGGATCCCGCGGCCAAGGAGCCGGTGAGCCCCCACTAAACCTAAACGGGAACCTCACGCGATAAAACTCTGTTTCTGGCATTTTTCTTCGGGTTTCGGTTTGATGCTTCAGCTTTGATGCACACTCGATGTTTAATGTGTTCAGCACGGAGTATAAGTAGAAGTGCAGGGGGGTAGAGAGTATAAGCACGGGGTAGAGAGGTAGAGAAGCTAGACATGGTCAAGCGTCATCGTGGTGATCGACGGTAGCTGCTTGTCACGCAATCGCACGCTAGAATGGCTCCGTCTCGTCTTCGTCTTCGGGCTGATTCGAAGGTCTCGCCACTAACTAAAGCTGGCCTGATGCGGTCGTTTTCTCCGGCTGGCTCTTGTCGCATTATCCTGCGGCTGCTGCGGGTCTGGGGAGCTCGTCCTGGGGCCAGCAGGTCAAATCCGCTAAGAAGACTTTTTTCCCCTATGGCCTCCCTTTCGCTCCCCGCCTGTAGTATAAGTATGCCGTCCCTCTCCCCTTCACTTCATGCGGGCATATTTCATTTCATACCAGCCAGTCCTCCGATCTTTTTTTGATACCCAGTTCAACAGCGTTAAGCCAGCTCGATCCCTCTTTCGTCAACCACGCCACTTCTGCTCGCACATACTGCTGAGCAGCCCACTCACTTGCGTTCGCCAAACATAGCTCAGACAGACACTATGGCTGACTCCAAGAAGCCGAATGTGCTCTACATCATGGCAGACCAGATGGCTGCCCCCCTCCTGTCCATCTATAACGCCTCCTCCGTCATCAAGACGCCCAATCTCGACCGCCTGGCCAAAGATGGCGTCGTCTTCGACTCAGCGTACTGCAACTCGCCGCTCTGCGCTCCGTCTCGCTTCACCATGGTCTCGGGCCAGCTGCCTTCCCGCATTGGTGGCTATGACAATGCCAGTGATCTCCCTGCCGATACTCCCACATACGCTCATTACTTGAGAGATCAAGGATATCACACTGCTTTGTCAGGGAAGATGCACTTTGTTGGGCCGGACCAGCTGCATGGCTATGAGGAGCGATTGACCAGCGACATCTATCCGGGAGATTATGGCTGGTCGGTGAACTGGGACGAACCGGTAAGTTTGCTCTGTTCCCCCTGCACACACCGTCTGATGTGAGAGTCGAAGCCGTAGAAGAAAAGGTCTCACCAAGGGTGATTATCTCTCTGTATTCGCGCTGTCGATATGAACTTGTCCAAGAGATAAATGTGCTGACGTTGCCCGTGGTAGGACGTCCACAAGGATTGGTATCACGACATGTCCTCGGTCATGGAAGCCGGGCCCTGCGTTCGAACCAACCAGCTCGACTTTGACGACGAAGTCATCTATAAAGCAAAGCAGTATCTGTACGACCACGCCCGCCATCGCAAAGACCAGCCATTCTGCTTGACCGTGTCCATGACCCATCCTCACGACCCCTATGCCATGACCAAGGAGTTCTGGGATCTATACGAGGACGTTGATATCCCACTGCCAGCAACTCCTGCCATCGACCAATCCAAGCTAGATCCCCACTCGCGCCGTATACTGAAGATTGTCGGCCTGCTGGGCTCAGAAATTCCAGATGAACGCATCATTGCCGCTCGCCGTGCTTACTTCTCTGCCTGCACCTATGTCGACACCCAGATCGGTGTTCTGCTCTCCACGCTCAAGAACTGTGCCCTGGATGAAAACACCATCGTCGTCTTCTCCGGAGACCACGGTGACATGCTGGGCGAGAAAGGACTGTGGTATAAGATGTCTTGGTTCGAGATGTCAGCCCGTGTTCCCATGCTGGTCTACGCACCGGGACGATTCCAACCCAAGCGCGTCAAGGAGAACGTATCAACCATGGATCTCATGCCAACCTTCGTCGCCATGACCGGCGGATCACTGTTCCCAGGCCTCCCCGTCGACGGTGTCTCTCTCATGCCGTACCTCGTCGACGGTGCCCCTGGCGAAAAGACAGACACCGTCGTTGGCGAATACATGGGAGAAGGGACTCTGGCACCGCTTGTGATGATCCGCCGTGGCCCCTGGAAGTTCGTCTACTCGCCCATCGACCCTCCACAGCTATACAACGTTGTGCAAGACCCAACTGAGGCCACCAACCTCGTCGCAGGTCTCCAGCTCCCAGTACTCCCTGACTCTCCTCCAAACGGGGGTCCCGCTGCTCTGCCTACACCTCCAGCCACCTCTCCGCCGGCACTGAAGAATCAGGCCTCCTTCTTCGCATCACTCAACGGGTCAAGCCACCTCCCGACACCACCTCACACTCCCATGCTAGGCAAAAAGGCCACCACCCTGACGGCTGCAGAGATCACTTCTGCCGCTGTAACAAATGATGTCGCCTCGTTGTTCAAGGCCTTCCTTCAGGAAGCTCATGCCCGCTGGGACTTTGATGCTATTCAGCAGCAGGTCTTGAACTCTCAACGCCGTCGACGTCTTGTCTACTCTGCACTCAGTAAGGGCCGCGTCACGACTTGGGACCATACCCATATTGTTGAGGGAAGCTCAGTTTTCATCCGCAACCATGGCAAAGGCCCTCTTGGTGATGTTGAGACCGTTAGCCGTCTGCATGTTCCAGTTCCAGTTGGACGTGAAGTTCAGTATCGTCCTTAGCTGCATGCGTTTGTATAGCTTTGGGCCTGATCTTATTAATGGCTTCGTTATGATATGATACAATTTGTGTTTTTTAGTACATGATATCCATCTACCGATCTGTTTATACACTGGCACAGTATACATCTTGTGCTTCAATTTTATAAGCTATGAACATAAGAAAAAAATCCAAAAAAAACACCTGAAAATTACAAAACCAATAAAGAATAGTAATTATGAAAATACATGAAAAAAAACATCGAAAATAGGCAGGAAAATCGAGCTGCATGCTAGGATGAACCAACTATCAATTCTCTGGGCGGAGGAATCCCTAACTAGGAGGAAGAACACTTCTTCTACTTACGGGACCTTGAATCAGATCCCTATATCAGCCAATGCCCTAGTTACTAGGCTATGTATCCAGAATGCAATAGTGAAATACAGATATTTAATAGTAACCCTTTATGCTTTCTCTTCTAGCTGTCCTGTGCTCCCATGTACAAGTATATACAGAGTAGGCTAAGCCGACCCATGCACCAATCTTCCACCGACCCAAACAGCCTTGACATTCCTATCATCTCCTGTCCACATCCATTTGGCAACCCGTTCCTCCCAAGATTCCCATCCATACATGCACACATTCCCATATTGTTGCAAGGTGGATCTTTCATCTATGGACTGTCCATTATCCTCAACACTGTCCCCAAGCTCAATCATCTGCGCATCCCAAAACATCCCCTTTTCGAACCCCCCAATCTCATCCTCCATTTTAAACACTTTAGCCCCGCCTCTAGTTGCCAGGTACAGGGCTTCTTCGACACTAAGTTTCTCACGTCCCCCGGTTTTCTTTCTGTTTTGGAATGCCACAAGCCTGGACACGAGGGACGCTTGTCGAGCTGTTTCAAGAATGCTTGGGCTATACCCTCCACTGGCGTCGGTGCCGAGGCCAACACTGATGCCGTCATCAAGGAGCGTGCGGATAGGGCACATTCCGGAGCTCAGTGATGTATTTGATGCTGGGCAATGTGCTATGCCAGCAGATCTCTCACGTATCAACGCTCGTTCGGATTCGAGTAGATGAATCCCATGCGCTAGCACCGTGCGAGATGTTATGAGATTGGCTTTATCGTATACTTCGGTATACGTAGAACAATCTGGGAACAAAGATTTAACTGCTTCAATCTCATCCTCGTTCTCCGAGATATGGGTTTGGATGTAAGTCGGTGGGTTTGTAGAGGCAGCTAGGTCCCCCAGCTGGGCAAGTGCGGCACTTGTACAAGAGATTGCAAAGCGAGGAGTGATGATTGGTTTCACAAGGGTTCCCCGCGGGTCTAGGCGGTGAATATATTCCATAGACGCCTTGGTGGCCTCTACCATCGCTGCCGTAGATTCATCTCGATAAAAATCCGGGCAGGTATCGGGGTTGTCCATGCAAACTCGGCCAATGAACGCCCGCTGACCCTTTGTATGGCAAATTGAGGCTAGAAGATTCGTGGCGGGAACATGGACGGTTGCATAGTATGCCGCACTGGTAGTACCATGAGACAAAGTACGGGCCACAACAGCATTATAGATTGTGTGAGCTCTCTTCGTGGGCGTGTCAGGGGTCTCCTTGTCTCCAAACGAGGCCTCCATGGGGAAGGTATATTTATTCAGCCAATCGAGGAGGGTTGTCGAGCCAAATATTCCGCAATTGGGGTATTGGGGTGCATGTATGTGTGTATCTATAGCATGTTAGGTCCAGAAATTCCAGTGTATAATGAGAAGCACATCCTACCAATAAACCCAGGAAAGAAAAATCCATTCTTATCCTGCCTAGCCCGTATCACCCTTACGCGCTGGACGGTGCTCGCGCAATCTTGGGCCTCCTTATCATCGTATACCAGCTTCCAACCCATGCTCTCGGCCCATTCATTCAACTCCTTCTCGCCTCCAACATCCCACTTTGAGCCAGCGATGCGCCCATCCGAGCTATCCACCCACACGGCGCCATCGTTGATCGAGAGGATATAGGTAGGACCCGAGGTAGGCGTTGCAGGAGTCGCCGGTTCGCGTGGAAGTTGAATAAATGTCCCCAGGTAAAGAGTATAGCTGTAGTAGCTCGCCGCAGAGGCTGGTGAGACGGCCGGGATGTCGCCCATGCTGAATTGCCACAGGCCACAAATATGGACCAAGACGGAGGGACGGATTGATGCAGAGGAGACAAGGGAGGTGACAAGGCCGCACTTATATATCTTCACTAGTACTCAGCATCGCGGGCCTTGCCTCTCGGTGGCCTCCGCTTGGATATGTGGGGAGGTGTTTCGCTCCAACTAATGCTGTAGGAAGGGGGCCTGCTTTAGGAACGGCTAAAGAGAGGACACCGCGTATCAAACGAGCGGCAGGTTCAACGCTATACCAATCGACATCAGCTGGAGAAGCGAGACGGAGAGCCATGTTGAAAGGCTGAAGCTCCAGATGCTGCTCGTTGTTCAGCTTCAAGGGCGGCGATGACGGCGAGCTCCGGCGGGGAGCTGGTTAGTTAGCTGGAAGCAAACGTCATGGCCAAGCTAGCACGAGCCTCAACTCCGGATAAGCGCCGGCCACAGGATACTCTACTTTTTCAACGAGACAAGTTGGGAAGAGACATGTAGGAAGAGCCTGGATATATACCGCTTTTAGATGTTGGCAAGAGAATACGTGTATATTAAACTAGGATGTAGGTACATTAAGAGGATAGCTACTTCATTGCTCCTGTGTAGGCCCGCAGCGTCTTGTCATCCAGCAGCCTTCCCATCGCCTCAGCTTCCAGATATAAGCTGATATCAACGCCTCCTCCATCCGCCTCGCTGGTTTCCATGATTTGCATACAGCCATCCATCTTTGGCATTGCCGCATGCACATACCTGGGTGCGTTGCCGGTACCTGTGAAATCAACATCATAAACACGTAGTCTCATCCATGAAGTTACAAGCGTATGGCGGTTCCCGAGGAATGCTTGCCACAAGCGCTGCGGGGATATTTCATAAGCTGCATCATGTAATATCGCCCCCATTATCTCAGGTGTAAACTTCAGAAGTGTTTCTCGGATTAGAACGGCCTTTTCTCCAATCTAGTGCATGCTGGCTGTCGATCCAGGAGCTTGTACGTATCCGAGGAATATCGGAGATCCAATAAAGGAGTCGGAAAGAGGCGGTGACACGCGACTTCGAGCGCCGAATGAGATATTGAGATATACAGCTTCATCGGACTGTGAGTGCCCTCGAGCTCGGTTGATAAGGCTCCAGAGATGGGCCAGAAGACTATCCAGCCTTGAAATATCTGGGCGGCCCGGTTGAAACTCCCTAGCAGCACTGCGCATATTGAGAATCTCAGATGGGCTGAAATGGAGCTGTACGTGGGATACAGGCAAGTCCAACTTCCACGTATGCCAAGGTGGTGACGTCGAGGGAGACGGGGGTCCAGCTAATACTTCTGCTGGCGGTTTAGACGCCTCTGTGGTAGGTATCAAAAATTCAGGGTAGCCCGGGGTTGAAGTCTCCCACCAATCATAACGGTGCATCGGCAGGGCGCGTGCTAGAGAGGTTAAAGCACCGTCTGCCACGTCAGAGTCGATGTTACCAGCAGCATGAGCGTCGAGCTTAGCCGGATCGAAAACCGGAGAACCCATGAAGGAGTGTCCAGGATGTCCATGCTGTTCGCGAGAAGCTGCCGCCCACTGATGCACGAATACCATCAGTGCCTGCGCGTCAGCCAAAGGGTGGGCCAGCTGCACGCCGATTGCATAACTGCCGCAGGTGAAAGTGTTTATCTGGACAGTCATCCCAGGCAGACCCTCATAGTCACGTAAGTTGTACAATGCTAACCGGGTATCCGAGATGTAGTCCTCCTGCCGGAAGTCTGTCCCCATCCACGCACCTTTGCCCGAAATCCTTTCGGCTGCCGTGGGGACCAGCTGTTCGAGCGCCTTCTCATGGTGGAGGATGGTCCATTCAGCTCCAGGGTCCGAGTGAGTGCCATAGGTAATCATTGGGCGGTTGAAGCGTTCACAGTGGCCTCCGCCTTTTCGAACTGGTGTCCAGTGAAGTTGGCCGGTCCACTGAGGATAGGAGTTGAGTGTGCTCACAAACGATGACCGGAGCCGAGAAACCAGAGCTTGGGATGGCGTCGCCTCTGTCGTTGCATCGAACATCCATATCGTTCCAGTTGGCGAGAACCGCGCGACAGTGGCATCGAGGATGGATAACGGTGTGGACGTTGGTTTTGACGGGCGGACCGAAGGGAACACCCGCTCTTTCCGGCGTGAATCCATGGTAAGGAGCTTGACCTGACTATAAGTAGTTATTTGGCAGGAGGTTTACCAGAGACAGCCTTCGAGTCCGCTCTTTATCATTTCTCAAGGTACGAGTATAAGACGAGGCCGTGTCCCCTGTCCTATCTTGCTGCATCTGAGCCATTATTACTCACGGTGACTGACAAGAGTCGATCCTCCAAGGCTCCTCTGTTGTCAGGACTTCATCTGAGGCTGCTCTGCGACTGTACCATGGGTATATCGTTATCAAGTTAAAAATGATAGAACTGTACTCCCTTCTCCATGTTCTGTATAGACGTCGACGTCTTGCCCTGTCCAAGTTTGGCCTCTTTTTAGGGCTTGAAGACGCCAAGACTGGGTATATTACATAATATATGCTCATGTGACGCCAAGCATCCTCTTATCAGATCACGATCCACCAATCGGAGCGCTTAGATAACTTTATCCCATGATAATCATCAAACTGACCAATCACAGCCAGGAATATATCTATTTTAACGCACCCTGATTGGCTGTCAGTGAACAAGGTGCATCATGTGACTTCCCCGATTGTCGGCCGAGGCACGCGGGATCTTCATCCTCCCCTCCTGCTCTCTCCGACTTTTCCCCCCAAGGTGGCTTTTTTTCCCGATGGCTGCGAAGCTCCGAAGACCGCGACGTCTCCCAACCTCTTCTTCCTCTTCTTCTTCCTCCTCTTCCTCTTCCTCTTCCTCCTCTTCCTCTTCCTCTTCTTCCTCGCTCTCTACGTCGGTGATGCAGCTGTTTTGAAGCATATATTCTCCAATTGGCAGCATACCACACCTCTGTCGCCTTCCGTTCGTTCGACATATAGATCCGCGATGGTAGCTGCTCTCACGGCCCTCCGCGCCGGCGGTAGGTATCTCGGCGGTCAACATGCTCGAGCAGCAGCACTCCGAACTCCTCGTCAGCTGTCACCGCTGACGGCCTGTCGTCAATGTCTTCAGTCGGCGCCCCGTCAGTACCGTGCTGTCGCCTATCGCAGCGTCCATTCCAGTGCCGCCGAGAGCAACGGCGTGGCTGATCTCCGTCAGCCGCTGGACAGCTTCCCACGCCGACACATTGGGCCGTCACCGTCATCCGCCGAGGCGATGCTGAGCGTGCTGGATCCGCCGGTAAAGAGCCTGGATGAATTCGTCCACCAGGTCTTGCCGGCAGACATTCTCTCGGCGAAGGAGCTCAGCCTGGCTGCCCCCAAGGAGGCTACCATTAAACTGCCACGGGATGGCCTGCACGGCGGACTGGGAGAATCGGACATGATCAAGCTGTTTGAGGCGTACAAGAAGGACATCGATGCCACCGGACGGTCACATATCGGATGTGGTTACTACGGTACCATCGTGCCACCGGTCGTCCAGCGAAACGTCCTCGAGAACCCGGTCTGGTACACCAGCTACACTCCCTACCAGCCAGAGATCAGTCAGGGCCGACTGGAGTCCCTCCTCAATTTCCAGACCCTCACGTCCGACCTGACTGGCCTCCCAGTCGCCAATGCCTCCGTTCTCGACGAAGCAACCGCCGCGGCAGAGGCCATGACCATGTCCTGGGCCACCCAACCCGCGAGCAAACAGAAACAGCCTGGAAAGTCGTTCGTGGCATCCCACCTGTGCCACCCCCAAACTCTAGCCGTCATGAGGTCTCGTGCGCAGGGATTCGGCATTAACCTTGTGGTCGGTGATATCATGGCAGACGACTTCAAACTCGTCAAGGACCAGGGCGAGAAGTTGATTGGTGTCCTGGCACAGTACCCTGATACCGAGGGTGGTGTATACGATTTCCAAGCTCTCAGTGACCACATCCACCAGCAGGGCGGTATGTTCAGTGTTGCCACTGACCTGCTCGCATTGACCGTCTTGAAAGCTCCCGGAGAGTTTGGTGCTGACATTGCCTTTGGAAACTCCCAAAGATTCGGTGTCCCGATGGGCTTCGGTGGGCCCCAGGCTGCTTTCTTTGCCTGCACAGAAAAGAACAAGCGAAAGATTCCAGGCCGTATTGTCGGCGTCTCCAAGGATAGACTTGGAAACCGTGCATTGCGTCTTGCCCTGCAGACTCGAGAGCAGCATATTCGCCGCGAGAAGGCCACCAGTAACATCTGCACTGCCCAGGCCCTCCTTGCAAACATGTCCGCGTTCTATGCCGTCTACCACGGTCCCAAGGGCCTGAAGGCGATTGCCGAGCGTACCATGGCTCTCACCGCACTCCTCAAGGTAAAGCTGAATGCTCTCGGATTCAACGTGCCCACCAGAGGCAACCTCGGCCAGGATGGCGTCGCTTTTGACACTCTCGTCATGGAGACTAGCTCCCAGGCTGAAGCAGACTCTCTCATGGACGCCGCCTTTGCATCTTCTCTGTACCTTCGACGCGTCGGTTCGTCCAAGGTCGGAGTTTCCCTCGACGAGACCATGGGTGTACAGGACGTTGAGAAACTGCTTTCGGTTTTTGCTAAATTCTCGCCATACAAGGGTGCTGAGGCCATTGACTTGGCTAAAGACGTTCAGGCGGTTCAAATTCCAGAAGCTGTCCGACGAACTTCAGCTTACCTCACACACCCTGTGTTCAACAGCCATCACTCTGAGACCGAGATGTTGCGATACATCCAACACCTTGGGTCTAAGGATCTCTCACTTGCACACTCCATGATTTCCTTAGGTTCCTGCACCATGAAGCTGAATGCCACCACTGAAATGTTACCCATCACCTGGCCAGAGTTCTCCTCCGTTCACCCCTTCACCCCAACCGCCGCTGTCAAGGGCTACATCGACATGATTGAGGACCTCGAGCAGCAATTGGCCGATATCACTGGCATGGCTGAAGTTACCATCCAGCCCAACTCTGGAGCTCAGGGTGAATTCGCTGGATTAAAGGCAATCAAAAAGTACCACGACAGCCAGGGCGAACCCGGTAAGCGTAATATATGCTTAATCCCCGTTTCAGCACACGGAACCAACCCAGCCAGTGCTGCTATGGCCGGAATGCGCGTTGTCCCTGTCAAATGCGATACGGCAACGGGTAACCTTGACGTTGCGGACCTCCGTGCCAAATGTGAGAAGCACAAGGAAGAACTCGGCGCCATCATGATCACTTACCCAAGTACATATGGCGTCTTCGAGCCCAGTATCAAGGAAGTCTGTGAGGTTGTTCACAAGTACGGCGGTCAGGTTTACATGGACGGAGCCAACATGAACGCACAGATTGGCCTTTGCTCCCCAGGTGAAATCGGCGCAGACGTCTGCCATCTCAACCTCCACAAGACCTTCTGTATCCCCCACGGCGGCGGTGGTCCCGGTGTCGGCCCCATTGGTGTCGCCGAGCATCTCCGCCCATTCCTCCCCTCCCACCCTCTCAACGACCACCTGCTTGCCAAACGACCAGCATCTGTTGACTCTCCACCAATCAGTGCTGCGCCATTCGGTAGCGCAAGCATCCTCCCCATCACATTCGCATACATCAACATGATGGGTGCTAAGGGTCTAACACACGCAACCAAGATTACTCTCTTAAACGCCAACTACATTCTTTCCAGACTAAAGCCACACTTCCCAATCTTGTACACTAACACCAACGGCCGATGTGCACACGAGTTTATTCTTGATGTGCGCCAATTCAAAGCTTCTGCCGGCATTGAAGCTATTGACATTGCTAAGCGATTGCAAGATTATGGCTTCCACTCGCCAACCATGTCCTTCCCCGTTGCCAACACGCTCATGATTGAGCCAACGGAGTCAGAGAGCAAGGCTGAGCTAGACCGATTCTGTGACGCACTGATCTCCATCCGTAGAGAGATTGCCGCTATCGAAAAGGGTGAACAGCCAAAGGAGAACAACGTCCTGAAACTCGCGCCTCACACCCAGCGCGACCTTCTAAGCGCCGAGTGGGATCGTCCCTACACCAGAGAAAACGCCGCGTACCCGCTACCTTGGTTGTTGGAAACGAAATTCTGGCCTACTGTGGCTAGGGTTGACGACGGTATGTCCACCCCCCTTTTCTACCCCAATCTAGCCTTTCCCGTTCATTCATACATCCTTTTTTAACGATTGATCCAACATTTTCTAACCTTGATATCTGTCATAGCATTCGGAGATCAAAACCTGTTCTGCACCTGTGGGCCCGTCGAAGACGCCACGGACTAAACAAGCCGATATATACCCCTGTTTTCTGCTATCATTAGCTACATTTCGGCAGCTTCCCACCAATTCTGTTGTATCCCACAACATCGCCGTTTTAAAAATAAGAAAGAAGAGAAAAATCCACCAACTATAATTCACCATTCTATCATGCATGCATGCCCCAATGTCTCAACACAAAATACCCTCTAGCTCCCTGTATCATTGAGCATTTCCTTTTTTCATCTTTAGACCTGTTCTTACGTGGATAGAGTTACGAAAATTCATTTTAACGTCAAAATACAACTTATTTCTTTCAGTTCCGACAATTTTATCATATCCATGAAATTTACCGGATGGCTTCGGATACTTGGCACGTGACTAATTAAATAAAGTTCGGGGTAAATATGGGTCCCGCCGATTGCTCCACTTTTACCAAACTTAATCTGACTCAACTATCAACATATCGACACATCGACATGGACAGCTGCCTTTTGAAGCCTTGAGGTTCGCAGAGAATGAATATCGCTGTAGTGGCGGTGCCTAGTTTTAGCACAGACGCCTACCTACTCGGTTTAACCCAGAGTCATTCCATAAATACAGCTAACCTCCCTCCTTCCAGCTCATTCCACGGAATATATTCTACGGCCCTAGGGATATATACGTTTATATATTACTTGAAAGCCAATTTACATCAAAGATGGTTTAAACAGGGCTGGGCTGGAGCCTTTGCCCCTACTCTAATTGAATATACGTAGACACGCTGATAGGTACACCAGCATATTGAAGCTACACGTGAGCCGTTCTTAGTGGCGCAGGGCAGCGCGGGCAGCACCGTTCAAAATATTGTACCTTAACAGTACTTCAGCATTATTCATTCCTGATAACGATAGATATGACATTATCATCATTCCGACCGTCGTTGATTGGGTGGTCATAATAACGCCTTTGAATGATTGGATTTGAACCCCACTGCAAATGTGTGCTGCTGGACCTACCAATACATTATGGTTAAAGTCGCCAAGAACGTCAGAAAGTATCGCTCATTAATAGATTGATGACAAGGACCTGGCCACTAAAAAGTCTCTGTATTATGCTTTATCGCAGAATAAGCTAGTATCCCACTTGGCCTTCGATGCTGGGCTTGCTAGGCTGCAACATGAGTTACGTATATTCAAATACCTCAAATCCTGAGATGCCGCGGCCTATAAAACAGCCAAATCGACTGCCGCGTATTCATCGCTCCACCTAGCTTTATTATATTTACTCCTTGCTGATCTATAATGTCCTTCAGCAATACTTCCATCATTTCGAATAACCAAGGCGACATCTCAAAAGATGTGACTCTCGATAGCCCACCAGAGGACAGCATCTCGGAGCTCGCCTGGTCACCTATAGCCAACCACCTCGCTGTCGCATCCTGGGACAAATCTGTCCGCATCTACGATGTCTCTCGCTCCGTCAAGGGCGAAGGCAAGGCACTCCTCTCCTTCCCTAGCCCTGTTTTAAGCTGCGCTTGGTCACCAGATGGCTCTAAAGTCATTGGTGCTGGAACAGACGGCTCTGCGCGCCTCTTAGATCTAGGCAGCAACATCAATAGCGGCAGCCAGACACAGCAAGTTGCTCAGCACGATGCTCCCATAAGGACTGTACGGATGATTCAGATTTCCAGTAGCCAGTCGCCCATTGCTGTCACAGGGTCATGGGACCGCAAGATCAAGTACTGGGATCTTCGACAGGCAAACCCTATAGGCACCCTTGTTTGTCCTGAGAGAGTGTATGCCATGGAAATTAGTGGCACCCAACTGCTGGTCGCGATGGCTGAATGTAATATCGGCCTTGTTGATCTCAGCCAGCCCACTCTCATGGCGAAAACTCCACAAAGTCCGTTAAAACACCAGATTAGGACTGTCTCTTGGATCCCCGGCGGGTCTGGTTATGCAGTCGGTAGTATCGAAGGCCGCTGTGGGGTAAATTATGTCGATGAATCAAACAAGAGGTGAGTACTCAACATAGACCCAACTGGGAGTGGAAAAAAAAACTCATCCAATTTATTTGTACTTATATTATCTCATACATGTTACTTAGCTTGAATTTTACATTTCGATGCCATCGCCGCCCCAAGGACAACGACCCCAAGGATCAGATGGTCTATGCAGTTAACGCTGTTTCTTTCCATCCTCGTTATCACCAAACGTTTAGCACTGCCGGTTCTGATGGCACCTTTTGCTTCTGGGACAAGGATGCCCACCATCGCCTGAAGGCGTTTCCAGTTGGAGGCGCCATCAACTCTACGTCTTTCAACCTGGATGGCAGTATCTTCGCCTACTCTGTCAGCTATGATTGGAGTAAGGGATATTCCCACAACACGCGTGATCATCCGAATAAAGTTGTTTTGCACCCAGTGACTGATGCCGAATGCAAACCAAAGCAACAAACGAGCCGGAGGTAATAACAGGCCGTACAAGATGGAGAATTGTGGAGAAGTACATATGGATGCATGCTATTCCGACAGAATGAATGGAGTCAGATAACGATACCTTTGCCATTCCAATAATAAAAACCTAGATCATCGGCACTTGGTGATTAACTATTACTCTGTTCATATTGTAAACTAATACATAGTAAATATACTAAAAACCCTCCAAAGTATTGCAAACCAGAGCCACGCGAACAGCTTTCTCACCCCAACTCGCCTCTATTCCTTCCGCTTCTCCATAGGTCAGGATGTTGCATATTAGGCCCTCTTTCCAAACAGAGTGGGTATTCCTTGTACTATTACTACTTGCACTCCGAATATGTAATCGATACTGGCTAGAGAAACTCTATAACTACCTGCTGTAAATTAGGTTAAGCATGGAACCACAACACGGGACGGCCCGGGATTTGGACCAATCAGAGTGAATAGATTTTGAGCTAAATTTTCATTGGTCACACAAGATGATTAGTAATAATGAGCCTCTAATTCAGGATTACTAATTGACTTGTTTGGCGTTCTACACTCTTCAACATCTAGAAACGACAAACGTTTCCTCTTTTTTATTTTTTTTCTGGGCAATGTTTCGCCCCTGAGGTTGGTAGGCCAACTCAACTGAAACTGGTAGCTATGCATGCATCTGCGATGCCAGCGATCAGTTTGGCTTGGCAGCCAGTCCCTATTGCTATGATGGCTTTAATTTCACCTTCACATTGAAGGAGTTTATCTCCTCTAGCACTAATACTACTTTCACACTATCTCTCATATACCAGATACTCCGTGCGAGTCTCACAACCAATGCATCATTCTCCTTAGTTTGTTTCACGAAACTGCTGGGAACTGTCACTTATGAAGGCTTCCTGACAGCCTTGTCGTTGCTATGGCAGGCCCAGGAGATAGATTATGCCAATCCCAACCGCTCTATTCCCATTCACTTTGGCAGCCATCTGTCTGCGGCCTTACATGAGACATGCTCGCTCCGTCCGCTCTTCCATGATGTCTGGGGTTTTCGTCTTTGAAACGTAATAAGTCTGACCCTACTCAACCTTGTCAGCAGCCAAACATTGACGATTCCCGATGGCCCATAATGAACCAGCGGCGCTATTCCTATGATCACCAACATTGATCGACTCATGGATCAACACTATTGCTTATACGCCTAGCGTTTGCCTCAAGCCGCGTCTCGATCTCCAGAAGTTCCTTCTCACACCCACCCAATAGCTAGTCTCGACGTCTCTACGCACGCATCCAACATGGCCATCCGAGGACAACCATCCTTTCTACACCAGCTATCGACCTAGATTTAACTCAGGTGCCGGTGGATTGTCCCGAGCCCTCTAGATACCTATATTCCATTCTGGCTCAACCTTGCCTCAGATTGTTGCTCGCCACAATCGGTGTAATCTCCCGCATTCTACAAGCGAAAGAAGCACGGACTAGCATCGAATAATGCCCTTGTGTTCATATAGGCACTAGCGGTCTTGATCCCTCCAGAAATGAAGTCCCTTCCAAGACTTGCTGTGTTACGAGGTTAGCCTGCGGGATGGCGGTCTGTCTCGTGTTTGTCTCCTCCTCCCTGACTAATTAAAGCTTGACTCCGCCAGAAAGATGACGAAGCCCTGGGGTCATTATTAAGATGGTCACTTCATAAACAGACATAGCATTAACTTACCCCTACAAGCGAAAGGCGCTGCATCTACCCAGTATACAAGCTCTAAACCTGGTCAAGCAACACTCAGATCTAGAGAGCAAATAATGAGATAGTAGTATTGAAAAATCGTTGCCATGACATTAAGTGTCATAATCAGATAAAGCGTATGATACATTCCAAAAAATCCGACAACTCCATGACTCCTGCCCAAATTCCGACCGCCAAAAATCCAGTGCCCTCCGTGCTATATGCTATAAGATAACCAAGTAAAATCAGAAGCCGATCGCTCACTATCTATGATCGGTGCTGCGACTATTACGTCGCTGTTGACTAGTTCGAAGCGTGTTGTGCCGGCTGAGTTGAGGGAATATATGTTGGCGGCGGTGTTCGTGTTCGTGGAAATGTATCATCCTGAGGCTTCGTTTGATCCTGCTCCCGCGGGGTGTATGGAGGCGCAGGGGGATAGAACTGGGCATCGTTGCTCCGCAGGCCGACTTGCGCCGGCGGCATCACCGGATAGTGAGTGTAGTCTGTGTTGAACTGCTGCGGCATACCGGGTTGCTGTGGCATATCCTGGCGCTGCAGCTGGATGTTGGGATGTAGTCTCGCTGGCGCGGCCTTCTCGTAGCGCTTCCGGGCTCTGTAGAAGTACAAGGCGATGGACAGGAGGATGAGAGAGCAGACACACGCAACCAGGACGGTCCTCTTGTCGCCCTCGAGTTGTCTTTTATGGTGATGGTGCAGCCGCGAGGGCATGAGGGAGGTTGGTAGGGCCGGCATCGGTGGTATCTTGAATATGAGCTTTAACGTCGATATGTCTGGTCGATGGGACACCTTGGACAGAAACCAAATAAATATGCCATGCAAGGCAAGTCGAGGTCCAACTCCGTCTTATAACAGAAGGACGCGAAGCTGTGGCAGTGTCGAGAGCAGGGATCGAGGGCAGGGATCGAGAGAGCGCCTGGGGGACCTAACTCAGCCCGTTATCCATGCAAATAATAACGTATATATGCCAGCAATCGCTATAGCCCCCAGGATGCGCCGCTTATGCTCATGCGAGTGAATGAGATAACTGCTGGCCCTGGCCAGTTGGAGTCGCTATTGGAGCGATGGTAAAGGCGCAGAGCCATGCTGCTTGGTGATTCAGCCTTGAGGCATTAATAACGGCCATCACCAACAACTAAGCAAGAGACATGATGCGACAGTCGTCCTGCAGAGGATCAGAGGGTAAGCGGTAGAAAGACAGCCTTGACCTAGCCGGTTGAAGGTGAAACGCTGCAGTTCCGCGATAGTTGGTATAATAGGCTTTCGGGTAGTTGGGATAATCATCTCTTGACGGACTTGTTGCCGAGCAGACTTCTCGACCTCGACATCATATCTTCCCCTGGATAAAATAGCCCGTCTATCAGTGAGGAATTCGTTGCTGAGGGTCCCGAGACTGAAACTGGCTTGTTTCTCTGTAGATTTGCTCTGTCCTGTATCCCTTTCCCCCCGCCATGGAGCAGGAACAGTTCCGCATAGCTGCTCATGCGGCTGTTGAAGAGAGTATGCTTGCACCGATAAGTCAACTGGTTGATGTATATATTCGTCGTCTAACTGTCTGGACCTGCAGTAATCCAATACTTCAACAGCCTGCCGTCGCAGCAAGTCCTCCCGGACGTCGAGCCCGGATATCTGAAATCTCGTCTCCCTCCATCCGCTCCCCAAGACCCGGAGCCATGGAGTCTGATACAGGCAGATATCGAGACCAAGATCAAGCCTGGCGTCACGCACTGGCAGTCGCCGAATTTCATGGCCTTCTTCCCGTCCATTGTTACCTACCCGAGCATCCTCGGTGAGATGTACTCGGCCACCTTCACGGCGCCCGCGTTCAACTGGCTATGCTCTCCGGTCGTTACGGAGTTGGAGATCACGGTCCTTGACTGGGTTGCAAAGGCCCTAGGACTGCCAGACTGCTTTCTCAGCACACCTCCGAGCCAAGGTGGCGGCGTGATACAGGGCAGTGCGAGTGAGGCCGTCATCACTGTCATGGTGGCTGCCCGGGAAAGGTATGCCAGAGACATCGTGAGGGCAGAGGGCCTCGAGGAAGACTCCGAGGAGTGGGAAGATCGCATGATAGAGGTCAAGTCGAGGTTTGTCTCCCTGGGGAGTGATCAAGCGCATAGCTGCACCGCAAAGGCCGCGCGCATTGTCGGCACCAGGCATAGGAGTGTCCCGGCTCGTCTAAAGGATGACTTTGCCATGACCGGAGCTGCTCTCAGGGAGGTGCTTGAAAAGTGCGAGAAGGACGGTCTTACTCCTTACTATATAACTACCACTCTGGGGACGACGAGTACATGTGCTACTGACAGGTTCGCTGAGATCAAAGCCGTTTTGAACGAAAAGGAGTCATGGAAGAGGATATGGGTACATGTCGATGCTGCATACGCTGGAGCTGCGCTTATATGTGATGAATACCAATATATTGCCAAAGAATGGAGTGAGGGGGTTGACAGTTTCAACTTCAACATGCACAAGTGGCTTCTCGTCAACTTCGATGCCAGGTATGCCTTTCTTTCCTTGCTTATATTTACTATTATCTAACTCTTTCAAAGTTGTCTGTTCATACGGAACCAAGTCGACTTGACATCTGCTCTTGATATCACTCCTCACTATCTCCGCAACCCTCATTCTGACGCCGGCGCAGTTACTGACTATCGGAACTGGCAACTTCCCCTGGGGAGGCGTTTCCGGTCGCTGAAGATATGGTTCGTCTTGCGGTCTTATGGAATCAAGGCCATGCAAGCACATATTCGCAATGGGATAGACTTAGGCAAAACGTTTGCGGAATTGATTCGTAGCCAGAGCGATTTGTTTGAAATCGTGACTCCGCCCGCGTTTGGCTTGACAGTTTTCCGTATTACCGACAAGGCAGCTCTGCAAGTTACTGGTGGCGATAGCAACTCTGTTACCCGCGAGATCTACGAACGTATCAACGCCGGCAAGGAAGTTTACCTGACATCCTCCGTCGTCGAGGGGGTGTACGTCATTCGTGTGGTGAGTGCAAATGAACTTGCCGAAGAGAAATATATCAGAAATGCCTTTGATATACTCGTTCGTGTGACCAAGGAAGTGTTGTCTGGTCAAGGAACTATCAAAAAACATTAAGGGCACTCGCGGCTTATAAAGGTAAATATATTGTACCCCTTCTCGAGGGTATTTTAGATGGGGTCAAGGTGTCATGACTTAGGGAGGCCAACTCTCCGCTCTACATTACGTCAATCATTTAGAATAGACAAGATAAAAATAGAAATCTATACTCTGCATTATGAATTAACGGATACTATCTGCTTCCTGTTTCCTCCCCCGCATTGCCCACAAATGATACACGCTGCATTGGCTACTATTTCCAGGTGGCGGTGATCATGTCGTCGATGATCTTGGTCAATTCTTGAGGACGGCTCAGGAAAGGACTGTGGCTGGACTCGATATCCTTGATGTTCCAGTCCACTCCGCTCTTGTCCAACATCATACTCTGAATAGCGGCGGGAAGGCAGTGGTCCTGGGTAGTGCGAACGTATCCGCGTCGACCGCCATTGTAGACCTCCTCCTGCCAGGCTGGAGACAGGCTGGGGGTGGTAAAGGCAGCCTTAGCCTGTGGCTTGAGCATGCCAACAGCCTTGGTGGCCAGGTCACTGGGAACATCGTGGAAAAAGACATCAGTTGGGTTGTCAACGGTGAGTTGGCCGGTAGCATCCTATTAGTATCAATGTTAGAAGAGCCGCAGTATCAATGTATAGAATATCACTTACGTCGACCTTAACGAAGTCGTCAAACTTTCCGCCCAAAGCATTGAAGAGAGAGACTCCCTCCTTGGCCAAGAAAGCAGCAATATAGATCAGGCCAACAACTCCCCCGCTGGAGCCACGATCTTTCTTGTTCAAGCCTGCAGCCGCCACGCTTCCAATGCATCCGCCAAAGGAGTGCATGACTAGAATGACATTCTTTCCATCATCGAGCAGAGGGAGGAGCAACTTTTCACGAACAGCAGCAGCGTTGCTGGCGACGGTCTCATCGTTGGGAGTAGCGGAGTCAACTCCTGGAAGCTGTAGGCATGCAGTTGGGTAGCCGGCCTTCTCAACTTCAGCTAGGAAGTCCTCGTAGTGGGCTGGGGTGTGCCAGGCACCGGGCACCAAGGCAATTGTTGGCTTAGACATGATTATATTGAACGAGAGGTGGGGTTGGGTAGAAAGTGGATTGTATGTTGTTGGAGAATAGAATGTTGTTTCTGTCGCTTGATTGTTGTTTTTGATTGTTGAGTAGAAGGGAATTGATGGGCATACACGCTCGCTTTTATACCATCGCATCCTCTATATGCAGCTGGATATCTAGCACGTACTGAGCCGCTCGATTATCCTTGGACGTTTCATGGTAGATGCCTTCATATCATGCTTCCTTCGGGAAAAGGGGCATCAGCTGCTATGAAGCTACCCGCCAACACGGGGACTAAATTATATATTGCTCCATCTTCCGACCACTCTCCTCGATTGCGCCGATTTGATTTCGAATGTCGCCGTCTGCTGAAGATGAAACTGAGATAGGATGCAGCTACTGGCTAGCGAGTAAGCTCAACCCTGGGCTGAATCGGAATTTAGGTGTTGCTGCAGGTAACTCTTCCGTGCCCTCTGGGGGATCAACCCCCCTGTAAGCAATGCATGAAGATTCATCTATATTTAATTATATTTTGCTATATTAGCAAATGAGAGTCAAGCGGGTAGATTATAAGTTCCAGACGTACCTAGTGATTATAGAGCTGTCCAGAAAAAATATCCGCATTTTTCGGAAGGATTTAAATTGACGTCACGATTGGAGGTTTCAACCAGGTCGGTAATATGAAGCTAAACGATCACCTCAAGCTGTTGCTCGGTTGGTATAAGTATGCATTCGATCTTGTAAGCCAATCGATAGCTAGTTTGGATTTTCTTGTGTCGATATATATATTAATTCTGGGTCGAGGGGTTTTCATTATGCGATCATGGCCTCGCTATACACAAGCTCTGGCCCGATATATCGATCTATGCTCTAAAGTCTAGGTTTTGATGAAAAAAGAATACGGAACGGCTGACATAGCAGACTTGCGTATGATGGGAAAGATCCAAGGGGGTAGACACCAGACGATCCAGCATAGGAACCAGGTAAACCCAACCAGCCTCTTCCATAACGCCGGCTTTCTGTTCTCGGGGGACTTGCCCTGATATTTTTGGCGGGAAAATGATCCGGTGGTGATCCAACGATAGATGGAACACACTATGTCCTCGATAAGAATCCCAACGGCCTGTATCGTAAAGAACATTACTACCCCAGACTCGTGATAAGGAATGTTCTGCATCATGTCTATGGATATATGCATCAACCCCGACACGAGAAAGGTCGCTTGGATTCTGACATATCGTATAAACAGCAATAATGCCTTTGCATCGGGCGAGACCTCGTTCGTGAGTGGTAGGCGCAGGATATTATGAGTGAGAAAAAAGCTATAGTTATCGAAAAGTACCCGGAGTTGTCGGTGCCATACCACACTGTTTTGATAATTAGCAAAGGGCCAACAACGGAATTCCACTGCAAGTATATCACTCATAAGGTCATACCTCCAAAAATTCCTTATAGAGGACAGTTCAGTCAATGGTCCGAAGATAGGTGGCCAGTCCCCAACGCTACTTATACCTAACCCGACGCCCAGTACAGAGACGAGATCGAAGAGTACAGTCAGGTTCAAATAGCCGGCCGCAGCGAATCCGACAATCGATCCCAACGTCTCTCCGAGGTCTTGGCCCGAGAAGTCGCCTTCAATTATGCGAGAGAGTATCTTTTCTTTGCCTGGACCAAATTTGATATTGGCATCCTCCAGCGACTGCGCTGTGATAAAGTCCAAGAGTAAATATCCCAGTATAAACCGAATAGACCGAAACGTGAGAAACCGCCGTTTCGTTACAAGATTCGCCTTTTGACGAGAAATGGCAGAGTAGCCATCAAGACGCCTATCAATGGATGAAAGGTCCAGAAACCACTTTATAGCGTTATAGCATCTCTTGGGCCATGGAAGTGCCACCACCGTCGCGCTCGCCTCCTTATGACGAATTATCCCATTCGCCGAGCCGGAGGAAGAGTCGTCCCTCGATTTATGATGACCAGGATAAGCTACCTTCGAAATGCAGAGCAGGTCAAATATTTCCAGCGCAAGACGGGCACCGTAACCGACCCCGAAGATAAAATTGAGCGGCATCACGGAGGTCGCATGCAGGGCCGTCTGGGAGACGATAATCGTCGGCAGCAGCAGCACCGGAAGCAGCCATGCTCGCAGGTAGGACGTCGGCGGAACGTAGACGAGGACGAGGACGAGGAGGAGATGCGCAGTGAATGCGGACAGGTAGGTGATGAATGTATAGCGCCAGTCCATCCCGGCGGGTTCCTTAACTAGCTTCTCAATTCCCAGCAAATCAACATGCCAGGTACCAATTACCCCTGGAATCGCAGTATTCTTGCAGTGAGCAACCCGAAGAGACCAATTTCAATATATATCGTGTCTATAAAGCAAGAAACAGCTTTGCCAGAGCTCATGTTAGTCAATATTCAGCCAGATTCATCGTTTGGAAGCCGTGCCCCAGCTTCGGAGTTTGAGATACTTACACAAAGACAGTGTATATACTCTGTACAAGGACAGGGAATACAATCACAGCAAAAACAACTTCTATAATCGCTTTCTAAGGAAAGAATTGCGCGGTTCGCGCGATTTAACGTGGCATCGCGGCGGTTGTGTCTAAAATTTTGAATATTTATGTAAAAAACGCCCAATTAGTAACATTTTAAATTTGCGCCTGGCGATCATCCTCAGCTTCACTAGCGAAGCAGTTAAATAGTGCAAATATTCAAGGTCAGGCCTATGCAAGGGAACATGACCATTATCATCGGGCCAGAGAGCTTTACGTTGATAGAGTAAACAACTAACAACAGAGTACTCGACCTTGTCGGCCAATAACCCTGCAGCATGGACAATTCGACGGGAGTAGAAGTGCATATTAACTGATTATCTGATTGGAACAAGAACACGGTTCAAATATCAAATTAACATTAGGACATCTGAATATACCCATTAGCTTAACTAATTCTGCAAGGAGGTTATAGAGAATCAGCCCGCATGGCCACTAGGCGAACAAAACGAGAACTTCTCTCTCCTAACATAACTATCCATTCTGAAGGCCTACACGAATTTATACTCTATACCATCGCACTAGACCTCAGAATTGACCACTCTGCAACAGTCGCCCCAGTCCCGTTGCCCGCTTTCACCTCAGCCGGACCTAATGCCTGGTTGCCCCTGATTAGAAGTGTCGCAAACTTCGTCACAGGCACCGATGACGGTAGGGTTATGTTTGTAGTATTTCCTTTGTAAGTCATGATCATGTTAAGATCTATTGTCATGGCATCGTACGGGTCTGATAGCGGGACCTTTGAGGTTTCCCAGATAGTGACTGTGCCAGGAGGGCTGCTGGCATAAGCGCCATCGAGATCCAACTGTGAGTTCAGCGGTTCATCGTGCAGAACTACTTTCGCGTTAACAGGCGGTGCCTGTGCCCAATCGAACGCGAAGCCACTGATCGAGGCAGAAGAAGCACTCTCGGGTAGTTTGACGGTCAGTGACGAGGTTGAGCTGGCGCGTAACGGCTGCCATTTGGTGGACGCGGCTCCATCAACTGCAGAGATGGGGAATTGTCCAGGAGAGTACTCATTCGGGGAAAAGACAGGTTGACATTGAACAAGGTTGCCAGCTAGCGTTTTTATGGAACCGGATTGGCGATTTGGAATAACCAGCTGTCCATTTGGAGGCAGGGAGTACACGGTAACGTTATTTTCGGGTCCAACATGGACAGTAATGGGCGCATTGGCATACTGCTTATCTGCACTTGATAGAGGACGCCGGTTCGTCGCTCGCTGAACGATAGTCTGACTGTAGTTTGCTGTTGCTTCAATGGGCCAGCCGTGCCAGTAAAATGTTCTATACTTGATATGTGGAATCTGTGGGGGCAAGTTGGGATTCAGATGCAATACCCCATCGGGTATGAGACGTAACCCCAGATACCCAAACACAGCAACTTGATTAGCTCCACCATTCCCTGTCAGGAAGGGGTACGCAGGATGTGTTCCCCCGTTACGCGACCAATCATCAACGAGCTGCTCTGAGAACTGGAAGAATGGGGCTCTAACGTATGGGCTGAATGAGTACTGTCCATACGTATAGGCAGAGCATCCAGACGGGGATACTTCATTCGCAACAATGGAGAATATCGCATAAGTCATTGCAGGGCCGTTGGGCGATTGTTTAGCCGCATACTATTCTCAGTCAGTCTACAGTAACCTAATTAGAAAGAATTTTCAAATGAGGGACATACATAGTCCAAATCCAAGAGAGCATTAACATGGGTATAGTCCTCAGTAAAACGAAGCGGAAAGGTATTTAATACAATGTCTGCTTGCTTAACCTGAGTACTCCCATTCATTGTTGTATATTCCAGGGTAATCTGTGAGCCTGGATCTCTGGAGATGAGGACATTTTGCGCCATGTCGTTCCATGTCTGGTTTTGCTCAAGGCCAAACATCTGTCGAAACATATTGGCGTATACCAGGGTGGATGCAATCAGGGCCATTGTGTAGCCACCCCCATCAATCGAATTCGCGAACTCGTCCTATAATTAGGTTAGCTTTGATTACTCTGGTAATTTCTAACTTGCTGTATCAACTTAACTTACTGGGTCAGTCATGTTGGTAACAGTCCATTTTGTTCCATTCTTCTCCATCAGATCGGCAAAGAAGGTTGCAATAGAATTGTAAACTGGAAAGAGATTCGATTTAAAATTCTCCGTGTCTCCAGTAGTTACCCAATTGTTAACCACTTGCAACCCAATGTCGCCATTCAGATGATATTGATAATCAAAACAGGGCCCAGTAGCGGTGCAATTGGCAAACCGTCCACTCGTCCAGGGATATGCAGCTGCATCCGACGAGAAACTTGTCTGGTTCTTTGAGGAAGTGAACTGCGTCTGAGCGTTTCTCAACGCCTGTCCATATTTATCGGCTCGATAGTTGGAAAATATCTGTGAGGCTTCAGGAAAGGCAACCACAAGGCCTGGCTGCATCCAAATATCTGCATCCCAGAATACAAGTCCACCATATGAATCAGAGGTCAGCCCGCCGACAGAAATGCTTCCACGATTAAGGGGTGCATTCTTTACAGCGGTCAAGGCATTGGAGCTAACTGTTGATTGTAAGAGATAGTAAGGATTCGCGACGGCAACAATGGAAGATTCGATAATATTGTGGTCAAGCGGAAGCCATTTTGTCTCAGGCGCGGTAAAGTCCTCTGTGGAGTCGCTAGGGAACACGGTTGTCCATTCAGCAATGTGAGTCTTCAAGCTCTCTTCATAGCCCGTCCGTAATGCCTTTGACGCGGCCTCCTTCGCAGCTCGCTTAGGGTCTTTAAACCCGTCTGAGGATGCAACACCAACAAATTTATCTATCTTTGTCGTCTGTCCCGCTCGTAGCTTAACGTCCACACTCTGGGCGATAGTCGACCCATTGGCGTGAAGGTAAGGCTTATCAGACACAAGAGACGAGGAAGAAAGATCCACGCCTTCTGTGCCCGTCATCTCTGCATATATGAAGGCGGTGACATTGTTGATACCCTCCGGATTCACGGAGGTATAGATAGCACCCCCGTCTGTGCCTGAGTCTTTAAACTCAGTCCTTACTGCAGAATATCCGTCTAGGACATTTACCACACTCGCGTTTCCATCTCTAGATGGAGTTATCTCCATATGCACAAGAGCTTGATTAACATGCAATTTATGTGCTATCAGCTGATAGAAAATATCAAATGTCCCATTATGCTGTTCTGGGCTCCAAGTATACTGCCATGTGAGGATCCCCCCTTTCATGTCCAAGGTGGAATTGAAGTTTGATATCGTGCTATTCTTCACGGCCGCATCAAGGTAGTTGCCGTCTCCAAGGTCCAAGATCAGGCCAGCCCAATGTGGAACGCCGCTGATGAGATCGCCTCCATATTTGTTTAGCCAGGGGAAGTTTGTGGCATTGATGTTTTGCTGGAAGCTGTAAAAGCCGGATATGGTAGCGAATGTTTGCCTGCGGGAAAATACCGGCCATCCGTTGATTACGTCGCCGGCCACGGGGACGTCCAATTCGAAGAATGGACCAACAGCAGCAACATTAATTCCCAGGTATCCGTTTGCGATGGAGCCTCGAGATTGGTAATGGCCCTGTTCAAGCTCAGCGGTAGTCAACCTCCAGTTCGCAACATCCCAAGTAACGCCCTTGAACTTGGTAGCATATAGAGGTGACTGGCTGCCAGAGCTTCCATTTTTCACTGAATGGGAGGCCGAGTTGCGGGCAAAAACCCCGGCGTTCCGTTCGGCATCCGACTCGGCGAGAGTCGAGGTTGGGGTTGACAGTAACCACAATATACTCCCAAGGAGCTTCTAACGATATCGGTTAGGACCGTACTTAGAGAAATACACCCATGGATAACACAATATACACTCACAAAGTATGGAGATTTCATGTTTGGGAGGCTGCCACCATTTACGGTAGAGGGATCTTGTCGTGTGAATGTTCAATGCAGCAGGAGACACACGGTTTATACCCAACGCCATAAGCTCCAAGGGCAAGGAAACCCCGGAATAGCCACGCACAATGAAATGAGAATGCTACCCTTTATGGTTCAATGATGCAGAGGAAACGGCACAGGAACTGGCGTGCGATTGGGGGAGCCCGTCCCGTCCGAAGCAACGAACCAGGCATTTTCGCTGCTCGGCACCCACAGCCATGACGTTCTTGCGAGGGAGCTGGGCCGGACCAGCTTGAATGACGATCGTAGCATGCTGAAAGCCGGGGAAACGCAAAAAAAGCAAAAGGTAAGCAAGTTGGTGCAACCTCGTATCTGCCGTGGTACTGCATGCTAGAATACCATGGTTGGCAGACAGAAGACGGGCGAGCTGCCATCGCAACATACCGGAGCTCATACGAGGACGGGTTGATATAGGGTAATTAATATCGACATCCCTCCGTCTCGTTCACGGCAACCTGGTGGTGTGTTTGGCTCTATATCAATAGTGACGTAGTTATGGACAAGGAAGATGGCCAAGTCCCGTGACATGCTCGATGTAAACGAGTTCTGGCAAGGCAAGCTGGAGTTATCACGGTCAAAGCCGCGAGAACAGTCATGGCTACGACGTTGTAGGTGAGATTGTCAAGTATATCGCTATCCCGCAGATATTCTGCGCAGGCAAGGTAGGTTCACTATCCTTTATATACATTTTTAAACTAGTTTCAGAGCCGTCGTCGATCTCACGACGGTAAACTATAGATTCACGGTCCAGATGCTGGTTCAGTTCCGTATTCCAGACGTTGGTTGAATATCGCCTGACAGAAGAAGTATCCTTTAAGGAACAATTGAGGAATCCCCTGCGGCGCTTAACCTCCAGGCGTCGCCATTCTTTGGGCTATCCTATCTTGTACTGACCCGGAACCAACAGCCACAAGAAAATCCGGGAGATTAAGCCCCAATCGTATTCCGAGCGTCCAATACTAATGGCCTTGGGCTAATGCACAGCGGCCGGACTCGTTCAAATATCATTGTTGATAAGGATGAATTGTCGGCATTATCGATTGGTAGATGGCAGGATATTGCCGTTAAGAGAGAGCCGCCTGTCTATCGGGTCACTAAGAGAGAATGCTTCGCGCATATAGACCTTGACGAAGAGAATCTCATAGACATCAAGTACTGGAACGACCTGTATGCTGCAGTTCATCAAGGAGACATAACTGAGATGTCGCCTTCTAGATACCCCGCTTGTTTTTCGTACTGCATTCGAATAGACCAGTAGTCACAAATGTTGTAAAACTAGGGATCGACGAAGTGGCCCCTTGGAATGTAATGCCGTGTATATAACGGCAACGGGGTTAGGGCGGAACTCACCCAATTCCGCGGTTCGGTAGTTTCGGCCAATATTTGACAGATAGAGGTAACATGTTGTGCGACAAAAAGTTGGAGGTCACATCCAATCAATCTTCGTCTTCGGTAGCTTGGGCAATCGATGGTCTAGACCTTCCTTGGGACTGTTGGGAGTTTATCGCACGCTCACCGACATGGCATTCACCTGTCCAGTTGGTTTTACAGACGGGGCAGACTTCAGCCTGCTGCAATCGGAAGAAGTTGCGGGTGCAGTTTTGGTGCAGACGTCCGGAGCATTGACGATTCGAGCATCGTTGGCCCTAAAAAATGATCGTAAGTAACAGAACAAGAAAATATAATCTTATCCCAGGCAGATAGAATGCCGGGAGTTCGCACCACAGTAATAATCTCCTTGCACGCAAAACACATCTTGATCTTATCGTTTCGAGGGGTGTCCCGGTCATAGTCGTCTTCGTCCTCCTCGTCATTATACGTTTCGACCAGCCATCCACGCAACTCCATTAGTGCGCGGGGAGTAAGGCTGTAATACGACTGGCGGCTCCTTTCCAGCCAGCCTTCAGCCACTAGTCGTTTCAACATGTCTTCGGCATCCTTCATACTCAATGGTTGGGCTGTACCGCCTTGAGACGTCGCCTCTGACTGTCTGCGAGTATTGTTGGCCGTGACGCGGGCAAGTCGCACAGCTTCGATGGACGAAACCACCATAGCTTCACAGCGAGAGGTATTATTCGATTCGAACATGGCATCTAGCAGGCGCTTGACATATGCAATCTCATCTGCAGTGTACGTGGTAGCGAGCTGCATCAAAGGGTCACTGGTGGAGTTTATGAGAGCGTAGACACGAGACTGTTGCGTTTGGTGGACTGTGCTGCGGATTTCGAGATCGAACCCCGATATTGCTGTGTTCGTTGCAGCTATGTAGGTATTCAGATCCGTTTGGGTGATATCTCCAGGCAGGATTTCCCTCCCCTCTACAATATTTAGAGTCAGGGACCGAGTATTGGCAGCGTCAGTAAAGTAGTGGCATGGTACATACCGCTAACAGTAAAGATGGCAGCAAGGACCGGCTTCGCTTCCTCCAGTGTCATAGTAGACCGCGCCATAAACGCCTGAAGGAATGCGCGGTGGCTGTCATCATATCCGCTGCCATCGCCCGGCATATCGGCGGCTAATTAATTGAAGCTAATGGTCTGTGTTTGTATATTCTAGTGAAATGCAGATAGATAGATGGAGGGGAAGTTCAATTTGGCCAAAAAGCGCGAAAAAAGTAAAGAGAATACGCGTGGTCACGTGTTGTGAAACGCGGTCACACGTGATCTGTATATAAAAACGACCTCAGGGACTTCATCCAGGGGAAGCAGACGAACTCTTCTCCCTATCGTTTTATCTTACTTGACGAAGGCAGATATGGACTGGAGGATGGGTGTCACAGCTGAGATTATGTCTAATATGACTAGATCTCCCACCTCCTTTAGCTATCAAGTAACAGGAGAATTGCGGAGCCCCGTACGGAGTACGGAGTATACTGCTGGCAATTACAAGGACCGAGGAACAATTCTCAATTATCACTGCTGACACAATTGAAAGTTCAGTATATCTCACGGTCCGAGCATGTGGGCAACTTCAGAGCACCGTCGATGGATCAATCAACACAATATAAAACGTTGCATCAATGAGCAAAATATTGGTTTATCCTAGAGCTTGCTTCCAGGAGAGACGTCCTTGAGCCCCAATTTACTCACATCCACGCTAGGCTCAATTCCTGAAATCATCTCCGCCATCACTTTCCCCGTTCCGAGGCAGAGTGAAATACCCCAAGGACCATGCCCCGTTGCCATGAACACTCCGCCGGAGACGCGGGCAGCGCTCCCTGTTATCTCATCCTTGAGACGGGCGACGATGGGTAGCCCAGACTCTATATATGGGCGGAAACAAAGAGATTCCCTAAGCACTTCCAAGTCATCGATGTTCGCTTCCTCTGGATTCTCCTGTGGACGGCCCATTAAGACGCGCGCCGCTTCTCTGACACGCTCGGTTTTGTCCTTCGTCATCAGGGCTTCTGCGTCAGTCGCTACTTCAGGCAGTGGGATGTCCAGCCCATTCAGCCCAGCAAGATATATCTCTGCATTGGCTCGAGCGAAGATTTCTGAGCTAAACCCGCAGGATTGCGGATAAGTTGTGAATACTGCATGACTCTTACCTCCATAGGTTTCCTGCTCGTGATGCAGAGTATGACGTGGGGAGCGGAAGACGAGCGAATACCCAGACAATGCAAGAACCGGGATATGTGCTTTGGACAGCGGGAAGACTGAGCCGAAAGCTCGAGGCGTCCACGGTCCGGCGGCGAACACGAGGTTTGTGCATGGAACGTTTGACCTTATGTGCGACTTGGTATCCTCAATCACCACCTCTGATATCACTCCCGAAGCCGCGTCGTTTAGTGCGGATACAACTCGGGCAGGGTTGTGAATGCGCACACCTCGCTCGATGCATTTTGCAGTCATGAACTGGCATAGCCGCAATGGGTCTCTGTGGGTGTTTCATCTTGATCAGCAGCCTATCTATAGATCGCATGGAGTATTATGCCATGATCACAAAGCCTAGGGTAGGTAGCTTGACTGACATCTGTGCAACGCAGCTATCGTTACTGATCTTCTCTACCGTACCACCATTCTGTTTTGTCAACCATGCAGGCGAAGGATCTTGGCTCTCTGTTACCAGGCTGTCCTTGTCGGTGTCCTTTATAGCGGCTTCAGCCCGACTGGCTCCCCGACGCAGCCAGTCATCACCTCTCGCGGTCTTCTTTCCATCTCGGCCTACCACCTGTAGACTCACGGCGCTTCCTTGCATGTATCCCCATCTCTCTCCTCCGCTATGCTGAGCTGCAAGCTGTCGGTGTAGGTCGAATGATAGGGCACCCAAAGGTTGAAGCTCAGGCGAAAACCAGTCCCTCGCGAGGAACCCTGCTGCTTTGCCAGATGCACACGCAAACAGCTCCGGCGACGAGTCGACGATGTGAATCTCCCGTTGTTGATTGCTCTGTATATCGGGGTCAGAGAGAAAGTAGGCGATGGAAACGCCAATGATCCCACCGCCAACAATAACGGTTGACATGGCTGCTACCCTCGATGTCTACCTCAGGTAGGGTTTTACAAAAAAATTCAAGGGATCCAAGCTTTCCATTTATACTTCATCGCCTTGGGTTATTATGCTATCCCACCATCTACATATGAGTCAGGAATACGCGAGTTGGAGTAAGTAGGATAAAAGTTGGAGTGAAAAGAGTGGAAAATTGCTTGGGAGAGGAGTATGCGGAGAACCACTAAATTTAGGTGCATCTTCGTCCGAGAGGCTTGGGACAGCTTAACTAGATACTTCCACCAAACGCAAGATCTCTCCTACTTGTTGTCTGTCACATAGTGCGCGAACGGGTCTTTCCTCCAGTCCACGTCACGCACGTATTCCATCCCTTCGCTGACCATGTTGCTCACCACCGTCCCATACACAGCTTCGATAAATGCAAAAGTCAAGTCAATACCGGCTGAAACTCCGGATGACGTCCACACATTCCCGTCGGCCACCCACCTCGCCTCAGGAACCCAGTTGACCTTCGGACCGCTTTTGACAACCCTGTTGTACACCTGTTTATTGGTTGTTGCATATCGTCCATCCAGGATCCCCGTCTTCGCGAGGAGCTCAGACCCGGTGCAGACGGTAAGAATGTACTTCAAGCTAGGATACGTGCGCTTGATATATGCAAGTAGCGGGCCAAGGTCCGGAGCCTCGGTTCCAAAGCCGCCAGGGATGAGGAGCACATCGAGCGACGGCGCGGTGTCAAATGTATGCGTTGGCAAGACGGCTTCCCCGAACGAAGAGCCAAACCTGTTTATATTCGGAGATCGAACCTGGGTAGAGACCGGGTCCAGTGTTTCTGCGATGATCGAGAGATTCAGCTTCCGGGTCAAGGAGAGCAGGTTCAATGCGTCAATTGGGCCAAAGACGTCCAGGGCTTGGAATGCAGGGAAGAGCACAACTCCAAAGTTTGCGGGCAGGCCATCATTTGGGGATTGTGGCAGGGGAAGTGATGTATTATCAGGGAAAGCATTGGCAGCGGCTACCAGTGCCCAGAAGGCAGGGTTTAACAAGCGCATATTTTGAGTATATAGAGAAGACCACCAACTTCGCCTGATGGTTAAAACTCCCACTTACCTGCCTTCAAGGAACGCAACCAACGTTTTATATTTACAAATTCTACGATGAACAAACGCCATATACACTGTGGAACAGATCTATCTCAATGATCTTTGTTCCGCGTCGCGCCCATGGACGAATCGCGAAGGCCATTCGTGTGACATGGGGCCCGGAAATCGTTGGTTCGAGCAGAATATCGATGATCAAATTCGCGCTTGTGGTAGATATATCGACGATGGTCCGACTCTCGTCCAACCATATTCCACTCCTACGGATTATCCCACGGAATACGCCGTTTTCAAAGAAAACGCCCATCACATATCGATCCAAGACCATGTCGCTCATTGAGTCATTGTATCACGTACTAAAACCGGTAGCGGGCCTTGCATCGACGTCATAGAAATCCTTACTCCGGCTTATCCTGCAACAGCGATAATATAAATAATCACCATCAATGATATGGCACAGGCTCCTCCGAGATCGATAAATCAATAGCTCCCACATCACCTTGGGCTCTGCTAATAGTGGGCTGAGGCGCGCCCTTGATACGAGGCAAGGTCTATTCGGACTTTACTTATAAATCAAGCACATTCTCAACTAGCTATATATTTAGACGAGTGACCCTTTAAAAAATTATTGTCATCATCATCGTCGTCATCGTTATCGAATTGCGCAGCCTTAATTCGACCAACAAGTGATACCTGAACTATTCTCACGCGAGAAGAAAATGGCAACGCAAAAGGTTACTATCGTGGGTGCTGACGGAAAGCTGGGCCCCTCAGTGCTCGACGAGCTGCTTGCATCTGGCAAGTTTCAGGTATGCGTTTTCAAGCGTGCCTCGTCCAAGTCGAAATCAGAGTATCCTCCATCTGTCCGCGTCGTCCGCGTCTCTGATGATTTCCCTGTCGACGAAGTTGCCGATGCCCTGAAAGGCCAGGATGCTCTCGTGGTAACCATTACCCCCTACCTAACCGAGCTACAAAAGCGTCTAGCAGACGCGGCGGTCAAGGCCGGAGTGAAGCACTTCATTCCTGCAGACTTTGGAAGTTGTGATTCCCAGGACAAGAAGGTCTGCGAGCTGGCTCCTTTATACGGTAGAAAGGCTGATGTACGACAACATCTCCAAGAACTATCGGCTAGCAGTAGGCACGGGTTCTTCTGGACGAGCCTGGTGTGCGGTCATTTCTTCAACGATGATCTCCATTTGAAACATATCTTTTTGGAAGATGGCAGAGCAGATGTTTTTGGTGACGGAGAACTCCGCGCATCCACCAGCACATTGAAGCAAATCGGCAGAGCTACTGCAAAGGTCCTCGAGCTGGGCGCCAGCGAGAAGACGAAGAACAGGGTCCTCTATATCCAGAGCTTCTGTGTGTCACAGAACCAGGTCATTGCTGCTGTTGAGCGTGCCGCTAGCACCAAGCTCAAGGTAGAATCCATTGATGCGCAAAAATTCATGGATAAATGGAAGCCAAAGGCGGACGAGGGTGATCCCGATGGCGCAGAGGAGCTGATTTGGGCTCTCGGCACTTTATACGCAAACTGGGAGGAGAGGGAATTGTCAAATAATCTCCTTGGCCTGTCGGAAGAAGATCTTGATGAAGTGGTGGCCGGAATACTCGGCTAGGCCTACTTAGATATGCAGGAAACGCAAACATGTACAGCCACACGTGAATGAGAGCATCACCCCTCTGAAGAGGTTCTGTTTCAAATAATGTAGGCATTGTCTACGGAATAAAACACAGTAGGGATACACTGCCATCGATATCTTGATGACCTGGTCATTGACTACTTCTGTTACATCGAATAACTCACAACCCAATAACATCACCGAGACATATCCTATCATGTGTACGGCTCCGTATCGGCGTGGGGGGTTAACTGATTAACTAGTTACACAGATTGCGATCCGAACCGATGTGAGCACCTGGCATGTCTCCTCTGATCGAATATTTGCTTATCTCAACCTCGTGCCAGCAAGATCTCAGATCTATGAACATTGCATCTAGGTCCCCCCACTGCTATTCGAAAGCATACAGCTACTTAAATACTTTATATCAGAGGGTTATAGCTTTATCATAATGGCTTCTCGAATCCTTCTCATCTTATCAGATACCCAACCCCGTCCAGGGGCTGAACAGCACCGGTTTTTCCAAGTCATCCTTCCAATTTCTACTCCCATTACTTCCAGTTATAGCGTTCTTTGAAGAACCGGAGAGCATCATATTTATTATGCACACCAAGGGGGAAATCCAACCTCTCCTTACTTCCGAGCCTAGTTCAGAGTATGAGAGGGTACTCGGCAATGCTAAGGTCCTACGAAACATAGAAAACGCTACTATCCCTGAAACTGCCACATATGGTAGAAATATTTCCTGCGGAAATGCCTATGTCCTCGTCCTCTCTCAGATGATCGGTTGCTCGATCTTTGCAACACCCGGGAGCATCGTCCGGTCGGCAGGGAGTGTCGGCGTCACTCTTCTATTATGGATATTCGGTGCATGTATTGCAGCTTGCGATCTTGCTATATATACAGAATATGGATGTATGCTACCTCGTTCCGGCGGCGACAAGGTGTACCTCGAGTTTACGTATCGTCGTCCGAGATTTCTTGCGTCCACCCTATTTGCCATTTCAGCTGTTGCCCTAGGGGTTTCCGCGACGAACTGCATCGTTTTCGGTCAGTATATGTTATTTGCTCTCGGAATGGAGGCAACGGTGGCTGCCCAAAGAGGCTTTGCAGTTGGCCTTCTTCTTGCAGCTTGCATAATTCATGGATACTTCTTAAAGGCCGGCATCCGGATCCAAAACATCCTCGGATGGGTGATAATATTGATTATCGCTTTCATGATATCCACGGGCATCTACGTCATCTTTTTTCAGAAACGTCCAACCATTACCGAATTTCCTGAGCTGTTTTCTTGGGATGGGGTCTGGGAAGGCTCTAACTGGGGATTTGGTGTCCTCGCAACCTCCCTTTTGAAAGTATTTAGCACATTTTCCGGATTATGTACTACGAATGTCGTGCTCAACGAGGTTAAGAACCCGGTCAGGACTCTCAAAGTCGTGGGGCTGTCGGCATTTGTGACTGTCTGCATTCTATATGCGCTCATCAACGTGGCTTATTTTATGGTGGTGCCGATCGAAGATATCAAACGCAGTGGACAATTAGTAGCAGCTTTATTTTTTGAACGTGTGTTTGGGCCAGGATTTGGAAAAACCACCCTTCCTCTCCTTGTCGCAATCTCGGCCGCTGGAAAGGTCATGGTTACGGTCTTCACGTCGGCAAGTAACCCCCCATTCTCCAGCTAATATGGCTTAGCTGACATCTCCAACAGGCACGAGTCAACCAGGAGATAGCAAGACAGGGCTTCCTCCCATTTTCTCGCTACCTTTCGTCATCACAGCCATTCAACACACCGCTGGGGGGCATTATCGTCCACTTAATCCCTACGGTACTCACGATATGGCTACCACCCCCAGGCGATGTATACAATTTTATCCTAGACGTCCAAGGGTACCCTAACGAAATTTTCGGTGTTGCCATTACATTTGGCCTAATATTACTTCGATGGAGACGGCCAGAGCTTCTACGACCATTCAAGACATGGCTTCCGACAGTGTGGTTTCGAATGGCCGTTGGAGCTTCGTTGATCGTTGCCCCTTTCTTCCCTCCCCCCAACGGACAAGGGGATGTTCACTTTTTCTATGCAACTTATGCAATCGTTGGAGCTGGTTTGTAAGGCTTCCTTTGAGCAACTAAATTTCACTGAAGGCTAACTTCGTCCGTAGAATTGTTTTGTCGGTATTATACTGGTGGATCTGGACTATTGTCCTTCCAAATTGGAACGGATATCGACTTGAAGAAGAAGTCGAAATTCTCGATGATGGGACAAGTATTACGAAACTAGTCCACGTCAGCAAACAAACTTGAGGTTTGACACGGAATGTCCTAAGGTCATATCATATTGTTTACTTTGTCGAATATACACCCTTCGCTTAACAACTACCCGTTTTCGGCCCTTCATACCATTTCAGTCCGGCTTTAGGCGCATTTTACATTAACATGATATATGATATGATATAATTATAGATTATAATCTCGTACTTGCAGACCGTACTGCACTTCTCTCTCTGATGAGTTAATACGGAATCGGTAATGTAGCCAGACCACTCGGTAAATGATATGATATTCACCAGATGTATATAACTTGGTAGATGAGTCCCTATTGACTATCATCAAGTCTCAGGGCTCTAGTTGTATACTATTCAATATACTAGTTCTAGTCCTAAGGGGTTATTAAAACAAGCAAGGGACTGACCCAGAACTAGATTATATATTGAGAAGCGTGGTTTATATTGTCTAGCTCAGTGCAAAGATGAGTATACCTGCATATGAATATGTTCAAAGCGAACTAGCCCAGCCTGCCCTGGGTGGGAAGATGGTTATATGTTCACCCTTGCCTGGAGTGTCCCCTGGAGCTGGATGTGTTGTTGCTAGCGAGCCGGAAGTTCCCAGCCCACTAAGGACAACCTGAAATATTTAAACGCTAACATTGTTTATTTTCTTTGATACCACACACATCATCTAAACAAACACCTTCTTGCAGATCAGAAACTGCTCTATAAGCTATCAAGATGGGCAAGACTATCATCCTCACTGGTGCCTCTCGCGGTAAGCTAACTATAGGCCATCGTGAAGCCATCTTCTGCTAAACTAACCTGCCCGCACTTAGGTATCGGCTTAGCTGTTGCTAAGTATCTCTTGCAGGCGCCACAGTCCTGCAACCTGGTGCTTGTAGCCCGCACTGAGGCTCCGCTGCTGGAGCTGAAGGAGAAACATCCAACCCAAGTTCAGGTCCTCTGCGGTGATGTCTCTGACTTCTCTCTTGCCCGCGAGGCGGTTGCCTATGCCCTCAGATCTTATGGCAGACTCGACGGGCTGATCGTCAACCATGGCGTCCTCGCACCCGTTAGCAGACTGGAGCAGTGCGATGTTAAAGAATGGAGCAAGGCATATGATATCAATCTATTCAGCGCTGTGGAATTTGTAGGTTTGACCAATTAACTCTTTTATTCTTACAACGCTAACTACATAAACAGGTGAAGCAATGTATCCCGCACCTCCGTTTGGCCCGCGGACGCGTCGTTTTCACGTCTTCTGGCGCAGCAACAGGACCGGTGAACGGATGGGGAATGTACGGTTCTTCCAAGGCCGCGATGAACCACCTCAACATGACCCTGGCCCACGAGGAGCCTGAAATCATCTCGGTGGCTATCCGCCCAGGAATGGTCGACACCCAGATGCAGCGCGAACTCAGATCTCAGTACATCGACACGCTTGGCCCCAAGGACGGCTCTCGGTTCGTTGCCGCGCACGAGGAAGGGAAGCTGTTGAAGCCAGAACAGCCCGGCACCGTGATTGCAAAGCTGATCCTGAGCGCCCCGCAGGAACTGAGCGGTAAATTTCTAACGTATGTCTCCAAGTCCATTCTCGATTTTCGATTCTTAACTAACCAAATCCGTCGGTAGCTGGAACGACGAGGTCTTGGCCAATTACCAGGCTTGAGATTACACGTTATCTGCATAGACTTGAAGCAATGTCAGCATGTCATACTGGCAAGATGGAAACGTTGGTAGCAAGAAGGGTTCATAAGAAATAGCTCAGTCGAAAGGTTAATGGATACATGTTGTAAGCATTAGATGCAAAGCACCTTAATATTTAGCATGGAGTGGAAGTTTTTTCTTCATTGCAGGTGGGGGGCATAAACATAGATAGCTAGGGACACAACATACCATGAATTAATTAGCATCTAGAAAAGATAAAAAGAACAAGAAAGGCCATGCTAATCCAATCACTCGTCCATCTCCATTTGTGTGAGGTGACCCAAGTCAAGTCTATCGATCACCGTTGCCCTCTCAATATTAACCAGGGCCTAGGTTGTTGTACTACGGTAATAAGCCTATACTTTGCCAGTTAGCATTGCAGTCTTCTCATGTACGTGAAGAGCGCAGTAGGAGGCAGTAGTATTTTTCAGAGGTCCGTTTGGCTAGGACAGGTAAATCACCATAGTAATGTATGATAGGGGCGACAACAAAGTTCATCATGTAGGATAGTGTGCTGATAGCATCGAACTGAGAAGTACATACCATTGTCATTATTGTCCCAGCGAGATGGACACTCGCTAGGACGTTGCAGCCCGAGAGCTGAGGTCGAAGTCGAGTCGAGGTCGAGTTGAAATCGAGTTGTTGAAGAGAAAAGGAATTTTTTCTGTGCCCCAAAAGGGAAAAAAGCTTTTAAATCAACGCGGAAAAACCGGAACCCGGAGATAAGAAATTCCGAAAGCCCTTGCTGAGTCAGCTTCCGATAAAGATCGAAACGATAAAGGAAAAAGGCGAAAGCGTCGCGGATGGTTTGGAAGAATATAGAATAAAGTAAATCTCGAGCTCGCGCACGCCAGGCTGTCTGCTTTCTTCCATCCCGGACCCAGCTGAAGCAATATTGTCGGCCCATACTGCGCGCGTCACAGGCGCTGTTTAACCTGCAACCATGTCTGATAGAGAATTTGGAGGTAGGCACCCGTTGATATTGCCCCTCGGTGGACGAACGCGACTAACTTGCGCCTGCAGGCAACGATGATCTCTCACTTCCGAAAGGTAACTCCCTTTCTCATCCTTGGAGAACTTGGATATCCCATACGCCTGATGCTGTGGACTAGGGCTGCCCTAGCTATGAGTCCTATGGCATATGAGTCTACTTGTCAAGATCTTATAGCTAACGTCATCCTCTTCCCGACAGCCACGGTACAAAAAATAATAACAGAAATCCTACCGCCTTCCTCTGGACAGACCTTTGCGAAAGATGCCCGAGACTTGCTCATAGAATGCTGCGTTGAGTTCATAACGCTGATATCATCCGAGGCAAACGAGATCAGTGAGAAGGAGGCAAAGAAGACAATCGCCTGTGAACATATCGAAAAGGCGCTTACCGACCTGGGGTTTGGGGACTATGTTCCGGATGTCCTTGCCATCGCCGAAGAGCATAAAGAACAGCTAAAGGTACGCCGGGGAAGCTCACCTCTATACCTTTACTCTCGTCGCAGTCACGGGGCAACTGGTTGTTGATACATATTAACATTTACTCTTTACAGACTCGAGAGAAGCGGACAAACAAGATCGACCAGAGCGGCATGTCGCATGAAGAGCTGCTGCAGCTTCAGCAAGAGCTGTTCCGCTCGGCAGGGGAGAAATATAACTCAGGGAGCTGAGTGGTTTCTTCCAGCGGCCCGATAATTGTGTTCACGACCTTTGCCATGATATGGGATGAGTGCTATTGGAGTTTGTCGGCGTAGTCTAGCTTTGGTTTGGGCTTTGTGTGGTTATTTTTTATATTTTGCATTTTAATTGCTTTGCAAGGAGTCGTTGCAGTCATAATTTTGATCCTCCGTTATTATTAGAAGGAGTATTAATTTAATCACCTATTCCTAATACCGTATAAATACTTGACACGCATTATCAAAGCTCTCTTCTTGAGCTTGCACTTTTCGGTTCTTCTCCCTCCAAATTTATTGATATCACGTGACATCGCCATCTTCAAATGTCCAAATGAAGCTGCAAAAGCATCGGACAAGACGATCATAAATCGGGGATATTCCACAGAGCTCCGTTGACTGTTTGCTCTTTTGGCTACCTGAAGCCGGTCGCAAATACGCGACGCCACCGCTATTGCACCGACCATTGAGCACTATCAGCTGTTGAGGATATAATCGCCAGTGCGACGCGGCGAAGAAGCTGCCCACCATGCCGCAGTTTAGCAGCGATAATGTCTTGGTAAGTCGTCGTTAGATATAACAATACCATATTTTCATAGCACCGGCTGTGATCGCTAACATTCTTTTCCCGCCGTATAGCTAATCTCGCCGGGGTCGCAAGTCACCCTCGCGCAGCTTGGGCTGCCAGAATCCTTCACTCCGGCTCGATTTCGGTTTCCGACGCGCATGTTTCCAGCTGCAAAGAAGGGAGAATGGGAACCGCATAAAATACGCGAACGCGTTGTCACCGTTAAGAAAGTTGTAACGCCAAAGCCACCTGCTACGGAGACCGCCGTGCCAACAGGCGATGGGGAGGCCGCAGCAATAGACGTGGACAGCTCGAAGCAGGATGTAGAAATGAAAGACGCATCCGAGGATACGGCCAAAGAACCTGCTACCGAGAAGGATGGCGAAACCCAGGCAGCCGTCGAAGAAAAGGAAGAAATGACCGTGTACGAGGAGGATACCACATCAGACGAAGGCGCGGTGTACGCACTACACAACGGAGCTGTCGAGGACTGGTCATGTTTCTTCGCGCTCCTGACACATATCTACAATACCCTAAGCCCGCCGTTCCATACGCCCATGATAATTATCGCACAGCCAGCTTGGACCGCCGGTGACCGGGAGAGGCTGACCCAGTTCGTGTTTGAGAAGTTCAAGACGCCAGCGTTTTGTTTGATGGACTCTGCGTTGGCTGTTTGCTATGCATACAATACTCCCAATGCTACCGTTATTGATGTCGGACACGGTAAAGCGGACGTCACAGCGGTAACAGACTTTATAGTCAACGAGCACGGACGAGGAATAGCGCTAGAAGGATGCGGCGGCAAAGCACTGACAGACAGACTACTGGAGCTGTTGGGTCCCAAGGGGTTCACGCGTGATATGTGCGAGGAATTAAAAAAGAACCCCATATGCGAGATACTACCGCCCGGGACTCCTTTACCCAAGGATGATGGTCCGGAATCGGCCGGCCATGAACCCACCAAACAGGCCCCCTCCGTAACCCCAGGCATGGGCCCGGACATGCCTCGCAACCTAGGGAATGGTGACAAGGAAGACGACGAGGGCGTGCTGGACGTTGCTACCATCGTCAGCAAGGGCAATGCAAGTGAGTTCCTTGCAAAGCGAGAAAAGGAGAAGGCGGAGAAAGCAGCATCCCGGAAGGCCCAGGCTGCTGAATCTCTAGCTGCCAGACATGCCCGTCTTCCAAATTCAAAGAAGGCCAAAGCCAACTTCCACTACGAAGGGCCGTCTAACCCGGAGGCTGGGAGCTCAGGTGTAGCGCAAGGTGCTAAGCAAAAGAGGGATATAGAGGTCGGCGTGGAACGGCTCCTAGCCGCATCACCACTCGAATCAAGCGCCGACGACCGCTGTGGTTACGGAATTTTGGAGACCCTTGCCGCTCAAATCCATCATACTATCCTCTCTGTTCCCGAGGCATCAAGCCGCAGTGGTCTGTGGGATTCCCTTATCATTCTCGGAAACGGCAGTAAAATAAAAGGTACATCCGTTATTCGTTCCATATAAACGAGAACTTATTGTTAACATTGCACGTTTAGGATTCCCACAAGCACTGCTATCTACCATCACCCAAAGATACGTGCTCTCCCCGTCATCTGGGACTATCTTCACGTCTGAGATACCTTCGACCTTCTCCACCCCACTGGCTACAGGCGCAAACACACCGGCCCAAGCCCAAAACCCAGGTCCTTTCCTCCACCCCGCAGCTCACGGTGTGAACCCTCTACTTGTCGCCGCCACTCACTCAAACAACCCAGCAACGCCCAACCATCTAAACCCCAACGCCGCACTATCAGCCGACCCCAACATGCTAGCCTATCACAAATCTACAGGCCATTCGCAAACACCGACAGGTATCAGACTCCTCAAGCCTCCAGAGTATTTCCCTGAGTGGAAAGAACAAGGTGCAGGCAGCACAGGCGGCCAGCTGGCCGGTGCGAACCCTCCCGCAAACACGGAGACGAACGGTGGGAATTCTGCGACAGGGGTAGCATCCGGCTCCAACAACGTCGGCATGGAAGAAGCAACATTCCTGGGCGCACAGGTAGCTGCCAAGGTGGTGTTCATCGTGGATCAGGGAGCCAGCAAGGGGTATCTCAGCCGGCTTGAGTATAACGAAGTCGGTCCAACGGCGATTCACAAGTATTCTCTATAGTTATGGTTGCTCGCTTCTATGAGCTTGTACTGGTAAAATATGGCTGGAAAGGTGGCTAGGTATAGGCTATCATCGTATCTTAATCTATCCAGTCTCTTCTTTATATCTTCTCATCTTTATATCTTCATCTCATCTATATCCTCATCTCATCTATATCTTCATCTCATCTATATCATCTCTATCGTCTTTATATCGTCTTTACATCTTATTGTATAAGCTAGTCTGCTTTGGGGTTAGGGCGCTTCTTATCGCCCACACTGATAAAGTCTAACTCGATAATTTATTCAAGTCGCAATTCTCATTCTCACAAACGAGATTCAGGTCGCAACAGCTTGCCGGAGCAGTATCGACAGCCGGAAGGGAACTATTCGAGTGCGATTGCTAGCTAGACAGTGTCGCCGGCGGCCACCCAGCTCGCGGGGTCGTGCTTCAAACTATTGCTGCGCCTATCTTATCTTCACACAATCTCTGGGCGCACACCAGAAGAACCATGCCAAAGTCCACCACATCGAGGGCGTCGGGCTCTGAACGGCGGCATATACCCCTAGCAGATGAGATAATGTCTTCTGGCCATCTCCGCACAAAGTCTGGCAAGCGGAAATCTCGATCCGAAGACGACACGCGGGATGACCACTACATCGACTCCAAGGCCTCGAAGAAGATTCTACAGATCGGAAGGGACCTGGCTGACGAGGATGCTGCCGAGACTAGAGCTGCCGCAGAAGCTGCTGGCATAGATATAAAGGCGAAGGCTGCGTTTGACTTTGAATCCCGGTTAGCTGGTGAAGATTTTACATTCGAAGATGAAGAGGATGTGGCCCAGTATGACGATGCGCAGTGGGAGGATGAAGGAGAGGTCGAAGAAGTGGTATGTTCTAGTCGCGGACTTGGACATGATGAAATTCGCGGGTTAAACTGCAGTTTTTGCGACATCTTTTGCTAACAGGTTTGCCTGGAGTAGGAAGTTGACCCGAACGACCTAGATATGTTCCACAAATTCTTACCACGGGGCGAGGAAGACCCTATATTCCACTCAGGGGAGGCAGATGCGGATAGAAATGGAGAGAGCACCAATTTGGCCGACCTGATACTTGAAAAAATTGCGGCACATGAAGCAGGCCAGTCAACAGAACCTCTGGTCCTCGGCGGTGGTGCCCCAGAAGACGCCATAGAAATTCCGGCTAAAGCATTAGAAGTCTATGATAAGTATGTTACTTCATCGATGGGGAGACATGGATACCCAAATGCTAACTTACCTATAGAGTCGGCTACCTCCTTTCCCGGTACAAGTCCGGCCCCCTGCCCAAACCATTTAAAATCCTACCTACCCTACCATACTGGGACGCCTTGCTCTCGGTCACGAAACCCGAAGCGTGGACTGCCAATGCAATCTACGCCGGCACCCGAATATTTATATCCGCGAAGCCACACATCGCCCAGCAGTACATATCCATGGTTCTCTTGGAGCGAGTCCGTGACGATATCAGAGAAACTAAGAAATTACACGTACACATATACAATGCGCTAAAGAAGGCATTGTACAAACCCGCCTGTTTCTTCAAGGGTTTCCTATTCCCGCTCATCGCTAGCGGAACCTGCACATTGCGAGAAGCACAGATAATCTCCAGTGTGATAACGCGCGTGTCGATACCCGTGCTTCACTCCGCTGCCGCACTTCTTCGATTATGTGAAATTTCAGCAGAACAAACTACTTCTTCTTTCAATGCAGAGGGTACAGGCGCCACAAATATGTTCATTCGTGTATTCTTGGACAAGAAATATGCCCTTCCATACAAGGTCATTGACGCTCTTGTGTTCCACTTCCTCCGGTTCCGCGCTACAAAGCCTACTGACGACAGCGGTGATGCAAACATGGACGGCTCAGGGACCTACTCTGCCGCTGCTGCAAGGGACTATAAGCTCCCAGTCCTGTGGCATCAATCTCTCCTTGCCTTTGCCCAGCGTTATCGAAATGATATCACGGAAGACCAGCGTGAAGCATTGCTTGACCTCCTTCTCTCCAACGGACATAAAGATATTGGACCGGAGGTCCGAAGGGAGCTGTTGGCGGGCAGAGGGAGAGGTATAGTCGTACCCGAGGCCGTCGAAAACAACGGGGGCGATGATACCATGGATATGGCCATTTGAATGTACCTGATAAAAATGACAAAATTTACGTTCCGTTTAGCGATTTTTGAAATAAAATATTCCACGTCATTCGCATAGAATTATACCAAGAATAAATCCTTTTTGAATACACTGTGCCGTTTTATTGGTAGGAAAAAAAAACATAGATATCATACACAAGAGCATAAACTCATTCTATCATCTGGCTCAATGCACTCGGTGTATCCGGTGCCCCATCCATAGACGTACTCATGGGAGCACTCGCGACACTTGCCTCCCGTAAATTCGAGGGAGCTGGCGTAGACGCATTCGTGCCGCTGGCTGCATGGATGGCGGGCACGTCTAACCGCCAGCCAGCGCAAAATGCATCCACCTCATCCACGATATCGGCGACTATATCCTCACAAATCTGGTCGTTAAACCTCTCGCCGAAAGGTTTCACGTTCGGAAACTCATCGACAGGCGGGCCGATGAACCAAGGAGCTTCGAATCGACAATCCACTGCTCCGCCATTATGGCAGCTAACCGTAGGATAGTAGCCGATCATGCCATCATCGGCGTTTTCGCGCTCACCTATACCTAGGTTATTGCTGGCCTGTGCAAACCGCGAAGCCGGTGGGAGGAAGGCATATAGATTTTCAAAGGGGGTGCCCATCTTGACTCCATTCTTAAAGATTACTATGCTGGATCCAGGTAACGTTCGAAGGGATGCATCTTCTGCATTTCCGGGAGAAGGAGGGCCATATGTAGGGGTCTCTTTGAGGTTAAAAGCGTAGTCGCGGAGGTGTTTAGAAGCAAAGACGTGGCTTTGCTGGTACATAAAGTCGGACTTCAAGTGAAAAGGGATACGGTCCCGAATAAAATTAACCGGTGCAGGTTGAGGTGCTGGATGGTCTACATCCATTTCATCACCTTCAGCCGGCGGGTCATAAGTCCCTTCGACGACCTTCTTGTGTAGTTCCAGTGGTGGGAGCGTAATCAACATGCCGATTACATCGCCTTCGCAGATAGACTCGTCCTTGGGGAAGAAATATTCGCATCGCATTCGATTCACAACCTCGCCATTGACGTCTCGAATACCGTAGCCATAACAGTCAACGCCAACATTGACATCAAGATCGGCCTCTCGGCGGGCAAACCCGAGTCGTATATTTCCTCGGGATGACGGTCCTGGCTGTGAGCCTCGAATAACCCCGCTCACTACCTTGGCTTCATAGTAGTACGTTCCTTCGCGGGCGCAAACATTGGTTCGGGCAGAGTGCCATGGGTCACTGGTGCTCACCCCACGGCCGTCTTCTGTGAAGGTGATCGAGGCTGGAGAATCCTCAAAGCTGAATCGTGAATAGTATGGAGGAACATCGGTTTGGCGGTATCTAATGTGTGGAAATCCTGGATCTTCAACTGCGTATGTATATCTGAATCCATTCCTATTGCTGACCCTACAACATAACTGTGTTAGCTAGATACTATTGAGGTAGGGTTAAACACGTACTTGTCGGCAATATCATAAAAGTTATACGACCGGCCGAGGACTTCAGAATGCTTTGTAGACGCCAGGTTCATCTGACGTGGCTTCGGGTGCAGCACATCGAATGGGCGAGGGTCGGCAACGGGTATGGGCATGAGCATTGGTAGTTCTAGTGATGGAATCGCGGAACTCGACGAAGAAATCGTCGTCTTTCTCTCGTACGCGCCATCGCCTGTATCCTGGCGTTTGGAATCATGTTTCTTTCTGTTATCTCGTTTCGTTCTCTTTGGCTTCTCTTTCGTCGTCTTCTCAGCGCCGGTCGTCATTTTGGAGAGCGAGGGTGTAGCTCAGGGTGCGACTCGGGGTTGGCTTGGGTAGAAGGAGACACTATCGTAAGGTGATAGCGCGACCAGCATTGTTCCGTCTATCCAGGCGCTAGAGTGTTGCCTGGCATGCGGGAGACATTGCTATAAAACGTTTATCCAAAGCGCAAACAGTTAAAGGTTGAAGCTTTGCAATTCGGAGCTTCAATATCAATTTATATCACGTGATCATATATGGCCGGGGTCAAGCTCGATTAAAGAGTCTACAATCGATAACTACTATACTATACAGTGTATAAATACATGACAGATGTCTTGGGCGTGTTAGAGACGGGTATAATGACAGGCTCATGCTTTGTCTATGCTCTCAAGCATCGCTCCCACGTTTAGAACCATGTCATCGTCTCCAAACTGGCCGATGATTTGCATTCCGGCGGAGCCAGGGAAGGATGCGCCGTCAGACTCTCGTCGCAGGAAGGAAACTGGAACACTCAATGCCGGGAGGCCCGCAAGACTCGAGGGAACAGTAAAAACATCATTGGTGTATGCTTCTGTTGGGGAGGCGTTTTCCAGTGCTTTTATCGTTGGTGGAGAAGAAGGGGTGGTAGGGCAGAGGAGAACGTCGACCTTTCCTTCGGTTTTGATATCCCCCGAGGCTGATCCAGTCTGTAGGAGGGGATTTCGAAGACCGAATACGGAATTAAAGTCTGACTGAACTTGTCTTCTAACCTTCTGGGCCTGGATGAAGTAGTTGTCAATTTTATCCGCACTAAGCGATAATGTTCCCAAAAGTATCCGACGCTTGACTTCAGCTCCGAATCCTTTTCCACGTGTGTTTGCATATAGGTAGTCACCGACGTTGTCTGCCGATTCGATGTCTCTGGTTCCATACCGGACGCCGTCGTACTTTGAAAGGTTTGACGATGCCTCTGCTGGGGCTGAAACGTAATATGCAGACAACGCTTGTTTAGTTGCTGGAAGGGAAACAGGATGGATACTATGGCCTTGTAACTGGAGATGCTGGAGTGTCCGCTGCCATGCAGATCGGATGTCCGCGCTCAATTCGTGAATGTTGTACTCCAAGGGGACTCCTATTCGTAATTGACGTTTGTTCCTTGACGCTTCTTTAACGGCGGTCATGATACGCGACCTAGTGTTCGGGAGTATACTAGTTGGGTCACGGCTGTCGTAACGATTTATCACATCTATCTCAGAGGTTAGCAATCAACAGGTTGCTACTTAATATGTGGAACTCACCAAAAACGCTACGAAGAGTAGCCGTGTCCCTTCCAAATATCCCAACAGTGTCTAGCGAATTTGCATACGCCACCACTCCCCATCTAGAAATCAACCCGTACGAGGGTTTAAATCCAAGAATACCCGTATATGCCGCCGGAAGACGCACGGAGCCACCAGTATCTGTACCTAGAGCCCTATCCTAAATTAGCAATGCACATCTGCATTAAGAGAGAGCTATAGACATACGCATGGCATTGGCTCGTAGCAACGGCAACTGCGCTTCCTCCCGAACTCCCACCAGCCGAATAGTCTTCTGTCGTGGCATTGTTCTTCACAGGACCAAAGTGGGAATGTATTGAATGGGATCTTTATGGACGTTAGTGCTTTGCGTCCCGATGAACCGGCTATATTGAAGAAGCCTACCCCATGCCAAACTCATCTAGATTTGTTTTCCCCGCCACAATGGCGCCTGCATTTTCCAACAATTCCACCACTGTAGCATTGAACGGGCTCGTGAAGTCTTGTAGGATCGCGGATCCGCAGGTCGTGGGCAGCTCGCGGGTACATATATTGTCTTTCACTCCGACGAGTTTACCGTCTAAAGGAGATATCGCATTACCTATAGTAGAATTGAAATAACGTCAGATAAATACGATTGAAAAAGAAGGTCCACTGGTATATATATACCTCTATCCCGTCGCTGGTCCGCGCCTTGGACTCGTTCTCTCCATGACGCAGAGCGCTCAAGTGGAGTGATAAAAGCATTCAAATTCGCATATGTCTTCTGATTAAGTAGACATTTCTCAGCTTCGCGCAGGAAGGACATTTATCCTCCTCCTCTTAAATACGTTATAAAATGGTTGATGATGATAAAAGTTGACGGCAGGGTTGAGCACATAGCTATGTCATCACGTGATATTTGTTCTCGTTGTAGGACGGAAGGACAGAGAGTAAAAGGGATAAATGTAGAAATCACCGTGTGCATAATCAAACTATAATATATAATCTCGAGTTAGATGAATGAAACTGATATCTAAAGCCGCTGTAAAGGAAATATCTCAGGAATGCCTTTCTCCAGCCCATGCATCCGATCGCCCAACTCCAAGCGTATAAATGATAAAACAATGCAAGGAGGAACGTAAATCCGTACAATCGTAACATTAAAACGGGGGCGAGCCATTACCCTCTCAACGCCCTCAGCCTACCGGCCAACCCGTCCTCAAAGTCTGCCTCCTTCTGCTTCCCGCTGCTCACAGCAGTAAGCTCTTCTCGCGGCGCCGCGTGCTCCTCCAGGCCCTGTCGCAAATCGACACCCGCACTGTCTGCCAGCCGTTCCATCAGGCGATCAACGTCTTCATCGCCCTCAGCCCCATACTCCTGCATCTGCACATCCTTAGACACCCCCTCAAGCGCAGACCCCGCAAGCTTAAAGTCCTCCGATCGAGAGACGAATTGGTTGGCAACGGCAAGAGTGCGTTCAAGGTTTATGCTTCTAGAGGCCGTGTCGAGTGCTTTGGATGCCTTCATAAGAGAGCGTGTGGAATCGCGTGTGCTTTTGGCGGCCGACAGATCACTGTATATGACATCTGCCTCCGCAGATTTAGAGAGGAGCGTGACGGAGCGACGTTTCTCCCGAATGGCAGAACTGGCATGGATGCGAGAGATCTGGAACTGGCCCTTCTTCATGGCTTTTGTAGCTTTGTCTTCCTGTGCGCGGGCGGAGGCTTCTGCCTTGGCTGCCTGTTTGCGCAGTTGGTTGCCGTTGACCTGGATATCGTTAGCCGTGGCCCAGGGGACGACTCTCCATGAGCTGATAAGAGAACTAGACCTGGACCTACCTTGACTTCGGCCATGGCCTCGAGTAGGGGGTCTCGCATGCCCATTTTTAGACTGTCCCTAGTTGTCTCTAGAACCTTGTAATCCGTCTAGAAATGTATAGGTGGTGAGTAAGGAATCGTGACCGTACGTATATAGCTTCACCACGGCAGAATCACAGGTAAAAGTGCAGGGTATCCTGGGTATTAGATGTCTATATCCGTGATTCTATCTTGCTCCCTTTCTGCTTCCGCCGTGAAGTCTCCCCGCCAGGCTTCAACTACGTAATCATCACATGACATAAAAAGTCATGTGATATTATTTCCCATCGGACCGAGGATCTTCCGTTATTCCGTAAATGGCACCTTGATCTCACTCTCGAAGATGCAGCCTGAATTACAGTGCATGAGAATACATATCTCTGCCTCATAAGAAGCCAATGTGAATCAGTTCAATCTTCCAGTTACGAGCTCAGGGGCATCTCCCTCTTACGGTTGATTCCCACTTCAAAACAAGAGCTCATAATCGAGCATCAATAAGGGTCAACATCCTCTCGTATTCATCGGGTCACCACCACGACGACAGCATGATATGCCTCTATATCAATAAGATGCTAGCCATTAGCTACATACTGTCAAGTATGTATTGGTCGCGGATCGTCGCTGACAAGGAGCCTTGCTTAAATATAGCAGCATTCCAAACGACCTTCTCGTGCTGCGGTGCTATGTATAGCATCACGGGCGGAGATACCCCACTTGAGCCCCATGGCCATTTCGTATTTGATATTGGAATATCGCATGTTGAGCCGCGTCAGGAGAGAAGAAGCTCCGAACACGATTATACCCAAGTCTATAAAGAGACGATGTCTGGCTTCTACGAGGTGCTATCAAGAATACACTCGTCTATCTATTGATTCATTCATTCATTCACCTGTTCACTTTATCAACCATTCAGTCAGCCGCTCCTTAACTTATAAACAGAATGAAATTCACCCTCTTCGCCGCAGCGTCCCTGCTGGCGACTGCTGCCGTAGCAGCCGGCGATGCCTGGGAAGCCCGCCATGGCCTCACTGCCTCCCGCTACCAGGAGACCTTCAACAACTTGACCGCCGCCGGTTACCGACTTGACTATGTCACCGGCTATGCAGACCTAAATGGCGAGGCACGATACAATGCCATCTTCGACAAACCTGCTTCTCCCAGTAAAGTCGCCTGGGTGGCCAACCACGGCGTCACTCGCGAGAAGTACTCCGCTGCCTTCAAGGATCTAAAGGATAAGGGATACCGTCCTCTCCATGTCCAGGGGTACAACGTCGGCAAAGATTCGACCTTGGGCAAGGATAGACGTTACGCCAGTATCTGGGAGAAGAACACCCCTGCAGTGGCCTGGGAGGAACGAACGGACGTGTCTGGCGAGAAGTTCACAGAGCTCTTCCACCAGCTGGTTGACAAGGGCTACCGTCTTAGAAGCATCAGCGGATATGCGATCGGTGCTGAACAGCGGTTCGCCGGTGTATTTGAGAAGACCGCTGGGCCTACGTGGAAGGCATATGCCGGTATGAGCAGCGATGGGTACCAGACCAGATTCAACGAGATGAAGAAGGATGGCCTCTACCCTGTGCAGATCAGCCCGTACACCGCTGGCGGGAAGGTCTGGTATGCCGGTATCTGGGAGAAGATTGACGACAAGGCAGCTAAACCTTATACGCGATACGGACTGACGGGATCAGAGTACCAGGCTGTGTTTGATGAGTGGAAGGGCAAGGGATACAAGCCGACTGTTGTTGCGGGATATATTGATGGCAAGACCGTGAAGTATGCTGCCATTTTCAATAAATATAAATAGATCACATAACCTGGCCCACAACATATTGTACATAATGTCTACACAATACATGTCTACTCAATGCATTTTGTGTACAGAGTAAATGGGCTTGTCACCAAATGTGATACAGATATAGTCTTGGATGCAATTTACATGAGGACATAATAGCCTAGTAGGGACTGCCTGGATTTTATTTTCCAAATGGAGAAATGACATCAAAGGACAACCAGCAGAACCAGGCAGAGAACATATACCATCCATAGCTAGCAGTTGATCTGATAAAAGCTACGGTCAGAGAAGGCATGTCGTCGTTTATGGATGATTCGATGATAGGCCGCTGGCTTTCTGATCTACCCATGGACGACCCGACTCGCAAGTCAACATCGAAACCCCAGATACGCCGTCTTATCCACCATGACAAGCCAGTTCGCTATCTACGGTGTCTCGGCGGAGGCACAGAAGGCGACGTCTATCTAGTCGAGATTTAAGGGCACGAATATGCTATTAAGGTGGTAAGTATCATATATCCCCATGGTTCAATCCATTTTTATTCATGGCTCTTGAAGTTCAAGCCATGGAGATTCGATGCCCCAAGGTCAATCAGTGTCCGCCTCAAGGAACGAGAAACCCTCGACCATGTTCCAGAAATACAGCGGAAAATGAAGGTTGCTCGTAAAGCACTTCTGTTCCCAGGCGATGCCCAGCCGAGAAACTATCGTGGCTCGTTCCTTGTTGACCTTGGGCGTGTCAAGACACATCCTTACCCGCGGGCTCTGTGGTCAAAGGAGAGGTATCAGAAGTACTTTAAGTGCTTTGATAAAGAGACTAGCGAATGGGTGGAGTGTGTGAGGGACGGTGAAGTCATTGACGGAGAGCAAAATGAATATCTTACAAAGTGCCTTATAAATAGCATTGCCTTGAGGGAAGAACGCGGAAGACACGCAGAGGCTGAAGATCTACGCAGCATGCTTAGAAGGGTACGTAGGTGTATTTCTTCTAGAATATCTCTGGATAGAAAAATGGCTAACTTTATAAAGGCACAAGAGCGCCTGGAGGAGAGACAGAGAGCCAGAGCGAGTGAGACGATGGAATCAGAATCGCAAAAGGTAGAAAACCAGTCCCACGATTAGCTTTCGATATAACAGTAGCTTATATAATGGTCAGAGGGAAACTGTTAAAGGAAACTGGGAGGTCTTGGAAGAGATGATGGTAGATGGATGTATTGAACTAATCCTAAATAACGACACACTAATACTCCATGCACCCCGAACGCCGCGACCGAGAAAGTGACCCCCGCTTCTTCCGTTGCTGTTGACTGACCCCGATGACCTTCCTCGGGCGGTCCCTCATGGACCTGCTGCTGCCACCGCTCTTCCCCCTTGCTGCCGTCTTCCCGGCCCGATCAATGGCAAAGATGATGGTAACCAACGATTCCCACCGTCGTCTCGACTCAGCGCTCGACTGACCTGACCGAGAAGATCCGAGCATAGTACCTTCACTCAGCGCCAGCTGCAATTCCCTGCTCGTCGCATCTCTCAAGGGACGCGCCAAAGCTGGGCTGCAAGCTAGAAGCCGGGAGAGGAGTCTGCTCCGGAAAACCGATCGAGTCGTCGAACTCGTTGTCGATGTGTTGTTGTTGTTGTTGGTGGTGGAGTTGTTGTTGTTCGTCGGGACCGAGATCAACCAGAGAATCAAAGGTAAAAGGGCCGAGATCTGAGCCGGGGAGAAGGTCAAGGGAGAGCCCGTCTTCAAGGAAAGAAAGATCAGGCTCGCTGGCTGAATCAGCGTCGAATAAGCGGCTGAGGTCAGCGTCTGATAGAGGGGGAGGGTGAACATGATCATGTTCATGAAGGAGAGGTAGGTCGAGGTTGAGGCTGACGTCGAAGTCATCCAGGCCGGGGCCTCCGATTGACACTGCAGGTCGCACAACACCGCTGCAGGATGTTGTGTCATATCGGAGGCGGAGGCGGAGGAGTGTTCGAAGCCAGTCGAGGGAAGGGCCAGGACAGAGGGTGAGAAGCTCTGGGCGTTGGCGGAGGTATTGATGGTGGAAGTTGGGGTGATGATGGCGGCGTTGGAGTGGTCTGAGGTGGTGAAGGGGATGCTATCCATCTTGTCGACCGATAGCAGGTCATTTTCCTGCTTGAACAGTACGGGAGCGAGGGTGGGCGATGTCGAGGCGGCGTTGACTGCACTACCTGAGGCAGAGTTGTTTGAAGGGCTTCCGGGTCTCGACTTGGACGTCTGTATCTCTGACGCGAGCTTCGCCACCTGCTGGTTGAGCCGGTTGTTCTCCTCTTCCATCTGTGAGAGACGGCGGAGGAGGAACTCGTTTTGCTGCTCGATCTTGAGCTTCTCGCCCTCGAGCTTCTCGATCTCCAGCCGCTTGCGCTCCCGGGAGATCTGGGCGGCCGCTCGGTTGCGCAGGACACGCTCTATCCGCCGCTGTTCCTTTTCGTCTTCCGTCTTTGCTCGTTTTCTGCATTTATTAGTAAACATCTTGAAAGTGTCGACATAAAAAGAGAAGCTCACCTGGGAGGGAGGTTGGTCTTTGGGGTAGGCAGCTCCTGGCCCCACGACTTGCGCTTCTTGACCGGCTTCTTCTCAGCGGGCTTGGGGCCGTCGACCTTGGCCATCTCGACGTCCGCGGCGACGTCCTCGAACTTGAGGGTGGTGTCTGCCGGCGATATGGTCAGGCGAGGGATCTCGGGAGCGGGTGAGGGTGACATCGAGTCCATGAAGGGCGACTCGACGGCGAACGCTGACTCTGCCATCTTATCTCTTATCGTCTATCTGTGTGTCTATCTGTATGTCGATGTGCAATGTGCAAGTGCAAGTGCAGTGGTGTCAGGGGACGAGCATGATGGATGCCTGCTCCGTGGCGGGAGGCGAAGAAGTTGAAGCCAGCCTGGTCTCTTCTCTCTCGTCTATCTTTGTCTCTGTCTCCAGATCAGGCCGGGACAGGGCGCTTTATAAGAGGCCACCGTGGCCAGAAAGGGGAAGAGCGTCACGTGTAGTGACTAAGCATGCTGACTCACACCTTCGCCACCCTACTGCCTTTTATGGTTAGTCTCAATGAGTCAGCCTGCACGTGCGTTTCACCTAGTGCCAAGGACCCGCTTAGTCACGTTACATCGGCCCCAGCTCGCACATACACATAACATAACATAACATATATAACATAACATATAACATATAACATATAACGGAGTACAGACAAAAGAAGGAACAAATAATAGGTGACACAGGAGAAGGGGATAGGAGAGGTAAGGAGACCAATAAGTGGGGAGCCCGCTTCTACACCGTCGCGGATCAGGGCGGGCACTCGCACAAGGGCTGCGGTGGATGGCCTGTCTTACTCTCTGTCTTGCTTACTGGCCACACCGAGTTACCCAGTTACGGAGCGGAGTAGCGAACTGCAACATTCGCAGATTACGCATGCGCAGCTGGATGGAGTCGGCGCGGATGGGCGGAGGAGGGAGAGCCACGAAGGTAGCCTCGCTTCTCGTAGTCTATACCGAGTATGGTTACGGAGTAGACTGATGCGAGAGATGTGAGATGCTTGCATGGCGGATCAGGGGCTGGTCCTTGGCCTGGGGTAGACCCCTGTGTGATTTCACTTTTTGGCCCGCCGTTTGCCTCTCCTTCTCCCTTCTTCTCCCTGTTTCTTCACCTTCTCGTTCCTGGATATCGGCGGGAGATGGTCGCTCCACCCCAACGCCGCCCTCCATCGCCACGCCGCCCGGTCTCGCCTCGTATAACAGTAATAGAGATTAGAGCGTAGAACCGGTAGAGTGCGTTGGACACCGAGTACTTGGTGGGTTGAACGCCGCAGGTACGGCGTAGCAGCTTGATATTCTGAGTGACACCGTATCTGAGACCGTCTTCTCGGAGACCATCACATTATCAGTCGTTGTCATAGTACTTGCTAAATGCATTATTAAGATACTATCTCATAGGTCAACCTAGATGGTATGGTTAGCTAGTGGTCAGAATGCTGCATGGTTGAACCTCTGTTGAAGATCTGGTACTTTGCCTGACCGTCCCTTGGAAACATACCAGTCCAACGCCCACAGGACACCTCGTCTCTTAACCCAGGAGTCATGCCAGAGTCAGCCAAAGCCATGTACAAAGTCGTGTATCGACTTTGGAGTGGTGATGTCGACTGACGTCCAGAGTCGTCGTTGTAGTGTAGAGCTGTGCCGAGGCCCACGACGTCATCCCGCCAGGACAAACACTTCGACTCTCATGTTTACGCATCAACTAACAAGCAAGCACAACCACTACTGCAATAGATAACGTGAAGCTCGACCTAGCCGACCATAGACTGACATTGGTCCAATTCTGCAGCATGGCGGCTCCGCGAGCTCCCAGCATCCTCGTACAGTGCTGTCGTCAGCCACGGCTCACACCCAGACTCTCCCTCGACAGACGGCGATACATCTCTGCATACGGATACACCCAGGCCAAAGCCCTCGTCTTTCCCAAATACGGAGAGCCCAAGGATGTCCTAAAGTAGCTATTCTCCGTTCTATTCAAGTGCTTCGACGAGTCTATGCTGATTCTCACCTTCTCTCTAGTCTACATGCACATTCAATCTCTCCTCCCAACGGCACCCAATGCACCCTCCGCCTACTCGCCGCCCCGCTCAATCCGGCGGACTTTAACCAGATCCAAGGCGTCTACCCGACAAAACCCACCTTTCTCACCACCTTAGGCACAATCGACCCTCATGCCGTCGCCGGAAATGAGGGAGCCTTCGAGGTCCTATCCACCGGTTCGGGCGTGAAATCTCTCCGCAAGGGCGACTGGGTCATCATGAAACATTCGGGAATGGGCACATGGAGGACCCATGCCCAGTTCGACGAGTCACAGCTGATAAAGGTCGAGGAACAGGACCGTGAAGGTCTAACGCCCATCCAGGCTGGTACCGTCAGCGTCAACCCCGTCACGGCCTACCGGATGATCAAAGATTTCTGCGAATGGGACTGGCTGCGTGGCGGCGAGGAATGGCTGATTCAGAACGGTGCGAACTCGGGCGTGGGTCGAGCCGCGATTCAGATTGCAAAACAGTGGAATATAAAGACCCTAAACGTCATCAGGGAGCGTGAGACGGCCGAGGAGACAGAGAAGTTGAAGAACGAGCTGCTCTCCCTTGGCGCCACGGCCGTTATCACCGAATCAGACCTCCTGTCGTCTGCTAAATTCAAAGATACCGTCCAGCAGCTGACGCGTGGAGGCAGGGAGCCCATCCGCCTGGCCCTCAATTGCGTTGGAGGGAAGAATGCGGCTGCACTTGCCAAGGTACTCGCTCCCAACTCCCGACACGTCACGTACGGTGCCATGGCGAAACAGCCAACCGCCCTACCTGCAGGGCTTATGATCTTTAACAATATTGCCTTCCACGGCTTCTGGGTGTCGAGGTGGAGTGATGATAACCCGGCGTTGAAGCAAGAGACTATTCGCGATATCTTCCGTTTAACCAGGGACGGCAGGTTTAAGGATATCCCTGTGCAGGAGGTGAAGTGGACGAGGGATACGCCCAAGGAAGAGCTCATCGACTGTGTGCAGGGTACGCTGGGAGGCTACAGGAGTGGAAAGGGGGTGTTTGTCTACAACGGTGAGTAGGATTTACACCTCTATCTCCTTTTTTATATACCAAAATGTACAATATAGCGCACTATATGTAGTAACAAAACTTCCCTACACGCATCAGATGACTAGACATCATCACGTGGCAGCCTGTGTATAAGCCGAAGTCGAGACGTCCAACGTAAACAAACATCAAATAAAGATACCAGCTTGTTTATCGAGAGTCCTCATGCTTGAAAACGTTGCGTTTGCCCTGCTTGGGCTGGCCGGGGTTGCGTTTGGTTCACAGCCTGAAGCTCCAGATCCCATTCCGGCGCCGTTGAGGGACTTGACATGGGGTCAGCTCAACTTCCTCCATACCACCGACGTCCACGGCTGGTATTCAGGCCATCTACAGGAGTGAGATAAAAACCCTTCCTGACCAGTCTCCGGTAAACCCCCCCCGTCTGAGTATCTGCTGAACAGGGGGCTTGGAACAGACCATCATACTCCGCTGATTGGGGCGATTATGTGTCGTTCGCGACGCGCATGCGGGAAAGGGCTGAAGCAGCCGGAACTGACCTCCTGGTAATTGATACTGGAGATAGAGTAGAAGGGAATGGGCTTTATGACAGCTCTGAACCAAAGGGAGCGTATTCTTCCAAGTTCCTGCAGAAGCAACATATAGACTTGCTCTGCACGGGGAACCATGAGCTCTACAAGAAGAACACTTCTGAGGCCGAGTTTCTTACCACTGTTCCCAACTTCAAGGGCAAATATCTTGCCTCAAACGTTGACATCACTGATCCGGACTCTGGTGATCTCGTCCCGCTTGCTCCGCGATTTAAAAAGTTTACTACCAAGGTACAAGGAATTCGAATCATGGCGTTTGGGTTCTTGTTTGATTTTACCGGCAATTACAACAACACCGTTGTAACGACTGTCGAGGAGACGATCAAGCAAGACTGGTTCCAAGAGGCGATCAGAGACAGAGAAGTTGACCTCTTCCTCGTTCTTGGCCATGTCCCGGCTAAGTCGAAGGAATATAATGCCATCTTCACATCGATCCGATCAGCACAATGGGACACGCCAATCCACTTCTTCGCTGGCCATTACCATATTCGCGACTACGTGAAATATGACGACAAAGCATACAGCCTCGCCAGTGGGCGGTTCATGGAAACTATTGGCTTCGCGTCTGTGAGCGGGTTGAACACGACCAAGAAGCAGACTGCCACACAAAGTTCACCTTCGTTCAGTCGCAGATACATCGACAGTAACCTATACTCATTCTACCACCATTCCGGCCTTGACGAGGCGACCTTCCACACGCCCAGGGGGAGAGAAGTTACTGAATCCATCCGCAAAGCCAGAAGTACCCTCAAGCTAGACCACATCTACGGTTGTGCTCCCAGGACGCTTTGGATGTCACGGTCCAAGTATCCGTCCGAGGACAATATTTTCACCTGGCTCGAGAAGGAGGCGTTACCTGACTCGCTCAGGTCCGGACTCCGCGAGAACACCACCGCCCTTGCCATCGTCAACACCGGCGGCATCCGCTTTGACATCTTCAAAGGCCCGTTCACTCAGGATAGCGCATACATCTTGTCTCCCTTTATAAACGAGTTTCGATATATGAAAGACGTGCCGTACGACAAGGCAGTTAAAGTATTACAGATCCTCAACAAGGCGCCTAGCATTTTAACACAGGCAGCAGGCACACCTATGGCCTCTTCGTTCCTTTGCCCGCCTGAACAACTATCTAGAGATGAGGATTTTGTTGTGGAGGAGGCTGAAACTGCGACTCTGCTGCCTGACGACGACCAGAGCCCACTCGGAGGAGGTGAAACGCCAGGACTGATACCTGGATATACCACCAAGGACGACGCCGGCACCGACGGCGATGACACGGTCCATGCACCCATCTCCTTCTACCGAATGCCGAACTGTATCATGTCGTCGATATCAGAGGGCGACTCTGCGACGCCGGCCGAGGTCGACCTGCTATACCTCGACTTCCTCGAGCCCTGGATGACCGTCGCGACCAAGATTGCGGGCATCGACTTCGACCCCAAGGAGGCAGAGGCGTTCATGCCGGGCGTGCAGATGAGGACCATGATCACGGAGTGGGCGACGCAGAACTGGAAGTGTCCCAGCCTTAGACATACCTAGATATTACCTATATTCTCTTCTCTCTTCCCCTTCTATATTCTCTCTACTTATATTCTCTTCTTCCTTTATACTGTAGTTGCCCTTGGATCTGTAGGTGTTGCTTAGTCATACCATTAGTCAGCTCAACAAAGCAGAGTTAGCGTCAAACGGTCAACAAAAAAGGCGGATGGGCTTCATCTCCAACTTCACATCTTGAACCGCCGGACGACCGACTCTCCTGCACCTCCGCGAGACCGCTGCCACCGTCAATTGCACTCTCCTGCCAGCAGAGACCACCCGGCACCCTCACGCCCTCCTCTCCTCCCCCGATTCACCGCACAGCCTTCGCAATGGCGGCTCCCAGAATACTACGGCCGGCCTCCCGACTGCTGGCCTCGCGCTTTGCCCCAGCAGCCCGCTACTCGGCCTTCCAGCCCGCAGTCTTCTCGCAGTCTGCTGTCCAGAGACGCACATATGCCAGCCCTAGCGGCGTGAAGGAGATGACCGTGCGAGATGCGCTCAATGAGGCGTTGGCGGAGGAGTTGGCCGGAAACGAGAAGGTCTTCGTCCTCGGAGAGGAGGTGGCACAATATAACGGAGCGTGAGTATCTCGACAGCTATCCGCTCCCAATTGGTCTCGGAGACCGTGTTCCTTGGGTCGAGTCCGCTAATCACAATGTCGTCCTCTAGCTACAAGGTGACCAAGGGCCTCCTCGACCGTTTCGGCGACCGTCGAGTTATCGATACTCCTATCACCGAGCAAGGTTTCTGCGGTCTCGCCGTGGGAGCTGCTTTGGCCGGTCTACACCCAGTGGTGCGTAGTAATTCCGTCTACCTATATTCTCGCGTCTCGTGCTAACCACTCCGCTACTCCCGGTACAGTGCGAGTTCATGACCTTCAACTTCGCCATGCAAGCCATCGACCAGATCGTCAACTCTGCCGCTAAGACCCACTACATGTCTGGTGGTATCCAGCCCTGCAACATCACATTCAGAGGACCCAACGGTTTCGCTGCTGGTGTTGCTGCCCAGCACTCCCAAGATTACTCCGCCTGGTACGGAAGCATACCTGGCTTGAAGGTTGCTACTCCATGGAGCGCCGAGGACGCCAAGGGTCTTTTGAAAGCTGCCATCCGTGACCCTAACCCGGTTGTCTTCCTCGAGAATGAGTAAGTTGGCCCATACTGGCAATCTGTCTTCCACTTGCTAATACATGACTACAAGGCTGCTGTACGGACAATCTTTCCCCATGAGCGAAGCTGCGCAGAAGGACGACTTCGTTATCCCACTTGGAAAGGCCAAGATTGAGCGCCCCGGAAAGGACCTCACCATCGTCACTCTCTCCCGATGCGTGGGCCTGTCCCTGCAGGCTGCCGCCCAGTTGAAGTCCAAGTACGGTGTTGAAGCTGAAGTCATCAACCTTCGATCCGTCAAGCCACTCGACGTCGAGGCCATCATCAAATCCGTCAAGAAGACCGGCCACTTGATGGCCGTTGAGTCCGGATTCCCCATGTTCGGTGTCTCGTCCGAGATCCTCGCCCTCGCCATGGAGTACGGCTTCGACTATCTCCACGCCCCTGCCATCCGTGTCACCGGTGCTGAGGTGCCAACCCCATACGCCGAGAAGCTGGAGATCATGAGTTTCCCACAGGAGGACACCATCCTGGCCCAGGCCACCAAGCTCCTTCGACTATAGACACCTATATTAAATCCGTCACCTATATTAAATCCGTCACCTGTCTATAACCCTCCCTTTTTTTCGTCTCCCGCTCCGTGCAGCGCTTGATCCAACTTGCACCCGCTCCTCCGCCTCACCTCGGTTTCCTCTTGCAGCTATTCTACCCAGATTTCTTCCTCCCATTGTCTTTTTATCCCTTTTTTTTACCTGCCTTTGTGTAATTTTACGCTACATGACGATATATAGCGCCCACACTTGTACTATTCGTGTTTCTCCTTTGTGTATGTGTGTGTTGGCGCCTTGTCTTTGGATCCGCTCGAGATAAACAAAAATACTACCTGCAGCTGCTTATCCTGACTGGTAGTTACTTCTCTCCACTTCATCGTACGCTATACTTCTAGCTCGTCCTTTTTTAATATTCTTGCCAGTTCCCCACAAAACTAAATATATAAGCACCCACCCGTCGATCTTAGTCTCCTCCTCTACCGATAATACCGAAATGTATCCCGTGCATTGATGCATCTTCTCATCATGCGGCAATTGGGCTGGGATCAGAACGGTGATCATGGGTACATAAATCGATAAACGGCTCAGATGATATTCGATCGGCGGGGTCTACTCGTGCGACTGAAAGTAAGGGACGCCCATTCTCGTGCGACGGGAAGATATACAGTTATGTATACAGTCGATATATAAAGTAGGGCACTGCTCTCTTTTAGCCGTGATGAGGTTTTATACTCCTAGGAATTGCTCTGCAGACACTAGGTTCATACAGCACAGCTTGTGGGAAGCCAAGGAACTCAATATATTGATACGAACATGGCCAAAATAGAGTGGCTTGTTCTGCTCCCTGTCCGGTCGTCTTCGTCGTCTTCGACATATCTTGCCCTGGTCCTCGCACTGTGGACGGCACTGCTTCATATCGTGTCCGCCGCTGCGATGCCTAACCTGTCGATGAAGATTCCCCGGGTCGGCAACCCAGTGATTGATGGCTGGTACGCTGACCCTGAAGCCCGCATCTTCGGCCACAAGTACTACATCTACCCCACGGTGTCCACGGTGTATGAGAACCAGACGTACTTCGAGGCGTTCTCATCGCCTGATTTGAAATCATGGACCAGCCTGGGGAAGGCCTTGGACTTCAAGGACGTTTCCTGGAGCACGAACAGGGCGGCATGGGCTCCATCTGTCGCCTTTAAAGATGGGTCGTATTACATGTATTTCTCTGCCGGAGATGGCGCGGGGCTTGGAGTTGCACGATCAAGCTCTCCGGAGGGCCCGTTTAAGGATGCACTGGGGAAGCCGTTGATATCGGAATCGTACTTTGGCGCGCAGCCTATTGATGCTGATATTTTCATTGACGATGATGGGAGGAACTACCTCTATTATGGCGGACATAGTCATGGCGTCGTTGTTGAGCTAAACGATGATATGATATCGTTAAAGGGGGAGGTCAAGGAGATCACGCCCAAGGAGTATGTCGAGGGACCATGGATGTTGAAACGCAAGGGGATATACTATTACATGTATAGTACTGGAGGGTAAGTACTTTCTCCTCCGCTGTCTGCTTGCGCACGCAAGTTCCTCCTCTGCTTGATATGGACGGCCAAAGGTTAACGATTCCTGCAACTATTCTCGACTGAAGATGGACCGATAATTCATATGGAGTAAGCTACGTCACGAGCAAGAGTCCTCTCGGCCCCTTTGACGGAGAGCCCGTCAAGATCCTGCAGGGTGACCTAGCCATTGGAACTGGTACCGGTCACAATAGCGTATTCTCAGTCAAAGATGACTACTATATCGTGTACCATCGACGATTCCCAAATGATAACGAGAGAGACCACCGGGTGACATGCATCGATAGGATGTACTTTAACGATGCCGGCGGAATCGAGCCGGTCAAGATAACGACGGAGGGCGTGGAGGCGCGAGTTCCATGGTGATGCTATACTTCGAACGAGTCGTCTGCGGGCCGTTTCCTTGTTCTTTTTTTCAAGTATACTAGAGCATCACTGGCAGGTATTGCGCCAATGTATCACCTGAGCTTCGAAGTATCCGTAATCACTAAAAAGTGAAGATGCGGCATTGCTATATAGCTCAGCTTGCAGGGACCTTTGCTCCAGCGCATTGAGGAAAGCAATCCGTTGGTCGTCGAGGATCGTAATAGCCACCGCCCGTTTCAAGATCATCGTTTCCATATTCTTCATCAGTGTCACTCTCTACCTCTTCATTCTCCCTTCGCTCTCCGTCCAAAGGAGCCTTGGATCCAACCCTAGGCAACGCACTCGCCTTCTCGTCCACCGCAGAGGCAGCACCCTTCCGGCCTTCATCCTCGTCCTCATCCTCATCTCCCAGAACATTCTTCTTCAACCTAGGCGCCGCTGTCGATGTAGCTGCATTCGCACCTCCTGCGCCACCTCCAGCAACCACGGAGAACGAGCTCTTGAATCCACCCTTCTTGAACCCACTGGCAGCACCACCACCGCCGCCGCTGCTACTTTTTCCAGCAGAGCCAACCACGATAAGGCCTGCTTCCTCGTTAGCCTTCCGCTCGGCCTTCCTTGCCTTCTCGGCCGCGTTGGGGTCGCGGGAGAGCTGCTTCAAGTCCCGTAGTCGTTTCTTGTGTTGGTGGTCGTAGGAGCCTATGTGCGCTTCATATTCTGGGTGCCGCGAGTAGGATTTGTTGCAGAGTGTACAGGTAAAGGAATTCAACGCTGATCGAGCGGACTCGGTCTATTCAAGTTAGCATGCTCTGTAAACACGTATACTGCGATGTTTGCATGCACCTTTGGAGCCGGGTTCGTGAAGCCACGCTACGGGTCAAAGTCAGCTTGGTCTTGTCTCTTTTTCCAAGGGCGTAGTTCACTTACTGGAGGCATGCTGGATCGAAGCTGGCTGGTCTCTACAGCCTATCAAACTGGTATACTCCGTATTATGTTGAGATCGTTTGGGTGAATTTCGAGATGGTTGAAGAAAGTGAGCTCTGGAGAAGTGGCCAATGAAAGAGGCCGCGTTAAATATTGCGCCAGCATCGAAACTTGGAAGACATTCGCATCTTCTCGGCGAGATTCATATAACTGCCACAACGCTCATTCGCTTGACTCTATAAGCTTGGAGAGGGAGTCGTCAATATCCACCGGGACTTCAGAGGCAGCGCCGGGCGCCATGGAGCACAGCGAGGAGCAGTCGGAGCTCTACCTGCAGGAGATTGACCCTTCACCTCTTGATGAACTGGACCTTGAAGCTGGAGACGGCTCGCTGATAAGTACAGACGGGCCACAGAGACATCATGAGCTGCCATCGAGGCCGAAGCCGGGCTTAAGCGGCCATAGTTGGGAGTACTGGCGTATGAAGCAACCAACCCAAGAACTATGCCAGTATTTATTGAGGCTTCCAGTAACTAATATCTATACATTCTATAGTGTCTGCTATCCAGAAATACTCTACATACCCTCCTACACTCTTCCTCGGCCTTCATTTTACAAACACAGCACTCATCCCGCTTGCAACCCGATCTGTCCCCGAAAGCGAGACTTTTCTCCTCCTAACACGCCCAATATACCAAGCTCCGGGTCTTGAGCCGTTGATAGTCTACCTGCCCATACTCGCACACGTTACGTCAGGTCTTGTACTCCGCTATCTTCGTCAGTCTCGACGGGCCCGTCAGTTCGGCGCAGAAACACGCGAGCAACGCAAAGCGTTCAGGTCAACTGCGAAACCGCCTAGTGTTCAAGCTATACTTGGGTATGCCATGGTGCCATTGGTTGGATCGCATATTCTCGTCAACAGGCTCGTTCCGCTCTACGTCGATGGTGGGAGCTCCGGTGTTGGACTGGGATATGTAGCACACGGAATTGCCAGATCACCATGGCTGATGGGCATATGGTATGCTGCTCTTACGGGCGTCGGGGTATGGCATTTCGTCGGTGGCTGGGCATGGTGGTTTGGATGGAGAGAGGTGCTTGTAACCAAGAAGGCAGCTTCTGGCAGACTCCCTGGAGCCAACGGCGGCTACCTTGGATCTGAGAAGGGTGCCGAGCTCTACCAGCGAAAGAAAAGACGGCGATGGATTGTCAACGGGGTGTCGTTGGTAGGAACAGCGCTCTGGCTTGCTGGAGGTCTGGGTGTGATTGGAACTGGTGGTCTCGGGATGGGCTGGGAGGCCAAGGGCTGGGATGCGGTATATAGCCAGGTCCCGCTGCTCGGAGGACTCCTGGCCCCCTGATTCCTGTTACTAGATAGATGTTTCCTGCGTCTTGTAGAGAATAACATAGATTGGCGCGTCTTTTTGTATATAGATTTTAAGGTTATAACATAGTGGTCCGTGCACAACCCTAAAAAACATGCGATTTTTTGGTTTTTTTAAGAGAGAAAAAAATAATAATTAGTTTTACTTCTAACCAAGGACGAGAAAGAAGCTGGCGCAGAAACACGGTTGGAGATTCAAATGCTTTTGGGCCGTTTGACTGTTGGTCTAGGCATTGGAGTGCGATGTTCAGCTGCTAGACGGCATGTTCTAAACTGCACAAGCTGGATTCCTGCCAAACACATCTTAATACTCAGTCAGTCGCGCAGGATGGCGTCCAGCGAAGAGAGCCCCGAGATGGGGACGATTTCGACTCCACCGAGACAGGGACAGATTATTAAACACGACGGAAAAGTCTACAAGACGATCCAGGAGGGTCTCGCATATATCCTAGTTGACCAGAAGGACGCTGAACCGGCCAAACCTCCTCCCTCGACCAAGAACCAGAAAACCACCGAAGGCGATCGACCGTCCGTCTTCTATAATCCCATACAACAATTCAACCGAGACCTCAGTGTGCTCGCGATACGTGCATACGGAGAGCATGCAAAGGCCGTCAAGGAGAAGAAATACCGGCTTAAACACAAGGGACGGAAGGCAAAGGCGAACAAGATAAACGTGACCGAGACGAATGCAAACAAGAGGAAGCGAGAGGAAGGTGATGAAAGTGAGCATCAGGTGCAGAATGGCACTCTCTCGAAAAAGGTCTGCACCGGCGATGAGGTAGCTACAGCAACTGAAGACACCCAGGCACAGGGTGTGCCCGCCAACGGGGCCGAAGATACCACCGAAAAGGGCGCAAATACAACGCCTAAACCTTGGGTGCCGTCCTTTGCCATCCTGGATGCATTGTCTGCCTCGGGACTTCGCGCCCTTCGCTATGCAAAGGAGATCCCATTTGCGACCCGCGTCGTTGGAAACGATCTTTCTGGGGCCGCGATCGAGTCCATGAAGCTCAATATCCAACACAACAACCTTGAAAAGGTAGTACGGCCGAATAAAGGGGATGCTTGCGCCTACATGTACACTGTTGGCAGAGCTCAGGGATCCTCCAACGACCCAGGCGGTATTCCAAAGTTTGACGTGGTCGACTTGGACCCTTATGGAACCGCTGCACCATTCTTAGACAGCGCAGTACAATCCGTTGCCGACGGTGGGTTGTTATGCGTCACTTGCACTGATGCTGGAGTCTTTGCAGGAGCTGGATACCCTGAAAAGACGTTTGCTCTCTATGGCGGCCTCCCCGTCCGCGGCCCACACTCCCACGACGGCGGACTTCGTTTGATTCTGAATGCTGTGGCAACTACGGCGGCCAAATACGGCCTGGCAATTGAGCCTATGCTTTCGTTGTCCATCGATTTCTACGCAAGGGTCTTTGTTCGTATCCACAAGTCTCCCTCAGAGGTGAAGTTCACCGCGAGCAAGACCATGGTTGCGTTCAACTGCGATCATGGCTGCGGCTCATGGAAAACCCAACGTCTTGCAGAGAAGAAGAAGCAAATAGGTAAAGACGGGACTCCCTTTTATAGCTATAAGCTTGCACAGGGGCCGACTGCTGCGCCAAATTGCGAACATTGTGGCTTCAAGACGCATCTTGCAGGACCAATGTGGGCAGGACCTTTACATAACCCACACTTCATCCAGCGCATCCTTGACCTAACCGCCGGTGCGGATAAGAACACATACCAAACGTGCTCCCGTATCGAAGGCATGCTCACCACCGCCCTCGAAGAAGATTTGGATATTGGAGGAAGTGCGAAGGAGGCTACCCCTGAAACAGTGCCGGTACGGGCGACCAAGGCAAACGAAGACGAATCCTTGCTTATCCCCCGGGTCGACCCTGCGCTGGTTGAACCGTACCCATTTTTCTTTGTGGTTAGCAATCTATCTCGGGTTCTTCGCACTTCAACAATGCCCGAAGACCAACTCCGTGGTGCACTACGGCATCTCGGGTATAGGTCTACTCGCAGTCATGCTAAACCCAATTCAATACGTACAGATGCTCCCTGGGAAGTGATATGGGAGATAATGCGAGAATGGGTTCGTCTTAAATCGCCTATCAAACCTGGGGCACTTTCAGAGGGAACGGCTGGGGCTGGTATTCTACGACGGAGCAGGCACACGCTTAACCCCGTGTCTGGAGAAGGGCCAGGTGTAAGGGCATTGAAGCGTGACATACTTAGCGCAGTTGATTCCGGGAAGAGTCTTGCAGACCTCACGACGATGCTTGAGGCTGCCTTGTATCGCTCAAAGGTGCACCAGTCGGTAGAGACAGCCGAAAAGCCTGCTATAGAAGGCAAGGAGAATGATACTGAGAAAAAGGACAAGGGTACTTTATCTCGCTCGCCGTCGCCTCGCCCCGATCCAAGCACACTTGAGGTCGTCTTCGACGAGGCATTGGGCAAAAAAGCGATGGATTCACACCGCAAGAAACGCCTAACGAGGTATCAAACAAACCCCAGGGCGAACTGGGGCCCGATTGCGCGAGCTACAGTTAGCAATGTCCCCAAAGATTCAGCTAAAGAGTCGTAGTGTTTGTGTCATCTCTCGTTATCTGAGCATATATGTACTTTATACTGACTGTTAAATCAACACAACGATGATTAAATTAACACAATGATGATTGACAAGGCGTCTACAGCTGTACTCCGCCCGAATTTCTAATATAAGCAATTATAGCATCGCCAACATCTGTCGTACCCGCCTGGCCGCCCAAGTCAGGGGTTCGGATGCCAGCTTCTAGAACATGAGTGACGGCTTTCTCGACACATTGGGCTTCGCTCTCCATGTTGAACGAGTATCTGAACATCATCGCAACACAGAGAATCATAGCAATAGGATTAGCAATATTTTGGCCAGCAATACTAGAGTGTTTTCGGTCAGCCTAGCAGGTAGAAGGAGGATAGGCAGCGGTAAAAGGTGTAACATACCTGGGTGCCGACCCATGAGTAGGCTCATACAAGGCGTAAGCCTTCTTAGAACCGTCTTTCTCACCCGGGATGCCACTGAGACTGGCACTGGGCAAGACACCGAGACTCCCGACTATCGACCCCGCCTGATCGGAGAGCATGTCACCAAAGGTATTATCAGCGAGTAAAACGCCGTTCAGCGAGCGAGGATTAGTCGCCATGAGCAGAGAAGCAGAATCGGCCAACTGATGAGACAATTTAACCTGGGGGAACTCTTCAGCGAACGTCTTCTCGACCACACGACGCCACAGGCGCGAGGATGCAAGGACGTTCGCCTTGTCCATGGAGATAACTGGCCATGGGGGATTGTGACGAAGTGCAAGACTCCCTGCAAGCCGAGCAATTCTCTGGACTTCCTCTGTTGAATATCCCCATTCGTCCATCGCTATACAAATGTTAGCTACTATCAAATGCAAATAATAAGAGAAGAACGTTATATAGATACCATAGTTCTCGTCCTCGACCTTTTTCCCGAAATACGCTCCTCCGCAGTTCTCCCTTAGAACCAAAAAGTCGACCCCTTCGATCACAGTCTCTTTATACGGACTATACTTCTTCGAAATAGACATGCTCGGCGTGCTACATGGCCTCAGGTTCCCATATACGTCCAACGCACGTCTAAGCTGTAACAGCCCCCCCTCGGGCCCCTCAAGACCACGCCTGGCGCCGTCCCATTTCGGCCCTCCAACGGACGCAAACAAGACGGCATCAGACTCGAGAGCAGCTTGTTTCACGGCCTCGGTGACAGGGGTACCATGGACGTCTATGCTGCAGCCTCCTATCAGCTCCTGTCGAAGGTTGAAGGTACGTGATGGCGTGGTGAAGGACTGCAGGACTTTGACTGCCTCAGCCATGATTTCGGGGCCGATGCCATCGCCTGGCAGGACGAGGATGTTATATGCCATAGTCTGACTCTGTATGTCTAGCTCTTATCATGAAGTATACTATTTTATAGGAGTCGGCAGTGAGTCCAGGAATGTTAAGTATTTATTAGTTGATATCCGGGGTACAGGTCGATGTCCGGAGTTAGAGCCGGATCCTGGCCGAGATGACATTTCCCCTCTACCATAACTATTCTTCGTCGACGACACTGATATGAGTATTCCATAGAGGACTAGGCGAGATACATACCTGTGCTATATATATGATCACCTATATTATATGACTATATGTGTGTATATATATCATGTATTCGGGTGTATCCAGTGCAGTTTCCGTGACTCTTGCCGGGTCGGCAGTTCGGTAATATGGCAGGCTCTTTGCCGGCTATTTTTGCAGAAGTCACTCCACACTCAACAGTTCAACCGCTGGAGCCTGCCTAACAATACAAGGGGCGAGCTCGGGATGTCTACATGGCAGGATCGGACTCTGGGACAACTCGGATTCTAATTAAAAATCTATATACATACTCCTATACTGGTTAGGTTGAAGAGAAGAGGAAACAAGGGCCAACTTTAAACTTTTTGCGTCATCAAACCAATTCGGGGCATGTCATTAGATGGTATAAGGAAAAGTAAAATGTATAGGGGCGTATAAAGAAGATCATGAATAATGCAGGAGAATAACCGGAGGAACTATGTTGGACAGATTACGAGCTAGCACCGCTGGTAAAAAGAGAATTGACAAGTAATGGGCGGTAGGTTAAGGCGATTAGAAGTGAGACTGCGCAATAGAGATAGCCTGGGCATCGCTATGGGTGATGCTAACATGCACCTCCTTCACTCCAGCCTCCTTAGCTGCCGAGGCGGCATCACCGTGTAGCTATAGATTAAAAACTGGTTAGTCGAGCTGTATAAGAATATAAAGGATAGAAGGGCTATGGGCGTCAACTTACAACAACAACCGGAGCTCCGTTCTCATCGTGAATGATCTCAATCTCCTTGAGAGGAGCGCCGCTGCCCTTGCCACGAACACCTAGTGACTTGAAGACGGCTTCCTTTGCACTCCATCGTCCAGCAAACGAGGCTCGTGGAGAGCCTGCCTGCATGCAGTACTCCTTCTCCCTCTTGGTGAAGTTGCGCTCCACAAACGTCTCGTTGTCGATGTTGAACGTCTCGATGTCCTCGACATCCACGCCAATCTTGGTGTTGCCTGTCACTGTAGCTTTGGCCAGGGTCTCGACCATCCTCATCGTGCTTTCGGCCTTGCTAATTTGGATTGTGGCCTTTGCCTGTGGGTCGACAGGGTACTGGAGCTTGGATTCCTTCTCGTTGTACTCGACACGGACATCGGGGTTGAGGTAGACGCTTGACTCCTGGTTATCTTCGTATGGCGATTTGTCCTTGGCGACGAAGAGAGTGTTGTTGATCATCCCGTTGTGGAAGTATCGGTATGCGCGCTTCTGGCGGGCCTCGACCTTGGTCTTGTACGCGTTGTATCGAGACTCATCTAGAGCGGCGTACAGGTACTTGGGATGGATACCGATGGCTTGGGCTCCCTTTTGACCGAAACCGAAAGATGTCACAGAAAAGGCCTTGATGCCGTCAGTCTGCAGACTGCGGCTGGGGTAGACAATGTAGTCGAATTTCTCCATGATCTTGTCAATGTTATCAGCGTTACGGTTGCCGGGGACAAGGCCAGAGTTGAGCACTTGTAGACATCCGTTGATCATGAAGCCACCAGCAGCACCCTTGGGATGGCCAGTGAGGTACTTCTGGAAGATACCCAGGAGGGCGTTACCCTTCTTTCGGCCAAGATGCTTCATCTGCTGACACAACACGTCACACTCGTTCTTGTCATTGGCAACAGTTGAAGTACCGTGGAAGGAAGCCACGTCAAGATCATCGATAGTAAGGCCCCAAGTAGCGAGGGCACCTCGCATGGGGGATATTCTAGAATCCTGCTTCCAGAAGTTATTACCAAGGTTGAACGCGGCGTCTTTTTCTTGTCGGACGGCCTCGCGCTCAATATGGTCGAATCTCTCTTGTCGGTATTCAGCGGCATTGAACGTCTCATCGGATTGGGCTTTGAGCGTGTCGATTTCGTCCTGGAGGCCGAGAATCTCGGATTCACGCCATGCACGGATCTGGCGACGGCGCATTTCCAACTGTTTGCGTCGGTATTTGATGTCGAGCAGCGGCGATGGGAACTTGCCTGGGTTCTCACGGGCAGTGGTCAAGACACCCTTTCCAGGAGCTGGGACGGAACGACCAATCTTATCGGTGGCGGTGGTGGTGAGACCGAGAATACCGTAGATAGGGACACCCATGTCCAAAGCTAGCTGGGCGGTCATGATCAATTGCATACCACAACCCTGAGACTCCATGAAGCCGCTACGGGTAGTGGTGGTGGGCCTAGACATCTCCTGGGGAGTTCGGCCGTGAGCAAGTTCCAATTCTGCGTTGCTAGTGGCGCGCATGTTGGCGAACTCGTACGAGCCTTCTTCTTGGAAATCATCGAAGCCACCGACGAAGCAAACACGAGCTTTGCCTTCAACAATAGTCTCGTATCCAATATCAACGGATTCAACAGCGGTAGCACAAGCACCAACAGGAGTCTTTATAGGACCAGTCGATGAAAGGAGCAACATGTTCACCCACGCGCTCATGGTGTTGATAAAGGACTCTTGCAAGATATCTTTCTGGAGTGGCTTATCAAGGTAGCGGTCCTTGTACATGCCGCGGAGAGCTTGGGCACCTCCAATACCAGAGCCGATACAGTTACCGACTTCAGAAATGTGAACGTACTTGTAGAATTCGTATGGATCCGTGATACCAGATGCAAGCAGAGATTCGACAGTGCAGACCAGAACGTAGAGAGTGACTGGGTCAACTTGACCGATGATGTCGTCGGGAATACCGTAATGCTTAGGATCCCAGCCAGTAGGAATCTGACCAGCCACGAAGCGGTCGAACTTGAGGGCCTTGGGGATAAGAAGCGTCGCACCCTTGAGCAGGCGGACGGTGTATTCTCCGGAATCCTTGATCTCGAAAATCTCGGCTTTGTCGCCGTGCTCGCGCTTGAATTCTTCGGCAGTTTCCTTGGAGGCTTCGAAAGTGTCGAGATCTTCTTGCAGGACAACCTCTTGCAAAAGCTGCTTCTTGTTAGGGTCATACCCACCGAACAGCTCGGGCTCAACGATACGGATACCAGAGTGCTCGAGGATGTATTTCTCGTACTTGGCTTTGATATCCTTGTCGCTAACAGGCTCGCCGGACTTGGTATCAACCCAACCAGAGTATGGTTTACCCTTCAGAGGACCGTTATGGTTCTTAATCAGACCCATCATCCACGCCATCTCGATACAACCCTCAAGAGAGAATTTACCATAGGCTTCCATCTCCCAACGAGTACGAGAGTTACCCCATGGACCGATTTCGGCGAAACCAGTGATAACGACGACCTTGTCGAGATTGACCATATCCTTAAGGTTGGCATTGAGAGGCTCAATCTCACTCTTCCAGTCGGGCAGGGTGGGGAACTCGAATTTGATATTGGCACGAGGCTCAGTCATGACCTTCTTGTAGAGTGCCTCGCTATCCTCGCCATTGACAATCTTGTTCTCGAGGGCGGTTTCCTTCATGACGGCCTGTCTAACTGTGCTAGTTTCAACAATCTCACTGCGCAATCTCTTCATCAATGCATTGAGGTCGGGAATGAATTGCAGACCACCGTTGAGGTCAGCAAAGACAGGGTTGTTCTGGCAAAGGTCGACGATAGGTGGAGCCATAAGTCCGAGCAAGTTGAAAGCCATTTCCTGCTGGGAGAAGGTGCGGACTCCGAGTTTCTCAACGCCTTCGGCAATGGTGTCGTTTGCGTTCATCAAACCGGTGGAACGGGTCCAGCCAATGACTGCACCACAGATGGTGAGGTAGTCAGACCAGCTCTCGGAGTACCATCTGTTGAACAGGGTCTCCAGACCGAGTTTGGACTCGGAGTATAGGCCGTCGTTTCCGAAGGTTCCGTGGTTGGGAGACATGGGGAGGACGACCTGAGCTGGACGAGTGGCAAAGCCACGTTCTTGCTTCTGAGCCTTGACGGCACCAAGCATACGGACGATGTTGGTCAACATAAGACGATGGGCAAGCTCGGACTTTGAGTCAATGGAATCGATTTCACGACCATTTTCAGAGATGGCAGCAAATGGAACGATGTAGTCCAAGTCCCATCCGAGACCGTTCTTGGGGTCGTATATGTATTGAACAAGAGCCTCGACATCCTGCTTGCTTCCCTGGTTGAATGGGACGACAACGAGTTGAGAGCCACGAGCACCATAGCGAGTGTACATGGTCTGGTAGTACTCGGTGACTTCTCTCGAGAAGCGGCTAGTAGTGACAACGACCTTGGCGCCGCCACTGATCATGCCTTGCAGGACAGCGGCTCCGATAGATCCAGCACCAGCGCCAGTCATCAGAACGTTCTTGGCGTTGAAGGTAAGACCATCTCGGGCAGCGGACTCCAGCCCATCGAGATAGATACCGGTCAGCTTCTTGCTGTACTCCCAGCCATGAGTGGTCTTTCTCTTGAGATGCAAGAAGGGGATCGTCTCAACCTTTCCGGCAGTAGCTGAAGGAGAACGGGTACCATTTGGTGGGGTTCCCTTCCTGGCATGACCATTTTCTTGTGGCATGATCTGGCGCTCGTTCATGGCCAAAGTCCGTAGGACCTCCTTGTACAGGGAGTTGAACTGGAGCTGGGATGCCTTGGAAAGCTTGTGTTGCTTCTGGATCATCTTATAAACATTCTTCAGGTCGTTCTGCACCTTAGTGCGGCCGCTGTACTGAGAAATCGGCCCTCCCTGGGCCATGGTGCGCACATAATCCTCTAGCTTTCGTGCGCTGGGTCGGGTGGCTTCTTGGTACTTGATGTTTCCGCGAGCATCAACGGTTGTCTGGGGTCCTGTGGGGATGGCAACATCCTTGTAGACGGGATTAACGTTGAGCACTTCCTTACAGTTCTCGATCAACATGCATCCCAGCTCCTTGGCGAGTTTGTAAGTTTCACCACGTTCGGTGGGACAGTTATCAATGTGGTACTGCATGAAGTCCAGGAGTAGAGGGTTAGATCGGTTCATGATGCGGATACACTGGCTGACGATTTCACGGTCAATGACGCGCAGACGGCCGAAGATGATGTCGTAGTACATGCTGAGGGCGTCCTGTCGAGCCCAATTCCAGGACGAGTCGTATACCCTAGCTTTAAGGGCGTCGAAGGCAGGCTCGATGCCAGCGGCATAGATCTCGCCGTGCTCCAGCTGCCAGAGATCGATCTGGGCTTGAAGAGCGGCCTGAGACTCCTGCGAGGCAACGAAGGCCTTATCTCCGGCGCGAAGGTCGAGTTTAAGATATCGTGCGATGGACTCGAGTTGCTGTTTAAACAAAGCTCTCTGGTCCTTGGTGAGGGCATCAATGGCAGCTGGATCCATCATCATGCCTCCGGAGCCGCCGCCGTTATCGCCGCCAGCCTTTGATGTGGACAGAGTTATTCCAGCTTGAGCAGCATATTTATTCGTAATGTCGTCGAGATACGCTTTGGCGTCTGTCTCAGAGCCAATTCGTGATGGAGGCTCCATTGTGAGAGCAAGGAGGAGGACGCTGTCCTGGCGGCCAGGGCCCAGTCCCCACCTTGTTTCTAAATATTTACGAACTGCAGTAATATTAAAGCCACCAGGCATTTTGGAGGAAACCAATCGAGCAACGAGGGAGGAAGACTGCTTTCCGAGCTGTCCATTAAATGTAGCCTGGAGGGAGGCGGAGAGTTCGTCGAGGGGGGTATCTTCTGGCCGTTCAGGGGTGGAGCCAAATTCTTTTCCAAGATCTCCTAAAATTTCATTCTGCAGTGTCGATTTTCCTACATGCCGTTAGTATATGCCATTTTTAATTAGACGAAAAGAGATACGCACCTCCTACTAGATCTTTAATAGCTTTGGTGGTGGGCACATCGGCCAGTCCCTTTTTCAATTTCTGTGCAATGAGCGATCTGACTATGTCCACCGCGGTGACCGGGGTATCCTCCACAGCAGCAGCGGGCCCGGCAGAGGGAGCCGGTGCCGCCACTGGTGCCGGAGCAGCAGCAGCCGCACTGGGGGCAGCGGTAGAGGTAGAGGGAGTAGCAGCAGCAGCAGCAGGTGCCGAAGCTGGTTCGTCCTCGACCGGGTCGACGTCGTAGTAGATCTCCTTAGCATCCTTGTTGTAGCAGAGGATCTGACGCTGGACAGAGGTGGCGGCGTCGTAGGCTTCATATTTGGAGGCGAGAGTCCTCCGGGCCATGCCACCGAGGGTGTCTGCGGGGCCGACCTCGACGATGCGCTCCGTCCTCTTCTCGGCCAGGATGACATCCTGGGTCTCGATCCATCGCACCGGAGAGGCGAACTGGTATGCGAGGAGCTCGACGAGCAGTGTGTGGGCAAGCTCCTGCTCGACTTCTGGCTTCATGATTGCGGGAGGGACGGGGAGGAGCGGTTGGTCTGGTTGCGGGGAGATATCAAGCTGTTCAATTGGCGATATCAAGCCGGCTGCGCATATCCCTCGAGTGTGATAGCTTGCCGGAGCACTCGAACGAGGAGAAGAAGGAGAAGGAGAGGAAGAAGAAGAGGTCGTGAATTAAAAGAGATATAATAATGCGAGGGAGAGGACGAGCAGCCGCAAGGAGAGGGAGAGTCGAGGAGAGGAGGAAGAGAAGTTGAAGCTCGCGGAGGGAGAAAAAGAGCCCGACTTTCCCTTCTGGGCAAAAAGGAGGAAGCTCGGGCATGGGCGGGTCACGGGATGCTTAGTCATGCGTATGGGGCGGTACCACCAGTACGGTAAGCGCGATACACTATCGATAATCTTATCTATCACCCTCTACACACTTACCTATATACCATTATATCTCTGTAGCATTTTGTCTATACCTATCTATTCATCGTATCATCTCATTTGCATATTTATATATTTAACATGTATATCTATCTATGTGTATATATATATGTATATGTGTATATGCGTATATAGGTAGGAGTATAGATGGGTAACGTATGGTAAGACCCTCCACTAGTCCCTGGAAACTCAACCGTTTTGAATTCTTTGGGGCGGTTAAAATACGCGGCCATCCCCCATCCAGCCTAGCGCGTCCTCAACGGGCCCCGCAGCTTGAAAAATTCCCCTTTTTTTTACTTTTTGCAGCAAGCTCGCCCGATCGGGACATCCACCGCGGCCTCCGCCATCCTATCTCAACTTCACTCGACTTCACCTACAACTTCACCTCCTCCATTCTCTAGACATCCTCATCTTCTCTTCCTCTTCTTCTTTTTCTTCTTCTGGGTGCGTTCCTACAGCTCGTTATCGGGTCAGGTTGAGCGTATCATGTGGCATTGGTGAGTACAGCTCGGGCAGCGACAGCTACGGAGACAACGAGCCATTGAGAGACACTGCTAACAGATAATCATAGAATAATACATATACATCTAATTGAACGACCAGACGATTTACGCATACAGCATGATGTTCGGCTCCTCGACAGGCCCGCAGACGGGCATCAACACCCCTCGCTCCTCGCAGTCTCTGCGCCCCCTCAACCTCTCCCACGGCTCCCTCGAATTCTCCTTTCTCGTGCCCACCTCTCTGCATTTCCACGCCTCACAGCTCAAGGACAGCTTTGCCGCGTCCCTCCCCGAGCCCACCGACGAGCTAGCACAGGACGACGAGCCCTCGTCCGTCCCCGACCTCGTTGCCAGGTACCTGGGCTTCGTCGCCCACGAGGTCGAGGAAGGCGAAGATGACTCCCTCGGATCCTACGTCGAGGTCCTCAAGCTCGTCCTCAACGAGTTCGAGCGTGCCTTCATGCGCGGCAACGACGTCCATGCCGTAGCAGGCTCCATTCCCGGCATCCCCGCCAAGAAGCTACTCATGGTAGAGAACTACTATGCTGCCCGTGCGGCCGTCAACAGGCCGGCGAAGCCACACGACTCTGCGCTCCTGCGTGCTGCCACCGAGGGGCAGGCCAAGCTGTACAGCATCTACGGCGGCCAGGGCAACATCGAAGAGTACTTTGACGAGCTGCGAGAGATCTACAACACATATCCGTCCTTCGTCGAGGACCTCATTTCCTCCTCGGCCGAACTGCTGCAGTCACTCGCCAGAGACCTCGATGCCATCAAGCTCTACTCCAAGGGAATGGACATTCTCCGTTGGCTGCACGACCGTGACTCCCAGCCAGACACCGACTACCTCGTCTCCGCGCCCGTCAGCCTGCCATTGATCGGTTTGGTCCAGCTGGCTCACTACATGGCTACCTGCAAGGCCATGGGCAAGGAGCCCGGTGACGTCCTCGATACCTTCAGCGGAACCACCGGTCACTCCCAGGGTATCATCACCGCCGCGGCAATCGCCACAGTCACCACCTGGGAGTCCTTCGGCAAGGCCGCCAGAGCGGCTCTGACCATGCTCTTCTGGATCGGCCTGCGAAGTCAGCAAGCCTACCCCCGCACCTCGCTAGCCCCGTCTCTGCTCCAGGACTCCGTCGAGCATGGCGAGGGTGTGCCCACGCCCATGCTGTCCATCCGTGACCTCCACAGAAACGCAGTGCAGGAACACATCGATGCCACCAACCAGCATCTGCCCGAGGATCGCCACATCGCCATCTCCCTCGTAAACAGCCCTCGGAACTTTGTTGTCACGGGCCCTCCAATCTCCCTGTACGGTCTCAACCTGCGTCTCCGCAAGGTCAAGGCTCCCACGGGTCTGGACCAGAATCGCGTTCCCTTCACCCAGCGAAAGATCCGATTCGTCAACAGATTCTTGCCCATCACTGCGCCATTCCACAGCCAGTACCTCGCCTCCGCCTTCGATGCGATCGCAGAGGATGTCGAGGATATCAAAATCCCTGCTCGATCCCTGCGCATCCCTGTTTACGATACGAACACTGGCAAGGATCTTAGCCAGCGAGGTGACGAGGATATCGTTCCTGCATTGATCCGCATGATCACCCGGGACCCGGTCAACTGGGAAAAGGCTACCGTCTTCACCAAGGCCACCCATATCGTCGACTTTGGCCCAGGTGGTATCTCTGGCCTTGGTGTCCTGACAAACCGCAATAAGGACGGAACTGGTGTCAGAGTCATCCTTGGAGGACTCATTGACGGCACCAATGCGGAGGTTGGATACAAACCTGAACTGTTCGACCGAGACGAAGACCATGCCGTCAAGTATGCCGTAGATTGGGTCGAGGTATACGGCCCACGACTCGCAAAGACGTCTGTTGGCCAGACGTTTGTCGACACAAAGATGAGCAGGCTGCTTGGTGTTCCTCCAATCATGGTTGCTGGTATGACTCCCACCACTGTGCCATGGGACTTTGTAGCTGCCACAATGAACGCCGGATACCAGATCGAACTCGGAGGTGGTGGTTACTATAACGCCAAGTCCATGACTGACGCCCTCAACAAGATCGAAAAGGCTATTCCACCAGGCCGTGGTATCACCGTCAACTTGATCTACGTCAACCCTCGCGCCATGGCGTGGCAGATCCCGTTGCTGGCCAAGCTTCGCGCTGATGGTGTCCCTATCGAAGGTCTCGTCATCGGAGCCGGTGTTCCATCCATCGAAGTTGCCAATGAATACATTGAGACCCTCGGAATCAAACACATCGGCTTCAAGCCTGGTTCCATGGATGCCATCCAACAGGTCATCAACATTGCCAAGGCAAACCCTACCTTCCCCGTCATCCTTCAATGGACCGGCGGTCGTGGTGGAGGCCATCACTCCTTTGAAGATTTCCACCAACCTGTCCTCCAAATGTATAGCCGTATCCGCAAGTGCGATAACATCGTCCTTGTCGCCGGAAGTGGATTCGGTGGCTCCAAGGACACCTACCCTTATCTCACCGGTAGCTGGTCCCGACAGTTCGGATACCCACCAATGCCATTCGATGGCTGCCTCTTCGGTAGTCGCATGATGACCGCCAAGGAGGCCCATACCTCTAAAGCAGCCAAGCAGGCCATTGTTGCCGCCCCGGGTGTCGACAATAGCAAGTGGGAAGATACCTACAAGGGCGCTGCTGGCGGCGTCATCACCGTTCGCTCCGAGATGGGAGAGCCAATCCATAAACTCGCAACTCGCGGTGTCCTCTTCTGGGCTGAGATGGACCAGAAGATTTTCTCCCTAGACAAAGCTAAGCGTTTGCCTGTCCTTAAGAAGATGCGCGAGTACATCATCCGAAAGCTCAATGACGACTTCCAGAAGGTGTGGTTTGGCTGTAACTCCGAGGGTGTCACCGTTGACTTGGAGGATATGACTTATGCCGAGGTCGTGCATCGTATGGTCGAGCTCATGTACGTCAAGCACGAGTCTAGATGGATTGACGAGTCGCTGAAGAGATTCACCGGCGACTTCATCCGTCGTGTAGAGGAGCGCTTCACTACCGAGAAGAACCAAGAGTCACGTCTCCAAACTTACTCTCAGCTTGATACGCCATACCCTACCGTCCAGGAAATTCTCGATGCCTATCCCGAGTCCGCCAAACAGCTCATCAACGCCCAGGATGTTCAGCACTTCCTGCAGCTTTGTCAACGAAGAGGCCAGAAACCCGTTCCATTCGTTCCATCCCTTGACGAGAACTTTGAATTCTGGTTCAAGAAGGACTCCCTCTGGCAATCTGAAGACATTGAGGCCGTTGTTGGTCAAGATGTCGGCAGAGTTTGTATCTTGCAAGGCCCTATGGCCGCTAAATACTCTACCACCATCGATGAACCGATCAAGAGCATCCTGGACGGCATCCACAAAGATCATATCCGAGGTCTTATCCAGGACGTCTACAATGGCGATGAATCCAGTGTTCCTGTTGTCGAATATTTTGGAGGTCAACTTGTCTTGGATTACGAGGAGGATCACGATATCGACGGCCTGACAATATCTGAGGACGCGACTAGAGTCTCTTATCGTCTCTCGTCTTCGCCATCTGCCAATCTCCCCGACCTTGATCGATGGCTCCATCTCCTGGCTGGAAAGGTCTACTCTTGGAGATATGCGTTGTTCACTACAGAAGTCTTCATCCAAGGCCAACGCTTCCAGACCAACCCCATCAAGCGCATCCTTGCACCCACTCGTGGTATGTTTGTCGAAATCACCAACCCGAAGGATCCATTGAAGACGGTCATCAGCATGCGCGAGCCCTGCCAATCGGGTAAACTTGTCAAGACTGTCGAAATCCGTCTCACCGAGAAAAACCGCATCACCATGACCCTATTTGAAGGAAGAACCGCTGAGAGTGGTGTTGTCCCACTTCCATTCCACTTCACCTACCACCCCGAAACTGGCTATGCTCCTATCAGAGAAGTCATGCAGGGTCGTAACGATCGTATCAAGGAGTTCTACTACCGCGTGTGGTTTGGCGAGCGCAATGTTCCATTTGACACGCCTGCTGCTGCCATCTTTGATGGTGGACGCACAACAGTGACAACTCAAGCGATTGCCGATTTCGTCCATGCTGTTGGCAACACTGGTGAGGCGTTCGTTGAGCGTCAAGGAAAGGAAACTTTTGCCCCCATGGACTTCGCTATTGTTGCTGGATGGAAGGCCATTACCAAGCCTATCTTCCCCCGTACTATTGACGGTGACCTTCTAAAACTTGTTCATCTGTCTAACGGTTTCAGAATGGTTCCTGGCGCCGAGCCCATCAAGGTCGGCGACGTTCTTGACACAACTGCTCAGATTAACGCTATCATCAACCAGGAGTCTGGTAAGATGGTCGAAGTCTGTGGAACTATCAAGAGAGATGGTGAGCCCATCATGCACGTAACCAGCCAGTTCCTCTACCGAGGTAATTACACCGATTTCGATACCACGTTCCAGCGCAAGGATGAGGTTCCAATGCAGGTCTTCCTTGCTACGTCAAAGGACGTGGCCGTTTTGCAGTCTAAGGAATGGTTCCGTCTAGATGAGGCAAATGTTGAGCTTCTCGGACAGACCCTCACTTTCCGTCTTCAGAGTTTGGTCCGCTACAAGGACAAGACTGTTTTCCAAAACATGCAGACAACCGGTCAGGTCCTCGTTGAGCTCCCTACCAAGGAGATTATTCAGGTTGCATCTGTCGATTACGAAGCCGGCGTCTCGCATGGAAACCCTGTAATTGACTACCTCCAACGTCATGGTTCCGCCATCGAACAGCCAGTCAACTTCGAGAACCCAATTCCTCTTAGCAAAGCGCCTCTTGTTCTCAAGGCCCCTGCCTCCAATGAGACTTATGCTAGAGTCTCTGGTGACTACAACCCAATCCACGTCTCCAGGGTTTTCTCTAGCTATGCTCACTTGCCAGGTACCATCACACACGGCATGTATACAAGTGCAGCCGTTAGGAGTTTGGTTGAAACATGGGCTGCTGAGAATAACATCGGCCGTGTCCGCAGCTTCCACGCTTCTCTTGTTGGGATGGTTCTCCCCAACGATGATCTCGTTGTCAAGCTCCAGCACGTAGGTATGATTGCAGGCCGCAAGATCATCCAGGTTGAGACCAGTAACCAGGCTACCGAAGAGAAGGTCTTGATTGGTGAGGCCGAAGTTGAACAGCCTGTTTCCTCCTACGTCTTTACTGGCCAAGGTTCTCAGGAGCAGGGTATGGGTATGGATCTTTATGGCACCAGCCCTGTCGCCCAGGAAGTCTGGGACCGTGCTGATCGCCACTTCATGGAAAACTACGGCTTCTCGATTATTGACATTGTCAAGAACAACCCTCAAGAGCTGACCGTGCATTTCGGTGGTCCTCGTGGCAAGAATATTCGCCAGAACTACATGTCCATGACCTTCGAGACCGTCAACGCAGATGGATCCATTAAATCAGAAAAGATTTTCAAGGAAGTTGATGAAAAGACCACGTCCTACACCTATCGTTCTCCCACCGGTCTTCTATCTGCCACCCAGTTCACTCAGCCTGCGCTTACCCTGATGGAGAAGGCCAGTTTCGAGGATATGCGCTCTAAGGGTCTTGTGCAGCGAGACAGCAGCTTCGCTGGCCACTCGTTGGGAGAGTATTCTGCCCTTGCCGCCCTTGCTGATGTCATGCCAATTGAGAGTCTTGTCTCCGTCGTGTTTTACCGTGGTTTGACTATGCAGGTTGCGGTCGAACGTGATGAACAAGGCCGATCCAACTACTCCATGTGCGCTGTTAACCCAAGCCGTATTTCCGGGACATTCAACGAACAGGCCCTTCAGTATGTTGTGGAAAATGTATCCGAAGCCACAGGCTGGTTACTTGAAATTGTCAACTACAATGTTGCCAATATGCAATACGTCTGTGCTGGAGATGTAAGTTTCAGCCCTACCTCGGTTTGACATAATCGTAATAGTGATACTAATCCTTTTCCAGCTCCGAGCCCTCGACTGCCTTACAAATGTCCTTAACGTCCTTAAAGCCCAAAAGATCGATATTCCCGCGCTGATGCAGACCATGTCTCTTGATGATGTAAAATCGCACCTCGTTCAGATCATCGACGAGTGTGTCAAGCAGACCACATCCAAACCTCAGCCTATCGTCCTTGAGCGTGGTTTTGCTACAATTCCATTGAAGGGTATTGATGTGCCTTTCCATAGCACTTTCCTTCGCTCCGGAGTCAAGCCTTTCCGATCTTTCTTGCTCAAGAAGATCAACAAGACCACCATTGATCCAAGTAAACTGATCGGCAAATACATTCCAAACGTTACTGCCCGTCCATTCGAGCTCACCAAGGAATATTTCGAGGATGTGTACCGACTTACAAACTCGCCGCGTATTGGAAACGTTTTGGCAAACTGGGACAAATATGAAGATCCCCAAGAGGCTCCAGCTGATCCAACCGCTTCAGCATAAATATGGCATCCTCTAATTCAAAATAATTCGAGTATTTGATTTATCTAAGCGATCCTTCCTCTTGCATGCATGTGTTAACGGCCCCTGGTGAAGAATTTTTTTTATATATTTTATCCCGTTTTTAATTTTATGTTCCCCTTTTCCCTTCCGTTCTACCTGTTCATAATTTTCAAGATTACGATGCTGTTGGTTGCATCTCTCTAGAGGAAGAAACAAAAGCAGTTAGGTAGATAGAAGTACCTTTACACGATAATACATTGGTTTGTCCAAAAACTACATGCAAGTTATTGACATAGATATTCCGAGTGTAGTTGCGTGAATCCAACGCAAGTCAGGCTAAGATATCAATATCGTATAATAAGGGTTATCACTTTTTGGCTAGGTTTTTTGGATAGCTTTTGCATGCATCTTTTGTCCTCATTTTTACAATCATGAAGTTGATTTTAGCTCATTCAGCCTCGTAACTCTAACTAACTGCTTAATACCCACGCTAACTGGTTGAATTAGCTACTCAAAAGTAACGAAGTACCTCCTTTTTCTTCTTTCGACTTTGCTTTACCTTACTAAATTTCTTCTGTCCCGAGAGCGACTATAGTAACGTGTGGCTCGGCTTGCTTGCCTATATTTCCTGTGTTACTATATTGACTCACACTCGTACAAATGTTAAACAAACCATATAACTATCAAATTGTCCTCCGTCAAACATAGACCTCAATTTGTACACACGGAGTACATCATGCATGATTGGGATGACCCGTCACAGTGTCCCCGGTAATTATCTCTGCATAGGAAAGATCCATCGGTAACTTTAGCTCCACTTCCCGTTCCGCTTGAGCCTCAAGCTCGCACATGGTAACTAGGTAGTTAACTTAAAAAAAAAGAGAAAAAAAGAAAAAAAAAAGAAAAACGAAAAAGAGGAACGGATATTCAAAGATGATAATTATCATTTCATTTTTAAGATGTAATGTAGTTGCGCGACCCGAAAATAGCTAGCTATAAAGAAAATTGTATCAACCATGCCATCGGTGGACTTGTAGGTCCTGACCCAAGTCAATCGTCCCCAAGAAAAGAAGTGAAAAAGCCAGGGTTGAGTGCTAAGGAGGCTAAGGCCCTCATTTCTGTGCCCTACTCTGGCTCTTCACGTCCCCTTCCACGTCCCTTTCCACCTCGTCCCTTTCCAACTTTCGCCTTTCCACCATGTCCGGGTCTAGGGCCACGGCAGCCACAGTACCTAAAGTAGCTCTCTGTTAACATCTCTTCCTTCTGACCCCTTGACATACAGGGATAGTCTGAGCCATGTCTGCTGCTGGGGGGTCTACTTACTCAATACCGGCGTTCTTCAGGCAGACGCCGCCCTGGTATCCGTCCCTGATGCACTACACGCAAGGCATTCAACGTTAGCAAATATATCATTTGACAGATCCTTTGAAGTGATGTACTAGAAAAGTTTCTTACCATCGCATTGCAGTCTTTTGGGATGCACTTCTTGTCGAATAACCCTTTACGGTGGGCATCCACGCCGGCCCCTTTGGTGCCAGGCTTTCCACCACGGCCGAGCCCGCCGAATCCACGGCCTCTAGCACTAGCTTCCGATTCGGGGTCCGCAATGGGGTCAGGGGAGGCAATGGCAAGGCCAGAGACCATGAAGGTAACGGCGATAGCAACGATGGAAGTGAGCTTCATATTGATGGGAAAATCGGTTGTCTTGAATAGAAATGGGAGCTTTGGAATGTCTGATTGTGTAGTAGAAAAGAGCTGAAGTATGGCAGAGAGAGGCATTGCTTATATATTACTTTCTCCCATATATCGAATTGTATATCGAGAGGAGACAGAGAGCTATCTCCTGGTAGAGCAGCTTTGTTCCCACGGTCCTCGAAATGCGAATACAACTTTCGGCATTCTTTGTTTCCAGGCAATTACATGTCGTTTTCACATTGGTTAACTCTGTCGAGTTGGCTAATTCTCATTCTTGCCTGCATGATATTAAAGATTATCCCAGTTTCCGCTGATGATTTACTCTATCGATGAACTAGTTAGTTCCGAGGAGGATCCCAAGTGAGAAAGTAACGGAGAAGGAGAAAATAATAGTTACCTCTTCTGGACCGTTCTTGTCGTTCGCGCGAAGATATGCCAGATAGAGTAGAGCCCAGGCATAGTTAAGGATAAGCGCAGTTGGGTTGGAATGTTGATCTTCTTGTTCTTCTGCGGTTCGAGTTAGGGTTGGTTACCTCAGTGCCGATGCTACTGTGGACCAAGCTGTTGTGCAAGCCAGGATTGCATATCTAGGTCAAGTGCAGATACATGGCCATTGTTACAACAGTTATGACTAGTGCTTGAGGATGCACCTGAGATTGTGTTTCGTTGTACCGCAGCACCGCGCAGAACCCGCGCATCAGGATGGAGGCTCACCCTATTCTTCGCTCGACGTATCGCGCTTGACGCAGAGGAGGTAAGACATGATGTAGGCAATAGGAGTATACTGCATGGCATGGCATAGAAGAATGTGTAGACGGAGTAATATATAAACATAACACGATGTTGTACAGGGGAAGAATAGTAAAGGGGTAAACACAAATAAGCACGATTCAATTAACATAAAATATGTAGAATTAACTCATCCCTCGTCTAGCCCTAGTGTAGACCAGGCGCCCATCTATCCTTCCTCCACCTGTTTATGCAGACCTTTAAGATATCGTAGAATGCGAATGTAGAAACAGAGAACCGCCCAATTAACCCATATTCTCCATGCGATGCGTCCGTTCTCCGATATTTGGTATTATGCCATAAAATATACAATGAATTGATGCATTAATGCAAAGGCAAGGGACATAAAGAAAGGAAAACCGAGTCATATGAACCCGCGTGAATGTTGATATGTAAGAAAAGTTGGATGAAAAGGAACCATAAAAGAAAAGGCTAGGGTTGTTCATCTTCTCGACCCGCAGCGTGTTTATCACTAAGGTTAATTGCGATAAACGATTTGGGTAGTTTAACACTATAGAAGTAGATAGTTAGTTAGACTGACGCCATGTTAGCTAGATAAACAAGGGGAGAAGAGCATACGTGTCAAACTTCGCCTTTAACGTCTCAATCACTTCTTTCCAATTCTGATGCGCCGTCAGGCTTCGTCGAGGCGCACAACCGATGGCATGTCTAGAGTCTAACTGGACATCCAACGGATCGAATGTGTGGCAACCTGGGCTGATTGAGATGCGAATCGAGTATGCGAACGTCTCGGCCTCTGCATCACGGGATTCGTAGAGTTCGAAACAAATCTGAGAGAGGTAATCAAGTTCTGGTATTGTACGGCGGGCGATCTTCGTCTTTAACCCACCCTCAAGGATACAGTTGAGGAGTGTGTAGATGTGAGATTCCTTGGTGAAGTAAAAGAACGACTTGGCGTCTGGGGAGGCCTGCACTTCTTCAAGATCCATTACGATTTCTTGAAGGAGGGGAAGGGAGGTGAGAAGGCCGATTTCAAGTTTTTCGTGATCAGCAATACCGTATTCTTGAGGCGTGACGAAGTCGAATAGCACCTTAGCCAGACTATACAGGTGTTTGAGGCGGGAAAGACGTTTGTCGATCTTCGGCTTGGAGGGAGTTGAGCCAGGGTAGAGCTTGAAGTAAGAGTCGTAAGAGTCTTCAAGGGGCGCTATGAGGCCAGGGGGGCGCGACTTGTTGCTGGTGCTGTTAGTAGAACCATTGCTTTCTGGACTTCCATTGGAGGTTGACTCTGTAAAATGTGAGGATGTGACGTGCCCAGCCCGTTCTTTGTCGCTCTCGCCCTCGTAAATGAAGTCGTCCGGTGGAAGGAAAACCCACTCCAAGAACTGCCGGTTATGAAGCGCGTCGAACTTCATACTGTCGTAAAGTTCGGATAATTTACTAGGATCAACCTTCTCTGTATCACAAAACTCCTTGAATAGCTTCTCCCAGCGCTCTTTGAAGAGCTGTGGATCCTCCCCGGCGCACCATCGGCCTTGGATGTCGGCGAATGGCGATTTTTCAGACTGCGATGATGCCTCGAAAGCGCCAGGATGGGTGTCAGGGTGATTTTCTATTTTTTGAAAGTTGTGACGCATCACGCAACGGTGGAATTTCATCAACTCAACCAGAGTGGATAGCACAGTGGAGGGCTCGGGGAAATTCTCTTTCGGCCATGCGAATTGAGGGGGGGCCGAGTTGCCCTCTCGTAGTAGCAGCTTCAGCTTCTTCTTCACCTTGTCCATTACGTCCTTGGCAGCATTTGAATCATCCAACAAGTCCTTTCTTACTTGAATGAAGTCATCAGGTAGATCTTTCTGATCAAGGAATGTCGATGCAAATATTTGGGCTATGTTCTGTCAGTTACCAACAAAACATTTGTAAAAAATAAAAAAGACGAAGAACTTACCACTTGTACTAACCCTTCGCTCCGAACTCGTAAACATCCGAACATCGTTTAAGGCCTCCTTATTCATAAGCTTTAGATCATCTCGCATTGTTAGCCCAACATCTTGCGATTGATAACGAGCTGCGTGAGTCGGCTCCCCACCCCACTTTATCACTAGTTGCAGTTTATCCAATACCAAGTCGTTCTCTACAGCCGAGAAACGAGAGAAGGTCGGACCAGACAGGGAGTCACTGCGTGTCATACGAGACGGGTTAGCGTCCGTGGGAGTAGATGGTGAAGTTGCAGTCGGCTGCATTTCAGTCATGGTTAATGGGGTGATAGCCGGTGAGGTGTGATCCTTCCGCAGTTCCTGGGAATTCCGGCGCCGGAACATAGGTTTTATCTGCACCTTTGTTCCCGGCCATTCAACTTTATGGTCCAATGAGCGTTTCAGCAGCATGAGTTTGTCCCTGTCTTCAATGCCTTCCTTCAGGGCTTGGCTTACAGCATTAGATACGCTGCGTAGAGCCGTGGCTCCTCTGATGATGACTTCCTCCTCATGACCCTTGAGGAGGTCGACGAACGGTTGAGTGTGGAAGGTGAACTTAAATTTCTGTTTCGGGGTTCGGTCTGCATGTCTGATCACTGCTACCATGCCCTTCAGTTTCCAGGAATGTTTAGATGATGGTGGCGGGGCAGTGGGGGTATCCACGGGCGGTGGTAGAGGGCTAGCTAGCAGATGTTCAGGGGCAGAGTTGGCGCTCGTATCGGATAGGTCTTTGGAATGGCTTGGTTTTGTAGATTGAGCGACGGTCTCTAACATTGAGGTGATTGCGCTTGTGTTGCCTGGAGGCGAAAGGGGAGGTTTGTTGCCGGCGAGGTCGCCATGTAATCTTGATACACTGGGTGATTTCAACAGTGACTTGAGTGCGTGCCTGTGTGACCCAGAGATGGACTTGCGTGGCGCGCTGGGTGTTTCGCTTGGGGCTTCGGAAAGGTCAAGTTTCCCCTCCCTTCGCAGCTTTTCGCGAGTGAACATATCACGCAGAATTTTGGCACTTTTGTCGTAATAGTCGTTGTTGTCTTTAACAAACGACCAGCCGTTGACGTCTATGACGTAGGATGCATCTCCAACGCGAAGAAGGTCGAAGCCGCAGATACGTTGACCAAACCCATTGGATATTTTGGAAGCCATGGTAGCTTCCTCTTTGCCTAGATTTGTGATATATCGTAGCTCTTTACCATGGGTGTTTCGGCGGACCAAGCCGTCGACAACTGGCGATTTGCGGGTCTCAGCGTGGCAGTAATCTGGTCCAACAGTGTAGGCCTTGACATCCTCAGCATTGTCAACACGGAGAAACTGTTCATAGAGGTAGCTAACGTTCGGCTCGGTTATGGACCGAGGAACCTTTAGCTCGGCATCGTATTCAGAGCTCTTGTTACCTACTTTACGGAAGAGCCTGCGGCCTCCGCCTCCATAATTTTGGTCATTTGGGAAGTATATGTGAATATTGTGGTCCTCCCCGTTGACAGGTTTCTCTACAAAGGGCTTCTTGAAGACCTTTCCATCGACAATGAGGGCTTCTCCATCCTCCGACATGGTCACGGATTGGGTTTTCGGGGTGCCACCGCCGGTGCCGTCTGGAGGGCCTTCCAAACGTACACCGGTTAGGTTGTAGACGTGCTGGGCAAGCTCAGGAGATGCTAGCGTGGGACCGCCATCACGGTTCACCTCCACCCGCTTAGGTGTGGGCACAGCCATCTGGTCTAGAATGCGAAGGCATAATCTACGGTCCCACAGGACTTGTTGCATGGGGAGGTCATTGATGCAAAACGGTTTTCGGAGGTTTGCATATGCAATGGCCTTGTCCAGAGGAAATCCGTCGGAGAAGAAGGCGATCAAGAAGTCACTAAAAAAGTATTAGATCAATTCACCTTGCAGCGGCGGTTAATAACATTCGACATACCATTCGGGCCAATTCTCCACATCTAGTCAATATTAGTAAGATGCGTTGAGGTATCAAAAGTAAATTTTAGCGAGCATACCTTCATCGAGGATGACTTTGTCACCAAAGACAATGACCTCAAAGTCGCCCTTTGCCTGTAGGCGGGTCAGGATATTGCGACTGGGCTTGCTACGCGCCTTGACGTCGAGTGCACACACTCCAATCCTGCCTATGAGAGGCAGACGTGCTGCTATCCAGTTAGTACCATTCAGTTCTAAAAGGGTGGAAATGGTAGAACGTACCTTCAGCTTCACTGGCACTGCTTGCACCGGTACTCGCGCTAAAGCGTCGAGGCGTCCTGCTTGACGAGCGTCCAGGACGTGGGAGCCAGGCCTGAGACCTGCCATCGTCTGGCTTAGCTAAGTGATTCTGAAATTGAGAAGTGAGGCCTGCGGGTACCGAGTTAGCAGGGTGGACAACAAACGGGAGCCAGGGCGGACGAACCTGGAGACGTAGACCCCGGAGAGGGAGATGTTCCCAGCGCAGGCGTGTTCAGCGAGGAATCAGGCCGAGTAGGTAGCCCGATAGAAACGGGCCGCGGGTCATCCATGGCGGAACGCTTGCCGGAGCCGTCGACACTGGACACGGCAGTGCTGGGTATTCTGTCTCTATCTCCCTGCGCAGAGTAAATACTGGAGGTGAGCGAGTAGAGTGAGGAGAAGGAGACACGATTGCCGTCGCGGTCGGTCAGGTACCGGGGATTGCGCTGGAAGTTTGACGAGGTAGAAGCGTCCGCGGTCTGCTCAATGGGCACCGCAATCGGCTCCGGATGGGATTGCGAGAGCAGGAGTGCTGATGATGGCGATGTGACGGGAGATTGAGGTGTTGACTCTGCAGTCGACTCTGTTAACAACTGGGCTGCTACTGCTGGTGTCTCTGGCTCTGGATTTGCGGCATCCTTGTCCTTGCTGCATGGTGGACTCTTGTCCGGCCGGCCGTCAACGTCAGCTTGCATGGGAAGCAATTGTATATCCAGGGCGTATTATATAGTAGGGAGATGGGAGAGAGAGCAGAACTGTTCGGGGGAAAAGCAGCTGGTGGATGCGACGAAACTCCCTTGTCCGCTCGTCCTGATAGCCACTCTTCGCCACGTGGGGTGCACTAGCAGGGAAGGGCTTGTTGATCGCGCGTTCGAAGTCCCTGCAAGCGCTTCCTGGGCTCTTCGGCGTCGTCTGCGGCGAGAAACGGCGGTGCCGGGGGGTTTGGTCGTCTGGTCGTTTGGGCAAATTAGTTAGGGAGCAAGCTCCGTTTCATCGTGAAAAAAAGACAGACGATAAACCCGCCAGCGTTCACCCCCACTAGACTATGGCGATCTGCCTTCTGATTGACCAGCAAGGAAAAAGCAACGATTAAGGTGAAGAAAAAGAAAGGAAAAGAATATCGAGAGAAGAAGGAAAAAAAAAAGACGTTCAAGAGGTGACGTTCTGGGCTGTCCCAAACGGGCTGCTTCTTAGGGCAAGCCCGGCGCCAAGCATTTTGAAAATTCCATAGCTTTTTTGAGCTTCACATCGATATAGAGAGAGAAGAGACGACGAGAAAGACGAGAAGAAGAGACGAAGAGACGACGACGACGGGAGACGTAATACGGATATGACAAACGAGGTCTTCGGCCTGCCACTGGCAAAGCGCCAGAAAGTCGTTGCCGAGAAATCCAGCCAGTCCAGCGCGCCAGAGGGATCGCGCATCTTCACCCCGTTCCGAGTAAGCTCCCCAGTTCGTGTACAATGGCATAGATACTGATTCTACGGTTAGACACTGGGTCTCGTCTCGTCTACGTCCGTCCCATTTACTTCCATCCCGCTGGGCAAGACTACGTTCCAGATTACCACCTCCGTCGGCCAGTCTCTGCAGACCTATGACTTGCGACGGGGCCTCAGTCTCGTCTTCTTGACCAGACCGCAGACTCCGGCACTAATCACGGCGACATGTGCATGGAAAGATCGGGTGTTTGCTGCGTGGGGCGGCCAGTCACCAAGCCAGCAGCGCGGCGTCTGGGTGTTTAAGCGTGGGAAGAAGCTAGCTGAGCTCGAGATGCCTGCCACCACCACCAGCGCAGAGCCGGTTGAGCAATTGGTCATTTTTGGATCGTGGATCGTCGGGTGCTGTGGCAGCAGTATCCTCGTCTGGAAATCGGCGGATTACTCGCACTACACCACCCTCACTCCGCCGTCGGCGAAGACGTCGACCAAGCTCCTCACGAGCACCCTGTGCACCATGCCCACCTATCTCAACAAGATCTTCGTTGGCCGAGCAGACGGCTGTGTCGACATCTGGAACGTCTCTACGGGGAAACTGGTCTACTCTATCCTCCCCACCGTCCCAGACGCAGGCGCCGTGAGCGCACTACAGCCGGCACCTGCCCTGTCTCTTTTGGCCATCGCGTATACCTCTGGGGCACTCACGATCCACAACATCCAGACGGACAGGCCTGTGCTCCTACTGAGAAAGCCGGGCCCCAATACCACACCGATCACCACCATCTCATTCCGCACGGACGGGATTGGGGCTGGCGAGGATGGACGGAAGGATGGTGTGATGGCCACTGCTGGTACGGGCAGCGGAGATATTGTCATGTGGGATTTGAACAATGGCGGCCGTGTGACCGGCATACTAAGGAATGCGCACGAACCGTCCGGGGAAGACAAGGGTGCGCAAATAAATAAGATCGAGTTTCTGGCAGGCCAGCCAGTTATGGTCTCGACGGGGTCAGACAATGCGCTGCGCACCTGGATATTCGACGAGACTCCGTTCTCTCCTACGCCGCGGCCGCTACATGCGCGGTCCGGCCACTCCGCGCCAATCACGAAAGTCATGTTCGTACCCTCTGGCTCCGATGGGTCTGAAACCATAGGCAAGTGGCTGTTGAGTGCTGGCCAGGACCGTAGCTTGTTTGGCCTGAGCCTGCGTAAGGACTCTCAGAATTCGGAGCTCTCGCAGGGGAAGGTCAAGAGCAAGGCAAAGAAGACAGGCGCATCGAGCACTCCGTCTGGTCAGCAGACGATGCGGTATGAAGAATTGAAGGCTCCCGAGATAACTTGTTTGGCTTGTTCATTGAACCGAGATGGTGGGATGGGCACAGCTGTTGGAGGGCCTGTCTGGGCGAATGCAAAAGCGGCAAGCGCCGAGAATACAAATATAACAGGCTGGGAGAGTATAGTTACCGGGCATAAGGGGGATAAGTTTGCACGCACCTGGGTTTGGGGCAAGAAAAAGGCCGGGCGGTGGGCGCTGGAGACGGGTGATGGCACGGAGGTGAAGGTATGCACACACTTCACAAGTCTCTATCCTGTTTCATATCCGCTAACACATCCATAGAGCGTCGCCATTTCACAGTGTGGGACGTTTGCGCTGGTTGGCTCTGACGGAGGCTCTCTGGTCATGTATAACCTACAATCTGGCATTCGTCGCCAGACCTTCCCGCCACGGTTGACTCCCGCCCAAGCGAAGAAAGCAAAACTACAGCAACTTGTCGCCACGGAAGATGATCAACCTGAGATGAAGAAATCCACAAAACATTCCAAGGCGGTTACAGGAATTGTTGTCGACAGTTTAAATACCACCGTGGTCAGCTGTGGCCTCGATGGGAAAGTCAAGGTACGTACCTGCGTGGAGCTAATTTATATGAATAATGTCGATTCTAACTTGTCTAGTTCTGGAGCCTACTCACCGGCCAACTTCTGGACGAGCTGGACTGGAATCCCATGTGCGCCATAACAGGCCTCCGCTTCAGCAGCACCAGTGACCTTCTTGCCCTGAGCTGCGACGACCTGTCCATACGTGTCATCGATATCCAAACCAAAAAACTAGTCCGTGAGCTCTGGGGCTGCGTTGGCCAGGTTAACGATTTCACCATCTCGAATGATGGACGCTGGATCGTTGCCGCGTCTATGGACTCGGTGATTCGTGTCTGGGATTTACCCACCGGCCACCTGATCGATGCATTCCGGCTGAAGAATACCTGTGTTGCACTGACGTTTTCGAGCACGGGCGAGTTTCTCGCCACTGCCCACGCGGATGGGGTAGGAATCAATATCTGGAACAACAAGAGCCTGTTCATGCATGTTCCGACCAGACATATCGATGAAGATGCGATTGCGGTGGTTGCTGCTCCAACCGCATCTGGAGAAGGCGGCGTTGCTATGATTGAAGCCGCCTTTGGTGACGATGTGACGGCGGATGACCAGGAGGCGCCAATCCTTACCCCTGATCAGCTTAGCCATAACATGATGACCCTGAGCATGACCCCAAAGACAAGGTGGCAAACTCTTCTACATCTAGACACCATTAAGGTAAGAGCCCTCCCCCCCGGCGACGTTGCTGTGTTGCCCCTTATTAACAATCGTAGCAACGAAACAAACCCAAGGAAGCTCCGAAGAAGCCGAAGAAGGCTCCGTTCTTCCTCCCGTCGATCGAATCGAACCCTACATCTGAATCAGCGAGCCTGGATAAAGCCATCGCCGACGATGACGACGAGAAGAAGATCTCGCAAGCCGAACGAAGCCGGATCGCGCGGATACAGCGCGTGAATAGCTCTGGCGGACAGTCATCGCAGTTCACAACCTTACTCCATTCCTGCGGGCGGTCGTCCGACTTCGTCCCGTTCATCGAGTACCTGAAACTGCTCTCCCCGGCGAAGACCGACCTGGAGATACGCTCCCTCGACCCAAGGAACCGCGATGACCAGGAGAACGAGCTGGCTCTCTTCGTCCGCGCGCTGACGGAGCGGCTGAGGCAGAAACGAGACTTTGAGCTGGTGAACACGTGGATGGCCGTCTTCCTGCGTGTCCACGACGACGCCGTCGAGGCTGCCGTTGGGCCTGAAGCGAATGATGGCGAGGGAGGCATGTTTGGCACCAGTGTGGCGCTGCAGCAGGCCCTGGGCGAATGGAAGGCTGAGCAGGAGAGCGAGGCCAAGCGGCTGGCTGATCTGGTCAGCTATTGTCGCGGTATCGTGGGCTTCTTGCGGTCCGCACGGTAGCACCTGGACATACACTTCCTTTACTTCTTTACTTCCCTTTTCTTGCCCTGATATCTCTTTCTTGCCTGATATCTTGATATCTCTTTCTTATATCGATGTGTATACACGCGATGACTAAGCATGCGGCTACTGCCAAGAGTTTCGAAAGTAAGATTAGCATTACGTAATAACATCAGCTTCCTTGAACTTCTTCCTGTGTTTTTGGCAGCCGCAAGTTGATCAGGCTGCGTAAATCTCCGAGACAACTCCCGGAGCTGTTGGATGCTCTCTCGACTCGCCGACGACTGCCTGGATATATCTGCGTGAGCTTCTTTGCGTCTCTCCCTTTTATCCTGTGACGGCTTCGATCTTGGCCGGATAGTTCACTTATCGATATCGCATACAACACGTCACACCAAGCACAATAACCACCACAACAACCACCACAACCACAGCTATGCGTTGGTTTGCATGGCTCATCATCATCATCCTGCTCGCCCTCCTCGCCTACGCCGGCTGGATTGTCTACTCTCAGATACGCGCCCGACGAGCCGGCCTTCCGCCGCCGCCATGGAAGTCATACATACCATTCATGTCCACTCCGGCATCGACGTTCGGGGACAGCAATTACCCTACTCCTCGAAGCGGTGGGATCGCAGGCTGGTTTAAAGACAGAATTGCAGCTTTGCGCAATAAAAGGACGCATCAGGGAGCGTACGAGGACCATCTCGAGCCAAGAGCCTATCGAGGCGCCGGCGGACCTCTCTCCGAACATGATGAGCCGTGGGACGCACGCATGGGTGCTGCTGAACGAGACGGCGGCTTCGGGCCACCTGGATACTACGAGGAGCAAGAGCTGGATTTCGCGTCCAGAGGTGGAGCTGCCGGGGCCGGTGCAGGATACGATCGAGAGACACATGCGTATGGTGGAGCTGCTGCCGCTGCTGGGGAGGATAGAGGGAGAAGCCGGAGTCGAGACCCGTCGCCCCTAAAGTCGGGACATGCAGACGATCCGGAGAACCCATTCGGTGACCATGCGGAGGGTAGCAACTTGAGGAGCATCAGTCCACGACCGGAACCGAATACCAGAGGCCCAGCAGCTAGCGAGAACCCGTCTTCTGCAAGGAAAGGCGCCTTCAGAGAGTCGTTATGATCCGTCTCGCGTGAATGGCTAATTTTCTTCTTTTCATTATCAACGATATCCCTTCCCCTATGTATATAACCTTCTCCTCTTCTTTTTGTCTTTTTTTTTTTCGAATTCGAACCCCTATGGAGCTAAATTATGCGTATAACGATAGTACTACTTGGAGAAATGCGACTGGAACTAGGCCGGACTTGTTCTTTATCAACCACCTGCGCCACTGTCTCTATTTGTATAAAGTATGGGGTATAGCGCCACTGTCTCTAGTTCTAAGGAATGGGTCTAGTTGTATAAAGTATAGGGTCTAGTTGTAAGGAATAGGGTATAGACGAAGATTATAATATCATAATACCTAAACGCTAAGTAAAGACAAGAACGGCAGATGCAGACTGCACAACTTTTCAACTCTCCTGCTCCTCGGCCAGCGGTTTCCTCCCCGTTACGACATAGAACCTGATGTAGGCATGCACACTGCGGTCCTGTATACTCTTTCGCACGTTGACGAGAAAGACCTCGATCTCCTCTGTCGACCATCCCATGCCGAAGAACGGCTTATACGACCACCCCGACAGCGCGTCCAGCCAGTTCCTCTCGTTCCAGGCGCCAATAACCTTCATACGCTCGTCCCTCGGCCATGTGTTCATGGGCACCTTGAAGATGTGTTCCTTGATGTCGACGAAGCCCACCGCTCTCATGCACTGTGCAAGTTGGTGTGCGATCCGAAACTGCCTGGGCGGATCCGAGGCGAGACCCGAGTGGATGCTCAGGTTTAGCCAGTCGTGCAGAGCGTATTCGCTGAAGCCGTCTCGTTTTCCCATCGGCAGCGAGCCGTCATCGCAGCCCAGCCGCGGGTCTACCTCGTGGCATTCGAGATAGCCGCCCGGCTTGGTGTACCTGAAGGCCTTGCGCGCCAAGTCTTCAAACGACGGTAGGGATCCCGTCAGGTGTGCAGCGCGAATGAAATCGAAGTGATTGTCGTTCCACAGCCAATCCTCCTCCCTGGCATCATCGATCAGGAAATCGACATTCGGGGGAACGGCCGTTGGCTGGACAGGGGAGAGATCCGTGCCGATGATCCTGGCGTTCGGGAAGACGGACGCTGCAGAGAGTAAATAAAGGCCGAACAGTAATATATAGAGAAAAAGACATACGTACCCGCCTCTATCGGCCATATCCCCGAGCCAGTGCCGATGTCGAGCAGTCTCTCTGGATCCTGGAGCGGCGCGATGAGTAGTCGTCCCTCGAGCACCATGGTGTACAGATGGTGCTGCAGGTCCAACCGGTCCAGCTCCGGCTCGTCGTTTGGATATACGTATGCTAGCCACAGAACTTAGACCGAGTCTCTCCATTTTGTCAATCTGAGTGTGTCAATCTGAGCGCGTACCACCCTCATGATACCGGTGATATCGTCTTCCATGTTCGATGGGATAGTTGGTCACCGGCGAAGTCAACGAATGCGTGTCGCTGCGTAAACTGTTGGCATCACTCCGACCACGACGGGAGGGCACTTACTCGAGATGGCTGTCACACTGGAAAGGACGTTAGCAGGTAGAAGTAGCAGAAGGATATAAAGCGGGATAGAGAAGAAGACTCACGTCGGTGTCGGCGTCCATCGCCTCTGCCGGTACGTAGATAGACATCTAAAGCCGCGCTGTGGATGGTGAGACATGTACGCAGTCGCACTAAAGCTGGACTAAAGCTGGACCCGAGGGGAAAACAGCATCTACTTATATTCCGTGGGCTTGGGGGACGCGATCGGCCGGGCAGGGTTCCTTTTGGCGGACAGCCTTTTGGATGTGAGCAGACGGTCTGATCAACGATAGCATTCGTTGTTAAGGCCTTAGCGGATAACCTTGGAGTGGCAGCTCTGGTATCTCGCCCGTGCAAACATGGGCTAACTGGTACTTTGCTGGCAGGCGTCCAGTCAGCGCTCTCCTCGGCGGCAATGGAGAGGAATAAGGGCGCAGACGGAAAAAGAAAGGAAAAGCATGCTGGACCAGCTGTCGAAATCGGTCAATTAAGCTTGCCTGATCCCTACTGTCGGGCAGTTAGGGGAATTGGCAGCGCCATAGCCTGATACTACGAGTATTACATGTCTGAGATACAGATAGTGAGGTACTCCATACATCTACATTGATAGTGAGATAGAGAGATATATAGAAGTTGAGATAGTGAGATAGAGAGTTGAGATAGTTGTATAGGAGATACTACCCCTGATCCGGCTGGACTCCGAGAACCTTGACCTCGCTGTCGGTGCAAACCTTTTACCAAGCCTGGTTAGGTTGTAGCATCGTTTCAGGGGTTCATTGGCTGATATCCTGTCCGCACCGCCAGATGGCTGCCAATAGAGCGTCTGGCTGTGTAGGATTCCGAGAGTCTTAAGCTGAAGAAACTACAAGTCTCCGCATTTACAGCCAATAGAAGATATTTGGATATGTCCAGGTCTTAGGGTAGATAGAACTCTCAGATTGAACAGCTAGCTAGCTACAGAGTACGTATAATAAACAGGCAGACCATCAAAAGCTTGTGCACTCCACACTGATCAAGACTCAGGTTGAATCCGCGCAAGATGGACCCTTTCGTCCTTTTCAGCGGCCGCCCATTCCTGCTCTATGATCTGCCTATGCTGCGGGCTGCGGACTTTCATGGACGCCTTCAAGGCCGCAGGGCCGGAGACAAGCTCGTGTACCATATTCCACGGGTCGATTTCCACCTTCCTCCCATTCTCGTAGGCGTGGGAGATGTCAAAGGACCAGAGAACCTGAGCGGTTACAATCAGCAGGGAGTTCCGAGCAAGGTACTGTCCCGGACACATCCTCCGTCCAAAGCCAAACGCCGCCGCCGGCAAACTGGCCTTCTCCAGCCATCTTTCCGGCCGGAACTCGTGTGGGTCTCCAAAGACATCAGAGTCCAGATCCACGCCCCAGTGCGTTGCAAACACGGCTGTGCCCTTTGGGATGCGGTAGCCCATGTACTCGTCGTCCTCCAGCGGTGCGTGAGGAAAGCCGAGCGGCGTCACGGGCCTCCACCGCAGTGCTTCCTTGACGAGTGCGTTGATATAAGGTAGGTTGGGCATGTCTTCAAAGGTTGGCAGTCGGTTTGGTCCGACGACGGTGTCCAGCTCCTTTTGGGCACGAGCGGCAACCGAAGGGAAGAGCACCATCGCCATCACGAATACTTCCAGCACCGTAGATGTCGTATCAGTCGAGGCCTCGATGAGGAAGCCGATAGCGTAAGACAGCTGTCTCGAGTCCAGTTCGCCCGCAGCATTCCTCTTTATCGCCTCTTTCGCCCAGTTCCACGATTCGGCCTTTTCGCCGGCCATCATGGATCGCGCAAAGAAGGAGTTGACCCTCTCGAAATAGACGTCGCCCGTCTTCTTCCACGGCGCCAGGCATCGTGGAAGGTGGTTCAAAAACGGATAGGCTTCAAGCATCGACCCGAGGAAACTCTGAACGGTGGTTGCGAGCATCCTGGTGAGTTCGTCGGCTTCCTGAATCTCGGGCTCGCCGGAGTGTCTCAAACGCTTGCCATAGGCCAAGGTAAACGTCACGCTGAGCGCAAAACGGTGGAAAGACGGCACGAAGCCATTATTATCCAGGATTTCGTTGAGGAGCTGTCTGCTTTCCACTTCCTGTATTGGACGGTACTTTTGGGATATTTGAGGGTTCAGCACGGCTGTCTGTATGCTACGATGAACCTTCCAAGTATCGCCGTACGGCAGCAAGGCCGTGCTGTATCCTTTGCTCAAACAGTCCCCAGCACAGATCATATGGGGTCGGGAACTGTAGATCTCGCCTCGTTTGTTCAGGAGGTCTCGGACGGCTTTGTGAGTGCCTAGTAAGATGATCGTCTTCTGACCGTACCTTAGGCTCATTATTGGGCCGTATACTTTGTGCCATTCTCGGTATCGCGTCCATGGGTTCTTCATAGGCGTCTGGTGCATATTGCCGATTAACGGCAGCTGGTAAGGGCCTGGGGGCAACGGCATCCCCCCTTTTCTCAAACGGTAGAGCGCGGAGATGGCACACAACAAGGTTAATGCAAGTAACAGAGGCACGCCCAACCCATCAACGGGTCCGTGGCGTGCCGAATCGATGTCAGGAAGGGGGATATCCATGTTGAGCTCTTATGGCTGATGTCTCTGGTGATCAAAGCAGCATCTACTCCAGGGAACTATGTCGATGGGGCTCCCTGGTTGTATGGTGGCTGCCTCCGCCTCCTTTATAGACGATCAGGCTGACCTTGACTGGTCCAGGAGGGGGATATCATTTGCATTGATGCCTCGGATGAGATGTTCCATTCTTTTGCCAGTTGAAGCCCAAACCATGACAGTCGAAGGGGGGGGGGGAAGGCCCCGAGTACCATGCATGGTAAGAAAGCAAACGATGTCCGTCAAGCAAGAAATTCCGGCACTTGCTTTTTCATTTCTGTATCATCTGCCTGCAGACAACTTGACTGCGGTCCAGTTCTAGCAGCAGCAGTAGTTACGTGGCCTGTTATCATATGCCATGACCGCACGCTCAGCATCGTACTCTGTATATCCCATGCAAACAGAATGCTCTCGGAACCTTAACTAATGCTATCGACGGGGACTCGGTGATGGCTTTCTAGCGAGCTCTCATCCCTCGTCGCCTGCAGGACATCAAGGGACCATTCAGCACGCATTCCCAGAGTCTGTGCGGCAGAGGATGTTTGCTGAAGGTCTTTAGGCCGTTCTCGTTTTTCTCTTTTTTTGCTTTTTTTCTTTTTTCTATCTCGGTCAAACCTGGTGCGCGCAGCTTTGGGTTTAACAACCTCAGCGGAGCTGACTGCAGGAGTCAATTGGTATATCAACTGGCGAAGGGGCCCGCCTTTCTGGCTATACGAGTCGTGGGACGCTTTGCTGGCACTTCCATGCATATCAGGATGACATTTGTCCTCGGAGAGGCTTCCAATAGGGGAGGAGATCGACGGGGGGGTATTCGACGGATCGACGGCTGGCTGGAGAAGCCACCACCGTTTCAAGGATGTGGTGATGGGCTCCCGGTGCTTTGGCACCCGGTCCCCCTCTTCCTCTAACGCTCCGGGGTGCAGCTTGATTCGATTCACTTATCCTATTGGGGCGGTCGGGGCCACTGTGCTGGGTCTTGCAGGTCGCTAATATGCACTGGGCGGTTTGGCTTTTGTGGACGACATCGCCGTACAAGCCACAAAGGCCGGGAAGAAAAGGATAGAACAATTATCGACAAGGTACGGGCACTGCGCTTTACCACACGAACTCAAAATCAAAAAGACAAAACCGACTATAGGCTTTTCTAGGTTATCTAACTCATCCTATAGGGCTCTCATGATGGGCTTGCCCGATTGGACTGTTGTAATTCGTATCAATCCAACACACGAAAAGAAAAGACACCTAAATCACCTACGTAACCAACGAAGCCATCCATCATTAACACGCAGAAAGGAGAAAACACAAAAAGAGAAGGGCATTGGTTATATGGAAAGCTAGACTCCATTTCCATTGGTCGTATGCTGCGGTTTCCCGCTTACCGCTTCCAAACGATGTCGGACGGACTGTAAGTAATAACGACCACAATTCAAATGCCACGCCGTATATCCTTGCTTGAAACTCGCCCAAAGCGTTGCAGCTAGCATTGTATCGAGAAACTCTCGTGTCGGGGTGGTTCCTCCATTTCCTGCAAGGTCTGCAGAACCGACGATAAAGGCTCGGTCCAAAGAATGGATGTTATTGAGACACTTCTCGTATGTATCGCATAGCGTGTCTCTGACAGTCCAAAGACTTCCATCGCCACGGAAGCGAGATGGACATCTCATTGCACGCCTCGTCCTGGTGGTGAGGGAGACGTAGTTCGACAGGTCACCCTTCAATACTTCCTTTGGGAAGGAAAGAATATCGTTGATGAAATTGATGGTGGCGATCACAACTGGCACATAAGGCAGCCAGAGGCGATAAGGAACTTCGATCCCGCGCGTGGGTTTGAAGATGGCCACCGCATAGGGCCAGGGAGCACCGGTGATTCCCCGAATGTAGGATGGAAACCCTTCGACAAGACATGGGTCGCTAGCAATATTCTCCTTCCCGTTTGATCTCGGGGAGAAGTAGGAAAGGCGGCTTTCCAGACACCATCCGTCAATATAGTTTGCCCATCCGGTAGCTCCCAGGGTCCCGATGAGAGGGTCTTGAGCCCCGTAGAGCTCCGTGAAATCCTTGATCATATCCACGAACATACCGCACCATTCGTGCCCGGGAGGGAGACCCTGCCATATGCGGCATTGCAAATATGGTAGCTCTTCCCGAGCAGCTGGCGGCAAGAAAAAATCATCTGCACTCAGGGCTAAAGTCGTTCCCTGGGCCATGCACAGCCTGAGCTCGTGAGATGCAAATGGATAGTAATACTCCGAAACGGTGACGCCTTGCTCGAGAATCGGCTCTAGAGAGTTGATGTCATGTCCCGTGGCACTTGTAAGTTCTGCTTCAGCCCACTCCCAGAGTCGGGCTCTCAGCAGGGTATCCTTCTCTTGGTTTATATGGATATAGCCGGCAGCTTTGAGGAAGTGGTAGATAGCATCATTCATGACTTCCATAATCTCTCGCTTCTCTGCGTCATCAAGCCCGTCGACATCATGGTAATCGAGACAGGAATACTTCTCGTCCGAGAAGAGGGTGAACATATCCATATCCATACCCATCGCGTCAAAAATTGCTCAATGGTTCCCGGTTGAGCGTGGAAGAAGCTGTAAAAGACGTTGGAATTTGAATTGAATTGTTTCCGAGTTGAAGCCTTTCTATCCTTTATATATATTGATAGAGACAGGATGCCGGTTACAACAAGCAATGTTTGCTCTGGGTAGCCAAGGGAGGCATGGTGTCCAACGGATCATTCGCGAGGATCAGAATGGGGCACTTGTACGGACACGTAGGTTATCTGCAGACTTTCCTATAGGCATAGCATAGTCCGCCCAATCATCTGTGCTGGGATCGTATCGATGGCGTTGCCATATATGCAAGGCAAGAATGAGTAACGGTGGAGTGCCCCCCCGGTTGAGAATACCGGCGAGTTGGCAGACCGGCTAAACAGAAGCATCACTTTCGCGGTTCATGCTCGTTTTCAAGGTGTCCAACGACGACCATCTTTCCTTCACTGACGCATTCCTACTATAAAGGAGATTTGCGAATCTGTCCCAGAAAACACAGTTCGATCCCGTATAGTTACGGGCCGCTCCTCTTCTCCGCGCTCTTGTCTGGCGGGTGGGACGTCAGACAAACGCTAAAGAGGGAGATCTGGCTAGCGTACTGACTCAATCAGGAGAATGAAGATATATTTAACGGGCTCACGGCCCTCCGGGTCAAGGTTTCGTTAACAGTCCAATCGTTGCGGTGAAGTTATTTAGTAGCCAGCACCGACAACAATGTGACGCCGCGTGGGAGAACGGCGGAATTAGGGTGGAGGGTCCTTGGAATCTTTTGAGCCCACTACCCCGCCCTTGGTGGCCTTATTTCAGCTGTGAGCTGGAGTTTCTGGATGGTAGTAACCCGGTCATCGGTATCCGCGAGGGCAAAATTGTATAAACAAGGTCAGATTGCAGATTATGACGTCTCCGCAGCAGCATTATGGATATCGACGTCGGCGACCCCATCGAATATGATCGGCTCCTCGTTCCACAAAAACTGACGGATGGATTCAAGTTAGCTGCGGCGACTGTTCAAGGATTGCTTCTAAAAGCAATAACTATCTTAACGAAAGCAAAAGTTTCTGCGGTTGAAAAAAGTATGTAGAGCGGAACAGTATATCTCCATCAGATATATACAGCTTGGCGGTTGTTTCTTTTTCACCGAATAGCCTTGCTTCGCCTCGACAGTCGAAAGGTTAGCGACTATTGGTAAGGATGTTGTTATATGCAGCGTGTTGTGTCCATCGAGTGGTTGTTTGGTGGTGGTCGTTTAGTGGTGAGAGATATATGATTATGTAATCAGGACAGCCACAAGCTTGTCTCGTCTGATTTTGTAGCCTTCGACGGTTATGCTCGAGCATGAGAATCCTTAGAGATGGGTATTCCGCGTCTGAAAGGACACCTTTTACGGTATGAAGAAACTGTCTGGCTGGGGGATTCGACTCCCAATAATGGAGAGAATACCAGAAAAATCACATCCGTGGTAATCGATGGCCCTGCTCTCGTCTACCATGCCTACTACAGTGTGTTGGCGACTATGGAACAGCATCTCAATCCGTTTTCCGCGCAACCTTCTAGCGACGAAGTAAGCACCGGAGTAATGAAGATTTTACTCCATCTGCGGAATATTGGTGTCACGGTGTATGTTAAGCCGTCTATCTAACGGGTATGCATCTATATATACCTTGTCTGACATTATACAGAGAGAAAATCTACTTTGACGGGGCACTCCCGGAATCAAAGCGTGAGACACGCATAGAGAGAATGAGGAAACTGGCTTCGAAGCTCGAGCTGGCCTGTCTTGCTAAGGAACGCGGGTTTAAAAGTGGCACTGCTCAGCGGAGCCGGGCGAGGCCTGATACTGAGATATTCTTCAGCCGGCGTTCAATGAACCCGAAATTTTATGACCTACCCGACAACCCGCTTATGGTTGCTACGGTAGTAGAGGATCTGAAATACCGGTGGGACTGGGAGTCTATCAGGTTGTATAACCATGGCAGCATAGAAGGAGTTTCCAACCTTACAGAACGTCCGTGGGCGGATATAACAGAAGTTGTTCTCGGAGAGGCTGATATCTACTGTGCGGAGACTGCACGAGAACGTGGCTCCGCTGTGCTTACCGGGGACTCGGATCTTCTCGTACATGATCTAGGGCCCAGGGGTTCGGTGATATTCCTCGACTCAATCGAGAGATATGAAGTCTCGGGGACCAAGAATGGACTGCTACCCTTGGGTTTACGAGCGACTGAAATGTGTCCTTGCAAAATTGCCAAACAGCTGGGGGTGAAGAGCCTTCAGAGAGTGGGGTATGAACTGAAAAGGGATCCGTATATGAAATTATCCATGATCACAGAGCTGGCCAAGTCTGATGACGAGAAAAAAGAGACGAGCTCTTCGTACATCGCGTTTTTGAACGAGTATACATCTTGTGCTTACCGGGCGTCTGAAGAGGACAGCAAAGAGTTTCCTCTTCTTGATTCAAAAGTATCAGAACTGGTAGCTCAGTATTACCATCCCGGGTTTAGTCCAGATGGCGACGTGCTGTACTCTTATCTGCCAGTCATGATAGAGAAACACGGTCGGCGGTGCGCCTGGGCGGAAGCGACCGATATCAGGACCATCGCTTATTCTATATTCAATTTATCGTTCCTCGAAGGGAAGAGGAGGGTTACAGTCCGCGAGCATTCGCGGAGAGGGGAGAGAATAGCTTCAACGTCCGTCTCCCTGTTGAGCGAAGAAGACCTTGCACCGCTAGCTGAAGATTTACTTGAGCAGTTAAACTCGCTCCTATCCTCAGTAAAAGGTACAAGCATATACTGCTGGGTATTATTTGCGCTGCTACGAATTTATTCAGATCAAGAGCTCTCCTCCATTCCTAAACATCGTGCAATGAAGAACTTCTTCAAAGTGGGTTATGCTGGAGAGATGTTGAAATGGGACGACATTCACCTGCGAGCGCAAATATTATGTACCCTCTACTCCCTGAGAATGCTAAAACAGTTTTTGCAAGTTTCGTCGCTCAGTGGCGGCGCAAGGGTGCAGCGTCTACGGAAGCAGCTTCTCGATGTGTTATCTGAATTACCTCCTTTGAGGATATTGTCTGATGCTGGGATCGGCTTCAGCGGTACTATAGAGAGCCATGACAAGGACATAAGTCATATTATCAATGTTATGTTTGAGCGACTAGGAGGAGACCAACATCAGGAAAAGAACGATAGGGTACAACCTGAAGACGACGGACAACCATATCTGTCAAACAATAAGAAGAGAAAGAGGGAAAAGAAAGGGCTCAATCTCCCACCCGCAGCCCGCCAGCGACCAATACCTAGCAGGAACATGTATGATATTCTACAAGAGGAGTAAAAAGGAAGGAGGTTTGACTCTACCTAGAGCTACCAAGATAAAACAACAAATCGTAATTAAATAAACCCTCAAATTGGTGTATATATATAGAAAATGACGAAAAATAAGCCAAGTCGATCCCAAATGCGTTATTCGTTCGTTGTCCGTATGCATCATTCATTTTGATATCCTTGACATCCAACAACCTATGCTCCTAGCAAGGCCATGGGAATTACTAGTCATCAGGGTAGATCACTGGAATATATATTAGGGGCATTTCTACCTGCCGCTGCTGCTGTCCGACGGTCTGGCCTGCAGGCTGATATGATACCGGGGACGGAAGTGGATGTGTATCTCTCTGGCTGGACGTGCGATGATCCTCCATGACTTCAGCGTCGCCAACGTCAGGATTCATGTCAAGGTCAAGTGAATGCTGCAGTTGCCTAGCTATAGCTTCATCTTGCACTTCCTGGCGACGTCTCATATCAACTTCTTCCTGGTAAAGGATTGGACGCCGCACACCAGCTTCAGCGTCGACTTGCCTCCCATTACCAAAAACATCTGGGAGCTGTGGCGCATCGCTGTAATTGAACCATGGGCAGTCACAAGTCTTCCACTTAGAGCCACAAACAATACAGAATTGCGCTGTGCATCGGCAGGTTATATGATTGCAACCTTCCTTCAGCTCTACCATGGCAGAGCAATTGAAGCAGCGCTGCCATCCTTCCCTCTCGGCCACTTCCGCGAACTTGATTGAGGCTTCATCCTTGGGGCAGTCCTTATTTTTGTGCCATTTCCCATTGCACATACAACAGACTTTCGTTTTGCAGCGGCCACATATTCCATATCTACGGCCACCTGCTGCACTAGAGCCCGTATCTGTAAATATGCTATCAGGGGTTATCCACCTTCCGCAACCTTTAGAAGGACAGTATATTCGATTCTTTGTAGTGTACTCCCGGTATTTTTTGTTCCACTTTAGCTTGAACTTGTAGTCGAATAATTTCTCAACATGCCTCAGGGGTATATGGTCAGATGTGCAACACCGGGGTGGCATATGCTGAGGGTCAGTAATAGACAAAGTAAATATCCGCTTCAAGCAGCTGTGGCACAACCGATGCGAGCATGCAAGCTTGGCTGATTTAGAGACAGGAATGTCATCAGACATGCACGTTAGGCAGGTAATGCTTTACGAATATTAGTCTCCATGATATAAAGTAGATTGACTAAATGAGCATGAACACACCGTTTTTCAGGTAATGGGGCGGGTATGCTGAACAACTTTTGTAATAATGTTTGTGGGCGGGCTTTTTTCCCGTCATTCACGGACTGCGATGGCTTCACCGTAGACTCTTTCCCCGGAGAATAATTTGATTGCGGAGATTCGGATATACGTGCTCTTTCTTTCTCTGCAGGTATAGAGGCCCGATGTGAATGGGCACCAGCTTGAAGGACTTGGGATGGCCTATAGATACACGGATAGTAGTTAGGGATGACAAGCTACACATGTTCATAACATAAACTCGGGATGCCTACCCTAAGGTATGACTTTGCCGTCGATGCTTTGTATTGGTCTCGACATCCGGATGCTGGCATGAAGTATTTTGGCTAGATCTGGTAGCGTGTGAGCTCCGTCGTACTGTAGGAGCCTTGAGCTGAGCTTCATATCCATGGTGACGATGTGATTTATGAGTTCTCAAAGACGACTCGTAGGTTCGCTTCTCTTTCTTCGACAACGTCCCCTCATGATCCCTTGACTCTAGTTCTGTATCTGTCTCTAGCTCCAGCCCTTTTTTTGATCGACGATGGGAGCGACGATGAGGATGGGAGGATGCCGAATTCTCCGCTCGTTGCATATTGACTCTGCAACTGAAAGGACGAGTCTCAAGGCGAACGGCTTGCTATGTATCTTTACCGATGTAGTATTGGTATTCCAACGACAGGGGCGTCTGTCATATATCGTATCTATGACGGCGCAGTGCTTGGTTGAAATGGTGAAATACGATCATAGCTAGAACGCCATTATGCGGCCAAGTATCACGGCAAGCCTGTGATTCTGGCCGGCTGATCCTATTGGTAAGGTTGATCGGTGGTTCTTCACCATGTTCGTTGGCAAGGTCTCTCGCCACCATTGAAGGATGTATATATGTATTGCTTGTCGTGATATTTAGTACTCCGTAAGGAAAAATGATTCCACGGCCAGCCCCTCTCTGAAGCTGGTAGCCTGACAACATTAGTTATACCATGTAGACTGGTCAAGGGTGAATAGAAATGTTTTGTAAATGAGACTGGCTGTGGTGAGAGTACGAGGTTCTTGGTAGCTGTGACTTCATCAACAATCCATCAGCCAATTAACTGGTCATCCCTACTTATCGTCCTTATCGCCCGCCGTTTGACACGGCCAACAGCTGAAGCCTGTCAGTGTGAAACAAACGGAGAAGCCGTTGGACCAGGATGGTTGCTAGCGTCGAGAGTGGTCTGAAACCTCTGCGGAGGACAACTTTCCAAACCACTAAATCTTACGGAGCACTCGGATAATACCGTCGTGGGGGCGTCGATAGGTATTTGATCATACGGTGGCTTTTTATGTGCAGCGACGTTGTTGACTTTCCTAGATGCCAGAGGCGAGTAGGGTTCAAATGGACAGAGACTCATGAGCAAGGTTGGAGAGTATACCGGAGTCAGTTGGAATCAAATATGCCAAATTACAAATGCGTTATGTATATATGCATGTATGTATTGCCAGGACATCGGGTTCATTAACTATGACAAGGAGCATTAAAGCTCCTTCACAACACCAGGTCGCAATAGTTTATCCTCCTTTCCAAATACCGAAACATTTTTGACTATCCCAATGAACCTACGATGGTTATCCCTCGAATTGCCAAGACGTGATCGAAACATGCGCAAGAGATCGTTACTCAGTATGCCGGTAGCGGGGATAGCAGCGTGTATTTCAGTGGCGGTAGGGAACGAGGCTGGGGGTGCTCCCGCTGCCACGTTGGTGCCAGAGACCGAGCCTCGCCTTGACCCTGAACCTAATGGAGTAGATATGCCTAGATACGTCAGGACTAGTAAGTAATGAGATAGCAATGTAAAGGATAAGAGAGATGGAACGAACCACGGTTGCTTTCAGGGCTGCTGGCTCGACTGCCACCCATAGCCTTGCCTGCAGGGGTGGGACTTCCAGCACGAGAACCCATTGGCGTTCCCGCCTTCGATTTCACGCCTTGCATGTTAAGTTTCAGTCTCTTTGAAAGAGTACCATCACTCATCTCTGCACCCGAAGCCGCGGCCCTTTCAACATCACTAGCTGATCCAGCCCTGGCGGGGCCATTTCGGATACGCTTCTTCGCGCCAGCTGCTGCCTGGCCGGTACTAGAGCCATCGTTTGCGTTGTTTGCACCCGACACTTTCCTCTGGCCTTGTGGGGCAGGAGAGATGGGCCGGGAAGCAGGCTGAGAGGTTGAGAGCTGGGTAGAGAGATGCTTGTTTTTGGGCTTCTTGCGGGATGTATCTGTACCGCTTGCGTCAGATAAATTCGGGGAGCCTGGCCGTTTCCGGGCAGCAGCCTGCGCCCTCTTCAGCGGGTCAGAGTGCTTATGTCGCCCTGACGGGGTATTGGTGCCCTTGGTAGACGACCCAGAAGGTTTATCTGATTGATTTTCTTTCCGTTTCGGGTCTTCATCTAACTTCTTTTGCTCTTCCCTCTGGCGTTCCAGCTCAGATTCGTCCGTACTCTAGATATGCCGTTAGTCAACAATGCTATGTGGCTTACAATAATTAGGAAGACGATTACCTCTTCATCCGAGTAAGGATTAGCATCAGATCCACTGCTGTAGTCGAAGTTCTTTTCTCGTCGTTGCAGGGCCTTTCGAACCTGCTTGCCAAAGCTTTTGAGGTCTTCCTTGTGCTTCTTTTCTTGATGTTCCTCTTCATCGTAGTCTTTTTCTTCCTTGAGATCAAAAATGTTCGCCTTCAGCTGGTCTTGTTTGATGCGCTTTTCGGCCGTCTTTGCGTCCTCGTCTTCATCGAACAAACCGACATGCTCTTCGTCATCAGCAAACCTATCTTCATCAAAGTCCATGTCATCACCCTCGAAACGGTCTGTTGCGGGGGCTGTTCGAGTTTGTCCCGTGTAGATTTTCCGCTGTCTAGCATACTGTTGAAGTTCTCTCTCTTGGGCACGAGCTTGCTCCTTTTCCATGAACCACCTCGGATCTCTAATTTTCTTGGCCATGTGTTTCTCAGCCTCTTCGATAGTCAAAGCCTTGAACTGATGTTTGGCTGTAAACTTGTACCATTTATCAACAGGTATCATTCTCATCTTTCCACTACTCTCCAGGACAAACGTCGCATAGGTTTCCGACATGGCTGCTTCATACTTCCCAACCCAAATGTTTTTATTATCAAAATCTTCCAAGTGCCAAGGCAGTGCCTCTTCATACTTGATCTGAGATTTCGCGGCCTCCTCCGGCGTCACGATCGATTTGAAGACTTGCTGTGTCCGCTGTTTTGGCGCATTCGTCTTTTTGGGCCCTGAGCTAGCTGAGGGGGCGATCTGTGCCAGATTATCTTCGCGTTCTTTGGCTCGTGCTTCCTTTTTGGCTTCCAGCTCTTCGCGTTCAGCTTCATTCAAGCCATGGTTGGGGTCCCGGTAGCCCTTTCGGCCGTTTTCACCTTCCTTGTCGTTGGCAGCCGGTGTAGTGCTGGCGGTGGCTCTTGGGTCCCGGCGCTGTAGTCGTACTGGGCGAGTGAACTGCGACTCGTCTCTGGGGTCGACACTTTTCTTTGATACCAGTTTCGCAATATGGTGTCTTAGCCCTTCCCGCAGCGCGCGTTTTGTGGTAACAAGTGGGTAATCAGAGTAGGTCTCAGACAGCAGCGGTCCACTGAAACCATTTGTGGTAAGGTCATCTGCGCTTGGGATGGGTTTGGGTTGTGACGGCGCGCTTGTTTGAGGTCGAGGAGGCTGGATAGGGAGAGTTGATGTTCCATTTGTCGTCGAAGGCCGAGCCTGTCCAAGTCCAAGTCCCTGTCCCTGTCCATGGTTCTGGCCTGGCACCATCGGCCGTGGAATAGGCCGCTTCTTCGGTCGAACCAGCGGATCGGCTGGCTTTGGGCGTCGCCTCACCATGAAAGGCCCATTCGGCCCTCCTGGGGGAGTACGGCCCAAAGGCGGGTTGGGAGGAGTTGAGCTCATGATGCCGGGCGCTGGCTGCTGCTCAGATGGAAATGTCGACCAGTGCTACCATTGGAACTGGCTGTGGGAGCTCCAGAAAGCTTGCTGCGGTTTCTTCCTCTGTATCCAACAGGACGAGGCGCGGTATTGGGAACGAGCGAGATGTAGCAAGAGAAAAACAATGCAACAGTACAGGGTCGCGGCGCTAGGCCTACGGCTGAAGCTGCTACCGGATGAATCGTACAGCCTAGATGCCCAGACGGCCGGGGAGACAGGATCTCTTCTCTGGTCGAGCGAGTTTCGTGACTTTGGGGAAAGCTGGAGAAAGCGATCTCACGTCCCAAAACGGTTTGACAAAGACATATGTGGTCATGTGATGTGACGTGATGACTAAGATGACAAAGCTGGAACATGAAAGAGGCAAGTTCAACCTCATCTCAACAACGTCAATATAAACAAGAGAGAACACTCTTTGGCTTCATGTTTTATACGGAGTATAGAAGATGTTTCTATACAGTGATACACTCCTCAGACGTCATCTTGGGAAAATCAATGCCTCGGCCATGTAGACGGTAGACATCCCTTTCCTACTTGACTGAATAAGGATCTATATGGATACTTATTAACTACAGAGATGGTCTATTAGGGCGCCTTCTGTACAAAGGGACAGTGATTCTCCAGCCAATAGACCTTCCATAATCATCAATACGATAGAACTAGAGCGTCAACAATAACTAACAATGCATCCCTGAAGTATTCACACTTTGCTGAATGAAACTACCAGCCACTCTGAATACCAACCAGCCCCAGATCAGTCAGAAATTGTGAAAATTTACACAGGAAAGATGCTGCCTCCCCCGCCTCTCTTTGTCCCTTGGTCTTCTCCCTGAGTTGCAAGGTCTCTCCTCGCAGTGGCAAGAAACTTGAGTTCATGACTATATATTGCTTCTTTCACTCAGTCACCTAGTCAGACTCTAGCTGGCTATTCTTAGTGAACTTTCTTTTAAACCGTCTCATCTTTTGCTTGACTTTCCGTCTGTTCTCCAACAGGTGTGAACTGCTTTCTTCTGCCAGACCTGCTCGGCCAAAGCATCGGCTCACCCAGTCGGACCAGCAACAAGCTCCCAGACCTGTGGGAAGGCAGCAGATAAATCGCCCATATCACCAACACAACGATCGAGAGGGTACTACCTCTAATTCCCCTCGAGGTTCATAAACGTCTCCGGTTAGCTGCTGCTGTGTTAGCAGACATGGGCTCGCCCTCTACGCTAACCTGTACGACTGAAGCATGGCTTTCACCCAGAGAATCCGTCGAGTCCAACAATAAGCTCCCCGATGAGTGGGAAGGCCGAGGAACGATCGCCCATATTACCGACACATCTATCAAGAGGTTCCTGAGTCTGCCTCCCGAAGTTCATGAACGACTCCAGCTAGCCAGTGCTCAATTAACTGCACAGCAGATGGCCGTCCAGCAGGTCCTGTCTAGTAATCAGCCGTTCCCGAGTCCAAATAAGTCAGCAGTGCAGCAGTATGAACTGGCTCGTCTCGAGCTTGATAAGCTTGATAATTTGCCAGCTCCGACCCTGAAACCAAAGCCATCAACCCGGACTAGGGGCAAGTTGCAGTTGCAGGTGCAGTTGCAAGCTCGTGAGGCCACGGAGAACGCATACTTGCATTCCATCACTTCCGAAATATCTACTTGGACCATATCTCGAAGTTCCCTTGAACAAAAGGAGGAATTCCGCATTACACTGTCTCGCTGGGCGCTAGACGCTGTTATTGACAGGCTAAAATTAAGCCAACAAGTCTCCCCAACCGGCCCGATTTCAGTCGCCCTCCAATGCTTTGGGAGCTATCGTGCTGGATTCGCCTTGCCTGGTTCCGATATGGATCTCATCGTGGCCACAGAAAACCTACCATCCGACGTCCAGCGGGAGCTTCCTCTCCTCTTAGCTCAGGCATTTCTTTCCCGTGGCCTTGCCCCTTATCTGCTTCAAAGTATTAAAGATAACCGCTCGCCAGTTCTCCGCGTTTGTCAAACCCCATCTCAGAGGTTTCGCGATATCCTTGAATGGGAATATTTAGATTTGGAGACTGCAAGCGAACTCAAGGCTTTTACCTCAGTACCTTTGGCCTGCTGCCGTAGCAGTACGCCAATCAATCATTGCAACATTTACTTCGACAATGCTGAGCCCATGTTACGCAGTACGGATCTTTTGCGAGGCTATCGGATTTGTGATGACCGCGTTTATGAGATGGCACAGGTGGTGAAGCGCTGGGCAAAGGCACGCAGAATTAACGATCCTTACAACGGCACACTCTCGTCTTATGGATATACCCTCATGTTACTCCACTATCTGATGAATGTTGTTGTCCCACCGGTTATTCCAAATCTCCATAAATGCACAAGGAAGGGTACTAGCGATGTGCAACGTGCTCAGGGACAGCCTGAGGATTGTTTTTGGCGCAACCCACGGGAGATTGCAAAGGAGGCTGCCCGAGGGAAATTGACTGCCAACAATCAACCGACCGCCTCGCTCCTCCGTGGATTTTTTGCGTATTACTCTGGACCTTATCATGATATAAAACCTCTCCACAAACCCACCTCTGGTCTAAGATTCAATTGGAAGAATGGGGTAGTCTCAATTAGAGAACCCAAGACCACGAAGATGGAAAAAAACTGGACTACTTGCCGTACGGGCGCTGATGGCAATACGCACCGATATTTATTGGCCATTGAGGATCCGATTACAACGGACCATAACGTTGCCAAGATGGTTACTATCATTGGAGTTTATTTGATTCGGGAAGAATTTAGACACGCGCATGATATTATCACTCGCGCTAGGCCAGTCCCAGGGACAGATTTGGCGTGGCAGATGGAGACAGGTGAAATCTGTGAAGACCTATTTACTGAGCGGCCAGCACTATCCTTTTGACCCTACATCTTTTTACATTTTTGAATCCCCAATACAAATTTCCTGCTGCATACATTTACCTTGTCGTAGATGTCCTTACCATTTGTCCTGAACGGCGTTTCTATTTTGTCTATACATCGAATTAACACAGTATCAAATCATTAACGCATGAGCTTGACCTTATATAACCTTCTACTTAATCATATAACAAATAACAGGCTCATCAAACGGGCGCCAGTAGTATTACTCCTGGTTAAATACAGGGGTCATCCTAGCTTCCTCCCATCTCGCCTGGGTTTCCAGCCACCATTGCTTTAAAGCAGAAGCATCAGCGCCCAGTGTAGCCAAACTATTTGGCTCAGTGACGAACCACTCCTTTCCCTTGCAATCTTTCTCGTATGCATTCAAACTAATACCATCCCATTCATGCGTTTTTAGGCACCGAAACAGCGCTACGGTGCCGACTAGAGGGTGAAAATCAGCTGCATCTACAAAGACGCTCATCGAGATCCCTAACGTCCCATTTGCCGTAGCACTAGGTGGTGCGGAAGACGGTAACGAGGTGAGTAAGGTAGTAGACCGCCGTTTGTCTATAGTGGATATTATCGTTGGATCTATGAGACGGAGGTCTCTTTTTGGTGGCATGCATGCTCGTTTTATTACGTGGGGAGATATCCAAGATATCACTGCGATGACATCGCACATGTAGTTTCGCTTTGGAAACGGAGTCTGAGGGCAGAGAAGGTCCGATAGGGTAAGGAGGTTCAGCGGGCGTTGAAGAGAGGCGGACTTTGAATGATCTTGTCGCGAAGGCGGTCGCTTTGGTGTAGTGGTTACGGGTGAAGTATCCATAACAGTCTCAGACGTTGATTCTAGAGGTGGAAGTTTAGTCGGGTGGTTATACTCAGGCACATCCGTATTTGAAGGCAGGTTTCTGCTCTGGACATCCTGGGGTGCAGTAGTTGTGATGGAAAGGGTATCGTATCCAGATATCAATGTGTCCGTAGGCTTGCTCATCCTTGATACCGTAGAACGAGTTGGGGTCGGGTTCCCATCTCCATGTTTAGTATAGTTTATAGACAAGGCTTCGTCCCTCTCTTCAGAAGCCTTCAGGCTGTCCCTGAATATAATCGATCCTGTTCTTGGCTTCTTCTGTCGGCCTCCCTGCAAATAATCGCCTTTCTCGGATGTAGCCCGACTTCTTTTAAGAACGGGGGTTCCATCCTCAACGCCCCTATGCTCCTTTTCAGATGTAATCTCTCCTCCCCTCGATGTATAAATCTCGACAAAGTCGACCTTTCTGTACTTCCCCACGGCTAAGAAGACGACCTGTCCAGTGCCATGGCGTGAGCCCCTGGAAACATCGCGATTCGCCGTCCGTAGGTCGTAATTTTCTACCCTTAACACAGCACCTGGAGCTATCTCGTCCGTAATCGAGACTAAATAGTGCAATTGCTTCTTAAGCAGTGCCTGAATGGTATGCTCTCCATCGCTTAAGAACATCCTGTAGGTTTTATATGAGGAAGTTGACTCGGTGATGACTCCAGGGCTGTCCCCATATCCCCTGCCTTCGTTTCCTTCATGGCCATTATCATTATCGTCATCGTCGTCATCGTCATCTTTATCATCATCGTTCCGACTATTGCACGGCCGAGCTTTCAGTCTCGGCGTTGGCGGTAGGATAGTGATCGGAACCTCGATAACGCGCTCTACACGAAGAAATAACTCGGCGGGACGGTGTCCTGTCCGGAGCAATTCGACGATACAGGGCCGGATCCTAGGATATCGCTGCTGAGGTGGTAAGACCGGATAGTCCTGTGTATCGCGTCGGGTTAACGCTGCGTCCAAGCCCGGATAGCTGGCTGAGCCTTACCATATCAACTGGAGAGGGATATCCATGACGGAGGGAAGTTCCGTTGACGCCCTGAATACTTTGTCTCTGCTATGAGCTGGTCGCCTTGAGTGCTGTCTGATGCTTTCAAAATATCCGTGATACTTTCTTATATTCTGCCTAGCGCGCAGCTAGATTCTCGTGTTGAAGTTCCGATGACTTGCATCAACCTTCTTCAAACCATGTAAGATGTAAATCATAAGAGGCTTACTATGAAGTTTGATTTGAGCTTTTGTCTATGTTTTATATACAGGCTGTACTCCATCGGTACATGTCAAAAGATCTCGACTACTTTCTCTTCGTCGGCATCGTTTCCAGACTGGCCCTTCAACTCGAGCATCTTAGCCTTCTCTATAGCTTCAGCAGTCCCCTCTCCTTCGCCCTCCTCGTCACGCATGATCACTTGGACAAGCCGATCACACGCTTCCTGCACTCCTTCGTCGTCGACGTGCATATGGCATTCCCGGACGAGGGGGTAGACCTGGATGTTCCTCAGTGTATCTCGTCCCTCTCTCGTCGAAGTGAGAAGTAGCAGTGTCTCTAAATGCGTGGTGAGAATCTCGGGATCAGGATCACGCTCTTTATCCGGTGGAAGAAGCTGGAGATCAGGAAGCATCTCGGAGCTTTCCTTGTCGTCGAATTCCTCGGGTCCTGCGAGGGGGAGCAAGATATATGGTAATAGATTCACTTCGGACTCCGATATCAATGCAGGATGTGAAGAGACCTCGAATGCGACATTTTTGATAGTCGACGCTACACCTCTCCGTCGAATATGGCTACGATGCTCGGTGAACACCGTGAGTTTAGTGATCGGGATTACAGAGTCATATTCCTGCTCCGTGACGAAGTATGCCCGTCCCTCTTCGAATTTAGAGATGTCGGCGAAGAAGTACGATAGATAATCGTATGTCTTGTCTTCCTCGCTGCTGGCTGGCTTGCCGCCATTCTCCGTCCTTCTGTCCCTTCCCTTGATGAAGCAGTCCATCAGTTGATCCATAGCCTTTGAGGAGGTGGACACACCCTCTGGTATGGCCCTCGTCAGCGTGACGACCCGTTTGATGCTATCCGACTTCGCCAGGTTGGCTAGAAGCATGGTGATCTCGCTTGCGGCCTTTTCTTTCGGGTTCTAGAGGGAAGTAGGGAGCGAGTTAGGAGTGCTGGTCGAACGTGGCGGATTAAGCCATTATCAGGCTTAATGACAGGTACCTACATACTGTCACTTTTTTCAGCAGTATCTCGAGAAAGGCATCGTCCTCTGCCAGCTCTTTCAGAACTTCCTCGTCCCCGGACAGGTTGACGAGCATCGTCAATGCATCTTTTGCTATCGGCTAACACCAGAAACGAGCTGATCAGCTTTACTCTCTAACCTAGGAAGATGAGAGTCGAAAATTAAGAGGAAAGGCGTACTGGGTAGTCTAGCGCGAGGAGTTTGAGGTCCCTGACTGGAAGTAACTGGTGTTTTTTGAACAGTGAAGGTTGAGAGACAGAATACCCGACGAGGTTTTCGCAGGCTATATAGGTAAATATCGCGTCAGCAACTGAAAGGAGGAGTATCAAGATAGCCGGTACAGCATACCTATTTGACGGATCTGACTGTTTCCATGGTGAAGAAACTCAACCAGCTATAGACACCTGTATCAGCTTCCACTTCAACCTGACAATGACCACGCAGGCGCAATACCTCTTCCAGCTCCGAGGGCATCCTGAACAGCCTTTAGAGCGGTTATACCTTCTGTTGTATGATATTTGATATTGGTGGAAGGGGTTCTCCGGTCTCGAAGGAGGGGCAACCAGGCAGTCAGCGTTGACAAAACAACTTTTAAGCCAGTAACGTCGAGTAAAGCCCTGATATCAAACAGTGTCTCTATCTCCAGGCGTCTGCGCAAGTGTGAAGGGTGAAAATGTCTTTGCGACAGAAACGAGGCCATAAAATATTTCCATCCTCGAAGCCGGAGAAATTTGATGCCAAGACACAAAAGTTCACCCACTTGGCGACGTCATAGTCAACAACAAAAGACAGACAAGACGGAACATATAGAAACGCAGACAGAAGAGCGACAACGTTGACGAGCAGACCTGGAGATATCTTTGACTGCAACTGGCGGCCGATAAGATGGCTGAAGAGACACCCAACCTCTCGGAGGTCCATGAGTTCCTCATCGAGCTGGCCGGCAAGGCGGGGGAACTGATCACCAGCGCCCATCCATTGATCAATGGCGTTGGGTCGAAGAAGAACAGTAGGCGACCCTCGCAGTGATGAATTGGACAGCTTCTCGCTGGGGATACGTTTCTGTTAACGCGGCAGCAGGCTCCGACCTGGTCACCGAGACAGACCGCGCCGTTGAGGCCGTGGTCTCAGACGCCCTTCGAACGAAGTATCCTGACTATGAGTGCGTTGCATCTTGTTGAACCACCCGTCAGCATCGTCTTTTTCACATTTCAAGACCCGTTTATTGAATTGCATCTTGCCCTAGGTTCATGGGCGAGGAGACCTATCACCCATCAAAGCCGCTCACCGAGGCGCCGACCTTCATCGTGGACCCTATCGATGGCACGGTGAACTTCGTCCATGGCTTCCCGTCCGCGTGTATCTCGCTGGGGTTCGCAGTCGGCTATGAACCCATGGTCGGTGTCGTCTTCAACCCGTTTACGAATACCCTCTACAGCGCCATCAAGGGCCAAGGGGCGTTTATGAACCGAACCAAGAAGCTGCCCTTAAAGGGGGACGATGTTGAGCCGCTCAATGGGCTTAGCAGTGCGCTGATTGCCGTAGAATGGGGATCTGACCGGAGCGGCGCCAACTGGGAAACCAAACTGCGCACCTTTGAGAGTCTGGGGAAGTCCAAGGAGCAAGGCGGTGCCATGGTGCACTCGATGCGAAGTATGGGCTCCGCGGCGCTGAACCTTTGCTCGGTTGCCTCTGGTGTGCTGGATCTCTACTGGGAGGGCGGTTGCTGGGCGTGGGATGTATGTGCTGGCTGGATCATCTTGACTGAAGCCGGCGGCATCATGGCGGATGGAAACCCTGGCAACTGGCAACCCAGAGTGGACTCGAGACGATATCTAGCCGTCAGGGGTTCTCCAAAGGGCGAGGGCCAGACGGAGCTTGTGGAGGAGTTCTGGTCTCATATTAAGGGCACCCTCTCCTATTCTGATGAGTAGACGTTTAGCAGAGAGATAACATAGAGGATGACGCAAGAACGATATTGCAAAAATAGATATACAATATATGGACGATATTATCTTAAAGAGTTAGGACTGGAGTATCTATATGCATCATCTATAATGCTGGTCGATGTTATGTGGGGTTGGATCAGCCGCAGTAAAGAAGACTGTTTTCTCGAATCCCAGCCTAAAAGTAACAACTACAGCATTGTCAAGATGTCTGGTCTATTTCGAGGCGAAGTGGACGGGATCTTGTCTGATATCACTTTCTTCGGAGACCACTTTCAATGGGAAACACTGGGAACAGGGACAAGATCGCGGGTGCCAGCAGATAGCATCGTCGCAGTCATTCCAGTCGGCTCTGAGAATATCCTGCTCTATCTCAAGCACGAAGGAGACGAAGGAGGCAAAGACAAGAAGAACATCAGCCTGGAGACTCTGAATCTATCTGGCCTGCCACCCTCGGGCTTCTTCAGCAAATACACAGGCAGCCTTCCACCCTATCTCGCGGCACCAGGGCCAGAGGGAGCCAGTTCGAACGTCCATATCGTCTTGTCGACGCTCTCGGGGACGCAGGGCGCATCGGTCTTCTTTAGCAATGCACTGAAGCCGTTACTATCATATCTAAAGCTCAAGGCATATGAAGTGCACGAAACTCGGTCAGCCGAGACGATTATAGAGCTGGCAAAGGATGTCTTCCTTCCAAGGGCGCTGTCTGGACATCCACAGACCATCATCCTGCTCTCTGGAGACGGTGGCCTGATAGACCTGATAAAAGTGTTCTCCGAGGTCCCAGAGGATGCTGCATTTACCAAGCCCGTCGTCTGTCTGATACCCATGGGCACCGGGAACGGGACTGCAAATTCTACAGGTCTCTTGTCTGATTCTACGTTTGGCCTTTCGAGTCTACTGCGAGGCTCGCCCAAGGATCTCCCGGCATTTCGAGTCCGGCTTCCGCCTGGCTCGATGTACGTGGCCGATGAAGGACGTGAACGGATCCCCGTGGCCGACGCTGGACAGGAAGCTGATATCTACGGAGTGGTCGTTGCAAGCTGGGGGATGCACGCGTCCCTGGTTGCGGACAGCGACACAGCCGAGTACAGGAAGTTCGGGGTCGACCGGTTTAAGATGGCGGCCAAAGAGCTGCTTCACCCTTCTGACGGCAGCGAGTCGCATCGGTATAGAGGCACCATCACCCTGGTCAAGAAGAGCAGCACCACCGGACTGGAAGAGGAGCACCTCGTCGACCGAGAGTCGCATATGTACGTGCTGGTGACACTAGTCTCCCAGCTGGAGAAAGGATTCATGATCTCGCCCTCGTCCGAGCCGCTGGATGGACAGCTACGCATCGTGCACTTTGGACCTGTTGCGCCTGGCCGGGCGATGGAGCTGATGGGTTTGGCGTATCAGGGGGGGAAACATACAGAGGAGCCAGAGGTTGGCTACGCCGCCGTCGAGGCCGTCAGGATACGGCTCACCGAGGATGGAGACGACGCCTCTGAGCGCTGGCGGCGGCTCTGCATCGACGGGAAGATCGTCTCTGTGCCCGTAGACGGCGAAAGCTGCATCGAAGTCCGTCGCTCGCAGCGCTTCTTTTGCCAGTTGGTGATGTAATTCAGATACGATATATTGTTGTATTAATACGCTTCTAGAGCTAGAAATGTGACCAGAGGCTGAAATACCGTTACGCCTTTAGTCCTAGAACTCAACCTGCAATCACAACTACAACTACAACTGCAACTTCATATTCAAACGAGAGGAAACGAGAGGACACAAGACAGGAAAAGCTTCAGGTCATGACAAGAGTCGCCAGTGCTGCAGCCTCGCTCGCCGCCTTCCTGGCCTGCTGAATATATACGAGAGACAGTCCGCCGCCGAACGCTCCGAATCCCATCCTATGACCTCACCCTCAGCAGACGGAGGATGCCTATATTATTAAACCGGTTCACGCCCTCGACGCTACCAGACTCAGCGAGCTCGACAGGAATCAATGCTCGTTACACCGCGGACCTACAAGCTCTCTCAGACACCGAACAGCGGAGTGCCTCTGTCGCCTGAAAACCACCCAACATTTCGCACCCTGCGGGGTTGGAGTATTCCTCCGGCTGAGATAAGACGCGCTGCGGAGATGCTGCTCGTTCACCAGGTCGGCAGCGTGAAGGTGGGAGAGGTGGCTCGGTAGGCATATATTCCCCAGTCTCGACGTGAAGCGCGACGGCGACGGCGATGGCGACGGCGATGGTTGTGTAGAGAGAGCTGACAGAAAATCACATAGTTATACTTTGACATATACACCTTCCGCCGATCGTATACTTCCTACTCCCACGAAGCTCTACGTTAAGATCCGAAATACGTCTGCCACCCCGCTTCGGGCAGCCTATCTTCACGGGCCGTATGCGCTCCATGTCTCCTGTCGGCCGTCCTCGTTTGATCCCAACCACAAGTTTGACCAGCACGAGGTCGAGGGGCTGCCTCAGTTTGAACCGAACCTGAAGCCTGGAGGAGCCTGGGATGCCATAATACAGGTCCCTGAATATGTTCGCTCGCCACCTACCGCGCATGCTGGGCCGTCCGGTGAACCCCCTGCGGTGACCTGGATAATCGACGTATCGTCAGAGATCATATTTTCTTCTACTGCTTCGGTTCAATATGAACTCCTTATTGGGCGTGACTCCGCGTCTGTAGAACTGGGAGCACCGACGCTGGCAAACCTACCTCCTGCCGGCCAACTTCGTGACCATGCAAAGGACCCTAAGCACCGACCAAAGCCCTCTAACAAAGTGCCCGGTGTTTATTCCGAGTCTATACGGCTACGCGTGGATGATACGACCAGCTTATGGAACCTGCCGCCGTTCCCGTCGTGTGAAAACAAAAAGGAACCAGGTAAAGGAAATACCCCGGAACCTGGACCGGGAGGCTCTTCTTGCCAGGCCGAGGAATCATCGACCAAGAAACGACGCAAGAAAATCCATTTTGTGCTCGTGACACATGGGTTGCATAGTAATCTCGGCGCAGATATGCTGTATCTGAAAGAGAGCATCGATGCCGCCGCTAAGCATTCGCGTGAAGAGGCTAGAAAGCGGAAGCAACAGAAACGGACCAAGGAGTCAGTAAAAGAAAACACACCAAGCTCGTCTAAAGCAGGCCCGAGCACGTCTGATTGCGGGACAGACAGTGACGAGGACGAGGATGAAGAAGTTATCGTTCGAGGATTCCCGGGCAACGCCGTGCGAACGGAGAGGGGCATCCAGTATCTTGGGAAAAGACTGGCCAAATATGTTCAGCTAATGACATACCCGGATCAGCCTTATTTGCCTGTAAAGTCCAAGAACAAACTCCAGCGTCCTCAGGCTCGCCAGAAAAACGGGGACAATCAGGCCACCCGCCCAGGACACGCTGACCCTGCTCAGGGCCGCAAGCAGCGCGAGTATGCTTATAAAATTACGAGTATAAGTTTTATCGGACACTCTCTCGGCGGGTTGGTCCAGACATATGCCATTGCCTACATCCAAAAGCACTGCCCTGACTTTTTCGACTACATAAAGCCAGTTAATTTTGTCGCATTTGCATCCCCTTTCCTTGGCCTTAGTAACGAGAACCCTATATATGTCAAATTTGCCCTCGACTTTGGACTAGTCGGTCGAACAGGGCAGGATCTTGGTCTGGCATGGAATGCGCCGTCGAGGATGCGAAGCGGATGGGAAGCAATGATCGGAGGCCTTGGAAATGATGCCAACAAGTCTCAAGGCCACGACCCGGGCTCGAAGCCACTCCTACGAGTCTTGCCGAGCGGTGCTGCCCATGATGTCTTGAAACGGTTTAGAAACCGTACCATTTATTCCAACGTCGTTAATGACGGTATTGTGCCTTTGCGCACTTCCTGCCTGCTTTTTCTTGACTGGAGAGGACTGGAACGAGTAGAGAAGGCAAGGCGAGAGAATGGACTCGTGGGAACAGTGGCGGAATGGGGATGGGCGCAGCTAACTGGGGTAAATTCAAGCGCAATGCGCGCAGGATCTCGCGCCCTTGGTTCAATCGAGGATCAAAATCAGGAGAGCAACAAGATGGCCACTCAATCGCCGCCCTCGAAGTCTGCTCCTCAAAGTGGACAGAATTCACCCGAGCTACCCCTTTCGAGCCAGTATCTGCAATCAGAAAGTGATCCCGCTGTGGCCTTGTCCCCAAAATTGAGCCCTATCAGTTCGCCAACGACTCCTGCTTCCCCAGGCCCAGTCAACACCTTCTTTTCGTTCTTCCGACCCCAGAAAAAGAACAAGGGTCAGAAAATATACAAAAGATCCCAGACCCTACGCATTGATACAGAAGAGGAGGGAACATCAACTAGTAACCTTGACTTACCATCTGGTCCTGGTCCGGCGAACAGAGGCCCCGTGAGGAGCAACTCGCTATTCGAGGATGAAGATGGCTGGTATACTCCCCCGAGAACAACAATTCTTGAGTCAGCGGGTGACGTGCTTAGCCCTCCGCTACCTTCCGTCGAGTATCTTTTGGACCCTTCTTCACGTCCCAGAACCATTTTCCATGACCGGGTTTATCATCCTGATGACATTCCACCACCACCTCCAACAAGGCCTCGAACCATATTTCGCGCTTCGAGTAATAATGTCAGTAGACGTGCCTCGATGGAAATTTCAGGGTTGCAGTCAGAAGCTCCTAGTGGCAAGACGTCACCAAACCCGAAAGCCCCCTCGGAGGCCGCCCAAAAGGGGAGCAGCGGTATGAAAGTGGAAGAGAAAATAGCCAGAGCATATCATCGCGATCTCACGTGGCGTAAGGTTCTGGTGCGCCTTGAGCCGGATGCTCATAATAATATAATAGTCCGTCGAATGTTTGCAAACGCCTATGGATGGCCTGTTGTTAAACATTTTGTCGACACACACTTTGGTTATACGGCGGCTGCCCGTGAATCGGATGACCAGGAATCACGAGAGGAAAGGGCAAAACCAATGAATGTCCCTGCGACTGATGAAGGTGAGGAAGTTATAGGCCAGCACGATTCACCCCATCGCCAGGCATCGCCGAATATTATTTTTGAAACCGGTTCTGGAAAACCCGACGGCCAGAAATCGCTTCAACCACTACATACGAACGCTTTACCTCAAGTTTCAACCCCCGAATTGAATTCCGACGAGACTGTGAAAGCCCTTGGCCGTAAAATGAGCAGTCTCAGCGTAAACTCGAAAACTTCCCAGACAGATTCAGCTAAGTGGACGGAGTCCTACCTCGAAGATGATGGCCGCGACGAGGAATCCGCAGATGATGATATTGATCACTTCAAAAAACATGATGGCATCCGGGCTTCAGACTACTTAGAGCCAACCACACAGGGACCTAGTGATCAGGAAGCTCAGCCGCCCACACCATGAGTGGTATCTACACTTGTTGACGTCTCTATCATACCAATCCATTCTTCTTCTACCTACTCTAATTTTTATAGATTTTATATCCATGCACCATTATTTGCATGGCCACATGGACAACACCTTAATGTAATATGAATTATACAGGCGAAGTGTCTCTTTCTATACTTCCTATTGTGCGGATGGGATGTCTTGTATCTAGCATCAGGCTTCAATTTTGTGACAGCTATATATCTGAATGTGCATACTACATATTTAACTAGCTTGAGTGTCTAAGGTATCAGCGCTACATATCTATTAACAGGTGGTGTCACCCACCAGAGACCGTGTTTATACTAGTATCTGTTTTATTTTGTACATAAAAGTGGCTGCCAACCAAGTAAAATCCATAAAAACTAAACACAGTATTCTCTATCCATTTTGTATGCATCAGCCTTCACAGCGTTCCCGTACTGTCCCTCCTTTGGGGCGAAATCGAAGCTGACCTCCAACACATATATTGTAGAAACAATTGGGTAGCTAACGCATTGCATCTGAGTGGGTTAGAATACTCTGTTTCAAATTTAGTCCAGTATTATTGCTAGGACTCTCGTTTGATTCAGTACTTATTGAAAGTATTCTCCTTGCGCAATGTCTGACGTTGGTAAAAGTACCATGGACTTGCTAGGTATGTGTCCCGAAATCTCAGAGGTTGGAAGAATTGTGCTTTGTAGATGTTGTGGATTCGACGTTTAATCGAGATGGCAGCCTTAAAGGGGTTGCGCCAGCTGTCGGATCCTGCGGGCTTGGATAATCCTGCAGAAAGGTGGCTATTATACATGAATGTCTAGCCGCTGGGCTTGTGGTTTCAATGGCGGTTGGCTGTTTGGCTAACAGGCAACGGTATTGCGATTCGGTGGCCCGGCCATTGACAATAGCCCTGAGATACTGCAGTCCATATGGATATGGAAATATTGTCCCAAGATCGATCTACCCTCACTTTTCTGGAGCATCAGGAAGCCTTTCGATGACATACTTAGCTCGAGCAACGCTCATAACCGGCACACCTGGGATTTTCCTATTTCTCAGTTGTTAGTGACTGTATATAGGCTATAATAAGAATCCTGTCAACCCACCTGATTCGTCTCTTCAAGTCGCGATCGTTAGTCGCAACGATATAAATTCGGTGCTTTATAACACGATCGACGATGCAGTCATCGGCGTATGTCCCACTATGGTCGCATTTCACTCTTTCAAAACGAGGGTCCTTCGCTATCCGCAGGGCAAGTCGGTATTTCGGCCCTAGCTTCTCCAGTTCCGCCAGGACACAGTCCGTGATAATCGGAATACACTTTGCAAAGAGACAGTCCATCATGCTCGGGATTACATCAAGTTTATGCTGCACGGTGTGGGACAAGAAGTTGGTGTCGACCAAGATGGAGTACGGCGGGGCGAGCGAGGTATTGAACTGGAAGAAGAGCGCAGATGGCGCTTGAGGTCTGGAAGTTGACACGAAGAACGTTAGCTATGTTACTTTGAATAACAATTCACTATCAAATGGGCGAGCAAGTACATTTCGCGGACAACATTGTCGGCTTTTTTCTTTTCTTCGGCCTTCGCTTGGTTCTGCTTTCTATATTGAAAGCGTTAGCATAGGCCTATTTCTGTGCGCAACGGAACGGTATATGGGAAGAATCCTACAATCGGATGTCCTTTTGCCCAATTATCTTCTTGACCTGGGATCAGGTTAGCTTTGGCTGAGAAAAGGTATGCGCATGTGGGATACAAACATGGCCAAATTTGCGTGTTCTTTTGGCGACTCCCATCTTGCAGGTATATTCTGACCAATAATTCTCTTGACGGGGGCGAGTATAAAACTGTTTATCAACAGCAAACCGAAGAGACAAGGAGATATCGTGTCGATGATAGCTGGTCGTCGTCTTGTCGTCGCCGTCTCTCTTTTTTTGCCCTTTTTCCCTTTATAAAAATATCCACATCACGTGATATCGCGATAACGAAGAAAGCCTCGAAGAGCTTCAAGAGATGCGACTGCACAGAATGAAACGAAGCAGCGCATTGCCGATTACCACGACGTCGCTGCCTCCGAAATGCGATGCAGGGCTGCAGTAAGGCCATTGCGAATACTGCTATCTGGGAGAAACGCCGGATGGAGGCCATCGCCCGTCTTCTCTCCTGTGCCGCACCGGCAGTTCCACGATGATATCACCGAAGCAGACTCCTTGAAGACGAGACAATGCCCTCCACCTCCAAGACCCCGAGAGGTAGAACCGGAGCCTACTCTGCCAGAGGAGGAGATGCTGGGTCAAGGAAATGTGCTTGATGAACTTGGCTTGGGAACAGTTCCCAGGACTGCCAGCCATGGCACCGGAACGGAAATCGACAAGATGGGCCGGCTTCAAATAACACATCCCGCACTAAGTCGACGGCCGCATAAGACGGCCCTTCTGCTATCGAGGGCACCAACTTCGCTCACGGAGCGAGACTTTCTACGGATTCTAGCTCCAGGGAAACATCTTGAGGGATGGAAGAGCCAGGGAGGTCTTGAAGAAGGTTAGTTGTCCGCAAAACGCTTATAAGAGACAAGGAGCTAAGAATGATATACACAAACAGTCATTCCTATTCGCAATCTCAAGACGCTGGATCGAACGGACGGCTGGCTGTTATTGTTCACGAATCCCGCGTCGGCGGCAGCGTACCAGGCCGCGGTTCACAGGCTACGCGAGCTACTCCGAAACAACACTCCCTTCTATCCGGCTTCAGACCTTGTCTTGCCTTCGAACTACTCTGTCCGTGGCTCGTTGGGATTCAACTTGCAAGATTACACACTCACTACACCATGGCAATTCCCCCTACTTACTGCCGACCACTTCCCGTTTGGTGAATGGGTAAATTCCTGCATAAAGGTCCATAGGGCTGTAACCGGTACTGGAAAACGAGATGACCATCAGCATACCATGTCCTCGCCCTCGCCATCTGTACCCGGATACCCAGTACGGGTCTGCATATCTCGTCATATATTCCTCGGTCTAACCAAACAGGCCATTAGAAACTTCTTGATCTGGGACGGGGAAGTTCGATCGATACATTGGGATCTTATCGAAGGCATGGACAGTATCGTCTCCCTCGATGATGATCAGGGGGCCGATGACGGCCTTGTCCGCGAAAGACGCCCCTCGAAGCCGAAGTTTGGCGAATACGATGTTAGCAATTGGAGGATACTCTTTGAATCTGCCTCTGAGGCAAGGAGGTTCGTAAGGGCATGGAACATGAAGGATTACCCACAGTCTCCAGACGCTCCGTATTGTGACCCGCCGGCACGGATCAAAGCTGAAGCTCTCTTCTGGGATGATGGCTTTTGAGCCGTGCTAAAGATGCCCACACAGAGCGATATATACATAGATGCATAGCGTCGGGTATACCTGTGAGAATCAGGTATTGAACTTTTATCGACAAGCCCAAACCATGATAGAGCATGTAACCTCGCCTGCCAGGGATATAGGCGTCCAGGCACGCGTGTCTAACGAGGGCGATCTACAGGGTAGAGACTTGATTGTACGATACAAGAATAGAAATAATGAATCATGTATAAAGCGAATTAAATACCATCCAGCTATCTTTAAAAGATATCACAATAAGAATGACAATAAGAAGGATAAGAAAACAGAAAGACAGGAATGAAAAGGCCAGGGGGGAGGAGAACCAGAAAATGGAAAACTCGTTGCAGAGCAAACGCCATCTAAAGCAATAAACACAATTCAACCTGGGGATAGAAACTGGCGAGGTCAAGCCAACGGATTTCCTCTAGATAAAAAAAAAGAAGGAAAAGAAGAAGAAAAGAGGAAACGAGGGTAAAAATGTGAAAGGAAAGGGGGTATGCATCTCGACATGATCGCATGTCAGAGCCTGGGAGTTCAAGGAAGAACGCGATCAAAAAGGGAGGAATAAATATACAAGGCGGAAAGGTGACATGACGGATCGTCGGGGATATTTCTCTCGTATATTTCTTTTTTTTTCTTAAAAAAAATCTTACTGCCTTGTCCCTCGTCCCAAAAAAAATAACACGCACAAGAAAGAGATAAGGGGATACCTTCCGACTCGATCTGACTAGCAGCAGGTCTTCCCAAAGGAGCCTCCGGCCCCGCCGCTCTGGTTATCTATGTTGACGCCCTGGGAACCGGCCTGTTCGGCCTTGGTTACGTCCATGTCCTTCTTGATCTCGGTGGCGAGGCTGTAGAAGGCCTTGTCGACGTTGATATTGTTTTTGGCGGAAACTTCGAGGAAAGGAATGCCGAGCTCGTCGGCTAGCTGTTGCCCTTGCTCTACAGATACAGCTCGCTTCTCTTCGCCATCACACTTGTTTCCAATCAGTATCTTGTGTACTCCCTCGCTGGCGTGCTGTTCCACGTTGGAGAACCACGTCCTGATATCTATTACAGGTTAGCACGATGCATAGAAAAATAAGAAGAAGGAATGAACGAAGGTGAACGAGGGAGAAGAGTAAGTAATGAAGGAGAACGAACTCTTAAATGATCGCTCGTCGGTGACATCATACACGAGCAAGATGCCCATGGCATTGCGGTAGTAGGCGGTGGTGATTGTTCGGAATCTCTCCTGACCGGCGGTATCCCATATCTGAAGCTTTACCCTCTTGCCGTCTAGATTTATTGTCCTGATCTTGAAATCGATGCCGATGGTGGTGATGAAGGACGGGGTAAAGGAGTCTTCACTGAAGCGAAGCAAGCAGCAGGACTTGCCCACGCCAGAGTCCCCGATGAGCAGGAGTTTGATCTGGACAGCCAAAGGTTAGCACGGCTGCCCGCTGGCCATGAGGTGAAAAATTCAGCGGGAAAACAAGGAGCTGGCTGGATGATGCGTACTAGAAAATCGTAATTCCGTGTCCCCGCCATTACGTCAAGGTGTGAGAGCGCGTGAAGCCGTAGGTAGAGACGGTGTCAAGATGCAGAGAGGCGATCGAATAGACAGCCGAGCAAGGAATGGTTGGCAGGTCGCAGTATCGTAACGCTGGTGGTCCTCTCTGAAGGGTCCGTCGGTGGATATAAGAGAGAAAACTAGGCACCTGCGGAAACAGCGAAAGGAGGAGCCTGGGGTGATCGAGATGGCAGCGCTGGCGTCTTCCGGCAGCTGGCTCCGTCGATATCAGGACTCGCTTCAACTGCGTACGGGCGAAGAGTAGATAATCTCCGTTTCGATGTGAGCTTGGTGGTAGCTGGCCAGTTGGTCGGTTGGTCCGTCAGTTGGCTGGTCGGTCGACGGGCGGGATGGGATGGCTATCGAGATGCTTCGTCGTGTTTGTCCGAGCGAGATCCAGCGAGAGTATGGGCAGGCAAAGGCAGTCTGTCTGGTGGAGGCCGGTAAGTGTGTATGCAGCGCTGTCTGATATCGAGATTATGAAGTCAGAGGGCGATGTTCGCGAGGACAAGTCACGGTCTTGGCATCTTTCTATCTACAAGTATATATCTACTATATCTACTTTATATCTTCTACAGTATATCACTATATCTCTTCTGCCACGATGATCGTTAGTCGTGTCTATTTCTATACGCTAGAGTACAGCCTCTGACTACGAGGATATCCACTTGGAGTACGTCCATCGGATCTGGTCGAGCACCTTCATCTGCTGGGCGACGCCGGCCCGGACGTTGAGCAGGTCGTTCAGGTCGTCGTGGAATTCATGATAGATGGCTCCGGGCAGGAGCTGCTGGGCTCTACGCCGCAACGTCTCGGCTTCGCACATCAGCAGGCCGTGGTCCTTGTACGAGAGAACTCCCGTCCGCGAGTCGTGCGAGGACGTCAGGATGCGGTTGATGGTTCTATACATGTTAGTCGTAGAAAGGAATAGATATAAACATAAGAAGTACCGACGTACCGAAGGGAACGGACGATTTCACCGCGTCTCTGGCCCTGGCGTAGCCCCCTCCTGCTTCCAAGTACGCCGGCAGCCCACTGCACCGCCGAGTAGGAGACGAGGATGCTGGGAGTGAGTCCGATGAACCTGGAGAGAGTTAGCAAAGGTTACAAACTACAAAGAGGCGAGAGACCCACGCAAAGACCAGTTCCTGGCTCTTGAGGATGGAGTTGATGCCGCTGATGGCAACCTCGACGTCGACCTTTGTCTTCTGGATCTGGATGAGCAGCGCGGTGATGAGGTCGCCGCGGATGGCGCCGACAAAGGGCCGCTGCAGGTCCCGCTCGTACGCTCGTAGCACCGGGGTGAGGTCGCCCTGCCGCACCGCCTGCCTGACGAGATCGAGGGCGTCCGGGGTGTGGGACGAGGCGCCGAGATCCTGAGAGGGACGCTGGCGCACAAAGTCGACGACCATGCGCTCGAGGCTGGCGAAGTCTGCGTCCAGGCTGTTCTTGCTCATCAGGGCGACCTCGCTCTTCTCGTCGTGTCTGATGGTGCCGATGAGCCGGGCAAGCGGCTGGATGATCCAGTTGGTCCAGAAATCGGTGATCGTGGAGCCGAGTTCCTGCACCCAGGTGACCATCTCCGCCCGCCTGTTGGTGAGGACGTTCAGGATGGTGCTGGAGGAGAGTAAGAGGGCGAGTCCGGCGGGCCAGTAGCGTGTTAGGCGGCCGGGACGGGTGTATTCGCGGGAGAGCAGGGCGCACTGCTCGTGCTGGTGCGGGAGATGGTACTCGAGGATGTCGATGAGCTGCTGGACCACCTGGTAGGCCTGGTCGGTCGGGTTGACGGTGTGTCCCGTCCCCTCGACGGCGAGCGAGTCCTCCATGGCCTCGATGCCCCGTTCGACGGTGGAAAAGACGTTGTCTTCGAACCCGGTCAGGTCGGTGTCGAGGTCGTTGACGTGCTGCAGGACGGTCTGCATCAGCAGGACGGTACGTGAGACGATATCCTGCCACTCGTCCGGGCTCTCCTTGACGGCGGCGGTAGTCTCATCCTCGTCGACGTCGAAGAGCAGACCCTCCTCCATCAGCAAGCCCACCGCGCAGGCGTTCATCTCCCTGAGCTTGCGCAGGCCCCTCCGCTTCGCCCGCGCCTGCGTCCGGCAGAGCTGGAAGGGCGAGAGGATGAGCTGTTTGGCCTGGCTGACGGACCGCTCCCGCACGCCGTCCTGGACCAGGGTATAGAACGTCCGCCATCGTGCCATCAGCGAGTCCTCACCCTCGGCTCTTATATGCGTGTTGGTCCGGCGGATGGTGTGATATATGCTCTCAACGTAGCGTGCCCACCGCGCGGGAGCCGTCTGGACGGTGTAGAGGCCGGAGTAGAACGCAGACCCGAGGACCTCGTCCCAGTACCAGATACCATCACTAAGGGGGACGGTCTCCTCGACCATGGAGGCCATGACGGAGGCAAACGTCTGCACGGTGGCCTTGGACGCGACGAGCCAGAGCAGGCTGGCCGTATACCGTCCATCCCTCGTAGTGTCGACGTCGACGGCCCTGATGGCAGGCTGCAGGGCGTGGACGCGGCGTAGATGGTCGAGCACCCGGTGTGGCCTGATGTGTCCGCCGGAGAGAGCTCTGGCAGCCGCGACGAGGGGAGGATGGACCGACTCCAGCGTCTCTATCTCGGTGTTGATGTCGGCCTGGCTGACGACGCTGAGGCGCGCGAGCTGAAGCCGGTCGACATAGGAATCCAGCCGGCGGACATGACTGCAGGTCAGCTTCTCTCTCTCTCTGTCTGTCTCTGTCTCAACTTACTCGCCAATTAGCGACATTCCGGCTTCCGCTGCCGTCCACGACTCAGGCAGTCATACGATGTGATGGTGATGCCGGTGGGCTGATCTATGCAATTCGACTGACTCTGACTCTGACTCTGTATGTTCGTGTGGTGTAGTCGTAATTGCATTGACTATAGCTGCAGTGTGGTGGTGTAGTGTGTAGTGTGTAGTGTAGTGAAGTCTGTAGTGGTGGTGGTGAAGTCGGTGTGAATATTGTATAGAAGTTGTATAGAAGTTGTACTCTCTCCCTCTCTAGTATCTCTCTCTTCTCTTCTCTCTCTCCTCCTACTATCTCTGCCTTCTCTTCTCTATACCATCTACACCATCTACACCATCTCTTCTCTATACTATATCTCTATATCTTCTCTATATTATATATATCTATATACGATCAGGCCACCCGGGCCGAAGAGCTGACTAAGCCCCCTGATCAACTTCTTCTTCTTTTCTATCTCGACTTTCTCGACTTTCTCGACTTTTATCTCGTTCTTCAACTTCATCTTCCTCAACCTCTCTGGTCTCTTATACGGTGGTCTCTTATAGCTGGCGTCTCCCTCCCTCCTCCATCTACGCTGGCTGCAATGTAAGTGACCCTCCCTCCAGCGCTGCGCCGGTCTAACTTTGGTACCTGCAGGAATTCAACAACGCTGCTCTCCCCGTCGCCAGAGACGTTCTGGGGTCAGTTCCAGCAGACGGCCTCCTACAACCCCCAGCTCAACGTCTTCGAGCAGCTGTGGGCGGCCTGGTATGCCTACATGCAGAACGACGTCCTCGCCACGGGCATCATGTCCTTCGTCATGCACGAGACCGTCTACTTTGGCCGCTCGCTGCCCTGGATGATCATCGACCGTCTGCCCTACTTCAACCGCTACAAGATCCAGAGCGTCAGTCTTTTCCTCTCTTCTTCCTCGTCTTCGTAGTTAACAGCGTGCAGCATAAGGTCCCGACCATGCAGGAGCAGTGGAACTGCGCAAAACTCGTCCTCCTCAGCCACTTCACCGTCGAGCTGCCCCAGATATGGTATATTCTCCTCTCCATATCGTGGTGACGATGCGGTACTGATGATTGACAGGCTGTTCCACCCGATGGCGCAGTACTTTGGGCTCGCGACCACCGTCCCCTTCCCGCCGGTGTGGAAGATGGCCTACCAGATCGCCATCTTCTTCGTGCTCGAGGATACCTGGCACTACTTCTTGCACCGGGCCTTCCACTGGGGGCCGCTCTACAAGGCCATCCACAAGATCCACCACCAGTACTCCGCGCCCTTTGGACTCGCTGCCGAATACGCATCCCCGATCGAGGTCATGGCCCTGGGCTTCGGCACCGTCGGCTGCCCCATCCTCTGGTGCGCCCTCACCGGCGACCTGCACATCCTCACCATGTACATCTGGATCGTCTTCCGTGTCTTCCAGGCCATCGACGCCCACAGCGGGTACGAGTTCCCCTGGAGCCTGCACCACTTCCTCCCCTTCTGGGCCGGCGCAGACCACCACGACGTCCACCACGAGAAGTTCGTCGGCAACTACGCCAGCAGCTTCAGGTGGTGGGACTACCTACTAGACACCGAGTACGACGCCGCCGCCCTGCAGAGGAAGAGAGAGCAAAAGGCCAAAAAGGCCCAGTAGCCTCCTACCTCTCCCTTCTCCTTTATCCTTTCTCCTTTCTTCTCCGTTCCCCTTTCTTTTCTCCTCCCCGTTTCTTTTCTCTTTTTCCCCCTTGCTTTTCCTGCCTTGCATAATCCAAAAATGGCGCTGCAAACGCACTAATCCGTTCATGCTACTACCCGTTTAATACTTCCTGGCTTCCCGTCCCCTATTCGGTTTTAATTCAACGGCCCTACCTCACGTCGTCTCCCCACGCTTAACGATTGTACCTTACTATCTCACTCCTGCGGCCGGTCTTAGACGGCTGCCGAACAATAGAATAATATAACATATACACAATGTACCATGTACGCGCTCCCTGCAGCTGCAGTCACCCATGCAGCCATGCAGAGCACAGCTTGGAGGTCCGCGGACGACGCCAGATTGGCTGGAACTGCCCGGCCTTGACCAGAGTAATGCAGGGAAGATGCAGTAGTGACGCGGTGATGCGGTGATGCGCCGTGAGACGGACACGGTTTGCTATACAACATGCTATGCACTCGTTCCGCGTCCTCCAGCGCTTCCATGTCGTCGCGATGCAAATTTCAGTCTTACGTAGCTCGCACATAAAACCTCCTCTCCCTCTTCTTCTCCTTCTCTTTCTTCTTTGTCTTCTCTTCTCTTCTCCATAATATTCCCACGAAGAACGGCAGTCAGTCCGTAGATATGGCCGACTCGAAGCTGTTCACTGTGCGCCCCGCCTCCAAGCAGCCTCGCGCCGACTACAAGGATACCTTTCGTGTCTATCTCTCGCCGGCGTCGCTGCTGCAGGTCAAGGTGCGCGTAGGCGAGCTCTGCCAGCTGGAATCATATGCGCCCAGCAATGCGAGAGAGAATGCGAGAGAAGTGAAAGATGCGAATGCGAAAGAAGTGAAGACGGCGATTGCGTGGACGGCGGCAGAGAAAATCCACGACAACATCATCCAGACGTCGAAGCAGCTACAAGAGCTGTACGGCCTCAAGCTGGGAGACAAGATCTCTGTCTCGCCGGCCGCTGAGCCGCTGGCAGAGATAGAGACCGTCCGGCTCGAGGAGCTGAAGCGCAGCGCCAGCGTCAGCAGCGTCGCCGGCGGACGAGCAGCGACTCCCGCCAGTCGAGATCTCGCAGACGAGGAGCGCCCGCACTGGGAATGGGCTCTCGAGCATCCTCTGTCCAAGTGCGAGGTCGTCTCGCTTGGCCTGGTCTTCGACGTCGAGCTCAAGGGCGCCTCCAGGCGGTTCAGGGTCGTCCATATCGACCCCGGCAGCGGCGGGAGCACCGCCAACTCCGTCTTCAAGTACACGGAGAGATCGAGAGTGGCCATCGGCGCGCCTGAGGCCGCCTCGGGGGACGCAGCTTCGGCTTCTACGCAGCGTATCGAGGTCGCGGCGACGGGACTCGGTGGACTCGGTCCTCAGCTCGCCCTGGTCAACGAGCGGCTGCAGGACTTCAATACCCAGGACCAGAAGATCGTTATGCCCTCGTTCTACAAGAGTAGCGGCGGGATACTCATCTACGGAGCCAAGGGGACGGGGAAGAGCGCGCTGCTGGCCAGGATCGAGGAAGCAAACTGGCGCCGGACGTTTTCCATCACGTCTTCCATCGTGAACAGGACGGCCGGCGGAGACGGGACGGCAGTGCTACGCAAGATATTCTCGGACGCCCTCAAATACCAGCCCTCGCTCATCAAGATCGACCAGCTGGACTTTGTTGCTCCCAAGCGCGGGTCGGGGGGTGGTGATGCAACCGTCTCTCCTGCTCTCTGCGAAGGGATGGACACGCTTCAGGATAGCAAGGTGCTCGTCGTAGCTTGCACAAGACACCCGAATGACGTTGATGACAGTCTGCGGATGCCCCATCGTCTGGGCATCGAGATCGAGCTGGAGATACCTACGTCCAAGAGCCGGTTGGAGATATTGCATGCTCTTCGCGGGCCTGCGTCCGAACCGACAGACGAGCTTTTGCAGAGGATGGCTACCAAGACGCATGGCTATGTCGGAGCAGATCTACTCTCCCTACTCCAGCTGGCGTGCCGGAAGGCAAAGGCACGCATGCTGTCGTCTACACCCCTTCTTGCAAACGGCGTCAATGGCAGTCATGTTGAAGAGAGTGAAAGCAAACCTGAAGCCGTGTCTGAGCCGGATAAGGTACTATCACTGGAAATTACTGAGCGTGACCTGTCTCTGGCCATGAAGGAGGTGCGGCCAACCGCGATGAGGGAAGTCTTCCTGGAAACACCGACGGTGAGATGGTCAGATATCGGTGGCCAGAGATACATCAAGAACCGCCTGCAAAAGGCAGTCGAGAGACCGCTCAAGGTACGTCCCGGATAGCACCCTTCCCTTTGCATACAAATACTAATACAGCTTCAAGAAACCCGAGCGTATGAAGGATCTTAATATTAATGGGAAGAAGGGAATTCTACTCTACGGCCCCCCCGGGTGCTCTAAGACGATGATGGTCAAGGCCCTTGCAACAGAGGCAGGGCTGAACTTCCTGGCCGTCAAGGGCGCCGAGATACTCAGCATGTACGTCGGCGAGTCCGAACGGGCGCTGCGAGAGATCTTCCGCAAAGCCCGCGCGGCAAGTCCAAGCATCATATTCTTCGACGAAATCGACGCCATTGCATCCCGGAGAGAGGCCGGGTCCCACGGCGGAATCAACGTCCTGACCACCCTGCTGAACGAGATGGACGGCATAGAAGAGCTGAAGAACGTTCTCGTCATTGCCGCGACGAACAAGCCAGAGGTACTCGATCCCGCGCTCATGCGGCCAGGACGACTGGATAGCATACTCTACATCGGGCTGCCGGACATGGAGGCGCGCAAGGAGATATTCGAGAACTGGATCGACAGGGCCGACGTCAACGATGAGGTCGACGCCATCGTCCTCGCCTCCCTGACGGACGGCCACTCTGGCGCCGAGCTGGTCAACATATGCGAAACCGCCGCCGAGCTGTGTCTGGACGAGGAAGACGAGAAGAACACGCCCGGCCTGCAGGTCCAGTTAGAGCACTTTCAAGCCTCTCTCTCCATGGTGCCCAAACGGGTCATGCCAGAGGTCATTCACACCTATGAGCAATGGAGCAGGACCTTTGGGAACAACCAGCAGATAACCATGTTATAGTCTTTGCTTCTTGCTCGTCTTCATGTTATGATCTTCTCTTAATCTCTTCTTACTCGGCTTCATGTACGGTCTCCTTACATCTAATATTATGACCTCCTTATATCTATATCTACTCTATCTACTCTACTTATATCATCTATCATCATCTATATCTATATCTACTATATCTACTCTACTTATATCTTCTCGAGTATAACCATCACGTGATATTACATAAGCCAAAGTCCGGAAGAAACAAAAAAGAAACAAAAAGATCAAAAGGTCGAACGAAAGAACAACGTCAACGATCACTTAAACCTGCATTTGACCAGCCATTGACGTGCTGCTGATCGGCTCTACGGGTGTTATTCCTGTCTCCACGATATATACGGGCCCCCGAGCAACCCAGGGCAGAGATCGATAAGCTGCGTCTGTGATTTGGAGCTTCCGGTTGGCCAGGATAGGATGCCTTCGCGCAGTCGCTCGCGTTCGGCGTCGGCGTCGCGCAGCCCTCGTCGCCAGCACGATACTGATAACGATAATCAAAGACCGTCCTCTCCTCTGCCACACTCGTCTCGCCGCCGGTCGTCAAGGTCTCCCTCCCGGCGCTCGTCTCCTCAGAATGCGCGCTCCGCCTCGAGGTCGAGATCTAGGCCACCACGTCATCCCAGCCACAGGAGAAGTCTCAGTCGAGGACGGAGTGCGTCGCCAGCTCGAGGGGATCGAGATAGGCGGAATGGCCACCGCGGTAGTCGGCGCAGCGAATCTCGGTCAAGGTCGCGCAGCCCATATTCGTCCCGCAGCCGCAGCCGCAGCCCCGTCAGAGACCGTCGACAGCGTGGGAGGAGCTATACCAGAAGTCCTACTCCGCCGCCGAGGAGGAGTGCAAAGGTATGTCCCTTTTCTCCATCTCTCTGCTTGAGGAAAAACAACTTGCTGACTGAAGTAGATTGTCGTCGAGAAGCTGACCAAAAATGTAAACGAAAACCACTTACGAGAGATATTCTCCAAGTACGGAGAGATACAGAGTCTTGAATTACCCATGAACCGACAGTGTAAGCTTACCACTCCTGTTCTTGGTCATTTCAATCCGTTCTTGAAGCTAATCTCGATACACCCACTGTAGTCATGACCAACCGCGGAGCCGCTTATATTCACTATTGTGAGCCTGCTGATGCCGAGTCCGCGATAGCACACATGCACGAGGCCCAGCTTGATGGCGCCGTTCTTAGTGTTTCTATAATTCTCCCACGTCGCACATTTTCGCGCTCTCCGCCCCCTGCAACCAGGCCGCCCCGTCCAGAGTATGGGAACGGAAGGTATGGAGGAGGATTTGGTCGTGGTTCAGCAGCTTTCTTGGACTCGGGAAGACCGCCGCCTCCGTCTTCTTCACGATATCGCTCACCTCCTCCCCGCGGGAGATTCCGGGGCGGCCGTGGTACTGACCGACACGACATATATCGCCCACGGTCAGTGTCAAGGTCAAGGTCTCCAGCTGGCCGGGCCCGATCTCCATCCTACTCTTCAAGGTCACCGTCACAAACTCCACCGCGTACGAGACGTCCGCGGAGAGACAGTCCACCGCGTCGTAGGAGGAGAAGCTCGAGCTATAGTAGTGTTAGCAACAGGAGTCGAAATCGGTCTCCTAGCAGAACCCGAGGCCGATACGGTGGAAGATAGTGTTTGCAGGATGGAATCAATCCTGCGCCGTTAATCCCTCGGGAAGGCAGTGTGCTTGCAATCATTTTCATTTTAGATGGAATCCTTGACTAGCCAAGACCCGTCTGCGCTTCTATTTTCGATCCTTGGACGTATGGGACCAAGTTGGGAGGCTCAGTTCGAGACCCCCGAGTTTATGATTGCTCGTTCGTTCACTCCTGGTGTAAGATACTGGATAAACTAAATAACGCGAAGCTTGGGGGTAATAACGACTTTAATTTCTGCCTCTACATGTAGTATAGGCTTGCGTCAATGACTGAACCTAGGCAAGCTTTTATTTATTCTCAATTACTGCCCGGTTTTCAAGTCTGCGCGCGCGTACAGGCCAGACGTTTAAAAATAATGGGAGAGAGATAAATATTACAATATACTGTAGTAGTCTTGAATATACATTTGCAAATCCTATCAAGGGCAGCCAACGGCACACGGAGGGGAAAAAGCCAAGTATTAGGAAACTAGAAAAACGAGCACCAGCCTATATACATTGCTGCGAGATTCTTTATTCGGGTTGCCTGTAGAATTAGTTCGTCGACATGGCCGTCTACTGACAGCGGGACAGATTCTCCGGGGAGGAGACCACGAAGCTTGTTGCGGACAAGTTCAAGGACACCCTCAGGCGTATCTGGGACACGAGGATTATATCGCTTCTGCCACAGGGTATACTAGGTTAGGTACCTGCTGAATATATTCGGGGGTAGCCTATGTACTCACCTTTTTGCCAATGAAATCTGTTGTCGGGTCGTGCAAGAAGGTTTCAAGGATAGTCATGAGAGAGTCTTCATTTTGCCGAAGAAGATCCAAGGTGAGCTCGCAAGTCTTCCGGAAAGGACCTATAATGTTTAATATACTTAGTTAACGTATTCTATATGAAAGGGTTCTTGGTGTATACTGGGGGACCGTTTACCATTATACCCGTATGCCCCGAATGCATCAGTCATATTATGTGTTAATCGGAATGGAACCAATTCAGGTTTGTCGAATGTTAGCCCCTAATAGAAGAGAAGCGTTAGACCTGTATTAGCCCACGTAAATAGATTGAACAAACCTTATCAAAAAGACAATTAAAGTCGACATGTAGAATGCCCCCTGTGCCCTCTTCGAATAAGATGTTTTCTCCATGTCTGTCACCAAGCCTTCGGAGAATTAGTTTATGATCCATTAATGCACTAAGAATTGATGGTTTAGCGGGCATGTCACTTACCCGAGCGAATACCCAACGATAGACATCACGGCGCTAGATCTAGTGTATTTCAAACGTGCCGCGAACCATGTGGCCGGCTCAGGGAAAGTTTCGACAAACCATTCATGTAAGACTGGTGGATATCTAATAGGTCTGTGTTAGCTACTTTTTGGTACGCTGAGACCTGGGCCAAAAATGGTAATACCTTGCTAACACTTTCTGTGTAAATATTGGGAGCTTGGACTCATCTGAACATGCCTCGTCTAAATTTCTGCGTATTTCGGAGTACTTTTGCCTTGGTTAGTTTTAAGTCTCAGGTACCATCAAAGATAGAAAATTCCACTGTACTCACATTTGGGGTGACACCTCGCTCCTTATTAAGTTTGATCACAAGTTCTCTGAGAGTCCTGAGATTGTCAACCCATTCGATGAGGCCGCATTCTTCATTCAAGGGGGTGACTGCGTATGTTTTTATATCTACAGAGTAGTCGTGGTTAGCGGCGTGGGATACAATAGAGGCATATAGATGAAACAGATACTTACACAGGCGGCGTTTATTTGTTTCTAGATCCCTCATGAGGAACCGATTAATCATGCTGTTGAACTCCATCAACCGTTGGTCTTTGCGGAGGTCGTCCTTCGGTTTGCATAGAAGACTATAAATTTTGCCATCTGATCCACGTATGCTTATCTTACGCGGCTTCTGTAGCGAATTCAGGACCAGAGCTTCATCTAGGACGGCTAAAAATATCAAGTCATAAACGTTAGCTACGCAGAAACTAACAATGTTGGACACGAGTGAGGAAACATACCTTCAATAGTTACGGTATCAGGAGGAAAAGCACGGAACGTCTTAAGAAAGTGAGGTTCATGACTTGAGGGTAATGTGGGAGTCAATGTTGCCTCTAGAGGGATTACCAGTCTGCATGGCGCCGACCTATGGTTAAAATGCAAGTTCCGGGATAAGCTGACTTTCGGAGTTTTCTCCTCTATAGGGGCAAGGCAAAGGCCCAATAGTTCGTCCGAAAATTTTTGGCCTTGGTTAATGATAGATCGGATATCACCTCCCTGGTGGTCTGTTTTTGATTTTCTAGCAGACTCCTGAGGTGGCGATGAGAATGGTATTGTTAATTTTCTAATTTCATTATTTCTTCGTGTAGGGAGGTGGTGGTACTCACTGTTATCTTCTGGAGGATGGCGATTCCACGAGAGGCGCGGTCTTTTGAAGAAGACTTCAGTACTGCAAGCACTGTCCATAGCCCTTGTTGTGGAAATGCAACCACAGTCCTCACGATCATCAAAGTAAGTGCATTATAAACCGTCGCGTTTGATTGACATATACGGGCCACCACTTGAGGTAGAATTGTAAAGAGCTTGAATAGCGTTAATATCGATAATATCAATATAGAAAATAAATAGAATGTAGGAGGATTGGCCATACCAATGCTGGCGAGATTCGATTAGTATATTTTTTGAGCTGGGAGTGCATCTCGTCCAGGTTCTTCTTTCGCTGCGACATATTATGTCTTTGGAAATCCCTATGAAAGAAAATTAGAACTTGCTTCTTCGCACGATATAATGTACTTACTCATTGTCTCCTCGTTTTGGGTCAAATGGTTGATCGACAGCTGCGGCATGTTCTAGCCATAGAGTTAGAACTTTAGGCAGAGTCTGGAAAACGTATTTATTCCCGTATGCAAGAGATCTGAGATAACTGTTGATGATCAACTTTGAGGCTTCGCCGCTAAGACTAGTAATTTATTTACGTTAGCATCTAAAAGTTATCCATCTGATTTGCCAAATAAACATACTATTTTTGCCCCTCTTTTCCCAGGGGTTTGGACTTTTCGGAGTCCAATATCTTAGTATAATGTTTACCCAAGTAGTAATGTGCCTTTTCCCACCTGAAAAAATTTGTTAGCTTCCTCTAATAATATACCAAGGATTAATTTTACTCACTTTGAGTAGTAATTGATAGCCTGTCGATATCTTGAGATGATGACTTCTGACTGAGTCTGTCCGGCGCTGTCCATCCACTTGGCGAGTAAAAGATGAGCCTAGAAAAATGTTAACTTATGGTTGTAGCCATGGCATAGAAGATTTAGCAGCATACCCTAGCCATTAGTATGTTCTGTTTATGACCATCCATAGGAACAGGAACGGCGTGATCACCGCCACCGGTGCGGTCATACGAGCCGAAGGCATTGGCGGCAATTGCCCCTTCCAGGGTTTGAATAGCCTTTCTGTGATGACCCTCTTTCCACAGTAGTCTTGCATATTCTATTGTGGACGATTTATCGTTAAGCTGTGCGGAATGAAGCACTGCATTGAAAGCTTGATCTGTCCAGTTTGCCTTCCGCGCCAATCGTGCAATACGTTGCCATACGGATGCAACTTCTAACTCGTCATATGTAGGACTATTAAGAATTAGTGAGATGCTATATTTCCCAATCGGTTTTAAACAGGGATGAGACTTACGACAAATCCATTATGGCCTGTCTTATTCCAAGTATGTACTGTTTGTCCGAAATACAACCACCCAGCATTTCTAAACGACGGTCCAAAATACTGAAAAGTGCAGTTCGATCATTCGAAGAATTAGCGTAAGACCCCGAGGTTAGGAGATCTATTTCTGTGAGGACGTGTAATTTGAGGGTGCTATCATGGCTGGCTTGGAAAGTTGCGACAGAATTCGGTGTGAAGCCCCTTGCAGTATTCAACCGAAGCTCGTCAATGATTTTCTCCAGCTCTTCCTGTTTCCCCTGGCTAAATGCAACAAGTCCTGCGCCGATTCCAATATTGAAGTCCGCCGTGATCTCATTGCGAGGGCCTGAAGTAAGCTTCTCTAGCTTTCCCCATTTGCCTGTTACCCATGCAGACTCAATGGCAAAAGGGAGCATCTTTGGTACTATTGCCTCGTTCTTTTTCAGGGAGTCAAACTGATTGAGGAGTACGCCTAGGGAAGTTAGTGGAATCAAAGCAATATGTTGACTATTATTACACACCATGCTGTCCAGATTCCTTCAAGCACGTCAGCAAATTGAGTTGGGCATCGATATCCCCGGGCGATTTATTTAACTGCAACTCGTACCAACTCTGGGCAGCAGCCCATCGACCTGAATTTCGGTGTTCTAAGATCTGCTGGTCAAGGTCAAGAACGTGGAGGTGGGACGATATGCCTTCGATTCCATCGGGCTCATCAATCTGGGTATATATATCTTGCAGCCTTTGGTAAAGCGATTCAAGCTGAGTAGCATTTGTCTCTGGTCGTGATTTTTGTTGCCGTATATATTGTTCCCAATGGAAGAGTGCCCTGGCGTACGACTTACATTCAACCGCCCTCTTTGAAATTATTTCAGCTGGTATGCAGGACAATAGCTGCTCCACTCTCTTTATCTGCGCAGTTGATTCCGCAAGTGTTTCTTTCTGGCTGCGGCTGGCGTGGTTACCGATAGAAGTGATACTCGTGTACTCCTTTTTCTTTCCCTGTAGCCAGCGAGACAAGTAATCTAAAACGGTGAACACGCTCTAATCCAAATTAGCTGCTTTCCACTGGCCTCCATGTCCACCTCTACGGAGATTCTGACATACCTCGCTAAATAAAATCAAATTTTCGCGCTCTGGCCCCTTATGTTCGGGCAGGGGGCATTCCAAAATGTTGGTAAGCTCTCCTTTTAGATGCTCTCGCTCCTCGTCTATGGCGCTTACTGCGACATTGAGAGCAGCAAATGGGAGTAAAAAGACAGAGATAGATTTTTCCTGGGTCCGAATGATACGGCTAAAAACGCTAAAAATTATTTGAATATTTGTGCTTTTGCCTTTTTGAAGCATGTCAAGAACAAAGGTCCTTAACCATTCGGAGTGGTTTGATGAAGGAGAGAATAGAGGATAGCAACAAGATGTGCTGATGGCACCGATTGTGACAGAGTACTTGGAGTTGAGGAAAGGGGTCAATGTATTTCTGGAGAGCTCTGGGAGGTCCAGCCAGCGACGATATAAGTCGCTAGATTGAGGATCCTGGGACCGGGGAGGAACGGCGGTACTTAAGTTACCAGTGGTCAAGAGCGCCTGCATAGCATAAGCAAGGAAGCCTTGCGTACGACTGTTAGATGCAGCCAGGAAGGCATCGACAAGAATATTTTGCAAGCAAAATATAATGAAGTCGAGGGTTTCGTCTGACCTCTCGAAATTGGACAAAACGACTATATCCTTTTTCTCCTTGACTGACTCAATACGGTTGGGATCGAGACAGCCTATGTGGCCCAGACACTGCGCTGAAAGCGAGACTATCATTGGAGAACTTGAGCTATATTTGACGCAGCAATCCAATAGCGTTCGTGTTACCTTTCCGACAAGGCTTTTATTCGGTTGTTCATTAAACACAGAACGATGGATAAACTCTTCGTGTTTGACGAGATTTGCCAAAAATTCAACCATGGCTCGTTCAACGACTGCAAAATTATCACTTTGGCACCGTCGGCATAGGGCCACGAAGTTGCTTCGAATATCCATACCATTTTTGACTTTCTCGATGGCCTTGTCTTGTTCTGCGAGTTCAGGTATCGATGCTAGAGACGGAAGGGTCTCCGATACGGCAATGACCGTGTTTTCGTGATCACTAAGAATGTAATCTACCAGCTCCACTTCACTTTCTCTGCTTTTGTCAGATAAAACAGACCAGTATTTCAGAATAATTGCAAAAGTTTGATCAATCAATGGCTCAAGGTCGACATCGTTGAGAGCGAATATCATAATATTCCATGTCGCGAATGCATGGTCACGAAGCTCATCCGCATCAAGGGCGGACCGCAAACAGGCGCAAATCTAATAGCTATTGGTCAATATACTGTCTGCTTTTGGGAAGGGACAAGTCATACCTGTGGCAACGCAATGCTGATATTCCCTTTCGCAATTTTTATCATTTCTCCCATGGCAACAATATCTCGTTTCTTCTCTGGTATCGGTTGTAGAATTTGAAAATCATTAATGACATGAACGAATTCTGTAACCACTCCTAGGACGTGCTCTTCGATAAAGACAGCTAGATTATCTGCTTTTGCAGCCACTGCATTGCCATCCTGCCGCGGGGTAATGGATGCAATATATTCAAGGGCGTCATTATACTACTCAATGATTAGCATTGGCATCTTTGTTGGTTATAGACGCTTACCTTTGAGCCCTTCCCTTCGCCAGAATCACCAAGCCCCCGTAGTAGCTCGCATGTTATTGGGACGCATTCAGACCGAACCAACTTGGAAAGAGTGGGATCATTAAATTTCACAGACAGTTCTTTAAGAATCGATGGAATCGCTGTCTCGGGGTTAGGAAGAGGCTGGACGAGCAAGAGAGCAAGGATTGACGCAAGATTGGATCTGGTCTTGATTAATTCAGAAACTGATTTCTTGTCGTGAGTCATGGCAATACGTGTGATGATATCTTTCTTCCTCGTTAGTACAAGGTATGGTAAGGTATGGATTGTAGTTAGTCGTAAAAATCCGTTAACCTCCATCCCAAGTAGATCGCATAATTGATCTGCCATTTGTGGTCGAGCGTGGAAATTCTTGACGACCAGGACAGAGAGTGTCCTCCAGAAGGGTCTAAAAAGTGCCGCAGGAGTCATTTTCAAGGAATTGGCTAATTTAGATATCTATACCAGGTAAGAGATAGGCCGTGTAACAGGAAAATACTTCAGCTGCTTACCTCCGTATAAGCTACAGCGCTAATGAATGGGTTGGCGTGGCCTAGATATTCGAGCATCCGAAGGAGTACGATATTCATTTCTTCATCACCAGAAATCCTAGTGGTTATTGGTTAGCAGGTTAGCAACATACAAAAGGGGGGCCGAGACCATACTCAGCAACTCGCCGCAGGGCCATAACGCATGTTTCCTGCATAAATAGCTCGTTCTTCTCGAAAATCTTGTGCAAATATTCTAAAGCTACAACAAAATTGTTGCGGCGAATATCCGAGCTACGGGGGCCCCTTAGAAAAGACGCCATCGTCCTTCTAGATAAAGAATAAAGATCAACCTTCGTCAGACAAACATACTCGAGGCGAAAACCGGGGAAATTTTCTTACCCAGCAGCTATCCGCAATTCTCTAATGGAACTTTTGAGGGACTGAAGACAATATTCTCCAAATGGGGATACCCCTAGCCTATCATCCTTGCCCATCGGGTCATGATTCATGATATTTCGAATGGCAATCAATGCGGAGACTCTGCACCTCCCCGAGTCATGGATTTTCGGAAGAATCCCCTCGACAATGTCCCTCAAATGCCCAAACTGGGAGTGGAAATTTGGCCTTCTGCTATAGCCTTCTAGTACGCCGCAATCACATACGTTGCACGTAAAAATTTGACCTGAGATATTGCCATACTCTTCTCCCTTTAGATTGTTTGCCCAGGCACAGGCTAGCCTTCCCAGATTTGCAATTGTATTGCATTTATCGTTGGGGGATAAGTTTGCGAATTCGTGTCTAAAATTGATTAACAGAGCATTCTAGAACAGAATGGAATCATGAGCTTACAGAGAATCCTCATCTAAGTCCTCGAGTCCATTTGCGGGGAAAGTACCAAGTGCGCTATAAATAGTGTTAGATATAGTATTTGGAAGATCTGAATCAACATCCGCATCCTGCGTATCGGATAAGCGAAGTCGTTTTCGCGCTCTTTCATTTGCAGGATCTAATGCTCCAGTCGCGGTTGTCCCATTTCCAGGTGGTCCATTTGAGCGACTAGTAGATCCCCTATCTTTATCACATAACCCAATACGTCGCGGTACTTTAGATGCTAACTTTGCCCGGTGTTCCCCAGTCATCACCCTCAGGACGACATGCTATAACTCCGTCAGATTTTGTTGGATCAATCATGGAGCTATTTGTCGTTACAAAGGGTAAACTAACCTGAAGCGACTGGTGTAGGGCTTGGAAAGCTTCAGTATCAGCCTTAAGATCAGATAGGGCGTGAAAGAAAAGGTCCTCAACGAGATCTTCTATTCCTGCAAACAGCTGACTCAATCGAATAACTTCAGTGAGAAATTCAGATAAGACCTGCTGCAACTCAAAGCTCCTCTTCAATGTTTCCGAGACTAGGAGGTCAACCCCACATTGGAACAATATATGCAGCACCTTCTGGTCGATGCGTGAACTTAGCCGGATAGCATATGAACATAGCTTTCGAGAAAAGGAGACAAATTCAACCAAGAGGCCGGTCAGCCTCGGCTCTTCCTCAGGAACTGTGTTTATTTCGAGCCATTCAAAAACTGCCTTCCATAACCTTACTTCAAAGTGTAGGCCACGATTAAAACTTTCGCGCAGTAAAGATGCTCTGGAGTCAGGTAATGAGAGATCAACTGGACAGGTCACAGCCTCTATAAGCCTAAAGCAGGCTTTTGCAATGACTTGCGGACTCCCTAGCTCAGTGCTGAGGAAGCAAGCTCGTGGCAGCCCCAGTTTACCTAAACAGTCTAGGAAGTCCACAGAAGGCACTGGAAAGCTTAAAGTACTGCTAGATAAAGCATTTCCGTCAGATATATCGGCGGCCTCAACTGCGTAAAGTAATTCTGTATCCGTCTCCCATGGTTAGTGAAAGGGGACCGTAAGTCTCGGTAATCAAGAAAAGAGGTTTATACTAACCCCCGATACAGGCCTGGAGGAACCGAGATATTGATTTTGCTGAGTAGCATAGTTGAATAATTTTGAATTGGGCGCTGTATATCATAGACACGACCTGGCAGACCTTATCTTGTATGCTTCTCTCATCCCAAGAGCAAAGGAGAGACAGAAGGGGTGACAGAAGCCACACAAACAATGGTGACTCAGGGATAGTCTTCCCTAGAATCTCTGGTTTTGAATTCTCATGAAGAACAACAGGTGCCCTCTGTATTGCAAGGCGGATGATATCAAGGCAGTCGAGAGTCTGGCCAATAAGATCCTCCCCCGAGGCCCTCACATTTTGAGGTTTGAGGGACGGCTCAAGCCCGGCCTTGACCACCACGTATATTAGATTGTAGATATCATGGACGTTATTGTCAAGGTTTGTTTGGCCATTCTCGCTTTGGCCGAGGATTTCCCGGCGTAATTGTGAGAAGGTCTCGCGATCAATGCCATGTTCGCGGTCGGTTCCAGGTGCCAAATGGGGTGCAAGATTAGTCGGGATAAGCGAAGATGCGGGCGCATCCCCGGGCCCAATATCTTGCTGCTTCCCTACGGGGCGCCGAGTTTTCATACCATTCTGGCCCGCCATGAGAGCTCCATGTCATGTAACGGTCGCTGGAAGAAACGTTGAGAGCGGTAGTCGAGGTTGTTCAATGAGATATATGAGCTGTTCCTTGGTCCACGATTTACTACCTCAGACGGCGTACAGCAAAGTAACGAGGAAAGAAAAGAAACGGCGCGGTCTCAACGGTGTCTGATATGGAAGCTCGGTCGTGTCTTGAGGCTCAAAAAGATCGCGGAGGTGTCTGCTTAGTCAGCCACAACTCGGCGATATCGAAGAATGGACGTTTTAACGACGATGCGAAAAGGTCATCTCCTTTTGGTTTACTCTCTCAAATCTGTATTGGGTGCTCGGTAATATCTACCCGGTCCTTCATGAGCTATGGCATTTCCCAGTGTCTGAGGTACAGATTTCATTTATGTTGTTTGCAGTGCAAGACCCAGCACAATGATGCAGGCAGTCACCAACCGCTCAAAACATGAGGTCTTCATGAAGATGGCTTTGAAAATGGTATTAACAAGCTACTGCCTACCCCTAGCTACTATATATGTGTCCCCAAGCGGCGTGTGTTAAGCTGACTATTTCTTAAGGCCGAAACAGCGCTGGCCGTTGGCGAAACGCCTGTAGGCTGCGTTCTCGTAAATAAAGATAAAGTGATAGGATCTGGGATGAACGACACCAATAAATCACTGAATGTATGTTCTTTAGGGATACAGCCCGTACATAAAATAATCCAGCCAGGAGGTATACTGAAATTATATATTTTTTTTCTGCAGGGTACAAGGCACGCGGAGTTTTTAGCCATCGAAGAAGCCTTGAGAAGTCACCCACGATCCATATTTCGTGAGACCGACTTGTATGTGACTGTCGAGCCATGCATCATGTGTGCCTCAGCGCTGCGGCAGTATCACATACGGAGTGTGTACTTTGGCTGTGCGAACGAACGTTTCGGGGGTACGGGGGGTGTTCTAACACTTCATTCAGAGTAAGTTATCAACCTCAGCGCTCCAATTTACAATGTTGGCCGGATCAACACTATCAACACATGGCTAATACCATGGCCAGTCCTGCAATTGACCCCCCGTATCCAGTTTATGGAGGAATATTTAGAAAGGAAGCTATCATGCTGTTACGACAGTTTTATGTGCAAGAGAATGAAAACGGTATGAACGGGTGTGAAACATTGATAATAATGACTTGCTAATACTCAAGCATAGCTCCCAACCCCAAGGGCAAAAAGGATCGAAAGCTAAAGGACGAGATAGAAGATGCCCCTCATCTAAAGGGACTCGATGGAATCTTGCCCTTCGAGTAAATCCGCGCCGGATATTCCATATCAGTCGAAACCTTGGTGTACATATTTTTTTTGATATGGTTGCGGGAGACACGAGATCGAAAAGAACTGGTAAATCATGTGTTGCCGAGAGTATTATATACAGACATAGAAAAGAACCTGGGAATCTGAAGGATTGTTGCATTACCGATGGTCAAGCTATCTATTGACTGGTCATCATCTTTACACGCTCGGCTTCTAGCTCTCGTTCAGCCTGACGGTAATATTTTGCAGTATCAACACCGTGCTGAGGAGTTAACGTATAGTTAGTATGAATAAAATTTTCAGACTGGGCGCCGAATGGGTGCGTACCTGGTTGTGGTTGACAACGTTGAACCAAGGGATCACATGGATGAAAAGCGATGTGTATCTAGAATTTCGTGCAGCAACACCCTGCATGTATGGCGATAGTGACGAAACTCCGTAGAGCGGTTCTCCCTTTTTCACCTTCTCAACCATCTCGCGCATGTCCATCTCCTCTTCCCGAGCGTTCTCCGTGAGTCCATAGAATCGATCTGTAAAACGACAGGTGTTATTACTTAGAACTCATCACGCTGCAAGCCAGAAAGGGATCGGCCCCTATGGTTTGATATACGTGCCAACAGGGCATTGGGGAACACTGACTGGAAGATCTCTGATAGACGGTAAGTACGCCCGCGGCCAACCCAACTGCTCCGGACAGTCTCATGCATCGGGCAAAGTTGATCGCAGCGGACGCAGCAGGCTGAACCCGATCCATGACTCCGAAGACCAGCGGGCTCACGGCGGCAACACCAGCCCCAAGGAGGTAATCGGACGTTCGGGCATACCCAAACACGCGGCGAATATGGCTATATTTCATATCGTTAAGAAAAAAGGTCACGGAGAGGTAGGTCACAGCCAAGGTCGTAGACGGAAGGGGATGCTGTGGTTTCTTACGGGTCTGAGTCCAATAACTGCGGGTGGACTGGTCAGCACAGGTTTGACGATGTCACGAAGGTTGGAGGGGGTATGAGCAGGCGGTACGTACGGGATAGTCAGTATTTAAGTGCTTGGAAGGCACAATTGGCCTGCCATGGTCGGCGGCCATGCTGCGATCGATGTGGCGTTGGCAATTGCTTTCAAGAGCGCCTTCAACTGCGTCGTTTCTCAAGCGATGGAACAAGTTGATGTTCTCGAGCCAAATCCGTCCACACAAGAAGTCAGGTGATATATATGATGACTAAGATGATTAAGCAGGGATATGCTTAGGTAATGCACGTGACCTGGCTGGCGCGTCGCGTGGTTTCGCGGTCTTTTAATGGAAGAAGATAATATATAGAGGGAGTATATCAACTGGAGAGTCGGAGCTGGTTACGGAGTACGCTTGTTGAATCCCTGTTCTTTGTTCTGTGCAGTGTCGGGACCTTTTAGCTGCAATGGCCTCCAATGACGATGTGGACGACCTCTTCGATTATGACGCCGGGCTAGACGATATTCTTCGAGAAGTAGAGCAGAAGACAAGAAAGACCGCCGACTCAGCTAGCAACAACCCAACCAAACCGGACGGCGATATCCTTGGTATCGATGATGAGATCAAGGTTACTAAGAAGCGGGCACCGATAGTGAAACTTGACGAAACGAGGTAAATTGAATATGCTGGTCCCTCCTTGCGTGGTCGATAGTCGACTGAACATCATCGGCGGAACGTAACAGGCTATTATCCCAAGCTGGTATCCCCAAACTCCGGAAAACAGCAAAGACGAAACTTAAACTGAAGGGGAAAGGCCATGAAGTACGTATCAGCTTTATAGCTGCAGCGTTTTAGTCCAATGTCAGCTGTACTCCGTACTGTCCGTACTAATAATAGTTCAATACAGTTCTCTGATGCTGCTCGGTTACTCAATTTTTACCAGCTATGGCTAGACGACTTATACCCCCGCGCAAAGTTTTCTGATGGCTTGTCTATAATTGAGAAATTGGGCCATACTAAACGATTACAAGTGATGCGGAAAGAGTGGATTGACGAGGGGAAATCAAGAACAAGAGGAATCGATAATGAGGCGGATGATAATACAATGAAACACAACCTTCCTTCACGGGAAAAGGGAGAGCGACAGCAAGGGCAGCTGGAGCCAGGTGGGAAAGAAGGTAGCCTCTTCACCTCGTCCACACAACCCAAACCGGATGTTGTTAAGTCTATTTTTGGTGGAGATGGTGATGGGCGAAGGGACTTTAACAGCACAGCGGGGGATGACGAACTCTTCGTTTCAGGGGATGAGATTATGACTGACCTACTACCCCGCGAGGGTGTCAACAACGAGAAGGATTCTGGCGGGGACAATGCACCTGGTGAGGATGATGATCTAGACATGCTTCTTGCCGGAGGGGATAGTAATGCCGGCCCAAACATCATACCCAGATCGAGTACTGTTGGAGCCACATCCAAGTCAGTCGAGGACGACTATGAGAACGACTGGGAGGCAATGCAAGACGACATGTAATATAACTTAATAGCTGTTTATCGCAGCATATAAGCACATAAAACCCCTGGAATGATAAATGACACGAGAATACTCCGCATGTATTTAGTAATTTTCTCATTTGAACGCTTCAGAACTAAAGTACACCAACAAATGCTACATGGCCAATGATCACCTACACTTCGCAGCGTAGGCTGGAAGGAGGAACAATGGTGAGTAATAAAAGAGATATCCAGCAAAAAGGTCAAGGAATCGCCAATTAAACACATAAAACTCCAGGGATACAAAAATGAAACTAGGTAAACATACCCTAAAGCACTATGAAGTGCTTGGGATAATGTTGGGGAGATCTCAAGAGGCGTCATCGACTCACACAGAAGACAGGACGAACGGCAGAAACACACACCCTTGAGCAGTAAAACTGCTCGGGATCTGTGTTTGGCAAATTCCCAAAGCCACAGACATTTCGCGAGGGAAGACCCGATCGAACACAAGTAGGTTCGAGGGAAGGTTCACATGGGGGTTCGTATAACAGGGCTTGGTCCTAAACATGCCAGAGAACGAAGAGGGGAGATGTTTTTGTTTCCCTTTTTAAGGCATCGAAGATTTAAATCATGACAATACCGAGCAGAGGATGTGGAAACCCCTACCAGCAAGCTGGGTTCATGAGGTCGAAGGGAAAGCGAAAAAAGGAGCAGAACCGGAGAATCAGACGTAACATCAACGAGCATCGGAAAGGAAGCAAGAGCAGGAAAGTCATACCTAAAAGCAGAATAACAAGAAAGCAAGGCAGTACAACGGCAATATGCGGAACCAGTAGCAGTGAGTAGTCAATAGCACAAACAAGAATAAGCCAAAGGGCAAAAACAAAAGTAAGCTCCAGGCGAGAAATAACGCAGAGCACAAGAATGGGATGGATTTTAATGGAGGTAGAGAAGATGAGTGTGTCATGAGTACGGAAACAGCTCAGTTGGCAAAATAGCCAGAAAAGATGTCTTGACGGTTTCTGGTAGGGCTGTTCAAGTGTAGATTGTGCTTTTTCTTATTCGGAGACGGCAGTGAAGACGGAGTACTGTCCGCCGGCACCAGCGGTGTTCAATTTCTTCCCACGGACAGCAGTGTTATCGACAACGGTGGCGACTTCGATATCATCGTCAGTCCCTTGACCAGTCTGGTAGTTGGCAGAGAAACCCCAGGTCCACGCGCGACCCTCATTATCAATGGCGATGGAATGATCAGCTCCCGCCGCAACGTAGTCCGCCTTGAATCCAGGAACAGCGGTGGGCTCGAACAGGACGCGAGCACGGTTTCTGTCGTCTTTAATGACGGCTGAGTCGGGTAAATTTTCGACCTTCAAGCCAGATTGGAAACCATCGAGACGGCCCCAAACCAAACAATCGCCTTCAGCAGTGCGGGCAAGGGAGTGGTGGGATCCGCCGCAAATTTGAACCACGTTCTTTTCCTTGAGAGAGTCAACAACGGTGGGGTGAAGGATGACGGCTTCATCATCACCGGCACCTTGCTGGATACCAGTTTCACAGTAGCTGTTGAGGCCCCAGCCATAAACTTTGCCGGACTTGTGAACAGCGAAGGAGTGAAATGAACCACAACCAATGTGGACGATGTTCTTTGGAAGACCAAATTCGCGAGGCTGGAGACCGTTCAGTTTATTGCGCTCGACAATACGACGGCCAAGCTGGTTCTGCTGGCCAGATCCCCATGCAAAGACGGCGCCACGGCTGTCAAGAGCCAGAGTGTGGTTATCACCGCAAGCGAGGTGCGTGATCTTCTTGAGGCCAGGGATGAGCTTTGGGGTGGTCTGAATTTTCGTGTCGGCGTCAAAACCGAGAATGCCCTCGTTTCCCTGGTGGATATCGTTAGCAAAGGAGAATTCCTAAAGCGAGAAGTAGAACAAAGAATAGATAAATATGGGCACACATACTCTGAATGTACCCCATCCGTAGACCAAGCCATCATCGGTGAGCGCAAACGAGGAACTGTCGCCGGCTGCAACCTCAACAATAACAGTTCCTTCAGGGAACGCGTCGGATGGAATAGCTGTGGGTGTGGATTCGCGTGGGTTAAGGCCGCTGTCACTGCCACTATCGGAGCTACAGTCGCTCTTTGCATCATCATCAATATCTTTCAGGCCACCTTCCCAGGCGGTGTCACGGCCCAACGCGCCTTGGTCATTCACGCCCCAAGTCAGGACCTTGTTGTCGTGGGACAGCGCGACGCAGTGCATACCGCCGGCCGCGACCTGAACAATACCAACATCCCCGGCAGCCAAAAGCGCATTCAAACGCGGGCGCTTCACGTCAACAGTACCCTTCGCGGAGCCTAGGCCGAGTTCACCCTGGCTCCCTTCACCGCAGACGAAGACGTTTAGTTTCTGAGATGGAGCCTTGTTTATCACAACTTTGGGCTTGGGCTTGCGGGTAACAGGGGCCTTTGCGACGCGAGCCTTCTTGGGCTTGGATTCTGGCGCGGTCTCTTCTTCGGCCACGGCCTTGCGTTTCTTCACTGGCGGTGCTGGTGTGGCCTCCTTTTTGGCCTTGGTCGCGCCTGTTGTTGCTTTTGCTTTTGCTGCTGCTGTCGTCTTGCGCTTGGTGGTGGTATTCGCGTCGGCGTCGACCGCGGCCTTTGCAGCAGCAGTCTTCAGCTTCGTCTTCTTCGTTTCAGCAGTGGAAGCTGCAGCCTTCTTCTTCGCAGCAGTTGCAGGCGCAGCTTTCTTCACACCGGCCTTTTTAGCCATGGCGGCTTTGGGTGCTGCCTTTGGAGCTGCTTTCACAGTCGTGGTTTTAGCACGCGTCGACGTCCTCGTCGAAGCTCGAGTGGGCGCCATTGCAGGCAGAGACGCGGTAGTGAGATAAACTCGACAGTTATGGTGTCCACGTAGCGAGGTCTGTAGGGGTTTTTGATGATTCTACCGACGTTGTGGATGTGTAGTGTGAAAGATGAGAGTTCGAGGGCAGGTTGGTCGTTTGTTTGTGTTCGAAGAAGCTCGCAACTTTTTTTATACCCGGCTTATGTAAGCTTACAACCGACGAAAACAACAGGACAGGACAAAGGAAAGGACAGGATAGGAGGACAGACAGGACAGACAGGACAGACAGGACAAAGAGAGGACGGGATAGGATAAGACGATATGGAGGACAATAGAGGTAGAGTCCCGCTCGAGGTCGTCCTCCTTGACTTTCAACCTATCACCAAATAACAATATTGACAATAAGTTGGTAGATTATTTAATATACTAATTTGATATTCACTGGTTATAGACTTGTAGACATGCCCTGTTCCACAGTTGATCCGGTGGTTGACCACGGCTGTTCCTGAATATGTATTTACCTGAGGATGAAGACAGGCACAAGTTTCACGGATCCATGGATCGGATGCACTTAGACTACGTCTCGACAACGATAATAGTTTATGTCATGTATAAACCACAGCCTGAGCCGACAGCCGGTATTACACATACTGATGCACATCTGGATCTTTAGTCAAGGGGCGAAGCGAGGACGTACTGCATGGAGACTCGTGTTTTCACCGGATGACCCCGCATCGGATCTTCTCCTGTAAAGGTTGGTCAAGGGTATATATATGTAAAGACGAAAAGCTCATCTGAGAGCGGATTGCATTATCTTTTGACTCGTTCTGGTAGCAGACAGTATGGCGGGAAGACCGGAAAGCCTTCCTAAGTTCTCTGACCTACCGTTGAATAAAGATGACCCTTTATATTCAGCCTGGGGTCTCTACGGGACGGACGATGAACTAGGATTCTTGAATAGACTGACAGACGAGGTGGTTAGACTGGCTGCGAAGGAAATTAAAACTGGCGCTAGGTACGAAATACCAACAATATGCCCCTATACATATACATCAAGGGTTAATATATACTAAGGGTGTCTCTAAACTGGCCACTCGACGCTCAGAACAAAGTACCATTTTTTGGCCGCCAGGTCTTCCACAAACACATTATCGACAGGTCCCCCCGTGTGGTGAATGACGATGTTTGGACATTTAATACTCAGGGCAGCAGTCAATGTATGCGCCACCTTGGCAGCCACGTCCTATATGATGGCTGACTCCATGCTTATGTATTGCAGGGGACGGACTTCGCCATTTCGCCTATCAGAAGGAAAAGAAGTTTTACAATGGTGTGACAATGGATGATATCCATGGAGAAGATGGATCAACCATCAATGGAATTCAAGGTATTGTATTGTATATTCATTCCGCTCGGTGGGTAAAATCAAGAAGCTGCTAATCTCTTTCCTAAATAGCATGGGCCGAGAAAGGCATCGTTGGCCGTGGTATTCTCCTTGACTACTACAGATGGCGGTTAGCAAATAATGTGCCGGCGGACGTTTTTAAAACGACTCCCATCCCACTTAAACATCTCAAATCGGTAGCAGAATGGCAAGGGACAGAAATAAAATTTGGGGACATACTTATCATCCGAGTAGGTACGTTGTCAGACCCATTACCCCAAATATATACAAGTCAGATATATTAACGGAGACTCAGGATATATGGTCGAGTTTAACAAGTTAAGCCCTGATAAACTCGTGGAATTGGCGAACCAGCTCCCTCCGAATCTGATTGGAGTTGAAAGAAGCGAAGAGATGCTTGAATGGATCTGGGAGAATTTCTCCGCGGTCGCAGGCGATCATCTGTCATTCGAGTCCTATCGTAAGCTTTCCTATGACGAGTTTTATCCTCATCGCCCAGGTGCTTACACGATGGTTATACGGGAAATAGCGCCCCCGAAAGACTGGAGTATGCACGAGGTCCTCTTGTCTGGATGGGGATGCCCCATAGGAGAGTTGTTCGACTTGGAGAAACTCGCGGCCGAGTGCGAGCGTCAGAATAGGTGGTCCTTTTTCATTACCAGCGAGCCCTGTAACGTGCCCGGTGGTGTAGCGAGGTATTTTATACGCCGTTTCCCACATGAACACACTCTTGCTCAATGTGCTAACCAAACGGAGCTCCAGCCCGCCAAATATGTTGGCAATATTTTAGGGAGTCAGATAACAGTTTGTTCGCTTCGTCATCACTCGGCTTCACGGGCAGCTTCCTCTAAACCGAGAAGAATTGGAGGTGGAGGGGTTTGCCGGACGGCTTTTATCTTGCCACACATGATGACATCCTTGCCTAGAGGCTGCCATTTCACATCGTGGGGAGTTAGGGCGTTTATCGGATTGCCTTCTTCGTCATTTTTTGAGTCCGGGGACGCAGAAACGCCGCCACGGCCAATGTAGGTTGGCGCGATGGTAACGATGACCGAGTTAATGAAATCAACGTATTCAGGGTTTAATAGTTCGCTCAACACAACCCCTCCTCCCTCAATCATGAGGCTGCGTATCCCTTGATTTGCAAGAGCGCCAAATATGGCCTCCCATCTCAATCGCCAGTGCGGGTTGTACTCTCTAATGCGTAGGTAATCCCCCCCATGACGCTTTAGTAATAGAAGTTTGTCCGGGTGGAGTTCTGCACCGGGCGATACAATAACCCAAGGTGCCTTCCCTTTGCCCTCCGCAGCGGTCTTCAGTAGCCTGCTCTCGGCAGTTGCCGGCCAACGACCGGTAGGATCTATTATTACAGGCCGGGGCTGCCACATTGTACCGAAGCCCCCAAAACCTCCTGCACCTTCTAACCGGCAATTTAGGCCAGGGTCGTCGGCGAGGGCGGTTCCAAGCCCAATAATGATTGCGTCATGGCGGGATCGCAGATAATGGGTTACTGCTTTGGTCTCGGAGCCAGATAGTACGGTCTGCATCCCTGGCTTAACAGATATTTTGCCATCCATAGACTGTGCATATGTAAGGGTCACATGCGGGAATCTCCAGCCATCGCTGTCGACGTTGATGTTGATGACGCTCTGATTATCGCCTGGCCTTGGTAGGTATAACTCCAAGAAATCCAAAGAAAAGGTCGGGAATGGCAGCACATTAGCAGGCAAATTGGTAGACCTAGGGTGAGCTATGATCGCCGGAGGGTGGTCTGCTTGGTGACCATCCTGCACTTTGTAAACACCCAGGCCGTTCTGGTAGGCGTAACCATCATGCGGCCGAAGTGTGAGGCCGGGATGGGTGGATCTCCACTTCCCAGATACATTCCTGACGTCGATCGTCGTCAGATGCTTTCCGCCAGCAGCGTCGAGCTGTTCGGGATCTTCGCGGAATTTGGCGAATATGGAAGCCGGCAGGTAACCCTGGGCAGCTTCTTGTCGGACATATTCCATCACACCGGAATTCTTCTTAATCTTATCCATGAAGTCTAGATCGTGTGAATGAGCATGGCTACTGTTTGGGCTCCTTGAAATTGTAATGGTTGTATGGGCGCCTTCGAACTTGACCACGCGGATCTGGAAATTGCAGGTCCCTCCCTCGCGGGCCACCTTATTCCTCGGCCTCTTACCATCAGGCAATGGCCGTTGGGGTGGACGTTTGCATGTTGGGCGCCGCAAACGGCACATGTAGTAGTCGGTGATATGAAGTCCGTCCTTGGTCGACGAAGAGCGCTGTTTTACCCAGATATTGTCTATAAACGGCCAGTACATGGTAAATTCATCCACGCTGAGCTCGATGGGCTCCTTGACGTCGAACAACAAGTGTCTGACCCAGCCTATGTTTGGAGGGTTGACATAGGGGCGCCAATCCCCTACTGGAGGTAGTTCAGTCTGGTTATTGCTGCCTGCTACAGTCAAGGCGCCGTTTGATGACTGCGGTGGTACATTCTCTCCATCATGGGGTACTTCTGCTGCCGGCGGTTGCGAGTGTGGTTTCCCGTCCACCTGCGCATGTATATCGGCTTGCAGTCTTGAATCGCCATCCCCCGTCTCGTCCTCGCCAACCAGCTCAGATTCATCTTCCATGTCCGTATCTTCAGTTGGGTGAGGTTGAGGTAGCTGCTCCCGGCCCTGTGGCTGGTCCGTACTAGGTTGGGCTTCCATGGCCGTCGCAGTCAACTCGCCAGGCCAAAGTGGATGTCCAACGATACTAGATACACAATGTCTAGCGCTCTCCCGACTGCAACTCGCGCAACTCGCACAACTCCAGCACTTCACAGTCGTCGATGGGGGGGGAAAGGCGAAGAAACGAAGTTCGATGAAATGCAGTGAGAGAGCAGAAGAAGACCCCCATTTATTGTGTGACGTCTAAGTCGCTTACTCAGCACGGCCTGTGCGTGGCTCAGGGACGATTTAGTTGCCTTTCCGGGCTAGCGTCATGTCAAGTGACGTACTGGTTTTACGCTGCTGTGATTGGCTAATTTTATCCCCTCATGGCATAAACCTTAAATTATTATTGGTCAATGACAGGAAAACACCAGTCACCTGACTTGTGTCCTTATTTTCATATCTCACGTAATCAGATTATTGCAGACATTATTCAGCCATGCGAAGGTTGGGGATACGATCTATGGAGGCGGCCTCAGATAGCCGAAGACCTCGTTTCGTTTCATCTGCTATCCATTGAAACACTCCCCTGGCCAGGTTGGAGAACAGACAGACGTAATCCCTCGACCGAGAGACCGCTTGCATATGTTATGAATTTTGGTGGTCGTTGCAGGGTATTTCACGTTGATGTATCCATGACCAGATCAGTCATCCATTGATTCTAGAACAGAAAAAAGGCTGGAGAATAGACGAGAAAGATTATTAAAACAAACAAAGAAAGACGCGGGGAATCATCTACAAGGCCAGCCCAATGTCTCCTCCAACTTTAGCCAGTGTCTCGTAAACCCTAGGTGGCAGTTTATATTTGATCATTCCAGAAAACACCATCAGATCCTTTGCCATCACCAAAAGCTCGTTGACCAGAGTTTGCCGCATGTCGTTCTCGTAGGCACCGGAATACATCCTTTCACGCTCACGGCTGATGCAGGTTATACTCCACATGATTAGACTGCCGGTATTCCGGGCGATGACGGGGGGTAGAGAGGAGAATGCCTGGGCCGCGCTGCGGACGTAGGTGATGGATCCCTGAGCAGTGAGTGGGAGGATTTGAAGATTATTGATGTCCTGCAAAGATGTTAGATTGGGCAAACAAGGATAGAGGGGGAGGGGGTGAGAGCTTACATCCAATGCAGGCGCCCATTGCCCAGCTTCAACCTTGGATTTTGTTTCCATCATTCGAAGAAGTAGTCCGCATGCCTCGCGGTTGATGGGATGGATCTTTTGATAGTAAAGAGCATTCGTGTTGTACAGACCAATCATATTCTTAGCCAGAATAACGGGATCCTCCACCGCTGTAAGGCTAAAGCTGCTTCCTGGCTCAGCATGGGGACTTCCTGGCTGTTGATGCTGGTTTCCGCCGGTACGGGGTTTGATGGGCTCGAGTTTAATCGCTGCCTCTCCTAGGCTGACAGCTACAGCATCAGAGAGGATGCGGTTCAGGATTGAAACAACATTATCGTATTCCTCAGCTAGGTGGTAGAGCAGGACAGCATCTGCGGTAAGCCCCTTGTCATCTGCAACGGCAGCAGCCTGGACAGTAACAGCTTTGAGAAATTCCTCCTGATCATCGAGGTTGATTAATTTCAACCGCTGTTCGATCACGCCCCTGATTCTAGTTCCATCCGATCTGATGTCTCCTAGCAACTTGGCAAAATCACGGGTTTCGAGGATGAATTCTCGTAGCGCCTCATGGCAGACGGCGGCCTGTGATTTCCCTAATTCCCCTGGGAGATCTGTGTTTAAGCATATAAGGGTAAAATAGTCGACTGCAGCTTCGACGTTTCCAAGGCGGAATTCTCTTGTATATTGCATGATGAGAGATGCAAAGTTGATCTGTGGAAGCTGTCTTGTCGTGAATGAGACTAGAAACTCGTGTCAGTACTGTGTATATATTAAGGACTAATGACAAGGATATGCGCTTACGTAGTTCATCGCCCGATGTGTAGAAATCAGAGACGCGAAGGAGGCCGTAGTAGTCGAGCGCAATGGCAAAATGTACTGCGTCTATAGGCGCATAGGAACCAAGATACGAAACGGCCTGTTCGAACATTCCACCGAGAATCTGCAACAGGAAATAAACCCCGTACGCTCCGGGAGTCTCCTGTCCCTTTGGAAACACTCTTTGGCCAATTTCCGCGATATCCTTCTTGATATCTTCCAAGCCGAAGATGTCACCCGCAACCTCTTCAGCCCGGGTGTCTTCGCGTGCCAATGCGAATTGCAACCACATCCAGTCTTCAACACCCTGGCCTAAGCCATCGAGACGACGGTGGCTAAGGTCGCATCGACCGATAATCTTGTAGCATGCCATTCGATACGGATCAACTGTGTTTTCAGGCGCGTTTCGTAGGCGTTGTTGGTACTCTGCACCGATCTTCTGCTGGAGGTCACGAGGAAGCCTCCGATGCTGGGCATAGGTGGTCATGTAGGTGACGAATTTATAGTCCATTGATCGGAAGCCTTGATCACGACTGACGTACTCTGCTGCTTCTTCAATGAATCCACACCTGAGAAGATAGAAAATCAGAATCCAGCAGTAGTCGTCGTTCACCATTTGCAGCTCGGTGCCATCCGGGGCAAGATCCTTTCTCGCTGCCCGAAGTCGGATATAAGCGCGAATCTTGTTGATGATGGTAGGGACTCCGCCTAGTTGGGCTTCACGGGGATTCTTCGCAATGGAGTCTTCAACTTCCTTGTAGAACGATCGTTCAAGATGTTTCCTGGATCCTGCAATGATCTGTTTCCGCATCCTGAGCGCGTCCATGGACGTAGGGCTGTCCTCTCCGTAATCCTTGGCAAATTGACGGGGCCTTAGAGCTCCGGGTTCGAAGTAGCCAACAGAACTAGCGGGCTCGTTTGTAATACTAATGAGGGCATGATAAGCCTCAAAGAGCTGCTTTGGGACCTGGAAACAAAGACAGGTTAGTCGAAGGGTACTTGAACATGAACGTGAGGGAGCCGGCGACATACATCACTCTCTGCAACCTTTTCAGCTTCAGCAAACTCTCGAAGCACGGGGAAGGTCCTCTCCTGCAGCCTCATTTCGTTTAATTTCTGTACCTTCAAACCGAACTGGCCTATCTTTTCTCTCATGAATCTGGAATCTCCACCCTGCTGGGTTGGCGAGGGAGTAGGTCGGCTGGCAGGGTCGGCAAAGATGGAGGCGCTACCACCCACGCTTGCGGACCCGATGATGGACTTGGACAACCCTGACCGCCCAAAAACGCTTCTACGACTGGCAGATAGATTGTCAGCAGGCTCGTCGCGGGCAGTTCTCCCTCGAGAGACACCAAAGCTGCCGGTTCGGCTATCGTCCTTTGATGCGAGGCCAAAATGTCCATAGATCTTCTGCCGTTGCTCGTCCCAGTTGAGGCTAACTTTGTCTTCGAGGAACGTATCGAAATCCCGGCGAGCTCTGGCCAAGCTTTCAGCAATCATGGCCTCTCGACCGCGCTGCTGCACTCGTCGCAAGAATTTCTGGTTGTCGGGGTCAAAGTACTCCTGTTCGGGTACTGGTGGAGCTGGGCCAGCGTTTGCGCCTGTCTGAGCGTCGAACGTGTGCAGGTCATGGATTACCTGCCCTGGAGAAATTCCAGACGCAGTCAGGGATGAAAGCCTGCATTGGGAGGGAGTTAGAGAAATTGATGAAAAAGGCTATGGATAGGGTGATCCTACATCCTGTTTTCGACTGCTGGTTTGTGTGTGGACCTGGGCTCGCCGGTACCCAGGCCGCGGGCAGACTTTCTGATATCGTCTAGCCCGAGCTGGAGGTTGGGGAGCTCGACCGAGGAGACGTTCTGGAAGCTCGAGAGGGGCCGTTTCTTGCCCTTCTCCAGCAGGCTGCTGAAGTAGGCTGGCTGTGCCGGCTGAGAGACCGTAATTGACGGCGTGACGGTGGATTGGGAGGGCAGGGCGGCGGTCCCCTGCGCCTGGCCAGGTTGCGCAGTGGACTGGCCAAACATGGTAGAGCCAGGGGGATTCTGCAGACTGCCCGTGTTATCTACCGCATCCGTTAGCATGGGACATGGATGTCGAGAGTGAGAGTGTATACTTGTAAATAGAGATTGTGGCTGTGACTGTGTGTTGGAGGCCCCCGTCGGCGCAAAGAGAGACGGTCTCTGAGCCTGAGCCGGGCTCGCCATGTCAAAGGCTCCCCGTTTGGCAGGCTGCTCACCGGCGGTGCCTGAGCCAAAGATCGAGCCGCCAGCCGACGCGGGCGACTGGCTCAAGCCTAAGCCCTGGAACATGGTGAAGTGGCTGTTATTAACAAGAAAAGAGGGACGGGCCAGCTCCGGACAGGGCGGGACGGAGACGTGGTGGTTGAATGGTTCGTGAGGGCGAGAGATGCGTTTTATCCAGACCAAAATAATAGAAAGGTGAAGTTGGAGCTCTGTTATTACATAAGCATATTCCAGGAAGTTTTCACGTCTCTTATACTCTTATACTCTTATACCTTTTATACTTCTCGTCTCTCGTCTCTCGTCTCTCGTATGACATCTCTCTATCCTCTACCGGTATAAGAGAGATGCCGCCCTTCCAGTCGAAGAAGTTCCGGCCCTCGACGACGGCGGCCTCGTCCCTGGGCGACCGCCTCGGGGCCAAGTACCGCGCGAACCTGTCGAAACATCCCTTCCTCCTCTTCGGCCTGCCCTTCATCAGCATCATGGTCGCGGGCTCCTTCTTCCTGACGCCGGCCACTGCCCTGAGATACGAGCGTCACGACCGGAAAGTGCAGCAGCTGAGCAAGGAAGAAGCCATGAACCTGGGCCTGCGGGAGCCCGGCAGGGAGGACGCCGGCAGCCTGCAGCGCAACCCGCGGCGGCGCATCCTGGGCGACGAGAAGGAGGAATACTACGTACGTCTCTCTCTCTATATATATATATATATATACTCCGGCTGACTGCTCAGAAATTGATGGCCAAGGACCTGGACAACTGGGAGCAGAAGCGGGTGCAGCGCTTCAAGGGCGAACCCGACGGCCGTTTCACCTGATCCCTTATCGTCACCATCTACTCACCACTCTCGCATACTCACCACACCATCCTACACTGCCATCACCATCATCTACATCACCATCATCCATCTACATGTATCTACTGCTTAGTCAGCAGTCTCGACCACTTCCTCTTTGGGCCACGCCCCCGTGACGTCAGCCAAGACGCTGACTAGCCCACGTTAAGCCGCAAGAAAAGGAGACGAAGAAGAAGAAGAAGAAGAAGATACAGATGAAGATATATAGAAGGGAGAGAGGAGAGAGAGGAGAAGACAGACATGTATAGTATAATTGAGCAGTAGCAGTAGGTAGCAGTAGAAGAGTAGAAGAGTAGAGGAGTAGAGTAAGGAGTAAGGGCAGGGGCAAGGGCATGGCCGAGTGTGGGGATGGCGCAGGCGACCAGCGCATCAGGACTTCCTCTTCCTCTTCCCCTTCCTCTTCCATCTCTACTGTTCTATCTCTACTCTACCATCTCTACTCTTCTACCTCTACTCTTCCATAACCTCTACTCTACCATACCATCTAACATACATCTACCTACTCTACTCTACTTTAACTCTACTTACTTCTCGTGGACCAACCGGAACCAGAGAAGCCCTGGCCCTGAACCGGACCGCCAACCACAGCGTCGAGGACGTCTCGCTTACTTTCCAACGCCGCCGTCTCTCCTCGTCGCTACCACGGATCGTCGAGTCTCTTGACTCTCTCTTGACTCTCTCTGGTCTCTCTCTGGTCTCTCTCTGGTCTCTCTCTGGTCTCTCTCTGGTCTCTGTCTCTGGTCTCTGTCTCTGGTCTCTGTCTCTGGTCTCTGTCTCTGGTCTCTGTCTCTGGTCTCTGTCTCTGGTCTCTGTCTCTGGTCTCTGTCTCTGGTCTCTGTCTCTGGTCTCTGTCTCTGGTCTCTGTCTCTGGTCTCTGTCTTTGTCTCTCTCTCTCTTTTAGGCTGGCTGCTCGACGCTGTCCGCTGACGCCGTCGACTGCTCGACTGCACTGCCGACTACTCGACTACTCGACTGATAGTGATAGCGACTTGATAGTGACTTGACTATTTGATTGATAGACTTGAAGTGACTGACAGTGACGATAGCGTGATAGTCTGATAGTGATAGTGATAGTGATAGTGAAGGACGAGCACGACGGTTGGGACAGCGATTCCGGTACGTATGGACCGTCCTGCCTGGCTGTGCCTGTTCGCTCTCGTGGTTGATTTTTCACCTTATGCTTTTGGTGGCAACGGTCCAGTCTCTGACCATAACGTCATTCCGGCGGGCCCCCAATATATACGCTCCCTGCTGCCCTCCAGCCTCCCAGCTCCGTTGACTGACCATCATGGCCTCTACAGGACCGTACCGCCTCGCTGGCTAATTCCGTCTCGAAGCTATCAAGCGGTGGGATCGTCCGGATAATGGCGATCAGCTCCTCTCCATCCAACGCCGCCTATACACAATTATAACGCTCCCACGAATTATACCTAAATCATACTCGCCTGACTTGCCATGTCTACCACCGCAGCCACTTCACGCCCGTCGCCGGCTTGGGGCCCCGCGGCGCGCATCTCGACGACCCCGGCTGGCCTGCCGCCGTCCACTCCCCCGTCTGCTGGTCAGATAACCGCCTCCTTCTTTGCAAGCGGCGCCTTCTCGTCCCGCGCCTTTGATGAGTCCAGCTCCGGCGGCTATTTCGACCTGGTGGCCGCCAACGCCGCTCCCTCTCCCTCCAACGCAGCTCAGTTCTTCCAGGCCTCGAGGGACCGTGATTTCTCCTTCAACATGCCGTCTAGCGCAGGCGGCTCTGCGGGTGCCAGTGCCAGTGCCAGTGCAAACGTCACGCCCAAGTTCACCGTGGCCAGAAAGAACGCAGACATGCTCGAGAGGAAGTTTGTTGGTCGACATGCCGGAAGGACTGACGAACGGGGCGCCGATCTGCCCGCCTCCCCCCTGCACGGAGGCCCCAAGAAGCTCGGCTTGGATCTCAGTCCACGGCTACACCAGAGGGTTCACTACAAACCTGTTAACCCAGCCTTGTCTGAGGGCAACTCCCAGATGTCCTCGGGGGCATCGACGCCGACGGGGCCTCTTTCTGAAACCGCCAGACATGCCCACCACTCGTCCGCTCCGATGGCCGATCAGTCGAGACTCCTCACGCCGGAGCAACCCTTTGTGCTCCATCGGGCACAGTCGACTCCCGTCGGCGCCAACGTCGACATGGGCGATGTCAAGATGATATCCGCTGAACGGTGCCTGGAAATCTTGAAATCTTCGAGAAACGAGACCCTTCTCTTGGATGTACGCCCGCTACTGCAGTTCACTCGATCCCACATCACGGGATCCCTGAACCTTTGCATTCCAACCACCCTCCTCAAACGGCCGTCCTTTAACCTGCAGAAGGTCGAGGACACCTTTGGCAATGGTCAGGAGAAGTCAAACTTCAACAAGTGGCGTACGAGCACCCGGATTATCGTCTACGACCTTTCTACCACTCACGCCAAGGATGCTGCTCTCCTCATGAACTTGCTCAAGAAATTTACCAGAGAAGGCTGGACCGGAGAGCCGTTGATTCTAGCCGGGGGATTTTCCCGTTTTGCCGCCGATTTTCCCGGTTGGATCGAACGTTCTCAGCAGCCGGCTACCTCTTCTTCCGCCTCTTCATCCACCTACGGGAAGAGTCCCTTGTCCATCAGCCTGACTCTACCGACTACCGCCCCGTCGGTCGTGGGAGGGTGTGCAATGCCGACCCCTTCGTCAAACTCCGTCACCCCTTTCTTCTCAAACATTCGCCAGAATGTAGATCTCGTCGGCGGAGTCGGCCAGCTGCCCGTCAACCTTCCCCCCAGCATGGACGAATCTACCAAATCTTCGTTGCCGTCCTGGCTGGCCCGGGTAGCTGACTCGGCCGACGGTGGGAGGACGGCTGCCCTCCAGTTTCTAAATATCGAGGTATCTGAGCAGAGCCGCATGCAGCAGGCTCTTTCTAACCCGAGCACGTCTATCCACTTAGGACAAGGCCCTACCAAGCGCCCGGTGAAGATTGCAGGTATTGAAAAGGGGTCGAAAAACAGATACAACAACATATACCCGTACGACCACTCTCGAGTCAAATTGCAGGACACCACCGAAAGCGCCTGCGACTACATCAATGCGAGCTTCGTTCGCTCCTCTCGATCAAACAAACGCTACATTGCCACACAGGCGCCGATGCCGTCCACCTTCAATGTAGGTTCTTGTGATCTCTGTACACCTACCCACTTATATAAGTCCCCCATGCTAATTACAGTCTAGGACTTTTGGCGAGTCGTATGGGAGCAGGGTATACGACTTATTGTCATGCTCACAGCCGAAACTGACGGCGCACAGGTTAAATGCCACTACTACTGGAACTCAGCCGACTACGGCAACCTGAAAGTGCAGCTCGTCAGCGAAGGCACTATTCCTCTCGATCCGAGCGGTATGCTGCAGTCGACGGAGGAGTCACCTTTCTTCAACATTCGGCACTTCAGCATCACCAACTCCAAAGCGCCCTTCGAGCCGCCAAGGGAGGTCACACAGATCCAGTACACGGACTGGCCCGACTTTGGAGCCCCAGCAAAACCCTATCATCTACTGCGTCTGATTGAGGAATGCGATTCCATCGTGAAGCCCTCGAGCAGTCGATCGGCAGCACAGGTGGGGAGACCGGATCCTGCAGGCCAGCGCAAGGTAATCGTCCACTGCAGCGCAGGCTGCGGCAGAACAGGGACCTTTTGCACCGTAGACAGCGTAATCGACATGCTTAAACGACAGAGGAAAGCGGCTCAGAACCCGGTCAGAACCGAGCCGGGCTGGGTATATGAAGATAACACCGACCTTGTCGCCGCTACCGTTGAAGACTTCCGGTCACAGCGACTGAGCATGGTCCAGAACCTCCGACAGTTTGTGCTTTGCTACGAATCTGTTCTAGAGTGGCTGGCGTCGGGCGCCGAGATGTAAACTATTCACTTGCTTCTCTGTGGCCACTTTTCAAGGCCCATCCTTTCACCTCGTTAACGATTTAATTCGCCCAAGAAGAAGTCGGGAGGCTACATGGCGGGTTTAGATTCGGAGTTCTGGGTTTGACATTTGACATAGACAGGCTTTCCCTTGCCAGGTTCACCATTTTAACTGCGCGCCCAAATCCAAATTGGGTATTGTAAATATATATTAGCCTAAATCTTTCTGTTCTCGCCTTTTGACTCGATGGTTGCTGCAAACTTGTATTGCTTTTTGTTGAAAGGGCCAACTGCTGCCTGGTAGAGCCTCAACCTAAAAATATCTCCTTATGGAGAACGTCGAAAGTACTTTTATATCAACAACTCCCGCCCTGGTTGATTCTGTTTCCTTGCCTCAATTGAAAGAATATCTCAGCCAGGTAGATTAACTCGCCTATACTTTGACATATACTTATCTACCACCCTGCTTCGACTTCGTTGGCCAGAGATGGATCGCTTGCTGGAGCTGCCCGTGGAACTCCTCCAGCTCGTGGTGAAGAGCTGCTCGACACCCAGCTATCTCCAGGTTATCCGGACATGTCGAACCCTCTATTCAATCGGTACAACATGTCGCGAAGTCGTTCGTCATCAGCTTTCCCAGATGCCAGGCCTCCAGGTGACAGAGTCAGGAACCCCGCTTGATTCACAGTCCACGGCAGCTCTGTATAAGGAGCTCAGGAAGAGGGCAGCCGCCCATTTATACGGCGCCCATTTCCACTCTGATGTCACGCTCCATACCTTGGACGGGCGTGTCATCGATACCAAGGCCTCATGTCTCTTCTCGGACCCTTACCACACGCCCTGGAACCGTCCACAGCAGACGCTGGCTCTGGTCCCCCGGGGGGGAGATTCTGTTTACCTGTACCATATGGGGGAATCGAGCTCAGGAAACGGTGTCGACGCCGGGCCAATGGTGTTTCTTGACAAGATTGAGCCTCTGAGTGATTTCCCCGGTAAAATAGAAATCCTACGGGTCATCAGCAGCCGTTCCCATCCTGAGATGATCTCGGTTCTGCAGCGTTATGAACCGCCGGAGCAGACAACGGATTTGCCCTCTTTACATCCCTTTGTCGGGGAGGCGATGATGCCGTATTATTCTGCTCGCATCAGGCTCATTCATTATTCATATGCCTCCTCGGCGAGACGCTGGAGGCCAGAAGCATTTACCGTGTTCCCACGCGAGTTCGAGGACGATTTTCTCCCCCGCGCCATCGACGTTGTAGACCAGGAGTTTGTCGTTGTGTCGTGGCAGCATAAGGAATCACCAGAGGGCTCTAAAGTGTGTTTACATAAATATAACCATCAAGACGTCGTCGTCAGGAAAAACCACTGCTCTTGTAAGTTGCCCTTTCACTCAAAGAGAGCGCTTTGATCGATGCTAACAGTTTATCCGATATACCAGATGTGGAGTATTCCTCTACTGAACTGGTTGCCGAGAATAAGATTCCACGACGGCGCCATTTCTCGCTGACAGAGCGGCCGTTATCAGACCCGGTTGTCGGGGTTCGTTTCAACGACCACTTCCAGCAAGTCCTTTATTGGCACTCGTCATCAATAATCTATGATCAATTTCAGCGCATATCTAATTCTACCAATGCCACACACACCCGTCTCCTGGACAATATATGTCACGCTCAATTACCAGAACATGATCGAACGGCCCCTCCTATATTTTCACGGTTTCAAGTTGGGATACCATTTTACGGCCATCATGAATCGAAGCCTGGAACCGGGCTTTGCGAGTGGTATTATGCCTCTGTTGGCTTAACACGGCTCCCCCCAAATGGCCGCGTGGGTGCATATATTCTTCAATCCATGGCCCAGTGCAGGTCTGATCGCTGCGGCCACATACTCAACCTGGACCGCGGGAGGCGTATCGAGCGCTGGGTGGTTGTGGCTAAGCTTTGGGGGTTCAAGGCCAACGAGTCAAATTTGACAGAACTGATTACTACTTCGCCTGGCGGTACTAGACTTGCGATCGCCCGCTGGAAATCGTTGTATATCTGGCCATTAAACCCGCAGGAGATACTTATGAAAAACAAGAATGGATACTATCCGCCTGACATGTACTATTCGGCCGATGCTGGGATTAATGCGAACGTGCAAAAGTCGCTGTCGGTTGATGGGGAAACAGGTGAATACGAAATGACAGAAGACGGGTGGAAGGATGTGGTGGAATTGAAGCCTATTATATTGGAGCTGGATGCTGTCTGCTTCGGGCTGAAGTTTACGGGCGGCGAGAACGAGCTCACCTTACTGACCGATAGGGGCTTGATGGTCTGGACACTCAACTCGGACGGGACCGCACGAAGGACGAATGGTGTCATCAAGCCAGAGGAGGATGCTGCTGCTGCTGCCGAGTTCAGGAGGTCGCTTCCTGAGCCGGATTCGGACGAGTCGAATTCGGATGAAGACGCTGCGGAAGATGAGAGCGGAGGTGACGACGATGACGATGACGATGACGATGATGAAGATGGGGAAGGGATGGATTTGGATTGATACCGGGGTTTATGAATATATCCTGCAAAATAGTTTTATACAAGATGGACCTTTGTTAGATGTCACGAGCACGCCATGCTCTCGGATCGAATTGTAAAGCTGCGTAGAAGAGCTTAAGTTTGAAAGATAGATTAACACCATTAGAAGAATACACCGCCGTGAATGAATTTTAAGAACCGCCGCCGCCCACAGCCAGCAATAGCACGATCGGAAGAAGCCACCAGTACCTGTGCATTTCGGTCAGCGCCAATACTCAATATGTTAGGGGGGAGGGGATCTCACTTTTGGAGTAACGAGTTTACAAAAGGCACCTCCTCCTGCTCCTCGCCTTCGTCGTCTGCCCTCCGAACGATAGCCTTGTTCAACTGAGGAACAGCAGCAGGCTCAGAGCGTACAACTTCCACGTTTACTCCTGACGGCTTTCCGGCCTGGGTCCTCTGAGTCCCCGCGGCACTCGACTGTGACGATATCCCGACATGATACACGCGATTCCTGGAGTCGAGATAGAGTAATATGGTCGGAACATCACTGCCAGGCAGCGTAGACGACGGCTTGAAAACGGAGAGCGAAGACAAGACGCCAACCCAGCTGTTTGGTTCGGGATAGGCACCGATGCGGATCAAATCAGCGTCCTTGTCATTGCTAGACGAGAGCTGGGGAGGCGTATAGGATATGACTCTCGACCGGAGGGATACCGGGTCGTAACTTATCCGCGCGAGTTCGATTGGCTTTGAGGACGAGGCGACGGGTTGGTATAGCAGTTCTGTTTGTATCGTTGCGGGCGTGGAGGCGACGCTGGCAGCGACGAGGAGCGCAGAGGTGAGGAGGTTCGGGAGCCACATTTCGGCCTGTGCAATTCTGTCTAATTATGTATCCGTTCTTCACCAGGTTCACTTGTTCTTAGTCCAGTTGCTCCTTGGTCCAGTTGTTTCTTAGATGTTTCTTGTTTCCATCGTAAGTCGACGTCGAGATAGCTTCATGTCACGTGACGATACATCTACATCTGCGAAGACTTTCAACGTCCAGGAAGTTGATATCGGCTTCTACTCTGGATCCAGGAGGATGCGAGGTCCATGGGGCTGACCTGGCTGGCTGGCTGCGGCGAACTCGCTGCCGCCGGAGTATCTATCTACACGAGATCTCCTGTCACTTCAGAGTCTTGCAGGCGTAGATCATGCCGGAGACCAATGGTACGGGAACAAGTCGAGCGTCCGGAGTCCTCGTCTCTTCTCCCGGTCTCATCTCGCCGGCGTCTCCTATCAGTGGATCGTGCTGCGAGGACGGAGAAATGGCGAGACGACACAAAGCCCAGCGGTTCCACTGCCATCGCCGTCTGTCCAAGTCCAAGGCCGTTGTATACGCGAGTTGCAAGCTATCTGTGGAGAAACCGCGCGGGATGGCCAGGGTTCTGCTGGAGCATCCTTGTATAGTGCATCATCAGAGAACTAAGTACATCGAAGGCGATGGAGGGGATGTTCAGGCTCTCTCGTCTTCATCTTCCATCTTCCATCTCTATCACTGACAAGACGAATAGTCCCTCTCGGTGGCAGCGAGATAGATATATTCCCGTGAGGCGGATAGACATCGGCAGCTCCAGATATCTCCCGCCACTGTTCTTTGTCTGATATAAGGGATCAACCACCCAATTGGCCCTATCTCGACTGCCTCCAGCAAGCCGACGGTTCCGCAGACACTTCGCCCACGCACCAGCGGCCTGGCCTTGCTGATTAGTGAGCTGCTGTACTCTTGTACTCCTGTACAGTTGTATCCCTCAAGATGAGCTCCCTCCAACCCTCCCAGCAGGTCTCGAGACAGGCGACTATGGACCCCAGAAACGAAATAAACCCGCTCATGGATCACTATATCGGTGTTGATGTCGGCACCGGGAGTGCCAGAGCGTGTATCATCAACGACAAGGGCGATATCGTCGGGTTGGCCTCTGAAAACATTGGCCTGTGGCAGCCGCAGCAGGGCTACTACGTAAGTCGTCTAGATCATGGCCACGAGATACATGTCTGACCGGAAGATAACAGGAACAATCAACTACGGATATTTGGAGATGTATCTGCATCTGCGTACAGCGAGCTATCAGCCAACATAACATTAACCCCCTCTCGATCAAGGGCATTGGGTTCGATGCCACCTGCTCTCTCGCCGTCTTTGCCCACGATACCGGTGAACCTGTCTCCGTGACCGGCCCCAGCTTCGACACCGACCGCAATGTCATCCTCTGGCTTGACCATCGCCCGGTCGAGGAGACGGAGAAGATCAATGCCACCGGCCACAACTTGCTGCGATATGTAGGCGGGAAGATGTCGATCGAGATGGAGATTCCAAAGGCGCTCTGGCTGAAGAACAACATGCCCAAGGAACTGTTCGACAGGTGCAAATTCTACGATCTGGCCGATGCATTGACCCATCTGGCCACCGGGAATGAAAAGAGGAGCTTTTGCAGCGTTGTATGCAAACAGGGCTATGTGCCCGTGGGGGTGGATGGAAGCATCAAGGGATGGCAGCCGGACTTTTTGAAAGCGATTGGTTTGGAGGACCTCGCTTCCGATAACTTCAAGCGGATGGGCGGTGTAAACGGAGATGTAAGTTGTGTTTGTCTCTGGGCTTCTTTTGATAGGACACGGATTTGCTAACGTTAGCCTTTGCTTGCTCTACGTAGAATGGCGAGTATCTGAGTGCTGGCGAGTTGGTCGGCGGCCTCTGTGAATCCGCAGCCGCCGAGCTTGGACTTCCTGCAGGTATCGCCGTTGGTAGCGGTGTCATCGACGCCTACGCTGGATGGATCGGGACCGTAGGAGCAAAAGTCGACCTGGACTCTGACCTCCTCAGCTCCGACGCCGCGAACAATGACAGGTCTCAGGCTTTCACCCGTCTGGCTGCCGTAGCGGGAACATCTACCTGCCACTTGGCCATGTCGCCCGACCCTGTTTTTGTTCCGGGAGTTTGGGGCCCTTACCGCGATACTATCATTCCTGGCTTCTGGATGGCAGAAGGAGGACAGTCAGCAACCGGCGAGCTTCTTAAACATGTTATCGAAACCCACCCTGCGTTCAACGAAGCACTCTCGGTTGCCGAGTCCTACAATTCCAATATTTATGACTACCTGAACGAGCGTCTCAGGGAGATGGCAGCCGACTCCAAAGCGCCTTCCATCTCCTATCTTGGCCGCCATTTCTTCCTCTACGGCGACTTGTTCGGCAACAGGTCCCCCATTGCTGATCCGCAAATGTCTGGCGCAGTTATCGGCTTATCAAGCGATAAGTCGGTCAATGGTTTGTCGTTATACTACTATGGCACCCTGGAATCCATCGCGTTGCAAACACGTCAGATAGTCGAGACGATGAACAAGGCCGGCCACAATATTACTTCGATCTTCATGTCTGGGTCCCAATGCCAGAATGACATCTTGATGGGCCTTATTGCATCGGCGTGCTCGATGCCGGTTTTCGTTCCACGTTATGTCCACGCCGCTGTATGTCACGGAGCAGCGATGTTGGGCGCCAAAGCAGCTAGCGCAGACAAGGACGGAAAGACTGAAGGGCTCTGGGATATCATGGATAGAATGAGCAAGCCGGGTAAGGCAGTTTATCCAACCAAAAATGAGCATGAAAAGAAGCTCTTGGAAGTGAAGTACAAGGTTTTCCTAGAACAGTGTTTCAAACAACAGGAGTATAGGAACGAGGTCGATAAGGCTATTGTGGGATGGAATTCCTCCTAGAGGCATCGCTGGAAATATATAATGCTTTTCGCGGTAACACAAAGAAGGGGTCTAATATAGCATGGAGACTTAGCCTACTACGCCTAGTATTTATTAATTCGCCTTGATGAATATTTCCCTAAATAGCATATCATTGTGCCAGCCAGGATGTATAAGCAAATCTGCGTTTTGCTATCTCTTAGATACTAGCTACTTCCAACAACCGTAGGGATAGTAGGCCTGTCTAGATTGCTGGATATTTCATGGTGATGGCTACTATAAGGCTACTAATGTTAACCGTTGATAAATGTCCATTCAAGCTGGTTCAGGAAAGAAGGCGAGAAACAGAGGTGAGTTTGAAGTGAATTATTTAGAGCGGAATTTAGGAACGAGTCCAGCAATGCATAAACCCCCAACCAGAACGCCCGAAGAGCCAGCCTCCATACCTTCCGTCCTCTTCCCTAAGTATTTTCGCTTGTATGTACCGCGAAAGGATGCGCACTTGCCAGTGAAAACGCCCATCACACGCAATGCGAATAATCTTTACCCAGACAGAACCGAGGAGATGAGGAAAGGGAAGAAAAAAAAGGCTATGAGGGGAATAAGGAAATAAACAGCCCTAACCAGGAGCATCGAGCCTAGGCTTGCGGCTGAAATGCGTACGCCAAAAAAAACGCCCTAAAAAAAATACAGACCGCGAAGAGTGGAGTTAAAGAAACGCTGGCGGGAGCTAAAAGGGCCCCGAAATACATTTTGAAAGAATATATCCGCCCGAGAACAAGGGAAGTGTCATAAACGTCGCGAGGGCGGAGGTGAACCATCTGGGATTAGCTGCTGGATATGCCCTCTATGGATATCTGGGTAGCCTAGTGCAGCTCACGGATCATACGCCGAGAGGTAGTGGTATTGCACCAATCACACTATGATTGTTAATAGCTAACTTCAAGACAGCATTCTTATGAGGGTACTCACTTTCGTAGGCGAGCAACCGTCATTATGGTCAATACAATATTCCCCGCCGCAAGTAACACAAGAGCGAAGTACTTCGACCATACAAGAGAAACACTATGGATGAATGTAAGCTCATGAAAGGAGATAAACCTGGGGCCAAGTTAAGGTAAGCTTACAGTAGGTCCACATTCCCAGCAATCTCTGCGCATGAATGGCCGGTCGTGATGCTGGAGCAATCGTTAGCTAATGCTGATAAATGTTTGGTGTATGGTAGATAACGGGTAGCTCTTGTGCATCCTGCAGGCAGAAACCGCCAGCATCAGGATCATCGCCAAGGTGGCCAAGGGTACAAGGAAAAGAGATAACGAGCGGAAAGGATGGATGGTAGATACCTTCAGTGCCAGCCCCGAATCGCCTTCTGTATCCGACACAGGGTTCTGCGCCTTCGGAGGCCACGGTTTGCTTGTATCAGGCAAGCATGCTGCACACAGCCATCGGTTACACCTGTGACACCGGCGGCCCCGCAGACATTCTTCACACTGGACAATCAGCACCGGGGTTTCGTCGAGGCGGACAGCGGGAGTCTTGGCGACGTTCGTCCTATAGGAGTGCAACGGCGGCGGTGACAAGAGCGGAAAATGCTGCTCGGGGGACTGCTCCCAGACCAGGGGACCCTCGGGCGAGGTGCGGCAACCCTCACACCCGGCAGGGCCAAGGGAGACAGTTGCAATCGCAGGAGGTAAAAGCGAGCCTGGAGGAAGGTCGGTGGCGCGAGGCGGGTTGTGGCCGCTCCCGTATAGATTGGCGTCGTGCCTGGTACCCCGACATAAGGGAGCGTCGAAGGATATTATGCCTTGGCAGAGCTGCAATGTTTGAGCCCATCCGCTCTGCACTGAGGGCAGTTTCAGGACCTGGCCCGGTTCGCGGTACCACTCGCTGCCCAGAGATAGGCAGCCTGGGCGGCTTGGGAGGGCCCCTGATCGGTCGACAGGATCCTCCTCCTGTACCACGACCGTGTCCAGATACCGGCCGTGGCGCCCACCAGAAGCGGTGCGATGTGCGTGGTGACGTTGGCGGTGCTGGCGGTGCTGGCGGTGGTTCAACGAGTCGCGGTGGCCAAGCGTCGACGTGTTGCATACCAGCTGCCGCTGCTCGTCTGATGGGCTGGCGCAGGTTGCAGGAGTTGCAGGAGTTGCAGCTATGGGCTTGGGAGAGAAATAGTAGATCCCCTTGACCCTTGGCATTCCCTTGGCGCGGTCGGGCCGTACCGCGTACTCGATGGCCTGCATCAGCTTGCGCTCGTTGAGGTGCAGACAGCCCCGGATGGAGAGGAGGGAGACGCTGAAGCGGTCGCTGAGGAGGATGTCCGCGACTAGCTCTGCCGTCACCGGGAGGCCGTCGAGCACCAGGGTCCGGACGTCCTGCAGTATCGACCGGCGGCCTAGATCGTCGAATATCGCTCGCAGCGGGCGAGAATAGAATCCGTCCTCGCTCAAGGGTCCGTCGACCCAGCCAGAATTGATAGAAGTGATAGAGGTAGAAGTGGCAGGGGCAGAATCAGCGGTGCTGCTGGTGCCGGCGTCCCTGTTCATCCAAGAAAGCTGGGCGCCCTTGCACTTGGTCAAATCGAGATACCGAAAGACATACGGGGTGTCCATGATGAGGCCGCGCATTGCGGTGCAGGTCGAGGCCAAGGATAGGAGCGACATCACCGAGAGGTAAGGGGCGAGGTGATCCAGGACGAGCGAGTTGGATAGGATATCCCAGATGGACACTCGCCGTCTCGCAAATCGGGCTCTTCCCCCGGATTCTCCAGTCGGGGACGGAAGGCTGAGGCTGCTCGTGGCCGCAACACGCTCAAGCAGATGGGATTTGTAGGCGGCCATGGCCTCTCCCGTAATGTCATCCCGCAGGGTAACGTAACATGGCTCCGGCTGCGACTGAAGCTCTTCCAAGGCTGCTCTGGCCCGGGCGAGCTCTGTTTCCAGGAGATCAATGGTGGACTGCAACATGGCCGGCATGGCTCTCACGCTGACTGGGTCAACAGCCGTCAATAGAGAAGCCCATATCTCAACCGAGGCCATGGCCTGTCCCCTTTAGGAGAGGCCGAGGAGTCCGGTATAGAAAGGAAGCTTGAAGTGATAAACAATGATTCCCGCGGTTGTAGATAGCAATCAATCTTAGCATTAACCAATGACAGGCAAAGTAGGATCGTTTGAAAGAAATCACAACATATGGAGTCAACAGAGAATAGTCCGCAAGGTATGAACGAAGATAAGGATGGGGAGAAAGTTGGGAAAGAGATAAAAGGCCAAGCACTGCTGAAAGAAGCAATTATGTAGAGTCTGATAACACTGATAAAGGATAGAAAAAGTAATTATTAATGAGATTAATAAGAAGTTGATCTTGTGTAGAACATTGGTCAAGTGGCGTATGGGGGAGACATCCTATTAGTTAGTCGTATTAAACAATGCTTAGCGAAAGGCTTGAGGGCATCACGACGAATGATGGAGCACGCTGCGGTACGGGAGAGCAGGGTCAGGAAGGCGGATATGGGTGGAGCAGAAACCTGGGGGAGAGACAGTATAAGATTTCGAACTGGGAGATGGGTACGGAGTCCGTGGGGAATCTTAGTCGGATCCATGAATGTTCCGATGCAGCGTGGTTGAGGAGCAGGAAATTAAGGGACAGGGGCAAGATGATATACGGCCAGATGAGATGGGAGCGAGCATCGCTTCGGCGCTTTAACTGTGAAGACTGGCACTTTTTGCTTGGGCAGCTGTAATGCTCCGTTCGTATAGGCATGCGCTGCCGGTCTCCTAGCCCCGAGTGAATACCGTACCCTGCGGCCTTTGGGTGACGATGGTGGTATGGAATGTCGAGATAGAGAGGTCAGCTGGACGGATAGGCCTATATCCTACTCGTCGACCCCCTATCTTTGCTTCTTGCCTATCTCAAGAGGTGCAGCGTCGCGTAGAGTGTGCCTCGACAGCTTTCTTTTTGCGGGGGAGCCCCTAGCAGTGTCTAAGTCTTAGCCCTTGCTTCCATGCAGCCTCCATGCTCACAGATGTACGGAGTAGACACCAATCCTGTACGGTGCAATATGCGTCAAGAGTAGACCCCGCTGATCAGTCGCCCGTTTTCCTCGGAGCCCTGTAGTTATTGGTATGTGCAGTGCGGAATATGGGCCAGCCTTGAACGAGGTGCATTCGCTATCGTCATAGAGGGGTGTTAAGGCCATGGAGCTGCATAGGAATAGTGTCGTCTGTATGGCTCCCTGTAGATACGCTGGCTTGCTGTCGTAAAAGAAAGCATAAGCTTTTAGGACCTTCGGCCCCGGCTGCGACTCGGCATCAACGTCGGCGGGTTCGTCGAGCATGACAAGAGGGCCCTATTACATGCTAGGCAGGGGGAAGGCAGGTCGGAGTCGTGAATAAAAACGAAAGTGGTGGATGTCGTGGATCAATCAGGTCGAACAGCTGGCTACTCCGGGAGACGGGGACGGCCGGGCGGCCGAGCCCACGGGATTTACGCTTTTCTACTCCGTGGAAGTGATGATGAATAGCTTTTGAGGTTGAGACAGGGCCATGTGGAGGCACGTTAATAGGAAAATCGTGGGAGCATAAATTGTATAAAGTGAGCTCCTCAGTAAAGTTAGGGTGATATGGCGTTGTGTGCAGGAACAGGGGTGGTTTGAAGAGATAATCCTTGGAGCTTGTATATCATCGCTATGTAGTGTACAGAATAAAGGTGGGTTGAGGAGCAAGGGGGTTGATGCTGGCGTGGCCACAGACATAGAGATAAACAGCCCTGGCAGCAGCCCATCCTGTACGAGGTGGTGGTTTGAGGGCAGCCAACCATGCGAATCTATTCGCAGGCACGTCGTGGACAACCGTCCCAGTACCAGTATGCCCACCTTGACCGTTGATGCTGGCCATTGCTTCTTACTTCCATAGTTTGCCGAGACTGACTTCCTTGTCATCATGTTTATTGAGAACCTTGGCTGTCGCCAGGTCAAAGTCCTCCTGGGTAACGTGTACCCTTCGCTCACGTAGAGCGTACATGCCGGCCTCGGTGCATACACCCTTGAGCTCAGCACCGGAGCAGCCGTTCATCTTCTCGGCGATCTTGGTGAGGTTGATCCCGCGCGTTAGGTTCATCGAGCGAGAGTGGATGCGGAGGATATCAGCTCTGGCTTCGACCCTGCAGTCATGGGGAGACCCTTTGTTAGTCCGTATTAGGAGGCTGTGGAGAGTTGGAGACTACTTACGAAGGAGGGGGGAATTCAATCTTTCTGTCGATTCGGCCAGGCCGCAGGAGTGCTGGGTCAAGGATGTCCAACCGATTGGTGGCCATGATGACCTTGATGTTCTTCGTCGGTTCAAATCCGTCGAGCTGGTTGAGAAGCTCTAACATGGTCCGCTGGACTTCCGAGTCACCGCCACTGCTTCCCTCCACTCGGCTCGAGCCGATGCTATCAATCTCATCCATAAATATGATGCTGGGAGCATGCTCTCGAGCCATGACGAAAAGCTCCCTAACCATCCTACTTCCTTCACCGATATATTTCTGCACGAGCTCCGAGCCACTGACTCGAATGAACTTGCAGTCGGTATGGTGCGCAACTGCACGGGCCAGCAGAGTCTTGCCGGTTCCTGGAGGGCCGTATAGCAGCACACCCTTGGGCTGCGCGATGCCGAGCGATTCGAAGAGCTCTGGGTGCTTGAGGCCGAGCTCGATAACTTCCTTGATCTCCTTAATCTGCTGATCCAGCCCACCGATCATATCATACGTGCTGTCGGGCACCTTCTCAACCATCATGAGCGAGACGAGAGGGTCGACGGAGGATGGCAGCATCTTCTCCAGCTTGTAGGAATCGGACAGGAGGGACACTCGCTTGCCCACCGTTAGCTTGGCTATATCGACGCTGTCCGCAATGTCGACCACTACAATTATTGTTAGCATGCTGCTACTCTGATCTATTATGCTACTATGCTCCCATGTAGCGGCCAAGCTCACCGTATTTCCCTTCTGGGTGGACCTTGACCAGGACCTTCTTCGTGCCCATGACCTTGACCACCTCGCCGACATAGGAGCCCGGCTGCTGCAGCAGGCCAAGTTCCTCCCGCAGTAGCCTCACCCTTGAGTTGTAGTCGTTTCTCTGTGCCTCTAACCGCCTGAGAACAGCCTGTCCTTGGATGATCTCTAGCTTCATGCTCTCTATCTTGTTCCGGTAATAGTTGTCGAGCGCCATGGTGACGGGTCGCGTGTGTGTCTAAGATCGGTCCAGGGGCGTGCAAAGGAGTAAACTAGATAGAGCGACGAGACGGTAGAGTAAACAGAGCTGTGTAGGACTTTGCAGGCTTCTATCTTGTCGTTGTTCTTGTCGTTGGTCTTGAGTTGATCTTGTCGTTGACCAGAGGCGCGAGTGAGCTGTATCTGACTAAGGACTTACTAAGATGACTAAGAGATGACAACGAACATGACTAAGTACTTACTAATATTACTGACTAAGATGACTAATAGACCACCTGCCGCGGTCACGCTATGACCTGCAGCAAATCAAGTCAGCTGCGAAGCTTCATGCAAGCCAGCGTCGATAAAAGAGCTGATATCAGCCATCCCGCCCAGCCACGAGGAAACAGCTTTCTTGCCCTTGGACGTACGATGAGCCGTTAGCAGTGTGTCTCACGCAGCTTCGTGCAGCGTTGCTGGGGTGCTTGACATCTCAGACACCGTACCTCTGGCAGGTCGTTCGTGTTTACCGCGACTTAATCACCTCTCACGATCTGGTATCTTCCTGATGAACAGTCCGAGACTCACGCGTGGGATACCCGGTTACGACTACATCGTGAGACTGCTGATATAAAGAGTCCTGCTGCCCCCTGGCAGCTTTTGAGGGAATGATATGGCTTCTCCGGGAGACGACCATGGCACCGATAGCCAGGAACAGTCCTCGTCTGCAGCATCGAGCCTCAGGCGGTTTGCTCCCATTACGAGAACTGAAAGTGAACGGGCCGAGGAGCCCGCACGAAGCCGGAGCGGGAACACCTATGGTCTGCAATATTTCGTCCCCCAAATCCTTGTAACCTAGCTCTATTCTTGCTAAGACGTACGCACCAGGCTCCATCGGTCCATCCGGCACTTCTTACACCGAATCCGCGTCCTACGACCCCTCGAGGTCCCCAATGATAGAACCTCTCTCGGAAAGGACGCCCAAGAAACCAGGGATCCTTCGTCGTGTTTCCTCCAAACCTCACAGGGGCCAGGAGTTCTCCGTCGACGACGACGTTACTGAGATCGAGGTGGACAAGGCCCTGCGGCAGCCAGGCGTCTCGGGCCGCTCCACAGCCCGACAACACTCTACGTTACGGCGGCGGGGTGTCATACCGGCGACAATTCTTCAGCGGGTTGACTCGGGGGATGAGCTTGTAGATGCTTCAGGAGCTGGTGACAGCTATATATTGGATAACGAGGAAGACGGAGACGACGATGACAATGAGGCTGCTGGTGAAGCTGGTGTCGACGACGACGACGACGATGATGTGCGCAGCGATGCTGAAAGCTTCACGCTCAAGGACAGGCAGCAGGCTATCAACGAAACTCACCCGTTCGGTATCAGGATCTGGAAGCCAGCCTTGTACAAGAAGCTGCGTTCCGTCGAAAAGACCGCAGAGGGAGACATCCATTCGGCGCCCGGACAGCGTGTCAGTCCCTGGCTCTTCCTGGCTAATATTCTATGGACAGTGCTCTTCGGGTGGTGGCTCGCATTGGCCGCTCTCATTGGTGCTATAGCCTGCTTTGCCATTAGCGTCTCGCCCGACTCCTCTGCGTACGGCAGAGTGTTTTGGGGCCTGTCCCGCTATCTGCTCTATCCGTTTGGCTCCATGGTCCGCCTCAAGCCTGACGAGAACTATGCAGAGGAAGACGAAGGTGAAGGGAGGAGCATCAGTGAATATGAGCAGTGGCAGAGCGGAGATATCGAGCGCGGTGGTCTCTTTTTCGGCCCAGTCGCAAACGCCCGCTCCTTGGTTGGCCGACGAAGGAACAGCATGGACTCTGCCAGCGAGCGGGACAGCCTACTCGGTAGAACCGGGAGACACCACACCGACGATAGCGAGGCATCTAGGACCAAACGACGCCTTTTCGGACGGGGCGAGTGGACTATTGGTCGAGTGATGTTTTATGCGTTCTTCTACCTTCTGGTCGGGCCGCTCCTCCTTTCAGTCTCTCTCATCTGTTGGATCCTCGTCTTCTGGATACCGATGGGTCGTGTTACTCTCATTCTATTTCACCACGTTCGTCGACATCCTCTTGCTCTGTCCTTCCACTCTGACAGCACATATACCAGACTGCAATCTGGCCCTTCTTCGTCGATTCTCCTGTGTACTTACCGCGCCGTTGGCTTGAAATACTGGAAATACACCATCGACGGAACGAACATCTTCTTCATAAACTTGCTGGTAGTCGTCATATTCGTCATATTTGACTTCCATATCTTGCGCAATATCTTCCTCATCGAAAACGGTCTCACCCATCCCGGCCTAATATTTGTGTTGGCTCTAATTGCTGTAATACCCCTTGCTTACTTTATCGGGCAAGCCGTTGCCTCCATCTCCGCCCAGTCCTCTATGGGTCTGGGTGCTGCTATCAATGCGTTTTTCTCGACCTTGGTGGAGGTCTACCTCTATTGCATTGCCCTTACCGAAGGCAAGGCCCAGCTTGTCGAAGGTAGTGTCATTGGTAGTATATTCGCGGGTATCCTGTTTCTCCCAGGGATATCCATGTGCTTTGGTGCAATCATCCGCAAGACTCAGCGTTTTAACGTAAAATCAGCGGGCGTGACATCAACAATGCTATTGTTTGCGGTCATTGCTGCCTTCGGTCCAACCCTCTTTTACCAAATCTACGGCAGGGTACGTTCCACCGTTCTTACTCTATTTACCATAGCTAACACTTCATAGCACGAGTTGAATTGCCATGCTTGCAGCCATATCAGGGTGTCCGGTGGTAGGGATTGTCGTCGCTGCTATTTCTCCCAGGTCCCTGCTGCCGACGATGCGTTCTTTATGAAGGCAGTACAGCCGTACTCTTACTTCGCTGCTGTGCTATTGTTCCTATCATATATCATTGGTCTTTGGTTTACCCTTAGGACCCACGCGGCGATTATCTGGTCGACCGATATTGATGAGAAGAAGCCACATCCAGACACTCATAGGCCGACTCTTCACCCACACTCCGACCAGGCACACGGCAACCCTAGTCTTAAAGGCTCCATCCGAGAATCCCAGCTATACGCCCGAATCCTTGGGCAGTCTCTGAAACATGTCGGCTTGACGCCTAACTCCGACCCATCCCAAACAGCGCATAGCCCTAACGAGAGCTCAACGGTTCATGTCGTTCCCCCCAAAGACAAGAATAAATGCCAGGGCCCCTACAAAATGACAATTCCCTCTCTGACTCCCGAAGAAAACGAACAGCTAGTGCGCCAGGTAACAGAAGTTGCGGCGACTGCAGCTACCTTTGCTGCCCGTGACGCGGCCGGCCCAAGACATATTGCGGGCACACCAGGCAGCAAAACTCCTGCAGGGGCGACTGGAACTCCCGGGCATCCAGAAGAAGCCGGAATATTCACAGAGCCTCAAGCTGAATCACATGGCCATGATGCACCCAACTGGGGTAAGACGAAAAGTTTTGTAATCCTCCTCGTTGCCACTTTGCTATATGCAGTGATTGCCGAGATATTGGTGAAGACGGTTGATGTCGTTTTGGAGAGTTACGATATTGATGAGAAATTTTTGGGAATTACACTATTTTCTCTGGTACCCAATACCACGGAATTTTTGGTAAGCTCCTCCCGAAGACTAACCCCGCCCCCCCCCCCCCCCACCCCCCTTCCCTAGTGGTATATGCTAACGGGTTTAGAATGCGATATCCTTTGCTATGAATGGTAATATCGCGCTATCTATGGAGATCGGCTCTGCATATGCCCTTCAAGTCTGTCTTCTGCAGATACCAGCCCTTGTTCTTTTTAGCGCCATCCACACCTCCGTCTTCAACCCCTCTGACCTACTCGGGCATTCATTCAAGTAAGACACTAAACCCCCAAAGAGCTACATGTGCATATGTGCATGTTTGCTAACGCTCTCTGATCTAGTCTAATATTCCCCCAATGGGATATGGTAACCGTTATCCTCTGCGTGTTCCTTCTATCGTACGTCTATGGAGAAGGGAAGAGCAACTACTTCAAAGGCTCAATCCTGTTGCTCACGTATATTTTCGTTATCATGGGCTTCTACTTGTCAAGCTTGAGTACGATGGGTATCGATTTCGGTCAACATGATGGTCTCTCACTCGGTGTGACAAGGAACGACGACGGATCGTTCCGCACCAGCGGTTGAAGCTAGGGGGGCTATGTGAAGTATATAAGAAACCTTATGTTTATATCTGCACTCATAGTATACACTGTACATAATTTTCCCTTCTGAGCAGGTTCTCGTTTCTTGGTTAGAAGCTCGTGGGTGTATTATATATCCGGCTGGTTATCTAGAATGCGAAATCCTAACTTTGTTCTACCGTCTCTTTTCTTGCAGCTGACTATAAACATTTACTTCTTGTCGAAGCTTGGGTGAGTGCTTTGTCGTCCGACCTCCAATCAAATCTCCCTCGGTCCAAGGCGTTGCAATTGATGGTCAGTTTGGGATATCTTGATGCGACTGCTGGGGTTGTTTGGCACGGCGAGCCACATTTTGTAGCCCTGAGGACCATGGTCAACATTCGATCTGTTTGATACAGCCCGCATACTTTCCGACTGCAGCCACTTTCCATGAGAGTACGATAGTTTGGGGCCTCGTAAACCTGAACAGAATGTCATTAGTTTTGTGGCAGTGTTAGGGGCCGTCTATAAGCGCCTTTTATATACCTTGTTTCAATGTACCACGGCTCGTATAAGAATGTCCTCGTGTATGGAGTATGTGACTTTATATACGACCCCTTTCCCCAGGGACAAGCCGGAGGGCAGTTTGATCATGGGTAAACTTAGGAGCTAGCATAGGGTTAGTTTAGGACGCCTTTACCTAACTCCTGGACAGAGCCCTTAGAGGGCTTGAGGACGATCTCCATATGTAAGGATAGTATAGAGCGAGCAGGGATGATATCTATTCTCCGTCTGATTCTCCGTCTGCCCGCATATTCACAAGCGCATAGACTCCCTGTCAAGCAGCATTCTATTACGCAGCAAACGGACCCCAGTATATAGAATATGTGGTCTTTAGTATACCGCCGTTCAGGTTAAGGTGTATACCGTGGCACAAGAAGAGCCCTGGAATATTGTTTGATGATGAAGCAGGACACTATCGGCCATGTCTTGCTGGTTGCAGCGGCCACCATCTGCTGTGGAATCCTTGCATGGCGTACTCTCAGCCTCGGACGGCATGTACAGGAAGCCTCCATCGTCCAGTCAAGAAAAGGCACCAAAAATGCCCTATATACATACTCTGGCGAGAATATCAAGTGGGCAGCATGTGGCCAGGTCGACAATTGTCCGTTGGAGTGCAGTTCGATCGAGGTGCCGAAGGATCATTTCAGTATAAACAACTTTGATAACGAAACGTTCAACATCCCATTAGTTCGGATGCGTGGGAAGAATGCCACACAGAATCTTCTCGTTAACCCTGGTGGCCCCGGTGGCAGCGGGTTCGCTTTCATGTACGACGATGCCCTAGATATAATGGATGTCATCGACGAAAGCTTTCATCTCCTGTCCTTCGATCCGCGCGGCGTCAACTCCTCGCGACCCCTGGCCACCTGCTATCCCGACCAGGGAACCCGCAAGCGGCTGTCAGAGATCAGAGCGACCGATCCGTCTAGAGATAGCCCTGACGTCTATGCCTGGACGGCGAACTTTGTGCATGCTTGTGCTGACACGATGGGCGAAGCTGGAAGATATATCAACACGCCCCAGACTGCCGCCGATATGAACAACATCCTGGATGCAGTTAGACAGGACGACATGGTATACTAGGGCTTCAGTTACGGTAGCATTCTCGGACAGACATATGCGACGATGTTCCCTGACCGCTCCAAGCGGGTTATCATCGACGGCATCGCCAACCATTTCGACTGGTATGGTGCATTGATCGAGGGCAAGGACTTTATCGACACCGACAAGGTCCTGTACGGAATCTTCGACGAGTGCGTCAAGGCCGGTTCCAACTGCACATTATCTGCTCTCGCGGATAATTCAGAGGAGTTATATCGAAAGTTCCTCGACCTTACGGCGAAGATTCGAGCAGAGCCGATCAGTGTTTACATCAACAGCACCCTGTACGGTGTCCTCGACTACCATAGTTTATGGTTCAACGGGGTATATAGGGCCCTCTACAGACCAAGCGGCTGGTATTCGTTCACCGATCGTCTTGCTAAGCTGATGCAAGGGGATCCGACCGAGGCCTTCCTGGCCTATGGATTTGGGGATCCATCTAAAAGATGGGCCATCGGGGCCAAAGTACTGGCCGCAGGGGAGAACAAATCTACTCGATAAGCTTCTTCCGTGGTATGGGAACAGCTCATTTGCCTTTGCACAAAACAAGCTATACTATGCTAAACAACAATGGCGCATCCCTCGAACACACGGCTTCGTACCGCGCATCGATGTCGAGACCGCCCACCCTCTCCTGGTCCTGTCGATGACGTTTGACCCCGTCTGCCCTCTCGCATCGGCAAGGGTCGGTGCAGAATCATTCAGAGGGTCAAGGCTCGTCGAGGTGAAGGGATACGGGCACTGCTCCCAGGCCATGAAATCCTCCTGTGCCGTTGCGCATATTCGAAACTTCCTCCAGGAGGGTGTCTTGCCGGATACCCATGTGCAATGCGAGGTGGACAATGAATACTATGTCAAACCAGAGTAAGGAGCTAGAAGAGGAAACATGCTTTTAATCTCACCTTTCCCTGATCAGGGACGATAAAATAACGGGACTCTGGCTTAGGTCGCAAGTTATATAGGCCGGGAGTGGCAGGTATTAGATCTATCAAATGATGTCAAGCATCCCATGCTAAGCGACACTTCTTCCACCTCGACGTGGCGGTTGTCAATGATCTTCGCCGTGCATCAAGTCAAATTGTTAATTCGATAACTTTGAGATTTGAGTTGCGTCTTGTGACGTCCCGATAACTTCGCCGTTAAATACTTTGCGTTTACCCGATTCCTTTGCCTCCAACCACACTCTCTTACCTTTGGTCAACTCCCTCTTGATCCCCACGCAACACACGATATGAAGAGATGACTCTGGGGGATCGCCGGGAGGGGCGCGGGTTGGTGTCGTGAGGGGGAAGACGATGGCTAGCAGGGGTGTTTTCCTTCCCCGGATATACCTTGTGCTCCAGTTTCATGCAAAACCCCGGCCACTTCGTATCAATGGCATTCCATCAGGGGATATCAACGCCTGGAAAACGGCGTCCGGTTACCAGTCCCGGGAGCCCTCGATTCAACTGCGGGGTAGCCCTGGTTCTTGTCGAGTTGTTCGAGCAGGTAGACCCTGTTATTGTGTGGTTTCTTGTGCGAGCTGCGGCGCTATAAATGCGACGGCTTGTGTCCCGTCTGCGTAGATGGCGGCGGCGCTCCAACATTGCACCTACACCGACACTGGTTGTCACCACCAATTCTTTTGGCCGCATCTGAATCATCGACCATGCTGTCCTTTGCCAGGGCTGCATTGTGCCTGCTGGCAGCCGCTGGGCCTCTCGTTCAGGCCCAGTTCCCCCCGAAGCCGGAAGGGGTCACTGTGCTGGACTCGAAGTTCGGCAACGGTGTACGCATCAGCTACAAGGAGGTCAGTGGGAGCAGTCTCTAATCTGGGGCCGGGTTCGGCTCATAGCTTACGTCGAATAATAGCCTGGGCTCTGTGAGACGACTGAGGGAGTCAAATCGTACGCTGGATACGTCCATCTGCCTCCCGGCACATTGAAAGACCTCGGCGTCGAGCAAGACTATCCCATCAACACCTTCTTCTGGTTCTTCGAGGCAAGGAAGGATCCTGAAAATGCTCCGCTGGCTATCTGGATGAACGGCGGCCCCGGAAGCTCTTCGATGTTTGGGATGCTCACTGAGAACGGGCCCTGCTTCGTCAATCCAGACTCCAACTCTACTACGCTCAATCCTCACTCCTGGAACAATGAAGGTGTGAAGACAAGACAATGCCTGGCTTCGGTATGATTTTAATGTGCTAACATGCGTACGATTGCAGTCAATATGCTCTACTTGGACCAGCCAGTGCAGGTAGGCTTGTCATACGACACCCTGGCCAACTTCACGAGGAATCTGGTCACGGACACGATCACCAAGTTGGAGCCCAATGATCCTATCCCAGAGCAGAATGCTACGTTCTTGGTAGGCACTTATGCCAGCCGCGACGGAACCAAGACTGCCCAGGGCACCCGCAATGCTGCGATTGCCCTCTGGCACTTCGCCCAGGTGTGGTTCCAGGAATTTCCAGGCTACCACCCTCGCGACTCCCGAATCAGCATCGCTACCGAATCCTACGGTGGCCGTTACGGTCCTGCATTTACCGCGTTCTTCGAGGAGCAAAACCAGAAGATCAAGAATGGTACCTGGAAAGGCAATCAAGGCAACATGCATCTCTTGCACCTTGACACCCTAATGATCGTCAACGGCTGCATCGATCGACAGGTACAGTGGCCGGCGTACCCACAGATGGTGTTCAATAACACATACGGCATCGAAGCAGTCAACGCGAGCGTTCACCAACAGATGTTGGACGCCCTCTATCGAGACGGCGGCTGCCGTGACAAGATCAATGACTGTCGTGCTATTTCCGCAGTATCAGACCCTGAAAACATCGGTATCAACGCCACCGTCAACGAGGCCTGTAGTGAAGCCGAGACCTTCTGCGCAACTGAGGTACGGGGCCCGTACTCGCAATATTCAGGTCGTAACTACTACGACATTGGACAGCTAGACCCAAGTCCCTTCCCGGCTCCCTTCTATATGGCCTGGCTGAATCAACCGCATGTGCAAGCAGCGTTAGGCGTGCCACTCAACTGGACCCAGTCGAATGATGTTGTATCGACGGCATTCCGCGCCATTGGCGACTATCCGCGACCAGGCTGGCTCGAGAATCTGGCCTACCTTCTGGAGAACGGCATAAAGGTGTCACTCGTCTATGGCGATCGCGACTACGCGTGCAACTGGTTTGGCGGCGAGCTCTCAAGTCTTGCGATTAACTACACTGACACACGCAATTTCCATGCTGCTGGCTATGCTGGAATCCAAGTAAACAACAGCTATATCGGTGGACAGGTGAGACAGTATGGCAACCTATCTTTCTCCCGTGTCTACGAAGCTGGCCACGAAGTACCGTCTTACCAGCCCGACACTGCGCTAAAGATCTTCCATCGCGCATTGTTCAACAAGGACATTGCCACTGGCACCATTGACACTTCCGTTCCTGTCAACGGCGACAGGCAATATGGCTCGTCAGGGCCCCCAGACTCGTTCAGGTTCAAAAACGAGCCACCGGCGCAGCACGTACACTTCTGTCATGTTCTTGACACTAGTACGTGCACGCAGGAGCAGCTGAAAGCGGTTGAAAATGGTACAGCCTTGGTCCGGAACTGGATTGTCGTTGATTCTAACTCGACGTCCTTGTTCCCAGAGGTGGTTGGCTCTCCCACGCCAACTCCGTCTCCAGCCCCTGGAACCGCGGCCGGCTTGTCTGCACGCAGCCATATACACGAGGTGGCCTTCTTGGGTGCTTTCGCTTTGACACTCTCTGCGCTGATGTTTTAGGTGACTGTATATATATACCCACACGGGCTGAAAAACAAAAGTATATATCATAACCCTGGCCGGCTTAGAGATGTACTAGCTAGTTGGAGCGATTCCGCGCCGATGAAATCTTTAAAGCACATTGTAACTTACCTCCTTCTCTCCTATCCTAGTAACGTAATAGATAAAGATGCAATTGAGTCGAACCGACAGAATTTCGGGCAAGAGACTTTCGTTAATTCCAAATACTTGCAGGATTGCGGATGGGAAGGCAATGGCTATGATGATTGCGGTTATAATGGAGGATGGGCACGGCAGGCATCACGAGCTTCTTCGAAAGCACGCCATGTAAAACAGCCCGGGACAGGCTGCTAACATCAAGGATGTCCTGTTGAATAAGCATTGGGTTGATTCTTATTAGTCCATATTCTCTGTGATATTAAAAAACTGTCCCCCCGGCTCTTCGGCTCTTCGGTTCTTTCTATAGTTCCGTGCGCAGATTTACATTTTTCATGCGCTGGAGAATTGCTGGCAGCTGCTTTGGGATGTCAACAAGTCAAGCACCTTACTGTGCGACTGTATAGACTCGCACCCAGACCGGGATGAAGGGCGATGCTTTGTAAAAGCACTGCTGGAAGGGGCAATGCAGGTAAGCACCAGTAGTATAGGTGGAACATGCCCCAGAGTGAAAAAATTTTCTAGCCACGATTTGGAAGGCCGTATAGATGGTGGACAGGCAGCGGGAAGAAGCGAGCTACCCAACGGCTGTTCCGCTACGGGAATTCTCGCACACCCTCCCACCGGGAACATGGACGTAGGATGAGTCGTATGCTGCCTCGCCCGGCAATAATGACTCCCGCAGCGTCTCGACAGCGGAATATCCAGCATCGACGACGGGATGTTCCGCCACGTTGAAGGCGACCAGCACCTCTATGGCTGCATGCCTGAAATGCACATATATCACTCCCTGCTCGCGTAATAAACGACACTGTGTATCCATTGACTGTCCAATTGGCTGCTGATGGCGAATCTGCACTGCAGTATACATATTAATTAATGCACGGACGTCTCCAGCCGTCAGTTTCCGGCAATCCGAGTGATATAGTGCTGATGCCATTGTGGGCCAGGCGATCCTAGAGGGCCCAAGGATCTGCGAGGATGCATTGCTGATTTTTCGACATCTGGACGGAGCACCGGCCTGTTCTCGAAGCACTGGCTGCTCGTTTCTGAAATTGCCGGTATATCCCTCACCGAGCGAGGATGCAAGGCCAGAAGGGCGCGCCAGGTCGAACAACCGAGGAGATCCCACCACCCTCTGATATTTTCAAGGGCGAAAGGAACGAATATAGCTGGGAAAAATTGATTATAAGGAGGGGCCTTGCCATGGATCCGGAGCTTGGCCACCTTGCAGAGTCAGGCCAAGCAACATTAGCGAGGAAGGTTAACTGGCTCGGAGAATTTGCCCTGGCCATGTAAATCTCCCGGAGGCTATCGAAGTACTCTGTAGATGCGCCGTCTCGCCGGCGACTCTGTACCTGCTCTGTCGCTTCGTACTGTATCCGTAGCCCTCTCGTCTGACCGTGCAATGCAAAGTCCCAAAGAGCTCGCCAGCAAGGGTCCAGCGTCGCTTAGCAGGCTGTCAGGATGGCCCAGCCACGGGTCAACGACGGGTCAATGCTAGTTGATAGTGTATAGCATTCTTTCTATAGGTGTCCCGTGCAGCGCATCCCGGTCAGAGTGATTCAACGCTTCTCAGCTGGACGGCCAGAACGGTGGTCGGTTCCGCGTGCCGGTCAATCGCAGCGGATATCAGTGATGCCAGGGCAGGGATGAGCTCCCAAAACTACCCGGCGGTCTATCGCAGTCGATCCATCTAGATTTTCAAGGCGGCAGCGCCAGAGAGACCGGAAGTATGCAGGCCAAGGCGATGGTGGATGAAGCGCCAGGGGTTCAGTCTGTCTATAGAGCTCGCTGTTATGATGGCGGACAGTGAGACAGCGCAGGTCAGGTCCTCCATCCGGGTTCTGCGAGCTCCCTTTGCTCCCGATAGGGCCAGGCTGCATGCAGAGGAATTTTTCCTGGTCCACCGTGCAGTGTGTAGCCTGTTGAGGGAGGCAAAAGAGGTAGTCCTGCTGGTAGAAATAGATATATAAAGCGAGCTGATGGCCTCGAGGTTGAGATCAGCAAGACAATCGACCAGCACTCAAGAAGCACTCGAGATCTCAGCCCAAGCCCAAGTCAAAGACCAAGAACAAGTCAAAGACCAGCCTCCAGCCTCTTCACGATGTCTATCCTCTCCCGCGCCCTCCAGCTCGCGTTCGTCGCTCTCGGCCTCTGCCTCTGCTTCTCTGGCCTGGCGTCCGCGCAGCCCATCTCAGCCCGCGTCCTCGCCATCTCGGTCAAGACGACCAACAACGTCTGCCGCGCCGGAAAGCCCTGCGAGCTCGATGTCACCGTCCGCAACACCAGCGCGAAGAAGCCGATGACCGTCCTGGCCTGGAACAACCCGCTCGACCGCCTGGCCGACCAGCTCGGCGTCTTCGAGGTCCGCGACAGCAAGGGCAAGGTGGTCGACCTCAGCTACATCCAGGTCCGCCGTGCCACTCCTCCACCAGCCTCCGACCTCGTCGAGATCGCGCCCAACAGCTCCATCAACGTCAAGGTCGCCCTGCGCACTCTCTCCGAGGCTGAGCTGCCCGCCGGAACCAAGTACACCGTCACCGCCACCGGCTGGTGGCAGGCGATCTGGGCTGAGACCAAGCAGACCGTCGTCGCGAACTACCTGCAGGACATGTCCGGCTCTTTTGGCGGCGACTTCAGCTCCAACAAGGCCCAAGTCACCATTGTAAGCGCTCCCAATAATGTCCTCTTGACCGGTAGCTAACCAGTTGCAGGCTTAATTAACCCGACGACCGATCGATCCGTATCCGACTATAATCTGTGAAATAATCTGACTGAAGTGAATGATGTCTGGCCAACGATTCAACTACGGTCCCGGCTCTGCCTGCGACCAAACGACGCTCTTTTATACCCGGCCCTAATATTCTACGAGAAACGCTGTCTGCTACTTAGTAATAACGCATAGCGAATATAATATTGCCTTCTTCTCTACTTCTCCAGTAAACTGCCCAACTAGGTCTTCTCAGGCTCTTAAAAGTAAACTACTTAATGACTTTCATCAAGTTAATACCGCTATGATGAGAAGCACCCCACGGTCTAGTCTAGCTCTAGAATAATAGACTGAAGATTATATCTGGAAGAATGTGGCCCACCGAGATCGCTGTGGCTCTGGAAGAACACGCATACACCAAGCTGACAGGCCACCTTCCAGCACAAAATCCGCAGTCTCCCATTTCACTGCCAGCCTATCCTTCCATTCCTCCACCCAGACGATCCGTTTCTCGCCATCAGGAGAAACCAAGGGCACCATGCCTTCAAGTACACACTCAGATGGTCGCAGAAGCGGGCCAGTATAGTAGAATTTGTGCCCAGGCTTGCAGATACGTACGAGTTTGGATGCCTCATCAGACTCAAACTGGCGGTAGCATTGCCAGCATAGTGTTGAGAATGGGCAAGACCGACAGAAGTACCAATGGTGGCCAGATCCAATTTCCTGCTTGCAGCTCATGCACTCGGTTAGTGGACTACACGTAGTAGCTAGAAACATGGCATCATCCATGTCATCTTCCATGTCATCATCCAGAGTCTGATCCTGGTCACTTTTTAATTGTAGGTGGTTGAGCGTCCCAGAGAGGTCCGTATCGTCCAGGGTTGTTGTAGCAACCGTTCTGTCCTTGGGAGGCCTCCTCCCCAGTTCCGTATCTTGTTTGATTAGATATAAGACTGCTCCAAGGTCTTCATCGCTATCTCTATCGGCCAAAAATGTTCGAAAAAGTCTCATGAAGGCATCGATGTCGTTTGAAGGATCGTCATCTGATAACAGCGAGATGCACTCTTTCACGCACCAGCGGAGAGCATCTCTAGAGTTTGCAATATCCCCACGGTCTCGCAGCCAACTCGAGAGGATTAGACAGATATCGCCGAGCTCAGCATTTTCATCCAAGACCAAAGGTGACATCACATGGAGAGGAATGTTGGTATCATTCAGACACAGGTCAACCAGGCGACCAATTGACAGAATGCGAGCAGACCTATCCCACACATCGGAAGATGCTTTGGAGAGAGATGCAATCTCATACCAGCCCTGTATCCCTAAAGCTGTCCGGCCTTTTTCAAACAATACCGTTGATAAGAGATACTTGACAGTTGCAAGATTCTCAAATTCGGTATCGACCTTCTTCAGGATAGTTGCGGTAGCGTCAAGTTGGCGCTGATCTTCGTGCGATAGAGTGTGGTGAAGGACCCTGTACATTACACGAGGCCCAGCAACAAAAAAGTTGAGGAAGAAGCGATCGAAATCGAGCGGCCTGAGTGTACTGTCGATACCCTCCTCGGGACAAGAGAAGACAAGGTCAAGTACGGGCCGCAGACGATGAGGCTGGTTTAGTTCCAAGAAGATCAAGAAGAATGAAAACAGCTCAGTGTCACGGTCCTCGGCTCTCATCCTTAATAGCAGCTCCCAAGCGTCCACTGCAGTTGCAATCGCATCATCTATCAATTTCGCGGAGTGTTTCATCTGCGCCTTGTATAGCAAGTGACTGATAATATCCCTGGAGACGTGATGAGCATTCTCCTGCAGAGAACTGCGAAGGGACTCGGATAATTCCAGATGCTTTAATGCCTCTTTGTGCCTCGCGATCCCGGTGCATGTACGGGCCATGTCTCCATGTATTAGAGACAAGGATTGCGTGCTGAATGTCGGCGTCTGTTGGTTTCCGTCGAGTGCGATTTGGAAATGATCGAGGGCCTTTTCATAACAATGACGCAGGAGTAACGCCTGAGCGACTCGAGCATGCCACATAGGCGTTTGCTGAAGCCTCTGCGACTCGGCTGGAATCAAGACCCTGGAGGGTGTTCTGTAATCACACATCACTTGCGATACCCTGGTTACTATATCGGATTGCTTCGCCCCTGTTGCCATCATCTCATTGTATACTGTTAAAATTGCGGGGGCAATGGCAGGCAATCCATCGTCGTCCTTGATTTCACCTGGTTCTAGCCAGCGTTGGCTCCAGGACTCTACCAGGAGCGATAAGAGAATCGTGAAAGAGCATGCATCACTCATCAGCGCTGAAGATCGGGCATGGTCCACAAACATCTGTCTTGAATTTGGCAGAAGCCAACTGAGCGCAATCTCTGCCCTTTTATTTGCGGTATCTGGATCTTTGGCGTCCAGCCAGTAGGAGCCAAGCTCAGTCAACTCGCACGTTGGGTAGAATGTATACGAGTCAAACCCCTTAACTTGCATTTCTTGGATGAATCGATGTTCACGGCCTGGCTCTGCCGGGCTAAACAGGCTCACAAGCAAAGGCGATATATCTCCTCGTAGTTTTCCTACCTTTTCAGGGTCCACGTTGCTGAGGTGTGACGGCAGGAAGTTATCAGCATATGCCCCAAGGCCTTCCATGTATCTATCGAGATATGGTGTGTAGTTGTGTTTGAGGGCGTAGAGACAAACATAGACAAACTCTGCTTGCGTACGATCGACATCGACATGGATAGGCCCAGAGCCCCCCGGTGTCTTGAAAAACTCGTAAAAAGAGCTATGTCGGAGTGTCACAATGTTGCCGTTTTCCTCAAAGTCGTCTGGGTCGTCGTTGTCCCTGATGGAAAACAGAGAAGAGTAGATCGTGCGAATGTCATCTTCGAGGTTCAGAAACTCCTCCTTCAGGATGAGCTCGAGAATGATGTCAAGCCGACGGACGGTGAGCGGCTTTGGGGCCAGAGTGACAAAGGAAAGCAGGACATTGAGCGGCTCAATCTGTGTAGCCGGTCCAGCACCGTCTGATGCCTCGTCTCCGGACAACTCTTCCAGTCGCAAGAGCTCCTTGCCCAGACGCTGCAACTCTTCAGTCAGCATCGCGCTGATTCCTCTCGGCAGTGTCCTGACCACCTTTCGGATCTGCTCTTTGGTTCGACAGCGCAGGACAGATTTGATGACAAGGTTGGCCCACTCCCATAGCCCTTCCGCGCCCCGACTGATCCCGTTTACCATTTCCTCCCGGAATCCAGGAGACCCGCCGAACAATTTGGTCTTTTGCAGTTTCTGAGAAATATATTGGTGGAGGTCTTCCTCGTTCTGGCTGTTACCGACTTCAATCTCAGGAATCCAGCCCAAGGAATGCTCGTCTAGCATGCCACGCACCGAGTCCCTGCTGAGCAGTACGATCCGTAGAGGAAAGCCTCTGTCCGTACCCCCTTCGGCTGAAAAGGCGTTTTCCAGTAGGCTGAAAAGCACTTCTTGTTCCTCCGTCTGGGCCTCATCAATGCCATCGATGACCAGACACGCCGCAGTGCCCGAGGGACGGCCATCTGTAAAGTAGTTTAGGACGAGCTTCTCCCAAACAACGTAGCTATCCCCTAGATCTTCTTTCATGCAAAACTCCTCTGAATGCACCGCAAAGCTCGTTTGCTGCGTGGCCAGCTGCCATGCCAGGGTTCGCAATGCCTTGTTGAGGGAGCGTAGGTCGACATCGTTGTTCTTGAAGAAGAACGAGGCAACGGCCGTCGTCTTTTCGTCTGCCAGGTCGTTGATGATCTTCGATGCCAGATGGGATTTGCCTACCCCGGGGCCGCCGTGAATCCAGAGAAGCGGCTGGGAATCCTGCCACCAGGACCGCAGCCTTTCCTCGACCCAGCGGCCGGAACCAGGTATACGATTCTGGGTGATGGACGAGAAGACCTGGCCTGACGCAGAAACCGGATCCAACGCTGCCTTGACCCTCTCCAGCCTCTCGCGGTCGGTTCTGTGGCCGTCTCTGGCGAGCAGTTCCTCCGTGTTTCTCAGGGCCTGATGGGTGAGACTGAGGCCGTGAGCAGCCACCATCAGATGCTCCTGGCCGGTCAGCTCTTCCAGCTCGCCCAGCAGGGAGCTGACCGACGTGTCATCAACGAGGATATTCTTTGCCCACTTTGAGAGTCTCGCCTTGAGCGAACCCTGGCCCAGCAGCTTCTGCGAGGCTGCGCAGACCCGGAGGAAGTTCACCAGCACCTTCACGATGATCGTCTTCATCCCTTCGCTCAGAGGGACGCCCTTGTACGAGTCCAGGCGGAGGGAGAAGTTGCCCAGCTTATGGAATAGGTCGACGATGCCATTGAAAGCATCGCTGACCCTGTTTGCTGCCCGCACGAGAAGCAGCATCGCGCCCATGATCGAGGACGCTGGCGGGAAAGCAGCAGCGGCCACGCCGGCGACGAGGCTGCCCCAGGTCTCAAAGGGGGCCAGGACCAGCTGCATGGCATGGAACAGCGGCCGTCTCTTCATCCGGAAGTCTTCAAACCTGCTCTCTTCGCATTCCAGCTGGCGAGCGAGGTCCTGCGGCCCTTGGACTCTGGGGAAACGCTCGTCCGTCAGCGTAATTCCAGTGGCCGCGGCATACTCCTCGCAGGCACTCTGCCAGAGCGACGGCTCACTCGCAGTCGTAGTCGCAGTCGCAGTCACAGCCATGGCAGATATACACATTAAATGAGTGGTATCACAGATATACACAGATCAGAGCCTTTGACCGAACTGTCCAAGTTGCTCACTGTTGATTGGATACTCGATTATAGTTAGTAAGTTATGGGTCAAGCCGCGCGTATACCTTGGGCATTTAGAGAATATACACGCGAAGGAGAACGACATCTCATTGCCAGCAAATCGACCGCTACCAGCAGACTGGTGCATGTAATGCTGCAACCTGACCGAGAGACTGTATCTTCAGAGCCGAATGAGCAACATGATAATCGACGCTCCCTTGGACCAACCCGGAAACGGCCCGCCAGAGGACACTCGTGCTTGGAAGTGAACAGCCCACGGCCCGACGATGAGCTTGGTCTACTTCGTACACTGCTGCTGCAGCACGAGAAATCGGTCTGGTCGTACTAGTTAGTTGTGCGATGATGGACGCTGGTTTGAAAGCAGTGATGACATGGTATGCGAGGCCTTCATTCCGACGCGGTTGACCAACTACCATAGAAAGAGATAATAGATAACATTCTTGCGCTTTACTGGCCTATGGTAAGCCAATAGATGGCATCGTCGCTTTTGCAAATACCTACTGGCCGTATGCCGCAGAAGGTGCCGGAGTTCTCGGTCTGCTAGCCACCTCGCTAGATAGCCCAGAAGCGCGAATCACCCTACCTATTGATACTTAACCACTATGGGGAATGAAGCTCCCAAGGAGTGTACTGCGTCGATTCACGAAGTGTCTCGAAGATGGCGTAAGCGCAGTTCTGGTTTCCAGTCATGGCCATGGACTCGTCATTGAGCTCTATTGTTACGGACCGAGATTGATATCAATCTTCTGTTACTAGGCGGGGAATTTCTCTTCTTCAAAGTATGTGATTTACTAAAGTCAGCGGACACCAACGAACCAAGATTTGGTTCCTTATTCAACTTCCATAAGCTATGGAATGTTTATTCTTCAAAATTACCCAAGGTAGAGATCGAGCTACTACTTAAAACATTTCTTGCTATAGTCATTCGGCATACGCTTTGACTGGACATTCGAGTTCGAAAGCGCAAGATTTCTGCTCAAGCCTTGAAGCGATAGTCCGTGATGTGTCAGAGCCATACCATCAATATACCTGGGGAAATTGCCATGACTACGAGACATATGGCCTGCCACCAGCTTTGGAGTCCAGCCGCATGGCTAGTGCCAGCGTTTGCACTACCCCCGTCCGGAGAAACTGTGACGGATGGTAATAGTGAGGTTGGGAGGGCAGACGGAGTGAACGAAGTTTTTGTGATAGATGCCAGAGACGTTGCCGATGGCGGAGTGGGAAACGACATCGTTTCGGTCTGTTCGGAAAGGGACGAACTGGCATCGTCACTGTCGGTGGCATACACCGAGATTAACGTCGTTGTCTTGTATATAGTCGAGGTGACAATGGTCACGTCGACATAATAGTAACTCCAGTACGACCTTCTGGCTGTTAGCTCCTCGTGTCAATTCTCTAGTTGGCAAGTGATACCAAATGAAACTCACCAGGTGACGGTCCAAGTGTACCAGTCATAGTCCACGGAGCCACCACCAGTTGACGTAGGTGACAGTGTAGATGATGGTGTAGGAGATGGAGTAGGAGGTGGGCTACTATGCGTTGTCTTATCGTCATCATCACCTCCTCGGGGACGGCATCCTGCGGTTCCATCATTGCGTCTAACGCAGTAATAGCCTTTAAGGCAATGTCTCTCGTCGAAACAGCACTCTCCGCCATGAGGGTAGCAATGATTTTTCCCACAGCAACTATATCCCTCGTCACAGGGCCCGTTGGGGCAACACGTCTCGCGTTCGCTGTTCAAGCAGTAACCGTACGTATAGCAACAAGTCCTTCCCAGCGGACAACATCCAATTCCTGGTTGATGACGGTCTATTAGAGAGGTGAACGGAAGCGTGTCTGGACGGTGGGACATACCAGTACAGTAGCCTAGGCCTGCGTCGCAGGTAGCCTGCCGCGGAAGCAGGAGAGAGCGACCTTGGAGTGCTGGCAGTGCTGGCAGTGATTTTCCGGCCTGCTTGGAGGCAGCCGGTATGACCGCTGAGGACTTAGCAACGACAGTGGAAGCTAGAATCAGAGCCTGAAGAATAATGCATGAGGCTAAGATTGATGATACGGGCGACATGTTCACTTGTTTGGCCAGCATATACACATATCCAAAAGATATAGATCCAAGACTCGACTGGATCAAATCGTCCGTGGAGCTGGGTATAAGTACTGCTCGCACCCAGGCGACTGTCCTCCGCGGAATAGATGTATGCCACTCGCTGTTTCGTATTCTCGGTCACAATTCATCGCTGAATACGGGCTCTATTAGCCAGCCTTGCATCAAAGGAGAGACTGACCCCATGCCCCGTGGCAGAGCCGCAGACCCATAACGTGCGGAGGTAGGCGTAGGCTTATGGCCTATATAGAATCTTTCCCCCACACGTAGAGCGGTAGCTTAGCGTACGGAAAAGATTTACGGTTCCGTATCTCACTTTTCTCCCGTTCCTATCACGATAGGGTGGCTGGTGAGCCATAATCTGGTGCTAGCTGAACATCCGGCCCAGTCGATTCTCAAGAACGGATACGAGCCTGAAGTTGCGGCTCTAGTTAGCTAATCTCAAGTGGTCAGATGCAAAGAAGGAAATTGATATCTGAGCGGCTTACCTGCATACTGACCAATTAGCTGTCTCGATTGTCAGCACTCGTGTTTAAGGCATTGCAATAATGGGGGCTTAGACGAAAACGAATATACCGGAGCCCCTCTTTGTCACTATGCCCGCTCATGCATATATGTGGTTATATAAAAAGGACTGTGATCAATGTATTAAAGTGTTGCCGAAGACTATTTAGTTAATTAAGGGCGTCGCCCACAGGAAATGGGGCTCCTCAACCCAGCGCCAAACATGCAATAGTTACATTTCCACTGGGTTCTACAAGCCCGTAGCTATTAGGCATTGTGTTCGCCAGGATAGTTAACTAACCATCTGTATCCTTGTTCCGCCTTTCATGTGGATGTGAAACTGTTGTATGCTCCACACCGCGATAAATCAGACGCTTCATCCTTTCATGCTGCTCCACGATAGGGCGGAGGTGTGGCTTTGATATCAAATTAGGGTCATCGACCTTTTGCTGCCCTATAGGTAGAGGCAGAGCTGTAGCCCCAAATGTGGATATGAAAAATGAAGCATCGCTGGCAGCAATGGTAAGTTAGTGGGCATGGCTGCTTTGATGCGGTGACGAGCGTCAGCGATGTTTCCCCCCATATATTAGTTTACCGCTTTATAATACATTTAGAAGTAATTCCTTCGCTCGTTGTAGATAGACCTGTTAAATGGTGTGCTAGCACTCATCAGGTGCAATGGGAGTATAGCCTCGATGAGTTGTCACGGTTAAAAAGTCTTCAGTCGTACTTTATGGCCCAACTTTTTCATCTCCTGGAAAAAAGATTTACTGTCTTCAGCAACCTGCGCATCATTAACAATCTGCTCCGCAGGAAGTTGAGCAACAATATTCTCCATCCTTAGTGACTTAGCTAGAGATATTGACCAATTAGTTAGCAGAGGGATTTGTAAGATAAACCTTTGGTTTCTACACATACCTTCTAAGGCCAGTGATATCTTATCCGCTATTTCCTCACTGCTCTTACAGGTCTCAGCAAGGATAATAGCGAGATAGACAGTAGGCTTTGAATAATATAATCCTATACTGTCGAGCGGGGGGTCAAAGAGTCGAGCTTGTAGAATCTGCCTAATTATCTTATTTCTTGTCGTCCTTGTCTGCGGATCGGCTTTCCATTGGTCGATCTCAAATTCCTTGATACTCTGGGCCTCGATACCCATGACCTGGATATAATCATCGGCATCCTGAAGCACAGATAGGCGATATAAAACCTCATTCAAGAGCTTCAAAGTGCCTTCTTTTGTATCAAGCTGAAGCTCTCCTTTTATATAACGGCGCAACTTTGAATGAAGCCCAACATTATTACTAATATTGTCTGCTCCGGTTTTGAGGAAAGATACTCAACGGCTCTATGCGTCAACTCTCGGTCAATAGATGCGGTTCTAGATGTAGTGTCTCCGCTAGAATCCAACTCAGGGCTTTTGGTACCACTTGGTGGAATGGAGCGCAGCGACTCCCATCCTTCCTTAAAATGATTTAACTGAAAGCCGGTGCGTTTCCCAAAGTGTGTCTCCCACTCATCATCTTGGGCTGAGAAGTGGATCCTCTGTTCGGAAGCTAGCGAGTAAATAGTCGAGATCTTTTCAAAGATAGAGGATGCTAATCCAATGTAAGTCGGATGGGTAAGAACCTCCATTTTATCATCCCCTTCTTCGTCAACCGCTATGATGGATTGTAGCATCGCCGATACGATGCTACTACCACAGGCTCTACCAACACTGCGACTAAGGGAGCAAGATCGTGTTTCTTCCTCTATACCCGAGCCAGTGATGCCAGTCACATTAAGAAATTTGGCCTTGTTAGTGTTTGGCTGTACAAGCCAACCTCCGGAGTAGAATGCCGTTGTGAACAAAGTCACCTTTGCTTCTTTTGGAACAGCACGGGCAAAATCTCTCATGAGCAGCAAGGGAGTCTTGTTTGAAGTAGTCCTGAATCGGCCAAGTCGAATTCCATGCGTGTCTTGATCGCCATGGCCAAAGACGAAGACAATAAGCTGTTCGTCGCGCTGTACTGCTGCTTTCGCCTCTTCCTAAAGTGTCGACAAAAACCGATCGAGGAGCTCTTGGGGAGCAACGACTCGTATGTTCCCGGCTTCCTTCATACGACCGAGAGTCGCCTTATCTAGGACAATCCTCCTCTCCTTTCGGGTGTCCCCATGGGCATATTCGCTATATTTTTTGGCCAAGTCTTCTGGATCCTCGGTTGTGAGCCAAATCTGCCCCTCCGTCGTGATATGCATGGGGGAAAGGAGGTGGTAAAACAAATATAAGTCACTGAAAAACCATCCATCGGCCACTGGCGAGGCCTGGCCATCATAATCAGTCACACCGCACACAGCGATGACTCGGCTTTTTGGTGAAATATCTGGCGGGCACGAGATTTTAAACACCATGTTTGCTAAGGATTCCTTTCGGCCCTGTATGCAGTCAACTGGGATAAAGGATTCCGGAGTATCGCAGATATTTAGAGCCATGGCTGCGGTAATAAGAGTGCTCCGAGTATAGACACAGTGGATAAAGGGTCGAAAAATGGAAATTTCAACCAGTGGTGTAAAAAGATATCCGCGTTATGACAATCTTGTCTGGAGTACTCCTTCTGATTCCATGACACCAACCACGGCTAGTGGAAGTATCAGATTCTCTGTGTGTTGGGTACGGCCCGTTCCTATTATCAATGGTTCCCATTGGACAGTAGACCTTTTTGTCGCTTATGGTTCAACAAGAAGCGAGATATCAACGAGGAAGAACGCGTAGGGTGTTCCTATTGGAAGGTGGACTGAGCATTGTTGATATTCCACAACATCTCAATGTAAAACATAAGATGCTGGCCACGTGATCAATGGGAGCATCACATGACATTATTGCGTAGTGGATGTCACCTGATGAGCATTAGTCATAGAATTAATTACGTAATATACTGAAGACGACCAATCGATAGCCAACATGGCGTCTCTACGGATATAATAATATTTCGGCTCTTATTTCAATAAAAAAGGGCTACCTTATCTAAGCTATATAGTGCAATAGTTGATACAGAGTTGTTGATATTACTAATAATTCTATACTGCCACTGTGTGGTTCCACTCTATAATCCCACTCCTCCTGCTTTCTAGTACATACGACCACAGGAAGTGGAAAACAGAGCTTCCCGTCCGCTCAGCTGTACTTAAGCCACTTGCCGGTCGGTTAGTAGTGGGGTTGGGGTTGGGGTTGGGGTTGGGGTTGGGGTTGGGGTTGGGGTTGGGGTTGGGGTTGGGGTTGGGGTTGGGGTTGGGGTTGGGGGTTGGGGTTGGGGTTGGGGTTGGGGTTGGGGTT